TGAACCTTGGCTGATTCTCTCCAGTTCCATGGCCCGTGCCCTGCCCCTGGCTCCTGGGTGGCGAATGTTGAATACTTACCCCTGATACCACAGTACACAGTACTCTCGACTGTGTATCACTAGTATGAAAGAACGGTGCAGAGCTTGATGGTGAGAAGGACGGAGTTGCATGCCTGCCTCGCCACGTAGACAGCACCGACTCCACAAGCCGTTGATTTCCAGAAACCAGGCAAAAACTCAACTAAACCCACTATTCTCCAACTCTGCCGCAAGGTGGTATGCACGCAAGGAAGAAGTACAAGCAATACGACCTTGCATTCGCGCGCCGCATCACGTAGACTCCACTACTGTGTACTGCCACCACCTGCCCACCAGGAGCAAATTCCGCACCATGATGTCAACCGCCCAACAGACTCAGAGGGGGTTACCCACTTTTCCATCAAAAGGAAGGTTTCTAGAAAAGCTAGAAAAGCACGGCTCAGCTCCACATACCTCCGCGTGCATCGGATATGTCCGAGCCTGATCCTGGTTCTTGGTCCGCGAGTTCGAAAAGTGGAGGGGATCGTCGGTGATTCGCACGTGGTGGAGCATGGAGGGAATTCCTTGATTCGGCGTGGAGGAAAGGTTTGGACGGAAATGCCGAGGACGCAGTTTGCCGATCTTAACCGAGTGATGGAGATGGATGGGGATTGATGGGGATTGATGGACGGATGTTTTTTTGGGCTGCGCCGTGGATAGTACTTTTGTTGAGAAGAATCACGTCAAGAATTTTACCGTAGCAGTATGTTGGTTCACCACGACCGAACGCTATATCCCAGCACCATCAAAGGTACACGGTAAGCTAACCGCGGCATGCACATTCGGACAGTGTAAAATGTAGTCGCCAATCCGAAAGCAAAAGGAGAGACCCGGTATCCGTACCCGACTTCTATGCAGGGTCCAGTCAGTCTTCGGCCGACGTTTCTTCAGAGCCTGTCCTTTTTACTTTTTACTGTACAGATGGTGTGTGCATCGGTGCCCAACAGACGAGATCAGATGTTGCAGTTGTACCCTAGGGTAGAAAGCACAGGACAGTGGAGATGTGGAGATCCGGCCGCTCATCAACACGGTATGGTAACCGTTTCATTTCTCATGCAGAATTTTTCACTTTTTTCTTTTCTCTTTTCTCCGCTCAAAAAAGGGTTCCGCACTGGAATGAGCGCCCACGCCCCGAGGTTTTGTGAAAAGTCTGCACCCTGCACGGTTTTTTCCTTAAGCTTACATACTTGTTCCACGGCCGCGGGATGGACATTGCATCCTGCATTGCGCAGGCTTAGTGTACTCCGTACGTCTATTGCGGATATTCTATTGGCTATGCAAGACTACTGTACAGTAGCTCGGGAAGAAAAATCGTGCACTAGTTTTACCGCTTTGTTCTGGGTTAGTCTTCCTTAAACTTTTCGTAAGCATGCTCCGTCGTTTGTCAAGCTTAAGGCAATTACATACATACTAGGGTAGCAGTAAGTGAGATCGGAGAGCGGTAGAAGATTCACCAGCAGGTAGATCTGCTAACCCAATGAGAGTAGAACCGAGGAAGAACAGTGTCTGCAGTTGTGGGTTGTTTGGTTGGGCACTTCATCGAATGGGTGGACCTTTGGATCTCACCGCTACTCCCAATAATACATCGCACTTGGGCGTTCGCAGTCTCATCAGCTGCTCGGAACAGGTCGAAATCACCTATACGTGACATCTTGAATGCGAGAATTGCTGCAACATGTGCACATCCTTCAGATCAATGGCAGTGTTCACAGCCTCAAAGTTGGATCCCCTATGCCAGAAGAAAACACAGTAGAACACAACTGTCAGACTTCGCCGCCTACTCGGCTGCATGCATACACATCCCCCCTAGCTTAATTAAGGTACTAGTCTATTCGACGTACACTTGGTAGTACCTGGTACGAAACCGCCAAGACGTAGATTGGAGAATTCCCAACTGCCGTTTTCTGCCGACCCTCGCAGCCGTCGGTGTCCCCTTTTTTTCAGCCCAACACCCCTAGACCCACATGATAGGACCGAGAAAAGAAAAATTCCCACGTTGGGCGCGCGTTGAGACTTAAACTTGAGGGGGGAAGAGACTAAAACCCTGCTAGAGAAATCAACACCGATCGGTTCGGCGAATCGCCGGCCGGAGCCGAACCGTGGGTTAACGTCGTTTCCGGCAACGCCGCGGCGGCCTAGGAGAGATCCACTCAGGGTTGGGATGAAAGCTTGTGACATCGGATGCTGGGTGAGGTCCTCCACGTTGCATCTGAGGTGGATAGTGTGTGGGGGCATTTGTCGGGTACCTATGTGTAGCGGAGCGGACGGGAAGCGCGAGACAGGGAAACTGAAGGCTGCATAGTGGAGATAGTGGGTATGTATGGTATTGTAATACTGCGGGTTGGATGTGTAATAGAGAATCGTGTATCTGGACGCGGGATGGTTGCTACGGCCGATATAGTTCCACGAGTGCAGTGCTATGTACATTTGTAGATGCTCGTTGGTGCCGGTTCTGCTAGAGTGCATCTTTAAAGGGTTTAGGGACATATTGCGCCAACTTCGGTGGCAATATACAAAACTCGCCCCTGCAACCACAGTTGCGATAGGGATCATGGGGCTGAGTTGAAGAAAGTTGACGCAGTCTCCTCGCTGGTCTTAAAATATGACTTTAGATGCATGTTGGTGTTTCTGAATTTTCTCTATTATACAAAAGAAGAAGAGCGAACAGAGCAACTTGCCGGGTTTGTAGACAGTTACACTCTTTTGTCTAGGCTTCTTCGAGATATCAGTATTGCCAGCTTAGATGTACGTCGGACAGGAGCTTCTAATGTAGTTTGCCTAAATTCCGTTTCGAGTTGCTAGAAGTTTACGCCGGAAGGAATGAGTGTAGAGTTCCAATCAAGCAGTGGTCTTTCGTTCACTGCAAGGGCGGAGAGACAGTACTCCTTCTCGCTTCCATTCCGCGCGACCTCGAAGCGCTAGCTGTATGTAGATTGGTTTTTTGAATGTGAGCATGAATATCCCGCGCCTGTGTTCTGACGGAGTTTGTACGGAAAATCGCTTCTACAGTCTCAGCAGCAATTCCATCGATGCTACTCGCAATACAAAACTCCCTTTCTCGCTTGCTTGTTCGGAAACCTTGCCTCTAGATTCAAAGGTGTTAAATCTCTTAGCGACAGTATATGTCAGACCGAATCCCTTGCTTTTTACAATTACACTAGGTATAGCATTCTGCGGCAGTCGTCACATTGGATGCAGAGACGCAAGGGGCAAGCCGGCACACGCATTCATCTTCTACGAACTCTCACTAATTATATGTGATGCCAATTCTTTTGAATCCGCATACCGGCAATCTCTTCTGCGCTTGTAATCGACCGGGGATGTCCACTATGCCAATTGTGCGACACATAGCATTATTAGTCCCACAGCGCACACAATGGTAGTCTAGTAGTAATATTTACAGTGCGTGTGGAAGAGTCAATGAACACAAGTCATCAGTCATTGGTACATTCCTCCTTCGGTTTTGGATCAACAGCGTGTATTGCTACTCTGCCTGCTCACAGTCACAATCGCCCCCGCCGTCTAAAACTCATTGTCATCGCTGCCCGCGATGATAACATTATTGACCTATCGCATCTCGTTAGTAATACTCTTGATTGTACTTGGAACGAGTGGAAGAAGGTGTAACAAAGCACTCGTTGGCGTCGCTGCCCAATCGTGCGAGCGTGCCTTTGTGTAACGGCACACGCATACTGGCGTCGCCTGTTCGCCCTTTCTCCATCCCCGCAACCATTCACCTGCGCAAGAAAGGTTTGGGTTGGAGACGGGACATAAGATGGCAAATTGCAGAGCTGTGACAAGGAGAAAAGCGAGTAACGCACCTTGAGCACCATTCTGCACAGTTGTGTCGCCAACAACAGCTGTTGTCTCTTGGAGATCAAAGGATCGATGACGAAATGGTCTTTCATGTCTGCAGCGAGTAAATATTAGCGAACGTTCAGATGAGGTTGAAGAAACCACATAGCCAATGCAACAGCGCCCATATGCATAAGGGCGATGATGGCTCGAACGTCCCATGAAAGCGATTCTGATCGTTGAAAGATTGACAAACAAGGAAACGCAGATAGTACATGGAGTGAAGGTGGATTCTTCATAACCATGTACAACCAGGTGTGACCATGCATGACGGCGAATCCGGCACGCTACCAACGGAGCTCATGGCGGTGAAGAGAACGGCAACAAATGAGATGCAACGATAGAGAGACGAACTGTTACATGAGGAAATATGGGCGAGGTACTCACCGTTGCTACCCGTTTGCATACAGTCGACACCTAGTCTTGAGTTCTTCTCCTTGGCTTGCCGGGACTTGATATTCGCCAGTGTTTCAATTGGGCGGAGGCCAGAGTTCTCAGCTAGCGCCATCGGGACCGAATCTAATGCCTCAGCAAAGGCGCGCATTGCGTACTGCTCAAGACCGGGACTCTGGTTCGATGTCAGCACACGAATGAGAAGCATGCAATCCAGTATTGGTCACCTTCACAGCAGCATCCTCCACGGCTAATGAGCAAGCGATCTCAGCAGCACCACCTCCATAGACGATGCGGTTGTCTACGACGAGATTCCGCACGACGCAAAGGGCATCATGCAATGACCGCTTGGCCTCATCGATAATCTGCAAAGTATGTTAGCCACATATGCAGTAGTATGCAGTAATATCAAAACCACGAGTGCGGGTAAGCACGACACCAATAAGAAGCGGATGAAAGACCACGCACCATCTTGTTGCTACCTCGTACAAAGACGGTGACCGCCCGAGTATTCGCGCACTCCTCAATGACAAGCATCTTATCTCGCGTTGTTCCGAAAGTCATCTCTCGGACGATGCCCGCCGTTCCAAGCTTTTCAGGGCTGAGATCCTCGAACCTGGGGACGATGCGGCCGTTCGTTGCGATGGCGACGAGCTCAATTTCGGGTCCGCCGACCCACCGCACAGCAGGGAGGTGGTTGGTAAGGAGCAGATGGTTGGCCTCATCATCGAAACCCCACTGGCATATCACCACGTTTGCGCCAGTATCTTTGATCCGCTCAATCATCTCCGTAAACTTGGTCTGCTCGTAATTCTGCAACTTCTTGAACTCCTCGACGGAGGTGATGTCCAATTTATGTTTTGTCTTCGGCTTCGGGGGCTCGAATGCGCATGTCAAAATGGCGAGCTTTGCGTCCTTGACTTCTGAAGGCATCTGGGGGTGAGAGAAATCCTTGTCTATTATGACACCCTTCACGAGCAATGTGTCCTCCAATGCGCCTCCAACCTTGCCATCCACTTTGATGAGTTCGAAGTCCACATCTTTGCGCTCGAGATCGGCGACCGATAGCACTGCATCCACGGCAATTTTTGCGAAGTGATCGTGGGCTTTCGAGACGATCTTGCTGCCCAAACTCGTCTTTGCTACTTTGAAAAGCTCCTCGGTGTTCTCCGGCGAGTACCGGATCTCGTCCGCAATTTCGTCCAGCTTCGCCACAGCAACCTCACAAGCCTGATCGTATCCGTCTGCAATCCGGATAGGGTGGATGCCCTTGTCGATGAGGTCTGCGGCCTGTTCGAGGAGGGCTCCTGCAAGCACTACGACACCAGTGGTTCCATCTCCGATTTCCTCATCCTGCGATTTCGAGAGTTCCACAAGAAGTTTCGCAACATGGTTCGAGATTTCCATCTGTGATAGGATAGTTGCTCCGTCGTTCGTAACCGTGATATCGCCGTCCGGTGAAATCAGGATTTTGTCCAAGCCCCGAGGGCCCTGCACAGCCGTAAGCCGCCGTGTTCCTCAGACTCATTTGCCGCATCATACCAGAGAAGTTTTGACAATGTTCGCCACTGTCCTCGCAGCCAAAATATGTGATTTGACCGCCTCAACGCCATGTTGCCGCTTCTTTTTGCCCTGACTATAGCCTGTCAGTACTCCGACAGTCGATACCAGAATTTATACTCAATGTGCGTCACATACTCTCTGACAACGATGAATGGCCTTCCTGACTCATCCTTCAACACCTGGGCTATCGTAACCTCAGTCAGTGGTTTGGTCGAGGGTGTGCGGGGTAGTGGAGTTTGTGACGATGTGGAGCGTACCGTTAGACATATCAATTTCTAGGGAATCGAAGGTCAGCATAAAAGCTCTGAAACTATAGGTACCTTCTGTTGAAGGTGGGTTGAGGAGCTGCCTGGACACTCACGCATTGCCATGATTGCTGAGGATCCCGGGGCGGGATTGATTCGACAGCTTGAGGTGAAGCAGAGGCTGGGGATACGCCAATATATGGTTCACGCAGAGGTGCCGCTGCGATACGAGCAATGTGTGATTCTAAAGCGTAAACACCCGTTTGGACCTTTACCATTCGATGTCGAAATTTCGCAGTCTCCCCAGTCTTGGCATTAACGGGTCCGTGCACCACGCGCAGGTCAACGCGCCGTGAAGCTGCAACCTCCCGATTTCACTCAGTACTCCTCCGCCCACACTCACCCTCACCCTCACCATTATCTTGAGAGCATTACGCCGCTCCTCGAGGGTCGCATTTTCTTCCCGAACCCAGTCCATTGGCACACTTCTGGCGAAATCCGGAATACACCATGCCGCGTGAGTCTACCCGCTTCGTGCGGTATGCTGGGAGAGCTGAGCGCATCTACTAACGACGCGCAGCCGCTCTCTCTGACGAGGAAAACGACGTTTCGTCCGGCGAAGAAGAGATTCCCTACCGCACCAAGGATGCTCCTACCGATGCAGCGCAGCAGGAAAATGACGAAGATGAAGAAGAGGGCGAAGAGGACGAAGAGGGCGAAGAGGACGAAGAGGACGAGTAAACAAACTTGTGCCATGGGTGATATGAGGCGTGCTGAGACATTTGCAGATATGTAGTAGAGAAGATCGTGGGCCACAAGATTCAGAAAGTAGGTGATGGCAACATAAGCGAAGCTACGCGCCGTTCATTGACCGATCTAGGGCGTGGTGCTATACGACGTAAAATGGCAGGGTTATGATGACCCGAAAGACAGGACTTGGGAGCCAGAAGCGAATCTGTAAGGCGCATATTTCTCTGGATGCGGGCGCGACTAACGAGGCCCAGCGAGGGTGCGGCGGACGTACTCAATGAGTACTGGGAGGAGATCGGCGGGCGACCTGATATAGGGAAGGGAAAGAAGAGAAAGGGCCGCAAATCCGGAGCTGAAGAAGCCGAGACCGCTACGCCCACATCCACCTCGAAACGCCTGAAGAAAGAAACGGAATGGTCCCCACCCCCCGGTTCCTGGGAGAATGACGTTGACTTCATCGATACGGTTATTCAGAATGAGGACACCAAGACAGGACAGACAGAGCGCTTTGCACTTCTCACCTGGCGGAACGGCAAGAAAACCCAACATCCACTTCGCCAAGTGTATCAGAAGTGCCCACAGAAAATGCTGGAGTACTACGAGAGCCATCTGTACGTTTGCCACCTGCTACAGATGACATAGACTGACTGCAATCCAGCGTGTTCACTGTGGGAGATGAGACTAATGGGGACGAGCTCAAAAAGGACGTCTGAAGTCTTCCGTGGTGCCGTGTCCTGAGCCATGGCAGAGAATTAACCTCCGTGAAACATGACTCTAGATCCTTTTTGGAGCTCCCGAATCGGCGGGGGTTCCGGTACCAAGTGATTGGCACTTTAACTGCTCGTCTATCTTGCGCTTTTTCATCTTCTTCTGCCTACGACAATCCTGGTGACCGTTTGAGCAAAAGGCGTCTCATGGGCAGCTTTTATGGATACAAAGCTTAGTTGGTGGCGTACGTCCTCGGCTGTCATGAGGATCACATTTCGGATTTGTATTGTAGTGGCTCAGTCGGCGGTCTGGTCAATGTATTCCGAATTACTGAGTTGCAATGGTGTAATCTGGTACTGAACAAACTTGGTCACTAGGTAGCCATTTGAGTTCTCAACCACTCGAACTCAACACCTTACGTGCGGTGCATCGTAACGTCCCCCGTTAAAGTCGAGTCCATACCGCTCGACCGGTTCATGGACCACGGATGAGCATGACATGTAGGTCTTTTGTACCGCAACAAAGGCATCAAGAGCGTGTATTGACACACATTTCTACCCATTTCAAATGCTGTTACGGATATTCTGTATTCGGTACTCACAGTGGCGCGCTCCCGAGTCTAACTCAATTCGTTGAAGGACTAGAGATTACACCCCCATGAAAATTGAGGAAAACGACTGGCCGTGAATCTCACGTCATATTCTTGCAGCGCTCACGATGACGCTGGTCTTCTCGCGAGCTCATCAATTCAGAGCCCCTCGCCCGCCAGAGCCCAAAGGTGTAATTGCCAAGGACTGAGTGGAGCAAGATGTATTTCCTAGCGGCCCTTGTGCAGCACTTTACGTAGAAGACGAGAAGAAGCTCGCTCTTTTCTCTAACCCATATTCTGCATACCCATCTTTCGCTGAGACCTTTTCGTCGCACTTCTGGGCCCTGTTGAGAATCATTGATGGCCCAGATTATCGTTGAGAGGGATAATTCAAGTCCGTCACATTTATGCAAGTGGATTAATAAGATAGTCAACCTCCAATGCTACGTCTGTCCAAATCGCTCCAGTAGTTGGATTATGGCGCGCACGCATGGTCTGGCGCCGACACGATTGGCAATCCAGGTGTGATACAATAGGCATGCTGACTGTATAGAGGAGACTATAACGCCTCGGAACGAGAACAGCATCACCTCGGAGTGGGTAAAGGAAAAATGAAGTGTAGTTGCATAATTGAATGCGCTTAATGATGCTTTCCGGTTGGGTATTCCACCAGCGATAACACATTGAGTTCCCCCCAGAAGGATTTCTTCACCAAAATAATTAATTCAAAGCCAAAGGGAAGAATTTCCAAACAAACACAGCAATTTCAGCGCCTATCCGCTATGCCAGCCCAGCCGAAACGCCTTGTATCCCATGTACATACTAAGTAATCGTCGTGCAGTTCGTATACTCGTTCTTCCTTCTTGCCGTCTGTTTTCTGGCCGTGCATGTATAAATCCGAGCTGCCGTCGCCATCCATAGGGCCAACGGTAAGTCGTCTACACCTCAGTCATGTCCGAGACGCTGGACGCAGTGCCGCCGACTGCCATGCGGGTTTGGAGATAGTAGATTATGTAGCCGATGAGAGCGATGAGGAAGAAGAGGATGAGGATGATGAGAAAGATGACGATGTTGCGCTTCATCTTATATGTTGCAGGTCAGGAGATGGTGTGGTGGTGGAAGTAATTGGTACAGTTGAAACAGGCCGGTGGTTTGGCGTTATTAGGTAAGGCTGATGGGGTGGTGATACGGAGTGACTAAATTCGGAGTTAGTGGAAAGAGGAGAAAAAATGTGAAGTGTTGCGGTAAGCACATACTCTTCAAGTCCTCGAGTACCAAATATTCGCAGAAATACTCTTCGCAGCGGGATGGTAGTGTTGTACAGCGAGTTGTCTCACTGACAGCTCAACCGGGTCCAAACTTCTCGTAGATTAAGCAGTTGCTCCTCTACGCTTTCCCAAGTTCAAACCACCACAAGTTCGAGTTTCTTGAAGTCGCACGATACAAAAATCGAGCGACAATATGTAAGTATGTGGAACGGGAGAACCAGACTACTGCCCATCTCAGCAGTTTTGTAGAGGTGTCGTGGGGTGGTTGGGAAGGGTGTGGCTGGGAAGGATGAGGCTGGGCGTCCGACGAACATGGCGGGGACTGTTTCAATAGATCAAGGAAGATCCCATTTCTGATACTTGTTACTTGGAAGGTAGCGTTTAGTTGATTTCATGATGATATTCCGTTGAAGATACTCCGTATTCCAAGGTTCCGTTATGTGTTTCGACCCCTACTTCCCAGGGTTGTTGGCAATCCGATTCCGAGATGGATCAAGCATTCCGTAGGGCCGCCCCTAAAGCCCTTAAAGCTCAGCGCGCAATGCACAGGCTGGAGGGCTGTACCATAGTATAATGATGCTGAGTTCGTTTTAATTACTGGGTGTGGCGCACTGGAACGACATCACGTGATACGACATTCACTCCGAGAGGTACCTAGGTAGGTAGTGACCGCGCATTTATGAAGCGATGATATATGAACATTCAGTTGTGCGATTAAATAACATGCCAATGTCCCAAAAACTTACGGTTTAATTTTAAAACAAAGGTACTACAATGAAAGCTTGCCGACCTCATATTCACTTTACTTGTACCAAGTAGGCTAGGCTATCTGAATGTTGCGGCCCTTAACGGCCCAGTATACATGCAACAGAAGCCATGCCGTATTGTAGCAGTGGTGATGAGACACCCTTAGAGTGCACTGTAATCTCAGTGTTTTTCTTGGCTTTGTCCTTTCCCAGTTAAACCCTTGCAAATGGTCAGGACTGCGTCAAAAATCGACGACCCGGCACAACATTTGTATAGAAACCCCGCGGAGGGAGACCCGAGAGGTCAAACAAGAACAGCAGAATTCAGGGAGCATAATGCGCTTCAGACTGTTGCATATGAATAACAGACAGGAGAAGATGATGTCTACAAGCTTGGGCCTTCATTAGAGGCAGGGACTTTCACCGTCTGCGGGGTGGGTTTAAGCATATCGCCCTTATAAATAACCACAGTCACTTGTAACGACAGTAATTCTACGTCCGGGACTTCTGACTTTCTTTGGGAGATTTTACAGTCTCGGCTTTTGGAGACATGTTGCATCCAAGACTCTGTAAGCCTTTGCAGTGAACGGAGGCAAGGCTCCTGCTAATATTGGCGTCTGGCAAGGGCTATTACCTCAAATACGAACTTTGCGTCGGGTGAGTGGCTTACGTCTGTCGTGACGTTGAAGCCACTCCCATTTCGGGCGCTTGATATAAGGACGAACTGACCTTGGACTATGTTCTGTAACCGGCGAACCTTTATTCAAAACCGGCCGAGCGGGATGTAGTCCGTTCTTGAGGCAGATATGTGTGCATGTGCTGGTCAAGAATGGGTCGATCTCAATTGTTTGCACTCGGCGAGTGACCCAGTGATTGTGAAGGCCAGCTCGCATTCATGTTATTTCTTACGACAATCTACAACTTGCCATCTCCCTTGGCCCTACCACGGCCATCTAGTCACTCCTTCTTTTCTTCCGGGCTAAAATTTATGCTGATGCTGTTCACACAATGCCTCTCATCCTTTGGATTTCCAAAACCCTCTCCCTTGAATATATGTCCCAGGTGTCCGCCACAATTATTACACACGATCTCCGTGCGCATCATGCCCATACTGGGATCTGATCTTTGCCCCACGGCCCCAGGTACCGCGTCCCAAAATGCCGGCCATCCGCAGCCTGAGTCGAACTTGTGATCAGCTTTATAGAGTGGCGCATCGCATCCCGAGCAGGTATAGACGCCGGCGGAGGGGTAGTGTTTATCATATTTGCCGCTGCCTGGGGGTTCGGTGCCTTTCTTACGGAGGATTCTGAACTGTTCTGCATGACGTCTTAGAGTTGGAAGTCCCATATGCCGAGAACTGCGACATACCTGGGCTTAATTGAGCTTGCCACTCGCCTTCCGTTTTCTGCACTGGATAAGAGGTATTGTCTGACATTTTAGATGAGCTAGAACCGAAGAGTGCGCCGAGAAAGGGTATAGTGGGCATAGACCGCAGAGGTGTGCTGCGTTGCGGTGTGGTATAGACGCTCCGGAGCCTGCTCGATGTGGCGCGAGAGGTGGCACTGGAGAAAGTGTAGAATGCAGGAATTATGGCTGGGACAGGGGGCAAGCGCATATAGAAGAGAGTCACGGCGCGCGAGAGTATGAAAACAGAGCAAAAATGTGCAGAATACCGTAGGGTTTGGGGGTTTGGGTGGAGGATTGTGTGTTGTTGAGGACATAAGGCGCGAATACCACCCAGACAACTGAGGTTCGGTTGGAGAGGGGAAATTGCGTCACTAGCAATTGAGCAAAACAACGTAGCCGGGCGAGTAACCATGCAAGCCATTTAAGAAAATAATATGCTCCAAAGACATATACTTCAACTATTTATATTCATTGATAAGTGTTCCAGTGTCTGCTTGCTAGGTCAATCACGTGATGCGCATGTGACGTACCGCCGTCCGGGCGACTCTACCCGTCTCTCCTTGAAAGGTGCTCTCCTAGCTCCATACGCTTGTACAACTAATAAAATACTACCGATGACTTCGTTAGTGAGTGGCTGTTTCACTCCTGGTCGTGACTGTGTTTCTGTTGACAACAAACCCCACCACTGCCAATGATCATCCTCGGCATCGCACCTGGACATCCTTGGATGACGAGTACCCACTATCACCAATGAGACGTGCTACGCCACCATGACTTTGCATTGGGATCTATCCCAGCTTGCATGGCTCCGTTCATGGCCGGTTACGAAACCTTCACAAGTCTTCGCTCACTCATAAGCTTTCTTTTGTCCAATCTCTCGGGCTAGTTTTCCATCATTGTTGGCTCTTGTCTTTCAGACGGGACGATTATTGGTTTTGTATTATTTTCTCATGACCGATAGTCATCCTCCAATCAACACATCCTCGAATACCTCTGGGTGGAATGTAGACTCTACAGACGCTTTTCACAACAACAACAGTCGTCAAGATTGGGGGTCTTCTAGTACTGCCTCAAGTTCAACAAAGCAAAGCGATTCCAGTGAGCACCGAAAAAACTCGACCGATGAGAATTTCTTCCAGTACCGTCGAACTGGTTCTGCAGGCCGTGCTCGCGACCTTACATTGAACACCAACGTGCAAGATGACGCCAACCACGAGAGCCAGCCAAGCGGGCCAGGAAAAGACTCACCCGTATCCTGGCGGTCATTGCCACGCAAAGACCAGCTTCTGGTTCTGGTACTAGCACGTCTGTCTGAACCTTTGACCCAGAATTCACTTGGATCCTACATCTACTATCAACTTCGGTCATTCGATCCCGATCTACCGGATTCCACGATTTCTTATCAGGCTGGCGTGATACATGCCGCTTTCCCCGCAGCACAGTGCGTGACTGCTATTTTGTGGGGAAGGTTTGCGGACTCCGAGTATGGAGGAAGAAAGAGGGTGATCTGGATTGGGCTATTAGGGACGATGTTCTCCATGATCGGCTTTGGATTCTCGCACAATTTTCGAATGGCTGTCCTCTTTCGTTGCCTCGGTGGAGTGCTGAATGGAAACATTGGTGTCATGCGTACTTTGATTTCGGAAATAATCAAGGAGAAGAAGTATCAGTCACGGGCATTCAGTATACTACCAATGACCTTCAACATCGGGGTGATCGTAGGACCCATACTAGGTAAGGCAGGAACTGGAATTGACAAATCAGCGCTGATTTGGAGTAGGTGGCATTCTTGCAGACCCGGTAGCAAGCTATCCCGCCCTTTTCGGCCCAAACTCCCTGCTAGGAGGCAAGTCTGGGGTCCAGTGGATGATCAGATGGCCGTACGCTCTTCCGAACCTCGTCAGCGCAGTGTTCCTCTTCATCTCTGCTTGCGGCATCATTTTCTTCCTCGAAGAGACTCACCAACTTCTGAGGCATAACCCTGATCCTGGCCTGCGTGTAGGACGCTGGATACGTAAGTATCTCTGCCGTCGGCGCATCAATGATGGGTACACGCAGTTGCCAGCGCATCCTCACGATGTCGAGCTTCAAGATACACCTGTCACACCATCTTTTCCAGAAACTCATATGGGAACACCGCCAAGTCGAGTGCGGAAGTTACCATTCCGTCGAATATGGACACGCAACTTGATCACGACGCTTCTAGCTCATGGCCTCCTTGCCATGCACGTCGGAACTTTCAACTCTTTGTGGTATATCTATCTCTCGGCGCCTCGCTACGATCCGACGAAACCGAATCCGCCCAAGTTCAAACCGCATGGGTTCTTCCACTTCACAGGAGGTCTCGCTCTCCCACCTCCTCGTATTGGTCTTGCCGGAGCCATCCTCGGACTCATGGGAATCACTCTACAACTCTTCCTGTACCCGCGCCTATCACATAGACTAGGCACCATTCGGTGTTATAGGCTCTTCCTGATGTTCTTCCCTATCACGTATACCCTTGCGCCATTTCTTAGCCGCATACCCAGCACGACTCCACCACCTGAGGGCGTCTCGGGCCTTCTGATCTGGATATGCATCACCGTTGTCCTGCTCATTCAAGTCTTCGCGCGCACGTTCGCACTGCCTTGCATGATCATTCTTATCAACAACTGCTCTCCACATCCTTCTGTTCTTGGGACTGTGCATGGGATAGGACAAACTGTATCTAGTCTTACAAGGACTATCGGACCTATCATATTTGCATGGACATTTGGGAGGAGTCTGGACATAGGAATTGTAGGCATATCCTGGTGGATACTAGCATTAGTAGCTGTGCTGGGAAGTATAGCAGGGAGATTTCTGTATGAGGGTGACGGTCACGAAATTCTGCTTGAGGAGGAAGTGAAGAATGACGGGACGGTGGAGAGGAGAGATTAAGGGTAGGTAGCATATGGACCATCACCCGACTGGCGTTCTGTATCTGCTTATTCGACAAATGGGATTCTCTAGACAGATTAAGCAAGTTCCCAGGACCTCGATAGTACCATATGGCCTTCGACATTGTTACTGGGCTTCTCAGGGTGACACCGACCCTTCTCAATAACACAATAAGCGTAATCAAGATGACGGAAATCATGGTTTAGATTAGAGGAACATTCTGTATTTTAGATGCAAGTTGGAGGATAGTTTTCGGAATAGCGTGACATGGTGCGCATCGAAAGTGCGGTGGAGTACAATATACGAGGATATCGTCTTTCACCGGTGAGCCAAGTTGGCTGCACACTATCAAACTAAAAGTGAAGAAGGCAACGCAATAGCTATTGTACCTGCCAATCTAGTTCCAAAGATGTTTGTTCATATGCTAAAACAATCTTCTAGAGGCTTCTCTCCTGTTGTAACTTTGTCTCCACGGAGAGGATACTATTGTACGCCTTGCCCCTATTGAATTCAATTGTCGCAATATTCCTATTGTCCGACTGCACTTTACAATCAGGAAGTCTCGTAGTGAGAGATCCTATTGTTCCAATAGCCTCGAGCCGTCATACTTAAATCGCCCCCATAGCCCTTGGTTCCAGCTTTTCCTCCTCCTACCATTCCTCCATCGCCTTCCATTTGCGCCTCCACATCTGCTTGCCTACCAGCAGCTCACTTGCATCCGAGGCCTTTTCTACATCTTTTTCTGTCCTCCATCACTACCCCCCGCCCATTATACCGTCATGTCTCCCATCTGGATCGCCTTCACTCTCCTCCTCATCCTCCTCCTCCTCTACCTCTGGCCCACCCATCCCACCCGCAATCCTACCTCGCCAACACCCCCTTCCTCCTCCCTCCCCCCCTATCCCAACCTCGAAGAACCCCTCCACCACCAATCCACCTGGCCCTACCCACCCCGCAACCCAGCCACCAACTGGCAAACCGACGCCGAACTCCTCGACGAAATCGCCTCCAACCGCCAACGCCTCATTTCCCGCCGCGGCATCCCGCGCGAAGACTGCCCCTACTGGGACCCCGTGCTCCAGCAAAACACCTCGCCGCCGAAATTCGGCGTCTATGTTCCGAAATACATTGTCGATCTGCCGTGTTTCCAGCAGCCCAGTTTGACCACCCCCGGTAACTCCTCTACTACTTCGCCTCCTCAACCGGCTATGCCGGAGTCTCCCTCCCTCCAGATCCAAATCGCCACTCACTACATCCTCACCCTCCGATCCTTCATCCTACCAATCCTCTTCGTCATCGACGCCGCTCAGCACGACGGTCACCGCGTCCTCGACCTGTGTGCGCAGCTAAGCGCGCACTTGACGAACCTTTTGCCCTCGCTGCGCTTCCTGGCACCGCTTTTTAAGGATAATCTGGAGGGACTGCGCGGGTCTTTGGATATCCCGGCTGAGCATTTGTACGTCTTGTTTCTTTGGCTTGGGGCGCAGGGGACGCTGCCGTGCGAGGTTATGAGGGTGTTGGAGGTAATTGAGGAGGTTCTGGTTTTGCTTGGGGGCGATGTGAGAAGGGGCGCTGGTGGGCCCGGGAGAGAGGTGGTTGTTGCTGCTCGTGCTGCTGCTGGTCAGTGTGTTGGTGTTCAGATGGTTTCTGGAAACCAGGAGGCGGGAGCTGGAGAATCGGGTTCTAATAAGCGTACTGCTGGCGGTATGCTTGGGAATTATACGGTTACGAGGGATGAGTGTGTTGGGGGAGTGGATAAGAGGGAGAGGAAGAGTAAGAGGGAGGTGAAGAAGGCGGATACCCGGTTCAGGGTTCCGAAATATGGTGAAGAGGAGGATTTGTTGTGAGGGATGGGTTGTTGGATATGAGGCAGGGAGCGAGGACATGGCATAGTGACGGGATTCATTTTCGTTTCTGGGTACTTCTTGGAGAGAGGAAAGGAAGTGGGTCTCCGGTTAATCCTGCTGGGCGTTCCTGTTCGGGTTGTTCTATTAGCGCAGAGCGTTATACAGACTCGCGTCAGCTTTGTTCACTTCAGCGGACGATAAAGGCGTTGTTTTCTTCAGTCCAATCCACCGTCAAACCCCCCATCCCATTCCAGATCCCCTCAGGTGCAAACATCACCCGCACAGTCATAAAAGCGGCGCACACACCAACGCCAAATGAATCATCTCCAACGTGCCTTCACAAGATTCGACTCCAGCATCTTGAACACCACTCTTAACTCCACAGCATGTCCCGCATATCCGTTCTGATACCTCCACTGCCACCTCCCAAAGACCCACCCCCCTTGAAAACGAAACGAAAACCGTCATTCTTGCAACGAATCGTACGCCGTCTCTCTATCGACAGCCTCAAGACCAGGCGAAGAACATCTGTATCTCGGACGAAAATGCCCCGTCACTCATGGGCATTGAGTTCTATCCTGCCAATGCGATCGCGCCGGAGTTCACAGAAGCAGAAACAATGCTTCCACGAGGAACGAACTGAGTCGCTTAAAATATTTACAGAAGAAGGAGAACAGGGACGAATCGTATCCGCAGCAACTACACCGCGGACGACGCGACCTCTCCGTGTGTTTTCGACAACTCCAGGCATACTAGACAAGCCGCTCCCCAAACGCCCAATTCAGAGAATATCCCACCATTCACAGCATCGTCGACGCGGGATGCCATCTCCAGGGCATCAACTCGTCTCTGGCGGAAGCAAGAACATGCTTCTCCAAGTGCGTGACTCACACATCACGCACACCCGTGCACAACCCAACCCCACCGTACTCAAGGCACCTCCCAACCAACCCACATGTTTTGCAACAATCGGTCTAGAAAACAAGGAACTGCCTCAGCGCCCACCTCGCCCATCCATCTTCCTCAAAGACGTCTTGTCCCTCCCTCCACCAGTGGCCGATGCAGTTCCTGACCGTGCAATATCCCGCGTCGAGACGGGTCCGACCGACGCGCTCCTCACGAACCTCCTCATCTCCCTACAACACCACGCATCTTCATCTCTGGGAGTACACCGGCCTGCTGTACTACATCTCGCTGCACGCGAAACCGCCTTTCCGGGGAAAGATTCTCGGAGATAGAGCGATTCAGACGTTGAGGGAACAAGCGAGGAGATTGGGTATGCAAGAGCGAGAGTTGGTGGTGTGGGAACTGAAGGGAGCGGTTAGGTGGATGGAAGCCTGGGGGGAGAGGAAGTGGGATAGATAGGAGTTGAAATACAATGAAAAGGAAGATATGACGGGTATCATTGCCAAATCTCGAAGATCCGAGCATATTATCCTAGATGGGGAGAAACAAAAAGAGAATACAAGATTCCCCCAACCAACGCCCGCTTATGCAACGCTAAATTTACATGTAGAGAGTCATTGCATGCAACGCCCGCAAATCGATCAATAGGACAAGATGCTATCCAAACCGGAACGCCCAAGGAAGGTATGAGTCGGCAAGCTTCGTCATGCGTGTATTACATTCTTGCCCGTCTTATGGATGACGGTTCCGTTATCTTCGGCGAAGATTTGTTGTATTTTCATGGTAAATGCTTGCATGATGTTCTCACGGAAATCCTCCTTGACGCGCCACTTATCGAACCAGTAGTGTCTGATGAATTGTCCTTGGCAATGTGAAACTTCGACTCCAGGGAAACCGTTGGCCTCGGCGCAAGGCAACTCCTTGATGTACTGTTCGTAGTCGTAGCGAACGTATTCGCCGAACGCGCTCTGTTCGTGGAATCTGGGTTTTTTCCATTGGGAGCAGCCCGGGTACTTTGTGTCGTCCGGGCATTCATGCCAGTCCTTTAATATCTGCATGGTGTGCTCGTTGTTCTGTGCCACGATGAAGCCAGTGTTGGTGTAGGTACGGTTGAAACGATCGGAATTACACTGAGGTTCCTTCTCGTCCCAGGGATCGAGCGCCATTGTAAGCGAGTGTTCGGGCTGAATTTTCCAATAGTTCAGCATCCATTCGATCGGCACGTGTAGCCAGCGAAAGGCGGCATCGGCGTCGAGGAACACAATAAACTTGTAGTTGTTGATCTCATTCGCGAGAGCACTTGGCTTGATCCATGTAGCGTGGCGATCCTGAAAATTCGGCGCTTGAATGAACTTGTAGTCGTATCCGTGGACCTGGGCGTATACATAGTGCTCGAAGACACCAGCTGGAACATGCTCGAGTGTGCGCCAGTCAAACGTGCCCTTGTTGTAGTCTTCGGTTGACTCGAGCGGTCTCGTGTCGAGATCCAAGATCAGGATTTTCTTCCCCAATGGCTCCCTGAAGCGCGGCTCATTTGGGAGCCGGAGCGCTTTCTTCTTACCAGTTCCATCGTCTATTGCAGGCTCATCCACAGGTGTCTTCAGCTCGGAGAACAAATATGAAACGGCGGCAGCAAACGATTGCGGCGATTTCGAGTGCCCTACGTTGGAAAATCTGCGGAAACGTCAGCTGTGTTGTTTGCGGGAAGCGGAGTATCTCACGCGGAGGAAGAAACCCTGGGAAAAGCCGGACGCGGTCCTGAGTGCCAGGCGACAAAGACGAACACAGATAACACAACGGTTCCGCCAAAGATGGATGCGAGAAGGAGCGGAAACCGCGATCCCAGGGCGGGCAGCATGGCGGGCAAAAAATGAGCGAGCGGCGGGTTGTCGGAGGGAGAGGCGAGGTTGGTGAAGGGGCGCAACCAGGCCTTTTACCTGTCAGCCAAGACCGGGACTTGCTTCGCGCAGGCCTATCCGGAATGACAGGGATGTAGTAAACGGCTAACTGCCATTTTATGCATTCTTACACGGGGGGATTTCACGCATGCAATTTTGTCAGACGCTGACGCGTTTACTCTTTGTCTGTGTCTGTGGCCGGACATGGCGAAGAACATCTTCTGCAAGCCTGCATTTATGATAAAAGCTGAAAGCGATCTAGGAGCTGCTGAAGGGAGGCCGGGGGGTTGAGCTTTTCTCGGACTTTTCGGAAAAGGCGCCCAGGTTGACTAGGGGGAGGGCCACGGGTGGCTTCGCCCATGGCCATAAAAGCGGCGCAGAGCGATGCTGGACAAGTGCAGCAAGTGGTGGAGTGGGGTTTTGGAAGAGGAAGAAGCGAAAGACTTTCTAGAATAATGGATGGGTTGAGGCTCACTCCAAAAGGGTGACAGGGGAGAGTGGTATCTATGGCGGTATGCACAGGGCATGCTTTCCCCAGTTCATGGATATACAATACTGTGTATATCGCTTGCGGCAAGGAACAGAAATTGCCTTTTAGAGTATGATCCGAGGCTAAACTTAGAAACACAATGTTAGTTATATTATTCACCGCCGAAATATTGACCAATAGCGCCTTGGCAACGACCTCAGAAGAACCACCTCACCTTCTCACTTCTCATACAGTAGTCTACCTACAGGGCTGAGACTGCTGCTCATCACCGCCACTTGCAGATGGTCTGCCACCAAAAACGCGTAACCTGATACGCGAAGGATCAAGCACACCTCCTATATGTCTACTAAAGCAGAAAAATGATTTGACGCCTGCATCCTCTCTCTGCGCTCTCTGGTTTGCGACCTAGACCAATCCGACGATGTCACCGTCCCAATCATGGATATCTGTCATTGGATAATGTGCCATCCGCATCCGAAAACGTAGGAACGTTATGTACAGGTGCATATCTGTATAGCATGTCTGGCGGTTTCCAGTCGAGAAATAAAGGGCTTTGAAATCATTGTGCTATGTTTCGCTTCTTCCAATTACGCCAACAGTGATATCTCTGTACAACTAGTTCCAGACACACTACGCGGTTACGGAAAGGCTGTCATGTGGGCTGGAACAACAGACTCTTTCCCGTCTAGCCAGCCTAGGTTACAAAGTAAAAGAACACAGGCCGTATCGGATCTCTTCTTAACGCTCTCTTTCCCCTAGAAGGAGGTAAACACTATATCTCTGCGGATTCAAGTGTCATGTTCTGCTTTCACCAAGGTTATTATCTCAAATTAATTGTAGAGCTGGCGCGTATAGCTCTCTAACTTCCCGTTCCCAATTAGTGTGTTAGATCATCCAAGAACCTACATGTAAGGTAGCAGTACCAGTGACCATATCTCTTACAGAGTTAGATAGCTGTCTATCTATACGCTGTTTTCCGTGCCATTACTTAGCGCTTTCTATCAGGCTCAAGTCTACAATACAACAATCGAAAGTCAGCGGCGTGTCGTTCAACCTATCCATCATGCCTCGAAAACTTGAATACAACTTGGGGATTTGTAGTCCCTTGTGACTTGATACAATGCGCTTGCAACAACGACTTACTCTTGTTTCTCTAGCAATGGGACTTGCTATTGAGCCGAAAGGTGACCATCGGGCGGCGATTACGATTTGCCTGACAGTGCACGAAAGGATGTCATCATAACAAGAACCCTGAGGACTGGAGGTAGGCGATCAACACATTCACGCGCATTAAATGTCTGGGTACTTTTCAAGTGCGTTTATCTCACCACTGACTGCTTGCTGGAAGTACAGCTCGAAGCCATGTCCTCTCGGGCTTCCATCAACTGTCTATGTACTCTGCACTGGTCTACGAAAAAAGGGAGACGTGCTTATGAATACTTACCAGCAGGTCATACTCGAGCCTTTGAAGATGACTCCTTGAAGTACGGGTTCGCGTTGGTGGCTGTGTATTCAGTTTCATTTACCACGTGCATCACTAGCCACAAGGTGTTGGCGGTGGTCATCAGTGAAAGTTCACAACCTCCAAATCCACCATTATTGGCATTTCACAACCGTCAAATACTGAACCAAACCTAAAGGCGCTCGTATATGTCCGTATACGGTATAGCATTACGTCTTTCCATCCCACCAACCTTTCTCTCCCAGACCAGGTCACCCAGCACAACCTCCCTTACACAACTCCATACTCAACCACAACCAATTCATATTGATATCCAACCTTGAACGACATCCAACGCCCATAATGAAGTTCATCAAACCTCTCACAGCCCTAGCCGCATTTATCACCACTGTCTCGGCCGATTTCACCCTCGAACCCAACGACATCGTCTCGCCAGAAAACGACTTCAGAGACATAGACATGGCCGGCGATCCCGCTTGTAGCGTTTGCCCATTCTACATGTCCGAGTGCAAGGAGGTATAAAAGATCCCTCCCCTCGCCTAAATATAGGAAACAGCTTGTTAACTTCCTCAAAGAAGTGCGGTCCCTGGTTCACATGCAATACCATCTGCCTCTGCGAGATCTCACGCAGGTTCCCTGTGAGTTGCATTATTCTTCTGACATTGATACTGCTTTCTGATACACTACAGTGTGGAATATGCGGGTTTCACTGTCCCGCAGCCGTTGCTATTGGGATCTTTTGAAGGATGGATCTCGGTACAACTTCCGGAAGACAGTGGTTGATTGTGATCAGGCGCTCGGTAACAAAACGAAGGAAATTTTTGAGGATTTGGCATTGCCGGGACAAAGCTTGATGGCTAGGTGGCTACATGAGATGAATATATGGGTGTCTCTCAATCAAACGGTCGATGGTGAACTTGGTTTCTAGGAGAAGCCTCACTGGCGAATGTTCCGCCCATCTTCATGGGAATAAGGGCGCGTCTTCCACTGTCTAGCTAGGGCGAATATCAATGCACGATAAGTTTCTGCGTATCTGGCTAATGGAAGGTCGTGATTTTAGGGACACTAGGTAAAGAACCCGACACCTAGGCCATTTGTACTTCTTCAGCACCGTTGGGGATGGGATGTGCATTCATAAAGGGGATGTTTCTTTGCTCTCCTCCTTAAACCGTCACCGGCTCTGAAACTCTACATCCAACATCTGTTGTCCATCAAGGGTCTCCTTTTTGAGTGGAAAGTCGTAGTTTGCCTGTTACGTTGAACGACGCCCTTGCGAGATTCCAGTGAAGCGAAATCTGTCAATACCATGCGGTTAGCCTTTGCGAGGGGTGCTTCGTCTTTTTCCTAGCGTACTTTATATTCGCACTTTACATTGACGTGCCTCCTCATCTCTCTTCATTCACGGACAAAACGGTCCCAGAAAAGCAAGGGGCACCTCGGTCCTGGTTTCCTGATTCCTACATTTTACTCCCACCTTCGCAGCAGCCCTTTCACTATATCGCCTCCCCCTACAAGTGATCTAACAACCCTCTCATTACTAAGTTCCGTCACCGCATATAAACAACACTCCTCTCCGTTTCTCTTCTTCTCCCCCCACTACATCACAACCCCACAACCTTCCTCATAACAACCTCGCTCAGTCAATCCCTCAACCAATTCGAACTCCACTTCACCATCTCCAACATGAAACTCTCCGTGGTCGTTACGGTTCTCGCCGCCCTTGTCGCCGGCGTCCCAACCGACAACCCGCTCGACTCCAACATCGCCGAGCTCCAAGACCGTCAGGCGCATGTCACCCCTCCGTGCGAGTGGTGCCGTAGGTATTTCGTGGACTGCAAGCAGGTACGTCGCCATTCCTGTCTCTTGCTCACCGCGTCCCTATGGGTGGGCGTTCATTACGAACTATTCAAGCTGATATATGTATAGCGCTGTGGTTGGTGGCCTCAGTGCGACACTATCTGTCGGTGTGAGACTTCGGGCAGGGCGGACGTAAGTATCCGCATTCTGTGATAGGAAAATGAAAGATTGCTAATGGGAAATTAGTGCAAGGATTGTTGCGGTTTTCAGTGCCATTAAGTCTGCGATGGCCGTGTGATGCAATGCTTGACCGACGTATCTAGCTTATTGGAATACACAAATAGGGGTCAGCGTAAGGACAAGACCGGGAAGATGGAATACATGGGAACGAGGAATGGTCGGTGATCAAAATAGCTAGCTGAGCGGACAATAAACTTTTCATTAATCTCTCATTGCCTCTATGTCATGCGCATGTGCATTTTGAACAACATTCAGATCTCTCGGGTTTCGCTTACATACCTAGACCAAATATGCGCAGTTGTCACCGTGTCCAACAGATTACAGTGTAGATGTACGACCAGGGTCCGTACAGCCTCTTTGGAGGCATCGTAGGCAGCAGTGCCGGGAAGGTCTAGGATGTCTTCTCACCTCGTGAGCACGATTGCGCCCGGAGTGTCGCTCTGACGGGATCGGTAGGTTGTAACGAAAGCGTTGAGACCGCTGACGACACCGTAGAGGTTTGTGTTGAAGACCTGTGGAATGATGTCAGTGGTCGAGTTTTTTCAGATGGGAACTTTGGTTCCCTTGCTAGATCATAAGGCAGAGTTGATGGGAAGTTGGCCATTGAATGCCGAGTCGGGATGCTTGGGATGGGCCGGCACATATCCTGAATGGAGGCGTTTCACAACGGTGATACACCAAACATTGAACTCTCGTACTCGCATGCACCAAACACTGAAACCACAAGGCCCAACTCGCCTTGGGAAGTACCTTCCGTCCCCGCAAGTCCCTATCGCTGCCTCCTCCGCTTTCAACATCAAAAGCTCCGAAGCTTCGCTATTTCCAAACCCAAACCACTTCCGCAGCCCGTCTTTTATGCTTTCCAAGCCTCCTCTCTGGACACGTTCGCCTGAAACGTTTCAACATTCCCATCACCAATTGAAGACAGCGGCATTTTTTGCTCGCTCAAGAGAATCAGCGTTGTTGGCGACTATACCGACATGCATCCCATGTTTTAAACATAGTTCCGCAACCGCAAGTACAATGCCAGACGGTTCTCCGGTGATGAGTGCAAGGGCCGCCTTCACGAAGCACGGACATTGCAATCGTTACCAGTGTTTTGAACCTCTTCTATTTCTCCAGTGCCGAATGATGACGAAGATAAATGCTTAATACGAAAGCTACAACCCGAAACCCGGGTCGCTGGCCGGTGCGGGAATCTAGCGGTGTCCCGTTTCGGAGTTTCAAGATAGGGTGTTCGGGAACGGCGTGCGAGGCTAGCTGCAGTCCGGACTGCTGGGACCCCTGGGAATGTTTGATTTAAAGCGCCGTGCAGAAAGGTGGAATCCGGAGCCTTGGGTGCAGATTTGAATTGTAGAGGCTGGGGATGAGAACTTTCTGGGAGATGGAGTTATTCAGCTGTCTACCAGAGATACGTGGCTGCGGCGTATGTTTACACTAGCGTAATCCCGTTGTTATCTCCGTACTCCACTGATGTACGTTAATTAGTTGTACAGCTGACGTGCTAAGGTTGTATGGTACGATAAATGGCATTGAGACAATATCAACGCTTTCATCTGATATTATTTCATTTTGTTAACACTCTTGTTGCGTTAAAAAGCGATATTTACATGAAATCATAAAATGATTGTGTACATCGAAGAAAATAACCTGTGAAGATTTCATGTCAAGGAAAGCTGCTCCGAATGCGACCACTCTATACTCTGTCTCGATACCAACACCCAACGTTTTCTCTAGCGTGGACCTTTCGTAATCTCTTCGCCATAAGCTAGAAAGCACTCCACCGAGGGAAGTGAATGCAGATAATCAAGACTCCACAGAGCTATGCAGCATAATCGGCAACGTCATACTCCTGAAACTCTTCGCCGTCATCGGCGTCTTTGGGTCTGGAGGTATCGGCCCAGTAAATATTGGCAAAGGCGTCGTAGGCAAAGCCTTCATGCGGGAGTCTCGGGGACCATTGTACCGCAATGACGCTTTTCGAAACGGGAGCTCTTCGAGATTGTTGGTCTTCCGCCAGGTTGCTCTGCTCTCTGTCTGTGGGCTCGATATTGCGCTCAAAAGTCTCATGTTGGGCGTAGCAATGGTCGTGGTATCGTCAATGTCGGGCACAGTGAAGTGGCGGTATACGACCCATAGCGAGGGCATGCAGGGGGTCATTAGTGATAAAGTGGTTTCTATGATGCTTTTAATTGTAAGAAAGTATTCCTAAGGAGCAAGCAATGGAGAGGACGCTCACAATACGACGTGGAATGGGATCTGGCTTCCGGTGATGTCAACTGACCGCCATGACTTGATGCGGAAGAATAGTCCTATGAAGCTGCATCCGCAGATTCTGAAACCGTTAGTCTGTACCAAAAGACCACGCAAATGTACTCACAGTGCACCATTCAGTAGCATAAGGAGAGCTCTACGCTTGTCTTTGCGCTGCAAGCCTAGCCGTGGAACCAGAGGTGAAGTGATGAGCAGAAGATATAAGTTGCTGCCGGCATTCACACCCCACGCAACGATACTGGTTATTGCGTTTGCCCCAGATGGCGCTGAGCAGTCTTTTCGGTTGAGTCCGTTTAAATACGAGCGTACGTCAGAACTGGGGCTTGGTCCGCATGTCATGGTAACCACGATGGTATAGGCCGAGAAAACCAGCCCTGCGATGATGATCCCAATCCAGCAGCAGTTTTTGAGCCATCTTACGGAGCCAAAGATCGAGATTACGAATAAAAACAATGATAGCTTTAGCAACCATAGCATGGGGCCTAACGCAATCCAGAACCCGGTCAAGTTCTGCGGAGTAATCAGGCTATTGATCATCACGGGTGTGGTGTTCTACGCACCAGCATAGATGATTTGGGAATTGCAACTTTGTCCAGGTCCCAAGCATGATACCCATTGGCGAAGACGTCTACGACAGCATCAGTTTTACTTCGAAACAACGCCCGAAAGGCTCAGCACTCACTTGAAATTGAAAATGCAATCATTGCAAGACCCAATGCCTACTGCGCTGTCAGACGCATCATCGAACACGATTACACATTATGATGTGACGTACAGCAGTGAGTAGATACACATCTGAACTCGTGTCAGTGACTGTACCAAGGCATTGGTTGAGTGAGCATACAGTCATAGCATCTCCATCTTCTGAAAACTGCCGCTCGCGCATATATGCGTGCAGCTACGAACAAGAGAACGAACAGCATACATATTGCGGCTGTTATGACCACTGGTCGGCCTAGGAACACTGGGTCCTTAAAATTGGACGCCACACCCTACATAATCATTAACCTGACTTCAGGAGGATCTATGGGAGCGAACTTACCGGAGGTGGTAACCTTAGAGGAAGCTGCATTTGCGCATCGCCAAACCAAAGATCGCAAAAGGGCAGCTGGTATAGTATATAATGAAAACGCAAGGACAGGTGGTGGACAGGTGGAACCTTCCCACAGCAAGACGGGCGAAGGATTCCGCAAGGATAAATATTGCGTGGAGGCGGCGTGCGGCGGTGTCCTAGATGATGAGGGTGCCTATTCAAAATATGAGTTCGACCACATCCGTATGGACTAGCTCTTGGGCGGTTAACGTGGAGTCGCTATAGACTACTCGAACTGTGATAAGCTTAAAAGAACGTGTGTTTGATCTTCGAGCCAGTACCGTCTCAGTAGAAGTTTGAGAAATGTCGGAGCGGCCCGCAAGCTTATTGTGGTGGGCGCAGCGTTCAATTGGTCCGACGGACGTAATCTGGGGGGCGTGAGCAGGCCCCTAGCGCCGGGTTGGGGCTGTATCTCTACGTTGGGGAGCTAGTATCGGACTTGAATGCGCGCCTGCTTCGCGATTCCGGATTGACTGCGTGCAACATTGCAGAAATCACTTACTTGTAACTTCAGATTGCTTAGGGTTATGGATGAGAGAGCAACTTCTCGAAAGCTCAGTTGCCCACTTGAAACAGTTTCTGGAGTTCCAGCAGAGACGAAAAATGCAGCGCTTGCTGTATGCAGACCCAGGACATGTGCAATCGTATGTGGAAGTCCAACGATGCAGTCGATATATGAGAAGCTCTACAGATTGATGGAGTTCTTCGGAACCATGATGTTAGCTCTACGGTGCTGGCTTTTGTGTTGGCGTGAGTGAAGAGTGAAAGGAGAGCGTTAGACGTTCTGTGTTGGAACTGCGTTGCTCTCTGTCGGGGAATACCGTCATTGCGCGGTGTATTGCACTCTTGCACAACCGTTGAAGACCCAGGCATCTGGACTGCAATACTGGCTGCGGACTTCGGGTCCACCCACGTTTTTGATGAAGTCCGGCGAAGGGGCAGGTACCCGCGATGTTGTGTTGCGCAACGTAGACGTTTCGGCAATTGGGTGTTCTAAATCGGCCAATCAGCAGGGCCACCACGAGGCGGCAAGGATAGAGCCTCGAACGGGTGGTCAGATGCATGCAGCTTGCAAGGCGTTGAGTCCGCAAGCACTGGGCGCTCAGAGGCTCATGTATCGGGCTTGGGGCCAATTACAGCAGTCAAATTCACAGCCAGCGCCTCGACTGTTGAACTTCGGCAACCGTCATGGGGAAAATCGTGATAACAAGTATATGGCAATATTTTTATTGAAACAACATATGTTGACGTTCAGACTTCTGCTTAAGGGCGCTTAAATATCTCCTTGCCTTCGCACTTTCGCGTTTTACACCTCTATCGGCTGCCTGTTCAGCAATTCGCTTCCGGCGCACAGTAGGAGGACATCATCGCCCCATGTCTTACCTCTAAGGCTTATCCAAGCCTCACAACAATATATTCCAGAAATTCAGCCCCAGCTGCACGAAGACAGCCTCCTGTAATCCCGGACCTCGCCACGGCGTCGCCACTCCAGTACATCCGTAGCTCCTTGGGGTCCGGAATTGATACCGGTTGAGACGAACCTAGGTGCACGCTATATTTTTCCGCAACGGGCAGTGATATTTTGTACAGTATGCGTGATCAATGATGTGCACGTTTCTTGGTCTTTCCCAGACGTTGTTGCGAGCTCATTGCCTGCTGAAGCTGCAGGGGCACACTAGTGGCGCTAAATTTCTCAATCTCAACTCCCTAACTGTACCATCGGTCCGTCACATTCTGCAATGTGTAAATATGTCATCTCGTGAAGTTGTTGTCACAGTGTCTCACATTTGTATATCACAGTCATCTCCCACTGCCCCCGGGCAATATGGCGATTCCCCAGTCGAATCGCATGCTTCAGCGTTACGCTCCGTCTCCTGTTGAGAAAGACGCCATTTCAGTTTACGGCAGTTTGATGAAGAGGGGTTTGATGTGTGACATTCTTTGTTCCATACCCTACACAAATCCTTCTTCGGTTTTGACATCTGCTTTCCGGAAATAGTTCGTATCCAGCGGTAGCATGTCGAATGATGAAGGTCCTCGGCACAAGACGCCAGAATGGAGAACACCGTAAGTCTCCCTGTTTCACGATAGGGTTCAAGCTGAAGTGACCCATATTGAGAGGGGACGCAGATAGTTTGCAAGAAAGCGAGCTGCCGACTGGCCGAGCTAAGCTCTGACAAGAGGTGAAAAGAAAAAATTGCTGAAAACACGATAGGACGAATTCTTTCGAGATGGGTGACATATGAACGAGCAATGTGTAGTCCAATTCCCGTATAACTGCGCTAAAGTATAACATTAAAAGCGCTAAGACTTCCTGATACCAATCGATAAGTTCTAAGAAACGTGGCCTGAAACCGGATACTTAACAATTCGCAACAAAATCTGACTATTTGCAAGTGGCCCAAAAGTTCCAACTGTCCCCATTCCGCCACGCAGTAATCTTCTCAATTCCTTTTCCCCGCAACGACTTCTTATGATCAGCAAGGAACCAAGCAATACCATTACCATTCGGGCTTCCCAACAGCGGCCAAAACGCGTTATCTTGTGTCTCGTCCTCAGGCGTAAAATCCTTCGGTTCATCGCTCGTCCCCAAAGCCTCCTCCAGAATCTCCACGGTTTCCTCATTGTCGATATTGACTCGGAAGAAGTACTTGAAATTGGAGAAGTCTGTGTCTTCCTCCTTAGTATTTGGGTCTTGACCAGCCATGACGACATGCTTCCATTGCCACCACGCAACAGTGCTCATCTGGTAGGGAGTAGGGGTGCCTTTCTTAACGCCGCGGTCATTTGCATTGGCGAAGAAGACGCCTTGTCCCGCGTGAATCGTATTGGAGAAGTCGGCAACGTTGTCTGCTTCGCCGTTCTTGGCCTTACCCGGTTTAGGACCGACGGCGGTGACCGCCATATATGAGTCCCCGGCCGTGAGGCCAACTTTCTCTAGTAGTGCTTTCTTTGAGCGAGGAAGCTTCGAATCCTTTTTCGTGACACTGAAGTAGTCGTCAAGTTCACACATCTTGGGGTCTGGAGCGTCTTCCATCCCCTTTTCCACGAGCATCTTGTAATATCTCAATCCCTTGGGTGCATACTTCTTCCATGCGGCTTTGTGTTCAACGCGCTTGTGTAACGAACGACGACGTTGGCCAAGGTTAATGGGTGCGAGTTGCGATTCTTGTATTTCTTGGCGGCGAGATAGCTTACTGGATATTGATGTCGGAAGGGCGCGAGTAATGGCTCGAACAGAAAGCATACTATCTCTGCGTTCGAGTGTACCGCCGCCAAAGACTGAACAATCGATTCCACAGGCATTGCATTTCTGGTTTTGCTCACACTCTTGGACTAGGCAGATTGGGTCGTTCGCGGGACAGGAAGAGGCTCCCATATCATCAGAGCAGTCATAACAATCCTGTTCGGAGCCCGTTGGCTGGGGAGGAGGTGGTGGCGATGGTGCCGGAGGTTGAGGTTGAGGTTCAGGTGTCGGAGTGAAGGCCATTCCAACGCTGCTGCTCGACAAGCATTTGGTAATGGGAAGCGGAGCAAGGCCATGCACGACCTCCGTGGCCTTGCATCCCCAGATGGTGCCAGAGACAATATCCGTACTGTTCCAGACGTTACCATTGCTAGCGGTTTTTGGTTGTTCTGCCGATGGCTCTGGGATAATTCCGCCGTCTGTTGATGTCTGGGGACAGCCTGCATTGTCGTTCGTGAAGCTGCGGGATTTTCCATCTTCACAAGTGCAATACGATTCGCCTTTGCTTGGATTCTGGAAAGGCTGACAGAAAGGTCGAGGGCCATCAGTGATTGTAGGCGCTGCTGTTTCTGGATGACCTGTTTCTGAGGGCCATGCTGTCACCCAAGCCGGAACTGAGCCACCGTAAGAAGGATCCGGTCCCTCCTCGCCATGGTCCTTTCCTTCAGAATCCCCGGATCCACCTTGGAGATTAGCCCAGTTCGTAGGGGAGCAGTCGCCTTTCTTGGTCGTAGTAGACGCGGTGTTAGTCACGCTGCAGCCGGTAGTCGTCTTGCACGTGGTGGTGGTGCACGATTCGGTGGATTGCCCGGAAGGCGTTGTGCAAGAGACGGCGCAAGACGACGCTGTGGTAGTGGTGCACGATTCGGTTTTATCCGTTTGCTTCGATTCTGGCGGATTCTCCTCCCCTGGCTTCGGACCTGGGGTCGGCGTATTGCCAGGGCCAATGGTGATGGTAGGCCATGGTACATTGGGGACTGGTGGAGGTACTGGGGGTGGATAGATACCAGGTTTGTTCATACCCCACAGAACGATACCTCCACCGCCGATGCCAGGCGGACAGAAGAAGCATTTAGGACCTCCATGAATGAACGGGTACAGACCTGGGGGATGACTTCCGTCACTCGTAGAGATTGCTGTATCTTCTGATATACTGGGATCGACCGATGGAAGGGTCAACACCGATACATCAAACACGGTAATGACTGGCAGAGGTGCGTCATCACTCTTAGTCTCCGGTGGTGGGGGAGGAGGTGGAGGCGTATTGGGCGCTTGATCCGTATTCGTGGGTTCCGGAGGTGGTGGTGCCCCATCTGTAGCTGTCGACACCGGTGGAGGAGGTGCTCCATCGGTGGCTGTGGACACTGGAGGAGGAGGGGGACCTCCGTCTGTACCTGTGGAGACTGGAGGAAGAGGAGGACTTCCGTCTGTACCTGTGGAGACTGGAGGAGGAGAAGGAAGACCTCCGCCTGTACCCGTGGAGACTGGAGGAGGAGGAGGAGGACCTCCGCCTGTACCTGTGGAGGCTGGAGGAGGAACAGGAGCCCCATCGGTGGCTGTGGAGTCTGGAGGAGGAAGAGGAGCCCCATCGGTGCCTGTTGACACTGGAGGAGGAGGAGGCCCTCCATCTGTACCTGTGGAGACTGGAGGAGGAAGAGGAGCCCCATCAGTGGCCGTAGAATTTGGAAGAGGAAAAGGAACTCCGCCTGTACCTGTGGAGACTGGAGGAGGAGGAGGAGGAGGAGGAGGAGGTGGTGGTGGTGGTGGTGGTGCTGCTCCACCTGTGGCTGTTGACACTGGAGGAGGAGGAGGACCTCCGTCTGTACCTGTGGAGACTGGAGGAGGAAGAGGAGCCACATCGGTGCCTGTGGAGGCTGGAGGAGGAACAGGAGCCCCATCGGTGGCTGTCGAGGCTCCAGGAGGAGCCCCGTTTGTATTCGTGGAACCAGCAGGCGGGGTGGGAGCGCCATTGGTGTTTGACGGACCAACAGTAGCAATACCACCCGGCAGAACCGTCGGAGGCGGCAACGGAAGGTCACCAGAGGAAGTACTGAAAGGAACCCAGGCGACTCCCGCTGGCCCAACCGTTATGGTGGAAGTGACAGGCGTTGGAAGTGGCACGACAGTGGTCGAAGTTTGACCATCAGTGATTGTTGACACGGTCTTTGTCAGAGTGGTAACAACTGTCGAGATAACTGTCAGGGTGGCATGTTCGGTATATGTAATTGGTACGAATGTCCGTGTGACCGTCGAGCCGCCTTCCAATGTTCCAGTAATGATTGTGGCACCCGAAGGTGCGGAAGCAGGAGGAGGGCTGCCTCCACCGGTAGGGTAGCCGCCATATCCGGTAGGTATGGGGCCTGGTTCAGTTCCAGTTGGACAATTGGCTGATGCAGGTTGAGTGGGATAGTTGCAGCCAACCGTGGACGTTCCGTCCCTGATTGTAGGCAATAGTGGCACGGGGACACCACCGCAATCTTTACATTGTCAGGACACAGCAGTCAGAAGGAGAGGGAAGAAACGCACTGCAATAATCGAACTTGCACATCGCTCCGCCCCCGAGGTTTTTCGCAATGACATGAGCACATCCTGCATTCTGTGAGCTTTGAATGAATGCACACTGTCGGTGGTTACACACCTGAAGTTCCCCAACAACCGGGTATACCCGCAACGGACGTTTCTGGGCAATGATTCTGCGTCTTCGACAGGGCCAGCCCCGTCGAGAAGAGAATGGAAAGGGTACCCAGTGATCTCAAGCCCATGATGGTCGGGCGCTATATATAAGGAGCTAAATAAGTAGTGACAATCGAATCTGCAGCCTTGAAAGAGAATTGATTGCAACACTTCGTTGAGAAGGCAGGGGAATATGCTAAAGGTACCGAAACGCTTCATAGCACCCAGAACACTATGACAGGTCAGCAAAGGTAGTAGAGGCCATCTTTCAGAAAGCACACTCGAACATGCGCCTTGCAGGATGGTTGATTTCGGAAGGGATTCCTCTTCCTTTGGGTCAATGTTTCTGCTTGCTCGAATCATGGGTTGTTTCGAGGCTCAGTGCTGCCTTTCCAGTGCCCGAGCGTGTGCCACAATCCACTATGCCTTGATACATGATCCCGCAGACCCGTTTGTCATCAACCCGGCCTCGCCACGGCTACGTCCAAAGGAACACTCCGGCTTCGCCCTGAAGTCTGGATCGGATAGGTGCATGTGGATCGAACGCCTATCCACCTCATCCGGCACTCTTCACGTTTAAGGCGACTTCCGGGAGGCGTCATGAAGATCTCCGACCTGAACGACCGCCCTTCACCGGTACGACGTCGCGGTTCCCGGTGACTTCTGGCTCCAATCGTTGGGAGTATAGAATCTAGGTACTCAAGAGTGGAAGCCGAATAGGACGCGAAGAATTCCTGCTAATACAACCTCGATCTCGTCGTCCCTCTTCAATCTTTACCACAGGGCTTAATGGTCAATAGTTTCATGATTATGTCCTGTGACAAGGGCTAGGCAACATAGAGGTTTTTGACAAACCGTAGGCCCTGTGTGGCCAAGCGCCAACGTTAACGGCGTAAAGGTTCCGCAGGCAGAGTCCTTGTCGTGAAAAGCGTGATATTGTATGACTCTGCCACTGCGTGGCTACCTTAGGGTAGGGCGTAGATCAGTGTCGGTGTATGCGCAAATCAGCGGCCAGGCGTAGTAGTCCGTTGGCTTGTACAGTAGTCCGTCCGTACAAGGTGAACAGAGTGTCATTGACAACCCTTGGGAAGATATCCTCGGATCGCCACCTGTGAGAGACGATGGAGCTCTCGCCGCTTGGTCGATTTGTAATGTGAAATACGCCATCCGGGCGACCTGGGGGCGGATTACCCGTTGGGTTGCATTTAGATTGTATGAGAATGCAATGACCTGGATTGTGTGTGGTTATTTTCCGAAAGATCTATAGTTGTTAACGGCCGTTAGAATAAATGCGATAAATCGTGAGTGCACCATAAATCTGTTGCGCACCTTCGAGTCCATGAAGATGTAAACAGACTAATCTTGAAATTACTGCGTCGTTGACATTTTGTTCAGTCCTTTCTCCTCGACTTGCTATGCCGCACGGGGCGTAAACATAGTGCGACGTGAATTTAGAGTTGCCAGGGATACCTAGGGGAAGGACCAATGACTCAGCCCCCTTCAGAAACATCGATTGCCTTCTGCATCCGGCATGGACTGCGAAACTTCGCCGGCACTCCGGAGTTCTTGTTTCTCGGGTTGGGCCTACGATCCCACACGTGTTGGAGGGTGAAACGCACGCACATGACCAGCTGTACAGAGGCTGGGCTGGTGTGGGGCAGTCGACATCCGACTCCTATATTTGTACGATTGAGACGCCTGGTCACCGAGCCACAAACGGTCGCGAGGCTGAAATAATGAAGAATCGGACGCAGACCTCCTAATCTGGCGCAATGACGGATCAAACAACCACACACTGGACTGTGTCAAGCGGACCTGTCCCAGATCCCTCTCCACCGCCTCTTGATGGGGACTTCGAAAGCGCCATAGAAGACCACCATATCTTCTGGGGCCAGAGAACACGACAGGGCCATTCCATCACGGCCAAAACTTCCTCTTCACTTTCGCCTTCGCTCGACTGGCAATTGCAGCTCTCAGCCAACTGGCTCTCTGCCCGTGACTCGAGGCCTTTCACCCTGCCCGAATTCCCTGCGCATTTACTTCCGTTCTTCTGTTACAAGGACGCCGCCGTCTACGTATCAGAAGGTTCTGATAATCCAGTCGACCTCTTCGACAGAATATACAAGGAATGGTACCCTTCTCGTGACAGAGAGGTATTCGAGAAGGGCATATTGCGCGGTTGCGGAGCGCCCTTTTTCAGCTCTACCATGCGCATGAGGTTCGAAGAACAACCCACTCCACACCCGCCAGCTCTGCTTGAATCCCTCGTCCGTTGGCACACTGCATTTGTGTCTCACCTCCAGGATCTGATTCCGCGCTTCGATTTTCTTGCAGAATCCCATACCTATGCAAGGTTGCTGGTGCGCCCTGGGTTGACGCAAGAGCAGCTTGAGACCTTGCCAACTGGTCGGCGGAGACGCATCGAGTACCCTCCTGTCCTTCGACGTAGTTTTGCCGAGTGTTTTGTCTTTGTTGAGCCGGGTTGGGAGGACAAAGGCGTCAGGCTTGTAGTGCTATCGGAGGATATGCAGAATAAAATCCTCCACGGCAAATGTGAGGGTCTGAGGCGGGACCTGGAGTTGGAAGAGCCAACAAGGAAAGCAGTGAGGTTGGAGGCAAAGAAAGACGGGAGAGAATCGAGAGAGGAGGAATTGCATGAGCATTCTGAGGTTGAGGACGTGAAGGTAGAGCATATGCATGTATGGAGAGGGAATTTACAAGATGTGATGAGGGCGGTTCTGGAGACGGAGGGAAGGAAGAGGGGACTAAGGGAGTATAATCCTGTGCTAGATGAGTGGTTGGGTGAGGGTGAGAATGTTGGCAAGGTCTATGGGCCAAGCAATGAAGCATCCTAGTTGAATCAGATGATTTTTAAGATGTCAACAGGACTGTGTCCTGGGCCGGCGTCTCCATTCTCGAGTCCTGGGATAGACTTCCGGATAGATTAAACATGCGTGGGGAGCGGAGTGTGGAGTAGATGGCCACCACCGTCTAGGGGGACATGCACAAGCTGGTTCTCAACTCTGAATCGGAGATATTGGCCAGGCCTCTTCATCTTGACGTGGACTGCCCTTAATGGTGGAGAGTTTGGGATGGGGAGAAAAGGGTGGGAGGAGAGATGCGTTGGCGACCTTTTTCTCAACGTGAACCCCTGCCCCTTGCCTGTTTGGGACGTCACCCCCACATCATGCACTGCACTGAGGGTGTAGAACAACTCCACGACTCCACGCTTCCCACCCTTCATTCGATATACGTATATCTACCGGCCTGGACTCCCCCTGGGTTCGCAGCTCGCTCACATTGTCCGTGTCGAATCAATACGGAGTCCCGGTATCATGGCGGACCGCCCAGGCGCGGCCGCTGAAAGCGGGCCAGACCAAGCTCCCCAACTGCAGAAAAACACAGCGACTCCCTCCTCCACGGCCGCACGCAGAACAATGGCTTCCTCAAGCTCCGCTTCTACCTCCAAGGCGGATACTGCGGCTCCGCGACGGCCGCTGGTTACTTCAGCCGCTACTGCAGCGGGCCGGAGACCTGCAGTTGCGTCAAGCACATCGCGCTCCTCAACAACCGCGTCGAAACCCCTTTCTAGCTCCACGACACGAACAAGTACAACGGGGTCTAGTTTGAACAAGCCGCCGACGCGTCCTGCTCCTGGAACAGCGGCAAGGAGAACAAGATTGGCCTCCAAGTCCACCGCGTCGGATGCGGAACCCGACCTCTCCTCCGTGACTTCAGGGGACGAGAACAAGAAAGCTGCTGCTCGAAGGACCACATTGTCTTCAGCAGCAGCGGCTAGAGCTTCGCCAGGGAGGACGTCTACCACAGAACGGAGATCTACAATAACCCCTTCCGCTACTTCTGCTCCGAAACGGCCTCTGAGCTCCCGCACTGCCGCGGATGCCTCGACTACAAGGACTGCACCACGTGCTTCACTCGGCTCTTCCACCCGGACTGCTACCGCGCGCCCATCGACGACGACAAGGTCAACTTTGGGGTCTGCGTCCAAAACTCCAGTTGCACAAGCTAAGAAGCCCGTTGCGTCGGTCGGATCTGATGTTGCCTCCCCTATACCTGAGGAAGAGTGAGTGCAGACTGCTCCCTCAAATGTACTCGAGCTGACTGTGGAACAGTACCACCTCGCTGGATGTCCCATCCACGCCTGAGCCAGCAATCAACGACAAATCGGCCTCGGACGCCGAGTTCGAGAACCGCAAGGATGGCAGCACGGTACGAGATGCACTGGCGAAGCTTAACGGTGATCTTGAAAGACCGGACACTGCACCAAGCGAGCCTGCCACGGATGATGACTTGGAAGGAAAGAGACGTAGTGCACAGGCCATGCAGGACTTCTTGAGAGAAACAGACTTGAGAGAGAAACTGCAGGAGCAGTGCGATGATCTGAATCGCGAATTGGAGAAGCTTCAGGCAGAGCGAACGAAGCTGAAACAGCAGCTGGCTGCTGCCGAGGCTACCATTGCGGAGAAGGACAAGGCCATTGCAGAGTCTGCTGACTCGAAGCATTCCGCTCTTGTCGACGAGATGGAGAGGAAGTACCAAAGCGAGGCTAAAGTGCATGCCGACAAGAGCGAGAAGCTGGAGCACGAGAAAGCAGCTGCAGAGGCGAAGGAGGCCGAGGAAGCCAGGCGCGCGGCCGAACTTCAGCAGGTGCTGGACCAACTGAACGAAGACCTCAAGCTGCAGGGAGCGCAATGGGATGCCGAGAAGAAGAAGCTTGCAGAACAGGAGGTCCAGATCGATGAGCTGAATAAGGAGGTCGCTGCGTTGAAGGAGGAAAGAGAAGCTCGTGTGCAAGAGAATGCAGAGTTGAAAACGAGCGTTGAGGCGCTTCAAGCCAAACAGATCGAACTCGAGCAGGCCCGCGCTGACGATTTGCGCTCGCGGGACGAGCAGATTGATGAACTATCCAAGACGGTGGAAAGCCTACGGTCGGAGCTGACCGCCTCTGAGCAGCGATATGCTGATGTCAAGGCTGAGGTTGACCACACCCTTGAGATTAAATCCTCCGAAGCATCTAAAGCGGTGGAGGAGCTGCAAGAGAAAATCGTCGCCTTACAACAACAGCACACTGACGAGTTACGTCTCAAAGACGAATCCCTTGAGTTACGCGACAAATCTCTAAAAGAGCTCCGAGATCAAGCAGATACCCTCCAAGAACGTGCTGACGAGGCTTCCCGACAGCTCGAATCGGAGCGTGCCGCCCATGCTCAAGCCCTCGAAGACCGGATCTCTGAAATTGAGAAGAATAACGTGGAAACCCTGCGCGCAAAGGAGGAAGAGATTGCCCAGAATCTTTCAGCTATCAATGAGTTGCAGGATAAGATCAAGCTCTTAGAGCAAGATGGCACAGATGGTGCCAAGATTGCAGAGGAGCTTTCCAAGCAGATTGAGGAGCTGAAGCAGTCCCATCAAGATGCTCTTCGCGTGAAGGAAGAGCAGAATGAAGAGCTCATGAAGCAACTCGATGCGCTTAATCACCAACTCGAATCAGATGCCGACAATCTGAAGGAGCTGACGGGCCAGAACGCAGAGCTGCAAGAGACGATCAAGAACTTGGAAACCGCTTCCCACCAGAATGAGCAGCAGCATGCCGCCACGCTTAGCAAAGTAGAGGCGGAATTGGCGGAGATGCGGAAGAAGGTGGAATCTACCAAAGTAGAGCTTACGGAGCTAGAAGAGAAACACCAACAGACCTTACGGGTTCTACGGAACGATCATGACGATGAGATCGAATCTCTGCGAGCAGACCTGGAGGGTGATGCCAAGATCCGGCTCGACGAGCTGCAAGCGCGGTATGATGTACTCGTCCAAGAGAAAAAAGCGTCAACGGATGAGTACGAGCAGCGTATAGCAAAGGCCGAAGAAGCGCTCTCTGCCGTACGCGAGGAGCTGGAGAGTGCAAAGGAGTCTTCTGGTACAGCTTCGCAGAGTCTTAAAGATGCCATTGCAAAACAGGGAGAACTTGCAACAGAGAAGGCTGCGCTTGAAGAGGCGTACGCGGCAATGGAGAAACACCTTACCGAGCTCCAGTCGCGCCACGATGGCCTCATTTCCGAGAAGGCTGCGGCTGAAGAAGCTCATGCCGCCTCACAAACCGTTGTTGCTGAGTTGCAGGCACGCGTTGAGAATTTAGTGGAGGAGAAGACGGCCGCAGAGGAAGCACACAGCCGTGCGATTGAAGCTCTCCAGAATGAATCGGACAGTGCATCAAAACAACTTCTCGAAGCGTTGCAAGCCAAGTATGACGCTCTGGTGGAGGAGAACGCGAGCAACCAGGCCGCTCACTTGAAGGAACTCGAAGCTTTGCGCGAGGATCGGAATGGACTGTCTGAGCAGTTTGCGGAGCTGAAGAGGACGTACGATGTTCTGGCAGAGGAGAACACTGGTAAACAACGTGCTCTTACCGATGAATTTGAGGCTATACGCAGAGAGCGGGATGAACTAGTTGAAAAGCTTGCCGAACTCAAGAAGATCCATGAGGACACCGTCGCCGAGAATGTAATCATTCAAGATGTCCATGACAAGGAGCTGCTGTCTGTCCGGGAAGACATCGAAGAAAAGTACGCCAAGCTGCTCGAAGCACTTCAAAACGATGTCGCCGCACTGGAGCAGCAAAAGAAGGCTGCTGTCGAAGAGAAGCGGAAAGCCGTCGATGAGCTTGCCAGTTTGAGGACGCAGGTAGACTCCGGGAATCATGCTGGACAGGCTGAACTCGAGGCGCTGAAAGCGAAGTTGGATGCCCTGGTGGCGGAGAAGTCTGCTGCTGAGCAGGAACATGCCGATACCATTGCGAAGCTCAAGCAAGAGCTTGAGGAGCAGCATACGAAGACACTGTCTGATCTGCAGTCCAAGTACGAGGAGAGTCAGGCACGGCTTGCAAAAGCCGATCAGGAGCATGCCGATGCAATAGCCCTGCTCAGAGCGGAGCTACAGGACGGCCATTCCAACGGTATTTCAGAGTTGCAGAACCGCCTAGAAGAGCTGCAGAAACGACATGATACACTCGTTGAGCAGAAGGCTTCGACTGAGGCAGCCCACGAAGAGGCCATCTCTGAGCTTATGCAGGGCATGGAGGCTAGTCAGGCTGAAGCAGTGCAGGACTTGCGAAAGAAATACCATGATCTCAATGCAAGGATGGAAGCTGAGCGATTGCGTCATGTTGCGGAGCTCGAGGAGGCGAGGAAAGCTGCCAAGGAGGAGCAAGAAGCTTCTCTTAATGAACTACAGGCCATGTGCGAGGCACTCCAAGCCGAGGTCGAGGCAGCACGGTCTAATCATGCTGCGGAGCTTGAGGCGGCCAAAAAAGCACATATTGTAGAGCGTGAAGCTTCCCTCAATGAGCTACAAGCAATGTGCGACTCACTGCAGGCCGAGGTTGAAGCAGCAAGAAAGAAGGATAGCGAGCAGCAGCAAGCTTCTCTGCAGGAACTCCGGTCACGCTACGAATCTCTCGCATCGCGCGCCGCCACTGATGCCGAAAATCACACTCAGAACGTCGAACGTCTCCAACGGATCATCGAGGAGCTCGAAGCCAGCCGCAGCCAAGCCATCGAGCGTATGGAAGAAGCACAAGACCGGATCGAAACAATGAAGGTGGAGGTGGTGCGTAAACACGTTGCCGCCATCCAACCTCTGGAAAGAGAGAACGCTGAGCTAAAAGATAAAGTAGAGCGACTGGAAATGATCCTCAAAGCCGGTGATCGTGTTGCTCGCGCCGCAGCGACGATGGGCGAGAAACGCGAAATCAATGCCATTGCCGAGGACGACGAGGAGGAGGACGAGGAGCAGGCTACTTCTGGTGCTCAGTCATCGGCACACTCGCCCCGACCTCGTGAGGTGCTTGGAACAGTGAGTTGGCCAACAACCCTAAGATATCGTGACACACACTGACCGCCCGCTAGCAGTTGGCGGCTATGCAGGAAACACTCTCACAGCTCTCCGAGCTCAACAACGCTGCCATATCTGAAAGCTCTCGCGCAGCGCAGAGATTGGCAGACGACGACTGGGTCGCCGTCGAGGGCAAGCCAGGGGCATAATGAGTGGTGTACAGAGGGGAGCATTGATTGACAAATGCCCCTGCGATTCATTTCCATGCCCGCTGAGCCTGCCTTACATTCTTTGCCTACCTCGCTGAACTTACTCTTGTAATCGACTTTTTTTCTTCTACCGGCGCGTCTGGCAAGACACTATACCCTGTTGCGCCGCTTGTATATTTCACATTTTCGGTCTGAAGCAATTTCAATCCCTTTAATGAGTCCGGACAACTTGTAAGCCAGAGAGCTGAGCTGAACTAAAAAAGTAGAGCTGGGGCTCTTATATACTCGCTACCATACCACTTACCTACTTCGTGTTCATGAATCCCTATTCGCGGTCTCGTATTCTTGGCCTCTTGTGGTTAGTGCGGGGAAGATGTAATATCTTGTTCCAAGGTTGATCTGCAACCCTATGGGGCTTTTTGTTATAAAGGTCCTATCATTCTTCACATCCGTTTGTCACCAAGCTCTTCTCTCAAATACCCGCATTCCCTTCTGCAAACAAACTAACAATATTGCAGCATACACCTCTGTATCATGTCAACTACCACACCCTTCAAATCCACCTGCCACTGCCGCAGCATCTCCCTCACCATCTCCATCCCCAACTCCTCCCTGCCTCTAAAAACACACTTCTGCCACTGCAACATCTGTCGCCGCATCCACGGCACACTAGCCGCCATCCACACCAAGATTCCCGAACCCGTACCGGAACCCAGTTTCGACGACGAGAAATGGGGCAAGTACGAGACGGCCAAAGTGACGCGGTTCTTTTGCGGGACATGCGGGGCGCAGATCTGTGATCGAGCTGTTACTGGGGAGTCGGTCGAGTGGTACGCCGATGCTAGTCTTCTGGAGTGGTGCGGCGAAGATGAGGGCGAGTGTGAAGCGCGTGGCCGTGCTTCCGGGTTGAGCGATTGGCCGTTTGAGTTTACGAAGCATATCTACGTCGGGAGTACCAAGGACGGGGGATTGGCGTCGTGGTTGAAAAGAATCGATGGGAGGGAGTTGGAAGTGTGGAAAGAGGACGCAGGCAGCGAATTACTCGACCTGGACCGTTTGACGCATACGTCGCTGGCCCCCAGCGAAGCGCGCAAGATCGACTTGGAAGCGTCGTGCCACTGCGGCGGCGTCCGGTTCTTCATCTGGCCGCCCCAATCCGAAGACGTCTTCGACAGCACCGACGCTACCATCACTCCGAAGGACAAGACGAGGTGGTACGCCCTCCTCGACGTGTGTAATACGTGCCGTCTGACCTCCAGCTCGGCCGTCATCCCCTGGATGTTCCCCGTGGCGTCGCATCTGAGTTTGCCGGACGGTTCGGCCTGGCCCGAGGACCATGTTGTAGGGACCGCGAAGAGGTATCGGAGTTCGGAGAAGGTGGTGAGGACGTTTTGTGGGCGGTGTGGGGCTACAGTGGCTTATGTGGATGAGACGAGGTCGGGGGGTACGGTGGATGTGGCGTTGGGGTTGGTGGATATGGTTGGGGAGGGGGAGGAGAGGAGGGCGGGTGTGAGGTTGGAGGAGTGGTTGGAGTGGAGGAGCGGAAGGGTCGCTTTTGTGGGGGATGCGTGGTGGAAGGGGTTGGTTGGGGGGTTGGTGGAGGGGATGAAGGAGAGGACGGGCGGAGATGTTCCGTGAGACGGTTGCAACCAGCTCAAGGTTGGGCCCTAGGGGATTGTAACGGGCCCCCGGTAAAGCGGAGTACAGGTTGGAATTTGACGTTGCGGTTGGCCGAAAAGTCAAGGTTGCATGCTGCTGACTTGTATGTTGTTTACCTCCGAGGGACGTATAGCACGGATTCTACTTCTAGATGGAAGCTCCCACAGCACTGCTCAATTTGGGAACTAGAGTGAGTATAACCGGTTCACGTAAAGGTGCTAGACAATTCGGCACCCCATCGGCATCGAAATACGAGGCTTGTCGCTCGCCGCAGCGGGAGCGGTTCCAATCAATTGATTCGATGACGAGGACAATATGTGAGAGTACTTTGCATGCAGCACTTTTCCTTTTGAGGGAGAGAGCTAGGAGGTGGTCTGACGGAGAAAAGAGAGGAGAGGGACAAATTTCAAGGATGTCACAACCATCAAAACGAGGAGGTGGAACTCAGAGCCTGCTGTGGAACCTGGTACCTTCCCCGCACATATATCTGCCATAACCCCAACCTCAGATATCCTGCCCAGTGGCCTTAGGTTCATACACCTACACCTTGTCCCACACCACTGCCACGCACTCCCTCCCGCCCTCAGTATGTCAAACCTCTCCGTCCCCGTAATCCGCACCGTAGCATTCAAGTTCCTCCCGGAAGTCACCGCCGCCCAGAAGGCCGACCGCACGCGTGCCATCTTGGCCTTGTACGAGGAATGCCGCCATCTTGTCCTCGAGCTGCCGAGAGGTGGGAAAATGGTGGACATCGCGAAGGGGTTGACAGGGCTGGAGAATGGGGGAGCAGGTTGGGATTTTGGCTTCGTTACGAGGTTCAAGGTGAGTGGTTGGATTTTCTCCTAGTCCTTTTTGTAGAGGATTATACTGACGTTGCGGTAGAGTCAAGAGACTAGGAAGATATTCGATGAGCATCCGGGCCATCAGAGGTTGAAGGTATGTTGTGCTCTTTGGTTGCGATTGGATATTGTGTTGACGATGAGTCAAGGAGCAAACGGACCCCTTGCTGGAGAAATTGTTTGTATTCGATGTTGCGGAAGAGGAAGGGTTGGGATGGACTTGATGCGGGTAGACTTTACCAAAACATCGAAAGTGCACAGTTATTATTCGCCGGAGCGGCAGATGTCGAAACAATCGTGCTTCCCCGGCTTAGATAAACCTTTTCCGGTGCCATGTCAGTTTACCCATCGTGTTGAAAGCCCTTAGGTTTCGCAGCGACGGATGAGGCCTCACCAACACCCTTTCACCGACTCACTTCCCAAGTGAGAGTGAAGCCGCCTTTTTTCTTGGCACGACGCACATAGAAACTCGTCGAAAAGCTTTCTTGCTCTGTCCTTCCTTCCTTCCTCCATCACCTCACGTCTTTGCGCTCTCCTCCACTAGTGAAGAGTATTGTTTGCTGTCCCCACGTACCTATCTTGCCCTTCGCTCGGGCATGCGGCTCGAGTGAGGCCTCCCTGACAGGATGAATATCCTGGATTTCAGCCCGGAGTTGTTCCAGCAGATTATTCACGAGCTGGTCCTCGATGTTGGCGTCACGGACGCGTGGAGGCATTATCGACTTGTTTGCAGTAAGTGACCTTGAGAGTTTGGTGCCATGAGCCTCCCCGTCCTTACCTGGTATGGAACTCTTCGAAAGCGAAATACGCGCCGACATCCTGACGAGACAACACCTCGACGCGTTCAGCAAATGGACTTTCGTTCGCATTGTTCAACGCAGCAAAGAGAGTGAAGGCTTGTTCTTGTTCCATCGTACGAATCGACTGCTTGGAGCACATCCATCGTTGCCACGCGAGATCACGAAGATTGCCGAGATACTGTCCAAAGAGAGCGGAGATGATACGAATGCTCGCAGGCAGAGGTATACCGAGCGCCTCTGTTCCACCGTGGATACCTGGCTCCAGTGCTCCGAATGCTTCGACCTCCTGAAATACCTTAAGGGAGGACTCGGCTCTGTATGGTGTCATGGAAAGATTTTCTCATCTCCTCCTTTTCCGACGAATCCTAATTGTCCATACGGCTACACAACGAAGAAATTTAGTATACTCGAGACACTGTCGGCAGCGGCGGTGATCGATGATCGGAAGGCTTGGGCCAGTTTACTCCCGACATACTCTTGGAAACCCCACAACGGAGCGTTCAGGCACACCTTGCATAAATTTAAAGCTAGCCAGCTCGATGCATATCACGGGACGAACAATTTCCCGCTTGTCGTAGCGGCGAAGCTCGGCCGAAAAGAAATTCTTGACGCGACGGTTGCATACGTCCGGCCCCTGGATAAGACGGAAAAGAAAGCCTGCTATATCATATCCGGCAAGCAGCTCAGGGACGCCATGCTAGAAGCAATGGATTCCCATCAGCACAGCTGTATGGAGAGCATATCGGCGCTCTGTCAATTGAAAGATATGTTCCCACCGCACGCAGTGTTTGATAATTGGCTGTCCTCCGCAGCGAGAAAAGGGGATTTTCGGGCTCTGGAGGTCATCCTGACAGGACAGGTCCCACCGACGCTGCGGGTAGGACGCGACGCGTTCCAGGACGTATGCGATCTTGGCGATTCTGAGATATTGAAGTGCCTGATCCGGAAGAAGCTCGTGAACTTGGACAAACCGCTTAAGTCATACTACCTTTACACAGAGCCCGGAATGCCACAGAAGACCCTCTACACCAACCCATTCAACGTGGGTATACAGTGCGGACATCGAAACATCTTGGAGACTCTCTTGGATTACCAACGCGACTACGCATTATTGAACAACCGAGCACTGGAAGCCAAGGACCGGGATCCGCTCCTTACAGCAATCAAACGTCGCGATACAGAAGCCATTGAACTCTTGATTGAGCGAAGAGAAGTCGCTCCTACCAAGCTTTCACCGGAAGAGCTAAAGAGTTACCTGCACGAGGCACTACGCACGAAGATACAGAGAGTGTATGATCCTATCCGCGAATACGTTATTGGCTGCGGAGTGATGGCTAAACCGTACCTTGAGGCACGGCGCACAGGCTCGCCAGTCTACGACGAATAACAGTGCCACAGGCGTCACGACAAATGCTGGTAGAGCAGCAACTCAGACTGTTACGACGAATGCCGATCGGAGAATTGGATCTGCAGTGTTTCATAGCTGGATAGAATACACTTTCACTTCATAATCTGCTGCGATAGCAGGTACGGCAAGCCGTTCCAGTGCCCAAGAATGTCTTTCAGCATAATACAGTCTCCATGTTAAAAGTGTATTGCCCGATCGCATCGGTCTAAGCTTCTTCTAACTACCTTCCGGGGTATGTCATGGGAAGGTTATAGCCATCATCAAGGCTTCACCAGTGGTGTTTTCTTAATGCACGCCTCGTGAGGACGCTTCTGAAGGTGTTTGAGCCGAAATCTCTGCACGGATTTTCATAGCTGGGAGCGGAGACCGGTATAGCTATGGTAGTCCTCGTTGAATTCGGGACAGGCGCGCTCTTCTAGGGAGAGGTCTTCCTTTTCCGCACAAGAACCTGGATTGTTAATGAGTGTACCTGATAGAAAGTGCTCATGATTGAGTTAGGTGTTCTTTATTGTTCCAGACAGGTCTGCTACACTCACGAGCGTGAGCAATGTCAAAACTTCCTCCAAAGATATACACGTGCCCAAACGGGATGAAGCCGTACTGTCGCATTGTGTGATTGAGGTCTTTATATATGCACGGTGTCTGTCTTGTGCCTGTGCCGTAATGTTCGACAAGTTCGACAACTCTCTGGTTGGATACGGCTCCATCAGAGGCTCCCTTTCACCACCCAGGAAGGTGCTAGAGGTTTATTAGTTAGCGCCTTGGCAAGAGCTGGCTGCCTAAGTCGCCTGGAGGACTTCCGAACTCCTCACTCCTAACCCGAGCTTACACAACCAGTTGGGCATACTGTAGTTCGTGTCTGGACGTGCCCATCGCCACCCCCGAAACCATGGAGTTATTAGATCTCCCTCCCGAAATCTTCGAGTCAATCATCCGGGAGCTCGTGCTCGAGGTGGGTTTTGCAGCGGCATGGAAAGAGTATCGTGGCGTGTGCAGTAAGTTTAGCTACCGAAGTCATATTCGTCGAACCAGCTAACATAGTTGAGGGTCGTTTGCATCTGCCATCCGGAGTTATATTTTCAACGGGCAACATTCTCTCACCATGTTTTCCAGAGGGGGAGCAATGAACCTACTCCAAGCGACAGTCGAAACAAAACAAATGTTTCGCTACCACAGTCTCGAGAACGGCCTGGGCATGGGCGGCTCAATGATCTGCGATAGGATTATAAACATGGCAAACTGGTTAGCGCAGGTGACGGGCGACGACACGGCATGTCATATTGAAGAATACCGAAAGAAGCTGTGTTTTGCAACAGCCGCCTACACCGACAAATCTCTGGGGAATTCTGGAAGGGCTTACAAAAACGTTTTTGAACTTGCTGTGGTGCGGATACCCTGTTCCACTTTACCTTAACTTGAGCAGCGATCTTGTGAACCCCCTGGAAGAGCAACTTGAAGCGGCTGTTGTCATGAATCGCGAAGAAATAATGGAAAGAGCCTTACAAACAATATCGAGAACTACGATCCCTCCTGGCCAGAGCTCGTCAGAGTGGGATGAAGGAATATTTCGCTGCAACGGTCCCCTTAAGCTTGCAGTGTGTTTGGGTCATACCGCCATGATTCACTCAATCATCCAGTATCTGGTGTCAATTTCAGACCGGGAGAGGCCTGTCTGGTTGCACGTTTTTAAGGAAGAAATGTTCGATGCTCTCGATCTTTCGATTGACACAAAACAACACGACATTGTCCGTCAACTGACAACGCTGGTTCTGTCACATTACGAATATTGCCGCTATGATTATGCTCGCTGGCTCATAAAGGCCGTTGACACCAAAGATGTCGAAATGGTCAATCTCATCCTCGACTTGGAGGTTGAGGCCACTCTGGACGTGGATCGCGGATGCTTCGGAGACATTTGTTTTCTTGGAAACGTTCAGATCATGCGCAAGCTACTGAACAAAGGCATTCTTAGATTGAGAGATCCAGCTCATGACCCCTGGAGAACAGAGATCCCTGGGAGTCACCCTGTTGATTTGGCAATTGCGGACGGTACCCCTGAGATCCTGACAGCAGTCTTGGAAACCTTCTCCGAATATGAGATGAGACTAGGAACCAAAACCTACGGTATTCTGGTCCCATTTCGCTGCGCTATCTACTTTAGCAAGGCCTACGCAGTCGAGACGTTACTTGAGAGAGCAGAAACTCTCCATCACGTGGAGCTTCCCTACGAAGCCATCTTGCAGGTGGCTGCAGACCTGAAACAAGAAACCATCTTCGACATCATCCGCAAACACGCCATTGCAGCCGGAAAATACGCCAGCGACTACGCGAGCGCCAGAACCGGGAAGGTTACAGTAAAGCAGTGACGGCAGCGTGTTCACGGTCCATGAGAAGCTTTCAGCTTAGGGCTTGAAAGAGCCATCGGCACAAAGAGTGAAAACATCGGTCCGATGCAAGTGGGATTGAGAGGAATTGCTCGGGCTGTCTGCAGATTATGTTCTCGTTTACTGACGGTGCTCAATGGGTCTGTAATGAAGCGAGGAACAGTCGAGGATGCACGGCAGTCAGGATTGGGAATTACACAACCGCTGCGACGGGGGGAAACGTGGGTTATCATGCCAATTGAGAAGTTTTGTCTGCTGTGTTTCACTCCCTCTTTTCTATGATTTCGAGGATCAGATTCAGCAGAGAAACTGGGGATTTAAAGCTGGCACATACGACCTATCGACTGACTATGGGGCGATGGCTTGACGATCGCGACAAGTCGTGTACACCATAACATCTTCAACGAGTACTATCTCTTTCGACGCCACTGTTTGCAGCTCAGCGAGCCCAAGACTCTCCTTCACTTTCACCAACGTGTAGAGTACACCACCTTCATCGTCATGATGCGGTGAGCAAGCGGCACTCTCTTGGTATGTTTATGGTATCCCACCTTCGCAGCTCACCCTTCAACTTTCTCTCCGCCAACACATCCGCGGCTTTCTTCCGTGCTTGAACCTCTCACCTACGCTTCAATCATCCTTACGGGTTTCCGAAACCCCTCGACTTCTACGCTGCGAGCGATAGTGCGCACTCTGGGAGAACGACGCTGGAATTATACCGTCCCAAGGCGAGATGCATCTCCTCGATTTTCCGTTGGAGGTGTTCCAAAACGTCATTCACGAGCTCGTGCTTGACGTTGGGATCGCGGAGGCTTGGAGAGCATATCGTCCTGTCTGCAGTAAGTTGTACTTAGCACTGCCCGCGAACATGCCCACTCCGGATATGTCTGAATATTGATGACTTTCAGAGACATTTGCTGCCGAGATCTACCATGATACCTTTGCGCGCCAGCCCATGACTAGCTTTGAAAACGTGGACGTCGAAGATTTCATCAATGGTAGTGAGGACAATCTGAGGCTGCTACTCCTCAACCGTGTGAACAACGCCCTCGATGCGCACTGTTTCCTTCCTGAGAGGGTCCGGAATACGGTGACCCTGCTTATACAGAGTCAGGGAGAGGAAGATGCTAACGGTTATTTACGGGCTGTGTATATTGAGAAGTTGTGCGCGGCGTTAGCATTCCGCTTCAAGCGCAGAGGGTGCTGGGGTAACATATGGCCTCACGGACCGGATTTAACCTGGATTCTTCGCAATGGAATGGACTACGAGAAGTGCGTATCCACAGGCCATCGGGGCGCGTTTCTCCTACATCGGGCGTTATTTGGACCTTTGAACGATGTTTTGGGGGAGCGTATCGATGCTGCAGCAGCAACGAATGACCCCGCTCTCTTCCGAACTTTTCTATCGCAATTGGCAAACTCTCGAGGATGGAGAGACGAGTCTTTATACGAGCATCCGCTGCAGACATCAGCTCGATTCGGCTACCACAAGATCATTGATGAGCTGGTCAACTTTGAGCGACTCTCACCAGCGCAAGCTCCAACATGGTTCATCACTTGGCAGTGGATCGATTCAGCTATTTGCACGGCAATTGAGTTCTCCCAACCAGAGGCGATAACGAGTCTGTCAAAGTTCTATGAGCTACCTGGTCGCACAGTTCGTTCCTTATCTTATAGCGCGTGGGTTCTCAAAGCAATGAAACTCAAGAATGATTCCGCCTTGGATTCAGTTCTTAGCATCAACGTTGGCTCGCGACTGAGACTCACCAAGCAGGTCTTCGATCAAATCTGCAAGCGTGGAGAGACCGAGCTTATCGACAGAGTTATACGGAAAGGGATTGTTAAAACTAACAGGCCATACCCGCAAAAGGACACCGACCATGGACGCCGAATATGTCCACTGGTTGTAGCCATACAGTCTGGCAATCCAAACATGGTGTCTGCGGTCCTCGCCGAAGCCGATGCGGATGGAGCATGTAAAGATCTACCGCGCGCCATTTCGCCTCTAAACTACGCCATCAGCACATACAACTTCGATATTGTCAAGATGCTGCTTGAAAAGGGAGCAACTATTTCCTGCAAATGCGACTACGGCTTTTGTTCCCTACAGCTTGCTCTTGCCATCGAAGACAAGACTATTTACGATATCCTGCGGAAAGCTCTGGCCAAACAAGGCGAAGTCTTCCCCACTTACGCGAGCGCAAGAAAGAGCAAAGGAGGCTTTGTCTTGTGCTTCAGCCCTTGATCACGAAACCCCACGATCGTCTTGGTATAAGGGGTTCGGGTTTGAGGCGTCGAAGGATGAGCTTTTGAACCTGAAAAGCTTGCAGACTGGACATTTTCAAGGCGACTTGATTACACTGTATTATAAGGATTTGGGCTAGGTTGGATTCATTTTGGAGGCTTTGCCTGCACTTTCTGCTCTGGTGAGAGCAACGTGCGCCAAGTTGGCATCAAAGCCCGAAGGAGGATTGCAACACGGCGGACAACGTATGGGCCATGCAGGACTCGTCAGTGAGAGCACGACTTGATCATAATGGTTGAAATCATACATACATAACCATACAGCTGAGATTCGTGTATTTCATAGGCAGCATGCAGAAAAATCCAGGCCCTCTTTCCCGTCCCCTGCCTTGGGAGACTCTCCTCACATTGTAGCCTGTGAAAATATGACTGATACATGGTTTCCGCATCGGCATCTTCTCCACTGTCAATTTACATACTGCAATCAGGTGAAACTAGTACTACGCTCTGCAGTCCTTGCTACGGATCCGTCCTGGACACGTTCGACAAAATAGACTTCGTCTCCACAACTGGGGGTCATTTTCTGCTTTTTGGCTCTGAAGAGCGCCTGAAAAGTCTACTGCATTTTGAATGAAGTTAAATATGCTTTCAAGTCAATCCTAATAGTAGGGTTCAAACTACTCTGTCGAACTGGCAGGAACAGACCTCACACCCCCAAATTTAGATGATCGTTATTTACCACTTGACAAAACTCACGATGCATCGTCTCGATTTTGCCTATGAACTCCCGCAAAGGTATTCTATTAGTTCGTCCCAGGCTTTGGAATAGCAAAAACCTGGCGCTATCAGCTCGTATGCGGCGAATCCACGGCACCTGAGTATGTGCGCGAACTGCAAATCGGTACAACTTCTGCAAATCCTTTCCAAATCGCCGACGTCGACATTACCCAACGGTTGTATCTCATGCGCAGTTAACGGAGCAAGCGCAGCAGAACAAGCACTTATCTAATTATGATTAGGGCTGCCCTGCTGTCTTACCTCTATTCAATGCCGCAGTTCAACAGGCTGAGATACAACATGTACCAACGAACGGGACATAAAGTCGGAGAATAACAGCCTGTCAAATTAGATCGCGTATTCACTCACGCAAAATCTTCCGTTCCGACCTTTGGTGACTTGGTAAGCCTGTAGCTTGAAGTTCTTGGCATACGCCTTTCACCGAAATATTTAAGCACTGACTCATGCAATATCAGAACCACAAAGTGCACAGACCATAGATTCCCATGTGATTAGTGCGCTCTCATTCTTTTCAAATCTACAGTGGAGTGGCTCAGGGCCTCATTTCACGGCAACCCACATTACAACACACTCTCCTTCCCCGCTTCGGGAGCCCTTCTATCTCCAGCAGCGCCACAGCCTTGCTTGATTCCTGCTTCCATCCCTCCAGTCAGGTCAACATGGTGAAGGTAGTCGACCTCCCCTTGGAGATTTTCCGAAATATCATACACAAAGCCGTATTGAATGGAGTCCAGCAGGCCTGGCGACAACGTTCCGTTTGCCGTAAGCCTTCACGCGTGCTTGTGTGAGAGTTTCACTGACCCTCGCAGGGGCTTTCGCCGTTACGATTGACGAGGCCGTCTTCTTGACACAGCCTATCGAAGCGTTGATTCCACATGAGGGGCGGAACCGCAACTGCCGTCACCCTGTGACGTGTAGCGTTGAAAATGCAGCTCGTTTCCTTTTCAATCGACTCACGCTCTCTGGTCCCCTCGGTGTGCATCCAACGCTGCGTGCTATGATTGAGACGACTGCAGATATGCTCATAAGCAATAATGACGCAGGCCCTCAGAAACCACGTCAATGGTACCTGGAAATGCTTTGTCTATCGGTTGCCCGGGAAAGAGATATGACGAAGAACTGGTGGCCATTGCTAACCAAGGGCCTACACCACACGGTTTATGAGTTACCGGAGTCATCTGTGAAAATCCGCGCCGCTGCTGCTGTGAACGACATTGAGTTATACCGTCGCCTACTCTCGGAATTGCAAGATGAAGACGACTGGGAATGGGAGGGTGAAGCGAGCCTCTACGCCGATCCTATTCACTTGGCTGTACACATGGGATATGAAGATCTTATCCGGCACACACTAGACATTGCCAGGGAACGAAAGGAACTCCCATATCTTCTGAGCTGGAGGCGACGGTGTAAGGCTCTAAACAAAAACTACGGTATTGATCAAGGAATGTGTCTGGCAATCGAAAGGGGCGATCAGGTATCTTTCCAACTGTTGATCAACTTCATACGGGATGCCGAGTTTGTTCCCCATACTGCTTGGTGGATTGGCCTAGCCGCAAAGAAAGGCGATAAAGATATGGTCAATACGTTGATCAAAGTCCCTACCGAGAAGATATTTCCATCTGACTGGCAATATACCTTCAAGGAGCTTTGTCAACTGGGAGATATATCTCTCATGAAATCCTTCGTGAATGAGGATCCTTCCATATTGCGAAGACAGCGCGAGCCTTTGCCGGGCAATCCTATGCTGCACATCGCGTTGGAACATGGTACACACGAGATTCTTAAGGCTCTATTTGAGGTTGGAATTGGGCAACTTGTTAACGAAGTACGACGGGCGGATGGATTAACTCCGTTCTACTTGGCGATTCAACAGCAGAAAAAATCAGCAGCTCAACTTCTGCTCCAACACGGAGCCAAAATCATCATCAGTGGTAGTGGTTTGGGCGGAAACTGGAAGACAGCAAGGGCTATGGAAATGGTGGCCAGGACCAAGAATGAGAAGATGTATAATCTCATTCGAGAGGCGGCTTTGAAAAAAGGCCTGAAGGTTCCTAGTTTCCACGACTTAAAACAGCATGGCCAGGTCAAGCTGCGCAAACGGAATGATGGTTAATGCAACAGGTGTCAACCGAGCATTAATAAATGATACTTCAATGGTGCCTGGGTTGACACGTTGGAGGAATACCTACCGTAGGACGGGCTACGTACATATTCGAGCACTTGCCATTCAATGCCTTCTTATACCTATGTGAGAATGATTTAGTATTTTCTCTTTCCCGTGTGTAACTTACTATACATGAACTTGGGAATGTTTCCATCATTCCGATGTCAGGAAACACCCAGGCATTTGGGGTCCACATGGATTCAAGAACTGTCGCTTTACGTTCCCCTCGATATGTCTTCGCTTGAAGCATGTGAACGCTTGGTATAAGACAGCTATTGGCATAACGTACCTCCCCCTATCATCTTATATTGCCTAGGAAGACTCCACTTGCCCTGGCCTAGATAATTCAAGCTCTGTGGCTCCTCGTTCTTGGCTAGAGGTGACACGTATGTGGCCACGTGCATGTGAGACGGCAGGCCCATACTTCTTCCCCAAATTCTTCTTTGCTCGTCTTGTAGGCTTACAATCTCCCTTTCTGTGTCTCCCCCTGGCCGGTCAAAGCCAGATACCACCTGACTCCACACATGTTGATCCACTTATCCTCCACCAACCCCAGATTCGTGGCTCTCTCCCAGATCTGCGCCAACTTATCCCTCCCATTCACCCCAACTGTAATCGACACTAGGCCCTCGCTCATCCCCTCCTGACCCCTCGCAAAGCCCAACCTCGCATTCGTGAAAGCCAACAAATCCCTACTCCTTCCCACGCCGAAAATCTCCTCCCATTGCCTGGCCGCGGCCTCATGACCCAAGTCTCCTGGTGCTAGACGCAAGACGCAGCCTTCGAGCGAGAGATGCGAGGAACGCTTCATGCCCGAGTAGTAGGCGTTGTGGTCGGAGCCGCAGGCATGCCAGGGAGAAAATCGAGACTTAAGGGGTGTCGGGTTTTCAGGAGAGGGAGTATGGGAGTCGAGTTCGGGCATTATGCCGCCTGATGAAATCAATCAATGTCACTGGTAACGGAATTGGTCGGTATGCCAGAGCATTCAAGTACCTTTGATCCCTTTAGGATGGTATTGGACACACACGCTGTCGCCATGGTCATAGCTCCATATTACTTTTGCGAGATTCTTGGATTCAATGTATTCACGTCGCTTTCGGGCATCTTCGGTTTGCATTATGATCATGTAGCCGCCTTCTCCTCGCTTGTCCAGAAGGCGGCCTGCCGTGGTGTTCTCCTGTATGGGTGCGACGACCTGTATCAGAAATTAACGAGTGCTCGCATCTAATCGCTGGATGAATTGCCTACTTCAATGAAATCTCCGCCTAGCGGAACTACGCAAAAATCAGCTATATCATCCAGAAGACACGCATAAAGAGTTGACAATACCTAGGATATTCCTAAGTCCCCATTGTCCCACTGCTGGATCCTCGAAAACGACCTCTGTTCCCAGCACGTAAGTCTATCACTGATCAGCAACCGCCGCTTCTGAAACTCAAAAACCTACAAGCTGCTGTCTCGCCTTCTCCAAATCCTTCACCACGAGTGCAATCTGTCGCAAGCGCGTAGGCGCAATACCGCCCGCAGCTTTGAGACCGACATTCTTCGCGCCTGACATAGTCCAATCCAGGAGGATGGTGCAAGTACGGTGGCAGCAGAGCTACAGTTTCTGAAGAGTAATTCCGGGAATACTCGCAGAGGGTAGCATGGGTTAACTGCTTGGGGCTGTGTTGTCGAGATGATATAGTTAGAGCCGATTTGGTTTGGGAAGTGCACCTCGGGTTTTGGATGGGAGCCGAGATCCCCGCATTTGGATTGAAACCGAGTGGTTACTGTTGTCGCAATTATGAGCTCAGATTCTTGTAAATGTATTGGGATATTTCCGCCTAGCATAGATTTTTATGTCGAATGCCCAATAATGCAATGTCAACCAGCATGAGGTGAAGGAGCCCTGGAGAATAATGCACGCTAACCCGATGCAGAACATCATCACGTGACTATATCTGAATTGTTGAAATTTACACATATGTCCATATGTATGCCATAGAAGCTGGAAAGGGCGTTCTTAAGATAATTATATTGCGGACAGTATAAGGTTTGTACATGGTAGTTAATGCGGCACTCACAGGTTGTAATGAATTTCTCTTTACTCAGTACGGCTCAGACTCGCCCACGATTCCTTCAGCTTTTCCGAAGCAAGACCTATACGCCTTAATCTCACTGTCTAAATGCATGGCTGGCTTTGGGATAGAGGGCGCTTAAAATACTGAGAAATCTTCTGAGCTGATACAATGCAGACTCAAACTCAGCCGAGAGTAAGATATGAAGATTCAGGGTCGAGAAATACGAAGAAATATGGGTATCAATAAAAATATGTGACGGCTCCAGCGTCCCAATACATACACTGAATCTCTTGAAAAACTCAATCACTTCAAATATCCCATTCCCAGCCCCATCCCACTCAACCTTCCCAAAGGCTCTGCACTTCGCGGTCTCCCCGGCTTCACCTTATCCTCATTCCCATTTCCAGCCCAAGGCGCAGATGTATCCTGTCCTTCTCCCCTCGCCTCCTTCAGAAATGCCGGCTTAGGCACACCTAGAAGTCCATTTTCCACCCAAACGTCCTTCATCGGCTTCGGACGCGAAATATCCCGCTTACTCAGCCAACCCTTTTCAGCTTCTACTTCTTTCTCTCTCCCCTCATTTGAGTGTTCGCTATCTCTGCGTAACCCAGCCCTCGACTCATTCCTGCTCCCGCTCCTCGACAGTGCCCCGCCCTCACCAAACAATCTGAAGCCCAACCGCGAACTCAACTTCGACCTCCTGATGGGTATCTCCTCGACATTAGCAGAAGGACGGCGTTTGTAGATCCAAACGCTCAGAGCGACGATAATGCAGATGATAACGAAGCCTGCCCCTGCGAGGCCGGCCATAGCGCCGATGCTGAGGGCTGGACGAGGAGATGTACGCGTCAGAGGCGCAAGAGGAGCACCGGGGTCGTTCTCAAATTCACCGGGTGGGGGTAGGTTGCCATTGCCGTTGGGAAGATCGAAGCCGGAGGGGAGGGGGCGCGTACCAGTCGAAATTGCAGTAGATGTTGGGGGATTGCCGGTAGGGAAAACGGACGAAGCTGGTGATGCGGTGGGAGATAGGCTTGCAGTAGCGGGTCTAGGTGGTGGTTGGCTTGCGACTGGTGCGGGTTCGTTTCCTGTGTTTCCAAAGCGGTCGGGGACGGCTTGTCTCTTGATGATAGGAGTGTGATTGGTGTGTAAAGAAGATGCTGATGCACTGGTGAGGAGCACAAGTACCAAGAGAATGTAGCATATTACTGCCGATGACCGTTGCAAAGACCGTAACAGGCGTTTCTGACAATGGTGATCAGATGGTGTTATCGCTTTGGGTATATGTCTCTCGTCTTCACTTAGGGGTCGATTACTGTGGACGTATCGCACTCCGGCCTGCGGGTTCCTGAGTCGTGCGCATCTATTGATGTAGGGAATATGCTGTGGAAATCCACAAGGCGACAGGCTAGTAAAAGTCAGAAGCGGTCTTCCTGCTGGAGCTTCTTTGACGTACCATCTGGAAAGCTCTAGTTGTTTGTCGTCCTGTGTGGCTTTTCCAACAGCTGACACCGATGTTCCACATCTCCAGCCACTCGTTGTCTGCTGGTATCCGTCCGCATCCTCCATGCAGTGTGGGTCGTATGTTCTGAAACGCCGCCAAGGGTACTTGGGCATGATGTTCTAGAAGGAAAGATCTCAAATACAGCATCTAAACTCAAATAACACGTTTGATTCGGAAGAGAGTCTGCAATATCGTCAGAATCGCAGGAAGAACGAGAAAAAGTGAGGAATAATATCGCGATATTGAGAACACACAGTCGGCGAGGCACGTTGGGAAATATCTGAGCCGCCTTCGACGGCAACTCCAGCTGCTTCACAGCCGCATATGGACCATCGAGCAGCCGCACCCTGAATTGACTTCACCCATGGGTAACATCCTTGGCGATCCTACGTTCTGGCCGGTAGCGAGGCTCGGAAGAATATCATCAGGGTACAGCCGAGGAGGAATCTGGGGTAAAGGCGATGCATGAACGTCGATGGTGCGATCTGACGTCGCAGATCTAGTTTAGCCGCACGTGGTTTAAGAACATCTGTGTACCGCAAAGTACATCTTCTAGAAGCATTTTCTGACGCATCTGCGGGTGGTCGATTGCGTTGAGTGGTAGACTAATGTATAAAACGCCCCGTCGGATAAAGGTTGACTGCGGCTTATCACTAGTCGAGAAGCCGAAGAATATTCGGCATGGAAGGAGCGACATTCCGTGTTAAAGGTGCGAAGACATACGCTCCTTGCTTGCTAAGACATCGTACTAACAAGCATGTGCATTTACTCGGTGGGCCCGCGGCCTTGCTTCTCCTTTCACCGCTTGAAGCCATCCTTCGTTCGGCTCAAGATCAATCGGAAGCGAACGCGTGGCCAGGAGTAGCGATAGTCCTGTTTTTGAAGAGGTTCGAGCCGCCGTGTGGTTATAGGCTTCGTGCGATCGAGGGAGTAGATCTTGAAGACATGACAACTGCTTCAAAACATCAAGGATTAGGATATCAAGCCGCTATCCGAAACCTTGTGTGACTTACGTTCAGGTTAGTGTCCAACGTACAGACACAGAACGGTAGCCAACCCTCCGCATCAACCTTCAGCCTATACTACCAGACACACCAAACCTGCAAATATTTCCTTAGCCGACTCTAGATTGTTAGCTTGGTCATAAGTATTCTGTATCCGTGCACCTACTCTAGGAAATTTTCCGTTCCAAGGGAACTGCAGCGCTTGGATCCTGTCGGGGGACTTCTCCTCCAGCACGTATTTCCACGAGACTTCGGGAATATCCTTCAACTTCGGCCCCATTGCATAATGCAATGTAATACCTCTATCGAACACCTCCCAAATATGGATTCGTCTAAGGAAGTGGCCGCATTTGAAACTCTGGCGGCTGGTACCGTTAAAACCGTTCACGCTGTTTACACTGTTTACAGTCGGTCACCAACCACTGGGGAGCCATATCTGGTCCATATCTGGGCAACTTGTTTCTTCGTCTCCGGGTACTTCCCATACAATGTAGCCTCCCCGGCCCAGGCGTTCCTCTAGGGAGTTAGGCACATGGCCCTGTTGTTGGAAAGGCGGTGCATTTGGTTCTGTCGGAGCCATATCGAGGGGACTATGCAAGAAACTGGCGTTCGTCACTCTAATTAAAGCTTCCCGAAGTGGGTGCTGGCTTCTCTTGTTTGAGACATCGAGTCTGTGTCTTGCTGCAGATGGTCTATCTCATCATTTCGTTATGCTTAACTTTGAGAAACACTGGGGCGCCGCGCCAATTAAGATCCTGCTTCGCGTGAGATTCGACATCTGCAGCGTAAGGTGCACGTGGCGAGAGCACTCTCAGGCTGCGTGATTGAGTGCGAATTGATGATACATGGCGCTTTCAACAATCCAGGCATAATCTCAACGTCGATGGAGCCCGGTTGAGGGGTGTAGAGTAGGTCGAAGGCGTGATGCGCCAGCAGTTTGTCACAATTTGACTAATTTCGACTGGAAACCTGGGCTCATGGAAGACCTGTTCGTGGGCTGAAAGGAGTTTTGCGGTGAACGTTTGGAGGGAATGTTGTTGGAGGTACGGTCCTTCGAAAACGGGCTAGCGCAGATAAACGCTTGATTATTCATCACTAGTTATAACTAGTTATTGGGAATAGACCGAAGATTCACAAAGTCAAGTTTCAACCTTCAGGAATAATCTTTAATCTCCGCGCCTTGTCTCTTTTCAATTCCATTCATGCTCCACTTTACATGACTACACGTATACTACAAGGCTGGCCCGCTAGAGAGCTGATTCTATCTTTGCACGCTAATCTGGTGCCGCCAGCGGTTACTCGGCCTGCCCTATTCTATCCGTGGACGTGCGACATCGGCTGCTATTCAACATCATGATCGGATTTTGTTCTTTCTTCAGTGTGTCCATTCCAATTCCCCTATTCGCAGTCAGTGTCCACCGTATAGCCGGCGTTCCCACTCGTGCCTTTTCTGATAATTCAAAAGCTTATGCAAGCCAGGCCTTCGGATGATTGGAGCTCAAGTTTGTACATAAAAGGATACTTCAAGTTAATTTCTGAGGCGGCACGCACCTCAGCCCTCCCAATTTCAGGGCTACTTGTTCAATGAATGGCGCATGACCCTATGTCCTGTGGACATTCATGCCGCCTTATCGCAGAAAGGTCGCATCAATAACACGAGACGGTAGCTGAACTGTTTGAACCCCTAATAATTTTACTAAACTTATCTCAGTGTCGTGGTCCTCAAATGCCGCACTCTGCTGAAAGCAAGTTGGAGAACGATGTCTGCTCTTCTCGGAGCTCTAGCAAAGACGTCCACACCGTTCGAGCTGAACGCCCCATTTTCATCCTCTCGCTCAACTTATTCGTATTTTTTCCGCCCCCACCTCCTCTCCTCAGCTTACTCTCCTTTTTCCTACCCCGAATCTTCCCCCTCACACTTGCCAACAACTCTCAAAAAAGCAAGTTTCCGTTATTAATCCGAAGGCAAATTGCAATAGCAACCAAACTTTGTGCACTCCAGCTCACACAAGGCAACACTTCGTCCACTGCAATCAAGGTCTGCTGGTAAATGCTTCTGCGCCATTACGCATTTGTTGAACCGGGGCCTGCTGCCGTTTCTTCTCAACACGAAGCCAGGCGCCCATGGCACCCGTCTATCCAGAGTCGGCCTCGGGCAAGGCGCCGAACAGACAAATCCAATTGATGCAGCAGGCGAGGGATGGAGCGTCCTTTGACTCCTATGAGCTCGCGTGCTTCATACATGGCGGGCAAGCTCCCTCTCAACATCCCAATTCTGCCAAACATAAACTGACAGTCGCGGTAGAGAGAATGTGTTAAAGGAACGTAGGCTTGCGTGGGAGCGGGTTGAGACGCTAATTGGGACCCGAGACACCTCAAAGCTTCCACAGTCGTATGGCAACCAGAATCGGGAAGAAATGTACGAAGAAGGACTACGGTGGGGAAAGATCATCTTCGAGGACGGCTTGAAATTCAAGCACACGTTCTTCAAACACATCACCCCTCGTTATGTTCTTCTCAACTCCAGTCCTTTCGGTATGATCACGACCATGTTTGAACCTACACTGCACCTTATGGCTTCGGAAGTGCAGAAACGCAAGTGGCTTCCGCTCTGAAGCCGGTAAAATTATAGGCGCTTATTGCTCAACGGAATTGGGTCATGGAACATTCGTTCGAGGTATGGAGACTACGGCGACGTTCGACCCGGAGACGGACGAGTTTGTCATTAATTCTCCTTCGGTGTCCTCGGCAAAGTTTTGGCCTGGAGCTATTGGGTTTTCATGCACTCACGCTATTGTCACGGCTCGTTTGATCATCAAATCCGTGGATCATGGACCACATTTCTTCATGATGCAGTTTCGATCACTTGAGGATGGCACTCCGTTGCCTGGAATTACCCTTGGCGATGTTGGCCTGAAGATGTCGTGAGTAATCGTCTATGTCGTTTATGAATCAATCAAAAGCTAACAAAGGGTAGGTACAACGGCACTTGCAATGGCTACGCTTATTTTAAGAACGTGCGTGTCCCTCGAGTGGATATGCTATCGCGCCACGCTCAAGTTGCCCGTGATGGCTCTTACACTGGTACCCAATCTCCCCAGGTTGCTTACGCCACCCTTTTGATGGTCCGTGGTATCATCGTGCGCTCAGTCGGCTTCCAGCTAGCACAGGCGGCGACAATTGCGGCTCGATACTCAGTTGTACGCGAACAAGGCCTCGGTCCGAATGGCCTGGGTACATCTGAGGCCATGCTCATCTCATACAAGTCCCAACACTTCCGTGTCCTCACCTTGATTGCTAAAGCATATGCGATTCTGTTTGCTGCATGGTCTTTTGAGGCTACCTACAAGGCTCTACGCGAGGAGCAGGAGAATGGCAACCATACGCTGCTGTCCTACGCTCACAGTGCCGCCGCTGGTTTCAAAGCCTGGTCAACTCAGACGGCCGCCGATGGTGCTGAAGATGCGCGCAAGTGCTGCGGTGGACAAGGGTATTTGATTATATCAGGACTTCCTGAAATCGCCGCTGCCGCCACTGCTACGGCTACCTTCGAGGGCGAGAACTACGTCCTTTGGCAGCAGGTCGGCCGTTTCCTTTTCAAAGTTATGGATGCACTAAAGCAAGGAAAGGATATCGACGGCAACCTGGCTTACCTTCAGGAGGAATACGCAGCTCGGCATCAAACGAGCCCTTTGGCTTTCCCCGGTCCTCTTCGATCCACTTCGATATGCGAGGCCCACGGCCAGGATTTTCTCCAACCCGATGTACAACTCTTGATTTACCGTAAGCGGGCATTCTGGCTCATCGAATCAACCTACCTAGCCGTTCGTGGCTCAAAAAGATCTCCTGCAGATGCATGGAATGAGCACATGCTGTCGATCATTAGTGCCGCGCGTGCACATACGGAGTATGAGGTCCTGTCGTCGTTCATCAAGGTCATCCGCACACTCCCACCATCCATGTCGCCAGCCCTCAAGACGGTCCTCACCAAGCTCTGCGCTCTGTTTGCACTGTCTAACATTGTAAACCCAGCAACAACCAACGCTATCACCTTCTTGGAGTGCGGCTATTTGTCCGCCGATCAGGTGCGGACAATTCGTTCGCTAGTAAATGAGCTTCTGGAGCAGCTGTTGCCCGATGTCATCTCCCTGACGGATGCGTGGGACTTCACTGATGCTTCGCTGTGTAGTGCGCTGGGTATGCGTGATGGCAACGTATATGAAAACATTATGCGTTGGGTTGAACAGGTACCTATCAACCAGCGGGCATGGAAGCAGAACAAAGGCGTATACCAGCCTGGGTGGAATCAGTGGATCGATCCCGTTCTGAAGGCCAAGCTCTAAGAGGGAGTGAATGGTACAATGACAGGAGATAGGAAGCTTTAACGGAGAACCTTTCTACCTAAATCATCGGAGTAGTCTAAAGAGTGTGTTAGGGACTTTCTAGGTAAAAGCTCATTTGGTGTTGTCATGATGAATGGACGTGCCCGTGCATCTATCTTTCTTGACGAAATGTGTGAAGAAACATGATTCAGAGTGTAGGAGCGACATACAACTTGTAAAAAGGCGCTTTCGTAAAAAACAGCAAATATTATATGCTCACAGTTCAACATTATCCATCCAATGGACATGCTTGCAATGTATTCAGGTACAGTCACGTGATAACGCGTTATGCTCGTTTTAGTTCTTGCAAACATTGAAAGGGCGATGGCATCTACCGTTCCAATATCGGAGGAATTTTGAATGATTTCAGCTAAACTCACACGAATGTGAATTAGGGAGTACAAAGCTAGTTAATGTATTTCGCAACCATTATCTTGATGTTCAAGCCCCGCCAAGACAAGATGACGGCAAAGCGCGGAGGATCAGATTCTCCTCACACCTCCCACGCCAGCACCATACATTGGAGCGGTACAGCGGCGAGGCAGCCTCCTGAATGCTGCCTTGTGCCTTTCCTCAAGATGATAGCTGCCCTCCACCATTTTTTATTACTTGATCCATTTAGGTGTCTGCCAACAATTTGAGCCTATCGCGCATCTATCTTCAGGATGCCCATGTTGACGCCAACGCGGATCGTCCTCATCGCTGTATCGATTTTCGGCTTTATTTCCTTCTGGTTTTCGGCATCAAAAGATCTGGGTCAACCTGTAATTCCAGTTGCAGGATATGGAGGGAAGCATGCGCCATCTGAGCACGCTGAGAAGCCCCTTACAAGGCCTGTTGCTGCGGATGCATCGGATATCGTAACTAGCGTCCTCGACCTCATAGAAGGGACTCCGATATCTTCATCTATATCGACAAGTACGCGTACAACCAGCGACGAACCGATACGGAGTTCTACGGTCTCCGAGACGACGCAAACCTCGACTTCATACCTGCACGATGAGGAAGACAAGACCAATGCGACTGCTGCAAGGACGACGGTGCCGCCGTACCCAACAGCAATCAATGCTACCAGTCAAGCGAATCGGAATACCTCCATTCCAGTTATAACCTGCAAGAGTATTCCTGGCGCGTCGGATGTCATGGTCATCGTCAAGACAACTAAACAGGAGAGTCTTTCTACGCAACTAGATACCCTTCTATCCTGCGTCCCCAACTTCGCGATATTCAGCGACCACGCCGGCATGGTTAGAAATTATACTATACACGATGCCCTTACTAGAGTCACGAACACACGCAAATCCAAGCATGACGAGTTCAAAGACTACGAGAAGCTGCGGAAACAGCCTGACGCAAAAGTGGGATCTCTAAAAAGGCTGGATAAATGGAAGATGTTGCCCATGGTTTACGAGGCATATAAAATGAAGCCCCACATGCGCTTCTACCTCTTTATCGAGCCAAACACAATTGTCAGCTGGACGAATCTCTTACAATGGACAGCCCGACTTGACTCCCGTATACCCTACTACATAGGCGCACCCCTCCAAGTCGGCAGTCTGAAATTCGTTCAAACCGGATCGGGAATCCTCCTCTCGAATGCGGCTATGCAGCGCTTCGCAAAAGCCTATGATGAACGGTATGAATCGGCATGGGAAGAAAAGGTCGAGCGCGGATGTTGCGGCGATGTTGCCCTTGGGTCAGCAATGGAAGATGCACATGTGGAGTTGTATAACGCGTTCCCGACCATGTACTCAGATAAGCCATCCTCGTTTGAATGGTCACAGAAGCATTGGTGCATTCCTATCGTGACTTGGCAGAATGTATCACGAGGGGTTATCGAAGAAGCATGGGAAGTCGAGAAGAACTGGACAAGCAAGAACGGGTGGAAAGAACCGTATCTTATGCGCGATGCCTTCGCCGCACTGGTGCAGTCTCATCTGCTCGAGCGGAGCGATGATTGGGATAACTTGAGCCATGACACGAAAATCGTAAGGCCGCTGCTTGAGGGTCTTGGCGAGGAGGATATCCAAGAATGGCATCAAATCGACGAGGATCTCAGACAGGCGGTCGAGAGTTGGCAAGCATGCCAAAAGGTGTGCGAAGCTGTGCAAGACTGTCATCAATGGAGATATAGCAAACGAGGGGAGGGCGAATGTCATCTTGGAAAAACCATCAGGTTAGGGGTCCAGGCGCCGAAAGTGCAAGGTGAAGAAGGGTGGACGAGTGGGTGGGTTTTGGACCGGATACGGAATTCGACCAAAGAGTGGGAGTGTAACGAGGTGAAGTGGCCTTTTCAAAAGTGAGGCATGGCCATCTTGGATAATTCCGTTTAGTCGTTTTGGGCTATGTAGGGCGCTATTAAGAGGATTGGAACACCAGACGGATGTATACCATGTAATACTATATTCATTGACGACAACCCGCAGAAGCGCCGTGCGTGTAATCATTGGAGACCTTACATGCTCTGTAGCACTATTTCCGAATTAACTCCACCAAGACATACTCGGCTTCACCGTTGAGCTACTGAACCCCTATCCGTTCATATGGATCTGCCCGGAGTGGCAGCTTTGGGACGATCCGGGCGATAATATGGAGGATTGATTGCATGCAGCCAAAGCACAAAGCGCCCTCTTGTAACGCAATCCAATAGTGGCATACCGCCCGCATGGCCGCCGCAGTTCCGAAAGCTTGTTTCGTCGTTGCACGGCTTGTTTGCAAACTGGAGCACACGGAACAAAGACGCCACCACGAAGCTTGCTACCCTAGGCTAGGGACGGTGTTCAACCAGCGGACTGTTCTAACTTCTCAATGATTCTGAATATCGCCCACTCGATTCCTTTCAGTACAGAATGCGCTAATTCAAACATGGTTCCCTGAATATATGGTGAAAGACTTCCCATTTCTCAGTGTCTGGATCGACCAACAGTACTGCGGAGCGAACTGTCCGCCAATAAATTCCCCCACGAACCACCTGCATGATATCCTGCCCAAGTGGAAAATTCAGCGCGTGCAGTAGACGGGATTTCTATTCTGCGGTATCACAGTCTGTCCGGTGTACACGGTCGATCGGATTTGGCATGCTGTGGCTCATGCATTCGCAACATCAAACACCTCTTAGTCAATATTTTCCCTTGCTCGGAACGTTTTTAAGTCACAATACCTCTGGCCCAGGTTGGAGTGTCAAGATCAGAGAAGGGTACGAACGATAATTCGTGGCATCTTTAAGGGGTACGCAGAGGCCATTGATATTCTCGCAAGGTGGTATGATCCTGTGCTATGCAGTGGAACTGATAATGTGTAGAACGTTCCCCCTCCTATTCACTTTTCTCGGACTCGGGACGCCCGCGTCGCACTGGGACCCGCTTCGCCCTAGCACTCAACACATCGAGTCGAGAAACTCGTTCGACTTCTCCATTCAATTTTGAACTATATTAGATTCCTTGGCCGTAATCTGCATCGGTCATAACTCTCTAAGATGTCATCTAAGACTCGCCCGGAACTTCCACTCCGTTGAACGCCAACCTATCTGCGCTCTCCCTCAAGTCCGTCACCTTCCCAACAACCGCCAATTCGTACAACCTCGCCTTAACGGCCTCTCCGGTCATGGGTCCCTCCAATCCACGGAGATAGCTGACCAGGCCAGCAACATGCGGTGCCGCCATCGACGTGCCCGTCAACGTCCAGGTCGCGTTATCACTGCCTCTGTACGCGCTAATGATTCCCGTTCCGGCGGCGAAAATGTCCACGGCGGGACCGTAGTTGGAACCCGTGCTGCCTCCGTATCTCTTGAGGTCCTGCTGCACGTTGCCGACGCAGATGGCCTCGGGACTCCTGGCAGGGGACCTGCTGCTCGCGGGTTGATTCTCGTTACCGGCGGCAACAACGGCCAAGACGCCCTGGTTCCACGCAGCGGTGATTGCGTTGTCCCAGGTGGTGGATCCGGCGCCGCCGAGAGACATGTTGATGACGGCGATGGAAGTGCGGTTCTTAGCGACGATGTCGTTGACGGCCCACTCGAAGCCCTTGATCACAGTCGACGTGGTGCCGCTGTTGCCTTCGAAGATCTTGACGGCGACGATGGTGGCTCGCTTTGCGACGCCGAACGTGGCACCACCGACGATGCCGGCGACGTGGCTGCGAGTTCGTTAGACTGTGGTTATTGGTGGGGAGAAATAGACGGGGATATGTACGTTCCGTGACCGGCATTATCGGTGTTTACGTCGTTCACGGCGTTGAATCCCCACTCGACGCGGCCTCCGAACTCCTGATGCGTAGTCCAGACGCCTGTATCAACGACATAGACATACGTTCCCGCTCCCGCAGTCTCGTCGTACAGGTAATCGGTGCCCGTGCCGGACTTGGAGGAGATACTGGCGAGGCCCCATGGGGAGTTCGCCTGGGTCTTGATTTCTAGGGTGGTCATGATTGTATCCTCCTCGATGTTCAAGACCTGCCACTCAGGTTAGCTTACTGCAACAATGGACAAGCGATAATCAATTCTGACAGCCCGTGACCCGTCTTATCCGGCGAAGCCGGTTTTGTGCACCCTCATGTTCCATTGTCTAACAATGGTGTTCGTTCCTAGCTTCAAATCGCTTTGGAAACGCAACGCGGCTGGATAATCTCCATTTTCCAGCTTATACAACGCCAACATCGACGACAACTAAAAATACGCACCTCAGGAAGTTTCCTCAACTCCTCAATAGTCGCCTCGTCAAACCCTCCCGAATAGCCATGGAAATCGCCAAAGCCGAACTCCTTCTCCACGCCCTTGAGCTCCACAGCCGCGAGGTCCCGTCTCGCCAGGGCGTTCCGTCTGTGGATCTCGCGGACCTTGTTGTGGTGCTCGGCCAGAGTTGCAATGTCGACATCCGGCTTGAGCTGGATGATATATTTCCCCTTGACGACTTCGGATTGTTTGAAGGGCGCGCCCTGGGCGAGGAAGGGGGCCGCAGCTACCGCGAGAGCGGCCAAACGAGCGAGGAACTGCATTGCGAGCGCTGCGACCACGACGGCTTAGCAGCAATGTAGGAACGAGAGGTAGGAGGCGGAGGGGGTGAGCATCTCAGTGGCGGGAGAAGCTCTCCCACTTATATACAGAATTTCTTCATGCAGCTCATCCAACGTCCTAACCCATGTAGCCTATAGATCCCGCCTAAACACCCATCGATAGCGCCCACGCACAGAATAGATTTCGTGATCAGCAAGCAGTAGTGGCGATCCTGCAACACGGCCCCCATGATTCCACCGACCGCATGTTAACCTTGCCAAAACGTCGGTTCCGGGCCGCATCCGACCACCGCCAATGTGCCCCAAATAAGACTTTTGCTCGGTACTACTTCGTCGTGGCATGACATGCGTTTTATTAATCTAGACCCTTCAATGCCGGTAACACATGGCAAGATGCTCCGTAGGCAGGATTGCGAAACCGTGGAGGCGACAAGATAATTTAATATGCGCGAGACGCCTCGAGTCAGGCGCACTCGTAAATATCCCGGTCCTTAGCATAGCCATTCAAAGCCTTACCCGTCTCGCTTCCGTACCAGTCCCGAATTTGCCGGCCATTCACACGTTTTTCTGGAAAATAATACGTTAATTGACTCGATTCTTCTTCTTCAATAATCACCTCCTGATGCGATTGGGAAGGGTGTTACACCAAAGTGTGGGGATACAGTGGCTCGATATTGGGATGAGACCCTGCCAAGTACCCTATATCCTTCTGGGCTGTCAACGATCAATGCTTCGCCTCTTCTGAAGGCGATCAGATCGATGATTGGTCGTCTGTACATTTTCTTTGGGATCGCTGCCCCTGATGGGGCTGAGCACTACTATGCCATATTGAGGGTCCCTCCTATGCACACAGTAAGACTCTAGACCCGAGAAAGTCGCTCCGCTGGTTCCAAGTCTATTCAACGATGCAGCAAATGACCAATCTTCAGTGATGTGTTCCCGGATGACAATGAAATAAAGAATCCATTGATGTGGAAAACGTCCTTTCCGTCTTGCTGATACTGGCATCTGACCGGATAAGCTATGCGCGTGAAGGGAACAAATATCTCCCATGTAACTACTGTGTAATGCGGTGCAAACGGATATGCTGACGGATATGGAAGTGCATGCGTAGACGGACAAGAGGGCGTAAATAGAAAAATAGCATTGCACACTGCTTCTCCTTTTTGGTTTCAGTATTGTATTCGGTCTACGGACTCGAACTCTGCTATCCAAGGTACAGTAGCCTATACTGCAGAAGAAGAAGAAAACGTAGATAAACTTGTGTAGCCTTTTAGGCACCAATTGCAAACACAATATACAAAGGAGATAAGGAGATGCAACTAGCGTAAAAATCTGCAAAATAGTCCTGCAAACCCTGATTCCTCCCAAGTCTCTGTTTGTGTTCTTATGGCTTTTCCAATCTTGAATCGAGTTGACGTGCCTGCCTCTCATCCCACGAGAAAATTCCATTGCCGGATCCGTAAAGATTCTCCCCTACCTGATCGGCGCAAAGAAGCCGAATTTGTTATCGGGATCATACTCTTGCTTCAGACTCCGCAACCTCTCCAACCGCCAAGTCTCATGTCCATAGATCTCCTCCACACTTTCATCGCCATGAGCGTAATTCACGTATGCCGACAACGGCTGCCCAGTACCATCCACCAGCGCAGACCGCATTCGACTTCCGAAGTCGAATGCCGTAGCGTCCAAGCTTGCATTGTTCGCGTACGTCAGTAGTGGACCGATCAAGATTCGGCCTTGCCTGTCCGGATACGCCGTGCTCTCCTCTGGTTTGGCCAGTACGCCGTTCAACGCATACCCTTCCAAGAGAACGACCGAATTTCGGAATTCCTCTGGGAGTTTGCCGAAAATATTCAGGGTCTCCCGCATATTCTCCAAGGACCACGATTGCTGAGATATAGCATATATCACTCGAGAGTAACCTCTGGCACAAGCAGCCCCGCCATATTTTGCTCCAAGATGCGCATTTACATCGCCCAGCTCCGTAGTATTCACAGTGACGGCTGAAGGTCCAAGGGCCTGAAGCGGGTCTGAATACTCGCTGGGGATATCACTTCCTTGCCAGTAGATGTAGAAGTTGAAAACCGGCTGTCGAAAAGTGCGTTAGCAAGACTTCCTTTCAGACCTGGGGCTCCGCTCACATTGTTTGCATCAAGGCTGGGGTTGAAATAGAAGAGACCGTACTGGGTCAATCGCACGTCGGGATCGGAGCTCTCCAGCCATTCATTCCCAATGGCGAACACGTCTTCCAGCTTCTCCTGCGTATAGGTCAAAGTCATCACGGTCCAGAGATCGGTGGTCGGACTCCGATCATAGATCTTGATCTTGAGCTCGGTGTATATTCCGAAGTTGTGGCCTGCACCGCGAATTCCCCAGAAAAGGTCTGGATAGCTTTCCTCGGAGACTGTAATAGCCGTACCATTTGCAAGCACCATCCGAGCAGATATGAGCTGATCCGTCGCAAGGCCGTACTGTCCTTGAAGCCAGCCATGTCCGCCGCCGATAAGCGGTGAGACGAATCCAACGCAGTCACAACCTGGCGTTACTGCGAGGTTGTCAGAGGGAGTTAGAATAAAGGAGCAGGATAGGCTTACCCGTCTGTTTCCCATTCTCCCACAATATGTGCGTTAGCTGCCCCGTCGAGATGCCTCCTCCCACCACAGCTGCCTGACCATCATCCACAATCTGGACGTGGTTCATTCCTGTCATCAGAATGCCAATGCCATTGCGGACTTTTCCGAGGTTCACCGAGGTCCCATGGCCGCCCGATATGGCAAGGAACGGTTTCCCTTGTTCATTTGCATATTGAATCTGTCCCAGTAAGCGATGGTCTCAGTGGATGGACGTTGACATACTGTTTTCTGAACATCGCTCTCTGTTTTCACCGTGACAATGACATCGAACTCTGGCCTAACAGCCGCACTCCAACGCATGAATACAATCTCGTATTCTGGAGATCCCGCAATGTATAGCTCGGCATCTGGCGAAAGCAGCTCCTTGAGGCCGGGGACTGGATCCGAAACCGCAGAACTGAGAGCAACGGCAAATGCCCCTGCGAATGAGAGAAGGGCAAGAACCCGTTGAAAAAACATTGCGGGAGAAGGTCAGATAGAGTTTACTCTGCACACCGAGAGAGTTCGATGGGCATTTTATGTTTATACACCGGAGCGGGGTTGGAGAATACGTCGTTCCCCCGCATGGCATGAGAGTGCAATACGCCATCGTGCACGTCAGACCTATGCAGATCGAGGAAAGAAAGCCAAGATAAGGACCGTTTACGCGTCTCAATCAACAGAAACCATGGCTAGAAAACGTATTGACGGTCGCGGGCATGGCGTCCTCGGGGAGTATGACGGAAGGTGCGGCTGTTCAGCTCATCCCGATCGGTACGACTGCCAGCTGTCTGTGGACCCAAGACGAAAATCAACATGTCCATTCATTTACTGAGACGACGAATGCGCTTCGTTGCGGGCAAACAAGCATTGAGACGGCCCTTTAACGTTCCGACTATAGGCCGTGAATAGCGCCGCTGTCCTGGAACTGCGAACATGTGGCACAGGTGCGGAAAAGTGAATGGCCAAGACGCTAGGTTAGTGTATCTCAACGACTGTTCTGACGATGCTTGAGATCAACACTCTCACTTTTCCCGGGCATGTGTTGTTGCATTGAACTTACTTATTCATGTCCACCCGTGCAAACAAGGACGGCACCTCACAATGTCATCTGGGCGATAATTCAGACCTCTCACGTGCTCTACGCATAACACTGACGATAGGAGAGCGCAGAAACCGTCTTTCTAACTTACCATGGAATCAATGGCTTTACCGGAACGTATTGTCTTGATTTCAGACTTTAGTTGGGAATGAACAACCAAGGGCCCGATCACTATCACTAACAGCACTGTTCCTCCCTCCGCTCCCCATCGCCCTTTCCACATCAGAACGATACTTAATCAGAGGCAAATCCCTCCTCTGCAACCCACCTGCACCGAAACAAAACACCATACAGCACATCAACTGACGCTCCCATTACTATCCCAGCATTCGTTAACAGCGTCTTATCATTTTTCTTCCACAGGGGCATCCATCCCCAACACGAACCATGCTCCCAAACATGTTTCACGCCCTGGTCTGCGTGCCCCCTCGTCCCAGCTCAAACCCGTCTTCCGAAGGCTCGACATCGTCCTGCTCATCGGTATACTCCGCACCTACTTCCACCTCCCCACGATTCGTCTTCATCCGCAGGAAACTGCACTCAGGACGCGGCGAGAGAGGCGGAATAGGTTGGACTCTACGGGGTGGGAGAGTTATACCCTGGGAAAGCGAGAAGAAAATGCCCAGGCTCATGAGCAGGACGGGCTTATTCAAGAGAGCTGGAACTCACGTCAGGCTGTTGGAAGAAAAGCACACCGAAACCGGTGACGAAGGGGGTGACGCATATGAGGAACGCTGCCGTGGGATTAACGAAGTTGAATGTCAGGCTCTGCAGAAGGCTATCGTCGAAGCAAGAGTGGATGATGAGTGCGGCGGAGACTCGGAATCAGCGTATTCACGCCCCTCGCATGAATGCGAGACGAACGTCAACTTGGAGAAGACGCTCACTGACTCGGGATTTGTCCCTGGGAAAACCAAACGACATTTCAGAATGTGCAAAGGCCTTGTCGGATACGGCAAGGGGAAGATTGTCCATTTGACCTCTTCCTGCCCGAACGGTACGCGCTCACCAGTCGAGAAACTGAAAGCTCTAAGGTCGACATGTGCATCCGCCGGCCTCAAAGCTCTTGGGAAGGGTAAAAGAGCGACCAAACTCATACTTGGAGTAAATTCTCGGGAAAACGACAACAACGCAGATGACACAGGCCGCGAACCAGCGTCCACAACCCGCCGCTTCACCATCTTCAAATCCGCCGCCCTAGGCCGTCCCGAACCCCACGAACGTTTCCCCATCCTGCCGAAGCAACTAGGAGGGAAGACTTTGCACTTACCACGCCGATTCACACAAACGCGGCGCGATTCGCGTAGACGGGTGGAACCACTTTCTCCTCGCGTATCCAGGACGGTGACACTGGCGATTGCGCTGAGTCTTAGTATTGGGACGGAAGGTGCAGCTCCGAAAGTTTGGATCCTGAACTCCACGCTCAAGGGGACACTGTCTCCTAGGAATAACCCTCACAGCACCATGGATGACTGGGTCGTCGAATCCACGCATACCGGGGGAACACCACCAGTAGATCATCTCTCCAGCCCCCGCGACAGACTCAGTCTCCCTCCATGCACCTACTGCAAAGGCTCCACTTCATCCGCCAAAGACGATGCATCATTCACCACATCCGCACCGACCGAGGTGACCGTCACGGGCGCCAGCCAGACCACCGTCGCCAAGTTTAACCTCAACAGGGATGCGGACGTGAATGACGACAATGCGGATACGGCCACTACCATTTCCAGCTGCACCACTCACAGTTCCTCCCAATCCTTCTCTACTGCTACTCCTGTAGATTCGTCAGCGTCACAGCTCTCTGGTCCTGTCAGTCCTTCTCTCGACGGTGTCGACTGTAATGACCTGGAAGACAAATGTCAAGTACCGCCACTCGAGCACTACTGCCTTGAGGAAGCGAGACGGGAGGAGGAGTATATCGGTGGCGCCATCGCCCTCTTCCCGTCAATCAGCCCATATCTAAGGTAGGGGGGTGACAAGGGCGTGAGCATATGCGGGAGAACGGAGCAGATGTCAGCGTATCGTGAGCATAATGAACTTTGAGATGCGAGAGGAATCGCTCAGAGATAAGCCGAAGAAACGGGTTTCCAGGGGACACTAAGTGTAGACAGACCACTGCCTTCATTCATAATACATAGACTGCAAAACATGGCTTCATCCCCCCTTTTCCGAATATTCTCATGTTCTTCTGTCTGAGCATCACACCATCGTGAGCACCTGAAATCAATCCAAAACTTCCACGATCTTTTATTCCTCGTCAAAGCTCAAGCCTCCCGAGCCCAGCCATGAACAAGAGGGAAACTGAATAAGAGACATAGTTATCCCGCCTTCCGCCACCGTCACCTTCTCCAAACAACCATCACCCACCCCATCACCAAGCCACGCTCAACCTAATCTCATTCCCCTCACCACACTCGAACCACAGTCCTGGAAAACTTTCTTGGCTTTCTCCCCAAAATCCCGCCGGGACCTCCAGAGCCAAAAAAGAGGCCAGAAAACCTTCTCTGCCGGAAGCCCCACAACCGGCAGGACCATCCAGATCATCGTGATGAAATAGAAAATCTTGGCGGCTGGGGGAGCTTCAATGTCGTTCAAGACACCAGCATATCTGGGCTTCGTCCCACGACGCATGGTCACGAGGATGTCGGCCGCCGCTATGGCGACAAGCGTAGCACCTATCAAGGCGCCAGTCAGAGACCAAAAGATGATGAATAGGACCTTGATGAGGCCGTAGGGCCAATTGCGGAATCTCTGGAGTCTACGGCAAAGCTCTTGGGCCGATGGCGTGCTGCAGTACACAAGCCCGGCTAGGAACCCCACCAATGCACCGCCTGCGATGAAGCCATTCGTGACCCATAGGTGACCCGGGCAGGTGCCGTTTTCGAAGAGCCACTGCAACCCGACAATTGTGGTCATGCCAAGGCAACCGAGGATGAAAAGGAGGTAGAGTGGCTTTCGATCCTTTGGGGCTGGGACACCGTTGTTCTCCTGTGACCATACTACTTGATGGTAGGCTGCTCGCCACCGGATGAAAACCACCAGCAAGCATAGCAAGGGTAGAGTGACAGTCGGAAGACCCAAGATCAGGAGTCTACTCTTCTTGCCATGGCTGGCCTTACAATTCCAGAGAAAAATCCAAGCGTATACAGACCAGAATCCAGCGAACTGGGCAGACAAACCAGCCACGGGGAAGATGCCCCTCCATTCAGGCTCTTTCAATATGCGCCAGGGCCATATTGGCCTTCGTCCACCTGCGAGAAGGATTATGCTGAGCATAATCAAGACATGGGCAAACAGGCCAAGGATTCCGTGCGGGAAGACATAGCAGTAGAGTTCCAAGACTTGTGGACACGATGAGGGAAATCGCTCATCGCTCTCGGAGCGCCTCAAGGTGTCCTTGAAGGTAGCCTGGGGCATGTTTCCTGACCCTACATCACTTTCGGGCGGGTTACCTGTAGGCGTTGGAGTGAGCTCCATTGAATGCCATGACTTAGCTTCCACGGAGGAACCGGTTATGGCGGTCGAGGGCGCAAAGGTAGGGGAGGATCTGGCGACAAGTGAGGCCAGGCATAGCGATGTGGTCCAGGTAAGAATGGTCTTGAGCGATACCATTGCGTTTACTGCGAGGGTATTGTGGGGCGTCAGAAGAAATGGCTCGATTGGCTACGTTGGCGGAGAGACGGGATCCGTGTGATGTCGTATAAGACAGTTGCGAGCGGTTTCGGGAGAGTCCTGCTGACGAGTCAATATACCTATGGACATTTCGGAGACAATTGTAGAACCAAACCTTTATGTACACGGAGAAATAACGGTATCAAGTGATGATTCCTGATACTGCATATGAAAGCGATAGTATAGAACGAAAAGCATGACCAGACTCGACAGAAACGATAGATACGGGCAACGAGAGCGATGCCGGGGGGTATCGACGTGGCGTGTAGAAGACAGGTTGAGAATCCTGCAGAGGTAGATAGATGACACCGCTCGCAAAGGAGAAGGAACGGTCATACTATAGTAAATGGGCAATCGCAACTGAGGAAACTGCCGCTCACCGTGCTGCTATCGGAAGACGTCGCACTGGTCCTTTCTGCCTGGAAGCCAAATGATTGCAAAATCGCATGTGCAGTTGCATGCTGTTGTCGTTATTTGATTAACCTGCTTACAATGCTCGCTCCCTGCGGCGCTGAATGTGCGCGGTATATAATTCAGCCGTTGAAGATGCGCCGTAAGTGATCAAAACAAGTACCCCAAATTCGCACCAACGCCGTCGCAGCATGCCGCCCAGAACGCTGAAGATACGTGCTGAAGTCGAGAAAGAAAGCATGATAACACAACTAGCAGGATTCATTCTGCTCCAAGTCCACTTTTGGGGGGTGAGGGCGGCAATGCGGTAGTCTCCGTTCTCGTCCGCTTTGCAACTGGCACTTCCACTGATTGTGCTAGGCTTTTCCGCCTGGCGTTCGCGCCAATGGTGCCCCCGGGATGATTTCTCTGAAACACGTTCTTGGTGTCGTCCTGATATATTTGATCTGCCAGAGTGAGAGCCAGCATATCGCCGACCGATATCGCCACGGTTGTGGAAGTCGTGGGTGCGCTCACGCCGAAAGATTCCTCTTCGGACTCGTGGATGGGTGCGGGGAGAAGGATCGCATTGGGTCGATTGTGCAGGAGAAGGCATTCAGAAGGATGTTTGTGACCTGAGATTGCCAGGAGAGGGGTCGACAGGGGGATATGTGAGAGGAGGTGTAGAAGTTCGGGTGTTTTCCCTGAGTAGGATATGAAGAGGATGGCGTCGTTCTATGAACGTTAGCGATTCCCTTCATGCCACTGCTTTAAGAATATCCGGAAATTCGCGGAAATGACATACGGATCTTAGGTCTCCCAGATCACCATGCAGTGCCTCGGAAGCATGTAAGAACGAGCATGCCAGTCCCAGACTCTTCATTGTAGCCACAGTCTTCTGTCCAACGAGTCCACTCTTGCCAACACCGCAGACGAGGAGCTTCCCCTTGTCTTCCTGCACCCGTGTTAAGATCTCCACGGCCCGTACCAGCCCTTCGCTGGCTGCATGGTCGCTCTGGTATAATATCGAGATTTGCGATAGGGCAGTCGCTGCCGTCGACACGACGTTCACGGCACGACTAACTACGCGTTCACTTTCGGTGCCGCAGTGCGAAATCGGCGGAGTCAGGAGCGGCGGCGTAAGGAGCAGTTCGGACGACCGCTTTCGTTTCATTGAGGTAGGATGTTGCTCTGGTTCGGTCTGCGGTGAATTGTCCACCAGGAAGTAGTCATCCATGGCCAGTCCTACAAAGGTTCACGCGTAAGGAGCGCGTTGTAAATCCCCGGCGACTGAGGTCAGCGCGTTCGGTGTGTGGCGAACAAAATAGTCCGAATATATAGCAAACGCGAATTGTAGAGAGGAGGGGGTCGGCGACGCCGGGTTCAGGGAGGGGTTTCAATTGCGGTATAGAAAGGCTCGGGGAAGATAACGGTAGCAGCGGGCATGGCGATTAATAATAAGCAGACCACAAGATCCATGATGTTTTCTTTTAGTCCTAACCTTTTGATGTTGGGTTCGGGCGGTTGTCTTCGGAGGTGTCTGCTCCCGCGTTTAGCACGCTTCGGGTGGCGAGCGCCGCTTGTTGTTTGTCATTGCTGACTTGGGACCATTTGTTCGTGACTGAGAATACATCTGTCTAGAAAATGGATTGGTCCAAAGAAACTATGGGGATGCTTTACAAAACGATGATTCATTCGTAAACTTTTCATTATCTTTAACTGCCCCGCACATCGCCGTCCGGACCCTGGCAATTCCGCAATTTCGCGCTAACCCCAATGCGGCATTCATCCCTCACAACCCTCCGCCGCGATCCGCACCACTCAGTCTTGCACGCCGACATCCACCCTCACTGATCTACCACCCGCCCTTCCCATTACATCTCCTACAATCTTTTCAATTTTCCGATACAGTAGAATCATTATTCCCCTTCTCCGCCTCCTCCTCCGCCTTCCTGACCTCCCCCTTCCTCGCCTCCAAAACCAACAACCCACTCCCCTCATCCCGCCCCACCACCCTCATCCCCAACTCCCTCCCATACAACCTCGCAAAGTGCTCATCCCCCGTAAGCAGCATGACCCTGCGTAGCTCCGGCATCTCCTCCAACACCCACTCCCGACAGCACCGCACCATCCACTTGCCCAGCCCCAGGTTGCGGTAGGCGTCCAGGATGAAGACGTCGGTCAGGTAGGCGAAGGTGACGTAGTCTGTGACCCAGCGGGCGAGGCCGATAGGTGTTGGGTTCGATGTGTCTGTTGGGGAAGGGAGGGTGTAGAGACCCAGGGTGCAGCAGTTGTCGAGCATTTTCCTCGTTGCAGCGTCTGAGAGAGGTTCGGCCCAGTAGACTGAGGGGTCCGCGAAGGCGGATTGCACGAAGGAGATTGGGAGCAGGGATCGGGAGGTCGAGATGAGGAAGTGTTGGTCGCCAATGCTGCGCTGCCAGCTTTTGCCGTCCATGGTGGATGGTTGGTGTTGTGCAGGTTGAGAATGAGGCGTGACAGCGTGCGCGGTTATAACTTGACTGGAAGGTTGACTCATAAGACGGGCTATTTTAAACGTTTCGAACGGAAAAGTTGTCATTTCCACGCCCTTCACTTCTCTTTTGGAAAATGCCAAAAACAGGCAGTACATGCAGCGCTACTCCTTCTTCAACTTCTAAACAACTTCAATCCCTCTTCCTCCGCATCCCTCTCCTTATCACTCTCCTCTTCACTCTCCACTTCCTCGCCCAACCCCACCCTTCTACCAAACAACCCTCCAAACAATTCATCCCTCTGCCTCTCGCCCCATGTCCCTCTCTCCTCCGGTGCCATAAAATTCTGAAGCTTCTCATGCACCGTGTACCGCAGTTTTCGCCCCTTGCTCGCCTTCGTATCCACGATCTTCTTCGTCTTGGCTTCACGTGCCAACTGCCATGGTGCCTGAACAACGAACTCAGATGAGCCAGCGCCGTTGATCTCGGAGCTGCGGTTTTCGAGGAGTTGCTTCAGCATCAGGCCGTAGAAGTCGGCATCGTCGTATATCTTTTCGGAGGAGGGAATGTTAGCTGAGGACTGGAGCGGCGCACATGAACGTGGGACCTGGGTGCGCGCGATGAGACGCTCAGAATCCTGCATCTGAGCGGTCAGCACGTCTGTGAGGGTTCGTTGGTCGCCAGATGTGAGACGAGGTTGTTTCATTGTGAGGGTGCTGGCGCTGCGCGTCTTGTTGGACCATTTCTCCAGGATGGCATGTCTATGCGAGCGCACCGCAGATTCGTGGCTAGAGATGGCAGACCAGATGGCTGATGATGCGGTCGTGTTGCTGAAGGGTGTTCCGCGCTTGCGCTTCTGGCCGGTGCGAGCTTCCTCGAGGCTGTAGCGGAGGTCCGTCAAGTTGTTCAGAAGGGTGAGGGCAGCAGCCTCAGCGGCTTCAACCGCGTCGTCCGGAGCAGCCGAATTGGCGTGGGCTTCCGCAGCCATGGAGTTTGTTGATATCAAAGCCTTCTGTAGTCGTATACGGGAGTTGAGAAGAGTGTCGAACGTCCTCCTTTGTGCCTTGATCGCCTTGCCTTTCTCCACATCCGCTTGTGCAGCCTTGGACAGGTTCGCCGTGACTAGGCTGGTGTCTTTCATCATCTTGCGCAGATTGGCTGTCTGGTCATCGTCCTCGTCCTCGCCCTTCTCGTCATCATCGTCCTCGTCAGATTCCTCGTCTTCGTCGTCTGACCCTTCGCTTTCGTCGTCATGCTCTCCATATTCGTCATCCTCACCGTCCTGCATCTCCTCATCAGAATCCACATCCTCAATATCAAACTCCTCCTCCTCACTCCCCTGCTCTGCACCCTTCCCATTCAACGCCACCCCATTCGCCCCTCCACCCTCCCCCTCATCCTCCGATCCTTCCTCATCCTCATCCTCATCACTCCCACTCCCCATCACCCCCCTCGCAAACGGATCATCACTATCCTCCTCCTCCACCGCCTCCCTCGACACCCTCGAGCCCGAATACTGCGGCCCCAGCGGCACCACCTCCTTCTTCCTCAACCTACTCTTCCCCATCTCCGCATAATGCTCCCTCCCCTTATTTCCATCCTCCTCGCTCTCAAACCCCGAATTCTCGTCGTCGCTGGAGCTGGGTGCGGGATCGAGGAGGGCTTCGGGGTCGAAATCTGCGTATGTAGTTAGCCGGGAACAGCTCACAAAGTTAGGAAGAACATATAGACATACCTAGAAGCTTTGATTTCTTCATTTTGAATGTAAAGAAGGGGATGTCGCGCTGTCGAAAAAAAGTCCGTCTGGTTAAGTCCAAGCGACACCAAAAAGTTCAAGCCACTAGCCACTTCGGGCCAGAAGATTCGCCGGGTTCCGACAATGCACGTCACCTTCTCCCGTCGGAGTTGCAATGCGCGCGACAAAAGCCATGAAACCACGGTTATTTTCTACTTTCCGGTGTCTCCGGCATGAGAACCCTCTGGTAAGCGCGCATAGCGCAATTGACCTGGTACTTGAGCTGACGCGGTTTCAAAAGGGTCTCCCACGCACCGGCACACCGCCGCAAATTCCCCGGATGCAGCGCGGACTTCCGCAGAAGAGGAGCATACGCGATGTGAAGAAAGTCATTGCCGTGAGCTCTGCAAAGGGTGGAGTAGGGAAGTCCACAATCGCCGGTACATATCTATCCGGTTTCTTACTATGTACATCCTCTGAACCCACCACAGTGAATCTCGCCCTCTCCTTCGCCCGCAGCGGTCTCCGCGCCGGCATCCTCGATACCGATATCTTCGGCCCTTCGATCCCTACGCTGCTCAATCTTTCCGGTGAACCTAGACTCTCGGAGAGTTAGTCCGTCTGCGTGTTCTTCTCCCCGCGGCGATTCGCTCACCGTTGCAGATAACCAGTTGGTACCGCTTTCCAACTATGGCCTCAAGAGTATGTCGATGGGATACCTCGTTCCAGAGGCAGCGCCGGTAGCATGGCGCGGCTTGATGGTCATGAAGGCATTGCAACAACTGCTACATGAAGTCGAGTGGGGCGGGTTGGACGTCCTTGTATTGGACCTGCCGCCTGGGACTGGCGATGTGCAGTTGACGATTACGCAGCAGGTGAATGTTGACGGCGCCGTTATAATATCCACACCGCAGGATTTGAGCTTGAAGGATGCCATCAAAGGCGTGGAGTTGTTCCGCAAAGTCGATGTGCCGATTCTAGGACTCGTGAGCAACATGAGCGGATTCAAGTGTCCGGGTTGCGGAGAGATACACTCCATATTTGGGCCGAATGATAAGATCAGGAGCATGTGCGAGAAGTATAAATTGAGGCTGCTGGGGGAGGTACCTTTGCATCCCAAGATTTGCGAGGATGCTGATCGAGGTAAACCTACTGTAGTGGCTGAGCCGGAAAGTGAGCACGCACGTATATTAAGAGAAATCGCTACAAACATAGCTAGTCTCATGCCGGTGAATTAAGTGTGATTTCATCTATGGCTCTCCTACTCCATGAGATGGCTTGTACAAAAGAAAGTCCTCGGGAAAAATTCATAATTCATAATGCAGTATTGTACACCTTGTGCAGCCTCCAAGTCAGTATGAAGCCTTAAATATATCCGAGATACTGTTTGGCCTCTCCGGAATTTGGGCCGAAAAGACCAGACACGCTCAAAGAACAATGGCTTCATAGGTGTGTTTTCCAGCCATGTTTTGACCCCTTCCATACCGCCGCTCCCTGAAACACTCCATCCCACATGAGACCAGTCAAATAATTTCATTGACTTTGACGAAGAAAATATCCACTCCACCACCAACTGCATGCACAAGCATCTATGGCTGCGTCTGTTCCAACAGTGTCAATGCAGCCCAACGGCTGCCGTGTGAGGCAAGAAGGGCGATAGCTATATCCTGGAACGACTTCGTCGGGATCTCCTCCTTGAGCCATGCAATATCCGCTCTCTCTGTGGCATCGTCAATGTCTTCGAGACGAAGTTCAGGGGCCTGGCTGCATTTAGTGGAGCATCGAAACGACATACTCAGGATCTCTCACAGTTTTGCGGTGTTCCTCAACGACCAATCGCCATGATTCTGTTGAGCAATTGAAGAATTCCGTGAGGTTCCTGGGGTACCACATGCTTCCGTGTTTAGCGCAGGTAACTTCGACGATGAAGCCACCTGCTACAAGCTCCCTGTACTGCGAAGTAATTGCTCCCATGAGCTCTTCAATCTTTTCTTTCGTAGGCGCATGCATTTGCAGTTCCAATCGAAACTTACGTTGAGGCCGCAGGGATATCAAATGCTCCAGACTCTGACCAATTTCCTCAGATTTGAGACTCGCCACGTCTCTATTAATAGCTTCGTACTGACTATATTGAATCTGTACAATGAGATGATTCATGAAGTCTGTGTGGTTAATGGTGCCGGCCGCGCCGAGATAGCACCTATCCTCCCAGCACGGCCGCACGAACGCCTCCAGCTGCCTGGAGTCCGGAATCAGGAGAATATTGCTCTTGTAATACGCAATTACAATTTCGACGGCAAGTTCTTTGCCTAGAACGCCAGCTTGGAAATTGTAGATTGCCAATGGTATTGCGCCGGGCGAGTACCAGCTTACGGGCTCGGCTTGCTTGGTCAGTTCTTTGAGGATCATGGCGCGGAGTTCCTTCGGTAGAGCGCCAAGTTTAAGTCGGACGTCGGTTCCGAGAAGGTTTGAGATCATTTCGATCGTGACCTGTAGTTCACTTAAAAGATCAGTAAGCCGAACGTCCAAAAACACTGCACAGTCAAGAATTACGTTTGACGGTTTTGGTAATCTCGATGGAAGCTCGTTATCTCGTGGCATATTTGAACTCTCGTCTCATCCGGCAGATCGCGGTTGAGGACTTCCAAACGTTCACGAACCCTATGTCCGCTCAGCTCATTATTCGCCGTCACAACCAAGGTCTAGTCTTTACCATGCGAGCAATCTGACTCGCCATTTCAATATCCTGCCGCTGCATTAACGTAGTGCGACGCGCAAAGAGGTCGGGAAACAGACCTGAGCGCTTCTGTGTATGCTTTTTTGAGCTCTGGCCCTGTGCTCTGCCAGATGAAATACGTCGCCTCTGCAATTCCATCATTACCAACAAGCGTCATTTGGCGCAGCTGTTTGTCTTGACCCAACCGCGGTGAGTTCGGGGACACTGAGCGAGGTCTCTTCTTGCCCGCCATTAGGGGCGCCGAGAAATGGGTCCAATTCTGGTGTGTTGCGGGGAGAACCTGAGAGGCGGTAGCGTTGGGTTGCCCATGGGCTTCAAGCAGCGGTGGGTCTGTCGACGCTGAGCGAGTTCTCTTAATTCCCGCCGTCTTGATACTCAGCGCAGGAGACATGAAGTGCTGGTGCGAGAGTGGAGGAAGGGGAAACCCGTCCAGGCTTGTTTCTGGCAACGCCGACGACTCTGAACGACCTATCCTCATGCCCGCCATTTTGGCCTCAAGAGAAGGGGAACCGGGATCCAGATCAGTTGTTTAGGGTTGTAGAATGGATCTTCCCGGGCCGGTTCCTGTCGAGGTTGTCAACACTGCGGGAGCTGTCGTCATGCCCGCCGTTGTAACGACCGAGTGGAGTGGAGTGGAATCCCGCTGCGTTGTGCGCTGGTAAGGCAGGCGCGTCGCGCAGTCTCCGGGAAGGTGCGGTGAAAGGTGTCGCGGTGCCACGTGACAGTTACCACAAGACTTCCTCCAGGGCTGACGTCTGAACCGGAGCTCAACCTCACGTGTACATATCTCAGCGGATTGACGAATTCGACGATTGATCCGGAATATATGGTGGCTCGGCCAAGGATCAATGTTGACAAGAAGTCCTGCGTCGGATGCAAAGCGGCCTGGATCTACGACTAGACAGCTAGGAGGGCCGTCATAAAGTTGGCAGAATGGATATTTTCTTCTTACTCTAGAGACAATCCTTCTTCCCGGTGGTGCCTGAGAAGATCATAAGTAGATACCTCTAAAAGTATTCTACTATGCCTAGGTTACTGTTCCTAGTAGGCCTCGACTACGTCGTAACTCACTAGCAAAAGAAAGGATGACGGAAGTAGAAGGTGTTGAACTGTAAAAGGCATCTTCAACTTCCTGGGCAGCCCGTACCGCGACTAACGTGGTTCCAATGAAAGGGTGATGTTTTTCGGTGGGCGGCTAAACCACGCATGTATCCTCGCAAAATTAGTGACTTAGAAGCTATCCCGAAGCGACGTAACAATTACCCTGCTCCACGAAGTAAGATGACGGAATATATGTTGCAAATTGGCCTGAGAAGAACTCGGCAAATCTTGGAGCACAGCCTAGTGAAATAGTCCTGAGACAGAGCGAACCTGCAGGTATTCGCCTTTCGTTTTGACACTCGTGAATTGGTAAGCAGAGTGAGACGGCTGTTATTATCTGATATCTGTATACTTAGCGTAAACATTGCGATCATGTTGACTTTCCATTCCCAACGTTATGTATGACAGTCAGACCTCCCTTGTCCTTTTTTGCCCGGTGACGTCGGATTGTAGATAGTGTTAAGGTGTTATTGGGATGTTTCATCTGACGAGTGCTTTGACCTCTTCCGCAAGTTGTGATGTTTCCACCAATGTATCCTGTGTTACAAATAGGCCGTGGAACTGTACAACTTAGGAGCCATACCTTCCGCCGGTGCTTTTCTGACTCCCTCGAGTAGAACACCTCGGTCTGGTCTACTTTATGCTTCTCTTTGCTCTTTAGAATGTGCAAAGAATGAATCGGTTCTTAAACCGCGAATGAACAGTGATGGTAGAGTCTTTGTTTATGGTCAGGTGGCGAACACCGATTTCTGTCAGGAACGCGGCATAATAAAAGCAAACCTTGGAATGAGAGCAAGATCATAACCTATGCCGATTAGGAAAAAGCCTGTGTGAATCATGATGAGAAACAACAGCTCGGCTCACTAACCTTAATACATACAACGAGAAGCCAACAGAGAGGGATCCGCTGCACAATACTAGCAGAGTATATCATGAATCGAAGTGCATGTTTGAAGTTTTCGGAAGCTCATTGTCACCTTGGAATTCGCACACTAATGTGTCAAAAACAAATCAGAGTCGAGTGAATGGCCTGTGACCTAGAAACCACGCAGATCCGGGGCAAAATTCGCAATGTACCGAGCTGCAGAATAAAGCGATTCATTTTTGCGACCCGTGTGTGAGTGGAGTCTAGAATTGAAACGGACTCTAGTCTTCCAAGGTTGTTATGAGATTACTGTTGAATCACATAGATTCTGTTTCAAGCACTTTATTCGCCGAAATCGCTGCAATGCTCTAGACTGTCTACCTATGTAGCGAGGTTGAGGCATTTTATGCGTCTCTATTCATGACAGCTCTTCCAAATTGTGGCTTTCCCGCTGCACTTGCTGAGCCCCTATATGACGGGCCCACCTTTTGCCCTCATCTTGCCACCATAAAGCTGTAGTAATAGAACAATTACCAGTGCAAGCGCAACGATGATGGCCTGAATGCCAAAGGACAGCGCAAATCCGCTCTTAACGCCCCAGGGCATCTGGAAGTATCCCACGGAGAAACCGGCGATCACTACAAGTGTCAGCATCAACCATCTAGAAGAAGCATACGGGGTAGATACCTCGAGAAAAGTTCAGGAGACCCGCCACCTCCGAAGAAGCAGTGCCATAAGAGTCGAGAGCATAGGCGGTAATAGCCACAGTCGCCAACATCACTCCGAAGACATACATGCCCCATCCCATGATGATGCCGGCATAGCTGAGATGCTTCTCAAGGGTCTGGCCCACGATGATCAATCCGGGGATCATGAAAGCTGCAGCGATGTAGTTCGTGACGAGCCGAGATTCGGGCTTGAAGATGCCCTCGTGCTTGCGCACGTAGCGGTTGGCAATGAAGTCATTGAAGAAGTGGCCGAAGGTCTCTCCGAGAGCGACAGCGACGAGGGGTGTGAAATAGAGGAAGCCCACAGCCTTGGATCCGAAACCGTAGCCTCCGGCTTCAATCGGCGTCTCGAGGAGGATAGTGGAGGTAATGTTGATTCCTACAGCCCACATGAAGCTCATCGCACTACGCTTGGTCAGTACATTATTCCCGGAAGGATCGGACGGACATACTAGTAGAGCATAGCCGGAATCATGATGGGTTTCAAGAATGTGGACAACAGCCGCTTGCAACAGTGCCAACAGCTCTTGAAGTATCCATTATGATGCTGGATTTGCCAGGTTCCAACCTAAGATTGTCAACAGAGTGCACAGCAAAGATAGTCGCTTACTTACAACACGGGAAAGCCTCCCCACAAAAGTTTGAGGCCTTGGAGGCTGCTGATCCATTGGGATACTCCGGTCGTAATACGTCTCGTCGCAAACAAGTACAATACAGACCATATCCGCACAGCACAGGGCGAAGACCAGCCAGAAGACCGGTCGCCAGTCGCCTAATCCGGAGATGATGAAGTTGGAAAGAAATGGGCCCAGGTACGGCGAAAGGATGAATAACGCGGCCCATATGCCAATCTTCCTTGCATGCTCGTGATGGTAGAACATGTCCTTGACGCACGCCAATCCCACGACTTGGTATGCCGTCAGCGTCAGGCCCATCAAAGCGCGGCACGCATAGAACACTGGAAAGCTGTCCGTCAACGCGCAGCCGAGAGTAAAGAAGGTGCCAGCAAGAGTCGACCAGAACATGACAGGTGCTCTTCCCCACCATGAAGATATCACGATCCAGAATAGCCCGCCGATTCCCAGCATAAGCACATTGAGGTTGCCGGCTTCATTGACTTTCGCGGGGGAGAGACCCCATTCCTTTCCCTGCAGGACAATCAACGAGATGCCTGCACCACTGCCGTAGTCGCCGAGAAATGCGGTTGCTGAGACCAATGCCAACATCAAGTGCTTCTTAGTCCAGCTCCAGTTCAGCGGATCCTTGGGGTCGTCGGATGGTTGCGGGACGAGAACAGTATGTCCATCTTTGGCCAATTTGAGATTCCCGTATCCTTTCTCCAGGTGGGCTGCGCCAGTATCCAGAAGGATCACATCACCGTCCTGGACGATTTCCCGCTCATGGAGTTGAGCGTGGGCCTCCACCGTTTGAATCTCTTCGCCCTTGGCTTCAGACATGGCCACAGACAACGCGGAAACAAATCTGGAAATCTGGCAGCATGAAGTAGAGCCGTCCGTGAGCTTATATCATCTTCTCCCCGCTTGCTGCAGGGACAGATTGTGAGGGGACTAACATGGCACTGACTCTCCAACCCCGCAAGCCTCACCCCATATCAAGAATGCGGAGTGTGAGACGTCCATGGATGTCTGTATGCAAGATACAACATGATTGGTAAAAATCGACGGGAATATCAATGCTCGACCCAGCCGGAGAGTCTAGGTTCATCGGCGACTGGGGTTGATGTGGTACTGATTGTCGGATAAAGTTCAGTTACACAACTGCCGATAGGGCTGAAAACACCGAGTATGATGCTAGTCGATTCATGGGATCTGAACGGCGCTATTCGGGTAAACTTTTGTAGACCGGGCATTTGCAGTACCGTTTCGATGGGTCATACATCTTCGCAGTATAATGCTAGGGCCTGCTCCTTGACTGCGTGTAAGGGTGGTCAGACGAAGCATTATCTCCATGCATTCAACGCGTATGTCTACTTCTTACGGTTAACACCAGCTGAGGGGAAGGTCAGAGTCGCGGCCGCGGAAACACATACCGGTAACTAGCGGAGGCGAAAAGTGGTCCATGTCTTTGTGGGGAAGACGATTGATGAATCTGGGGTTGCCACCCCTTTCTCCGGGCCCCATTTGCGCTAGCCCGAGGAGGCTAGAGACTTCCCCAATCGATAACTCTACTCGGACGTCCCACAGACACTTCTATCACCGCTTCAAATCCATTCCGAGCTACGACACGCTTTTATTATCATCTCTCAATCCACAGTCCATTGACTTCCGTGACAGCAGATGCCGAGAAAGTATGCCCGGACATATCGGCCTCGATGCTGCGGCTGCATGCTTCGGTTCCAGGGTTTACATATATAATGACCATTGAGTCTCATCGCACACAGATCGCCTTCATCCAGTCCATCGGTAACGAGAATGATCAAAGTAGTTTCTTTTAAGCCTTGCTTCGAGTTTCGTCTGCCACCGTCCGGCTCTTGCATAGTGCTCGCCAATGTGCGGCTCCGAGAATGAAACGGACGACGTATGACCAACTCAGAGAAGCGCATGAACAGGTCTTCTTATGACCCTGACGGAGTTCTGATCATAACGAAGTTCATGTACGATGAAATCTGGACCCGCACTTTGCTCTATTCCCAAGCATGCGTAGCGTTCCATTAGTTGGTTGAAGTGACACCCACCCTGCATAGCAACAACCTTCCCTACAGTAAGCTGAGAAATCTCGAGACTACCAGAGTACATATCCAACCAATTCCCGTTGTACCGTTGCGAACACCTCCCCCACATTCTGAAATCGTTAGTGCAATACCTCGTCCTCTGATTACCTCGGAACTTCATCGCAAGCTCGGGAGCTAGACTACCCCTCAACCACCAAAAACAGGACCATCCAAACGTGGCTTAGAATAATGCCATGGGGCACCCGATGCCGCCCCGGTACCAAGATCGCGTCTCCCTTATCCACTCCACTGAACTGTTGTGCCAACCTGGTTGACTGAGCAGCGGAGATGCAGTGGTGGCGGACTCCGGAGCAGCTATCGAACGATTTTCCGGGTGCCATTGCACCATCACTTGCCGACAAGGGATTATTCAAGCGGCGAAACTGACAACCCACTCGTTGCTTATTCTACTGATTATTGAGGTTAAGTAAGATTTTGAACCTTTACGAAGCAGTCATGTCTAGGCATTCCCTAGGGTGCCACCCCTTCTTGGATACGGCGTCAGGTCAGGCATCAGAGCACAAGGTAACCGGAGTGTCGTCTTCACCACGGAAGGGTTCAGGAGAGCTTCTTATCTCCGGCAATGCCCGTGTAAGCTGTAAACTGGCCATATCTGCCGAGCAGCAAGAGGGCACTTGGCGTTAGTATGGCGCCGGATAGTATTGCTAGCTCCTAATAGGGATAGACCTACCCTACTACTGGTTCAGGAGGCGACAACACATATGCCTGGAACTGTCCCAGATATCACAATCATCGTCTACGATATAAGACCTAATAAAACAACAAATCATCTAGTTGCTGATGCAGGAATGTAGGGTCCCTCCTCCCGCGAGAGCAATGTCTTTCCAGTCGGTGCCAATGTCTCCGGCATTTGAAGGCGTGCCGGATCCAAACACAATGCCAGAACGTCAAACATGTCTTATTTATGCGAATTATTCCGACGTAGGAGGCACATGGGCTGGACGACACGAAAAGCCAAACCTTCACTGAACAAAAAGCACTCCCCATGCGACATCCCCAGCCGATGCCTACACATACAGCTTCATTCTGAACCACGTCTAGGCCCGCTTCTTCTCCTACGCCCCTGACATCAACGTACATCGCTACAAGGTAGCCAACGTCTTCGGCATCCGCAAATGCATAACCTCGGAACGCATGTCACGGAGCCGACAAATGGAAGCTTCCCCTCCGTCAGAAGAGCACAGAAGGCAAGACCAACGAATTCGACGAAAAATGGGACGTCTCCCTCTACGCCAGGAGTATCCTGAAGGGCTTCAAGTGGCCTGATATTCCTGGTCAGGATACTTTCAGGGCCGCAGCTTACATACCGCCCGCTGAGGCGATGTCTACTAGGAACACAAGAAGGGAAAAAAGAGGAGTGGGCCAATGGCCGCATCCTATTGTGTAATCACAAGCACCGGTACACATGGCATGTCATCAGCACTCGGGCGGGGGCGACAACCACGTGCGCACCGTTCTCAACGGTTCAGGGTCTGACCGGGCCGTTGACCGCTGCCCGTTAACCGTTGACAGGCAACTCACCCAGACGAAGATTATTATTATATAAACACCCCTCTCCACCTCCACGGACTCGTTTTTCGAACCGGTGAACGCGGAAACGGGAGAAACGGGCAGAGTCTCGCAAGAAGGAGAGAAGCGACTTCTAGGGGAAGTCGTCACCCGCTGCCGACGGGTACGCGCAGGCAGCGGACGGGGGAGTGCTTAACCTACCTTAGGGAATGGTTGGGGGGTGTTTGTTATGGTTATGGTACTGGGGGATTGATAGCGATGGGACTGTTTGGGGGGCGGGTGGGGGGTGCGAATGGAAGGGAGGGGAAGAGAGGGAGGGAAGGGGAGGGAAGGGAAGGTCTTGAGTGATGAGGTTTCTGGCTTTGCCTGGTTGTATACCGGGTATCTCGGGCGGGAATTTCGAGGAGGAGTGTAGGAGGATAAGGTGCTTTAGAGGTTGAAGCACTGAAACCGCCTTCCTCTTTCCCCAGGCCCTTATAAGACTACCCCGAAGGCCGGATTCTAGATGTTTGCAAACGTGCATGCCGGCCCAAAGGCTGTGAGAAGATGCAGAATGATGCAGAGATGGCGCTATTGAGAGGAGTGGCGGTTCGATAGTAATGGAGTTGGCGGGAGGCAGTGAAGCTGCTGATATAGAATTGTCTGTTTGGTTCCACAGCCATGCCCTTCCGCGTCCCCGTCCTGTGAAGCGAATCCGTATCCCAATGCGTGAGTTCCGTTATTAGCGACGCCGGACGCTCTTCCAACAATTGACGGCCGCAGACAAATTTTCCGGCAGTTTCCCATTCTATGTTTACATAGACGATCCATTGTTCTAGACTTTCCACCTTCGTTGCACTTGCACTTGTGCACGCTGCAGGAAACTCTTCGGGAAGAGGAGACGAGTGCTACGGGACAGGTTCGACGGATCGGCCCAAACATAAACACATGTCTGTCCCTCCATGTTCGCTACGGTATCTCTACCTACCCTCTTACCATGTGAGTATTTTACCTGTCCGCGGATGCGAAGAGCTCATCCGGTGCACGGTAGTGTAACGGCCACAAGGCGGGTGGACGCATGGTGCGTTTCATGGACATGCCTAGGGTAGGTAGATAGACACTACGGTAGGAGGAAGCGCCAAAGTGGAGTTTCGCAGCTGATGTGAGGTGAGATGAGATGAGATTGGAAATGAAATGAAATAATGGGATGCGGTGCTCTGCAGCGCGCTGCGTTGCGGTCGAGATGAGATGCGCGTGTCCTTGCATCTGTACTGTCGCCCGCAATTCATAATCATTTCAATTCCCCTGTTCCTGTTACTGCGTGTGTACCTTGTTTCCTTTCTATTTTTTCCCTTTCTTTTTTTTCACCTCGCTGTAAAATTTCGACTCATAAGGGTAGACTAAGTACTTGGAGGTTTGAAGTTGGCGCCTGTGTCCGGGTGTGTGTCCGCAAAAAGGCGAGGGCGCAAGCCACTCAGCGCTTCGGAGCGTTTCATCGCAGCCCAAGAGGCTAGGAGAGATTCATCTTTCAACGGCTAACTGCGCAGGAGGCGCCGCTTGGGCGAGGGCATCTTGAGGCGGGGATTGTGATGGCGAGCAGATGCGAGGTGTGTGGAGTGGGAGTTACATAGGGTGAGGGGCGAGGGGAGTGGGACGGGAGATGTTTGTTGGGGAGATGCTGTGTTTGTATTCGGATGCATGTCGTTTTTTATGATTGGATTGGGCGCGTCTCATGTGAAGATCAGAAACGAGGGGAAACCTGAAGAGAGTCTTTTAATACATGGAGGTGCACGCAACATGGATAATGGGCTCCTAATGAGGCTCAAGCATCAGTAATTGATTGATGCTGCAACAAAGCCTCATGATGAAAGGCAAGTTGGGCATTTCTCGAGATGAAGGGGGCAAGGCTTGAAACCGCTGAGGTGATTTGATTCCCGCCATCCTGAATCCCGGATTGCGGACGCGGCACCTTTGTCTGCGTATGGGGACCGTCCGACTGTGTGTGGTCTTGCTAGGCATGCAGCGTCTCCTGTTGTTGTGAATCCAGCGCGCAGGGAGTCGTGATGGGCGTCGTAGGGCGTCTGCAGTGAAATTGCTAGTACCGTAAGTCTCCCCTCTTCCTGCCGCGAGAAAGGAAAAGGTTTCTGGCAAAATTGCGAGCCCTGAGGGCCGGGGGGGAGGAGAGAGAGGAGCAACAAGATTCTCCCGGGGGCCAGCGAAACAGAACCATGGTCCATCCTCTCGTCCCTGGGAAAAATTGAGAACTTCCCCTTTCCAAGATTTCCCTCATCCTCTCTTCCTCTTTCTCACGACTCCCGGACCCTTGACGTTGCTTCCATCCATCCCACCCGCACATTCGACCCCAGTGACGCAGCACACGACATCGGGAACCCCAGTTACCCTTACACCCTTTTGTACGTCCTCAGTTGCATCTTGCAGGCTTCGCCTTGGGCCACCCGGCCCGACCTGCTACTGCTGCTGCTGCTGCGACTGCTGCGCTGTGAGCTGTGAGCTGTACCCATCGCTGGCTGCCGCTGCGCTGCGCTGCACTGCACCGCTCTCTCTGCGTGTGAGCTGCCCGCCCACGGCCCTGCCCGCGCCGAAGGATTGTAGCCACCCAGTTGCTAGGCCTGGACATCTGGACCAAGAGGGTGGTGGTCATCTAAGAGCGAAGTGGATGAATGGGCAGTGAAGGTGCCATGGAGCCCCATCATCCGCACTCCAAACCGCCCGGCCGCCGTTTACAAAAACAACAGCCACCCATCTCGTTCCTCAACTCCAAGCAGTCGGCCCTGCGACGCGCTCCGTCGGCGCCTACCCATCCCTCGTACTTGTCGCCGTCGTCGCTTCATCAGCAGCAGCAGTCGTCGGCGTCGTCGTCGTCGTGGCTGCCCTCCTTCACATCCTCCCACGCCTCACCTTCACTCGCCAGGGCGCCAAGCCCCGGCCCTTCTGCACCGCCCGCGCCCGCCGCCGCCTCTCACCCAGCGGCCTCTTCTTCCTCATCATCGCCGCCGTCGCTCCAACACAAAAGCTCCACCTCGCCCGTCTACACAACCTCGCCCTCGCTGCCCTCGCTGCCCTCGCTGCCGTCGTCCGCTCATTCTCACTCGACGAATCCAGTCGCTGCAACCACCTCCCACCCGCTCGCTGACAAGCGCCCCACGCCCGAACTCGTTGGCAAGCCCTTCGACGTCGACGCCATCCTCAGGAACATCGACGCACCCACCCCGTCCTCCACCCAACTGCTGCCACGTCCGCTCGCTCCCCAGCACTCGCAGACCTACCAGGACACCCTCCCCCGCGTCAAGTCCTCCAAGCTCCCCAAGCTGCGCCAGTCGGCCAGCTTCTCGGCCCTCGCCCGCACCACCATGGAGACAATCACCCCTCCCCGCTCCGACGGCGGTGCCAAAAGCCCTCGCCAGCGATACAGCGACGAAGCAGACCAACAAACAAAGTCCAAGAACCGCAAGTCCGATGGCGGCAGGAAGAAGGGCACCTTCTCCAGCTTCGTCAACAGCGTGCTCGGCTCCCCGCGCCGCCCGACCATCTCCACTCCCACGAACCCCATGCATGTCACCCACGTCAGCATCGACAACGAGACTGGAGAGTTCACGGTACGTCCCCACTGACACGTTATCCTCCCCCCTTCCCATGCACCTTCGATGCCGCCCGTGTTTGTCTCCCCTCTTTCCCTTCTGGCCGCTAACAACAACCCCGCAGGGTCTGCCCAAAGAATGGCAACGCATGCTGCAGCAGAATGGCATCTCGGAGCAGGAGCAGAAGCAGAACCCCCAGGCCGTCATGGACGTCGTCGAATTCTACAAGAACAATGCAGAGAAGAATGGAGAGGATGCCATCTGGGACAAGATGCCCGCTGTTCAACCGCACGGCTATGCATACCAAGCCAACCTCACGCCAAACTACGGCTCGATCCAGCCGCTGCTCAGCCCACCCCAGAGTCCACGGTTCCCACGCAACGACCAAGATAGCTTCGAGAACCCGAGAGCACCTCCTCCCATTCCGCGTAGCCACACTTCTCCCGGTCTCGCATCCCCCGCCTCCCCTCAGATCAACGGCCTCATTCCCGTGCGGCCGGCACCCAAACCTCCAGGGGGCTCAGCATCTGCGAATCTCATACCAGCGAGGGCAGCGCCTCCTGCTCCTAGTCCGCCTGCACAGCATCCTTCCCAACCGCTGCGTCAGGACAACGAATTCCCTCAAGTCGCCTATGCCCCTCCGGTCGTCACAGAGCAGGCGCCCGCGCCGCATTCAGCGCCACGGAGCCGTGCCAACACCACAGGCACGCCTCCACGGTTCGACTCACCTCCCATTGGTCCGGCTATGACGCCTGCGCAGCAATACCAGCAACAGAACAGCCAGGCAATAATCGCCGCAGCCCAGTCCATGGCAGGAAAGCAGCAGCATCCTCCTCTCGCGAGGAGCGTGAGCCAGAAAGCACCGCAGCCCCAGCATCATCTTGCAACTGGAATCGCACAGGCCCCGCCACAGCCTTCACCGCAGCAACAATTTGCGCAACAGACTGACCCTCAAAATATCCCTCTACCGTCCCAGCAATCGCGTGTGGGACCCGCTCCCCGGCCGCGTCAGCGCCCTCGACAGAGCCAAGGCCCAGATATAGTGGCCAAGCTCAACGCCATTTGCACCAATGCCGACCCTACGCTCAGGTACCGGAATCTCAACAAGATCGGCCAGGGCGCGTCGGGCGGCGTCTTCACCGCATACGAAGTGGGCACGAACAAATGCGTTGCCATCAAGCAGATGAACTTGGAACAGCAACCGAAGAAGGATTTGATCATCAACGAGATTCTGGTCATGAAGGATAGCAAGCATAAGAACATTGTCAATTTCATGGACAGTTTCTTGGTGAGAGGAGACCTCTGGGTCGTCATGGAGTACATGGAGGGTGGAAGTTTGACCGATGTCGTGACTTTTAATATCATGACCGAGGGCCAGATTGCAGCGGTTTGCCGCGAGGTGAGTTGCAATTACCACCGTCTCCTCTATCAGGCTAACAACGACAGACTCTAAGCGGCCTACAACACTTGCACTCCAAGGGTGTAATTCATCGTGACATCAAATCGGACAACATCCTGCTCTCGCCAGAGGGCAACATCAAGCTGAGTAAGTTTCCCAAAGGGTTCAAGCGGAGCGGTTCTGACCTCAATAGCCGATTTCGGTTTCTGCGCCCAGATCAACGAGAGCCACAACAAGCGCACGACAATGGTTGGTACTCCGTACTGGATGGCCCCTGAGGTCGTGACCAGAAAGGAATATGGCCGCAAAGTGGACATCTGGTCGCTCGGGATCATGGCCATTGAGATGATTGAGGGCGAACCCCCATATCTGAACGAGAGTCCGCTACGCGCCCTCTGGCTGATCGCAACCAACGGTACACCAACCATCAAGGACGAACAGAACCTCTCGCCTGTTTTCCGGGACTTCTTAGCATTTTCCCTGAAGGTGGATCCGGACAAGCGGGCCAGCGCGCACGACCTTCTTACAGTAAGTCCTCGGTCTTACACCTATTGGTCGGCAGTGCAGGGCTGACGTTGGTTGCAGCATCCTTTCATTAAGACGGCCGAACCGCTCAACTCTCTCGCTCCGCTGGTGCTGGCAGCACGTAAGGCGAGAGCCGAAGAGAGGCGGAAGAAAGGCGGCATGTGAAGCGTGTTCGAGTCCACTGTGATACATTTTATCCTAGGCCATTATAGGTTCAGGTGTGCCAGATGCTCGCGAAAGGTTACAGTGGTCTGATCCATCCAGGCTGTCGATCCTTCGTCTCATATTGTATCGCCGAGCGGTGCAGCAATTGTAGGCTGAACTGAGAAACGTTGGGTACATTGTTGGCACTATACAGCCCACTCCAGACACGGATAGTCTACTGTGTACAGACCCCGGCGTTGCATCGGGCTCCAACGTTTGTGCCTAAGCGAAGGTGCAACGCTTGCTCATTTCTAGGATGCAGAACACGAAACGGCCGTTGTCAACGAACGCATCGGCATCGGATTTGGGCGCACTTCGAGCCTTGGACATTTCTTGGGTAGAAGACGCCGCAATCGACGTGGCAGATGCCCGAAATTCGTTTATACGGCTCTCGGCCCGAGAACAGGAGCGAATCACATTCCATCGACACAGCCCAATTTCTCAAATGTCGGAGCCGATACTACTTCTTATTGGATGCGAATGCGGGTTTTTAGCCAGCGACAGGCGGATTACCAATACTCGCAACCTTTGCATCCTCCTTTTTTCTCTTCTCTTTTTACTTGTAGTATTGGCGACTTTTGGGGTTTGCAGATTCGTTTCTCTCCCGTTGCTGGCTCATTTCAAGCGGTTAAGTTGCTAGATTCAGGTTCGATTTCCGGGTTCCAAGCAGGCGACTATGTATGGGCTTTCCCTGCCTGCCCATTTCCCTTTTGCTTGGTAAAGCGTTTTCGGTCCATATCTGGCTGGATATGGACGTAGACGGCGGATAGGAAGGTTGGAGAATGGAGTCAACTCATGGGATATCAACTGGCATACAAAAAGTCATCCAGAAAATACAGCGATACTCCAATAGCGTAAGAAATGTTAACTCTCAAGAGTTCGATATTGACCTTCAGTTTGCTCCTACTTGAGAACAGATGATGCAAGATGTTGATGTGAGGTGGCAGGTTGTACAAGTAAGATCCCAGAAGCCCATCACCTAGGCGTTCTGGTTTGAAAAACAAGGAAATTAGTGCTCTATAAGTCCTGAGGAATCGAGTAACGGTTCCTACATCCTTATATTCGCCTCGAGAGACTACCTCAGCAGCCTGCAGTGAAAACTCAATTGCACTGCCACGCAGATATTCGCCACAGGCAACGCCACAGTCAGTCGTCGTCATGCCGCCAAGCGCGTAACCACATCGGTATCGGTGGGGAAGCCGGTGGAGCTATCCCAACATCACCACGGGCTTGCGTCAACCGCAATACAATACTCCTGTACTCGTAGCCTGGTTTGCACTGTTTACACGTCTTCTTCTCCCACCTCTCGTTCGACGCCATACCAACACCCACGCCTCTGTTCCCTCCTCACTCTCCCACCACCTCATTGTCGGCGATACCAGGTAGCAGTCCGGAGCCCTGCTAAGAAAGAACGACTAGGCTTCCGCCAGCATGTTTCGCGCACAGCAGAATGCTTTTGACGATGTCGTAGGTACGTTTGTCTTTCCTTTCTGGTAACAGTGACAGAAGCAACCTGGATTCTTAAATGCCCTGTTACACCAATGGTGCACACGCTGAGCCAACCCAACTAATATCCCCCCAGTCAAGGCAACCGACGAGAACCTCACCTCCGAAAACTGGGGCCTCATCCTCGACGTCTGCGACAAAGTCTCCGGCTCCGAAACCGGCGCCAAAGACGCCGTCCAAGCCCTCATCAAGCGCCTCGCCCATCGCAATGCCAACGTGCAGCTCTACACACTGGAACTGGCCAACGCGCTCAGCCAGAACTGCGGGCCGGCGCTGCACAAGGAGCTAGCGTCGCGGAGTTTTACAGATGCATTGTTGAGGCTGGCGGCGGATCGGAATACCCATCAGCAGGTGAAGGCCAAGATATTGGAGAGGATGGCGGATTGGACGGAGATGTTTGCGAGGGATCCCGATTTGGGGATCATGGAGCAGGCCTATATGAAGTTGAAGGCTCAGAGTAGGTGGATCATGCGTATATGTGTGTGTGTGAAGTTTTGGCTGATGATTCGCAGACCCTACATTGCGCCCTCCTTCCAAACCGTTGAAGATGCAAATCTCCGAACTCGATCGCCAGAAGGAGGAGGAGGAGCTTCAAATGGCTCTGAGGATGTCTATACAAGAATCCAAAGGAGCCTCTCCCTCCGCTGCGAAGTCCAACGCCCCCAAGGATCCCAGCTCTACCTCACAGCCCGCACAAGCGCCACAGTCCGTTCCCTCGGGCACCACTGCCGCCACAGTCTCTCGAGTACGCGCACTGTTCGACTTCCAGCCTTCCGAACCGGGCGAGTTGCAGTTCCGCAAAGGCGATATCATCGCAGTCCTAGAGTCTGTGTATAAAGATTGGTGGAAGGGTTCGCTGCGAGGACAGACTGGTATCTTCCCTCTCAACTACGTTGAAAAATTGCAAGATCCTACGCCTGAAGAGCTGGAGCGGGAGGCGCAGATGGAGGCCGAGGTGTTTGCCCAGATCCGGAATGTGGAGAAGCTGCTGGCCCTGTTGAGTACGAGCTCACAGTCGGGCGGTGTTGATGTGAGGGACAATGAGGAAATCACGGAGTTGTACCATTCTACGCTGGCGATTCGACCGAAACTGATAGAGCTTATTGGAAAGTATTCGCAGAAGAAGGGTGAGTTCGACTACACGGGTATTTTCCGTCTTCAGACCTAACACGTTCCAGACGACTTCACCCAGCTGAACGAGAAGTTCATCAAGGCGCGGCGAGACTACGAATCTCTGTTGGAGGCTTCCATGTCCCAACCACAACAACCCGCCTATGGTCGGCCTTACGGATACAATGCTCCTCCTCCAGTATCCTACGGTTACCCTCCGAGCTCACCAACCCCACAGCAAGAGCCCGGCCGTTACGGCTACGGCGGACCTCCTGCTGGACCGCAAGAGCCTCCCTCACAGTACCCGCCTGCAGGTGCTAATTCAGCCTTCTATGTAGTGCCACCAGGTTCACAACCGCAGCAGCAGCAACGGCCCCCTCAGCAGCAGACACCCAAACCTTCTCAACCTACCGATGCGTATCCTCCACAACAAGGACGCATACCCACAGCACGACCCCAGAGCTTCGCTCCCCAGGAACTAGCCACAGGGCACTACGACTCTCCCGTCGACCACCGTCACTCATACGCCGCGCCACCTCCACAGCAACCAGGTTTTGACCCTTATGCTCCTCCACCATCCGGACCCGGCCCACAAAACCCATACGAGCCAGTTTCCTCACCTTATCAAGGCCCAGCACCTACTCAACCACAACAACCCCCACCACCTGCACAGCAAGATATCTCGCCCCCCTCAGCCCCTTATTCGCAACCTCCTCCCGCTCAGGGTCAACCGCCACAGGGCAGCGGATACGGCTACCCGCCGGCCCAACCTTCGCACGCACCGCCCACCATTCCGTCGGCCGCGAGCCCCGTGTACGGCGCTCCGCCTCAGGGCCCTGGAGCGTCGGCGCAGTATTTGCCGTATCGACCCGGACCGGGCGCGGGCGCGGGGGTCGGGGCACCGAGTGCGCCTGTGGGAGGTGGGGGTGGTGGGGATGAGGGGTTTTACCGTTGAGAGGGAGGGAGGGGGAAATAATCTTGGGGAGGAGGTAGACGTGATGTTGACCAGTGAAGGGGTTCTTGTAGCTAGAAAGGGCCATTGAGGAGAGGGGAGCAACCGGCAGGCAGAGGAGCGTGAACAGCGGTGGAAAGAGGGCCTCTTTTGTTTCGAATCCCGTAGGATAGGGGGCATTTAGGGTTTAAATCTTTTTTCCTCCCCGCAATATCTAAGCCGCATTGCGCGGGATTTCTTGGATCTGCTGTTAGTCGGATTCTCCTCGACGACTTACTTGTGCGGCGTTGGCTGGCTGCGTTTTTCCCCGTCCGACTGATGGGCGAAGAGGTGGTGCCAGGAAATTCGATACGCCGTTGTGAGGAGCTTTGTGGCGCCTCTATATCTACGTAGTACAAGTTCTAAAACGCAGTTCTACTCGTAGCATTATTAGGTATCTGCCAATTGCCTTGTGCGGAACAGGTGATTGCTGTGTACAGAGGAACTTCAGTAGGTTTAGTTATCCAGCCGGACGTAACTACTTGTCAGTGTAAAAACCAACACGACACAATCACCACAACGAGCAACCACCACATGTCTACCATAAGAGGAAATCACAGTACCTGACACATTGTCATTTTTTCCCTTTTTTCCTTTATCCCCTGGCACCCGTCTACCTAGGAAGAAAACCCCCATCTCGCATTCTTTTCGTTTGGTTGATCGAAAACTTAAGGATAACCCCTCCCCTCCCCCTTCCAATTCCTCAACCCATCCCTAACCCGGCCCATCATCACCCACTACAACTCATCATCATCAAAGGAACCGATTCCCCTTGCGGCGGCGGCGAGGAGTCCTACTTCCTGCCTCCACCACTCCCCCCATTGCTCCCTCCTTTGTTCACAATCTCCAGAATCATCTTGCGTGCCTCCTCGACCCCTTCCTTGGGGCCCGATATCTCAATCGCCTCGCCCTGCGCCTGGTTCCTCGGTACCTGCACATTCGTGCCCGTCTTCTTGCGTATGCTGTTGATCGTGCTGCCGCCGGGACCGACGACGAGCCTGTAGCTCCGCGGGTCGGGCAGGATGAGGTAGCCCGTAGACTTGGGCTTAGACGCGTTCTCGATAGCCTTCTCCAGAGCCTGCTTGGCGCGCGGGAGGTTTTCGGCGGGGCCGCGCAGGATCCAGGGGATGGTTGCGGAGGTGTCTTCGGCATCGGCGGGATTGTGGTCAATAATCTCCCAGGAGTAGCGCTCTTCGGCTCCAGAGCCCGCATCTTCATCCGTAATCAGAGGCAGAGAGCCGCCGTTGGCGGTCTTGCGTGCCTTGCCTGCTTCAGAAACGGCAGGTCTGGAAGGGATCTCATGACCACCATGGTCGACGGTGACCTTATGCTCGTTGCGGAGGCGGCGGAAGAACTGACCATTGTCCGAGATGAAGTGATGGAGGTGACGCGGTACATGCACCGTCTCGCCCTCTTGACCCTTGACAAGATCGAGAATGTGTTCCTTGGCCTTCTCAACCTGAGCAGGCTCGCCCGTGATTTTCACCTGGTTCCGAGCCGCCCCAGTAGCGGTCTGCTTGGGGATGTCCAGCTGAACCTTGAATTTCGATTCGATGGCGCGGCGAGTCTCGCCACCACGGCCGATAAGGAGGCGGTGCTTATCGGGGGAGACATCGATAGTCTCAGTGGTCTGGTTCTCAAGGGACTGGACTTGCGCCTCAATAGATGCGATGATCTTCTCTACCACATCCATAGGGCCTTCGACGCGGATGGTTGACTCGGCAGAATCCGCACGAGGGAACCTCACCATGCGTGCGAGCTCCCGCGCGTTGTCCGGGCCACCAGCAGCCGCGACTATTTGACGGATGTTGGAACCTACATATATCAGTAAATATCCAACAAACAACGAGACCTAGAGCGTCAACCCACCATTACTGCCGATCAGAGTCCGATGGTGCTTCCTGTCCACGTCGATTGTCTTGACTACTGTCTCATCGAACACCTTGGCGCGTTCCTGCAACAGCTTCTTTGTCTCCTCGACCTGCTTTTTGGTGCCCTTAATCTTGATCTCGGCACGGCCTGAAGGTTCATTGCTCTCCTTCGCACCGGGCACATCGATCTGAGCGCCAGTGGTGAGGCGAAGGTTCTCCATTTCACGGCCGCCAGCTCCAATCAACGAGGGAATCTGGCTTTGGGCAACGGAGACGGTGTCGGTGTACGAATTGTCGATCGTCCACTGAAGCAGGTTCAGGAGCTCTTCGCGCGCCTCATCAGCGCCCTTGCGCGGACCCCGGATGACAACTTCATCTGCTGCTTGGTTGCGGACGTTCCGCTGAGACGCACCTCCCGCGGTGGACTCGTCATCGTCGTTCGCTCTGGAGCGAGGGAAGTTGATGCGGACCTTGTAGCGATCCTGGAGCCTGTTAACCTGGCTGCCCTTGGCGCCAATCAAGTCACGATGGTATTGGGGCTTGATCTTAAGGACGTAAGTAGCCTCATCTTCAAGTCGCTTTGCCAAAGAAAGGATGTGTGCCTTGCAGGCATTCGCCTTAGACTGGGGACCTTTGAGCACGACCTGTCCATCCTGAACCTGGATATCGACATCAAACTCTTCGCGCAGTTTACGGATGTTTTCACCGCCTCTGCCGATTAAAATGTTCGCATACTTTTGAGGGAACTCGAACATAGTAACATGACCGCGCTCCAGCTCATCCTTCTCCTCTTGCTCGATGAAGGCGAGAATCTTCTTGGCAAGGTCCTCGACGGCATCAGCCGGTCCCCGCATGGCCACTCCGCTATTAGATCGTCGTCGTGCTTCACGCGGTCGTCGGTCGCCGAACGATACCTGGACGGGAATGGTATCACGGGGGAGGTTCTGCTGCTGCTTGTCTACATAGCGCTCGATCTTGTTGTAGAACTTGGGAGGTGCATCAATATCGCGGGAAACGATATTCTGCTGCGCCTTGGTGAGGTTTCGAATGTATTGCTGGGCCTGCTCTAGTCCTCTCTGGTAGGCGCTCAATTCCGAGGCTGGTGGCGGACCGCGGGGGATGGAATATTCGGAGGAAGGGGTAAGACCCTCATAGACCAGAATCAGGTCCTCGTCATCTGAATCCTCAGGGAAGACGATATGCACACCATGCTCATCACGGATGTGCTGAGCGTTACGCTGCTGGAGGAACCGGTGATAGAAGGGGTCCACATTGACGGTCGCGAACCTGCTAGGGGGATGACTGGCAAAGACGCTTTGGATATCACCACGGGCTTTCTGGGCGTTCTTCCCGTTCCTAGCGTAGATTTCCCAGGCAGTGGGCCCGTGTCGGCCTTTAGGAGCGACAATACTCGCCTCATGCAAGCGTTCAAGCTCTTCAAGGGCCTGCCGTTGACGAAGGTACCGAGATAGATTGTAGGCATGCGACTGCGGTGCACCACGGTGTTCCCTGGCTGCGTCCACAATGGCCATCTGCATGCTAGCAGCCAGATCCTCCAACTTATTCACACCCGCTTCAAGCCTATCAGCAGGGCCAACAATGTAGATTGTCTCGCTGTCATCATGGCTTGGAGGTAGGATGATGGTACAGCCGGTTTCCTGGAGGAAGTCGTGCAAAGAACTGCCGTTGTCTCCGATTATGAACTGGTGGCGTCCCCGCTCGATAGATCGCTGCTCCATAGCCAGTTGCTGTTGGAGGCGCTGTACTTGGCGTTCAAGTTCAGCCTGAACCGCCTGTGCGTGCTCTCGATCACCAACAATCTGGATGGGCAACTGCGCCTGAGGTACAAAAGGTACAGGTTGGTTGCGGGGAACTTGGGGCGGAGCCTGAGTGTTCCAAGTAGTGTAGTGGGGGATCTGGACGCGAACATCACGGCCATTCTCCAGGCTGTTGACAAAAGAGTTGTGCGGACCGGCTAAGAATGGATAATACTCCGCGGGAATGTTTTTGAGACGCAGATTCACGGTGGAGGTACGGTCCTTGACGATATTGTCAATCTCATGCTTGGCCATCTTGTTGGTCAATGCATTGCCCTCGATGATAACATCCACAATGGTGTCTTCATCCTCACCAGGTTCAGGTTTCGGGACCTGGATACGAGCACCACTGCGTTTGGAAATTTCCTGGATCTTGGCGCCGCCCTTTCCGATGATGAAGGGACGAACAGAGGCCGGGATTGAGACCCTTGTGGTTTGCTGCATCATATTAGTCAGGTAAACCGGTAGCGAGTGGAAAGGTCAACATACCTTGGCAGCCACTTCGTTAGCAATGTCCTTCAATGCCTGGCGGACAGCATCCTTGGGACCCGTGGCCGTAAATGTAACAAGGCCTTGAGGTCCCCCAACTTTGTACTCAAGCTTCGCCTTCGAACGTCTGTTGATGTCGCGGATGAGTTCATTGACGGGTTTCTTGAGCTGCTTAGGGGGGATGATCTCGTTTCCAAGGAAGAAGATTGAATCGCTGTCCTTTCCAGGCATGCTCATGATGGCGGGACCTTGCATACCGGCCGCGGGGGTCGAGGATCGGGAAGCAGCATTGCTGGAAGCGTTTCCATTTGTATTACCGTTGACTCCGGAGCCGGAAGAGGGTTTCTTTCCCCAGCTAGGAGCTGCGGCGGCAGGACGAGGCTTGACAGGACCCAAGGCCGGGAACATTTCCTCGGAGGCAGTATTGAAAGGGACCTCAGGCTTCTTGGAGGGAGCAGGGCTTCCCTCGGCCTTTTGTTTGCCAGCGGCTTTCTCGCTCAGAGGTGCGGCGGGTTCGGATGCATTCAGGGGAGCGGACGAGGGCGGATGAACAAGGTCCTCCTCGTCCACAACCTCTTCGACGGTTGGGCGGTGACTGTGCTGCTCCATCAGTTTCTGGGCCGGGGTCAAGCCCTCGGAGGTGGTGCCGTTGGGAACAGCCTCAGAAGCCATGTTTAGAATAAGCCGTTCGATATAACCAAAGGGGGGCTTCGATAAGACGGTGGGGATGGAACGTTCACTGGTTGGCCGCCAGCGCGAGGAGAAATCGGCTTGCAATCAGGATTCAGTGGTCGAGTGGGAGCGAGGTGCTCTATTGAATACTATACACCGTTTAGCAATACCCTGGAAGAGGTGCAGGACATACATACTGCCAACCGCAGGAGGAATACGGGGATTGGGGGGATGGGAGAGAGAGGATGATGAGGCCACTTCGTGGTCGGTGGAGTTTCCTCGAAGCTCAACTCGGCATCGGTGCTTGGCGTTCCTCGGACCCCTGGCTAGCCTTCCCGAGGTGGCCTGGGCCCGATTTATAGCTCTGCTGATGAATTCTACTACTAACTAAACACCCCAGTGCAATTTCTCCATTGGTGCGATTTTTAGTCAGCGCATCTTCATTAGCTACTACCTAATAATGGTATAAGTGGAGCTTTGTTTTGAAACTCCTTATACGGTGAGAGAGGCGCGAGGAAGCTATTTGCAAGGCCTGTTATGATTGCTGCACCTCCAGCTTGTTGAAATAGGCGCTGAAGTCGCAGTACAGAGGAAAACGCATTGCGGTGTTCAGTCGGGTGTGAAACGACACAATCACCTCTAAAATCAATAGCTACCAAAGAGAAGTGCAAACATGAATGCAGGAATCCCCTGTCCCTTCGTAGCTCAAAGTTGAGAGTCCCTACGATAACTCTCAAAGTTGAGCCACCCGAATGGCAAAATCTCCTCCTCAATTCTCCCATGCTGAAAGAGAACATCCTCGGTCCCGTCCACAACACAATACTCATTGCCCAACTTCCCCTCACTGAGCAACTCCTTCATCTTCCTCACACACTGTTCGTGCGTGACCGACCTTGGCGCTGCTGTGCACGTAGATGCCGTTCCCTTGGTACACGAGATCCAGACCTTGTAGACCCATGGGATCTGTGTAGTGCCCTTGTAGTCATTGAGGTAGATGGTCCAGACTTCGGGTTCGTGGATTTTGATTTCTTTCGAGGGATTGGCGTTCTCGGGAGTGGGGTTCCAGTGCTGGCAGAAATAGTGGACGCCCATGTTGTTCTGCCATTCGATGGGTTGGCTGAGGTCTTTGCAGCTTCCCTCCTCGCGTTTGTGTAGGACGAGGGAAGAGGTCGTGTTGTTTGTGGGGAGCGCGAGGGCGGATGTGGAAATCAAAAGTCCGAGGATGGAAAGAGTTGCGAGAGTCATTTTGTTCATATATATGCGCTCTTGTACGATGGTCAAGATTGTTACTTACTAGTTACGTGCACCCGCTTGTAGTAAAGAAGTCGAGGAGGGGAGAGATATAACACTCATATCCGTACCGGCGGGAGAGAACAATGCACAAAGAAGAATGTTTAAATTGATTGATGCAAACCGGCTTTGTTCTCCTCGTTGACACTCTCTTACATGGCACAAAGACGAGTCCAACAAATGCTTTCCTGTCAATGGACATCCCAGAAAGCGGACAATTGTCTCAGAGTGCTAGAAGAGTGAAATATAAGTCAAGGCAGAAGAAGGCAAAGCCAGTCTCTCTCCGGATGTCAGAATCAGAAAGCAACGAGCTCTGGAAAAGGCGAGGGCTGCAGTGTCGTTCAAATATTCCGGCACCAAAGCAACACCGTGGAGGCAAAATCCGTAAAAGCAGCTGGGAAGCGTACATTGGGTGGGGTCGCTACAAATATCCAACAGCGGCATAAGGATCGTTATGACGGTCCAATAGCTGTCGAGTAACTCGGCTACATTTGTCACTTCGCGTTAGGCCCCACGAACAGACGGCCGAGCGTTTGCATGGGCAGTCGGCGAGATTTGCTCGTTGTCACCAATAATACCAATTGACAAACAAAACCCGTCGCATATAGTTGAGTGCGCTGTTCCGGCTTCTGAAGGATCCGCAATCCTAGAAATATGCGATTCATGTATTTTGCAACTCCAGTGTTAGCGAAGACTTGCCACGGTCCACCAAACCTGTGACTAAAGAGTTTTGTCAGCAAGAATATAATGCAAATGTCTCAGCGCCCACGGAAAAACCGCGAGGTATTGGTTCCGGCAAATGAAGCGTTCGCTGGAGAAAAAATCGACGACGTGGAATAATATCGAGGTGCGGCACAGTCAACATTGCAAACAATGAAAGAAGCGCCCCCGCATCACGCCAGTGGCTATCACCCAAGCTAGCGCGCCGTAGCCTTCCCGTCGCTCGGGAATAGGCTAACGGAACGGACTCCGAGAAGGCAAGTAGTGGATGGATGAGGATGCGGTGAGTGCAGGATTCCAGCCATGTGCCAGCATGCATGCAAACGCTCCACCCTGGTCGTACCCCACCTAACAGAGTACATAGACTATATATCGCCCAACGCCCTAGGGTTCTTGCAGCTAACCTCGTCCACTTATCCCACTTCACGTTTCACGACTTTCGTGTCCACGGTGGTACAATGGCTTCGTCAAGCCCGCAGGCGAGTCCTCCTGCAGAGGGGACATCAAGTCCGGTTGTGTTTCCGGAGCTTGATGTTGAGGTGGAATCGGACGTCGTAAGATTATATGTTGATGGGACTCTATGGCATTGCAATAACAAGCGCTCTGTAGAATTCTGATGCCGATTCTACCATGGGCGATGACTTGTGAGTAGTTCACGGATGGGTGTGACAGTGAAATAATATCATTTTACTAACGAGGTCTCGCAACAGGGAGAGTTACACCACATCGCTCAAGTCAACAGGTGATTCTCTCGGCTTCAGCTTCAACATTTACATATGCTAACTTAACCTAGTGTTAAAGTCAGTCACATCCTAATCATTGCGCCCTGGAAGAGTCTCGTGTTGAACTCACCATTGCAGCTATCGGTTCGAAAATGGACGGAGATACCACGCATTCCAAGATGGTAGTGAACCTCTTCGCTTCCAAATACGTCGCTGACGTACGCCCCTCGTATGCTAGATGAGGGAAAATATATGTTCCCCAACGACGACGAAGAGAGCGACAGACTTGATCTGTACCATCACATTGAAACACTCAGTCTGGGCGGAGAGCTTCATCTAGCTCCGATCGGAGACCATCCTGGGAGGATCTTAGGTATGGTTCAATGTTTGATTGATCGATACTCGGCTGAAATACTGCAGACTTGGGAACTGGCACTGGAATATGGGCAATCGATATGGGTACGTCCTGGTCTAATGTCCCTGCAGTGACCCACGCTGACGTGACACAGGTGACAAAGTATGTCGAACAATGTGCTGAGATGCACTCTCTTACAGTCCCAAGTACCCTGGAGCAGAAATTCTAGGAAACGATATCAGTCCCATACAACCCACCCTTGTGCCTCCAAATGTCAAGTTCGAGGTGGACGATATCGAGAATGACTGGTTCGTCTCACGAGACACCCTTTATGCTCTATGGATTAACCATCCCCAGGGTCTACACCTCAAAATTCGATTTCATACACGCCCGATACCTTGCATGCTCCATCCGCGATTGGTACGCTTAGTCGCTCTCTCATTTCACTACAACACTCACTAACTTATGGATAGGCCCAAGTTGATGAGCCAAGCATACAAGTCCGTCCCTCCCCCACCCCGCTCCACCACCCCCCCTAACCCACCCCCAGATTCACCAAACCCGGCGGCTGGGTCGAATTCCAAGACTACGACCTCAACTTCTACACGACGACCGGCACCTACAAACCCGACAGCGCGCTCGGCCTCTGGGCGCAGAAAATCGACGAGTCCGTCTCCAAATACGGCATCGAGCCCTCTCCGGGCCCAAAACTCGAGCAATGGGTCAAGGACGCCGGGTTCGTCAACGTGGTCGCCAAAGTCTTCCCCTTACCGATGGGGACATGGCCCAAGGATGCGAGGCTCAAGGAGATTGGCGCGTTCAATTTGATTTCCGTGCTGGATAATTTGGAGGGCGTCACGTTGAGGGCGTTTACGACGGCGCATGGATGGTCGCCTGAGGAGGTCAAGGTGCTGTGTGCGAAGGTGAGGACGACGATTAAGGAGAAGTCGGCGAGGATACAGCATAATTTCTAGTGAGTTGCTACAGGATTCGTCAGACAGAGTGCTAACGTTTCGCAGTGTCGTGTATGGCCAGAAACCGGAAAATGCGGCAGGCTGAATCGTGATGCCACAAAAGTAACGGTCCCAGTCTGTTTCATTTCCATAGATCGCATACAGACTTTTCATGAGCAGAAGAACATTCATGTAACGAGAAAACGAACCAATTAATGCGACGGCTAGGTCGTCAGTTTCTCCATCACAGTACACCAGTGCTCGTTAGGGCATCCATTCGGGTTCACGTCCCGAAAACTGCGCGGATGTTCATCTATAGTGTTCGTTCACGCACAGAGGGCCCGATGGAATCTGAATTCTCAGCTACGGAATGAGTTGTATAAACGTAAAGAAACATATAACTATGTCAACGTATTGCAAGCCGGTAGTTTCTTCTCCATGTCTTGAGAATTCCCCTTAAGTGGCCTCTCCGATAACATGTCATGCGGATAAATGTTATTTGATTTCAACCACAATGATGCGATTTGCATTTTCATGATAAGCCTAATAGGTTTAAAGAGGTACGGTATGTTATTACCTCCGAAAATTGACTGGCTTTAAGATGCTCCGTACCACACGCCAGAATGCCTTTAGCAACCGCACGTGTTGAAAACCAAAACCTCGCAGGATATCATCTCGCATCTCACACCATAAATTCCTAAAACAATCTCCCTCCCAGCCCCTCCTCTCCTTACCCTCCCTTCACCACAGGACGTCTCTCATCCCTACATCAAGCCCTCACATGACCGTACACGGAATGCAGCAACCTACACACACCATCAGCTTTCCCTTTCCCCGCTCAAGGCAAGATTCTCTTCAACACGTACAACACCAGTCGTCATCCGCACAACAACACGTTTTGACAGGAGCGGGCTTCGCGATGGAGCCAGCGGCTGAAGAGACGGAGCCTTTGGTGGAAGGAGGCATCTCGGCGCGTTATTGCGAACGGATGGATCTCTGATCGATTGGATTGAGTAAGTCGAAATTTGGGCAATGCGCTGCAAAAGGGTGGCTATTTCAGCTTTTGATCGCGCTTGGTACTGTGTACTTGGACCGATTGTGAGAATACTTACGGCGCAGAGCTGCTGGAGGGATTTAGGAGACTCGGCACTACTGATGGAGGATGAGGCTGCATTCAGGAATTTATTATTAGGAACCTTGTTTGCTGCCCTGTTTACCTGAGACCGGGCGACGCGCGCGCGATGACGTCGCACTTCGTGGCTGGGAAGCCCCACCCGGGGTACACATCATCAGTCTTAAGGTTTGTTTCAGTTGTACGGAGTACCCGACTGCTTGATATATTCTGAGTGTGCTTTCCAATCCAAAGCAGAAGGTTACCGGCCTTACATTCGCGGTAGAAGATACTCGCATATCCGTGACCACCTTCGATTCATGTCTGTATGCTGCTGATATCTACCTCCAGATTGAAGTCTGCAATTGTCGACGCCGAAAGCGGTAGCATCAAGGTCGACGAGCGATACCCAGCAGATCTTCTAAGAGCACACTTTAACACTTCATTCTTTGAAGTAGCACTACGCGTTGGAGTTAGACCCTCTAGTATAGAATTCAGCATGCTTCGGCATCGTCGGGTTGTTCCTGCTCGGTACATTGGATATCCTTACTCGGGCGAGGTAGACTGACGCTTGTTGCCCTCACCGTCTGCGAAACAGTATCTTCTCACAACACTGAAACTATAGCGTTATAAGAACCATCATAACAAGGTGCACACCTGAGGAAATCACTCTATAACGCCGTTGAAACATTCAGCTGGTGCAAATGGTACCTCTAGGAATTCGCCGCCCACTTAGGAAAATGCAGTCATAAGGGTATTGATTAAACAAAAGATCCAGGTCCCCGAAATTCACACATCCCTCCAAGTTGGCTCGCCTCTCTCGTATGGCGTTTTCACAGCTGGCGTTTGTTAGCCAGCTATCATGCGCCGGCACTATTGCACTCACCATTCGCGTCGCTAAAGGGATCATCCTCATCATCTTCCGGTTCGCTTTCGACTTGGGTCTGCTTTCCTGCAGGAGGCATCGGAATGCTTGTAGGTCTGGGCGGCTTCACAGGCGGAGATTCCTGGTTTTGACCTAAGCTCAAGCTAGCCATCGCCGTTTCGGCTCCGCTGGTCGTCCTGCTCGCCGTAGGGGATGTTGCCTGAGGAGACTGCTGCTCTGCCTCGCTGTCGCTGTCATCATCGATGCTCTTATCCATGATTTCGAAAGCCATCAATGCTTTGACAAGCTCGTCATTTGCATTCAACAGACTCCCAAGGTACTGGTCGGACTCTACCAGTTGAATGTAACGGAGAATTTGACGACGAAGGCGCTTGCACGATTCGAATTGCTTCATGACTTCCGGGTTGTCGCTTACACGTTGCACCTCACGATTCATGAGCTGCAGTGCATTTAGCAAGTTTGTGCTTGCAACCGTGGCCGATGCGATCGTCTCCATCAACTGCCCCTTCTCCTTTTCAAGGTTGAAAGGCTTGCCTTTGGTTTTCTTGTCTTTCTTGAACAGGGATGAACTCGGAGCGGGATATGGGCCCAGAGTGACGGGTCTGCTAGAGGAAGAGGATGGTGCTCCCAGCGACTGATTCCTTGGCCTGGTCGTTGTGGGCGACCTCGGGGATTCGTTCTCAACCTCTGCCTCAGTCTCCCTAACGACTCGCGACTGATGGGGCTGAGGACGCTTTGTGTTCGGCAGTTGCTTATAGAGCGTCGCGATCCGCTCTAGGCCGGGTGTCCCCTTGTATGCGACTGCCCATTGCTTGAAGAGAACATTAACCTTATCCCTCACGTCTTTGTCAACCATCTCATCCTTGGCGAGTATTCTCAGCCGCTCTAGGAGGGGCTCATCGGCGAAGGTCTTTTGGAATCGCGAACCGGCATTCTGGATCAAGGCGTCGAGTAATACGAGTGCGCGGAGCTGGCGGTGCACGTTGCCATACTTCCTTCCAGCGTGTTAGAGAAGAGAGCATGCCATCACACAGCAACATACAGCTTCTTTCGGATTGCACGGGCAGCCTCCGTTGGTCCGGTGTCCTGGATTCTGATCACTTCGATCAGATCAACCACACCTCCCAAATCTGGCCATATCAGCACGTTGCGAGGCAGTTTGCTAGCAACAACAGACCATTTTCCTCATACTGCTCGGATGTCAACCTATCAATGCTGACCGTCACGGCGGAATAAGCGTGTCTCTGCGTTCATGGCGTTAGCGATATTGTAATGGATCGAAAGCGCGCGAAGGGACAAAACTCGCAAGCTCAGAGACCTTCACCCTTGTGCCAGAGTGGTTAAACGACAACCAAGCATTAACCTCATACAAGACTTGGTGTCCGTAGAACTTCTAATCGTGTCGTAGGCCCATAGTATACGTGATATCTGTAAAGAGAGTAGAGGGTTGACACTCTTGGTATGTCCGCCAGGAAACACTCGTAGTCAAATGTTGAAGCAGCCACATTGCATGGCACGAAGTTGGCCAAGATACTTTAAAGAGATGGTAATGGTGCTACAACGGTCCAAGAAACGATACGCTCGAATGGGAAAATGTTCAAGCTTACCGGCATGGCAAAAGGCGACGTCCACGCTGGCGAACCTTATGTTATAGGGTCGCGTCAAAGAATGAGTGATTGCAAGAAGGCGACGGCACTGGAACATACAGCACGAGCTCAATCGCGAGTGTGCTTTTCGTAACGGTGATGGCCGGGAAAGAGTCGATAGGGAAAAGCTATCCGAGAACCACACGGTAAGCCGTTCAGGGCGCAGGACTCTCCCTGGGAGAAAGGCTCGAGATATCGGTATGTTATCGAGAGACTCAGTGATTATTGTCGCATTGACGGTTTACGTGTCGCATTGACGGTTTACGGGTCGCATTGAAGGCGGAGCGTTTGATGCAGGGACGGCGGGGGTGGGGTGAAGCTTGGCAATGAAGGAGCTTGGGCCACCACCCAGAGTTTCTCAACACTATATAGATATGTATTTCTCCTTTGCTCCTTCACATTCACCACCTCCTTACCTCGGAGTTCACCCTCGCCATAGTTCGCACAACCACCCGTCTCTGTCATGACTCTCAATTGCACTGAAATCCACTCCTACACCATTTATCTTTTCAATTGATGCAATGAAATGGCACAGGGCAATATTGGTGATGCTGGATCGGACAAAGCGTGAGCACATGTCTGGTGCAATCCGCATCACGCATCCGCCCCCTTGGAGTCCTCAACATTCGCGCCTGCCAGAGAGAGTTTAGACGAAATCAGCTAACCTGGACTGACTGTAGGATACTCACTCCATTTACCGGGCTTTCCAGCTTCACCGCAATCAACACATCTCCACACCATGAAGTGACGCTGCAAACCCCTGATCTTGCTCTTTGTACGCCTGCCTCCAGTCGTCAACTTAATGCAACAGTTGCAAATTACCTGGGCCGCGGTGCTGAGACGGACTCTTCAAGGTTCCTGCCGTCTTCGTTCTCTCCTGTCCCTGCACCGAAACGTCCGCGAACTGGAAGGTGTGATGCTAATCATGGCGGAACCAAAAAGAAGTCCAAGACTCCGAGGAAGGAATCTACTGCTAGATCAACGCAGAGGCTAATACCGGAGGATTTTCCTGCAACCAAGCCCATGTTAGGTTCGAGTCCAGGGGACGCGCCGAAGTCCTTGAACCCAGGACCGCCTGAGACCATTGTTCAAGGCACGAATCATTGCGAGACTACTGGAAATGCTCGCTCTCTCGCAACCCCCTCAACCTTCCCTGGGGATTTGGACCATAACACCGGCTCCGACGGGTATGATGGTTACGATCAATCCCTAACAGACTCTGCATTTGACGACGGTATCGATGAGCAGGACATGCTGATGCTTGTGGAGAACGCAGAGGGTTGCAATGAGACCGTGGATAAGACCGATTGGTCTGAAAATGAGTCCACCGCCGCAGCTTCTCTCGAAACCCTCTGCTTCGAGACGGACCAGCCCTCCGAATATAGTGCAACCCCACTCACACTCAACAGCCAGCGATCCTTAACTGAGCTGGACGTCAAACCTATAGTGAGGAGTCCATTTCCAAAGCAGGTCAGAGATCGGTCACCTATCATTGGCCTTACCGCCGACTGTGTCCTCAGGACTTGTTTCCGAATTGGAGAGGCCATTAACGCTGGGCGAAGCGCTACTAGGAGTGGCCGAAATGTCATGATCGAACTTTATGCAAGAGTCCTGAAGTCGGAGCGAAACAACGCTGTTCAACATTTCATCTTTGGTGACTTATTTCATCCGAACAAACCATATATCGAAGCCGATTACAGTGCAGCAATCTGGCAGTCCGTCCCACTCCATGAGCTGGACAGCCGTGTTTTCCTAGGGGAGGGCAATAGAATGTGCCGATGCATCTTAGTATTTAAAAGCAACGGGAAAGAGTGTGTACCAACAATTCTCAACATCTGGGCAGCGAAAAACGAGGATGTCGTGTGGGTGGAGGGAATTGTCAATGCCTAAGCACATATACAATGGAGGTTACCTACTGGCTATAGCATATATTTTCAACATTCTGAAGGTAGTAATAACATTCTCATATTGAAAGTGTTACGAGCCTTTCTGGTCTTTTCTTATTAAACTCTAGAGAGGCGTCTGACGTTGTCCAATGGGCTCAACACGTGATGACCCCCGCTTCACTGGGCTTGGCGCTCACCTCACCAGTGAATGCATATGCATGGCTGGGAGCTTTGTCCATCTCTTCACCAATATGTCGCCTTGCCATAATTGCGCGAGGTGCTGGTAATTACGCGTCCAGAACCTTTTAGCAATGACGCCCGAACTCCCGGTGCCGGCCATTGCGGCCATGATCAAAGGCGGATTGGCATCAGACCAGGCCATCGACGCGAGCAGTAGTCCGAACCTGGACACCTCTATGCAGACGCCGGTACAAACACCCCAGAAACTACACAAGACACGCTCCCTTTCTGATAGCGCGCCGCAATTATCCCCGTCCCCGAAGTTTCGCGAACCAGCACGCACCTCGAAAGATGACCATACCGTTGTCTCCAGCCCGCATACGCCACGCCGACCCGAGTTTCTCTCCAAAGGCCTTCACCTCAAGATGCCGGAATTCAAAGAGGCGGGCATGTCTACTCCTATCCATCTCGCACAGCGCGTTCCGCTCTCACCGCAATTGGATGCCCACAACACATACGCCTCTCCCGCAACGCTCCTACCCAGACGCTCACGAGGCGCCGAATTCTCACGAGCATGCACCAACCTACATCATTCAACGCTTGCTGATCAGCCGTCGCCGGACTCCTCGCCCACGATCACACAGAAAGGATTGACGATCCCTTCGAAGAAGTCGCGGGCAAACTCCATGATCATGGACTCACCGAACCTGAATTACCCCGCGTGGGGCATGAGCAACGGTGAAAGAACAGCACCTTCTAGCTCCCTGGGCAGTATAAGTATGATCGACGCGGACTCTAGCTCCAGCTCAGATGACCCGGATGCGATGGAGCCGGACGACAACGAAGACCCCATGCTTATGACTCCGCAAGCCACAAAGATCAACCCTTTCTCAGCTGCAACACCTGGAAACAACCCCACTCCGTGGACAAATATCTTTTCCCCGGGCGCAGCACCTACGTTTATGAGCATACAGAGAAGAAGGCTGGGCAAGGGCCGTAGTCGCAAGAGCTCAAGTTCTGCAAGCGGACATAGTTCGCTGGCGAGCCCCGTGCCTGGATCGCCGCCGAACGGGAAAAGTGAGGGATACTTTGCGCGGGAGGCAGTCATGCGCCAGACGGGTTCGCGGAGGGAGAGTTTGTCGTTGTTTACGAATGATCTCCATATATCATCTGGCAACGACAGCGGAGACGAGGCGGTGATGATTCCGCAGACGCCCGGAGTGGTCCGCCGACCAGTAACGCGGAGGGGTAACCTCCTTGTAAGTTCATGAGAATCCTCTGCTTTTGGACTGTTATACTGACATGCGCAGCCGAAATCGCGCCAGTTTGGCAGGATCAAGGCCGAGCTGTTTGAGGAAGCAGCACCCATTGACAGCGAGGCGCGGCGAGAAGCAGAGATCATCCGCCAAGTGCGAGAGGCCGATGTCGACGAGCGGCGCTCTGTGACGGCACAGTCATCGCCCGCGCTTCTTCCTACAGTGCCTGGCCTGGAGGGCCCTCTGGAGGAAGTACCGGAAGAGGAGAGCGAGAGCAATATGAGTGTCGATAGCTCGTCGACGAAAGGGCTGTTCGGAGCATTCAATCTTGGGCCAGCGAGGAATGGCAACGGACGAAATTATTCCAATTTGGATAACCCGGCACAGACTCCTCCACCTCAGTTCCCGCCAGCTGGATCTTCGGCCGTGAGCGACGATATCAACATGGATTCGCCTTCGGTTTCGTCTACATCAACATCACTACCCTCTCTTACCGCCACTGCACGGCCCGACTTCAGCCTCCCCACAGGCTGGGTTTCGAGGTCATCAACACCGCAACCGCTGGCGCCCCCCTCTGCCGCAGATGGTCTGAAGAAGTCCAACAAGCGGCGCCGCGACGATGATTTGGATGGCAACTCCCTCAAACGACGCGCAGTATCACCCGGCGTGAGCGTGCACAATAGTCCGGTACTATCACAGTCGCCAGCGCAGCGTGACACCAGTCTGTGGGGAGCGGCTACCAAGCTGAGCAGGGAGCATGCTGCGCTCTTTGGAGGAGGCGAGAGGCCGAATAATGGTGCAGCGCCGTCTACCGCACCGTCGGTGGGTCCCAAGCGAATAGGGCTGCAAGGGATGACCGATACAAGTGACGGGCTTATGAAGATGAGCATAGAATGAGGGTTCTCTGCTGTTTCGATTACGTTTCCGGGTTGCTACGTCTTGTTTTTTCAGCGTGGAGTTGGGGCAATGCATTTGCTGGACTGCAGCGTGCTATGAATACGCGGGCGTCCATTCATCATGAGATCCCCTGATTTTTGATTGGGGTAAAATCATAGTATTTATTCTTCTGGGTCTTGGGGTGCTTCTGTTATCTATTACATGTAATCTCATTTCGCACACGGGATTGATTAAGGACAACCAGCCCTGGGCTAGAGGTTAGAGTACATCATCCCATCTGTAGATCAACAAGCGGTCTTAATTAGATATTTACTCCGTAAATAGTACTTGTGCACAGTACATTATTTATCGATAAGCGAAGACCCTGGCGTCCGAAGTTCGCGCCATTAGAATCGACCTCAGGCTGTCCTTAGAAAAGTTACCGACAAACGCACCCACCACGATGAACACAATCGCACCCCCTCCACCCCCTCCCCAAGGCTTCAAGAAGCTCCCACCCCGCCAACGCGCCTTTGGCCTCGTCCTCGGCGTCGTCGGCGGCGGCATCTTCAACCTCACCCTCGGCTACGCCGCCTTCTCCTACTGGACACGCAACACGACATTCGTGCCCTACGACACATCCGCGCCCGACTTCTCGACGCCGACCTTCCGAAAGCACAATCCCGCGTCGAACCCGCCGCTGTGCATAGACCATGCCGTGCGCACGGTACCGCTGGCGCAATTGAAGACGCGGGATCAGAAGCAACTGACGACGGATTTCTGCAGGGGGGTATGGGGGGGTATGGGGTATGCGTACCAGAGACGGTACCTGGAGAAGAAGTATCGGGGGTTGGAGGGGAGGGAGAGCCATTTGTGGGATAGGAAGGATTTGCTGAGGAGTGACTATGAGGTCGGGACCAAGATTACGGATCATTTCGAGGTGCTGGAGCATTCGCCTGAGAAGGTAAGGGGGTCTTTGCGTGAGGAAGTGTATGCAGGAGCTGGGTTAACAGGTTTTCACAGGTGATTGTGCGATGCGGTGATAGTCCGCTGAATACTGAGCATAGACCTAGCGACGGACTTTTCTCGATGGAGGTGACGACGGATGAGAAGGCGGAGACGGCGACGTTTCATCTTAAGAGCGTGTTTGTGGATACGACGCCAGACGGGAAGAATGCGCAGCCGATGCCAGGGTTGGTACAGTTCGCGCATCGATTATACACGAAGCTTTGGATGGAGACGGCAATCAGAAATGTGATGAAGTAGGTGGTATGGGCTTAGAAGGTGTGCTCCATGGCTGTCTAGGGCCCCGTGTATTTACTCCTTTCATAGCCCGCAGCTGACCTGGGCAAAACACAACTCCGCTCGCCGACTCTTCCTACGTTTACCGCCTATGTTTGTCGCCATATCTGCTACTGGTGTGCGACAGGATACCGAATTGACTAGACTTCATCCGCGAACACAAAGCTCGCCTTTCGGACCTACCCGCATGGTAGTGAGGACTGTTCAGCTCAGAAGAAGACATTGTGGTAAACGCTTCGGCTGTAATGATTCAAGTCTTGGTATATATGATCGCTTCATTGCGCCAAAACAAGATCTATCATGATACTCGTCATCTCGTGATATCAAAACGCGACTAAACTGGCACCATGCTCTACCGCGACCGTCCACCTCCGATATCTTGCCTAGAATCAGTTAGCAGCCGTTTTGACAAGACTAGCAAGCCACTCACCCAACCCGATAACCCGAAATCTTCTCCCACTCAATCTTCTGCCTCGTAATCGGTAGCTGTCTCCTCAACGCCTTGAAAGCCCCTTCACTCAAGCTCGCAAACGCCTTGTTCAAGTCTTCCTGATATTTCTTCTCTGCCACGGCAATCTGCCTCACAATCTCAGTCGCAGTGGCATTGGCCCCTAGGCTCGCGGAGACATTCTTATTCGTCAGCAACCGCACGTTGCCATCCTCGTAGTAGTGCACGTCGACCTTGATGCTGCCTGTGAGGGAGCCTGAGGACGGGTCATAGATGTACGAGGAGCGCCAGCGGCCGTTCCAAAAGTTGGAGGGGGAGTACTTGTTCGCGACAGTGAGGATGGCGAGTTGCGTGTCATCTTCGATGGGGTAGACTCCAAGGCTGGACTTGGGGTAGTGCTCGGATGTGTGGTTGCTGAGGGATTTGACAAGGCTCTTCCTACATGGCGTCAGACCTTGGTCTTCTTCGTTTGCGCAGGGACCCACGAAGGCTGGCAGTCTTACACGAGGTCTGCGTGGTTGGAGTCTAGCACATAAGATTGCACATTGCTGGCTCTCTGCGTGCTGTGGTCGAATTCGAACGAGCTCTGGCTCTCGACATCGTAGTACCGGCCGTCGCCTAGTCTGTTGTGTTCGCTGACGAGGACCTCGGTGCTGCCGCCGGGGAGTTTCACGGTTGCGAATTGGGATTCGTTGTATTTCTCGAAGGCGGGTGTGAGCTCGCTGTGGAGAGAGTCGTCGCCGAGAATGGACTTTATCGCTGAGATGTGTCAGATTGAGAATTTAACGTGTATTCGGCGCGGACTTTAGAAGTGCCCGCAGTGCGTACCTTTGGTGACATCCGTGAGCTGCACTCGTTAGCTATGCACTGGGGAAAAATTTGGACAACGAACCTCGCCAGGAGGCGCACTTTCAACAAATGAGGATAGTGCTGCAGTTCTTGACATCGTGGGATATGCACTTTAGTGTATCGTGAGAGAGAAACAGCTGTCGGGCTGTTTGATTGAGGTGAGGTTGACCTGAGACATTGCGATGCGGGGTCTTGGCGGGGATTACAGGGGTCAGCTTCACTGCGAAGAGCGACATTGAGCATGGAAAGCTACGGCTGGTGGAATTTACTGAAGAGAATTCGTATATATCGGCGTCTCATACACCTGCCATGCACATAGGATAGCCCTGCAGTGGTTCATGTATATCGCCTTACAAACTAGGAACGACACTGGAGTTCACGTCTTTGTATGGGTAAGTGGTCAAAGGGATGGCGAATATTACATCTTCTGTGGGATTACTCACTTTATTAATTTTTTTAATTATTAAAACATCAAAAATAGTTTGGTCTTATGGTCTAGTGGTACGTCGGGATAATCTAACCTCTCTCTCCAATTTCACATAACTGACTTCAATAGGTATGATTCTCGCTTAGGGTACCCTGAGCACGCTTGCGAGAGGCCCCGCGTTCGAATCGCGGTAAGACCCAGTCACTTTTTTTGTGCTTTTTATTATGTATGGATTGATTACAACGAAAGATAACTTTATCGCAACGGAACCTAGATCGCTTTACAGAAGAAGCTTTTTACTCTACAAATGAACCTGTGCTACTAAGAGGAAGATGAGTTTTTTATGCTCTTAATCGTAGTAATTGACTAGATTTGCGGATTAAACAACCTGTGACCGTCGACTACTTCCTCGCGGCTCGCAACCTCCCTAACAAATACCGTGGGGTAATTCCTCACCGTAAACTCTCGTAGCGCCAGTCAGAAGATCAATTAGATGTGCGTCCTTTGCATCGCTTGCAATATCCAAAGGCGTCCGACCGTTCATGTCTTCTTGAATTGTTGGGTTCGCCCCCTTGCGAAGTAGATATTCAAATACCTATGTAGAGTACTGTATCTTGTTAAGAGATGCTCCCCTCAGGACAAGCATCTCCAACACTTCAATAGCGTCCTCGCTTTGCTCAACAGCGTGATAGAGTAACTGCCCCTTCTCGATGCTACCTTGATGAAGTAGTGTCTTAACGATTTCGGGCCGAGTGCGTCGTACGGAGAAAGACAATAGAGTCAAGTCCAAGTAACTTCCAGCGGAGGAGGAGAAGGAGGAGTGGGAGGAAGACCAGCAGGAGCAGTGCGGGAATGAAGCGGATCAGGATTGTTAGCAAGCGGAAGGGGTAATGTAGAAGCCATAGAGTTGCTATATGCGTGCGTGCTAACTGGGCGAATGAAAGGTTATAGAATGGCACGCCCTATGCTGGCCCTAAGGTAGGCGCTTATTCTGTGTCATCAAGGGTGTGCATCCAAGCACTGATTGATAAAATTCAACACTCCCGAGTAAAGTCAGTCATCTTAGAAGATGCATTGGTAATACGGACTACAGTATACTAAAAGCTGTAGTTTGCAAATAGTGTGGTTCACATAGTCACACACTAGCCGCACGAGCAAAAATGAGACTAGCATAAGGGTATCCTCCAAATGCCTACCATTGACGTCCACGAGGGGAGAAGGTGTGCAACCTGACTGTTAATGGACTGCCCAACGTGACTCATTGATTTCCTTAATGCTGCGCACGTTCATGGGTTCCTCCGCCGTCGCAAGCTCATCAAGCCAAGTCTTGATGTCCCCAGCCGCAAAACCATCATCGCAGAAGAGCACCGCTTCATCGAAGTCCCGCTTGACTTGGGTCGCATTAAATTTCTCGATCCACTTGGGCTCCAGTCTGCGCATCTCATCGAGGAAATACTGTCGCAACATCGTCTTCTCATAGTGCTCCAGATGCTCCCAGTACAACGTATCTGGATCATGAATATCGTATCTGCGGAGGTCAAGGGGATTATTTCGCGTGGGCCCTTGAAGAAAAGCGGGATAGGAACATGCCTTCCACAGAGGCAAGGCGGAGACACATTCCCAGCCAACGACACCAGTGAGCTTGCCATTCTCATCGACCAGAATATTGTTCTGGGAAAGGTCATCATGAAGAAGTACGGTAGGCTCAGGACTGTCGGTCGTAGATGGAAAGACACGATCAAGCTGAGTCCGAAGTCTCTCGATAATCCCCAGTGTGCGTTCTGCGTCTTCCTTCTCCGCTTCCTCGTCGCTGCTCAGCTCTTCTTGTCTTCCAAGTATTCCTAAGATGGATCTGCAATCGTGTTCGTGTAGAGACAGACGAGCGGCGAGCCAGTCTCGGCTTGTTTCGAACGGCCCACGGTATATGTCCTGACGGATATGGTCGCCGTAAAAGAAACTCAGCGAGACTATTCTTCCAATCTGGTTGCCTGAATCCGGGAAGAGGTTTCCAATGGAGTGAAAATGTTGACGGAAAACAGAGGCGGAATACATCGCAATCTGTTGCACAAGCTGCTTTTTCGCCGTATACTGCATCGTTTTCCACATGTCCGCCAATGGTTTCCCAGGAAGCCTGGTCATGAGGATCCACTCAAAGTTCACCGCGCTTGTTTCTCGCTCTGGCTGATAGTCGATGACTTGAGGTACGGGCAGGGACGTGTTTTCGCTGATCCAATTCAGCGTGGCGATCTCACTCAGCGTCTTGTACCTGGGATCGATAGGCAAGGAAACTCGCATGATGAAGGTCTCATCCCCAGCCTTAACGGCATATATCTTGTTGAAAGCGCCCTGTACCATGAAATTCACCTCAATCTCCTGCGAAGGTTTGATTTCCTCGATTGTACGTTTGATCGCGTCCAGGTCTGGCTCAACGGTCCACTGCGGTTCCATGCCGAATCCCCTGATTTCCACCCACTCAAGGCCTCTGAATTCGTCCAATTGGGCAGTCATTTTGCGAAGCGGGTGCTGGCGCTAGAATGATTCGGCAAGGAGTTGAATAATGCCTTGGTATCAGTTTGAGCAGCGGATTTTACACACTGTGCGAGGTGCCAAGCCCTGGCCGTTTGCCATCAGGCATGCTCGCGATCCGACCGCCTTTTTGCTCACAGAGTTGCGGTGACTTGACCACAATAACTTTAAGGTTAAACGGTGAAAGTCATGCCAGTGTCGAGCGCCAACATGTACCCGGCAGTACGCACTGTGACGCGTCTTAAGACGGCCCCCACATCAAACCATCACTTTTCCTGCCCAGGAAAGAAAGAGGGATTATGGTTCTCACCAGTGTATATAGAGCGGGTCAATTTAGCATAACCCGTACCACGCCTGTCCATGACACCATGCTGCTCTAGCATTGTCCAGGAACACAGTTCGAGCTGTGACTTTGCTATACTCGGCATGGCGGAGAATTAACTCGAGCAGCCGATAGCAGCAGGAGCTACGAACGTTAGCACGAGCTTGATATGGCGTGTCTTGACTGGAACTGTTGTGATTGAATCTCTGTGGATGGATGTGCGCTCAAATCGCTGAGATAAGTGCAGTTCTGAAACTCGTGAGAATGGGCTGAAGAAGGACGACTACCGGTGATGAGGTTAGAAGCAAATTCAAGAAGAAATCTAGGCGGAATATGTGTGGGGAAATCCTGATGGGAAAAGAGGATAGCAGGAGAAGGTGTTGTAGCAGCAATCGTTGGACTTATAGCAACTAAGCTCAAGGGGCCGCCAGTAACAGTTACTCCGCACTTTGAAACGCAGGGTCAAGTAATCTAAGTACGGTAGGGTCAGAAACTGGCATCTACTGACAGCAGACCTTGTAGCTAGAAGTACACCTCTCGGTCCGTGCGGACGATCGGACTGTCACACAACACCTTTGTTTTCCAATACAAGTCACACTGGTTCCTTCCACGTACCAGAACAAGCAGACTCCGACCTCAGGAGTACAGCCTCAGTGAACACCTCTTGCAAAACGCCCCCGCACTCACCTCGCTCCGTCACACAATCCACTCTTTGACAGCGAAGATGGAGGGGCTCAAGTTTCTGAATACCTACGGCGCCGTGGCTGGTGTTACTCAAGATTCCGTAAAGGACGTCCGCCGACTGACCTTCTGCAATCCCCTTGCGTTACGAGATGGTCCCCCAATCGAGCTGTCACTGCTCGGTGGGAAAGCTTTCCTTATCCCCAAGCGCACTGTAATGGCATCCTCCCCCCACTTCAACCGATTCTCGCCGCGCGCCCGACGATGAATAGGCTCAAACTCTATCCTGATCAGGTGTCGAAGCAAGCTTTCAACAAGGTTATGGACTTTATGGACGGGAACACACGACGTTTGAAGCCTTTCAGTCTCAGGCCGGTCCGTGACTTCGTCGAGAACGTGAGGATCTATCGCTTCGGCCGCCTTCTAGGATGGTCCAAGGATGGGTATCTGTACCTCGTCTTCAATGCCATTCTCGAAGGCATTTTCCATGTTCATTGGTTGCTGCAATACAATGAGCTGGAGGAGATCTTGACGCTGGATGTCAAGGATCCCGTGTACCTGGCAGCCGCGGCCTGTTTCGACAACCTGCGTTTCCACAATAAGATCCCCGATCTCGCGGAGTTTGACGAATGGCTGAAGAAGCATACTGCATTTGCCGAAGCAATGGATAGGCATGCCGCGAAGGACAAAGAGAGGAAGGTTAAGCGCTAGGGGGAATCCCAGGCTCTGCAATAAAACGAGGACTTCCCTGCCCTGCCGCAGACTACATACACCGAAGAGCTGGAAGTTCTTGCGGCCCGGTACGAGGACCCTGAGGTCCGTCACAAGTATTTCTATGATAGACGTGGATGGTTTCGAAGTGGAAAGACTACGAAGCTATTCAAGTAATCAAGTAATACCGTTCAAGTATGACGAAGTCAAAGGTTGAAATTGTTCACTGCGCGAAGACCCAATGCTGTAGTTCGTGGATGGGGCTAGCAGTACGTGGCAACCAATATTGACCATATGTCGTTCTAATCTAAGAGGGCGATAATACAAGATTAACAGCTCAATTGCCTTATCAATACAGAATCATTACACCAGATCCTCAATCAGGTTCAAATAATTGTCAACAGTGACATTTCCCCATAGCAAGTGATTTATAGAGTCTTATTTGATATAATTAATTACCTTCTCATCGCTCAACAGCTGCATCGGATGTTTTTAACTGATTACCTATATTTTCTGAATCAAAAGTATAGACTGTATATCCGTTGAAATATCAGCTATGTATTTACACAGAATAGACATGCATATAGCAGAAGTCTAGTAACAGAGTTCGGAAGTCTTTGAATTCACTCTTGCTTGTAGTGCAAGGGCTTTTCAATATACAGCTGCCAATTGTACAAAGCATTTCCAACCAAGGCGCAGGAACCTGCTAGACCCGACCGGATATTCCTTCTTCGTAAAGCTCATGATACGCTTATAGCCAAATGGTCCTTTAAGGACACCGAGGCTCCGGCCTTCTTATCCTGTCCCATCGCAATTACCTCCGCATCTTACATTCAACAGTGCCCTCCGCTAGATAGTCAGGCATATCCAAGCAACCCAAGTCTGTCCAAGCACTTCTGCGAATCGACACTACAGCTTAACCTGTGCATAGATCAACACCACGGATCCCAGTTGAGCACTTTCCTCTTCCTCGTATCCCGAAGATCAACCTCCCGCAACATCAATCCACGATCACTCTCATTCCGCATCCGCATCCGCACCTTCCGAACCTCCACCTCGGCAACCCATTCCAACCTCTCCATCGCCAGAAGTCTTGCGTGCAATTTCTTCCTCTCCATACTCCGTTCCTGCATCGATGCGCCAATCTTGGGGAATTGATCCTGTACCCACTTGTAATACCCTTGCTTCTCCCCTTATGAATCACCAAATTGGTCTCTCTCGAGGATATCTACCAAGCGCCTGTAGATCATATCTTGGCTATCAAGCGTTTGAAACAGCGCCAACTCCATCCTCCCGAATATCTCCCCTTTGCTGGGACACGGAAGTTGCTCTTCAAGGAACGAACTGATATCCTCGAGATACGTGGTCCAGCCGAGGAGTCTGCCAAACCGGTACATCTCAATGGCGTTCTTCACGCAATACCCGTGGTCGAGCCGAACGCGCTGTCCCAGGACAATGCACTCGTTCATGAACTGCACAATCGCCTTGAACGCGAACGTAGTCACTTGGTCGGCTTCATAATCAAACCGGATCTCGCTGGTGGTTGGTTGGGTTACTAAGTGCGAGTTCAACACGGGCGAAAACGCCATGAGTGCTCGTTTGGGAACTTCGATCGTGAGGACTCGGTGACGCAACGTAACTGTGGGTCCAGACAATAGGGCCATGCGCTCTTCGTGTTGCAGAAGGCGGACGTCTTGCATGGTGGGAGTTTGTACGGGATGGGACATCCTGGAGACGACCATCATGATGGAATCCATGCTGGCCCTCTCAGGTAGGCTGCTGAGGAGATTTCTGACGCCGGGAGGTTGGGTGTTGTAGGAGTTGTGTTAGGAGCCCTGGGAAATCAAAAAGTTGGGCCTTTGGGAGCAACGGTTGCGGCGTCAGGAGGTCATCTCGAGCGCCAGGTTGGCGGCCGTAACCAGCCTGCGAGGGCAAGGCGCGAGTCGGCCCGGACACGGGCAACAGAGAAGTTGTGTAGATATAATCCATTACATAGCATTCATCCAAGTGACCATCCAGTGAATATGCCGGAATATCACATTCATCTTTGTTGATGTTGGACTTTTCACATACATTATATATAGTCAACATGGGACATAAAACTATGTGTAGGTACAACGTCAACATGACGGCTGGTCGAATAATGGTCGAGTGTGGGTCACCACTGACATCATAAATGAACAATTGTACTCCGGGATTACGATACCTAAGTATGGTTAGCCCTGGTGAGCGCAATACATAGTAAACCTTGTCGATGGGTAGAATGAAGGGTCAGGTCCAAACACATCTTGGAAGACAGTGATGCTTGGCTACCAGTAAGGGGGTTATATCAACCATACGGGACTCATATCCAGGCACAGTGCTTTGCGCCTTTAGCAATGTGGAAATGTACCGCACTCTTTATACATTTGATAACAAATATCAACGAGTGATGTCGTTTGCCCGTTGTTATACGATCACCGCTAGCAAATAAATAGCCCGACACTTCTTGCCCCAAAACATAAACCCGGGAAAAACACCGTGAGTACACGACTTACAATAAAACAGACATATCTGTCTCAGGAGAAAGCTACCGAGCTTTCCATCATTAGTGCTTTATAATCTAATATCACCGTAGAGCGCAATGAAGACATGTTCGTAGCTGCTCAGGTTATACATGTGTAAATGCTTCCCAGCAGGGCCCTATTTAATAGCCATCCGCATCCGTGGCATCAAAAAATCCCTTACAACCGCGCCGGTGATGGACGCGCTTAGGTTAGGAGTCTATTACCTCGCCCTCAAGACTCAAAAACAGTGCCACCTCTAGGAAATGTGTAGCTCTACGCCTAAGACCCACTCCTTTTCCAACGGGAATTCAGAAGGAAATACAGGTTCGATTATAATTTGTCATGTAATACTTAATCATGGACGGGGAGTGATGGTTCCTACATCATGCGTGACGACTGACGAGGGAAGTAGAGTGGTGGTTACGAACACGGGATTGACCTAATTGCGAGATTGCTGACAGTGCAGCTGGTTCATTGATGTTTTGTTTCCATGAACTTCATCAATGTCTTCGCACTCTATGCACATACGGTCTCTCATCTACCGAGACTACCTCAACGGGTATTAGACTAAATCACATGACAAAAACCATTCACATGCTAATTCTGCCACGTTCTCTCAAATCGACAACATCGACTTCCTGTCACATGCTCTCAAAATGACATTGAATTCCCTTCACAGAATGCCATAATTACTATTAAGCCTAAAAGCATCTGATCTACATGATGAGCTAATGTCCAGTTTCGCTTCTAAACTCCCACATCCGAGTTCCCATTTTTCCAGCTCCGAAACCCACCAAGGCTGCACAGAGGTTGCTCCAGACCCCGAGCAGCCAAAAGAGCTCATCATCCCGCATGATCATCCCGCATTTCCTCATCACCACCCGCCTTGTCCTTAGACCCAGCAGGCCGCAGAAGCATATTGCGAAAGTCCTCATTACTCTTGACTTCCCTCTCTTCTCCCCCATGCGACCCGGACCCTGCAGACCCCGCCGTCGCCGTCCCCCTCTGTGCAGCACCTAACCCAGGCTTTCCCCGGCTTCTAAGGAGCCCCCCTCCTCTACCCCTAGCACTAGGCGCCGTGGGTCTTTTGGTGAGCGTAGCAGGCTTCATCAAATTGCTCGGTGCTCTATACTCGGCCTTATCTTTCTTGAGCTCCGCAACAGTGCCAACGCGGATCTTCCTTCCCGCCTCGATCTCGTGGCCATCGAGTGCGAGGCTCGCTTTCCCGACCGCGCTGACGTCGTGGAACTCGATGATGGCGCCGCCGTGCTGGGGCAGGTGAGTGATCTTCTTGTAACCGCAGGGTTCGACGAGTTTCTGGATCCGCGCGTCGGTAACCGTGTCGGGGATCTTGAGGAGGGCGATCGTGCGGTCGGCGACAGGCGCGACTTTGGCTTCGGGGGCGGGTGTCGGGGTTTTCTTGTCGTCGTCTTGCTCCATCTTATCTCCGCTGTGCGAGTCTGGAGGCTCCTCGCTATTGTTGACAATGGCAGATTTCACTTTGGGTTTCCCATCGCGGCTCGCAATCTCGACTTGGATTTTGAAGCCCTGCATGTCCTTGCCGTTCATTGCCGCGACAGCCTTCTCAGCGTTCTCTTTCGTGTCAAACACGACGAACGCATAACCCTTGTTCTTCCCCTTGAACTTACCAGCAGTGTGGACTTGCATGTTTATGTTTTGGATCGTGCCAAACGGCTCGAAGGCCTCTCTCAGTTCGGACGCATTCAAAGAAAATGGAAGGCGACCGACATAGAGCTCCCGGCCCTCCTCATTCGCACCAGAGCGTTTCTTTTTGGCAGCAGGATCCGAGATCTTGACCTCCAACTTGAGATTCTCAACTGTCGTGCCATCAAGCTTGGTAGCAGCCTGGGCCTCGTCGGCACTAGCGAACTGCACGTAGCAGAACCGACGGTGCGCGGCAAATTTCAGCGACGGGAACCGCATTTCGAGAATCTCTCCGCAAGGTTCGAACAGTTTCCTGAGATAGGCCTCGTCCGCATGAGCAGGATAGTTGGTGACGTACACTGTTGTGCTCTCTCCTTTCTTGATAGTTATATCCCTTCCTTCAAAACCCTTCGTCTCTTTCGTTAAAGCGTATTCAGCCTCTTCCGCCGTTTCAAACTCTACAGTCGCCGTCACGGTCTGATCTGGCTCTGGCTTCATCGTAATATTCCGCACTTTGCCAGCCTCGGTGAAGAACTTCCGGATGCGGGTCTGAGTCACATCGGCTGGGAGGTTCCGAACGATAATAGACGCATGTTCACGGTCTCGCTTTGGAATCGGCTGTTCAGAGGGGCCTTCATTAGTTGCAGCCGCTGGTGGTTCGATAGATGTGGAGACGGCAGCAGATTCCTCGGCCTCAGTTGGTTTGCTCTTCTTCACAGCGGGTTCGGCCTCCGTGGCATCCTGCCGCTTTCTCTTCCCAGCGCCATCGCCAACGTGCGCGCTGTAACCCGTCTCAGCCTCAGCCTGCGACTTCTCCCTCGCTCTGCGAATCGATACAATGGTCTCTGCGCGCCGCCGCTCGATGTTCGCACTTCGGACCTTGAGGACGCCTTCGTGCTGCTCGCAATGGTTGACGTACATCTCAATGAGCGGCTCCGGATGATCCACGGTAGTGAGACGTTTGAGCCCCAGTTCCAACACTTCGGTAGCTCTGGAAGGGGGCAGAAGTTGGGCCCCAGCATTGGTTTGATCCCGCACAGCTGACCTAGACCAAATAACCATTTCCCATATGTAATAACGGTACCAAAAGTCGTACGAATCCTGCTGCTTCTTGACAAGGGTTTTCCAGATATGCCGCGCTTCCTCCAGATTGCCCCGCTGCGTCAGAAACTTGATATGGATGCGCTCGAGGCGGTACTTTGGATCACCGGCCCATTCTTTGCCATACTTCTTCGTGCCGATTTCATGCGCAAGTTCCAACGCGGAACGAATGCCAATCTCGGCAATGTCGGCATCGTCTTCTGTAGACTTGGGATCATCGAAAGCTTTTCGGCGGAGGTAGCCACACCAGGCTATCTGCACCTTCATCAGTTCCTCAATATCATTATGCTCCAGCATGCCGGTCCGCGTGGCGCTGTGTTTGACATGCTCGATTTCTTCGTGGGACCGGCCATCTGCTTCAAGGCTCAATATCCGATGAGACCAAAGGCTTCCGGACCAAGGGCAATGCCTAGTTGCACGCTCCAGGACGTCGAGCAGAGATACAGAGCGGTTATTCTGCCAGATGAGGAACTCCACATGGTCTTCCCATAACGACGGATCTACCGGGAATCGCACCGTCGCACGCTCGAAGAGCGCATTCACAAGGGGGAAACTCGACACGCCAATTGTCTTCTTCTCCCACTTGAGATACCGAGTCATGGCATTGTACTCCGCCGACTGATCCCCAGACTGTTGCGCCTTGAGCAAGTTGAATTCATGCTCATGACGGTGGGCATAGATCTCCTTGACACGCGAATGGTGTGACACGGCGTATTCCATGATGGCTTCGTAGTTATCCTGGTAGAACCGCGAATTGAACGTGGAATACTGGCCTAGCGTCTGGTCCCATGTGGCGTGAGGTAGGCTGAGCCGATCGTTGAAGATGTTCGCCACTCTCTTCACCTTATCGGGGTTGTATCTGCGATCCAGGTCGTCTACAAGCGCCTGTAGATATCGATCCCACACGAGGTGACTGTCACTAACATCGTACTTGACGAACTCGGCGCCTCGTTGCCATGTGTCCAGAAGCAGATCCGGTGTAAACAACTCCGTACCTAGCGCCTTCTCTTCGTCAGACCACCGCTCTGGCGCCACCGGTTCCCAAACACAGGCGACCAAATGTGCGACGTAATCACCATATTGAACCCATAACTTGGCGCTGTAGGGCTCCTCACGTGTCGCCTTCTGACACATCTCTAGAACGGCCATGCGCTCTTCCAGGTTCGTTGCTAGCACCCGCTCAACATTTATCCGGAGCTCCCAAAGACGCTCCCCAAGAGTGTATCGGTTATCCATCGACTGAAAGGCCTCGCGGAGAACAGGTAGCAAGTCGTATGTGTGAGCTGCATGCGGCGAGCCGTCGGTGGAATTGACAAGGTTCTGAAACCCTTGGTGCAAGAGGGTGATGAAGCTGACATGGCTGTAGTAGTCGAATGGGTTCTCGATGAGCGCTTTTTCAAGCTGGCCTAGAGCTTCAAGACTGGCCTGGTCGAGCCAACGTGAAGTGAAGACACGCGGTGTCCGCGGAGACGGTTCGGTATGCATGCTAACGTTGGAGTCGCCGGAGATGCCGCGAGGGATGTTCTGGAGACTGGAACCAGTGGTTAACGTTTTTCCACTTGGGTAGCTACTTGGTGGGGACAGGTGCGGCACGTGGTTTGCAGCCTGGCGCCTTCCCCATTCTGAAAACTCTTCGACGTACCTTATCGACGGTCTCTGGCTGGCGTTCTGCTGCCTCGCCGTCTGCTGAACATGCTGCATCGACGCCAAATCTGCCAAGGTATCCATCCCCGGTGTCGAGGCCTGCCGATGCAGCGGGTACGGGGTTGTCATTCTAGAGTCGTGCGCCGAGCCCAGTTGTCCTTTGTCAAAGGTAGGGGTGTGCACGGCGCTGTGTGTTCCTCCGTTGGTGTATCCAGCATGACCTGGCGACTGCAGTGGAGCGTGGGTTGCCGGGGGCTGGCGCATATAGGTAGGCATGGAGTGCGGAGGGAGCGGATCATGGTGGAAGCGCTGCGGTGAGGAGGTGATGTGCTGCTGCGTCTGCGGTGTCTGCTGGCTGAGGCCGGACGGGGTGCGTGAGGGAATCTGGCGCATGGCGCGCTTTGCGGACGATGGGGCTGCCACTGGGGGAACCGGCGGCGGCGTCTCGGTGGCAGGCGAATCCTGCGGCGATAGCAGAGAGTTGATGTCCATGGCGGAGCGGTGCGTCGTGTTCTTGGGAGTACGTTCTTGTCACGCGTGAGAGGAAAAGCGAACCGCTACCAGCCTCGACGGCGGCATGGGACGAGCCTATGGAGGGCGTGCGCTCGATGAGTGAAGGGATCGGCCGCAAGGTGGTGGTCTGGTGAAGGTGAAGAATCAGGTGAGGTCAAGGAGGGCCAAGCTGGGGTTTGCTTGGGGGTGGCTGCTGCCGGGGCAAATATGCAGGGTCGCAGACAGAGAGAGTGAGAGAGTGAAGGTTCAAACATGTCCAGCTTGGAGTGGAATAGCGGCCAGACCCCAGTTGATGACGGCACGATAGTTCTTGGCGATCTGATTAGATGTTCTCGAACCGTTCCTGGGCGATGGAGACTTGCATCTTTCATGCTGAATGCTTTTCAGTCCCCAATCTCAGAGTGCCAACAGCAGCACCGTGCTGGTGCGAGGCTGAGTACGAGTAGCCGTTCACCATGTTGCACTGCGGTAGTCTACTCGTAGAAACCCGAACACTCGCCTCACTTCCGCAAACTGAGACCCTGTTGACGATCTCCATCAAACCCGGGAAGCCAGTGGAGCATCTCAGCCGCCACAATTTGGCGGCCGCTACTCCGTCCTCCGTGGACTCGCTTGAGTATACACGGGTACCGGCGGTATTGCACAGGACCTTATAGAGACTCAAGGCTTATTTTATTCAACTTACTTACACATTGTCCCCTTCTTCGTCTCAATTGCTTGTTTTTCTCTGGAAGGGGTTCCTCAAAGTCGACGGTCACGTGATCTTAACTACGCTAACCCTATCCGAATTCCCCGGCCAGAACGGCAATTCCCGTCCGAAGAATTTCAGAAACAACCGCAACTTCACGACGTCCCACTCCATCCCCCAGCGCGCCATTGGGGACGCCCACATACGCCATGAGCGCGCGAATACCTACCCGACGGATAGGGCAGCATGGTGCGTCCTCCATTCACATCTCTCTCCCTCTGTGCCGCTGCGCAATTTCCGCAAAACGCTCCTCCTCAACCACCGCTAACAACCGCCCAACAGCCCTATCCACAACCTCCCTCCGACCCAGCACCACCCACCTACTCTCCCCATCCTCCCCCCTCCCACTCCCACTCACACCCACCCGCTACCTCTCCCTCAAAGAGCGCTTCGCGCGCCTCAGATCGCCCTTCAAGAAGGAAAAAGCGCCGCCCGACTACTCCAACCCCATCCTGACCAAATACTTGCTCGACCAGGAGCGCCTGAAGAAGCAGAACCAAATCGTCGAGTCCGAGGAGAAACGGCGTCAGAGGATGAAACCCAAGTCCGGCGGCCTCAACGAGAAGACCTCACTATTCAATCCGCGGCTCGAGGTTCCCGGGTGGAGGGAGGGGATGAGTGAAGAGGAGCAGAAGGTGTGGGATGAGAAGGTCAAGGTGGAGAGGGAGAGGCAGGACAAGGAAAAGGCGAAGCGGTTGGCGGCCATGGCGCTTGATCCCGATCCAAGAGCGCGGGCGTTGTGGGAGCGGAGATTGGTGATTCGGCAGGTGCAGAGGAGGGGGCGGGTGACGCGGGATGTGCAGCTTGCGAGGTTGGAGAGGGAGAGCGTGTACAAGAGTATCCCGTTGCGGACGAGCGTGAAGAAGTTGACCAAGATCATGAATATGATCCAGGGGAAGACGGTGGAGGAGGCCTTGGTGCAGCTGAGGTTCAATCCCAAGAAGGTCGCTCGCGATGTCTACAAAGGCCTGCAGATTGCGCGCGACGAGGCCATCGTCAAGCGCGGTATGGGCCTCGGTGGAATCCAGCCTACCCCCGAGCTCGAGGACCCGGAGGAAGTCGACCTGGAAATGGAACCCGACGAATCGCAGGAGGACTTCGAGGCTCGTGTAGAAGCTGCCCAGAAAGCAAGGGAAGGAAAGATAAAGGCCATTGAAGAGAAGCTCCTCTCGCGCGGTACCTTTGTGCGACCCAAGATCGGGCCCGGAATCGAAATCGAGCTCAAGGATGGACGCAGGAAGCGGGTGCACGATCCTACGGAGATGTACATTGATCAGGCCTATGTGGGCAGGTTGCAGAATTATTACAGCCGGAGTTACAGGGCTCGTGGTAGGGTGGATAGACTGACCCATCGCATGTCGAGTAAGTCATGAAGCGCACCTGTTATCGTCAACGGTATCCTAACACCAAGCTTAGCGTTTACCGTCGTGCTGAAGGAGGAGAAGACGCGTATGCGCATCTCCGACGAGATCAAGAAGAAGCGGGACAACAGGAAGCTCTGGACGGCGCTGCCTGACCGGCCGGTTCTGGCTCAGCAGCAGTACTGTTTGTGGTAGGGTGGCACGATTCTTGAGTGTTTAGATATATGTAGGGAGTGGGTTGTGTACTTTGCATACAGATAGCCTCAGGCCGCGAGGTTTGTACAATATGCCATTGTCATTCACATACAGGTACTCGTTCCCTCTAATGCTGGGTATATCCCATACACGTAACAACTTTTTGAGTACTTCGAATCCGAATCCTGAAACGCCACGCTATGCAAGAATATGTAGACAACGAGGGATCCCACGGTGCGCCTCGCTTACTCCGCTGCCACCACGGCATCCTCGGCCTGCGCTCCCGCGGTCAACAGATCCAGCATTCCCATTACACTCCAAGAGATTTGGCTGGCCTCAATGGCTAGCTTGACCTTCTGGAAAAGGTGTTCAACGAGCATATCGATCTCCGGACTGCGTCCTAGCTGATCAGCGTACAAATCGAGAACTTGCAATGCAACATCGGTGACGAGGCGCGTGATGCGGCAGTCCGAGATGTTCTTGATGAGCCAGCGGAGAATGGGTTGCAGTGTCAGCTCGTCGCGGTTGGAGAGGGCGACGCGGAGCGCAGAGCGGTGGATGAGTTCCGTCAAAATAGTAATACTTTGTTGGCGCTGGTCTCCGTCCTGTTGTTGAGTTAGTCTTCTGCAAATCAGAAGGCTGATTTCAATCGGTGAGACATACCTTGGACTCCAGCACCAAATCCAGCGCCTTCGCATACTGCCCCCAACGCAGTGCCTTGCCCCACGGCCTATTCTCATTGATCTTCCCTCTGGCATTGCCGTCTATGACAATGTCTGCTCCCTCGCCCGTGAAGTCCTTGCCGCGGACGCGCTTCTCCCAGCCCTTTCCACGCTTACGCTTCTTAGCGCGGTCGTATTCTTCGATTTTGCCTTCCATGAGCGCCTTCATTTCCTTCTCCCGCTCGCGGGCTTGCGCCTTTTGTTGACCTGACAGACGGGTCCTTAGGGAGAGGAGACCGGACTGCATGCCGACAGCGATGTGCCTGTCCTCCTTCTGGCTGCTGATAACGCTGAGGGAGAGAATGGGGCTAGAGTACTTCATCCCCGCTACCATGTTCCAGCCCTGGGTTTCGAAAACCTTGACGTGGCCATCCAAGGCGCCGGTGAGCAGTCTGGAGCCATTCCCTGCGAGCGAGAGACAGGTGACAGTCTTTTGGTGATTGCGGAGCACCTGGACGGGTTTCGCGGCCACGATGTCGAGGATGCTGACTGCATTGTCGGCGGCAGCTAGGAGCGTTGTGCCCGAAGGCATAGGCAAGACCGCTTCGACGGCTGCCGCATGTTTAAACACCATCACGGCATTTCCGCCGACGCGCGGATCCCACAACCGTACCGTCTGGTCGTAACTCCCCGACACCAAAAGCCCGCTCTGCGCAGGCATGTAAGTACCACACCTCACATAGTCCTGGTGTCCGTTGAAAGTCATCGTGCTCTTATCACTCGGGAGATCCCACAAGCGCACCGTCCGGTCGTCGGAGCAGCTCATCAGCTCCGTCAAGACGGTGGGGTTCCATTCTGTCCTCCAAACGGGTTGTTTATGTTCCCTCCACGTCTTCAAGATCGCGCGACTGTTCACGTCAAATGCCTGGATCGCGCCGCTATCACCCCCTGCGACTACTATCCTCCCATCGCGGCGGATGTTGCCCGAGTGTGCCACATCGTCCACGCCAAAGCGATTGATCGTCTTCACCGGCTTCCGTGTCTTTGACGAGAAGATCTGCACCCGCGATCCGGTTGTCACGGCGAACAATTCTTGCGAAGAGGCTGTAAGATTCGAGGGTGGCGGAGGAGGAAACGATATGAATGTTACGGGCGACGAATGTTGCGACGGATCGAGCTGCAGTTGTGAGGAAAACGAGTTCCAGTAGTTTTGTTCGGCTGAGATGGCCGCCGGGCCTTTGGGCAGCTTTATCGGCTGCAGGGGCTGCACTTCTGCGGCCATTGTAGCGGTTAGACGTACGGAGATGCGCTGGGTATCGGCGTTGAGGTTCCTTGAAACTTTTTTGGTCGCGATGCCGCGGAGACTACTGGTTGTAATCGTTGACGCTAACTGTATTTGAATTAGCGGCTCTATCGCGTTTACTGTGTATCTAGGTAGACTACCTAGGAATCTTCGCCAGCTATCACCTCCAACCCCACGACGTTCGCATGTCTAGGCTTTATATACTGCAGCCTTCCACGTCCGACCGACGGTCAGGAAGAAAGGTAGATACGGAACGTATTATGTTTGGCTTCGTAGGGCCACCATCCCTTCAAAACGAAGCTCCACTCATAGTCTTTCTTAATAGGACTGAGACAGTCGAGTTGGGCTGACCAGGTAATCTACTCTACCTAAGGGGTGCAGGATGGTGTTCAATTCGATATGAGAAGGCGCAGTACATGATGACAATATTCAAGCCCAATAGCAGGGCCCGGACCAACAACGTTTGCGATTTTCACAATGAACTGACAAAAGCGCAGAGCCGCGACTAATAACACGTTCCACTGTTTTGTCTCCGTAGTCCAACTCGTACATATCTTACAACAAAGAGACGTCCAATGATCCAGTATGCAATGGCCAACACCTCACTGATCAAAAGTCTTAATGTCCGGCATCATCCCCAATCCCTTACCCTCCTTCCCCTTACCCTCCCCACCTTGTTCACCTCCCGTACTCCTCTCCTTAACATGCTGTCTCAGCATACTCAGAATCTCGCTATCCTTCCACCTCTGCGGGACGGGCCTATACGCCGGCTTAAACGTGCCCACCGTCTGCGCCCACTCCCCCTTAGCAGGCTCGCGCTTCCACTCATCCTTGGCCCCTTCTGCCGTCTCGAGGGACGTAGGTGTGGGTTCCTGCGTCGCCCAGTAGTAAATATCCCAATCATTTTCGTCGAGGAAGCGGTCATATTGCTGGAGTTGAGCGGGCGTCATTTTGTGCAGGTAGGCGTCGGCGAAGGTGCTGAGGAGGAGTTCGGACTCGAGGGTGCCACGCTTGCGGGATTGATCTATCGAGCATGAGTGAATCGACTCCCCAGAATACCATATCAAGACGAACATAGCAACCGCGCACGCATCGTGGCTTCATCCTCGCCTGTCCTCCTCATAGGCTCAATTTTAAACTTCGCGCCCTCGAGCTCACCGACTCCCAGCTCCGTTCCCTCCTTTTGACCCGCATTGAGCTCGCCAGAAGTTCCTTTCGGCTGTCCCGATGCACTTGCCCCCTTATTCGACCCACCCTGCGTCCCGCCCGTCATCCTCTCCATATTCTCCGGTACTGAATCCACCGGGTCGCCCTTCCCTTGCTCCCCCGCCTTATTCGCAGCCGCAAGCATATCCGGCGGGGATGCGTTCTCACCCACGGATGGCAGATCGTTGGCGATCGCGCTCGTCGTGCCAGTCAGATGTGGGTTCAGCGGCGTCTGCATCTGGAATTTGCGGTATTCCTCGCAGTTTGGGTTGCCGCGCTTGTTGAGATTTGAGAAGTCATTTTTAGGCTCGGGGTGTTGGCGAGGGCTGTAGGCGGAGAAGGGGCGGGAGAAGCGGAGGAGAGCTCGAGAGGAGCGGACGAGCGCGCGTGAGGAAGACATTTCCGCGGTGAAAATGTTGTGCGACGCGTTGTGGGTGGTGCAATTGAGAAATGGGGATCGCGGAGAGATGATGTCGACATTTCTCAGCCGAGTCTAACCACCGTTGATGTCATGATAAACTGATGACTAAGCAAATATTCGTGTAGTTATTAGCAAACTCCAAACCTCTTCTACCAAAAATGATAAGCGAGTACGTTTTCTGTGTAGGTATGAAAGTGGCGTGCACATCTCCAGCTAGAGGGACGTTGGCCTATCCGTTGTCTGCACTAAGTTGCATTTTAATGCATGCTTCAACACTTCATGATATCATGCGGCAACTACTGAAATCTTAAGTACCATAACTCCTTCACTCGCCCAGCGAAAGCTCTACCAGGTTCTTATCACGATCCTTCTTCAGCTGCACCGGCATTCTCACTCCCGCCATCCCCACAAGACCGGAACTCATGACCAGGGAAGCTATATGGCCATGACCCACCTCCGTCAGAAGAGCCTCTCCGTCGCCGAACATCTCGGCCGTCTTCGCATTTCGCATATAGTAGATGCGAGAAGAAAGGAATGGGAGAATTGGCTCGAGACGGAAGAATCTAGGACCGCTCGAGGCTATCTTGCTCAGAATCTGCTTCGTCGAGTGTCGCCGACGAGCGCTGGGAGCAACATTCGCCTTTTCGCAATGATCACTGCTCACATCAGTGCTGGGAGTGCGCACTGTTTGAGTCCATTCGACAATCTCTTCAGGGGACAGAGTAGACGCCCACATAGCTTCCTCTGTGCAAGGGTCGACGAAAGACTCCGCAGGCGTGGATACCCGGCAGCCCTGGAGAATTTCATCGAATTCCAGTGTTTCGAAAGCAGCACCCTTGTTTCTCGAAAAGTGCTGCTCCAGAACGGGATTGTGCGACAGGAGCAAGGGGTCCGACGCTCCATGGAACTCGTGCAAGTGCTGGAGAAAGTCGTCCTTCGAAGTGTATAGCTCCTGCTTGCAGAGGCGGTATTTGTGATACAGCTGTGCATGCTCGCCGTGACAAGATCGATAGCCAGCACCACATAGGTGGCAGTGGTGAGCTTTTGGAGAGGGGAACTGAGGGCAGAGAGGCGGGCCGGAGTTTTCCGAGGCAACATCGTCGAAAGTGCGCAGAAAGCGGCATGACCACACCCGGCAATGTGTATGTTTGTCGCGTGCACCAACGTTCTCGAACACCTTCGCGCAATATCTGCAACGGAAGGGACCAGCTTCCTGAGCTGTGCAGCGGTTCTCCATGTGGTTCTCCTTTCTTTCAGGCCACCAGGCTGATCTGTCCCAACCACCCGCAGCCAGGTGTTGTGCAACGTGTTCGCATCGGCTCCCCCAGTCTGACAGCGTCTGCCCACAAAATCCGCAGTGGAGCATAGGGTCGCCGGGTCTCATAGGGGCACCAAAATGACGCCACTTTAGTGCCAGTTCCTTACATCCAAAGTCCTGTTGCTGCGAACCTTGTTCACGGGTTCCGCATCCGAGTTTTGCTGACGGATGCTTGACGTTTCCGAAATGCACATGGTGGAGGTGTTGAATGAAGTGGTCGCGTCGATAGAAGGTCCGGTGCGATTCGGGCTTGTTCTTGCATTGCTGGTACTTATGGGTCGCTAGATGGACTTCGTCGGGATCGGCAATACCACAAAACGGGCATTTTTCCATTGGCTCCTGTTTGTTGCTGCAGCAGATCCAAGTTGTTCGTAGAGCATGTACTGAATCTTCGTGTCGGATCCATTCGTACTTGGTCTTGAAAGCCCTTGGGCAGAAAGTGCAAAAGAAGGGAAGGTTCCGGGATGGCTGACCGGCGTCATTAAGTCCGTCAATCTTTGGGCGACTATACGGCGAGTTTCTCCAGGCCATGCGCCTGCGACCCCGTCGTCGCTCTCGTCCAAATGAAGAGGTGTTGCTACCACGTGATGACATCGTGAATGAGGTTGGAGCGGAACCTTCCGAGGAGGTCAAGGAGGTGATGATGGAGCCTGATCGGCCCGCGCGCGAACCTGAAGATGAATCCATAAAGAAATCGCTTCGTTCACTGGATGGAGCTGCGCCAATAGCGGCTTGGATGTCGGTTAGATCTGCCGCTTCCTCGAGATAAGACGAAGCAAGGTAAACAGCTAATGGGGGCTGGGGACTCATGTTCTCGTTGATCTGCTTTGAGAGTGCCTCCAAACTCTCGGCTGAAAGCTGTGAGGTAACGGAGCGTATACTGGCATTGGACCTCTTCACCTTCGAGTCATCTACGGGTACATTAGAGATGTGCGAACAAGACCTTGGAGAGTTTTTACCATTGGGTTTCTTCCTCGCCCTGGCATTGTTAAACCACGTGCGCACGCGCTTCGCATCTAGATTCACTTGATGGGCTATTATATCGATCTCCCACGCGCATGGATAAGGGTTGGCTGCGAACTCTTCTTCAAGCATCTGTTTCGCTTCTAGAGAGATGCGGTTGGAGGGTCCTTTGTGCTTTGCTGATGCCGGTTTCCTTTGGATGTACCCAGACTGGCGGGTTTTCCGCTGTGTTTTGTTTTGCGCGGAGGAGGGCGGCTCGTCGAGCACTTGACATCGTGGCGCAATGGTTGGGCTTTGAAGGACCTGGGTGATTGGCATATGTTGCTCGAATTCTCGATCAGGCGCGCACTGAAAGACACCATCTCGTGTGAAGCAGTCGGTGCCCCCTGTAAAACCTCCTACTAACGAGATGTTAAGAGACGTATTGCCGATTGTTTCCTCTGCGCAGTAAACATCGGGACAAAGCTCGGACGGAATGGCAACTGGAGTCGTGTCTGTCTCGGCTTCTGGAGGCTCCCAGTCCATAGGTGCGCAGTCAGGATAGACGTGCTGAAAAGCGCCCCCATTGTGGAAAGGCTGTAGCTGGCATCCATTGCTCATATCAGCCTCCAATCGTGCAAAGTCGAAGAACTCATCGATGCTGCCTTGCGGTTCATCAGTCATGGTGTGCGACGAGGTCATCCTGGGCTCAGACAAAACGCCGCAAACAGGCCGGTCGTAGGTGGACATGTGGGCCTTGGGAGATGCGGTCGCATCATGGAGGGGGCAGTCCCCGCCTTAATCATCGATGTGGGATGAACTGTGACGGGGTGGACAGCCACAGCTGAGGCGGGGCGATCCATGGATGGCGTTGATGAAGAGGGCGCGGGGATCGCGGGGATCGCTAGGGTACTCGCTAAGCGGCCCGCTCGCCTATACTCCCGAATGGGAAAGTGCCGCGGTACCTTGTATCAACTTCCCAAAGCTCTCAACCAATATTGCACCACCACTCCTTTGAGTAATAAATCACTGCACAGCCCCAGCATGGCCGAGCAAATACCCATTATCGATCTCGCTGCGTACTACAGCGAGGGCTCACAGTCGCCCAAAGCCCAAGAAACCATCCAAGCCATCCACGCCGCCGCATCAACATGGGGCTTCTTCGTCATTACCGGCACCCAAGTCTCTCCGCAAACCCAATCGTCCCTCCTCTCAGCCTCGCAGGCCTTTTTCGACCTGCCTCTTGACGTTAAGAAAAACCTCGATGTCCGCCAGGGGGGCGTAGCCTGGCGCGGCTACATGCCCCTTGGCGGTGAGCATACGCACGGGCACATGGACTTTAAGGAAGGCCTCTACATTGGTCCCGAGCATGCCGACGACCACCCGCTCGTCGGTCTGCCACTGCACGGCAAGAACCAATTCCCTGATCATGTTCTCCCTAACATGCGGCATGAGGTGTTGGAGTACGTCAGTGAGGTGACGGAGCTAGGAAAATCCCTTACGGATATTTTCTCATTGGGTCTCGGCTTGGGTAAAGAGGATATGCGCCAGCGGCTGCTGCAGCCAGAGCCTGTGGTACTCTTTCGCTGCTTCAAGTATATGCCTGTCGAGAACAACGCCAGCGATAGCGAGGGCTTCGGCATTGGCCAACACACGGGTTAGATTCAATGACCTTATGTACTTCTCCGATATCCGCGAACATCTGGCTCTAGATTTCGGTTACCTTACTATCCTAAAAGTCGACTCGCCCGGCCTACAGGTTAGTATATGACTTCCCAATTCTACCGACACTTACTGACAATGTTACTGAAGATTCTTTCCCCGTCTGATAAGTGGGTCGACGTTCCCTGTGTCGAGAACTCCTTTATCGTAAACAGTACGCAACAGACTACCCTGTATTTCTCCTCCGTCGCCCGGCAAAAGCTAATGTATTCGCGACCAGTTGGTGATATGTTCGACCAGCTCACGCACGGCCGCTACCGATCGCGTCCTCACCGCGTCAGCCGGCCTAAATCAGGCTCCCCACCGCGCTTCTCCTTCCCCCTCTTCTTTGACTTTTCCTGGACTGCCGAGATGAAGCGCCTCCCTCTGGACCACCTTCCACCGCTGTCCGAGGAGGAGAAGCGACAGGCGGAGCAGCGATGGAGCGCGACAACGTTCCGCGAGGTTAAGGGCACCTGGTCGCAATACCTGGCGCGTAAGGTCCAGAAGGTGTTTCCAGATTTGCGTCTTCCAGACTTTGAGCCGAATTCCGCACCTTCAACGAGGTTTACGAGGGTCGTGGAATGCGGCACATCTGCGACTTAGCCATATGGGATATCTCGGCTGTTGCGTTATAATCTCTAACTTTCGGTCTATTCAGGCCCAAGGCGGCAGCATGTGCTATAGAGGCTTTTGAAACATGGGTAGAGGTCTATGGCCGATTATTAGGTAGAGATGATTATCGGGTTACGGTGGAAAATTCGGAGACCATGTACATTATTGCGGTAATGCATAAGACCGGCGCATTTGCAAAGGCGGTAGGTACGGACAGGTATTCGACGAGTAGGAGGGATCTGGACGCTCTTCCGTTCAGTTTACTGTGAATATAATCTTGAGAACCCCTTGGCCGGCGGCTGCAGCCAATTCCTCTCATCATACTTCTCCTCGCCCTCGATGAGGTGGAACGTGTATATAAACCGGCTCTTCCCACTCGTATTCCTCTCACTCTTGTGCAAGATGTTGCCATGAATCAGCACCAGCGTGCCCGCCTTGACCTCCCCCATCGTATACACCTCCTCCTTCTGCTCCCCATTCTCCTGTGTCTGCAGATCCCTCGGAAACTTCGCGCCCTCGTTATCCACAAACCCCGTACCCTCCGCACCCTTCTCGCCCGTCCTAACGAACCGCTTCCGAATCGGCTCCCGCCTGTGACTCCCCGCCGCGAAACTCAGACACCCATTCTCCGCCGTGCAGTCCTCCAGCGCGTACCAGAACCCCACCGCCGACGGGGGATCCGTATACAAGAACGTCGAGTCCTGGTGCGGCGGCACCGCGCCGCCAATCTCGGGCTGCTTGCAGATGACCATGGATTGCAGGACGCGCGGGTCGCGGAAACCGAGCGAGCGGGCGATGGCGGCGTTGCGGGCGGAGAGGGACATGGCGCGGAAGGAAGGGGCGAGTTCGTGCAGGTAGTGACCGATTTTGTTGATGGCGCGGGGTTTGGGCTTTGTGAGGGTGCCGGAGGGGTCGAAGGCGTCTGGTGTGAATCAGGTAAGCAGAGGGCTTGAAATTGGAATCAAGAGTATCTACCTTCTTCGAAGAAGAAGCGTATCTTGTCGCCGCTTTCGAGGAAGTACGCGTCGCCGACGTGGGTTGCGCCGTCCTCGCCGCCGGTCGAGAATTTGGTCATGGGGTGGTCGGCTAGCGAGAAGTCGTCGAGCATTGTTTTGGTGTCTGCGAGGAGCTGGTTTACGGTGTCGGGCGAGATCGCGTCGGGTATGAGGAGGTAGCCATTTTCGTTGAAGAAGGTGAGTTGCTCGGGGGTTAGGCCCAGCCTTTCATCGTCCTGCGCCATGGTGGTTTTTGTGTATGTAACGAGAGGATCTACGGCTCTAGGGAAAAATTAAGGAGTCTGATGTCGTGTTGCTGGATTGTTGAAAGAGAATACACGTCTGGTCGTTCTCATGAGTTGGGTCGTATTGCCCCGCTTTGATTGGCCGCGCTCTTCCGCGGCTTTCCGCCTTTCGTCGGCATCATGGGGAAACTGCCGACTGTGCAACAGATGGTCAGTCTGATCTTCTCTGCGGCAGTCTTCTCTCAGTTAGAAGTATCCCGTACAATGCAGTGTAAACCGCACGCCCAGTTGTGACAACTGAAACCGAGCGTGTCCTCGTGCACGAGAGGATCAGTGACTTTCAAAATTACACCCTTTGAATGCTATGTTATTAACAGCTCAGAGCATTCGATTACTGTAGTAGGAAATCAGAACGGTTCAAAAAATCATTGCGCAAGCGACAATAATGATGGAGCGTTGCCAATGCCCCTTACTGTCAATGCTTAATCCAGCGTCGAACCAGCGGCGTCAATCCCAAAGTGGAAATCGAGCGAGCCGGAGTGAAGCCACACTGATTCCGCGATCAACGGACGTGGAGACAACCTTAAAATTAAGCTTATCGACTTGTTATCAACCGGAAGAAGGTCCTCGCCTTCGCTTTCAATTTCACCTCCACCGTTGGTGATCGATAACACCCCGGCTAGTCATAGCCTCTCGGCTACTGCGGGGCGCGGCGATCGATCGGGCAGCCGCCATCAAGCGCCGGCGATGACCCCAAAATAGATGATGGTTTGAATCTTGGACCTCACGTCGGGTGGCTCCAGTGACCTCAACAAAAGCCACGCACCTCACGCAGCATCGTCGCTCTCCCCAATGTGGCCATGGCGCCCTCGCGACGCCTACAGCGGCGCAGACGATTCCTCGTTATCCTCGCTCTACTTGTTTTCATTGCATACAGCGCACTTGGCTTGAAGAATCGCTATGCAGTGTTGGCAACCTCGCGTCCTCAAACTTTTGGGCCAGAGAAGGAGCTGGTTGTTGCGAGCTTGGAGGCAGATGATGTGAGCTGGTTAGACCAGTATTTTGGAGAGTGGAAGAGGAATGTTTATGTTGTTGATAATCGGACGGCGCCGTTGACGGTGGCGAAGAATAAGGGGAGAGAGGCGATGCCTTATTTGACGTATGTATATCTTTGTCCCATTTGTCTACTTGGCACTTGTCCGTGAAGGCACCGCTTCTTCATGTCTCATTTATCATGTAATCACATGCCTCTAGCAGAAGTAGTACTGACCCCTCACCAGATACATAATCGACCGCTACGACTCCCTCCCGCACGTCTCCATCTTCATCCACAGCCTCCGCTACCAATGGCACAACGAAGACCCCATGTACGACGGCGTCCCCGTCCTCAAACGCCTCCGTCTCGACCACGTCCGCAACCGCGGCTTCGTCGCCCTGCGCTGCACGTGGACCATGGGCTGCCCCGCGGAATTGCATCCCACTAAGCCTTCCCAAGGAATCGATGATCGTTCCCAGAACGAGGCCGCTTACGGCAAAGCATTCCAGTATCTCTTTCCCGGCGAACCTGTCCCTGATGTCGTAGGCGCGCATTGCTCGAGCCAGTTTGCAGTGTCGAGGGAGCGCATACGAGCGCGGCCGAAGGAGCATTATGAAAGAATTCGAAATTGGCTGCTCGAGACGCCTTTGGACGACCAGATTAGTGGGCGAGTGATTGAGTATATGTGGCATATCATTTTCGGCATGCCGCCAGTGGATTGCCAGGATGCGGGCGAGTGCTTTTGTCAGACGTTTGGGCTGTGCAATCTTACTTGCACCGAGAGCGAATGCGAGAAGAGATATATCTTGCCGAAGTATTCGACGATTCCGAAGGGTTGGCCGGAGGTGGGGCCGGGGACGGATGGGTGGCCTGAAAGAGGGTGGGCGGACTGAGATTATGCGATTGATTCACGTCGCAGTTAATATTGGGCTTTGAATTAAGTGAATGCATCTTAGGTTCAGATGATGGCGTTGGGCGTATCCCCGGTCGGCATAGAGCGGAAAGGGAGCACTGCGACTCTGAAGTGACTCAGTGATGCACGAAGGCTGATCAACGTGTATAAAACTTAGATTCAAGGTATATAGTTCAGCATATCTAAGCAAGAATCACCTGCTCTTGCTTTGAACACATAACGCAATGCCGCCCAAAACCAACGCCATGCCAATCCAAGTATCTCCTCCAAATCAGCATCACGCCAAAAGTCGATAGCAATCAGAGACCTACCTCGACTTATCACCTTCTTCTCCGCCCACCACTCCCCCAGCACAGTGAACAAAAACGCCAAAGAATTCGTTATCGGCACCGTCAAACTCAGCTCTGCATCACACATCAGCCCTCATCCGACTCCAACTTTTAGTCTTACCAATACTACTCACCAGCCTGCCCAATCAAAACAAAGAACCACACACTCCCCGTAACATTCAACAGCAACGGCACCGCATACGCGGGTCTACTCAGCACTCCTATCACCGCGTACCAGATCCCCAGCACCTTCTTCCTCAACCACGATGTATTCGGATCGGACAGCGACGGGCGCGTGGGAGGCGTGTAATTGATCGCGGCGCGGCGCATGAATGGTGTTGTTAGGCCCCAGCATGCGCCGACGAGGAGGAAGCCGAGGATCCAGCGGAAGAGGGAGGGGGTTGGGGGAGAGGGTTGGAGAGGAGGGTTGGGGTCCATTGGGGGGGAATGCGCTGGGGAAAGGATATAGAGAAAGAAAGTGGAACAAAGATATACATACAAGAAATAAATGATTTCACAACAGCAGTAGGGTAGCGCACGAAAACGCGGAGTGGTTGTGAAGCTGTTCATCCTCAGCTCTGGCCTGGTTGCGGAGCTCACGGAGTTTAACGGGAGCAGGCTGCTGTGATTCGGAGCGGGCCGAAACGTCCGAGCGCCTAAATGTTTCTGCCCAGCTGCAGCAGCAGCGTCACCTTGTCAATCCGATCCATCAGACACGAATTACCCGACATCCTGCCTGCTCTTTCACTATTAGTGTCTGATTCTTGCCGCTGGTAACGATTAGTCTGAGGGTCACAGCTTGTGACCGCGCGGAAGTCTGGCCAACCAAGGTTTTGAATCCCAGGAATGCGATGAGACCAACCTCCTTTGGCTTCAATTCGGCCTCGATCCATGAGACCAGCTCGTGAACTGAGTTGCAATATACTCTCGAGAAAGCATGCTCTATGAGCCTTTATCTTCAGACCAGCGTCCAAAACAAAGCCACTTCGGGAGTTCCCGTCCACCATGATCCCACAGGTACAGTATCGTTCATCCATCATTCTGGATTAGTCGATTTTCCTTTTTCTATTACCTTTCTCTATTTCCTTTCGTCTCTTGCCAAGATGTTTCTCGTTTCCTTTCTGTGCCTCGGATGAGGTGGGTGGCTGTTTGCGGTATGTGATCCACTTGCATTCCAAACAGTTGGAAACGATGTCGAACCATCGCCCACATGATTGGACTCCTTACCATCCTCTTATTTCCTCTCTTCCGCGACCGCACAGAAACGGATACTGCTGCGATAGAGCAGTCTTTCAGGCCAGATTTAAAGGTCAGCTCCAACTGCTTCAACGCTATTCAAGAAATGTCAATTGGACGATAATGGCTCCTGCATGCCATCCGTGGTACCTGGGTCCTGGATTGAGGAATGCAACGTGGCGGGTGAGTCGCAACGGTTGTGGCTGCATGCGGCTTTCTGCTTCGCCACACCCGCAGTGGATTGCCCAACCTCCTCAGGAAGACGCCATGAGTTTGGCCTGTTGTCATCCTTTGCACAGCCGACAAACGCCTCTTCGTCATGGTGAAAACCCTATCTCGACCCCATTCTTCGCTTAGTGCTAAACATAGCACCTAAAAGTTCAGGAATGTCCCGATGGACCTGGAGGCTGGCAGGAACTCGAAACCACATGATGCTGCAGGTATATATCGAGTATAGGTTTGTCAGTTTAGGGATGTTTACTTTGTTTGCTCATCGCATCATTGGTGCTCCTTTGCATTTTACACACTGCAGTACTCCCTCACGGAACGATCTACCGACCCATCACTCTCGCCATTCGTTACCACGGCATTCTGCTGTATGCAGTCTCCAGGCTCCTGGTTCACGCCATTCACGTGAAAGACACTCTTCATGACATCGTTAGCACAACCCCACTCCGATTTCTCAATGCGGCCGACGGACAAAGACATTGAGGCCTTCGACCTAGATGAGCTCTTTCAGCAGTATGAGACAGACATTTTCCAGCGGGTCAACGGTGCGGCGGAAGACCCGTCTGGATCTGACGACCTGGCACATCTCTTTGAGGTGCCGTCGTCGAATGAGATTGACCCATTCAGCACACTGCCTATGCCGAATTGGGATCCCAGCTCAGATGATGCTTGGCAAAGAGCTCTCCAGCTCCTCGAAGATAACCCAGCCTCGCCCGCGCAAGACAAATACTCCTCTGTCTATCCGGAGTCTGGGGGCAAAGCATCGTTGAGCGATCCTGGGCTATACCACCCAGCTCATTACTTCGAACTCGATCACAGCGAGCGAAGGCCATCTTCCTCTGCGCCATCGACACCAAAACCATCCGCCACTAGGCCCAACAAGAAGGTATACTCTACGCCAGATCAAACCCACAGGCAGAGAATCCAAAAGCCAGCCGGGCGGAAAACGAGCCCATTGACTAAGATGATGGCCCCGTCGACATTGCGCGCCGGCATTCAGGACCCTTGGGCATCCAGGATGGACACCGCCTCGGATGAGTTCGCCTTGAAACTCTCCGCTTCCGACGATCCTCGTACACGTCCACCCTCCTCCAAGGTATCTCAAGAACCAAGCACAAACGGATTGTTCCCACGAGCACAGCCTTGCACAGTGGCCTTGTCCCCGCCTTCCGTGGAAGCAAGCCCTGAGACACAGCATTCCAACTACCAGCTCACGCCACTCTCCTCTCCTGCAATCGATACGAACTCTCGCGGCAGGACATCAACAGATCTATTCATATTCGGAACCAACGTTGGAGGGACAATGAACCTCCATCCCCATGCGCACAATGCGGCTCTTTCAGCCTTGCACACTCCTCCGCCCTCGACTGACCTTCCAATGACCACGTGGGTTCCCAATACCACGCCTACGTTGGACTTTGCATTGTCAGCCTCGCCAGATTTTCACTCCATGACAAGCATGTCCGGGACCTGGTGGAACAATGGCATGACTGCGACCACCACCCAAGCGCCTACGCCCACGTACAATGGACATAGAAGGGCCTATTCCCAAGGACAGGGCATGTCCTTCAGCAGTGGTGGCGGAGTCGGACTCGGTATCTCCTGCGACACCGCCTCATTCTCCTGCTATGGCGGTGGCATGGGAAGTTCCAATACGCCTATGAGCAACAGCTTGGGGGCATCGTCCATGGACATGATATATCCGCAAGGCCCAATTTACCCCACTTCTCCAGAAGAGATCGCCATTGGGCATGGACCAGCACGCACACCACCCAGCCGCTCACCGACGCACAGTCCGGTCCCTCAACCCCGGCATACACGGAGACGCCACTCATCGCATCACAATCCCACCAGCGCAACTCGTCGTGCACATAAATCGTCCATTCGCAAATCATCACATAGCTCAGCCCCACATTCAGCAAGCCACAAATCCGCACAGGACTGCTTCGTCAACTTCACCCCGGACGACAGCAAGAAGATTCTCACAGGCGTGGCGCCGAGCGGGAGTAGCAAGACGAAAGCGCGAAGGGAGAAGGAGGCGGCTGATAAGAGGAGGAAGCTAAGCCAGGCGGCTATGAAGGCGGTGATTGAGGCTTGGGGGGATATCAGTCGGTTAGAAGAGGGTGGGCTGTTGAGTTTGGAGGTCGAGTAAGCCGCTGAGGGCTTGAGTTCGCGACACAGTTCTTTGACTCCCTACCACCCTCGGTTTCTGAGACGTGATGGTTGAGTTGGTTCTGTTCAGCATTGACTCGCCTTTGTTCGTGTTGCGAGCTTTTCTTTGATTGGCTCGGCCTTGCTGTACCTGTTCCTCAGGCCCTTCGGGGGGGTACTTGGTTTGTGGTGTAGAGTTGGCCTCAGGCGCACTGTTTTTTCTTTGTTCATCACTGTCATTATTTATTCACATCCCGTAAGAGGTTTAATTTAGACGTGCGACCTGGGTAACGCTACTTGCCGTTGGGGCCGAGGTGGTGTATATTTCTTTGTCCGTTGCCGCCTTGGTTTAGGTACAGCTCTCATCTCATCTAACCCCATGTGGGCTATGCTCAGTGTGGATAGTGTACTACTCTTTTTCACGTCCGACTGAACAGACAGGGGGTCGCAGGGGTATATCTGACGCTGTGATTGGCGTGACAGCGCCTTCGTCCAGGTATAATGAGCCTTAAAGCACCGTGCTCTAGTGCCTTAAGCTAGACTGTGGCCAATTGAAATGGTTGAATTAGGTGATCTAACTCAGAGCAGCGGTACAAGGGGTTGTTCAGTCGGATGTGAGAGGGCGCAGTAATGGAAGAGTTCGTTGGGCATGTGGACCTTCTTTGGTCTCTTGTCATGTTTCAATTTCTGTATGGATCTAACAATGCTGCCCCGCCTTGAGATTGTGGATCGCGGATAAGTCATCCAAAGGAAGGAAGGCGGATGTACAGGTGGCTCGCCGTGCTTGGGTCGGCTTGCATTCATCCAGATGTGTTTACATGACATGCAAATAGACCCCCAAAGTCCTCTGGCGATGTAGACTGTACAGTCAGTGATCCATACACCTGTGCGCTGCGCTTAGGCAGTCCATGTGCGCGTCGGCGTCGAGTAGGTGCTTGTCGCAACGCGCAGTGGCCGAGTGGATGGGCTGGCTCTACGCACTGCTTGCGCTTCTCTAGGGCGAGCCGAATTCTGGGTTATCGGAGAGATGAATTCAGACACCCAACGCAGGTCAACCTCCCATCTCCAGCCTCTGCAGGATCTTCAGCACCAGCCCTTTGGCGCCTCCCTCATACGGCTCGTAATCCTCCTTGAGGTCGGTGTCCATGGCGCCAACCTCTTTCAAACTCCTCTCCTCCGCCTCCATCTCCACAGCCCCTTCGTAAACCCTCACAATCGTGTCTTCATCTACCCGATTCCCACAAGCCACCAGGCCCCTAATCAACGTACTAACCCTCATGATCTCCCTCAGCACCCCGGGCGACAGCTCGTCATTCTCACTCGAGTAAAGCGTCTCACTGACGCCCTCCTCCAACCTCGTGATGCTGACGTCTTTTCCCTCCGCGCCGACCGTATTATGCTTCGACACGAAAATATACCCATTCACACCCAACACAACATCCACCTCGCCCGCGTGCGTCTCGAGCGTGAAAACCTGCCTCCTGGATCTCACCACGCCACCCCTCCTGGACAAAATCCCGCCCCCAGCCCCCGAAAGCGCCGTGAAGAGCCCATTCCGCAATTTCCCATATTTCAGCGACCTCGTGTGCAAAGACGCCGTATTATCCTGATGCAGCGCCTGCACCTCTGCAACCAGTAAATCCCCCTCGCTGAAAAACGTCCGGATGTTCAACTCGTCGACTGCGGTCCTCCTCCGCAGGATCCCGCCGGGGAGATTGATGGCGCTGAGCGGTAGACTGGCTAGCATCGGCGCGGCGATGTCCACGGTCCATTTCTTGGTCTGCACCGCCACGATCCGGCCGACGACCAGGTCGCCTATCTCCGGGTTGTAGCGAGCGCGTAGAGGTTGTACGGAGAGCAGTTTGTTCGTCTTGTGCAGGTGGCCCGCGACGGTCGAGGTGATGGTGCTGGAGCCGGCGGGGATGTAGGTGCCGTGGCCGCGCATCCATTGCGGATCGCTGGTTATGGGCTCGCCGGGCGTGACGATGGAGCGAGTGGTGTTGGAGGTGGGGATTTCGGAGTCGGAGAGGTCCATTTCTGAGGAGTCGTCTGAGGGGATGTCATGGTGGGTTGGGAGGGGGGTGGTGGAGGGTGGGAGGATGGTTATGGGCATTGTGGGGGAGCGTGTCGGGGGTCAATGGTCGGTGACTCGGTGGTGTGAGGGATGAAAAGCTCGATAGGTGGGTAAAGGGAGCTTTATCTGTTGTTAGATGGAGCGTTGTAGGTATACACATTGACTGGTGCGTTGATGGTGTTGCTCTAGGAAATTTCCGAAGATATGGAGCAGGGGCTGCAGAGCAATCCGCTAGGACGTAAGTGATCTAGCGGCGGGAGCTTTGCTTTAGCGTACATCTCTATTCCAAGGTCCTTTGATCCTCCCTCACCCTCTGAAAGCATATTTTTCCATCTCTGATAGATTTGTTCATTGCGCAGCCAATATATTCACTTTCTGAATTCTCTTAATGTAATGTCTATTCCAAACCGAGTTTCACCTTCGGAGTCGCGCATAGCGCGCCTTAACGAAGCCGTTTTCTCAACCTTAGAACAAGCTACATCGGATAATCTACACGATGACCCCAAATACTATGCCAGAACCCCACGGGAACTACTGAGCACATCCAACTCACTAGCGTTCGAAACAGGGACCGGATCCACCATTTACGAGACTCTCAGACCGCTTTTGGAATCCGCCAACCACGAACTCATCCTCGTGACATGTTTCTGGGCGCAGTCGAAGAGCTTGGACACAATCAATGACATTCTCGTGCATCTGTCCCATAAAGGAATCGAAAAAGGTGTAAGAATACGTGTGCGGATATGCTTTTCGTCACTTTCGATATTTCAGAAGCTGTTCCATACGCAGAAAGTGTCAGGGCAGACGTATCCCCCAAGCGTATGGAGATCGAAGCTTGGACTTCCAAGTCCAGAGATGCTCACAGGACTTGATCTGGAAATCAAGTCCGTTTTCCTTCTACCGTTCAGTGTCATGCATCCAAAATTCATGATCGTGGATCGGCGGATAGCTGTAATGCCTTCTTGCAACGTGAGTTGGGAAAAGTGGTTCGAGGGATATGTCAAATTTACAGGGCCTGCTGTCAATGACCTCTTAAAGTTCTACTCGAAATTCTGGGAACGAAGAGAGGAGTTACCCCCGCTCGGTGCAGAAGCAGTCGCAGCAGAGACCAGCCACCATGGATCTGTTCCTACCTTCCTATTACCTAGCCCACACCGTCGGAACCCACGTTTCCAGCCTTTTACGTCTACCGAGAACGTACGGGCGCCACACACACCACTGAACGCCTTCATCCTGACTTTGATCGATAAAGCGAACAGCAAGATCATTATCCAAACACCGAATCTCACATCCCCACCTGTCCTTTCCGCACTTCTGAAAGCGTTAGCACGAGGCGTCGATGTGCAAATCACCACTTCGGAGAACCTCATGGTGATAGAACAGCTCGTCACGGCCGGCACCACGACACCACGCTGTGTCAGGAAACTGAGAAAACGGCACATGAAATTGGTTTCTGAGTGGGAGAGTCGCGTTGGTACAGGAGACGAAGAGGCCATCGCAGGCTTGGTCAGGCCTGGCAATCTGCAACTGTTCTATTTCAGGCCCAAGAACGGCTTGAAGAGGAAGGGACAAGAGAATGGGGAGCCTCAACAGAGCCATTTGAAGATGATGGTTGTGGATGATGATGTAGTTGTGCTGGGCTCTGGGAACCTGGACAGGGCGAGCTGGTTCACGAGTCAGGAGCTGGGCATAGCGTTTTTTGATCGTAGGTTGGTGGCCAAGGTAATTCAAGCTGTTGAAGCAAGTATGAATGAGCGGCGTGTTAGGGTCACGGCCTCTTGACACGGTTGTGGATAGGGTTGAACGACCGCGAATAGAAAATGTCAGTGATGTGGAAAGTAGCCGTGTGTCCTAGCGTCACAAGTGACAGGTCAAAAAGGATTCTCATCGAAGGCCACGTCCTGCACGTTGTTCTGAGTGAGGTGATAAAACTTCCTCCCCGCAAGCTAATGTTATCATATACGCAGATGTTGATAAAATGTTTGTTTCGCATCCGTCGGGCATAATTTGATGGCCCTGGTGGAACTCTGGAGTCTTTCCGCTAATGCCCATCACTATCCTTGTCCAACCCGTCCATGCACCTGGCCTACTTCATAGTATGTTCCCTTGAACAGCTGTGCTGCTCTACGTCTCATATTTCCCCAGCCATGCTCCCTATAACTTGCTCCGTTGGCATCGACTCAGAGTACGTCTCTGTCACGTCCCGGCAACTGTCCTCGCATTTGGGGTTCGCACAGTATAAGTGCCACAATGCTGAAACTCGTCATGGAGGCCATCCCACGCGAAGAATGAGATACGAAATTCTGGGAAGCGATAGTGATGGCCGGTACAGAAACGGCGAATTCGTCTTTCTCCCCATTTGTCGCGGCACCCATACATCCCTAGTTCGACGGCCCGCAGTCTGGCAAATTTCCAACCCGCCAGTGTTAACGCAGTCAAAACTTTTGTCGGGAAGACGTCACCTATACAACGGTGCGAATGAACGTCGATACGAAGATGGCATATTTTGTTGCGGATAGACGGCGGTGGAAGCTTGCATGTATCCTTTGTCCCATCGTGTCCACTGCGCCAGCCGTTTGGGAATCTCCAGTTCTGGTCCTTGAAACTGCATTTTTCCCAGGTTTCACTACCCTCAGGGTCTCCTACCGTGACCTGGAACGTAGTCTTGCGGTAGAAGGCGAAATCGGCAATGTCCGAGGTTTCTTTGTTCGTAAGGAGTAGCGGAAGCAGCCGAGACTGATACGTTCCAAAGTTATCGTAGTTGATGATTACGTTCTCTTCGGAAGATCGGATCTCCAGAACCTCTTCGATGATTTGCGTCTTCAACTCGGTGGACAAAGAGGCCCACATCCCTCGATTCCCTGATGTGACATTGTGATGCTCTAGGACCTTGCGTTGAGAATGGTTTTGTGGCGAGGAGGTCGTGTGATATCGCGGCCGTGGGAGGCTTTGCGCCGAGATCCGTCCTTTTGGCTGCTGGTACGGCCGGTATGAGAGTCCGAAGGTTGACGCAAAAGAGACAGATCCTCGTCGTTGTGTAGCTTGGTCGGTTGGTAGTGTTTATATCGGTTTGCAGCGGTTCAAGGAAAGAGTGTTAGGCAGAAGTTGAGTTGAGCAGCGTCGCGTCTTATATACGGCGGCTGGGGCGGTGAAGGTGACGTTACGCTCCCGCACCTTTCACTGGATTCGGCACCTTTTCGCCAGCTGCTACCCAAACTTCGCAGTCAATTTCACCGACCCTCTCTAAAAAACCGAAAATTCACTGATTACGGCGTATAGTTGCAGGAAACATTGGCAGTGCCTTCGTGACATATTCAACGGTAGTTGTTTTTCAGAGTTATGACTATGCCGCGTCTTACTTAGAATGTGAGGGGAGAGAATTATCATTGGTGATGACCTAGATATACATGATGCCACCACTATCGTTGTGTACTATGTAGCGCCGACCCTGCATGTGGCGATTGATGAGGTACCTTCCAGCTGAGCTCCCTGCACATATCATATTCGCTGATCCCTGTTCCGTCCACTGGTCTACTCAGTGTCAGAAGGCCCGAACTTTTGCCTCGGCCCTTCTACGTAATTCCACCCATTCCAAGCATCTCGAGCATCCATTCCAAGCGTAGTCGCCCGGAAGAACTCCCTCATCCAGTCCGTTGTCGTGCTGATCTCCACGTGCGATCTGCCGTCCTTGAATACAACCTGGCTGCGTCAGACTATCCTGGGCCGTTGAAGAGATATTATTCGAAGTCTCCAGTTGACTTACCCCGCCAGGTACGCCAGAGACTCCCCTCAAGAACAGTTCGAATGGACAATCGACGTGTTTCGCGCAATTTTCGAAGCTCTTCCACCATTTCCGGGCCCGCCATATTAACAGGAGAGAAGATGACACAGGTACGTATTCTCAGTTGGACATTTTGAACATTCGGAAACCTACGACTCGCAAGAAGGCAGCCAGTAGCAATACTGCTCGGAAGAACGCAGCAAGGTAGGCCCCCGAAGTGGACGCACGCAACAACACAAAGCCGGCGTGCCTTGTTGCGCACAAACTGCGGTGGAAGTATGCATGGCCCTGGTGTCGATACGCTCTTGGACAGGTTCCAGGTGGAGTTCTGGGGCTTTGCGTTGCAGCCACCCTCTTCCCGATGCTTTTCAGGGTCTTCGGCCACCAATTGGAAAACAGCATTGTCATAGAAGACCGATGAAGCAATGTCGGATGTTTGCTTACTCGTAAGCAGTAGAGGAAGCAGGCGAGCCATGTGCGAGCTAAAGTTTGCACGGGTCACGTAGCTGTCGCTGGAGCAGCGGGGCGTGATCTCTAGAGCCTCTTCAATGATTTGAATCTTGAGCTCGGTAGCCAGAGAGGCCCAGGTGCCTGAATCCCTTGCTGTGGACATTGTATCTGCGCCGCGTGCGTTGCAGCTGGATGGAGAAGTGGATGGAGAAGTGGATCGGGAAGTGGATCGAGACGTGGATCGAAAAGGGGAGCGAGAGGTGGAGCAAGACGTGGATCGAGAAGCGGACCGATATTGGTTGTATCAGGTGGAGTCGAGCCGCTTGAGATAGCGGATGTTGTGAGGAAGTGAGGTTAAGAGGTTCCTTCGACGATAAGAAAGCGGGATGTGGAGTTATATATCCGACTATTGGCCTGGTGACTCTTGGGGCGGTGAAAGCGGCCCTACACTTCTACACCTTCCGATATTTCAAGTTCGCCACCAAACCCATCTAGTATCCCCTACTGTAACACAAAGGCGGTGACAGCGATCCTACTCTTCCACCCCTTCCAATTCCTTACATTTGCCACCAAAACCAACCAGCACCCTTTACAAGCACGGTGGAAGTAGTCCTACGCCACAATGCTCTATCTTCCCAAAACCCTCGTACACTCAAAACTTATCGCTCTTTCACTAGTGAAGACATAACCTTAAACTGAAAGCAACGTATATCCCCTAACGTGCATCTTAGTCAACTAATTAAAAGCCGAAAGATGACTTCGCAATCAACATCGCCCTAGCTGATATCCGCCGTCTAGCCTCCCCTGTGAGCGGATGCTATAGATATTGTCATGGAGCCAGACAGAATATCTCAGTCGCCCATTGGTAATAAACCCTTACTCTGGACATCGACTCAATGCAATCACCGGCATATCTTAACCGACACGAGGAAGTACGCAAAGGAAGAGATTCCAGGAGTGTTGAACATTACTAAACATTACTCTCAATAGGCTTCGGATGTGTGCGCATTCTAGTAATAAGCGCAGGAGATCGTTTGCCCACGCGATGCGAACTCCCTCCGCACCCCAAGTAAACCTCTCCACACCTTGCCTGGATATATCCCATCGAGCCCATATCCAGAAGCACTTCCTACCCAAACAATCCCAAACCCCAAACCAAAACCCTGCACAACCCTCCCTCCCTAACACCCATCTACGCAAACCCAACCCTATTCCTCCCCTCAAACCCCCCTTCCCTAAGCTTATCCTCAAAACTAGTAATACCACCGAGACCCCGCTCTCCCAACCCCCTATACCCCCTCCCCGGCGGCGCACTCCGAGCACCTACCCTCAGACCAACACCGACCCGCGACTTCGACGGGCTCCCTAGCACGTCCTGGTTCCTCGTCCGCTCACGCACAATAGCACGTCGACTAGGCGTCCTGAGGTACCCCGGCTTCTGCGTCCCAGCCGCCATGGGCTTGTTCTGCCCTGGGGCTTTGCGGGGTTCCAGACGCGGGGGTGGCATAGGCGTTGAGGTCCAGAAAGTAGATGCGGGATCGACTTCGGCCTCAAGGTCGAGATGGGTGTCGAGGTCCAGGGCTGAGGCTTCCGGCGCGGAATCGGATGCTTCCGTGATGGGCGGGAATGGGTTGTCGAGGGGCCGTCGGCGGAGTATGGATGTTGTAGGTTGAGGCCATCTACGCCCTCTTCGTGGTTCTGATCGCGGCTGGGGTTGTGGATACGTATTTGGCCGTAGCGGAGCAGGACGAGGCGCAGATGCAACTACTGTTCTAGGGCGCGATTGGCTGTGTTGTGGGGAGACCGAGAAGGAGAGATCGAGTTCTCGCACCCGAAGGGCATCTTCGTTGAATGGCGTCCATGTTTCCGGGCGCTGTGTCTCGTCTCGTGGTTCGTTCTCCTCGTGATGTATGCCAGCGTCGCCAGCACCGTCGCCCCCATTATCAGGCCCTCTCAACTCCCCCAACTCATCCGCATCCCCCTCGTTTCCACCGCCATCACTCTCCTCATCCTGCCGGCGGCGCGCTGGACTGGGGCTTCCCTCCTCCTCCTCTTTCTGCGCCAGCCGTTCCGCAGTCTGTTCCCACCAAAACCTCACCATAGCTCGTACATGCTTCTCAAAGTTCCTTCCCCTCAATGCGTTTGCTGTTTCCTCTTGACGCTTCACGGTCCAGACTTTCCACGACAGTTTCTTCAAACAACCACTCGCAGCAATCTGCGTCGACTCGTTTCTAAGAGCCACAGCCCGGATGCTCATTTCCTGCAGCCCACGCATCTTATCCACCCAGATCGCAAGTGTTGTCGTATTGAGCTTCTGTGCATGGGTTTGGACAGCTCGCGTCTCCAGCTCACGCAGATGCGCAATCTGGTCGTGCCATTGGCGAAGAAGTGCCGTCGCGGTCCGGACGACGCGACTTCGAGCCATGTCATCGGCCTCGCGCTGGCACTCCACCAGTCTTGCGGATTTATCTCTCCAATGAGCAAATGTGCGCCGCACAAGATTGAGCTTGACTGTGCGTCTCATATGCGCATATGCCTCTCGGCGGCGGACACGCCGAGCGTGCTCTGTGGCTCCCTGCCACCGCTTGAGAGCGTTCTTTGCCGTGACATAGTAGTTGGCTCGTTCAGCCCAGGTATCCAACTGTTGCAGGTGCGCGTGCTTCTCCAAAAGCTTCGCAAAGATGCGCTGTTTGAGCCTGGGCTCGTATACAGATACCGCGAGAAATTCTTGCCCTCTTCTTTGTACCGTGGCACTCTCGATTTTGCGTAGAGAGGAGCGGAGCAATTGTGCACGCTTGAAGGCTGCAAATCTCTTCTCCGCCCGATCTAGGGTATTCTCTTGGTTTTCCGTCTTAGCAGCCCAGTCAGAAAAGAGTTTTTCTTTGAGCCGGTGATTGTGTACGCGTTGGAAAAGGGAGACCCGTGAAGCTAAAGCCCATTTGTAGAGACACTGTAATTGAATTCTCTCGCCGATCTGTTCTTGAAGCGCCTTCACACGCAGGCGGTCGTTCCATGCCGTGAAACCATTACGAAGAAGGCGCAGGCGATCCACTTCACGGGCCTGTTTAGTATGTTGCGCATCGCGGCGCCACGCCTGAAATGAAAAATGTAACAACCGGGCATTTCGCTGCTCGACGAATCGTCTCTGTAATGGAACAAGCTGAGCTTGGTTACGAAGGACGTAAAAAGCGGAGGAGAGAAGAGCTGCTCGTCGAAAAGCATCGGCTTCAAGTTCCGCTGAAGATATTCGTGCCGCTCGCTCCTTGAGCTTTGAGAAGGATGTCCGCAAAATCTGGAGGTCTCGCTGCTGACTAGCCCACTGTTCCCTTTCTTTCAAGATTGTGACGATTTCAGCCCACTTCCTCAGCGTCTCTCGGGCCAAGCGGATACGATGCAATATGGGCGCCCTGCGCTCGCCGAATTTCCAAAACCATTGCCAGTAGAGCCTGTACACAATGTTGTGCTCGTACAAGTTCACAGCCAAATCGCTTTGCTCCCTTACTGCTGCGGTTCGAGACCGCCATATATCCAGAAATTTGGCGAGAACGAAGTGCTGGATCTTCAGCTCGTTGACTGCCGTTATATCGCGCCACGCGTTGAAGTACTTTGTGCGAAGAATATGCCGTCTTGCGGTTGACGTTCGTTGTACTTCATCCTCTGCGCTTTTAGCCCAGTGGGTAAAGGCTTTCGTGAGAAGAAACAGGTTCCTTGCCTTCTCCGCCCTCCTCTCGAGTCGTTGGAAGAAACGCTCTGTTTCGGCGGCCTGGCGCCGGGATTGGAATGCAATGCGCCAAGAATCCAACGAAGCTTTAAGTAAAACTCTCCGCTCAAAGGCTATCGCAGCCGCCTCCATGCGCTGCTGCTTATCTAAATGCTCCGCCAATCTGGTCCGCCATTTCTGGAGATAAGCTCTTTTGAGGGCAAGCCCACGGTGGTAAACAAAAGTCTCTGCATCACGTTCAATCTGCGTATCCGACGGCCGGTAAGGCGTGGTGGGGAATCCGTATTCCTGATGTCCGCCTCCTGCGTCCGGGAGGGGTACATTTACTCCGGGGATTTGGACATGCGAACGGTCAAAGCTATCCGTGTGGTCGCTGAATTCCCCCTCCCCATCCCCTAGGTCCTGGATTCCAGTATCCTCATCTCGACGTATGCGCAAGCTGCCACGGCTGTCAACGGAGCCAGTACGTCTTAGTCGACGTTGAGAAGCGTAATCCACAGATGCTGCCCTTCTGTGTTCCTCAGTGCTCACTCGCCCGCGAAATGGCAGCTGTCGTGGCAAGGGAGCATGCCCAGCCAATCCCGGGCGCATGCGCCGAGCGTCGCGTGTCTCCCCTGTATCTGATGCCGCAACCGACAATCGCCTTGAACGAACGGGCAAATCATACTCGGTTCCAGGCACCTTGTCCGCACTGCCATCAAAAAAGGATTCAAAACTTCCCCGCCTTGATCTGGCTAAAGGGACAGCATTTCGAGTAGCAATTGGACCGCTCTCAGCTGCAATATCCAAATTGGTGGTCACCTCCACTCCCTCTCCCTCGGGATCAATCTCAACCTGTATCCCCTGCGCTGCCAGGAGGCGCTGGAATCTGTCAACAAGCTCCTCATGCCCCGATAGGGCATCATCTTGCATGCGAATTAGAAACGTGAAGTAGCGACCATCATTGTCTGTTTTGCGCTTTTGCGCTAGGATGCGATCGTAGGCTTTGAAGAGGGCGCGGTATGGAGGGTCGGGCAGTGACTGCGCGTCACGCACGATATCATAGAGGGTTTCAATCTCTGAATCAGGAATTAACAGGTATTTCACAGTACGAAGGGAGTTCAACTTACCCTCATTGGTCAATGGCGGAATGTCATTGCTGGGCGCACTCATGGAGGATGGCATTCGAAGGTGGGACTTGGGGGTCTAGGACGCTTTCTCGACGGCATGAGAAGGCAGTATGAGACCGCTAGAAAGCGGAATCTGACTCCAGGTTGATGCGCCGGGTGCGCGTGGGAGGGTTGTATCAAAGCCACCTGTCAATGGGTTCGGAATCGACGCGTTCAAGTGCGCAGCAGCGAAAAGCAGGCGCGTCGCGTGGCTAAGGAAGGCCGTTGCGTGGTGAGGACCAAAATGAAACAAAATGAGTCCGGCGCGCCACCCGTTGAAACATTCTCTCGCCAGTTCGTCGCTGCCAGCCGTTTCCCCTACTGTTCCAAGGACCGACTTTTGTGGTTGAAGACGCGACTTTGTTTGATGACGGTCGTTCACATATGCCCGCTTTGCCAAGCCTCGCTAGTCGGGAGCTAACAGGACTCGAGTCAGTTGCAGCTGGATCCTTGTCGCTTAGGTCATACTTTGGACTTCAAGCTTCAGTCACTTTCACCTTTTTTACCCCCATCTAGTTCAACACACTTCGGATAATCAGAACAGGAGTGGTGAAGTGACAGTGTCAACCCCTACATCAAACACCAACAGAGAAAAGAACGCAGCATTATGCCGGGCCAAGCGCGCACTCTCACGCGACCCATCGACAAATTTGCCTCCGCTGCTGCCAAGTGCTCAAAAGAGGTACGACAAGTTCTCCACATCAACTTACTTACAATTCCCGGTGCTCATTTGTCCACAAGGGCGCAGTATACGGGAAATGCATAACCGCAGACTTCAACAACGTATACAAAGATAAATGTAGCGCCGAATTCATGAAGCTACGGGAATGCTTTGTGGTGAGTTCAGTTCTATCTGCGAGTGAACCATGCTAAGGGGTATCAGGCGGCCAGTAAAAGAAGATGACAGCATGTTGCACATTGATCGTTCGGATTCTTCCAGAGCATGTTCGCGGACATGTTCTATACCCACAAGTCTTGACATAGGCTGTCATGGGGCGGCACAAAGTTTGCATCTCCTCAAATATCGTCCATTTCTATCGTACTATCATACCAGCATAAGATGTAGGGGGTCCTCTAAGCAACGAGGCCCAACTGGCGATTCCCATATTTCATTATTTCTACAGCTTCACGAACCTCAACAAGAACGTTGCCTTGTGCAACTCTTGTTCTTCCTCCACAATGACCTCCTCTTGTTTGCCCTCGGGAATCTTCCCCTCCAACTCAGTAATGACGTGCTTATCGACATTTCGTCGTAACGACTTCTCGAATAATGCCTTCTGGTTTTCAAATGCAGCCTCAAGACCGATGTTATCCGGGTCACTGAGCACCCGGTACTCCATGCCAACATCGTCGGTGGGAACCAGGCCAGCTTTCTTCCTCAGCACCTGCACGCGCCGGATGATCTCTCTAGCCAGGCCCTCCTGCTCAAGTTCAGGATAGCTAGCGACATCCAAGATGATGAGAACGTCGTCATCAGTGTTGAATTCTTGGTCCTTGTTGCTGTTGTCCTTTGCCAGACCACGCTTCACGATCAGATCTTCGCGCTCCAAGCGAATGCCATCTACAAGGATCTCTCCACTCTTGAGGAAGCCCTTGATATCCTCGGTTTTCAGCGTGGGCAGTGCCTTCTTGACTTTCACAGCATCTTTCTTCAGCTTCTTGCCCAAGACAGGGAAGTCTGCCGATACTGAGTACTGCACGTTGTACTTGTCTTCATCATTGGAGAGAATGAGGTCACGAACGTTGAGCTCTTCTTGGATGTACGTCTCCAGCGACTTGATGTCGTCGAGGTACTCTTGATCAGGGTGGATGACGACGAGGGTCTTAAGAGGGATCTTCAAACCCTTATTGGCACGGTCACGGCTGATGCGGCCAAGGTCGATAACGGCTTGCATGCGCTTGAATTGGCGTTCGACAACCTCATCGAACAACTCTTCCCGGACCTCGGGAAATGGCAAGAAATGGACGCTACGGTCATCTTCGGCGCGGAGCTCCTTTGGAATGTGGGGTAGAAGTCGGAGGTAGATGTTATCGGTAATGAAGGGCGTGAAAGGGGCGAGACCGCGGCAGAGCGTGTAGAGAACCTCGAAGAGAGTATTAAGCGCATGAGTGGTGTCCTTCAAGCCGTACTCGCCCTTCAGTCTCCTGCGGTTGAGCTTGATGTACCAGTTGGTCGTGTTATCAATCAACTATAGAGGTTAGATCTAGTAACGCCGCGTTGGCTCAAACTTACGGTAAGCAGGCGCGGAACCACGGTGTACAGACGGTATCCGTTCATCTCTTCGTTGACAAACTTGAGCAGAGATTGGCACGATGCCAGTATCCAACGGTCAAGTACATTGGTGTTCTCTTTCTCGGCCGACGGATCGAAAACGAAGTGCAGATCAGCAACCTTCTTCAAGAGGGCCACTTGTTGTTCGAAGAACTGGTAACTGTTCCACAGAGGCAGCAAAACCTTCGACACAACCTCCCGAACACCGGCCTCCTTGAAACGGAGCGTCTCGGCGCGGACAACTGGGGAGTTGATGAGGTACAGACGGAGGGCATCGGAGCCGTAGTTGTTCATGATGAGGAGAGGATCCGGGTAATTCTTCAAGCGCTTGGACATCTTCTTGCCGTCTTCCGCAAGCACGATGCCATTGACAACACAGTTTTTGAAGGGGAGCTTCCCGAACAGGTGCGTTCCAAGGACAGTAAGCGTATAGAACCAACCACGCGTTTGGTCCAGGCCTTCAGCGACAAAGTCACCGGGGAAAGACTTCTCGAACTGTTCCACATTCTCAAACGGATAGTGCGCGCTACCGTAAGGCATAGATCCGGACTCAAACCAGCAGTCAAAAACCTCAGGACTTCTCCTCAGAACGCCCTTGCCTTGCTTGGACGGAATAGTGATGTCGTCAATCTTGTCTCGGTGGAGGTCGGTAATCTCGCCCTCATATCCGCTCAACCTTTTCAGCTCTTCGATGCTGCCTACACACACCACCTCCTTCATGTCATCACTCACCCACACAGGGAGGGGGGTTCCCCAGAAACGGTTCCGCGACACTGCCCAATCAGGCGAGTTCATGATCCAGTTTGCGAATCGCTTCTCCTTGACGAAAGACGGCACCCAATGCGTTTCTTGAATGCCCTCCAACATTTGGGGGATGATGTCTTGAATCTTGATGAACCAGGAAGGAACGGCCCGGTAGATTAGAGGCGTGTCGGACCTCCAGCAGAATGGGTAGCTGTGGGTAAGTTGTGAATCAACAACAAGCCTTCCGAGAGCCTTAAGGTGCTTGATGATGTTCTTGTCGGCCTTTTTGACGTTCTGGCCTGCAAAATCCCGAACCGCCGATGTGAAGCAACCCTGGTCGTCGACCGGATTGACAGGAGGCCGATCCTCTGTGACGATTCCATATTCCACGGCGACCTTGTAGTCCTCTTCACCAAAGGCAGGGGCTTGATGGACAATACCCACACCGCTATCAGCCGTAACGTATGTGGCATTCACCAGCCGGAATCCAACATCCTTGAACTCCTCGTAGAAGTAGTCGAATAGCGGCTCGTATCTCCAGCCGAGCATATCCTTGCCCTTATACTTTTGAACAATTTTGAACTTCGCCTTCTTGGGGTCTTTGTACAGGGTGCCCAGGAGGGCTTCGAGGAGAATATAGTGTTTGCCGGAGGCTTCATCGAGGATCTTGATGTACTCAAAGTCAGGGTGTGCAGCGAGTGCAGTGTTGGATGGCAGCGTCCATGGCGTGGTCGTCCAGGCGAGGAAGCTCGTAGTCGGATCGTCTACAAGAGGGAAGGATACTACCACCGCTGGATCTTGAACGTCCTTATAGTTCTGCGAGGCCTCGAAATTGCTAAGAGGCGTTCCGAGCGCCATGCTGTAGGGCATAACCTTGAAACCACGATACACTGCGCCCTTGTCGAATAGTCGCTTGAACACCCACCATTCGGTTTCCATGAACTTGGGGTCCATCGTCTATGCAAGTTAGCATAAGCATATATTCCGCAATCTCTCTTATCCTCCATACCTTGTAATCTCTGTCAAAGTCAATCCACCGACCGAGCCTGTCAATGGTGTGTCTCCACTCGCTGGCGTAGCGCATGACAATCGCCCTGCACTTCTCGTTGTACTTGGCAATTCCCAGTTCGCGCACCGCGTCTCGTCCAGACATGCCCAATTCCTTGTCGATCTCATATTCGATAGGTACGCCATGGGTATCCCAACCGAAGCGTCGCTCAACGTAGTGGCCCTTCATGGACCAGTATCGAGGAATGATATCTTTGATGGTAGAGGCGAGAAGATGGCCATAGTGGGGTAGACCTGTCGCGAACGGAGGGCCATCGTAAAAGGTGTATGGCTTCTTGCCTTTTGACTATGAACCAAGGAGGTTAACCACAACTGTTGCAGGGATCGCTGCGCTCAGTTACTCTGGGGAAACCTACGAGCTCAACCTGGCGCAAGAAGGCGTCAATTTCCTTCCAGCGAGCGAGGATGCGCTCCTCCTCCTTCGGGAAATCAATAGACATGGCCGCAAACGTAGAGGAGACAATGTTTTGGCGGCGATGTGGAGGGGTTGATGTTTTTCGGGAGACGCTTGACTCATGTGGAAGTGGCGGCTGAGTCATCCTGGTTCCTGGTTTCTACGACGAGGGCCCCTCACCTCCACATCTTTGGAAGGCATGTTCTCAGCAGCTGAACACATTGATTATTGGTTATTTAACCACTTCTGTTCTTCCAAGGTTCGGGATAGACTTGGTAATCTGACTCCATTTCAGACCTCAAGCCAATCAAACACACCTTGGCCAGTCGCCGCTTGGCCTGAAGCGGCATCGTGAGTATTCCGGAGATGGCCTCATGTTTCTCCGACCAGATACCATTCGATTCATTATCTTCGTCTCTCCTTTTTTGAAATATAGCTCAATTACATATTTTAATGATTTATTCGGTCACATTCCTAATATGAAGTCACTCTTTCATCTATTTCAGCTTCTGTCGTTCACTCTCGCCCTCGACGATTTTCCCCCTGCAATCCATATCCCTGAGGTGATTCATACCGGCACCGAGGTCGAGGGTTATGTCGATGTCGAAGTACATAATTTCGACACCACGTACTGCAATGCGTTCCGCGTCTATCTGGCTACTCGTCCAGGAGAGCAGCGGAATCCTGCCTTCTACCATGAGGACTGTATGTCTTCGTCGGTTCAGACCTTTCCTCCTTCCCCTATTTACCTATCTTTATAGGTTACTTGGTGCACGAACAATCCCTCTGCGACGCCTCCGTATATATTGCTCCAAGCTATGTACTCTATGTCAACACCAGCTTCACCTTCTCTATCCCAGCTAGCGTAGGACCACCCGGCAAGCACTACGTTTTGAAAGCAAGGACGCTGCAAACGGACGGCTCTTACTACGGCTCATCGTTCGAATCCAACGTGTTCGAGCTTGTAGGAGCAACTGGACACTGGGGCAGCTACCGATTGCAAGGCAATACGCTGTGGGGCGACGACGGGATTCCCTGCGAAAGTTACGAGTGCGTGCAGGATTGCGCAGAAAATTCACTGAACAACACCACCGCTGGAGACTACCAAGTGTGCGCTAATGCTTGTCCGAACGTTTACATCGATCCGAGCTCCACTGTAGGAGGCCAGCCCACCGGCGCTCTCTCCTCGCCCACGTCTTGCTCAGTGGCATTTTCCTCGCCAGCACGGACTCAGGAGCCGATGCCTACCCCGTCCGAAACTGGCGACAACTTCGTTCCATCTGCCCCTTCTAGGACCGTTGCTGCAGCGGCAGGAACAGGCAGGGGACCTAGGACGGTGACTTCTGACTACCTGGAATCGTTCATGGCTCTGATGTGTCTATTAATTTCAGTAATCTAATCGCAAACCTCCACCCCACCCAGTGCTCGAAGGCGAACGCAAAAAGAGATATCAAGCTTCCGCTCTCTGTTCCCTCTCCGAGCCTTGACGATTGCTCAGCGTCACTCCTCCTTCAGCCCAACCATGGCAAAACTCTCCTTCCACAACCTCTCCTCCCCCTCCGGATCAAACGCCCAATCCGCATACCCCTGGTCCTCCAAGAAACTCACATTTTCCTGCATCCTCCCCTGCACGGCGCAATCACTCGCCCACACCCCACCTACGGTCCTCCACTCCTTCCCCACGGCCGCAAGCACACTCGTCGCGGCGCCCTGTTCAGGAGACTTGAGCATCCTCGTAGCCTCCGGCGTGATAATCTGCGCAACCTCCTTCTCATCCAGCGCCCAAGCCAAGCCCGTCATAATGACGCCCGGATGCAGCCCAACAGCATACAGATTCCTACCCGCATACTTGCGATTAATCGCATTCGCCAGCCAAATATTCCCCGTCTTGCTCTGCCCATATGCCAACCACTTGTCATATGGCTCCCTCTCGAAATTGTAATCGTGGAACCGGATACTGCTATACCGATGCCCCAGGCTCGAAACGCTGACGACGCGGCTGGGAAACGCGGGACTCGCGCTCTCCAGCAGCGCCCCCTTCACCAGTTGGAACAGCAGGAAATGCGCGACGTAATTCGTGCCCCATTGTAACTCGAAGCCGTCTTTCGTCCTGCCCTCGGGCACGGCCATGATTCCCGCATTCAGGATCAAGAGGTTCAGTTTCCCGCCGCTCTTGTCGAGGAAGTCCTGCGCGCCGCGGCGCACGCTGTCCAGACTGCCCAAATCCATCTCAATCAGGTCGATTTTGCCGCCATTCGGGTTCGAGGCTAGGATGTCCGAGACGACTTTCTGGCCTTTGGACAGGTCGCGCACGGTGCCGAAGACGTGGGCGCCCGTTGCGTGGAGGGCGCGCATCGTCTCAATGCCGATGCCGCCTGAGACGCCCGTGATGAGGACTACTTTGTCCGCGAGGGCGTTGACGAGGTTCTCGTCGTGGATGATTTGCAGGGCTGTGGGGCGGGCGTCGCCGGCGCCGGTGGGTTGGGCGTGGGCGGCGGCGTAGCGGGTGGACATTTTGGAGGCAAGGGAGGCGGTACCTTTGGGGTCGAGGAGGCGGTCGCAGAACATGCGGTGTTGTGGATAGTTAGGGTGGTGTGTGTTGTGTGTGTATTGGTGTGTGTGTATCGCAACTCTGGAGTGGAGTCTAGGAGGATGCCGTGGAAATGCTCGGTAGGAGGATCTGGATGCCGTATTTTATACATCCCCTCCCTCTCAGGCTCCAGCATTTTCCGTCAGGCTTCCAATCCTTGGATTCCGCCATCCGCTATCTCCATGTCCATGTCCCTTGTCTTACCACTCACTTGCCTGTAGGGTGCATCCCACATCATCCCCTACCTACCACAACCTACAGCTACCACACACCACCCAACTAATCTATCCCATATCAAACTCCGCCGCAACATCTTTCACAGCGGAGTTATTTACTCCAGGGCCGCCGCTGACTTGAGCCGTTGCCGAGCGTTGCGGCAAGTGAGGCACAGCAATGAGGTTCTGGCGTGTAAGCATGGAGGGAGGGAGGGGCTTAAGTCCGAGACTCCCCGTCCTGTCCTGTCCGGAGCGCGGCGCGAAACGAGGGGGAAAGTAAGCGGCCGAGTCGGAATTTACTAAGTACTGTGTATATCGTCTAGGCATACATCATCGGATACAAATCGTCTATTGTACTTGTAAGACTGTGTGCGCTTATGAACGGTATTCCGATGAGTAATCGGAGCATGGAGTTTGGTTCCCAAGGGTTGGAAGCGGACGGAGATATTTTATACGGGAGAGTCGGGCTGTGTACTTTGTATTTGGGTTGTGGGTTTCGTACGAGATATACTTGTATATTATATTACAGGCAATCCGGCGAGTTTTGGAGTGGTTTTGATCTGTTGAGAACTACAGTAGGGAGTTTGAGAGTGATGCATGGGATCCAATGGGTGCATGACCGGAGTAACCTGCATTGCGTATAACGGAATACAGCTGGCCGCTTACAAAGATGCATTGGAAATGCTAGAACCCTGAGCGATGCCCGAGTGCACTACGCTGAAAACAATGAACACGCGCCTGCAAAATGCGACAGTAAACAAATACGACAAAAACCAAGATATAGGTATCCCGCTGCAAGTCGGCCATCCCACCCAGCCCGTCCCATACCCATACTCCCAGCAAACGCCATATACGCCACGAACCCGTCCTTCGCATATCCAAAAACGTCCCCTAGGCAACACCCAGCGCAGCAAGCCTCCTCTTCACATCCACGGGCCTCGCAAGCTGATTGATAACCACGCTAGAAATAGCGCCCATCCTAACAATAGACACGTACCCCGGCGCAACCTCATTCGCCAACACCTCTACACACCTCAGCGTTTCCTCCTTCGACAGCGGACTACGGATCGAACTCTGCAGCGACTGGAGGAGCGTCGACATTGAAAAGGAGACGCGGGATCCGGGGCCTTTGCCTGCAGCCAGAAGGGACAGCACGCCGAGTACTTCCTCCGAGCGCTGGAGCGCCGCTTGTCGCTGCAGCTCAGCGGGCGACAAAGGAGCCGGAGCCGCCGCTTTAGCAGCCTGTTTCGCCAGAATGCGATCCAGCAGATTCGACTTGCGCACCGCTGCGAATTCTGTGATCTTGGGCTGCGTAGCCTGTGTCTGAGTTTGTGCGATAGGGTCTTCGTTCTCTTTGCCTGTGCTTTCGCGCAACTTCTTCTGCATGCGGCCTTGATACGCGCTCTCCTTCAATTCGCGAAGTCGCTTGCGGCCCTTTTCGCGGATGGGAGCGCTCGCCGCGACGGCGGGGCAGAGCGTGATTTCCGCGAGGGGGAGCTGCGAGATGAATTTCGCCAAGGCGTTGTCGTCGACTACGAAGACCTCCATTGATTTCTGCGTTGTGTCGGCTTTTCGGGGCCGGCCGCGACGGCGGGGTGTAGCGATGGGCCGGGCTGTGAGTGTTGTGCGTGAGCCCTGCGACGTGTTCCACGTCCTCCACAGGTCGTCGAGGCTTTGCATGAACATGGATTGCAGGGCTTCTTCGTTGAGCGGGCCTAGGTTGCATGCTTGCTTGTGTTCGGGGCGTATCTCGAGACAGATCTTGCCGCCGGTGTAGTCGGAGAGGAAGAACGGGTTGTTGATGCCTGAGGGGCCGGCGCTTAAGACGCCTACGCAGAGTCGGATGTCTTCGAGCGTGACTTTTCGCTTCTTCCACACTGCTGAGATTGATTGTGTCAGAGAGCGCAGGTCAACAGGTGTAGCGGTGCCATTGTGCGCGTAATGCAGTGACAAGGCGGTAAGAAACGAGGAGTGGAGGGCGAGGAGATTGACGAGTTCGGAGGGGAGCGCTGCCGGCGCCATTGTAATCGATAGAAAGGTAAGATGGGGTGCTGAGATAGTGTAGACGATGTGCGGAGAGGAATATGTTTTGGCAATGAAGTGGGAGTTGGGAATGCTGGGGTAGTTATGTGATTCACTTTACGCGACTATAGATAACCTTGGCGCGTCTTTTCGCGTTATGCGCGTCGGCCAATCAGAGATCGCATGGAGAGGTGTGGGTCTACATTTTATGACGAGGGAATTGGAATCAGGGAGACCAGAAACAAGTTCCATAGTCTCGCCCGCTTGTTTCAAGATATTCGAACATGCGCTTGGTGCTTGGGCATCGCGTTTGGTAACGGCTGCACACGGTGCGTATAGAGAGACCACACTGCTGATGGGCACCTGTAGGACTATCAGCGCCAAGGATGGTATACAAGTGCGCTGTACGGTATTCGGGAACATGAAAACTGGGCAGTGAAGCGAGGACACCAAAAAGGACTCCGCTCATAGCCCTGGCATCGCGCCACCAAGACAGAGGTAACAGGTACCAAGCATTATCAGATTCGAGCCGAAAAACACCTAGCACAATACCAAACGCTCATGTACATGCCGAACCAGAGTCCAGCTTCCATCCCTTTGGGCATTTCATCGTTCATTACGTGCAGGTTACTTTCCTCCAAACCAGCCGCTGAACCAGCTCTTGGTGTTGCTCGCAGCTTCGGTGACGTTCTTGTCGAACTTGTCGACGGCGCGGTTGCCTTCTCTCCTGGCCTCCTCCAGCTTCTTCTCTGCGTCTACGCGGAGCTTGTGCGCCTCAGCCTTGGCCTGGTCGTTCTGTGTCGAAAGTCAGCGGGTTTCCTCTACACGGAGGAACGAGCATGCAACACTGCCCCTCTAGTAAGAGTGGAACTTACGAGCTCCTGTGCCTTTACGCGGACAACTTCGAAGCCCTCCTCGCTCGCCCTCCTCGCCTCTTTATCCTGCCCCGGAAGGTCACCCTTGAGCTGTCGCGTAGCGGTAGCGGCATCATCTGCTGTAGTCAGTATCTTGTCTGACAAGCAATCGAGACGGTACCCACGCTGAACCTCCTTCTCCGCAAGCTTTGCATTTCCTCCAGCGCTGTAAAGGTAGTACGCAACGCCGCCGGCTGCAGCCGCACCACCCCATCCGAGAACTTTGCGGTTCATGTTTGTGGTGTTGGAATGAGTTGCGTTAAATGAAGATGAGTGTTCAACGGTGCCAAAGGTAGTGTAGGACGGTCGTAGAAAGAGAAGAGTTATACTTGAGGACCAGTGAGATTGGGTGGGATGGCAAGGAACCCACCAACCGCGATGACGTCGTCGCTCAATCCCCGAGCTCCCGCACGGACTTCTCGGCAGACACGCATGGAACCCAAACATCGACGCCAACATTGAAATCCAAACCTGGAACCTATTCATGACTTCGGCACATGAACAGTCATGCTTCCGCAATAACAGCCGGCCATGAGGCGTCTCCCCACAACGTCTCTAGATGTTAGCACCACCAATACCACCATGGCAGAGCGGCCAATAAGCCTTGTGGATCACACCGACGAGGAAGAGGCATCAGCACCCCTGGGTTCCCAGAGCTCCGAAACGTCAAACCCAGACTCGCAAATAGATGTCCTGTACGAAAACCAGCGAGGATGGTTCGTATTTGGCATCCCTCTCTTCTCGTCAAACGCACTCTGGAACTCCAAATTCGACGCCGCGCCCTGGGCCGACGCGAAGTACAAGCCGTCGGCCGTTAATATCACGAACGCGCAAGTGCCGGATCCGAGCTGGACGTGGGAGTGGAAGTCGTGGTACGTGGATATGAGCCAGGACGTGGACGAGGAAGGATGGCAATACAGTTTCTGGTTTCGTGGAGCTGTGTGGCACGGCAATCATCCTTGGTTTCACAGCTTCGTGAGGAGACGGCGCTGGCTGAGGAAGCGGGTGAAGCAGAAGCTGCCGGCGAAGATGAAGGATAACAAGGAGAGATTGTTTGGCGACACGTTCAGCATTCCTACAACTATAATACGAGCGAGCACCGTTGGCACTGAAACGCACCAGAGCGGCGAGCGAACGTCGTCGGATCGAAGGGCGCCACTGGACGAGGAGATCACGGATGTTGGGAAGCTCATGCATGTGCTCAAGGCGTCACCCATTGACAGGGAAAAGATTGCAGCTATCAACAAGTTCATTGAGGAAGGAGGCGAAGAACTCCATTATCTTCCCGAGCAGGTACGGTTCCGTTTTTCACTTGTCATTCGCCTTCTCACAATGTCAGATGCATAACATCATGTCCATGCTGCTCTTCCAAAACTCGCGTCGGCAACTGCTGGCCCATCTCATGGACCGCTTCGAGGCGGCTAAGGAGCATCGAGAAGAGCATAAGAGGCGAGGCGAGCCGGAGGATACGGCAGAGGAGCGCAAAATCAACAATCTCCTGAGAGCTGTCGAAGCTGCCGATGCGGAGTGTAAGAAGCTGGAGTATTGGAGCGACATTCGGAAGCTGGCGGAGGACGGAAAGGCAGGAAACGCCACGGATCCTGCGAGCGGATGGGATCACAGTTGGGAAGGTCTCGATAGGAGTGGACCAGCACATCCTTGAACGTTGCATTCCTGCATAGCGGTTCTGTTTTGGAGTTTTGGATACGGCATTGTTGACACTTTGGCATCGGAGTGTTTCCTTTCTTTGGGGGTGCATGTGTGACTCTTGCTCGATCCCATGTTTTCTCAATCGGATTGCATTACTCTATTTCCTTGTTCCTCACTCGGATAGGGCCGCGGACATGTTAGAGGGGCATACCGATGTGAGTCCATATCCTCACACCTATTCAGAGATTTTCACTTCTCCGCGGTGCCTCGAATTCCTAACGACGCCTCATGGATAAGGCTCCCAGTAGGTCCAACATCAATTCGGACTTTCTAATTTCCGTGTGACGCTTTGTGAACTGGTATTCACTCTGATGCAGTGGGCATAATAAGTTTTCCATGTCGTGCTTTTGCCGCACGTTCAACCAGCATGGCATTTAATAGAGTTGGTGAAAAGAAGCGGGGTCGGAGATCGAGATAAGATGGGATGGGGCCAGATCTCTTGGCGTGAGCACCAAACCTCTTGGGAAAGGATTGACGTCATCGCCCAATCAGCGCCGACTTCCCAGCCACACCCAGGAACGAGTCAACACTTTCAGTTTCTCCTGTGAAAATCCTCTCGTCGCCGGTCTCCGCAGCCATCGCAGCCGTAGCAACCTTGGGAACCCCTCGCGAACTCTCCGGAGTCGGGATCATGGCGTCTCTACGGACCGGGTTGCGGTGGTTGCGCCTGTCGAATAATGGTGGTGAAAAGCAATTCCATCCCAGGTCAGCTGCGACGGCATTGGCACACGAACTATTTAGCTGCAGCAACCCACCTTTGGCCCGCCGTGGTGGGGTTCCTTCTTCCTCGTCCTTTCGTCTCATCCCTCAGTCTCGGTCCTTCACAGTCCTCGCATCTCAACCACAGCTTCCACCGTCTCAATTGGCTTCACACTCCTTCTCGTCCTCCTCGTATCCATCTTGCCACCTCAGGCCACACCAACGACTCCGTCCCGCACCGCCGTACCCCGCTTCGTCGCTCTCCGCCCTTCGATCCTTCTCGACCTCAGCCCCTCGCTCCTGTCCGATAACCATGGCGGAGAAGGCCCAAGTCAAGAAGTACCTGCAGGAGAGCCATGACAAGATCTTCGAGAACAACCGCAAGTGGGCCGACGCCCAGTCCGCAAAGGACCCCCAGTTCTTCGAAGAACTCTCCAAGGGCCAGTCTCCCAACTACCTCTGGATAGGTAAGACAAAGCATCACAACGTTGCAAATATCCGGCCCGACTTATTAACGACTGCTCCCAGGCTGCGCCGACTCCCGCATCCCCGCCGAGGCCATCACCGGCCTCGGCCCCGGCGAGATGTTCATCCACCGCAACATCGCCAACCTCGTCTGCAACGTCGACCTCAACGCCATGTCCGTCGTCGAGTACGCCGTCAGCCACCTCAAGGTCAAGCACATCATCGTCTGCGGCCACTACGGCTGCGGCGGCGTCAAGGCCGCCATGACCCCCCAGGACCTGGGCATCTTGAACCCCTGGCTGCGCAACATCCGCGACGTCTATCGTCTGCACGAGAAGGAGCTGGATACCCTCGAGGGCGAGGCCAAGTACGACCGCCTCGTCGAGCTGAATGTGCTCGAGCAGTGCAGGAATGTCATGAAGACGGCCGCCGTGCAGAAGTGCTTTGCTGAGAATGAGTTCCCCGTCGTGCACGGCTGGGTGTTTGGGTTCAAGGATGGCTTGTTGAAGGATTTGAAGTTTGATCACGCCGCCACGCTCAAGGATATTCAGAAGATTTATAACTTGACGAGTTGAGGGGAGCGGTTGCTGATGGTATTTGAGGCGCATGTGGGACTAGAGGCTAGTGAGGGATTAGAGATGGATTAGGAGTTAGACGGTACGAATATACGAAAGCATATCCTCATGTTCGGTTATCATGTTTTCTTGATTTCAAGCATTTCAAAGCTTGGATGAACTCATCTGTCGATCCGCCCTTTCGGGTCCTAATCTGATACCCTACAGAAGACAAATTAATATAAATCGACCACCAGTAGGGAACCTGCCTGGGGTGTCCGACCCAGAGATGCGCATTCCCAGTCACCTGGGCAATGCATCGCGGGTAATAAACTCACCGAACCCCCTACGCCCGATTAACCGCCAATGTCACATTTCAGCTTGACGACTCCGCGATCTGTACCTTAATCTGGACCCGTGTGTGCGGCTCTCTGCCACATGATAACGTGTTATGGACGACGTAAGTACAGCCGGTTGCCAGACTGACTTCTATCTGCCGCATAGCTAAGCAAACACATAGAAAAGCTCCCCATCAACGTCTACGATCGAGCAGACTTTGATAGGGACATGGGATGCCGATCCTTCGTTGGTAGTGACCAAGGCCGCATGGAATGGTACTGCGCTGTCGGCTGACAGTTGGTATATCTGGGATGGAGAGGCAAGCTTCAATAAGAAGGTTAGTATGGTCCCACCTGATTTCATAGGAAAAGCGCTGGTTGGTGTGATCTGAGTGAGTGACTGACGCACGCAGACAATAATCCGACTGGCCTTTGTCAGTCGGAGTCAGCAATCGGGGGAATCGAAGCCGGTCCTGGGTGCTCTGTCGCGGACCGTGACCGCGGATTATGCATGGTCCGAGCCATGGCAGGATGACCTGAAGGAACTATCAGGTTCGCTCAACTGCAGTCAAAACACCAAATTAGTGATAAAAGTATCCCACAATGGTACCGGACTAGGTTCAGACTTGAAAGAGATATCAAACTCATGGTTTAACCTCCTGTACCGGCCAGAGATCGAAGGAGCCGTAGAAGCTCCCATTCTCTATCTGATATCTCCGTCCGGTGCCGAGATCTCCAGCTTCGATACCAGTCACGAGCAATACGTGCTTGCCAGAACCCCCGTAGGCCACGGGGTTCACCGTAGGCACCTTCTCCATTGCGTCTGTCCCGTTTGGTGACCTGATATTGCCAACAAGCGTGTCAGCGGGACTGCGTTCAACGAGAATGTCGAAGATCACGACGAGCTTGTGGAATAACACGTGTTTGGGTCCATGCGAACACTCTGTTTGTGGTGCGTATATATAAGGCCGGGTTTTTCTGCAAGAGTACTGACACAACCCCGAGAATGCGTACAAGCAGACACTCGGGCAGATCTTGTCGCCGTCAACTCCGAGAAGGATATATACCGGTTGTTCTACATCACGCCGTTGCTCAGAATGTGGACACTGACCACAAACAACACTCAGAGTGGGAACAGAACGCTGGAGTATGGGGAAGCAGTTACCTTCAACGCTCGTGTTCACGCTGGAAAATTCGCAGTTACGGCTGACAGATATGGAGAGGAGAAACCGCGAAATATGTACCTGTACACTCAAGTGAATGGTACTTGAAAAGCAGAGTTTGCGTACCGAGGACGTGGCTGGAGCGAGGAGCCGACGTATATTGTGGTACGGTAACGGTGGTGATGGTCGTTGGGGGCAAAAATGGGTCCTTGTTCACCAGCTTTGCTGGGCACGACTTTTGAGTCTTTCACCGACGCAAGCTACGACACCCACCACGCATTATATTTTGATCTTGGCAAGCGCACGAATCTTTTCTGCGCCTTCTTCTTTCGAGTGCTTTCACAACATAACTTGCAACCGTTGACTTTCAACCTCTCAGCTTCAACTCTACCCACCGGTATATACGACGTTACACTATGGACAACCGCACGTCTAGCAATGAGTCGACGCACCAGGATCCAATGGACCTCGATGGAGCGCAATTCGGCACTACCGCTGCAACAGTAAGCTCGCCACCATCACTGGTCATCGTCGTGTATTTACTGATGTGATAGCAGCAGACCCCAAGTGGAGCTACCGCTCCAACGCGCCCTCCTCCGTCGTTCCCCCTACCACTTCCCTCGCACTTGCCCTTCCCTCATCCTCCACTGCCCTTCGGGCCATTCCCATTTCCTCCACTACCTGTAGGAGCACCAGCGACTCTAGGGGTTCCACCTATGCCATTCCCTTTCCCTCCTCTCCCTCCCTTTGGTTTGCCACCTCTCCCAGGAGCCTTGGGCCCAGGAGCCTTGGGTCCAGAAGGCACTCCCAACCATCCACCTCTCGCACCACAACCCACAGTCACCGGCTCACTCCTACTCGAAATCGCCCTGGACGATATCACCCCATCCTCCACTGGCATATCCCACAAGACCGGTTTTGAGACGATATGCTCCTACAACTGGGTTCGGTCCCCACTCTCTTCCCCAACAATCTACGTACCCGGCGCCCCTCGGAAGTGGACCCCTCCAACCACGCTGCCGCAATCCCTACGACGTTCCAACCTGCCCCATTTCGTCAATGAAAACGCGTTTCGAGCCGCAGAGCACCAATTCGAGCCTGTTTTCCAGGCCATGGCCATTATGAAGCCAGATATGCGCATGAACGACGTCGACGTCGTTAGTGATCGCGGGAGCATGCAACGACTACTGGACTACACTGCGACCAGGAGCGTCAGGAGGCCCTATCTCATTGCCGCTCAACGAGTTAGAAATACTCTGTTCCTGCGAGTGTTTTCTGAAAAGAGTGGGATCGTAGGGGGCCATGCGAGTGGGCACGGGAAGGTTTTCGAGGAGAAGTACACGAGGGATGCGATGGGGCTGGGGGAATTAGGGTCAAGCTTCCACCGTGTAGTGAAGTACGATTTCGGAGGTTTGACGCTCGTGCTTAGGCACGAAGTAGATGCCTATTACGAGGGACCGGAAGTGGGTACGCATCCAGAGCAGCCGCCAGCAAGGGACCAGTATCGGGGACTAGAGGACGTGGGGATAAAGAGCCACAAAAATGCCGCCAGGGTCGAGATAAAAGGGAAAGACATCCCGGCCGCTAAGATGGCGGAGATCAAGACTGCAAAGAAGAGTGGCAACGTCGTGCAGCAGATGTGGCTCGGCCGCAACCCCCTGGCTTATCCGTGGAATCTTCGACCACCATACGGAGGGCGTGGTCAATGCCATCAACGTGACGAACAAAGCGGCTGAGTCCTTTGAGAAGTACGAGTTGGATGAGCAGGAGAGCTTGCGGACGGCGGCGGGGTTGTTGAAGCTTCTTAAAGAGGTGGTGGAAGCGGCGCCAGAAGGGAAGGCGATGTTGAAGTTTCCTGAGGGAAAGGTGGAGGACGGGTATCTGGAAGTCTGGGAGATGAAGGCGGAGGCGTGTATGATTCCAGCCGAGTTTGTCGATAGGTTTTGGTTGCCCGTCGAGGCGGAGGGCTGGGTTGGAGACGCTGTTTCGATGGATTTGGATAATTAGTGGAACGCGATTGAGGGACTCTCACGCCGCCGACTAGCTTGTTCATATATACTGACATTGCACGGATAATATAGAGCGGTTTGTCAATGGCCGACTCATTCACGACCATGTTTACGATGGTTATACTTTCTGACACGCACCTAATTGTTGGACCGCTCGTCCTTAAACGTATATTCGGGAAAGAGCAATGATTCACGACCATATTTTGGATTTGCTAACACGGATCTAACTCTTAAATCCCTCTTCCCTAAAGTTATATTCGAGAAACCGCTAGGTAGTTGAACGCAAAACCAGACCGCCGTCGACCCTCTTCAGCGGACTTAACTCCCCAACCTTTCACCGACCTAGCATTATAACACCTTCCGCAGCTCGTTTAACCTTGGCAATCGCACAGAAAAGAATTCTTTTACGCCTTATTTCTGCTCCATTCCCAACTCATACACCATCATACCATACTTCTCCACAACGGATAGCAGCATGGCTTCCAATGAGATGGCGAAAGCAGACGAAATGGAGCTAGATGGAGAAGATTCCACCACTCCTCCACCATCAGTAAACTCAACTACGCCACATCAAAGCTATATACTTATCAATAAACTAGCAACAGCCCTCCGACAGACATACCGACCTAGCGCCTCAACCTCCCTCACTCCCACCACCGCATCCTCCGCACTTTTCTTTGCCTCCACCACCCATACCATCTGGACTCTTCCCATTTCCGCCACAGCTCCCATTATCAGGGCCTCAAGGAGCCCCAATTCCACCCCTACTCTGGCCTCCGCTCCCTCCACTACCATCCATAGGGCACCCTTCAGGGCCCTTCCCTAGCCTACCGAACCTCCACCCTCTCTCTACCCTACCGCATCCCAGTGCCCAGTACAGATATGTGGATACGTATGACAACATGCTGTCCTCGATCCGAACATACCTCGCACAGAACACGGGGCCCCTCCTCCTCGAGCTCTCTCCCGACGATGTCACACCGTCACAAATCCCCATTCACAAGGCCTTCACCACCATATGTAGCTACAACTGGAAAATCGCCCCCCTCGCCTTCCCAACTATATTCGTCCCCGGTGCGCCGCGCAAATACGTCCCTCTGCCCCTCCCACAGCACTTCCCCTTGGACCAGGGAACATACTACATGAATGAGAATGCATACCGCGCCCCTCGACACCGGTATGAGCCGATGTTCCAGGCCATGGCTATCATGCAGCCGGACATGAGAATGAATGCGATTGACGTCGTCGTCGACAGAGGCTGTCTAAAGCCGCTGATGGAAGTGGCCGGGAAGAAGAATAGGAGAAAGCCGTTCTGCATCGCCGCGCAACGGATTCGGAATACCTTGTTTCTGCGCGTAGCTGGCGGGGGGAAGGACCTTGCGCATGGGAATGGGAGCAGGGGACATTCGTTTGAGAAGGCGTTTACCATGGCCTTCATGGGCATGGGAAGCGACGCATTGAGTCACTATAGGGTGCACGAGTATGACTTTGGCGGACTGAGAATGCTGGTCCGATGCGAGGTCGACGCATTTTATGAGCATCCGGATTATGAGTGCGCTCCTGAGACGGCGCCGTCTCCAGACCAGTACATGGGGCTAGAGGACGTTGGACTCAAAGGTCATGCGGATGCGACGAGAGTCACGATTCGCGGGAAAGACGTTGCGCCGCATAAGATGGCGGAGATCAAGTCTCGCGTCAAGGGCGGCGACACTGTACCGCGCGATGTGATTTCGCAGATGTGGCTAGGGAGGACTCCCTGGCTTATAAGGGGAAAGCACAAGGACGGCAAAGTGTCCGAGGTCACGGTCACGAATGAAGGGGGATATACATTTGATCGGTATGAGTTGGGTCAGCAGGATGTGTTGAGGAGGACAGCTGGGCTGTTGACGCTGCTGAGGGAGGTTGTCGGTGCGGCTCCTGGTCAGAAGGCGATGCTTGTGTGGCCGGTTGCGAAGGCGGAGTGTTTGGAGGTCAGAGAGATGATATCCGAGCCTGACATGATTCCAGGGGAGTTTGTGGAGCGGTTTTGGCTACATAGCTATGCGGACGATTAGACATGCTACACTGAGCATGGAGATAACAAAGCACGTCTTGCCACTTTAGTAGTTGTTCATGCCAAGACATGGAAATTTGCCGAACGCGGCAACTAGCAGAACGACACCTTTTTGAAAATTCCACGTGGGTCACTTCGACACTGTGAGAACATCAGTGCTGTACCCGGATTCAACATCTCCCCAATACACGCAAAAACCTCACGGAGTCGCTCAACATGGCCTCAAAGAAAACGGACGACCACTACTTGACGTTGTCCTGCCCTGATGCATCCGGCATCGTGCACGCCGTCACTGGACTGTTGGCTGCACAATCCCTCACAATCGTGGACTTGCAACAATTCTCAGACCCAGTATCCAACACGTTCTTCATGCGTGTCCATTTCGGATATGCCGCCGACCTGTCAGGATTGCACGCTTCCCTGTCCAAGCTTGCCGAAGACATGAAAATCGACTACGAGATCCGCCGCGTAGATGAGAAACCTAAGGTCCTCATCATGGTATCCAAGATTGGCCACTGCCTCAACGATCTCCTTTTCCGGGTCAAGAGCGGCCAATTGAAGATCACAGTCCCCGCGATCGTGTCGAACCACCCTGATTACAAGGATCTGGCGGCAAGCTACGGCATCCCATTCTACCACCTCCCCATCACAGCGGAAACCAAGGCGCAGCAGGAATCCCAAATCCTGGACCTCTGCAAGGAGCACAGCATTGATCTCATTGTTCTCGCACGTTATATGCAGGTCTTGTCACCCCACCTTTGCAGCGCAATGTCTGGGAAGATTATCAATATTCATCACTCTTTCTTACCCAGCTTCAAGGGCGCAAAACCATATCACCAGGCATATGAGCGTGGCGTCAAGATTATCGGGGCGACGGCACATTTCGTTACCAAGGATTTGGACGAGGGACCCATCATTGAGCAGAGGGTGGCGAGGGTCGATCACGGCATGACCCCGAAGGAGCTGGTGGAAGAGGGAAGCAATGTCGAGAGTCAGGTGCTTGCGGCAGCCGTCAAGTGGTGGAGTGAAAGGAGGGTCTTTTTGAACGGCGCGAAGACGGTAGTGTTCTAGGCGGAAAGAAGCGCGAATCGATCATTCACAACGTATATAGGATCAACTAGATGATGCGGAAGCACAGCAATATCGCAGAGATAAAAGTCAAATGGGTAAAGTACTTTAGCGTCTGGTCACCGTTTTCAATATCATTTCAAAGTGCATTCAGAGCCCACCGTCCTGCTCCCACTTCTTATAGAACCCATCAATCAGTCTGGCAATCTCCCTCGCATCTTCAATATCGACCCATCCATCCCCTTTCTCTTTCCCATCCGCAAACGCATACAATGGAACTTGCATGGCCGCCGCAATTGGGCCGATCTCGTCGTTTACATTCTCCCACTTCCACTCCACGTCTTCTGCCTCCTTGGAGCCACGTCGCCATACCTTGATCTTCGCTTCCTGCCCTGGACCCGCAAATTCGAGCCCCGGGGGGGACCCAGCGGTGAGCTGGATTTGCCCAGACTCAAGGGTAATGGTGAAGTTGGCGGTGGGTGTTCCCGGAAACGGTTGCCCCGAGCGGAAAACGTAGTGGAAAGAAGCACCCGGTACGACATATTGAGATGGCTGGAGGCGCGCTACAGGAAGGGGTTAGCAAGAAGCAAGGAGAGCGATTGCTAAGAGCTTACCGGTGAAGTGTAGGATATCCGGCGTGTCCCTGGTGACGGTCTTGATCGTCTTGCCCGTCGCTGGATCGACGAGTTTCACCTCCGGACGCCGAATCTGCATCTGCGAAGAAATGGACTCGGGAACCAGGTTACCCAACACGGAGAATATGTAATCGAGCGCTGAGATGACGGTCAGAAAACCCGCTGAGATTGTACAAAACCATGGCACCTACAGTGTCCCCCAAGGATAACAATGGGGTTTCCCCCGTACCTTTTCTCGGTGAAGTAGAACAGTTTCTCCGGCAACACTGTGGGATCCTCCTCCCCGTTGTAAAAACTAACATCCGCAGTCAACACCTTCCCCAGACTGCCCCCCTGAATCAGTTCCTTGAGTTTAAGCACAGGCGGCAGCCAGCGCCGCTGCAGTCCAATCCCCACGCGCGAACCAGACTTCCTCGCCGCTTCAACGAGCTCATCCGCATGCGCGAGATCCTGCGCGATAGGCCACTCGATGAAGACATCCTTGCCGGCACGGATGCTCGGCAGCACCGTCTCAAAGTGCTTGTCGACGCGCGTGTTGCAAATCACGACATCGATGTCTGGGTCGTTGGCGAGGTCTTCGGGAGTCCCGTACGCCTTTGTGTCGGGTGGGAGATTGTAGTGCTTGATGGCGGCTTGGGCGGCCTCCACGCTGCTGTTTTGCAGCGCCGTGATGGTGAATTTGGAGCGGCCTTGTTCGGTGAGGAGGTTGGGGAGGTGGGCGCGGGAGGCCCAGGAGGTGGCTGCTGTGGAGGAGAGGCCGATTAGGGCGGTGCGGAGGGGTTGGTGCTTGGGGGCCATGGTGGAGGGGGGGATTTTATGGATGGTATGTCACTTTTCTGGTTGGGTAGGTGTGCAATTGGATGGTGAAGTGGGTTGCTGCAATTTATATAGTGCTCATTGCGCTGCTTATAAGTCTTGTGAGTTCAAAAGTTGGATTTGTAATACGCAGGTTTACGCCCGAATGTCGACATTGACAGTGCCCAATGGCAGCACCGGAAGATTGGTAATACAGCTTACATTGCATCAAAGTAATGGTACTCGCGCGTAAACCTAGGAGTAATGATTGTGATGGTGGGAGAACTTCTCGGTTCTTTTTGCTGTCGCCTACCGGTTTACGGGCGATTGGCGAGTACTGCAAGATGGACGAACTTCTGCTCTATTGTAGAATTGGAAATCAATCGCTCCATTAAATTATCTAGGGAGGAACTGTGAGGGTTTACCTGAAAAATGCACCAACGACCATGTTTCTGGGTATGCTGCGTAAGGAATGTGTAGTAAAGTCATTAATCTGATGTTGAATTTGTAATCCTTGATCCACAGAGTGGCCATGCAATAATTGGCAAGTCCGCCCAATTGAATACTATTGTGTGGAGACGATTTCGGTTTTGGCTTTTCATCGTCTTTAAGTTTGATTTACTCTTGGTGCGATGACCGGCTCCATAGGTCGACTTCTTGACAATGCGTAGGCCTGTCTTAATTATCGCATAGCCGTTCTTATGCACCGTTCATGGTGTAAAAGTAACTCAACCCTTAGAGACTTTACGACTAAGAGTTCTTTTATGCTATCTGAGCTCATTAGTAAAACATAGCATCATCCTTTGCGTAGAGTGGTGTCGAGACGGAGGTTGATTGTCGTGGGAGAGTGAATGTGTTCCTCCGCGCTAACCTAGAAAGGCTTAGCAATCGACTAGTGCTCACTCCAAACCTCTACAGTGAAACATTTCGCACGAGAATGGGGTTCCCAAGGATTCACGGACGAGGAACTGGACTAATGCTCGGGATCGGTATTATATTTCCGTCAAGTAATTGTGAATACAGCTACAAACATCCCGAAATGATTCAAGCTCAATACAGAGCTGATTTGGTGCTAATGTCTCCGTCGATACAGTACTTATTCCATCGTCATGGAAAGTAGTATATACTTGTGCGTAAAGGAGCAATGGCAGTGACTTCCCATTAGTCTGCACTCGGCATATCAGCGTAGAATTCATCTTGTCACGGTTATTGCGCTTGCGAGCTGTTTATTTAGTACTATTATTGACAGTCATTCTTTATATAGAGAGCCCGTCAACAGAGCCTACTGTAGGACATAGGCAAGTGTTAGCAGCGAGACTCATCGCCAAGGGCAGTATCCATACATGCCAGTACAGGTCTACGAGGTATTTAACATAACTACCATAGCATATTCAAAGACGGTTAGGGTCGTAGAATGTGCAGTTCTCCCAGTCAGAAGCTCGATTTCCTCTGTACTCACTCAACGTCCCTCGAATTATTCGCAACGCTCCTTTGGCCGAAGTTGTTGCGGTAAGGATATTAACGCGGGTAAGTTGCCGTCCACTAACTAATACCTAGACTAAGCGCAAGTATATCCAAGTCGTCATGCTCTATGTCGCTCCACTAGGTCGTGAATGGGCTTAAAATGGGCATCTGCAGACGGTGCAGCTGATCACAACATGCACGCGAGCACAGCTGAAAGTCCGACGGAGTCGGCATATAAAATAAAATTGCCAATTCAAGATGGGAGTGCAGAAAGTCCGCAATGACCTTGTCAAAAAATTTACATAATCCATCTAAAGCCGGTATCGAGATCAAAAGATATTAACTGGAATCGTCGCACCCAACACAGAGTCCCACATCGATATTACCATCTTTGGTCACTGCAATCTGGGTCTCGTCATTTTCGTGGGCACACTGGAATATCGTGCGTTGTGTCGTTATTCTGCGGCGTCTCGCCAAACCAGAGCGACTTCTCTGGTGTCGCAAGTGCCTCCTCCATCACGCTTTGCGCCATGACAAACCCATTGACTTGATCTTTCGGGGGTCGCCACCCCTCCCTGAATGGAAGACGCTCTTGTTCTGGTAAACAGTCAGTTATCCGTATTTTTGCGAATACTAATCCATCACTCACCAAAGAGGATTCGGACAAACTCCCTTTTCGTCTTTCCGGTGCCATCGACCATTGTCTTCATGTACTTTATTGTCTCGGCGTAACTCGTGATTTGATGTTGGGATTCATACGTGAAGCCCGGGGTATTCTTACGAGACCACTGAACCATGGCGTAGCGGGCAGCAGCCGCTTGCTGAAGCGTAATGTAATCGGTGGTAAAGTGTTTGAAGAATCGAGCAAAAGTTGCTTTGTCGAACTTGGCAACACCCTTCTCGCCACTGAAGGCAAAGTCCACTCGGGACAAGGACGCATCATGCTCAAAAGCATTATGCTTGTTTAGATGTGGAAGATCAAATCTGCCAGTTGCAGCACCTTCAGGATTCGTGAGGAGACCAAGTTGTGAAACGATAGTGGCGAGCTCGGGACTCAGGTTGAAGGTTTGCGTCAAGGCATTGACGAGGTCAGGGACAGTGAGATTCCTTCCATCATGGTTTATAATGTGATGGTTGGCGAGGCTGTTCATAGCGGGGCAAGGCCCGCGAACATCATTCTTCCCCGGAGGAGCCCAGTTTTGAAAGTCTATAGCAGCGAGTGCCAGACTGCTCAAGCCTAGGCATGAGAAGAGGTATTTGAACATGATGACGGATTCAAATTAATGTATAAAGGGAGCGTGAGGGTATGTTGCGCCAGTGCCTTCAAAACACCTGGACCAGCACAGAGAGCTCATCTTATATCCTTGACACCTTTTCACACATCTTTCCAAGAGCAGCAATCTTTACATCCTGAAGTGGCGTATCTTTCAGTTGAACTTAGTTTAGGCGGCATGCTATCGTACTCGGTGAAGGTCAAAAACGCCGCGTGGAGTGAAGTGAGGGATGTCGCGGTGCGTATCGAAGCTTGTGCTTTTTCGTGGCGACCATCGAGCACCACGGAACTCAAAGAGTATCCGCCACCGTTTGTTGGAGGCGTAGACTAAGCAATAGTGAGACTAAGAGGAGTTGAAGCCGGTGCGAGCAATACGACGCTGGTGCCTGGGCAGAATTCTGTTGTATGAGAGGCCATCGAATTCCCCGAATTAGCTCGTGCTGCCCACGAGGTGGCCACGCGAGTTCGCCTCAGAGATTAGTCCAGATGGTAAAATTAGCGCGGATCCATGTCTCCTCGCACACGGACGGCGTCTGAGTCCCTTTGGCACATGTTGCGGACCTTACGAGAGTCGAAGCCATTTTTCGGTGTCTTGGAACTAAGTTTCCCAATACGAGGGATGCTGACGTCGTGGCGCTAGAGTGTATCCATTACGCTGTCGGCTATGAAACTGGCAAGGAATGGTGAAGGCCATCAATGTACGAATCAACCGACAGCCACGAGGCGCCGGCAGTGCATTGCGATGCCAGGACAACTGCATCTATTGAGGCTAGAAAGCCCGGAAAGGCTTTAGAAGCATGGGAGAAAAATCGATGGTTGAAATTGTGTCTATCAGCCACGGGCCGCGGACTATGAGGGTGAAATATGGTTAGGGTGGGATAAGAATGATATATGAACCAATACTAAGGTGATAGAGCCTTATCGCCCACCCGAATAACTTATCATCAAATTTATGCACACACCCAGATGAACTCATATGTTGTGTTACTAACCTTTGACGACCTCGACGAAATTAACTTCCTTTACTTCTCAAGGAACTCAGAAAGCGGAACTCTATTCAAAACATATATGAAATCTAATCATAACGCTCTGTACGGACTGCCACGACCCTGGAGTGGCGCTGGGCATACACTGATCTGTTGCAAACCTTGTGGCAATACTGCAGGAAGGGAACATGGAGATTGGACTGCAGCTCTAACTATTGTAGCCTGCGGTCCATGCAAAACAAGGGCGTGAGTCGATCGTGTGTAGTTTACATACCCAAACATCGCCGCACGGTCAGTCTGACGATGACAGGCACACAGGCCAACGCCCGCGAGCTCGTCAGTTAGCCACGGCCTAAGAATGCGGCAAGCGGAGCGTCCAACCGGACGAATTACTGTGCCCCCATAGCAGAGAAAATAATAAACCAAGTACTTAACCGAACTTTGCAGTGACAGAATGGCGGGCCCACGCTAGCGTACCCCTATCCACAGTCCCATTCCACAGCACCAAGAGAATAGTAATCAAGTACTTCCCCGACGTTTGCAGTCCGAAAATTGGCGGCCATGCAAGCATATCCCCCGTCCTCTTCCCGGATCTATTGATTTTATCCTAGTTGAGCCCTAAGATGAGTTTTTTTTTGGTGGCTGCAGGTAGCTGCGTCCCTCAAGGCCCGGCGTCGCCAGGGATGAAACCGTGTGAGCCTCAGAACACGGTGCCCTAGTCGAGATGCCTAGTGTAGCTCGATTTCCCAACAAGTACTCGTAAAGAATTCTCGAATAGAAGGGCCACTAAAACCGGCCAGAATGCGGGTTCCAGAAGTGCGCTTCAGAAGAGAATGAGGTGCTAGACGGTATTGGGCTGGGAAAGACGTGCAACTATTCATCTATGACATCCATACCTTATAACGCAGATGCCAGAGAGCTTGTGCATACAGTGTCAAAAGGTTCGCCGTCGTGATACAGGACGTTCGTTGGGGTGAGGTCGCGTATAACGGAGGAATTGACCATATCAGTGACACGGTGCTCCGCCTAGAAGGAAACAAAAACGGGACCGCCTTGACACTTCGGTGCTTTGCAATCCTCCCTGTCTCTGGGTCTAGTGGTGACCGTGTTGCATTCAACAATCTCATAGGCTGGGTCAAATCAGCGTACAGAACCAAGAGCTGCTGGTGTGCTGGGTAGTCGAAACGAGGAGGTGAGGATGAGGTTGAGTCTCAGTGATACGCCGTTCCACCGAGTCGCTTTCTCGGATACGAAATACGATTTGATATCGCCATGTGAGAGCCTTTCCCATGTGCCATTTTCCCGTCTTCAGGTAAGTTATGCAGCAGTGCATGCCTTCTTGGCTACAAGGTAGGTGCAGTTGTCTGGAGCCAAGGTTGCTGGTACCCTGAGTAGGCTAAGCCAAACGTGTATAATGAGGGTTCTGTCTACGGAGCTTCGGCGCTTAACGTCGTTATTCCACCGCGAATCTGGGCCCCAATTGCGCCATTCACAGATAAGATTCAACACTGATCCGTGCTTGCGGAGCTTACGCTCCGGACAGCAAGCGCCCGTGTACTCCGCAATCTATTGAATCTCGGCGGGAACTTGAGTGGGTTGCCCCAGGGTGCCAACGAGGTGTCGATGTGATTCTGGTACGACCTGGGGTGTAAAGGACCCTGCATCATACCGCGGCCTTCGCTAAAGTACACAATACGATCTGGAACATGCGAAAGCATGCTTGCCCTAAGGTAGCCAAGCACTCTGTGGCATTTTCTCCGTAATGCGAAACTTGCTGCAGTTCGTGCATGCATAGAACCAGCATTTATGGCGCTTCAGGCGGATGGAAAAAATGACAACAATGGAACTCTGATGTAACGGTGCTCTCGGACTCTGGAAAAGTCAAGCGACATAGCCGTGGTTTAGGGTATCATTTAGGAACCTGAACCAGCGGTGGTCCAGGGGTGGCGGCGTTGCTGACAACAGTCTACCGTATCCAGGCAGACCTGCCGATAAGGATACGGGTGTAATTCGTGGCTAATCCATGTCCTGTACAACATCGATAAGCTCCCGTAGCTCCCGTTGTGGACACCCGCCGTTCTTAAGCATGGGTAGAACAACACCCTGGGGCCGCCAGCCAGGCTGCTGATACCCACGCCGTATCCGACCGGCGGATCCTTCCAATCTAGCAGCTGTTGCTTTTCTACCTTGCCGAATCGAACCTAAGTCAAGGTTCATGGCAATGGATAAAAGTTACAGTTACGACAATTGCATCGGGATTCCTCTCCTAGTTGCTATTCATGGCCAGTGCTCTGGACGTACAAACTCTAAGTGCCAAAGGCTTCGCTTACCAGATATCTGCAGACCGGAAGGTCTAATTACAGCTAATTAGTAATTTTGTATGGCTTGGATAATGTAAGAGCAGTTTCAGGCACGTCAGAGCGATGCTAGACGACAGTGAATACGGAGTCGGTTCAGAATAACGCGGATGCAAGGCTTAACCTCTTCCTCGCACTCTGACTCTTAAGAATCTGAATTCGAGTACTCCAAAGCCGCTAACAGAAGCGCATCTCTCATACCCACAGCCACGGCAACGCTTTCTACACGATGTCTCCATGCAATAAGCGCGAAGAGGTAACGATCCCGATCCTTGCGACTGATATCAACAAGCACTGCAACCAGATAGCATCATGGCTGCAATCCACCTCCTACAGCTCTCCAAACTTTTCCGCATCCTCCCCTCCTGATATCTCTTCCATGCCCGGCTACGAAAACATTCGTGCTGGTCTCAATGACGCCGCCCTTGATCTCCTACGATTGGTCAATGGACCAAAAAACACGCTACGTGAATTGTTCTTCTCGCACTACGACCTAGCAGCATTGCAGGTTGCGCTAGACAAGAAGTTTTTTGATCATGTCCCTTTGCCAACCAGCCTCGAAAACAACGCTGCAAATGGAAGTTCTGGCAGCCACGCGACGGGAGCTTCGGACACTATCTCAGCGGCCGACTTAGCGGATGAAGCGGAGATGGATGAAGACAGAACAGCTCGAATTCTACGACTGTTGGCCACTCATCGCATATTTGAAGAAGTAGGGGAAGGTGAAACAGGCATTTTTCGTCACACTTCGCTCTCGGCTCTCCTCAAGCGAGATCAGGATTTCAATGCCACGGGCGACATGCAGTATGTATACTAATACAGGAAGATTTGTCGGCGCGACTGACGGAGGACACAGAATGGATGACATGTTAAGAGCGGCGTCCGAAACGTCGACCGTAGTCAGGAAATCGCCGTATGTTTCAGACACAACTCATTCGGCCTTCCACACACGGTTCGGCATGCCGATGTACAAGTATTACGAACTTCACCCGCAGAAGGGCACAAGGTTCGCCCAAGCAATGAGCAGTTGGAGCCAACGTAAGTCCTCAGTATTCGCTGTCACATATACGTGATTTGTTCCTGATATCGTTCTAGTTGATCGTCAAGTGAGCGAACTGCGTGAGAGCTTTTCTTGGGGAACTTTGAAGGACGGTACGGTTGTCGACATCGGTGGAGGGAGTGGACACATCTCCATCGCCCTTGCTAAGGTATGAGCTAGCCTGAGAACGTGACAGAAAAGAGGCAATTGGTAAAGCTAATACCCGCAGCAATTTTCCACCCTGAACTTCATTGTTCAAGACATCTCTCCTCACATGCTCTCCCAAGCCCGTGAGACCATAGCCGACGACTCCTCTCTATCTAGGCGTGTCACCTTTCAGCAACACGACTTTTTCGACGAGCAACCCATCACCTCCGCCGCTGCGTTCCTCCTCCGACAAGTGTTACACAATTACGCAGATGCGGGTTGCATTAAGATTCTTCGGGCTATAGTGCCAGCTCTCGAAAGGTGTGCGCCGGGAACTCCACTATTGATCAATGACGTGGTCCTTCCAGAGAGTGGCACGGTTACTCGGTACGAGGAACACCATCTCAGGCAGGTAGACTTCTGCATGATGGTTGCGCTTGGGGCAAAGCAGAGGAGCGAGAAGGAGTTCCTGAACCTGTTGAAAAGCGCAGACGACAGATTCGAGGTCAGAAGGGTGTGCAGAAATCCGCTCGGAGTAGGGTTGGTTGAGGTTGTATTGGGGATGCATTGTTAGGATGCTGCGAAATTGCTTTCATTTAGCTTCTTCTTCAGTCCTATGCCTTTTACAAAGACGAGCAGAATATATATGACTTCTTGAATCTGCTTTCCACACAAAAGCATTTATTTCACCGGTTCAAGTGCACCGCAAATCTATCGAGCCATTTGGGCCACTTCCGTCTTCATCGTTGCGAAACGCAACAATCTAACCAGGATAAGATCATAAATCAACTGTGGTGATTGTGACCTCAAGAGCGGTGGAAATATCACATGAAAAAAGGCACCATAGCGCAATATATATCAGAATTGATCAGCTTGAAGGCATGTATTCAGCTTCAAACTGTAGCAGCAATTATGGAAGCGTAGAACTATCAGGTGGTCATGAAGAGGCTGCATCATAAGTAGCCACTGTTTCCAGGAACTACGTTGTAAGCTCCCCCATCCTTGCCAAACATAGCCCTCAAGTCCGATACAACAGCTTCCGGATTTTCCCAAGCAGCGAAATGTCCGCCTTTCGCATGCTCCTTCTCGTACACAACCGGACCCAATGTATGATTCCAAAGCTTCGGCAACAGGAGGAGGTCTTTGGGAAACCTGGAAATTCCGACTGGCACTTCCGAGTATTCTTGAGCAGCAGCAAATATATTTGGATCCCTGTGTTCCATCGCATAGAAGATATAGTTGGTCGCGGCCGGCCCAGCCTTCGAGAAGTAGTAGATGCTGATCCATGTCAAGATCTCCTCATCGGTCCAGTTGTAATCGTCGACCCAATCATGAAACTTCTCGTAGATCCAAGCCAGAAGGCCGACAGGGCTATCAGCCATGAAGTAGGCGACTGTCTGAGGCCTGGTAGCTTGCTTGCGGAAATACCCATTACCCTCGGTGTTGAACCACTGAGTGCGGCCCAAACCAGCGAGCTCACTGGCCGTCAGAGGGGTTGACTGGCATTTAGCATGCAGTTCCGGATGAGAATCCTCCTTGGGTTCCGCAGGCGCGACATTGCTTAATAGATGGGCTTTGACATGCTCCGGCCCGTACTTGAGGGCCAGAAAGCGTGCAGTCAGATAGCCAAGGTCTCCTCCTTGTACAACTATTGCAAGTGAGCGAAGGCCATCTATCTGTATTATTCTACGCACCATACTCATTATAACCCAGGGCGAGCATGAGCTTGTGACAGGCTTCCGCGTGCTGATCAATATTGAAGTCCTTCTTCATACTCGGTGACGAGAATCCAAAGTCGATTAAGCTTGGTGCAACCACATGGAATGCTGGGAAATCCGTACCACCCTGAAGGAGTTGCGGTAGGATCTTGGTCACCTCTATGAAGCTTCCCGGCCAACCGTGTATGAACAGTAAAGGGATGGCATTCTTCACCCGGCTGGTTTGATAGACGAAATGGAGCTCATAATTGCCGAAGCCATCAATGGTGACGTCTGTTGTGTACTGTGCAAACTCGTTAAGTTTTCTCTCCACTTGACGCCAATTGAACTCGTCTTTCCAGTACTTGGTCAGCCTCTTTATATCGGTCAAAGGCGAACCTTGAGCCCAAGGTTCAATATCCTCAGTCTCGTGGGGGAAGTCGGTGAGAGCAAGCTTCTGCCTCAAACGATTGAGCTTCTCTTCCGGTACGGCAATCTGAAAAGGTTTGATTGGCGACATATTCTGGTTATTGTCAGGTTTATCGAGAGAGATGAATGTTTGGGTTGAGGCAAGATGGGAATCGACTGCGAAAAGAGGCACAGCTCATGCACAAGCGAGGCACAGCCAAGATGCGGTGCAACCCTGGCCCCCCAAAATATTAGGCTCAAGGAAACACAACATGAACCATGTGGAACATGAAGAATGCTCCGCGATCCAAGTCGGGGGATCGGCTTTGTCCCTGAGCGGTTACCTAAGCAGAGAATGAACAGAAGTCGTGATTGCGGGGCATACTCGGGTCCGCGCCCAGACGGTATACATCGGATGAGCTGTTATCCTGTTATCGAGGCGCAGCGGGATACGCATGGTATTTCGGCCCAAAGCCGGTGGATCAGTTAAGATGCAAGCCCTTGTATTGTGGCTGCCCCGTATATTTATGCACATGTACAGGGTGTCTACTTTAGCGAAGACTCAAGGAATAGATAGATATATCCACACAGCTGCAAATGACGCTTGGGCCTATGGCGAAGATAACTAATCACCTACATTCTATTTCCCTTGCCGCAGGAGCATGCCATGTTCCTTGTCAGCGGATAGCGCATTTCCAGGCCTTTCATTTTCATGTCAACTAGCCGGTGAAGATATCATATGCCACAGGTGGCCCCATGTTCCTGCACGAGTTGGGCATGGTATTGGCTGCAATAACAACAAGGCACACTTTATGTCCAGTGGGATACATTCAGCAACATCTAGTTGAAGGCCTTCACCCTGATACCCTTCGAGCCTTTCTGGGGAGCGGGAATGAACTGGTCACTCTCCATCTCCACATCCTTCAATCCCGTCTCGTAGAGGGTGAGAACTCCAACGTCATCGGCGCCCCTGACACCATTTTCACCTCCGCTTCCCCACAGCCTGAATATAGCGCTCAGAACGAGGTACAATTCGCCATATGCAAGATTGACTCCAAGACATTTGCGACTTCCTTGACAAAAACTGACGAGATACTTTTCGAGTCTCCGACCGTCAGTGTTGAGCCATCGCTCAGCGATGAACTTGTGACTGTCTGGGTAAATCTCCTCGTCATGATGAATCTGCACGGCGGTCTGGCCGAGTGGAGTCTTGGGTGGGATGACCCACTCCTTTCCTGTCTTTTTGTCCTTATAAACAATGGAGTTGTCAGGATCAATTCGTTGAAGACGCGTTGAGACCCCATAACTCAATCGTAGGCCCTCTTTGATGACGGCCGTAAGATAAGGCAGTCCCTCAAGAGTTGGCAGGGGAATCTTGCCAACATCGTCAGCGCTGGGCATGACGTTCAGGAGCTCCTCTTTGAGCTTGCGTAGGGTTTCCGGTTGCGACAATAACCAAAAGGTGATGAGTTCTAGAGTTGCGGCGGTTGTTAGCGTGCCCGCCATAACCATCATTTGTGCATCATCGGCAAGTCGATCGATTGTCTTCTCTTCCGGAGGCAACTTAGAGTCAAGAGCAGCATGAAAAATAGTGGGATGCTCCTTTCCGCGCCATTCCTCGTTGTCGCCCGCAATGATTTTTTCGACCTGCGCTCGGGAAGTGCGCTTTTGCTTTGCGAAAGAAGCCAGTGCTGGGTTCAGCGCTGCCACAACAGAATCTGGGAGCGCTTTAAAGACGTCATTAACCCAAGGCACATGCTTCATAATGTTGGCGGAGTTTGCGCCTGCCAGTGATGCATCGCGGGAGGAGGGATCAAAGTTTGGTGTTTCTGTGTTGATAGTTAGCCATTTTCAAACACTGCGGGATGCCAGAATACTGACCAAGTCGGTGATCATGACGCGCAAAAGAATAAGTGTTCGTCACATCTGTAGACTGTGTTAGGTTGTTCTTTGTCAAAGGGATAATCCTGCGGTACTTGCCGTTAGTCAATGCGGAGAACATGCAACTCGCATTCAGAACTTCGTCAGTATCCCTGAACTCTTTCATCCGATTGAGCATAACATCTATTCTCTCCTGGATCACGGGTTGAAGCCGTCGAACACTGGCCATACTAAAGTAAGGGAGAAGTGCGGAGCGCCTCTTCCTGTGGAGCTCATGTTCTACAGTTGCGAACACGCACAAATCCAAGCCCATGAATTTTGTGAAATATGGCCATTTGTCTGAGCGACGAGCTTGAGCGTAGCCCGCGTATACGGTATCATAGAAATCCTTAAAGGTTCAGGTTAGTATCAGAAGGAGCAATGGTTATCGCTCTGAGATCATGGCAGTATTCTTACTGGATCGGAGATGTGAATTTCCCAAGGTGAAATTCTGATTATAGGCCCGTACTGCTTGTGCAAGTCCATGATCTTGAATGTGTATTTTCCGGACAACCAAACATCGTAGTAGATCTCATACCTGCGCTGGTAAGTCCTTGTCACATGAAAACAAGAGTTTCACATTACAGTCTTGTTAAGGCCGCGAGCCGTGGGCCCGGTATATGGGCTATAGGGCTGAAATACAACCGCCAGATGGCTCCATAAAGGACATAACAGACGAAAAGCCACAGTGAAAGCAGAAGATAGTCCATGTTTTTACTATGAAGACTATTCGGACAATGTGAGGAACTTGAGAAGAAGTTGAATACAATGTTCGAATCTGAGAACTCGCAAGAGAAAGTGGGCCACGAGAGGTCGTCATCCTCATCCCCTAGTTGCAAACACTCAAGCCACCGAAAGCCGGCTAAGTCTAGATTGACTGTCCAGAGAGGTTCTTACGGAGTTCGTATGAGCCCAATAGAGTTCTACACGAGGCCATCCGCCAGAAGAAAAGAGCACCAAATTAGCTTTAGAGTCTATTGATGAGAAGTCGCTGACATCTAGACTTGTGGAGGGACCGCCCAGGCGGAACCGCTCGTATCCTTTCGTGTCACGGACACCGAGCGTAGCGCGAGACTGGAGCATGTCAAAAATGTGTATCTGCTGCATGGCGTTCTCACTCTGGGGCTAAGGTATTGTCAAAGTTCAAAGGATCCGAATGAATTACGGCAGCGGACTGTGGAGACCGCCGGATGCAGGGACTCTGCCTCCGTGCATTATGCATATGCAGGTCAGATAGATAAGGTTTCAACGTGCATTCCAGCTACCAGTCGGCAGACTAAATTCAATGCTACATATGCAAGACCCTGCAGTATCCGCTCTACCCAACTTTGCGACGGGCACCAGCGGGCTACCACCGCCGATGCGCGAACAGGGTGCATGGGCGTGCTTCGATGCTCCGCCATCTCATCACGTTCCACCTTCCACATTCCATGATGAGGATACTTGTTCTCACTTCGTGGCCTGCGGACAAGGGGGTTTGCTAACCGTGCCGTTCTGACTGGTAAATATGCCTAGAACACCAAGTTGCGAAGCCGAAAGGTGTGTATGGTATGACCATCAAGCACAGCTATTTCTTTCACCGCGGAGAACCATGTCACTGTTACGAATGACGACATTGGCTCGATCATATCAATGGCGCTGTATGTTAGATGAGCCGTACGTGTTTGCCCGCTTGTACTATTCATGATTTCCAATCAACGAAGCAGAAGGGCTCATTCAACCTTTCTCCCCTCAGAAACACAACCAGGAGACTTCTGTTTCGTGAAGCAAAAGATAAGCATGCATGCAATACTAATCTCGGTGATTTACGTTGAGTTATGTACACCTGCCGCGTGGCATAGCTTTGGTGTAACAACCCGCATCCTACCAACCGCAGGCCCATGGCAACCCCATGCCCCAATTTCCACTCGCCAAGGATGCCCGAGCTTATGGTGATAAGGTTCTGTCAATGAAACAATATGTTGAATGCCCAGAGCATATGCCTGTCATCAAACATCGCTTGTAGTTGCTGGGCACCCTCACATGGACCTCTATTAGCTCACTGACCCACCTTAGGGGAAGTTATGCTCTGTGCTGCTCTTGCGAGCCAAATCTACCCTTTCCTATACAAGATCGAAGAGTGTGTGGGATAGAAAGGGCCATTGCACCGTATCTCTCCAAGTACTCACAGTCCACCGGCTTGAGGTAGAGTGCATGTTCACGAACGATCCAACTCAACAAGGAGAAGTATGTTCCCCGTATTATCGTATATCGCATTTGTAGTCTCTTCAGGTAAGTTCTACGCGCGTCTCGTGTTGTATCCTATATCTCGGGCCAATTAGTCTCCCTGCTATTTTCATGCGAAGGCTGCTAGCCTGCATTCGGGGTATCTCTCGAGGTCTCATGTCCAAGTACCGAAGTCTCAGCCATTAAGTTTACTATGCATGAGTGCGGACGTAGATAGTTCTGCATACACAACCTGCGGTCATTCTTGGGCTCACACACGGAGTATCTCGTCAAAGGCCCTTGCCCGAAAGCAAGACGCAAATTTCTCACACGTATATGCAACTCCATCCTTGAGCTCTGGACCCTGCGTCAAGAACATATGCGCCAATTACCGTTCATTTTTCCGAAGTGAGCAATTGGTTGACTAGAAACGTTGATGAAAGACCGCAGTTCGCTAGCAGACTTGGTCGTGGAAGTAGACGCTCATGTAGATAGCAGAACACATGTGTTGCGCCATGTTCGAGCAAGCGCTGGGATAACAATTACTGGGACGTTTGCTCCAGCCGTATCCAAAGCGACCATGTTGTGCTCTAGGCGCAGCCGCGCCGGTGTGGGAATGACCGCGTGAGCGTAGTACTTGCCCGTGAAAGCGTAATGGGTTTCAACCATCCCAGAAAGGAGGTTGCAGAGTCTCTAGTGGCTACGATGGGAGCAGTATTTAAGTCGTGTCCCTTCCAACAGGAAGCACTTCATCAGGGCCCATTCAACACCCTTGAACTCGAACGGAAGATATTGACCATCCTTCAACATCGCCTCCACCTTCCGCACGAGCAGAGACTCATTTCGTTTATATACCTGCAAATATGGCATCTTTATCAGACCTTCCCTCAATCCTCCTCTTCGGTCCACAAACAGAGTTCCCTTCACAAGAATTGCTCGCAGATTTGCGTCGAGAACTCGTGTCAAATCCAAACTTGTCGTCCCTTCGCTCGGCGATCGATGACCTTCCCAGTTTCTGGGAGACGCTCATCGCTCACGACTCAAGCCTGGGCACTGTTCCGGGCCGAAAGTATCTCAGCGACCTCAAACATTGGGTTACTGCTGGGGAGTCTTTCTCACATCACTCAACGGCATCGGCACCTAATGTCTATGCTTTGCCGGTAACGGTGATACTCCAGGTAGCACAATATGTTCGCTATTTGGCTCACTTGGAAGCCAAGGATGCACATCAGCAACTCCTGGGAGCACTCCAGGGTGGTGGCATCCAGGGATTCTGTGTGGGCTTCCTCAGCGCTGCCGCAGTCTCGTCTTCTTCAACTGTGGAGGACTTGGGCTCAGCTGCTGCTGTTGCTTTGCATCTTGCTGTGGCCATTGGCGCATATGTTGACAAGGATGGCGCATTCTCGGAGAATCCAACCCAAAGCGCTGCCATCGCTGTGAGATGGCGAGAGGAAAACGCAACGGGGAAAGAAGAGATTTCTGAAATTATACAGGAATACTCTCAGGTATGAATCTGCTCCCAGAGAAAGAATATGAACAGTGAACTGATTGAAGATTATAGGCATATATCTCAAGCATCAACGACAGCTCCTGTTTGACTGTAACCGCCCACAGTAATGATATCCCGAGCTTGACCGAGAAATTCCAAGGTTATGGATGTCGTGTTAAACCCGTTCACGTACACGGTCGTTTCCACTCAGCCGTCCATGCTCCGGCAGTGGAAAAACTTAGCGGCTTTCTTTTCGATGACCGCTTACTGTTTGCCGACGTTGCCAAACTGCGTGCACCATTGCGATCCACAGTTAGCGGCAAGCTGATTAAAGATGGTTCGCTCTCGCGCCATGCGCTTGAAAATACCCTCCTCAAACCGGCGGACTGGTATACCGCCGTCCAGTCAGCCTTAGCAAATATTCCAGACCCCAAAGTTGTTGCCTTTGGTGGTTTCGGAAACCATATCCCTCCTTCTCTTGTGCAGTCTTCAAACCTCCGAATTCTGGCACTGGGCGATCTTCGAGGCCCAGGAACGAAAGGCCAAACCACAAGGGAATCGCTACCGGACATCTCAGAATATCCTTCCCACTCGATCGCCATTGTCGGCATGGCTGGCAGGTTCCCCGGTGCAGACTCCGTTGATGAACTATGGGAGCTGTTACTAGAGGGCAAAGTGATGGCCGAACCTGCACCCGTCGAGAAGCTGAAGCTCCCAACAACAGGCGACTACGCCAACACGAAATGGTGGGGAAACTTTCTACGAGACTCCGACGCTTTCGATCATCGCTTTTTCAAAAAGTCTTCTCGCGAAGCTGTCGCCTGGGACCCGCAGCAGCGCATCATGCTTGAAGTTGTCTACGAGGCATTGGAGAATGCCGGCTACTTCGGCGCATCGTCGACAAGCCAGCCCGATGACTATGGTTGCTATATCGGAGCAGTCATGAACAACTACTATGACAATGTGTCATGCCATCCCGCTACGGCCTACGCTACACTGGGAACATCGAGGTGTTTCCTCAGTGGTTGCATGAGCCACTACTTTGGTTGGACCGGCCCATCGTTGACCATTGACACGGCATGCTCATCATCCCTCGTCGCCATCAACACGGCATGCCGTGCGATATGGTCCGGAGAGTGTTCGCGCGCCATTGCAGGTGGCACGAATGTGATATGCAGTCCGTTCGACTACCTCAACCTGGGCGCAGCTGGCTTCCTGAGCCCTAGTGGACAATGCAAGCCCTTTGACGCCGGCGCCGATGGTTATTGCCGAGGAGAAGGTGTCGCGGCGGTGGTACTCAAGCCACTCTCCGATGCCATCAAAGAGAATGACAATATCTTGGGCGTCATCGTTGGCTCCGCAGCGAATCAGAACCACAACTTCAGTCACGTCACTGTACCTCATTCGGGCTCGCAGGTCAACCTGTACCAGAAGGTCATGAAGCTTGGTAATATAGAGCCTGGAGCAGTGACCTATGTTGAAGCCCACGGTACTGGGACTGGCGTTGGCGATCCCGTCGAGGTGCGCAGCATTCGCGAGGCATTCGGCGGCCCGGGCAGAGAGTCGATTCTCCACTTTGGCTCCATCAAGGGTAATATCGGGCATACGGAAGCAACTGCAGGTATCGCTGGCCTTGTTAAGGTCTTGATGATGATGCAGCACGGAAAAATACCGGCCCAAGCCAGCCACATATCGTGGAACCCGAAAATCCCGGCAGTGGAATGTGACAAGATGGCGCTTCCTCGTAGCGTGCTGCAGTGGGATTCACCAGGTTATCGGACGGCACTTGTAAATAGCTACGGTGCTGCTGGCAGCAACTCCGCTGTTATGCTGCGTGAGAAGCCCAAAAGATCGGTCAAGGGTACTCCCACGAAGCTGTCGAAGTACCCGTTGTTCATATCAGCGGGCTCCACGACCAGCCTATCCGCTTACTCGAAGAAACTCCTCGGTTGGCTGAAGCAGAGGAAATCGCAGGGAATCGAAACCTCAATCACGGACTTCACGTTCAACCTGGCTGATAGGGCCAATCATAGCTTGGCTCATCTCGTCGCCACAAGCGTAACGGACCTGACCGACCTTGAGACGAAGTTGGAGGCAACAGCTTCGGGAGCTGCCATTCTAGCCACACCGAACCCGGCACCTGTTGTCTTGGTCTTCGGAGGTCAAGAGAGCGACTTCATAGGGCTCTCAGAGGACGTCTACCGTTCCTCATCTTTGTTCCGCCAGCATCTCGATGACTGCAACGAGATTGCTCTGTCGCTCGGACTGGACAGCTTTTACCCCGCAATCTTTCAACAGAGTCCCGTTGCCAATCTCATAACGCTGCATACCGCTCTTTTTGCTGTCCAATATGCAGCAGCCAAAACATGGATGGGCAGTGGCCTCAAGATCGACGCTGTCATTGGGCACAGCTTTGGACAGCTCACTGCGTTTTGCATTTCTGGTGCTCTGTCTTTGTTCGACGCGATGAAGCTGGTCTCCGGGAGGGCATCCATCATGCTTACGCATTGGGGACCAGAGCCTGGTTCCATGGTCTTCTTGCAGGCTGATAGGCAAACCACTTCTGTTCTTCTAGCCGCGCTCAAGGCACAAGAACCAGAAGAGTATGCTGAGATTGCTTGCTACAATGGCCCAAAGAGCCATGTTGTAGTCGGCTCGTCCAAAGCGATCGATGCTCTGGAGAGATTGGCATCCTCACATACGGAGACTGTGCGCACCAAAAAGCTCAAGGTCACGCATGGATTCCATTCCAAGTTCACCGACAACCTACTCGGCCATCTCAGGGACTTGGCCAAAGAGCTAACTTGGAAGCGTCCGACTATCCATCTCGAGACCTGCGATGAGCTTTGGAGTGTCGTTGACCCAGACTCTGATATCGTTGCAAAGCATACAAGGCGACCTGTGTACTTCCAGCGCGCAGTGGAGAGGCTCACTCAAAAGTTCCCCCAAGCTACGTGGCTTGAGGCCGGCCGCGGTTCGTCTGTTATACAACTTGTTCGGGGTTCTGTTCCAGATGGCAGTGGCCACAACTTCCTTTCGCCGCAACTCACGACCACCAATGCGCAAGGCTCGCTTATAGACGTGACCATCGACTTGTGGAAAGCGGGTTTTGCGACACAATTCTGGCCGTTCCACAGGAATCAAAAACCCGATTACGAGTATCTCAGTCTGCCACCATACCAATTTGAAAAGACCCGCCACTGGCTTGGATTCCTGGGCAGGTCTGGGGAGCCTGAGAAGCCTTCCGAACCCGTAGAGCAACTACCAGAGACTCACGAATTGTTGAATTTCCTCACGTTCAAGGATAGCAGCAACAAGGAGGCGGTATTCCGCCTGGATCCGCACGCAGATCGCTTCAAGTCCATGCTGAACGGGCATGTTATGGCTGGCCAGACACTTGCGCCAGCATCGCTGTACTTTGAGGTGGTTGCTCGTGCAGCGCTATATCTTCAATCGGACAAGGAAGCCATCACATATGTTCCCACTGTCCATGATTTACTAATGAAATCTCCGATCGGTCAAGACACGTCAAAGGAGATCATCCTCACTCTTAAGCGTACGACCGAGGCAAGGCCATCCTGGTCCTTCTCAATCATGACACAGGAGCAATCGGCTGGCGGCACACCCATTGGGACACCATTCGAAGTCTCCAACGGAACAGTGCACTTGACGAGGCGCGATGATCCGCTCGCAGCTCAACGATTCCGTCGTTTCGAGACACTGACCGGACACAAGCGATATGAGGAGATTGTCAATCATCCAGATGCGGAGAAGATGCAGGGCAATCACATCTACCGCGCATTCAATCACATCGTACACTATGCTGAGAATTTCCGCGGCATCAAACAAGTGGCGTGCGTGCGCATGGAGGCGGCAGGTAAAGTGTGCATGTACCCAGATCCAAACGATCCGGCAGACCAGCGCTTGGTTGACACGCCCATGACCGACAGTTTCATGCAGTTCGCCGGCTTCCTGGTGAATTACTTCAACAATCCTAGCCTTGAAGAAGTCCTTGTCTGCATGAAGATTGAGCACATTGAAATCGGCGGCGACTTCTCACCAGACGCAAAAGAGTGGATTGTGTATTCCAACATGAGCGAAGGAGGCGAAACCGATGCCTCTTCGGACGCCTACGTCTTCGAAGCAGAGAGCAAGAAAATGGTGATGGCAGCCTTTGGCTTCCGCTTTTCCAAGATGTCGCAAGCGCTACTGGCCAGAATGTTGAAGAGTGTCAACCGAACCGGAGCTGCAGAGAAGCTCGAAAAGGCCCAGGCACACGCGAAAAACAAGCCGGTTATTGATATGCCCGACGTCGTTACTAGGGTGGTCTCTAAATCATCAAGCAAACGAATGGAGCTTCTTCAAGTCCTATCGAATGTGACGGATGTCCCGGTCGACGAGCTCACTAACGAGTCAATCCTCGACGAGCTTGGGATCGATTCTTTGATGGCCACAGAAGTGCTCAACGATATCCGTTCCGTTCTCGGTCTGACGATCGACCTGACAAGCTTCTTGTTTTTCGCCAACGTTGGCGCTCTAGTGGCTCATGTGGATGAACAGTTTGGCGTCGGAGGTGACGACAACACGGGGACAGCTATCAGCATAAAGAAACTGGCTATCAGCTCCAATGCTTCAGACTCCGGTATTGAAGCTGATCTCCCGACTCCACCCGAGCGACCAGAGCCATCGTATCCTGTCGTTGCGGAGGAGCCTCAGAAGCCGGCGGAGATCCCGACCATCACCTCCGCGTATGACGCTTTTCAAGGCACAAGATTCGGCTATGACAGTCGTGCAGCTGAGACTAAAGCTCTGAATTTCTGGTCTACGGTCTATCCCGATCAGAAACGACTGGTTCTCGCGTACATCGTTGAGGCATATGCAGCGCTCGGATGCGATGCCAGGAAGCTCCAAGCAGGAGATGTTGTCCCACAGATAACAGCCCTTCCCCGGCATAAGCAGCTCGTGGACCAGTTCTACCGTGCCTTGGAAGATGGGGAGCTCATCAGTAGATCCCGTAGCGGCTTCGTTCGAACTTCGGCGCACGTTGATCCCACTCCAGCTGAGGAGATTTACCAGAGCATCATCGATGTCTATCCGGAGCAGGCCACAGTTCACAAGCTGGTTCGCGCGGTCGGGTCAAAAATGGCGGACTGCCTAACCGGCGCTCAAGATGGACTGCAAATTGTTTTCGGCGACAAGGAAACGAAGCGCACGTTGGAAGAGATGTACGAATTCTTACCTCTCTTGCGAACGCCAACTCTGCTCCTCGGCGACTTCGTAGTGAAAGCGTTTAGTAATTCGACTGGCGGTGGGCCCTTCCGCATCCTGGAAATAGGTGCAGGGACTGGAGGAACGACCCGATACATTGTGAACCACCTAAGGCAACACAACATCCCCTTCGAATACACCTTCACCGACATCTCGTCGTCCCTAGTCGCTGCGGCACGTCGACAGTTCAAGGGTATCGATGGTATGTCGTTCGAACTGCTGGATATCGAGAAGCCACCAAAGCTGGAATACGAAAATGCCTTCCATCTCATTCTCGCGACAAACTGTATTCACGCAACACGTAATCTCAATACGTCCCTTTCGCACCTGCGAAAAATGTTGCGCCCCGACGGCGCCTTGACACTCGTCGAGATCACGCAGAACATGTTCTGGCTTGACATTGTTGTCGGTCTCTTTGAAGGATGGTGGCTTTTCGAGGATGGCCGCACCCATGCGCTGGTGAACGAGAAGCACTGGGAGAGAGTGATGAAAGCTGCTGGGTTTAAGGAAGTTCTCTGGACGGATGGCGCAGCGCCAGAGGCCAAGACTGTACGTGTCATCGGAGCGTTTCCTTCGACACCTGAGACATCTCTTCCCGTCGTAGCGAAAACTGCTGGAGTGAAGAGTGTAAAGGCAGCCCTTGAGACAGTCGTGTACAAGAGAATTGGAGACTTGGAGATCCATGCGGATATCTACTATCCGGTTGATCAAGAGCTACCACCCGGAAAGAGACCCGTGGGTAAGTGACTCTTCGGCGAACAAATACTTGCTATTCTGGAGGTCATATAGCTGACGTGCTCCAGCGTTGATGATCCATGGTGGCTCCCATGTTATTTTCTCCAGAAAGGATATCAGGCCCGCTCAAACCAGGCTCCTACTCGAGAAGGGTTTCATTCCCGTATCGCTGGATCACAGACTCTGTCCGGAGGTTAGCTTGTCAGAGGGGCCAATGGTGGACGTATGCGACGCTTTAGCATGGGCTCGCAACACGCTTCCCTCTCTGCCCCTTCAGCGACCCGGCCTTGAGATCGATGGCGACCGTGTTGTTGTGGTAGGATGGTCCAGTGGAGGGCAACTGGCAATGTCGCTGGCCTGGACGGCTCCTCAGCGCGGTATTCGTCCTCCCGAAGCAATTCTTGCCTTCTATTGCCCCACAAACTACGAAGATGAGTGGTGGACGCACCCGATCCAGCCCGTCGGCGCCGAAGATAAGGGAGACGAGTACGACGTCCTAGACGCCATACAGAACGGCCCGGTGAGTTTCTCTTCATAATTATCTACCCGAGGTCGTCTGTGCGAACTGACAAACCTTTCCAGATAACCAACTACGGCGTCGTCGGCGCATGGGCACCGCTCTCAGACTCGCGCATCAGCACCGATCCACGCTGCCGTATCGTCCTCCACATAAACTGGAAAGCCCAGACTTTGCCAATCATTGCCGGTGGGCTCCCCTCCAAGAAGGAAGCTGTCCCAGGTGTTAATTACAATGCTCTTCCACAACCGTCAAAGGAGCAGATTCAGCGCATTAGTCCCCGTGCCCAGATCGGACGTGGAAATTACAAGACCCCAACATTCATCATCCACGGCACATGCGATGAGCTTATCCCGTGGCAGCAGTCGCAGGGTACGTATGAAGCGCTCGTGGAGCAAGGTGTGGATGCAGAATTGGTTCTTGTGGAGGGCGCGCCGCATATAACGGACCTCAGCAGCGACCCGGATAGCGAGGGCTGGAAAGCGGTGCTGAGAGGATACGACTTTATCGAAGGTTACGTTCTGTAAACAAAACTGCGATATCATCGGAGGCGCTTTCGGAGGGTAAGCGCAGAGCTGGAGTGAATTATAAAGTAGAGAGGTTGGCAGGAAATAGACTCTGTGTGGTTGTGGAAGCCCGCCATGTTTTCAGGCATAGTAGCGTCCCCCTCAGGCCTTGAAAAGAGGGCATCGCGTTGGAAAGTAGACAATTCTTGTTCGCACATTCAGTTCACGGAGTGCGTTTGGTCAAAAACACCGGTCATGATGAATTGGTGTTATGTGGGATTCGAGGGCGTTCACATGTCCCCTAGCTTTGTAGACGGCTAGGAGATTCAAGGTTAAATCCAGCCCCAACCCCCCTTTTCGACTTCCCTACAGGACAACAAACTCTATGACTAGTCGCATTTACTACAATTTCTGTCAATAAGCGTACATGTACTGGGAAAGGTTAAAGCTAGCAGCGTCATTGCATCATATCGTTTCCCAGCTACCCAAAAAGATATATCAACCCCCCTCCTCTCCATCCTCTCCCCTCCATGCCCCTATATACACCCACTCTCAGCCTACCAAAGCTCACAAACCGGCTCCTTCCTCCCACACCCAAAACTCTCCCTAAACTCCCTCGAATTCGCCATCGTGCCCAAAATCCTCGCCCACTTGGGCGCATGCGGATCATTATAAATGCGATTTACCGCCGTCTCCTTGGTACTCTTCCCACACCACCAATTCGCATAACTGACAAAAAACAACTGGCTCTGCGAGAAGAACTCCAACCCGGGCAGATCCGCATTGGGCGCCTCCTCGGCGCGCCGTTTCCACGCGCCAAAGCCCGCCGCAACGCCGCCCGCATCGGCGATATTCTCGCCTAGCGTGAGGCGGCCATTGACGTGGAGCGGTCTACCGTCGGGCCCCTCAATGGAGAAATTCGCGTACTGTTCTATAAAGCACTCAGCTCGCTTCTCGAACTCCCTGACCGTCTTCTCCGTCCACCAATCCGTGTAGTTGCCGTTTTGATCGTAGTGGCGGCCCGTCGAGTCGAAGGCGTGGGAGAGCTCGTGCCCGGCCACGGACGCAAAGGCGCCGTAGCTGACGTACTCGGGGAGATTGACGTCGAAGACGGGGAACTGCATGATGCCTGCAGGGAACACGATTTCGTTGCCCGGCGGGTTGTAGTAGGCGTTTACCGTGGGGACCGTCATGTCCCACTTCTCGCGGTCGACGGGTTTGCCCAGCGCGCTCCACTCCTCCTTGACTTGGAATTGCCGCAGGGCGAGCGCATTGGCGAAGTACTCGTCCGAGGACACGGAGACGGACGAGTAGAATTCCCCGAGCGCGTGCGGGTCCATGATGTCGGGAGACTTGGTCGGATATCCGATCTTCTGGATGATGTTGTGCACTTTGTTGATGGCGGCGTCGATGACACTAGCCTCCATCCACTGCGTCTTCTTTAGCTTCTCGATGAAGAGAGCTTTGATGTCGCTGACGATGCGATCTCCGAATTCCTTCGCCTTGGCGCTGAATGCCTTCTCGACGAAGAAGCGGCTGAGGATCCAGCCGACCCCGTCGTCGACATGCGAGACGCAGGTGCGCCACCGCTCAGGGACGGAGTCGGGGGCTTTGCCGGCCAGTTCGTTGGAGAAGCGAGTGTAGGGAGTTAGGATGGGGGAGGAGATGTAGGTGTGCAATGATTGAACGGCTTTCCATAGGAAGTAGGTTTGGAGCGTGGATTTTTCGGTGTCGGAGAGGATGGAGGAGAGATTTTTCTGGTAGGAAGGAGTCATGACAATGACGCGCGGGATTTCGACATGGGGCGGCGAAAGGGAGAGGATTATGTGGGAGAGGTTGAGCTGAGGGGTCAGGGCTGAGGCCTCCGAGAGGGTCATGGGGTTGTAATATTTTGTTACGTCGTTGCGGTCTTCGGGGCTGGGGGAGACTGCAGCCAATTCTTTCTCAAAGGAAACAAGAGACTCGATTGTGGAGTTGGAGATCTCCTGGTCTGGAAACAATGCAGGGAGAACTTCTGAAATCACAGCCTGGTACCTTGCGAGGAGCTTCTCGTCGAGATAGCGCTCTTTTGCTGGAAGGCCGATGCGGTATGGAGCGGACACGGCGACAATCACGGTGTCAGGGTCGGTGTCATCCGCTCCGGTGCCAGGGGAGATCAAGGCAGATATGCCTTGCTGTGCCAGATAAAGAACAGTATCTCCAATGGAGGCGTGGTCATCTTCGGTAACGACACCACTCTTCTGGGTTACCGGAAACAGGCGAATCACTTCCCTCAAGATCTTGATGAGCGGAGCCGTGCCGGCTTTCTTGATCGTCTCCTCATCAAGGCAAGCATCGTACACAGCCTTCATTTTGTCAAAGTTCTTCTCATCTTCAGACTTATCCCCAGCCGAGAGTTGCATAGGCGAGAAGTATGAATGCCGTGAATCCTTGGGGTAGGGCGCTTCAAGAATATGTCTCAACAGCCTCTGCGAATTCTCAGACATGATGGTCCCAGTGAAGGCATCGCCCTGATCAGGTCGAAGATCATGGCGCTCTTTCCAACCTCCACACACGAGTTCCTCGAAGTCGGTGCAGGGATCTAGCTCTTTGTAGTTGGGCGAGAGATTGTATAAGATTTCTGAAGAGGCGTGGATGCAGGACGGTGTTAAACATGTGCGGTCCTTCACGACACCATATTTCTCGGGCAGTTGTCCATGGTTGAGATAGTGGAATCCGCCGCCGATGACGAGTAGGAGCCCGATTGCAAGTTGGCCGATACGACCAACACGCCGAAACACAGCATGGGATCGCCTGGAAGTTGGCCTCTCTAGAGTGGCCCCTAACTCCTCAAGTAGGGCTGTTTTCTCTGTTGGATCCTCGAAAGGCATGCTTATCAGTGATGGAGGGAGAGAGGGATGGTGTACTCTATACTCCGTAGACGTAAGTGATGGATGGTAGGCAACGGCTGACCAATCAAGTGTTCCCAGCCACATTTCCCAGCCACTTCCCCGCAAACTGCCCCAGTGGAACCTGAAACGTCACATCGACTCAGACTCCTGGTGCCCCTGGACTAACGCTCCTGATCATTAGTAAGCACATACAGTTTGCACTTGATTGGAATTCCTGTAGTCTCGAAGTGTACATATAAATCAATTCTATTGCTACACCCTTATAACCACCCAATGTACCCAGATACCAATATTGCGAAAAGAGCCCGTGAAAATCCTCAAGTCCTACTCGTGGCGCCGTAAGTTTTGTATTAGTTATCCCTCCAAAGCTTGCAATGACTCTAAGCCCTGCTAAGATTGGCGACCTCCTCCTGCTTCTGAAGGCCATACTTCTTCAGCCTGATGCTCTGGATGGCGATGAAGCCAGTGGTGTCCCATGGGCTGAAGTTGTCCAGGGTATCCATCGAAGCCTCCTCCTCGGAGTAGAGCTTCTCGGTCTCGCTCGAGCGGCCCAAGACGTATGCGTTGCCCTTGTAGAGCTTCATGCGGACCTCGCCGTTGACGCGGCGCTGGGAAAAGAGCAGGCTGTTCTCGACAAACTCGCGCTCGGGCGAGAAGTACATGCCGTTGTACAGCTGCAAACATTAGCAGGTGTCAAACCGACCGCATGCTTTATGTCCTTACCTGGTAGCTCCAGTGGTGGGTGACAAACTGATCACGGATGCTCCGAACCTGGGCGTCCATGACGAGACCCTCAAGATCAAGATGTGCGAGACGGAGGATGGTCATGGCGGGCGAGTCGTAGCAGCCACGGGACTTCAAGCCAATGAAGCGGTTCTCGACGATGTCGATCCTGCCGATTCCGTGGGTGTAGCCGAGTTTGTTTAACGCGACGAACAACTCGACAGAATCGGTATACGTCTTCTCGGGAGTGACGACCTTGGTAGGAATGCCCTTCTCGAAGTGAATGGTGATATCGGTGGGCTCGTTGGGCGCATTCAGGGGACTGTCAGTCATGGTCCACATGTCGTCAGGAGGAGAGACGTTGGGGTCTTCAAGAATGCCTGCATAAACGCATTAGCCGGGCTTCCCAACATCCCTCCGCTTAGGATCAGGACGTACCAGCCTCGTAAGAGCAGTGAGCCAGATTGGCGTCCATGCTCCACGGCTTCGCCTTGGTCGATGTGACCGGAATGCCGTGCTTGGCGGCATAGTCCAGCAGGTCCTGCCTGCCCTTGAACTTGTCGCAGAACTCGGGTAGCCTCCACGGCGCAATGACCTTGATGGAGGGCTGAAGAGTGTAGAAAGCCAGCTCGAAGCGGACCTGGTCGTTTCCTTTGCCAGTGCACCCGTGGGACACAAACTGGCAGTTCTCTTGCTGAGCAACCCGGATCTGGGCCCTGGCAATGACGGGCCTGGCCAAGCTTGTTCCGAGCAGGTAGCGGCCCTCATATGAAGCGTTGCACTGGATGGCGCGGAAGCAGAGCTCCTCGACGAATTCCCTGCGCAGATCAAGGATGACCATCTTTTGGGCGCCAATCTTCAGCGCCTTCTTCTCAACCTCCTATGCGTCCGGTAAGCACGTATTCTAGATGTGCCGAAGGCAAGGAACACCGTACATCCCAAGGCTCGTCCTGGCCAACGTTGGCAAGGAAGCAAACGACCTCGTAGCCTTCCTCTTTACAATGGGTCAGTCGAGGTAGAAGGAGGCGGGTAATGTGTCAGAACGGGTCGGCATACCAATGAGCCCTACAAGGGGTGAGTCGAGTGCGCATTATGGAGCAATGCTCAAAGAAACTCACATTTCAAGATGGTAGAAGTATCGAGACCGCCAGAATAGGCCAAACACACACGTCCCTTTGCCATATTGGAGTCAATTGATCGAGGAGGCGAATGCTGGAGTCGAGGCTGGTGGAGTAGAGTCAGAGCACTTGGAATCGGGGAGCAGAGGTTTGGGCTGGAGATAGCTTAGATAAAAAATATGGGGTGGTCCAAGCTCCACCTTCCGATGTTCGGCCGACGATGATTCGAAGATAGCCAAGGGCTGAGGAGTCATACAAGAAGGTTCGGAAAACCAGAATCATTTTTTGACGACATCAGGAACTGGAAGCCCCCACTACCATAAGAGAATATATGCCTGAGTACGCCTCCTATAACAACACCCGGGGTATCCAGCCAACCTCCACACAGAACAGAATGATGGAGATGGCGAAAACATCTACTCTGTCGAATAAACAGTGCCTTGAAGCATATGCCACCAGCTTAGAGCAATAACAGCTGCTCAAGCAAATCCACCACTGAAAGAACTCCTTTATCTATACGTATCCGAAACGCCTCGTGATGCGCAAGAAATGCCAACTATATACGAATAACGCAGCTCGATTGCGCGGCTGCGCCTACCTCAGAGGGCGCCACCTGCAACCTTCTCGCGTTCGTAGAAGACAATGTAAGCTTTCTCATTCTGCAGGCGATTGTGTGGCGGAAGAGCGCCAGGATCGAAGTCGGTAATCCTGTCGTCGTTGAACTGGCGCCAGCACCCACTTGCCTTGTCCTTTACATGGGCGACATAATGGCCGCTGCCCAAGGTATTCCCAATGTGCCATATGACCGCATAGGCATTATACTGGTAAGGACCATTCATGGCAGGCTCGCTCTTGAGAGCGGCCAGTTGATTTGCCCCATCTCTTGCGTTGGAAACGACGACGGCTTCTTCAGCCGGCGTCATTGGGGGTTCCATGAACGGGCCCAGATCCAGTCCGCGCAGAGGGAAGTTGATGGCGGTCCGCACTTTGTGTGCGCGCTCGGTGTGCGAGGCCTTGAACCGCTTGAAATGTATGACCAGAGACTCGGGGGCGCGGGTAATGGTGATCTTCTTCATCGCTTCGCGATTGGTCTTGCACCTGGGACACCGCCATTCCTCTTTCCCAGTCAGCTGCTCGTGAGCGCAGTAGGAACGAAGGCAGTCTCTGAGATCGGCAGGGCGATCGTGGGGTATTTCGACGCTGATGCTCCAAAACGCCTCATACGTCGTGCTTGTCGTACCGCATGCCATGCAGGTGAGCCTGGAGGCATGCTGCCCAGCGAAGAGCTGGCCAATTAAGGAGTTCTCCCTGTACACATATCGGCTCCATTCGATCATCGCAACATAGGGACGAGGAAGCGCTTCCCGCTTCATCTCCTCCGCCTCCGTAAGCGGCTTCAAGGGTGCCTTGTTCCACGTCATATTTAGGTCCTCGTGCAGATAGTCCAGAACGAATTCCAGGAATTCTTTCGCATCTTGTTGTTCATCGACGGCCCACTGGGCGTTGAAATGACCACAAACCCTGCGAAAGGTAGAAGGACGAAGGGCGCCAACATCGCCTTTGAACAGATTCGAGAGGAGGGTCGCAAAACTCTCTGAAAGGATGCCTTTTGTGCCCTTCCAATTCTCCCTTTGAAGATACTTTTCGTATCGACGTGTAAGGAAAATGTGGGCCAAGTCCGAGTTCCCACTCAGACATTGAACGACGGAATTCATATAACATGTTACGCCGAAGTTGAGTAGACCAGTCCGATGCAGCCGTATTTGGCCATGGCGGCTCGGCGATACGTATAGCTGGAGATCCGAAGGACGCGCCTGAGGAGTGTTTTGTCGCTCATGGACACCGCTGTAGCTTACACGGGAGACTGAGGGTGCCGGCCGTGAGGGCGCAACAGGAATTGGAGGAGGAGTATGTTGGGGAGGAGGAGGGGGCCGGCGCGGTGGATGGATCATAGACTGCCGCTCGGTCTCCACAGAAGGGAATCGCCGTAGGAAGTCTTCGGTGCTGTGATATAATGATCCGTCCAAATCATCCTCGATTTCTTCAGGCTCCGCAAATACCGCTCGCCCCTCGCGTACTTCAGCCAGCCACCTACGTTCTTCCTCGGGATCCATGAGCGTATAATCGCGCCGCTTTTGGAAATCAACCTTGCCCGCGTGACTATCCGCAGTCACACGGGTTATGCTGCGGGCAGGTTTCCTTCGTTTCGAGGCAACTATCGTAGCGGTTGACGAGACTTTCAAGCCTTGGGAGCCGAGCATATCTGTCCACGCCGCAATCCCGCCCATAAGAAAGATTGGGGGTCGTTTCAATGGCTTCTCGTTATTGAAGTCATCGAGCGCGTCGTGGAGACGCTTAAGCGCAATCTCCTGCTGTGACCTGTCATGCTTATGAAGGAATGCGCTCGTCTTGGTTCCAGCATCGTAGTAAACCACAAGATCGTACTGATCGCGGCGATCAAACATGGCTTGTTCTTCGTCCGGGGAGAGAACGAGGCGTTCTGCAAGCTGTTCCGCTGAGCACCCATCGTGGAGGGCTGGCGGCTCTACACAGATAATCGAGCCAACATAGATGTGGCCGGAGTCGAATTCTTCTCGAGGCCTAACATCGATGACCAGAATGTTGTACATTCTTATATAGTCATAGAACTTTTCCACGGGGATTTGATCTTCGGTTTGTCTGTTTACTGATGCCTTCCTTGCGGGTGGTGCGGACCCTGAATTGTCATTCGAGTGTGGGAGATAAGAACCAGAGTCGCCATTGGGCTGTGATAGCTGTGGCGCCGTACCCGAAGCCTGGAGAGAGTTGTTACGTCCGCCCGATCCGACAATGCTCCGCGCCGAACTCCTCGGTGGTTGTATACTCTCAGGGAGGGAAAGGTTCCGGGCTGGACTGTAAGTTGGACTCGGCTCCCTGGGCATTGATACTCCGAGATCCGTGTTCAATGGCAGCTTTGGTGGCATCCCGCGAGGCCCCATCGGTTTGGGAAAATAATGATCGGAAGCGGATGGCATCTTGACTGTGGCGTCAGCAAGATCTGCAGGAGCTGTATTCTTAGGTGTGAGTCCTCTAAGTTTGGCGAACCTCTCGGCTAAGTCATCACCAGAATTGGGGCCGTAGTCCGCCGACCCAGAGTTTTGGTGGAGACCCCTTCCATGTAGAGACTGAGGTTTCGGGTGCACTTGTGGTTTGGGGCCGTTGGCTCCCGTTGGTGCGGCAGGTGGGCCTTCTGGTAGCATCAATTCGTCGTCACGACGGTTGGACGGTCTTGGCTGGGACGGGTTCAGGTTGGCTCCGTCAATATACATTGAGGCAGCGGACGAAGGACGGGATGAATGCTTAGCACCATTGCGCATATTATCGTTGAGAATAATCTGCTTTATATTCTGAAACCGGGACTCGTGGGTACGGACGTCCTATAACTCCTCAGCAAGAGTGCCACGGCCATGCAATCCTAGAAAGAACAAGAGTATGCCATACCTTGACCAGATCTTGATAATCACGGTGCATCTGGCCCCTACTGAGGTGGACCTTGTCATAGTAAGTCTGATGCCTGGGTATGGCCTCCACGACGATCTGAAAGGCAACGAGATATTCCCAGTATGCTGCAGCCAGACTGTGACGAGTATCCAGCCTAAACAGAGCTGAGCGCAGCTTTAGCCTTGCCTCCTCAAGAAGGCGTCCGATCTGATCCACCATCAGTCTCTATCAGGAGGGAAGACACGCAAACTGCCATACCGTATGCTTTCTGAGGTCATTCACGGTCTCTTGCGCGGATGCCACGATCTCGGCCATGGGAGGAAACGAGCCTCCCGGCTTCTTCCCATCCGCCGCTGGAGCATCGCCATGACTGTCTCTTTGGCTTCCGCCGGCGGCATTGTATGAACCATTTGGGCGACCGGTCATGACGGTTCAAGACTAGGAACCGATTGCTACGGAAATGTGAGTGATGGTCATGGCTCGAGACTGCGCCGTCAAAAGTTGGAGGAGGGTCGAGGATCACGGTGGATCGCGGCGTCCGATGGCAGGAAGAGCGTGGGGAGATTGGGCGTTCGAGTCCTGAGGCGGCCAGGTGGTTAGGAGCGAGAGTATGCTTTCCGGTGTTTGTAGGGAAGCGCGAGGCGTAGGGAAGAACGACGTCTAGTGAAGGGATTGCACGAGGTCTCGAGTATGCGGATGGATATGTAAAACTGTACTGTAGTTGCAGACTTGTGGTGTTTCCTCGTCGTCGGTGGCTTGAATCTCCGCCCCGCGCTCGGCGGATCTCTCGGTGACGACGTGCCAAGCCATCCATGCTTCCAATCACCCCTTCCGCCGGAGTTGTTACCTAGCTATCCAGCACTCGCAGAGACAACACGCCATATACAGCACCTGGTTGCCTGCTACCCATAAATCGATTCATTTGGAATAGCTGGCTTATTACCTGTCTTCGTGAACCGGACCTGCGACGAGCTTGCCACCTCTCCTCCCTAAGGACGTCGCTCAACAAACGAATATGGCGGGATGGTTCGGATCCTCCAACAGCGCGTTCGATGAACAGGTCGAACGCGCCACTTCTTCAAGTTTGTAGGCGGACTCTCGGGCTCTGCTGTATATGCAGTATTGACTGACATCGTTCCAGAGAGGACATTGCCTTGAACCTTGAGATATCCGACTTGATCCGATCCAAGACTGTGCCGCCCAAAGATGCTATGCGTGCGCTCAAGAGGAGGATAGACAACAAGAACCCCAATGTGCAGCTGGGCGCACTGAACGTACGTGCCGGCGTCGTCCCCGTGGCCTTCCCTTCGCATGGCTGACTAGCTCCCTAGCTCACAGACACATGCATCAAGAACGGTGGCACCCACTTCATCACTGAGATTGCCTCACGAGAATTCATGGATAACCTGACCTCACACCTCAAAGCGCCGCCGTCCATAGCACCGAACCACGAAGTGAAGAACAGGATGCTGGGCCTCATCCAGTCCTGGGCAACCGCAGCAGAAGGCCGAAGTAACCTCTCATACATAAACGAGGTGTACCGTGATCTCCAGAGAGAAGGCTTCAACTTCCCGCCCAAGGAGCATGTCGCCAGTAGCATGCTGGACAGTAGCGCAGTAAGTCATGCTCATCGGCAGATTCGAAGGCAATCATGAGCTCACAGATGATACTGTAGCCTCCTGAATGGACCGATTCGGATGTATGCATGCGGTGCCGCACCCCATTTACCTTCACCAACCGGAAGCACCACTGTCGGAACTGCGGTAACGTCTTCTGCGGATCTTGTTCTAGCAAGAACCTTCCCCTTCCCCACCTCGGCATTCTGGATGCCGTTCGCGTCGACGATGGCTGCTACACGAGATTAACAACAAAGGCTAAACCGGTCCCCAGAGCATTCGATGCTGCCAAGCCTTCCTCAACTTTATACCAACGGTCCATGGAGCCTAGGAGTGCACGTGTAGAGTTCGATAACTTTGATGCAGATCTGAAAAAGGCGCTCGAGATGAGTCTGGAGGAAGCAAAAGCGCAGGCTGGATCCGGCTTCGTGTCGCAGAGTGACTTGAGACCGCCTGCGAAATCGTCCACTACCAATGGCACATCGAAACCATCGCGTGCGGAGCCTGAGGAGGAGGATGATCCCGATCTAAAAGCCGCAATTGCAGCTTCACTGGCGGATATGGAAGAGCAGAAGAAGAAACACGCGGCTGCTCTTCGGCAGCAAGCATCCGCTTCTAATGGAACTGTACTCGTTGCGCCAAAGAACGATTACGAACTGACGCCAGTCGAGGCGGAAAATATCAATCTGTTTGCCACGCTCGTGGACCGGCTACAACATCAGCCCCCGGGGACCATATTACGGGAGCCTCAGATCCAAGAGCTGTATGAAAGTATAGGCAAGCTTCGGCCCAAGCTTGCACGTACCTATGGGGAGACTATGAGCAAGCACGACACACTCCTTGATCTCCACGCCAAGCTATCCACAGTTGTCCGCTATTACGACCGCATGCTCGAAGAACGATTGTCATCCACATATGCACAACCTGCCCTGTATGGCTTGCCCCCTAGATTGCAGCAGCCATCCAATCTCTACCCCAGTATCCAACAAGGGCCACCAGATACGACACAAGCAGGAGAAAGCTTTTACACCGGCACCCCCGCTCCTTCCGACTCTTACGCAAGACCGCAGTCATACTACGGCTATGCGCCGCCATCGCAACAAACCCCAGCGTCATACGCACAGTACGACAAGCGCGCATCTGTCCCACCCCAATCCTACGCGCCGCCTCAGCAGCCCTCTCAACCGTATCCAAACCTGGCCCCATATAGCAGTCCAGCGCCTCAACAGCGCCCAGCGAGCACTACGTTCCAGCAAACACCATCGGCACCAGACGCTTCTCCGCAAATGCAACGTCGGGTTTCGAGTCAGCAGTATCCGTCTCAACCTTCGGCGCCGTATGCTCAGCCGCACGCGGTCCCACCGTCAACGGTGTCGGATCAAGAGAGCGGTGGTTATTACTATGAAGAACCGAGTTCAGCACAACCTACTGCCCCGCAGGTCCAGCGTACCCTGAGTTATGCCTCGCAGGCGTCGCAGCAACGGCAGTCGAGCAGCCCGGAGATGTATCGTCATGCGCAGCCAGTGCAGCAGGGCCCTGTGTCGCCGCCGCAGCAACAGGTGAATGCACAGCAGCCGCGTCAAGGATATCAGCAGCAGGAGCAGCCCTATTGGCAGCAACCACAGCAACAACAAGGGCTCGATTCTTCTCCGCAGGGACAAACGCCTCAATCCCAACCTCAACCTCAGCAGCAGCAGCACCAGCAACAACAACCTCAACAGCGATATCAACAGCAACAGCCTCCTTCTCAACAACAGTACTTTTCTCCCCCAGCTCAACCTCAACCCCAACCGCAGCAGGAACCGCAACAGCAATACCAACAACAACAACAACAACAACAACAACAACAACAACAACAACAACAACAACAACAACAACAACAACAACAACAACAACAACAACAACAACAACAACCGCAGCAGCCGCAGCCGCAACAGCAGCAGCCTCCTCCCCAGCAACAGTACTTCGCTCCCCAACCTCCACCTCAACAACAACAACAACTTCCCTCGGTGCCTACATCATGGGAACCCCAGCCCGGGACGTATCCAGCAGCAGATGGCTTCCCCAGCGCGCCGCAGCATCAACCGGTAGCGAAACAGCCGCAGCCGCAGCCGGTGGTGGATGAGCCGTTGATTGATTTGTAAAGAGAGGACCCGGGGGGAATGTATGTGTGGCGATTTTCTATTATTAAGGCGTCATTGTGGTATTCGGAGGCTGGGAGTATTAGAGATGGGAGCGGGGCAAGAATGAGGGAGATGGGAATGGAAGAGGGGGGAGTTGAGCATGTGGTGGGGAGGGAGACGAGGAGTTTCAACACCGTGGAGTTTTTTAAAGTGAAGTGAAATGACTGCTCCTTAGTTCCGTTTCACCTCATGGGGGGTTTTCGCCTGTTTTGTACTGTCTGTCTAAAGGGCGGGGAGGATATTTATTGTCAATGGCCTGATCCGCGGTAGGGGTACTTCTGTTGTAAGCACCATGTTCGAAGTAGGGTCGGGTAGGTGAGGCCAGAGCCACATTTGTACCTGCCATTCTCCCTCCTTTCATTCATCGTGGGCCATATGTAGTTGGTTGCATCACTCAAATACCAATAGAACATCTGAACTCGCATTGCTGCAATATCTCATTATACATCTGAAGCCAATATCTACTCACCCCCCTGCCTTCCTGCACTGGTCCTCACTCAGAAGACCAATCCGTCGACGCGTCCTCTCCGCCGAGAAATCCTTATATCGACAACACGTCCATATCCATGCCCGTTCCACGGCTTCCCATATCCATGCCCCTACATACTCCCAACAGCCGCACCTTGGATTCAGACTCCAGTCTATCCCATTTTATAAATATCCCAGACCGTGTTTGTAAGAACCCCAAAAGAACTCCGATGAAAGCATCAAAGGTCCCCCTCTCATGCCATACCACCACCAGCCCAAATGTAGGGGTATGCAAGATCAAGACTTGTCAGAATGATAGCCCCTGCCATCAAGATAACACGAAGTGATTGTAAAAGTAGAGGGTATACAGGCCTGCACCGGGACTCGCGCCCGGGGGCAATTTCGAAGCAGAAATATGCATGTTAAAAGGTTGTACAGATGAATGGCCAACGCACGTATAGAAGGTGATCGGAGAAATACATACACCGGAGGCGGATGCACAAGCTGCAGCAAAGGTGCTCCGAGGAGCGAGTGGTGGCTGAGGGCCTGTGGTGCAGCCACAGACACCCCATGCCACATACAGCCCATACGAGAGAAGCTGCATTGGGTGAGATATATGCTGCTTCGGTAACGAAACGATTGTGGGTGGCGTTGACCGAGGAGGTGGCCTACTTATGTTGCGCCTGACCCATTTGGGGGCAGACGGTCTGGTCAACGAAGGTAAGCAAGACCCTGATGCTTGAATGACCATGCGACGCGGTAACCTTCGGCATGCGAAGTTCAGCAGGAGGAGGAAGAGAAAATCCAGGCTGGAATCTCGCTCATACGAACTCGGGCCAGTAGTTGTACGGCATCAAGTTGGGACCTGTCCACTTTTCCCCGTACGGATTGGTACGAGTGCCTGCGAAGAAGCCGTCATGTGCATGCTCCAGAACCGAGATCCATGAAGAGGGTTCAGGATGTTTGAGCCACTGGATCCTTTGTTAGCGAGGGAAGGTATTCCAGCTGCGCATTGCAGGATACTTACTTGGTTGTGGATGTGATAAGTCCAGGCCCCGCGGAAGAAGTTCTCCAAGGTCCGGTTGTTGGGAGGGAACTTGTCCTCGGCCAGCACGTAATCCGCAACTACGCCAGCCTTGCGCAGCTCGACCTCCTCGTCGTAAGTCGCCTGGAACGACTCTGCGTGCTCAGGTTTCGGTGATGGTGCGGCTGCAGAGGCTGGCAGATTGTCTTGCGGTTCACCACCCCGCCTCGGCGAGGGTGCGGCTGCAGAGGCTACTGCACTTCCGTTGCGGAGATCACGAAGTTTCAGCTCACTCCACCGCGCCTCTTTCAGATCGATGGTTTCAAGCTGGGGTCCATCATAGCTCTCCCATTCATCCTTCAATGCCCCCTGCTTGCCCTTGAAGGCGGCACTATAGTCTCGAAGGCAGGGTACCGTGCAGCGACCTTCACGATCCCAGTTGAACTCTGTCCATATAGGATCGAATGCAGCCGTCTCCAGCATCAGGAACTCCTGGTCGCGTCCGTCTTTCCAGGCCATGCGTCCAAGAATTCTGGGATGGAAATTGAGTCCCATACGGATACCACCATATACCATGTACGAAGACAAAGAGGAGTTGGCCGTAAGCGCCATGATGGCAGTGTTGTAGTCGCCAGGATGAGGATGTGCAGCCCAGCGTTCGGCAAAGGCGTGTTCCTTGGGTAGCAATAGCGGGCGCATGTCTCGAAGCATCAGCACATCCATGTCGAAGTACACGCCGCCGTGGATGTGGAGAACCACGAATCGCATTGCATCCGAGACAGCCACTGGAAGGAACGTCATCTGTTTGGGAGTGAGGACGAGCCAATGCTGTCCATTGCGGTCTTCGACAATGTTATCTGCGACAGCGATTTCGCCGTTTGCATTGGGCTTCCCGGGCGTCGTGTAGTATCCGAATCCGTTACGATCTTCGGCATCTTTGGGCAGCGGGATTCGCGAAGGGAACTTCCAAGCCTTGAGGACGATGTCGCCGCGCTCAACGAGAGGAAGAAAACGAGCGAAGAGGGCATCTTTCGTGAGCATGTGCTGCACAGCGTTGGGGTCCCTGTCACTATCGAGCCAGATCCAGAGGCGTGAGCAAGCCAGATTCTGCGTGTACAGATAGCTCTTGACGAAGGCTTCAACTCGCCATGTCGCAGGCCCAGTCCAATAGACGTGATACGGGATTATAGGACCAGGGCAAGTTCCAATGTTGGTCCCGTTGGCAGGCACGGCTTCTTCCACAGAGACATATTTATGGAGGGTGTTGCCATGGCCGTCTGCGTTGACGTATTCAGCCCTTCGCGGGTCTTGTGCGCTCGCTCGCTCAGCAGGTTCGGGGAGCCGATAGTACTGTTTCTCCCCATTCGCTAAGAATTGAAGGCAATCGAACACGTTTCTCATCTTCTCGAGGCCAGTGTACGTTCCCCGGCATTCTTCCACGAGCCTATGTAGGTCTGCTTCCGTGTCGACATGCGGCCGGGGCCCCATGTAGTCGTCCTTGATCTTGACGGCGGTGACGGGACGATTGAAGACATTTGCGTGTGGGTTGATGGTGACGGTCTTGGAGGAGCTGGCGAACTTGACTTGGACGCCGGCCTTGGTGGTGCGTAGAAGTTCGGTGGGTCCGGCCTTGTCGAGGAAGGCGGGGATGCCGAGCTTGCCCTTTGCGGAGACACTGCAGTCGGTCACCAAGTTGATGAAGCCAAAAATGGCAACATAGAGCAGCGCTGCCAATGCCAGATTTTTCAACAGGGTCAGAAATGCCCTTGCCCGAGATGTGTCTGCCATGTCTGCTCTGCTACCAGCAACTGCAGCCCGAAAACCAGCGTGCTTGCAGTGTTCCCGTCTGGAAATCCAGGTTTACTATGCCCCGGCGGATCCGGACACCTATCTCGTGGAATTGACGAGACCGGAGAGCTACCGAATAGGCTCTTGCTGCTTTGGAACGGTTGGAGGGATGGTGGGGGGTTGCTTTGCGCGTAACGGACTTCAGGGCGTGAAATGGAGAGCAATCGATCAGGGTGACGTATCGAGGGGATGTCGATATTTCTACGTCGAGAGTGTGCCGCAGCGCTTGGAGGAGGCGGGAGTGTGTCGACAGCTGTCACAACCAAATGGGGGCGATGCTGCTTGCTGTATCCAAGGGGCGTGGGCGGCGATGGGGAAAGGGGCGGAAATGAAGTGTGGAGCAGCAGTTCGGGAGCAAGGTTGTTCAGTGAAGGGATCCTGGAGCAACGATGTCGTAGCCACGCCCATGCGGACACTTTGGAGGAAAGGATTAAGAAAGAGGAGGACAAGAAGAAGAGACGAAGAGAATCATTGGTAGGAGAGGGAGGAGGGGGAGGAGGGAGGCACACTCTTTTCCTAAAGTACATAAGGGCCAGGGGCCCGGAGCTGAGGTAAGGAGGTCGGGGTATTTGAAACGGGCCAATTAGAAATGAGTAATTTTGGAAAACCGGAGTTGGCTCCGCGCCATGCTACTCTTGGACAACGCCCAGGCGCGCCCCTTGGACCGTGCGTTGTCTTCTCCAAGGCTGGATATCTGCCGAGCCGCCAAGCATCTGGAAACCCGATGCACGCCTGCGAACAACAACGACGACAACGAGGACACAAACGCGACATTCACTCCTTCTGTCCTCGGTCCCAACTCTTCTCCTTTTACCTTTTATTACTTGCTGTCGTTCGTCGATGCTGCGGCGTCTTCTTTTCCTCCCACGCACTGCGCCCCATAGACGCCTCTTCTCAGCAGTAGCATCGCCACGTACCGAGCATGTCACGATTCCCTGTGGATCGAACGGCACCGTGACAGTGGAGTATGAATCCGTTTACTACATTATTATGCTCGTCGGTTCTGGCCTCCCATCTTCGCTAGACTCACCCACACTTCCCCATCCTTTCTTTATTCCCTACGCTCCTTTTGCCTGTAGCCGCACCTGGTACTAAACTCTCGCTAGCATCTTCCACGCTTCCCGTGCATCTCAATCTGCCCCTGTGCTCATCTACCTGCCTTCAGGACCCTTGCTTCCCGAGCATACTGCTGAAGAGGACCGCCTCGTGAAAGCTCTCGCAGCATCAAGCAGGTCGACCCTTGCTCGTATCAACTATCGTGCCACCACTGGCATCACCTGGCCCACTCCCCTTCATGATGTGCTTGCCGGCTACGACTGGATCATCCAGCATCTGCTTTCAGATGAATCTCAGGTCGCACGTCTAGGTGTTTGTGGGGAACTCCTGGGTGCCTCCCTAGCCACCAGCCTTGCCTTGACTGAATGTCGCTTGGGTGGGAGTCGAATCGTTGCTGCAGCTGCGAACAACCCCGTCGCGGATTGGGTCTTCGCCGACGACTTGCCCGTTGCTGAACCGTCCAACCTCCCAGAGCCGCGTGCCCCCGAAGAGACTGCGATCCCTGCTGACCAAGATACGATGACCTGGTGGGCTCAGCAAGAGGACAAGGACGAGAGAGAGACGCCAGCAAAGCCAGCAAGGCCGAAGAAGCGAGCATCTAAACCTCCGTCTGCGTGGTTGACCAATGCTGATAACCCAGTCATCCCAACCTTGACCTTGTCTGCACAACGAGATATCCTCTTTGGCAACCCTCAGCACATGTTTGATCGCTTCGCTTCTCCCATTCATTTCTTCCGCTCACCTCACGGCGAGTTGATATATCCAAAGGACGACGATGGATTTGCATCACTCGACCCTCTTGACATCGAGGATCGGCTTGACATCAATCATTACGAGTCCCGCCAGGACATGGAACGGGATCGCGCCCCCCTTATGCCCGTCCTGAGAAGATGTCGGGCGTACGCCCGCATCTACCCTCCTGCTAATATGCTCCTGTCGCTTCCTCAGTGGCACATCACCACCGGGTTGAACAGTCCTCTTCTGGATCAAGCTTCGGAGCTTGCGAAGATGCTCAAGAGGAGTATTGCAAGACGGCAGCTGCGCACCAAGACTGCCAGGATCATGTGGCAGGACCCGGTTGAGAAGGCCAAGTACGAAGCTTGGGCGGACCAACGGGTGGGGTTGAGCACATCAGAAGGAGTTGGTCTATGGACTGTGTCAGATAGTCCTTCCTGGCAGGATGGCGTCGAAAGTCTTGGCAGATGGATGGAGGAGTGTCTGACATCGAAGCCGGCATGATCTCGCTGATCTGACAGGATTTACTATACAGAGGGCCAGTACCAGGACGACTATACGCCCGTCTTCCACCGTATACCGTGCTCGTCATAGAGACCGCCAACCGCCCTGCTTAGCTCGTCTTCCATGAACACATCGATAAATCCAGCATCCCGCGCTTCTTGGTACACAAACTCGTCAAGCCTCACCGGCGTGTGATCTAGAGCCTCCACACGCACCACCACAAACGGTCTGCTCACTAGCAATGGGACGGCCTCTCCAGGTTCTTCCGACATGAAATCTTCCAAAGTCACCGCCCTGTCGATCCCTCCATGCCTCCCAATTACTCTGTCTTTTCGCACCAATCTTCCCTCTTTGAGCACCCGATCCTGCATAAACGGCAACAACAAACCGAATCGCGATAAGGCTCCCGCCTCGAGGTACTCATCGCTCGCCTTCATGGGCGAGTACCTCGAATGCGAATACCAGCCACCACTCCTGTGGTACGACACCGTCACGGCATACTCGTCCTGCGCCAACAGGTTCGTCAAAAACGCCTTCTTAAACGCATGGAACGGCGCAACGGGATACGGCATGACAAACACAAAGAACCCCCTTCCTTTACTCTGAGCATATGTGGGTAACAAAACGTCCCACCACGTGTCGCTTCTCCCTCTTTTTAGATAGGTCTGCAGGCCCCCTTCTGAAATCTCGATGGGGATTACTCCGCCCCTCATCAGCCTCTTCAGGAACCGTTTCTCGGGCCATCGATCGCGAAGACTGCCGGCGTCCCACGGACCCCATGATATCCGCCGGTATACGTATTGCTCCACCAACCCGAGCAGCTGCGCGTGCGTAGTCGCTGAAGCCCAGACGGGCCGTAGGGCGGTTTCGTCCTCAGTGGTTTGGTGGCTTTTTTCGTTGAGGAGGTTGGATTGGTGGCTTAACCAGAGGAGGATGAAGGGAACCAGGAGGACGAAGAGGAGGCAGTATGCGTCGCATTTGTTTAGGTCGAGGGGTCCCGCGGTGAAGAGAGGGGGGCAATTGTGAGCGTTCGAGGGAGAACTGGGAGTGGGAGTTGTGTCTAAGGTGATGTGGATCGTTGTGGGCGGGCTCATCTTGCCTTTTTGAGAAGGGAAAGGTTGGGCCGAAAAAGGCGGTTCTGTGCTGGATGGACGCAGAGGGATGGTGAGGGTGCGTAGGGCGTGGAAGAAGTAGGGGGTTACTTTCTGCAGAAAGGATGTGACCAGGTTACCGGAAATTCTGTGCGGAGAGGATGAGGAGAAGGGATGGCCTACGAAGGCATGATGTATTTTCGTCAAGGGAGGAGACAAACCAAGGACACGGTTTGTTTTGTTGCACTCCCTGTGTGTGTCTAGCTAGAAGCGGAAGATGGACAAAGAGGATTGTGGTGTCGTTGCCAACTCCGGCGTTGGGTTGGATGGCGATGCTTTGTTTGTGGAGGTCAAAGAGAGCTGCACCGTCGTGGAGATATTGACGGTACACGTGGGGAGGTAGTCTTGGCTACTCATGGGGCCCAAAACGCTCCGCATAAATCCTACTGTTACCACATAAACGTCGTTCAAGGATAGCGTACTACCGATCAGAAAGTCAGTCCCGTCTTGTTAGGCTACTTTGGGATAATGAATCGCAGAATGCCGGAAAGATGCCTACTACCAGCTGCAGCGCCGAGTCACACAGCAAGCACAGCTATATTATAACCCCTGCTTTTTGAGTAGTCCGTAGGACGTTTATTCATCGTTGGTCATGTGTATGATATGATTGCTCTGGGGAAGTGCCGATTGGCAGAGGAGGATCAGGGCACAGAAAACCATTCGCATGCGATTATTACCAAATGTGACCTAGCGCCAGAAGTGGGTCTACCGCCATGCGGGGGATTGGTCCTTGCCCAAGTGCATTCCCCACTCTTAGAGAAGCCGAGGTCCAATTCTATGCTCGGCCCTCCCATTCGCTGACGCCTTCCATCACAGTTCTACCCAGTATAAGTTAAAACGACTCGAGTCCCTCCCTTGAGACCTCCATTCCTCCACCTCTGAGCCCAGCAGCCCGAGGTCTCGCAGCCATCATGGCAGACCTATTGCAATACCAGCCCTTCAGAGGCCTCTACGCCCTCACAGCCCTCGGGTTCGAGCTGGCCCGCATCCCCCTCTGGATCCTCAAATACATCCTCCCCTACGGCCGTCAACACCCGAAATGGAGCTTCCGCCAGGCCCTCAGCGTGCGCCTTTTCCTCTCCGCCGTACACCACATAGCGCGTCTCCGCATCAAGACTCCGCTCCCCTTAACCCCGGGCGCCGAAAAAGAGCGCTTCGTCGTCCTCAAACCCGCCGCAGGGAAATACTTCACCGGCCCATTCGCGCCGACCGAGCACGTCAAACCCATCCCCATAGGCGCAAGCTGGTATCCCGCGCCCCTAACCCCCTCCTCCAACACGTCCGCCATCCTGGTAATCCTCCACCTCCACGGCGGCGCCTTCGTCATCGGCGACGGCCGCACCAAAGCCTCTGGCTACTTCGCCCGCAAACTCCTCAACCACACGCCCGCAACCCACGTCCTGGCGCCGCAATACCGCCTCTCGACGCTGCCGGCCTCACCCACTTCCAACCCCTTCCCCGCCGCCCTGCAAGACTGCCTCTCCGCCTACCTCCACCTCCTCAACGACCTGCACATCCCCGCTAGCCGCATCATCCTGTCCGGCGACTCGGCCGGCGCAAACGCAGCCATCTCCCTCTTGAGATACATATCCCAATTCGGCGCCGAGCTCGATATCCCTGCGCCCAGGGCAGCGTTGCTCTGGTCCCCTTGGATTTCGCCGGCGGACAGCATCCATCGCTCCAAACTCGAAAGCAACAGGAATTACGGCACCGATTACCTCCCCTACTCGTTTACCTCGTGGGGCGGTCTCGCGTACGCGGGTGCTGCGGGGCCCAAGGTGCTGGAGAGCGAGTACGTTTCGCACAAGGGGAGGCCGTTTCGGACGAGCGTGCCCGTGTGGGTGAATACGGGGAGTGCTGAGGTGTTGTTCTTCGATGATGTCGAGTGGGTGGAGAGTATGAGGGGGGTGGTGGGGAACGAGGTGGTGCTGGATGTCGAGGAGACGGCCGTGCATGATGTTTGTCTTGTGGGCGGGCAGTTGGGGTTTGATGCCGAGGCGACGGCTTGTGCGAGGAGGGCGGGGGAGTGGGTGAGGGGGTTGGGGGTGGGTGGAGAGGGAATGAATTAGCGGATTGGATTTGGGGTGAGGGAGGGATGGATAGAGAGGGGACGAGGATATACCCATGTGGTTGAGTTCATTGTATACATAGGTACCTGAGAATAGAAGCTTGAGTGGCTTGGTGAGTGATCGATGGTTTTGCCGACGGACACCCCAGGACCATAAGGGTTCATCCGCATCATCGATACTCTAATACCCAGCCCTCACTGATAGGTCCCTGCCCACCGTTGCGCGGATAGTAAGCCTTGGAGACCTAGAAACACATACATGAACTTTCACCATGAACGGCTGGGTTTACACATGCCCAAATGGTGCTAGGTCAGAGCTAGAGCTAGTAGATGGCGCGCAGGAAGAGAGAGATTCCGAACCAATAATGACGACAGACAGTGCCGAGGTAGAAGGCCTGGGGAATCCAAGCTCTCGAATTCTATGTAAATGTTCTATAGTATGCACCAGCTGTATTGTCTCAGACTAGCGTACCCGACGATGACATACGGGCGCACGCACCGTAGAGGAGAAACAAATGGTAAAGCACATCTATCACCAAGGACAAGTGAGAATCCTCCAATGGAATAATCATGTAGGCGCATATGGGCATGACTCCAATCGACAACGTCTATTCCCTTCCCTCCTAAATCTATGGTTCTTGGCATGCAAAAATGCAATGCAAAAACCAGACGAAATCTATCTCTTGGGCTTTTACGGCTTCATATAAGTTGAGCCTCCAGGGCCTCGGACAACCAGCCTCGGTGCCAAAAAAAACGCTCATCTATGCAAAACAAGGGTCGGGACAAGCATGTGAGGTTCCTCCGTCCCCATCAGCCGCTTCAAGCGCCGTTCTTTTCGAACTCGACGCCCTTCTCGTGCAGGAGTTCTTCGATATGCGGATTCAGCCAGTACTCGGCCAGTACTTTGGCAGGCATGTCTTTGGCGCCGGAGATTCTGCCCCGGCACTCGGGCTGCTTGCACAGGCAGTCGAACGGTTGCGCCATGTCCCACTCGGTGCTGGGGTAGAAGAAGGTGAGTTCGTCGCCGGCGCGAAGGCCCTCCTTCAGGTCCGGGTTGACGCGGACTTCCCAGCGGGGCATGTCGAAGATGAGGGTGGGGCGGCACGAGTGGTTGATGTAGACGAGGTCGTTGTTGAGCTCGATGTGCAGGGAGCGGGTGGCCTGGACCGAGGAATAGGCGCAGAGGGCCCGAGTGGGCGAGGTGATGCGCGCGAAGATGGCGCCGGCGGGGAGGTCGACGAGGGAGAGGGAGCGCGCGGCGAAGTTGCCTGGGCAATGCTCAACGCGCATGAGGCGCGAGAGGTCGGGCTTGACCCAGGCGGGGATGGAGTCTGCTTCCTTGGCTAGGGAGGAGGAAGAGGAGATTGACGTGCTCGATGTCTTCTCCCCGTTGGACGGGGCGGGAGCGGTGTTGGAGATGGCTGCTGGTGACATGGTGAAGAGTAGTAGGGGAGGAGTGGAGTGATGACGGGTTTCTGTGGGAGACGATGAAAGGTGTCCAGCACAATCATAAACACGTGCCTGGCTAAGGGCGATCACGGCAATTGGGTGTCAAACGTTAGCCTCATGTCCAAGTAGCGGCATGGGACGTTGCTGTCAAGCCGTGATCCATGTTCCCGAAGGCATTCGGCTTCAGATGGGACCATTGGGAGATCAGTGGAACAATCTATACCTGGGAGGAACCGAGGTGATACCCTATGAGCTCGGCAGTGTATATGCAAAGCAGCCATGATTGCCAAAAGGATTGCGTAATTGAGAGCTTTAGGAGGGCTGGAGGTGAGATGGAGTGGGGACAGAGACGGAGAGAATCGCCCCAGCTGGTCCGTGGTGGGGGGAAAGGGTGAACAGAACGGACCTTGCAATTGGCGGGGTACCTGAAATTTTACGCTAGCCGATTATAGACTTAGCGCTACTCCTTCATCGACAAAGACGACCTCCGACCTCAACTCTCGCAGGCCTGCATCTGCCTCCTGGACATTATCTCCATAATGGTTCGGATTCTGTTCAAACAGCTAATCGAGAAGCTGGGCATTTCGACCATTCTGAGGCGTCGACGGTATCGCAAGATGCATTCACATGCACCACCGTAACGCACAACGCCCCGCCCATTTTCTTCCCAAAGAATCAATATAATACTGAAGCACAAACCGCTCTGTACCTTTGAGTTTTCCCCCTTTCTCCCCTACCCTCAGCTAACCCTACCAAACTCACTGCTCAGTTCCACAAGCCCTTCAAACCCACCATCCTCCCTCACACCTCTCCCAACCACCAACTAGCCTACACCTAACACCCCACCTCCCTCCCCAACCTCCTAACCACCTCCTCCGTACTCACCACATCCCCGTACCCAAACCCATACCCCCGCAGCGCAGCCTCATGCTGTCTCTGATCCACGCTCGCACACGCATCTTCAACGAGCCACGTCTCGAACCCGCGATTGAATGCACTGCGGGCAGTAGTATCGCAGCAGCAATCCGTCAGGACGCCGCAGACGATGACTCTCTCGACGGCCGCGGTGCGGAGCCGGGATTCTAGAGACGGTGGGGCTGGCGGAGACGAAGAGGAGGAAGCGGCGTTGGAAGTGGAGAGCTCCGGGCCGGTGATGCCTAGGAAGGCGTCGTATGTGTTTTTGGGGATGACGGAGGGGTGTGTATGGGAGGAGGAGGCGTTGTCGTAGAGGGCGCGGATGGAGGGGAGGAGGTGCCACGCGGGGGAGCCGCGGTGGATGCTGCCTTCGATGCCCCATTTCTTTACCAGTTGGTTGGTGATGGGGGATTCAAAGTCGGAGGGTGGGTGGCCGTGTTGGGTGAAGTGTTGGGGGAGGTAGTGGGTGGTGAAGTGGTCGGAGAGGGTGGATATATCTGGGGCGGGTTAGGAGGGAGATGTTAGCGAGGGAGACGGAGGGGGAGTACGAGTGTGTTTGAGGTAAGTAAGGAAAGGCATATGTTTCGAAACGGGGATAAAGTTAAACGTAGGAGAGGGCCGTCGGTAGTATCTAACTCGAGTGCTTGTTCCATCTTGCATGTCTTCGAGAAGGAGTACAGGGAACGGAAGACGGATCTGAGAGCGGAAAGAGGAAACATACTCTTCATGATAGGCATGCCCATTTCCCGAAAATGCTCCTGCATATCGATGACCAGCAGTGCGGTTTTCATCTTCAAACCTTATACACCGGTTGCTCTTCAGGGTCGTGCTATAGACTATATTTTTTGGGCTTCTTCAGTGCGGAGCCCTTTCACAGTTGAACGCAAGGAGATAACGGCAGATCCTGGTCCAGGCAGTCTGGATATGTGGGAATTGGAAGCACAGTAGTTGGGGGAAGGCCCGGGGGATCATTCGGGCCTGAGAGCAGTGTAAGTTGGACGCTAACCATGACGTAGAGCGTAGATCGAGCGCTAACCCTCTATGGAAATTCAATATCTTCGCGCCACAACAATTCGATGAATTAAACATAGCAACCTAGCTCACAAGTTATATCCCGTTGAATCAACGGTAAGTGCGACAACAGAATTATTCAAGAGGTTATAGTAGGAACATCACCTAGCTTGGACAAAACATCACGGTAGAAACATCACGGATAGACTGATTGGCAAGGTTGGAAGGGTACCTTGGAATTCCGGATCTTAGGCAGAGGTACATAGGCATGATCTAACCAATTGATTCCATTTCAAGGCCTTCCCATGAACACATATGGTGAGCGGTCTGCGCCAGCACGACAAATGGAGGCTCATTGTTCGAGACCACAATAGCGACAGCCTCTGCGCGAGCGAGACGATCGATCCCATATTCCAGTCACAAGCATGTGATGTACAAGCCAGTGATTCCCCGCGATGTCGACGAGAAAGGCTAAACGTTTCCGACAGCTCAGAAAACCGTCAACGACGACAGCGGGCGCTTTACATAAACGGTATGTGCGTGAACATCCAGAACACTTGCGTCCCAATACCCAAGCCCATCAATTGCTGTCCACAATCATCAAGTCGCCTTGCTCAACGGTGGGAGCTCGAAGTGGAAGATTGAAACCCTGCTGTTCGGCTTTGACCATTGACGGATCGTTGTACTTTCCCTGAAGCTTGTCAAGTTCTTGCAGGCCTCGGAGCAGCGAGTCCTTGATGCGTATGAGCTCCCTGCGACGAAGCTCACGGTCGGGATCGTCTGCGAGAAGGCGGATGCAGTTCTCGTGGCCTGGTTTCTCGTTAGAGTATTCGTCCATGAGTAGTCGATTGATGTGCATATCACATACCTTGCGGACCTGCGGTCAGTGCTTCCACCAACTCCCCGAAAAGAGTTGTCCGGAGGGCTTTGAATAGTTTGCTCTCAACGCGCATGCAGATGGAGTCATGGAAACGCCGAGACGCGATGTTGTAATATGAGATGATCTTGGAAGCGACGCCTAGCTCAAGCTCATAGGGTTCTTGAACGATAATATCACGGTGCTCCGCCTTCTGAGACAGCTTTTCCCGTTCGTTCGGTGTAGTCGTCTTGCCATAGATGGAGTCCCATTCGTCGAAGTAGTTCTTCGTCCGGGCTCTGATCCTGTGTGACTTGTACAACTCGTCGACTTTGCACCTCTCATCATGCCACACCTCCTTGTAGTAGATGTACGGGCCCTCCAGTTCATCTTTCAGAGTCTCCGGCGCCATCGTATGACGCTGCTCGTCGATATGATCCTGAAGAAGCTTCTCAACCACCTTCCAAGCAGCACGGTAGAGTTCAGCATCCCGCCAAGCACGGAAATGTTCATCAAAGACGGATTCCAGATAAGCTCTCAGCTTTTCCTCTAGCTCATTGAAGAATCGATCAAGTGGCCGGTGCCATTGTTCCAGGGTGTTGATCATCATACGGTCTAGGACCTTCGGCTGCAACTCGCCGGGTATTCTTGATTTGGAGGTTGCCTTGATTCGACGTCCAATATCATCGAGATCAAGTCTGGTCTTGTATCGAACTAACTCGTCATTGCCAGGCTTCCACATGGGCTTGGCTTCGACCTTGACATTGCCTCGAACGGGTTGTTTCTTGGGGGTATTGTTCCCGTCGCTGGCTCCCAATTTTCGCTTCTTGCTCGGAGTATCGGTTGATGGTCCTTGCACGTTGCCACTCTCGTCGCCGTCATCATCAGAATCGATGACAATGCAATCCGACGGTGAGTTCCCCTTCGACGAAGACTGGATGAGGTTGAGGTCCCTTGTACCCCACGGCTTCAGAGCGGGTTTCATCGCCGCAAGCCCGTTGTTGAAACTGTCCTTAATGCCTTCCCACTGGTTGCGCCAGCTGGTTTCATCGTGACTGCCATCGATTTCTATGTCCTTCTGTATGTTTTGAGTGAAGTCCCTTAGAATCTCTGTCACTTTCAGCATCGCGTTGTGGGTGGGCGGTTTCGGAATTAGCTCCAGCTCAGCCGAAACAGCACTAAGCCGCTCATTGATTCCGTGACGAATGGTAGGCAGAGCCCTCAGCATCTGAGCTGCAAGCTTGTCGGACAAATATGCTTGGAGAGCTGCCGTGCCAAACCGATCTTTATGTGACTGCAATTCCGTGGCCCACGGCTCAACAGTGCTGAAAAATTTTTCCTCTTCCGCGCGCGCATCTCGGTTGGTGAAGCCTGCATTGATCTCCTGCTGTCCAAGGTTCTTCACAACGAAATAATCGTGGCCGAGTTTGAAGCTTCTGCCTTCCAATATGGCTCGAATCTTGTCGACCCGGCTGCCGGCTGGAAGCCTGTCTGGCTTTGTCAAGACGCCTGGTCATGTTAGTAAACGTGCATGCGGGTAAGAAGGGAAGCTACGTACCAACGCAACGATCGGTGGCGTTCAGCTCCCGTGCAATTCCAGCCGCCGTTGAATTATGGATATCGTTCTCCAGTGAACAGGCGACTAGAATGAGAGATTCCTTGTCCTGGACGTATTCCGTGACTAAGTCTTTGACAAATTTTACGAGGAAGTGTGTCTTATCATCCTCGGATTGTCCAATGATTCCCGGGAGGTCATAGAACGAAAGAGAGGCAAGTCCTGGGTGGGAGATGTAAATACAGACACAGTTTGGACTGAAATCTGCACGCCGATAGTGTTTTTCCAGTTCCTCGAGCGGTCCATGGAGAAAAAGCTGGTGCTCAATCCCTCCGCTTAGTATTGCTAGTTGAGCCCTTGCAATGAGATTCTCCAGTTCGTCTGGTGAGTCTGTTTTCGCGAACTTCACTTCTTCGGATTCTCCCGGCAATTGTATCCACCCTTGAAATCGTTGTTCATTTCCGCCCCGACGCTGAGGCTCGTGTACGTATCGGAGACGTAGAAACACGCAAGCTTCCCAGCGGGCGCCTGGATCCTTCGCCGGTTCGATTTTGATGAAAAGAGGGCAGCGCGTACAGGTGTCAGTCGCACGAGGAGTTTTGATACCGGAGATCGCCTCTATCACGGAGCTTTTCCCAGTGGATTGGTCGCCTGACGAAGATTAGTTAGGCCGCAGCCGGTGTCAAGCCTGGGAGTTTGCATACCTAGGACGACGCATTTGGGCAACGGGATCTCGTATTGATCCAGGCCCAGGGTTTGGAGCTTTGCAACCACGGTAAGTGCTTCTGTGACACCAGCCCCGAGAGCTATCGCATGGCCTTCAGACGGTGGAACTTTAGTTTCTATAGCACCAGTGTTAGTGTAAAAGATGAACACAGCTACAGGTGATGCTTACCGTCGTTGCTCGGAATGGTAAGCGACCCAGAATCTTGGGAGAGGCGGAGGTCATCCTCAGGAGCAACACCTTCAGTGCTTCCAGGCCTGCGAGGTTCCTCGTTGGAGCGCATGACTACAGGATCAAGCCCTGGACTGGATGGCGCTTCTGTTAGGGTAGTTGCGGGAGTGAGACCACCCGCTCCCGGCCTGAGAGAATGCCTGGTGACACGCGCCGACGGCCTCGCCATGATGCATGCAAGTCACTCGAGCAGCGAAAAAGTGAGTTGGCAGTGGTCTTTGACAAAGGGAGAGAATGGTGGGTTGTATGCGGGAAGATATATGCGACGGCAGACTGGTTCACTTTCACTCGAGTGGTGCACAGACCAGCGGGGGTCAAGCACAAGTAGTAAGTGAAAGACATCGCCACGAGGTGGTGAAGTGGCCGAGTTGCGCTCAAATGCGAAGATGAAAAGACTTTGATGAACTCGTGAGATTACATGAGAGGGTAACAGTGAAAGTGAGACATGACAGTGAGAAGTGAGAAGTGAAACGCAGAAGTAACAGTGAAGAGACACAATGGATACTGGGTATGTACATTGGAGAGAGACTGATAAGGCCCTAAGTTGCTGAGATAGATTCCTCCCAAGCCACTGCGAGAGTGATTCCATGATAAAAGGTGGACATTGGTATATCCGCAGTCACCGCCGATTTTGCAAGCCAGTGGGATAAGACGATATGGCGACGTCTGGGCTGACACATTGTGTTGGTTAGAGCGCCCATTTCAGCGATAAAATGTATGAGTTTTAGCAGGAAAAGCAGCTGATGCTAACCTCTGCCATAAGGCACGGTGAAGAGGAGGAGGCCTTTGGAAAGACGTTCGAAAGGATCAATCTGCGCTAGGCAATTTGGGTAAGCCCTAAGTAATCACGTGCACCGACGACAACGCTGATCCCTGTTGACCTAGGAAAAAGTCGAAACAAGACATCACCACCTCAACACTGGCCCATCGCCATCCATCGCCCGCCTTATTCTCTCCGTACACCTACAGTACTGATATCGAACTCTCATAATCCTCCAAAATGGATCACACACGCGACCCTTGCCCATGGGTGATCCTGAACGATTTCGGTGGCGCCTTCGCTATGGGTGTAAGTCTTTGCGCATTCAGCTCAATCGACTGCTATTGACAGCTTCGTCTAGGCTATTGGAGGCGCCGTATGGCACGGTATTAAGGGAGTCAGTAGAATCCCCTCCGACCTGTAATGCGGGCACGCGCTCACGCTCCACAGTTCCGTAACTCTCCGTACGGCGAAAGGCGCATCGGCGCCATCACAGCAATCAAGGCTCGCGCTCCCGTCCTGGGCGGAAACTTTGGTGTTTGGGGTGGTCTATTCAACATATATGATTGCGCCGTGAAAGGCGTGCGCAAGAAGGAGGACCCGTGGAACGCCATCATTGCAGGCTTCTTTACCGGCGGTTCGCTCGCTGTACGAGGCGGTTTCCGATCCATGCGAAACGGTGCGATATCCTGCGCGATCCTGCTGGCCGTCATTGAAGGCGTCGGCATTGGCTTCAATCGTATGATGGCGGATAACACCAGACTCGATGCACCTCCCCCTCCTCCTCAGCAATCATCTGGCCAGCCAACGCTAGGGGCCCCGGCCATGGCCGCCTAAATCACCATGTTTCCGATTGAATTTTTTTTCGAATTGTTTCTATATAAAAGAGCGTAGGGTTGGCACTCGGAGTCGTTCTAGGGTCGGTTTGCATATTCCGCTCAGCCAGGTGCGGCGGCGGTTGGCGTTTCTTACTCTCCTCACGCTTCTGCGCTATTCTGTATCATACGCACTAGATTTGTACGACTAAGTGGGAGATTTCGAGGATCGTAATGGCAGCAAGACGCGTTCTATGTGCCTTTTTGCGAACCATTTGGGCTTGGCGCCTCGAGCTTCGGCTTTCTGCGCCATACGATACCGATCAAGAACTGAGTCGAGACATTCAGCTGCGATTCATTCAAGGATCTGATCATACCTCAACACACTGCAATACACCACCACAAGACATCATTCAGTAAGTTCGCATTCTGCACACGTACACGAATCTGTCACAATGCGCTGTAGGGTATCAGGATCTGGAAGAATTGATATCTTAGGCTCCACCCCTACACTCGTCGCAGAAAATAGCATAGTCCATAAAGAGAGCACAATAGTATAAGGAGAAAGGAAACATAAAAGAAGATCAAGAAACCCGCATCCTACTCTCCGTTACGCCTTGCGCCTTGCTGACTTCCGTACCACTTTTCTCCTTCCCTGAACATCTAGCCAACGGCTACTTCCCTACGTTCTCCCTCCCCTCCCTCAGAGCGAGCCTATATAATCCTCGTCACTCGTGATCATACCGCGCAGGTGTCTGATCTCCCGGCGCAGCCTCGCAATCTTGGCCCGCAGTGCCTTCTTCTCCCCCCCCCCAAATTCCGCAATCCGGACCCGGTCTTCTTCGAAGGCTGCCATTATTTGCTTCTGCGTCCTCGCCGCTTTCATACACGTCTGCTGCAGCTTGGTGACGGCCTCTTGCAGATCAGAGCCCGTCTCGGCGATTGACTTCATCAGTCGACGTGCGGCTCTGGTCGTGGGCATGATGATAGCAACGGGCAGTTTTTGAAGATATGGCGGCTCTGGTAGGGCGAGATGGACCTGAGCGGAGGAATTGTGTATGTAGAGGCTGCCTTGGTTGGAATGGGCGTTTGCAGAGGTAGCGACCGAGCGCAGATGGGTTACGGTTGGCCGATTGTTTCCTGCTAGTTGACGGTACCGGTTGACGGACGGATTTGCAGTCGTAGAGATACTGGTCAATGAGGGGGAAGAAGTACATAAGGAATGAAAAGAATGCTGTTGAATTGTCACGTAAGTGCTCACTTTGAGCAAGTCAGTGCGGTAATTCTTCTGTCGACGTTTTGCAGTAAAGGATTGCCTTGGGCGAATAAATGTTGACACGCTAATGCCTTTGAGAATTCATTCAATGTTGAGGGAAGTGGGATGTATACGAAAGAAACGGATGGCACTTCCCCTAAGGGTCGCCGACGATTCTCAATGTGGAAGGGCCTCTTGAACAGGGCGGAACAACATGACGCTCCGTACCGGAGACAGGGAGTGCATGTTGAAGGGTTATGGGAAGTCAACAGAGGAAAGCTGTTTGGGAATTTTTCAAGGGAGATTCAATCAGCAGTATAGCGAGTACCCGAGAAGCTTCTGCATTTGCCATGAGCCTTGACAGTGGAGATGAACAGGAGAAAGTTGTGCCCTTGATTTGAGAGAGGCTTGGCCGTCACTTGAAGACTTACTGCTGCTAATGTCGACTCCGACTTTCGCTCAACGCTCGAGTCAAGAAAATGGTGAGACACTCTTCGGCAAACGCGAAGGAAGGAGAACGACCAAGGACAAGTCGAGGCCACACAAAACCCTCGACAACCCAATCACACTTGCGGCTGCTGCAGCTGTTACTCTATCAAGATTTGGGGAAATTGTAGTTTTTGCAGCATGTGAGAGATATACATAATATACAGAAATCCTCGGTTTGAATTCTCCCTGTTACAGAAAGCGCGCAGAGCGAGATTCCGCTGTAGACCGCGTTAGACTTCGCGAATCCATCTTCCGGCAACCCATTGAACCCAAAGACGCTCGTAATGTACCCATCACGGATCCTGAATCCTCGACCATACGTCTGATTCCGTATAACGCGTTACTTCCATCCAGGAAGAGGCCTTAGGAAAGAAAGCAACGATGTCTTCCATTCCTTAAGCATTCTTCTTGTCACCCCAGCTCTGCTTCGTCCGGTGTCCCATGGCAGCCCCATCGGCTCGAGGCAGCTCTTGGAGAACAGGAGCATGGCCCGGGCTCCATGTATCCTTCGTGAACGTGAAATTCGGCTGGACGGCAGCACGAGAGCGCTCCTCGCGGAAATGAGTGTTCTGCTCCAGCAGCGCAGTAGCATGTTGAGAAGCCCAGAGATACGCCTCATTTTTGTTTTCCGGCTGGGGGAACATCTTCTTGGCCGCCGCAAGAAGTGGAGAATCTGATGCGGTCGGGAACGGCTGGGTTCCGAAGTGAGGTGCGGACGTCTGCGGACCTGAACCAAACCCTTCTCCAATAGCGCCAATGTTCGTGTTTTGCGGGAGTGGTTGCTGTAGGGTGAGCGGTACTATCACAAAAACCAATCCTGCTCCCCACCGAGTATTCGCACTTACAATTTTCTGCATATCATCTTGAACCATGTGGTACGGTGGTCGAAATTGTCCCGATAGCGTGTTTCGGCGGCCGAAGGTTGCAGGGATGGCATCGGAGTTGTTAGGCCCCATATTCAAGCAACTGTTCAAGTTGTAGTGTGCCTGGTTGATGTCTGACAATGCATGTGCGGAGACATAGGCGGATCCACTGGCTAGGTTCCCATAAGCCAAATCAGGGGCGTAGGTCGCGTGAGTTCCCTTGAGACGTTCGTTGAGAGGCCGAGCCTCCAAGTGTGAAGCAGCGATATTTCCGCTCACTGCCCGAAACGCAGACCCTACATCGACTGCACTGTTCAACATGAGAGGTATCGAGCTGACACCGGTGGAATTGGACTGCAAGAATGACTGAGATTGGCCGACAGCATGCGCCATGGGCAATGGTTGCGTGAGATGTTGACCAAACTGCCCACTCAGATGCCGAGTGTTCTGAGATGTTGCGGTATTGTCTAGTGGAGCCATTGAACTTCGTCCGAAAGGCGGCAGTGTTGAAGTGTTCTGCCCAGTCCCTTGGATACCGCCGGTCGTTGTTGGGTTCACGATCTCTGCAATTCCGCCTAGTACCTTTGGATGCTTTTGAAGGAATTCGGCCAAGGCTGTCGAGTCGGGTACCTTTTTGTTGACCACCATGTATGCCAGTCGCTTGACAATGCAGTCCAGAAGCACTGCTCCGTCATGACCAACCAAGCCAATCTTCTCCTCTGTTGTCGCCAGTTGTTCAACAGCGCTGATATCGTCGAAACTAGGCGTGGTGTTGTTGAAATTAAACCAATAGTGATTGAAGATATGTTGTGCGTATTCCGTCATGCCTAAAAGACGCGCGGCGCGACAGACGGATATATCCTCGGAGGCATCGTTGCGCCGCTTCAGCAAGCAGAAGTGACTCGAGGTCGTGATCTGTTTCAGCCATTCAAGGATATACAAGAAAGGCATCTTGCTAAGCCCAGCGGGAAGACGCAGTTGGCGGACCTTGGGATCAGAATCGCTGATTTCCGTCGCCTTGGTTGACAGAGCTTGGAAGAGACGCCAGGGCATCGAACAGACCCATTTATCGCCAATGAGAATCTCAAGCTTGAGTCCGCCTTCAAGGAGCGCTTGGCGGTCTTTGGCCGTGAGATAGCGCACATTGTCCAGCCCTAATGGTCCTTCGGCGTCCATGGTCGCCGCGTCAAAATGATGCGGTTCGATGTAAGATGGGAATGGCTCCGGAGCGTCTTTCTCGGAGGCCGCAGGGCTCGTAGGGCGGTCTACTTCCTCGTTACGATCGGGCGACTTGGACTCGCTCGCCATGTCAACAGCAAACGGCGACCGGCTTGGCATATCGACGATTTGAGAGGTCAATGACAGGATGATTTCGATGCTGAAGTAGGGATAATGAAAGTGAACCTAGGACTCTCGACAGGTTGCGGTACGCCGCAATTGGAGCGGAGAAAAGTGTGTTGAAGTAGAGAGAGCTTCACAAGAAGTTGTGTTGTGGAGTTGAATATGAGGTAATAGGGAAAGTTTCTGCAAGAAATACAAAAGATATAGCACAAGGCGGGTTGTGGCGGGAAGCTTCTGCGAGGCGGCTGCGGACCGTTTGGCGGCAGCGGTGAAAGTCTTTGCGACACATTTTCACCAAACCACTAAGCCACTTCTGGCGGCATTGTATTATCTCTATTGAGAGCTTTACGGATTGCATTACTTGCTGTGAACGCATCCTCAGGATACATCTCGGATAGTCGGAGAGCACCTATATGCAAGTTCCCCTAGCTACGAGGACCACGTATTAAGGTCTACCCGGTGTGGCTTCTGGCAGCACCTTATGGTGGAAAGCGTCATGCATCGTATACTGTCTGTTGTGAGGATATCAGAAGTGAGATTTTCTAAAAGCCTTCGAGGTAGTCATTGGTTTGTGTTTATGCACATCCAAGAAGCACTTAACATTCTGTTGAGAGAGGACTTGTCCTTGCCACATGATATTGAAGTTCATATAGCTCATACGGTTCGGAGATTTCCGCAGATAATTATCAGATCTGAAAAATGTACACTGCACAGTTCTGGTTGCAAAGATCATAAGCCGCATAGAGATGTTCTAGTACTTCTACCACGGATAGGGCAGCTAATTTAACAAAGAAATCCGACTATTGGTGGAATGTTTGGCTGGTCCCCACTTCTGATAAGATGATGGATGTTTTGGCAAGACATTTGAGAAAAATGTCTCCTTGTTCAGCTCTACATGTGTCTGGATTGACCAGTTCGCTCCTATGGTCCAATTCCTCTCGACTCACACGGAATAAACAATAAATAAAGCATAACCACGTAGAATGTGTAGGCCAGCAACCCGTAAATCCATTAGTGACTTGAATATTTCCCTGTAGGAATTCTATAGTCTGGCATTCGTGGTACGCATCCAAAAAGTTAGATCATGACTGCCCCAGGATGTATTGCTTACCCGATGTTCTTTTATATAGGCAATATATGTTTATTTTAGAAAATATCAGGGTATGCTTCCATTCACCAACAGACGTCATCTCCAAATGTATCACTCAAGTAACTCCTCTATTCGTTTGTTCCACGTAGTACGTGCTACATATTTCTTAGCCCTAGATAGATATTCGAAGATAACTCAAACATCTGTAGCCTGTCTAAGACAAATTGCCCGCATACCTCCTGCGCCTGCCCACACCTCCATCCATCTTCTGCATTGCAACGGCCAACTTCCAATGGCGCGCAAAAAAGTTTCACCCACACAGCCTTATCACCCATGTCGCCTGCCCGCCTCAACTCCGCCAATCGCTTCACTACACAGGCGAAGAAGACGTCATTCTCATCCAGTGCCAACGCCTCCACATCCGCTATATTCTGGTAGATTTCCCTGTTCAGTTGACAACCGCGGAGAGTCGCAAACCGAGTCCAGTATAGACCGAAGATGTTTTCGTAGTAGTGACGTTCCAATCCCAAAGCCATAGCTGCGCGGCAGATCATCAGGTCTTGCTTTGGGGTTTGCCCTTCAGGCAGGTTCGGACACTTCGCGAGCCTGCCAGTGCTATCAAGCCAACTGACAATGTGTTTGATTGGAGCCGCTTCGATGCCTTGCGGTAGGTGGATTTCGGCGAGATCAGGTTTCTGGTGATACATGTCGCGGGTTTTACTCGAGACAGAGAGCATAAGATGCAGTGGAACTGTGGCCACATGGCTGTTGCCCTCGAAGACTTCGACTCGAGGGCCCGCACAGAGACGTTTACGTTCGCGTAAGGAGAGTTCCAGGACGTCGACAACTGGATAGATCGAGGTCTTGGGGAGGGCCCAAATGATTCCAGCAGTGGGAGGCGCTTCGGAGTACATGCGCATGATATCCCACAACTTCAGGCTATAGAAGTGGTTAGGGTATTCGTTATAGAATCTTTATAGACTTCATACGTACTCTTTGGCAGCATTGCTGCGGGCGATTGAGCTAGACGTGTTTCTGCCGGTGGAAGCGGTGCTGCTCTTCTCGCTGGCGGTAGAGCTGTGCTTTGAGGAAAGAGGTGTCATGCTTGCGCCAAATAAATAATATGGACGAACAACCCTGGTGAAAAGGTGTAGACCGTTAAGTGTAGACGTTGTAAGGATCTAGATAGAGTTGTATTTCTGTGTTGATGTTGATGAAGCGGAGTTGGTCGGGGGGACCCGGGGAGAGTTGCGATAGGGAGAACGAACTTATATAATCATAAACTTGTAAGGACGCCTTTCACTCTAGCGTCGTACACGTTACGAGCTACGGTGCAATATTTTCATTATCCCATCTAGGGTCTGTGAAAGGTTTAACTACCTTACAGTGAATATGACCTCGTAACATAGACTTATCCTAGGGTATACACCTACCCGTGTCCCGTGCTTTCCCCGAGACAAGACAAGCAATTGCACACATGATTAGCAAGTCATAAGACATGAAGTACTGCAAACATTGAAGTGAATAGTCAAGTCATTGCGACGAGCAACGGGCAGTATGGCTGCCCCAGATCCATTCGACGACCCAGAAGACGAGCGTTTCGTCTGTCCATCCCCGCGGGAGACGACACAGGAACCTGAGCCTACGGTGAAGCCGAGGCCGAGACTCGAATTGGCGAGCCGAAAAAGAATGTCCTAGACTGCTGCCACGTCGGGCAATGGGCATCACCTTTTCGAATACAAGACGCCGCTAACCACCAAGGCGGAGTTATTTAGGACCTGGGTCGAATTTGTCCTGGCGAGATTATGAAACAAACATGGTCCTATCCATATTCCAGATCCGCATTTGGATCCATTGCCATCGATACCTCTTTTGAGTGCCGCCGCTACACCAAGGTTCCTATCGATAGCTGTGATTGCGGTGGAGTGGATGGAAAGCAAGGGGGTGCAACTGCTATAAGTTGCGAATTGACCTAGTGAAGGCGTCCTAGATATATTGTCTGTTTGGTACAATTTCGAGCATTTTTCTATGCCTTTTCCCATTATTACCCCTTTGGCTATGGATAGCAGATATTGCATTTCAACGTCTCGAGCTCCAACTGAAGCATCACCTTGGGATTACTAGTAACGTCAGCAGTAGCCCTCAATAGACCGTAGGCGCCACTCGCCCATGGATACCTGGCGTCCGAGAACAACAGCTCTGACGCAGCGAATTGGGACCATGTCTCGCTGACCAGTTTATTATGTACCGAGCACACTATTCGTGCAAAAGCTTCCATTTTGTGTCATAGGGAAAGTGGTATCAAAGCTCTCCTCCCTCTTCATCATGCACAACACCCCGTCGGCCCGGCCACATCAACCTCACTCTTCCCCTGCAACCCCTCCCTTTCCACCAACCCCGAACTATACGGAATCCTCACAACCATCCAATCGCACAGAAACTTTCCCAACGTCGCCCCAATGACAATCGAAATAATTACATAACCATTATAATGCATGGCCAACAGCATCACAATATACGCCACCCCCAGCGTGGCCCCATGAATCACCGCGCGACACAGCTGCTGCAGCGGACTTGCGCGATACGTCGCGTACCCTGGCAGCGCCGCGGGCTCTGCGGTACAGCATTCGTTGGATGGAGACTTTTCCAGTTGGGATTGCGTGAGACGTAGATGGCGCTGGAATTGGCGGTGCAGATAGGCGTCGTGTTCCTTGCCTAGACGACGCAGGAATTCGAGACAGACGACTAGGAGGACGACGCCGATGCAGGAGGCGGCGAACATGGCGTTGTTTTTGATGTGCCAGGACGAGGAGAGGAAGCAGGCGTCCATGACGTTCCAGTTCCAGAGCATCTGTGTTTATCATTATTAGTACAGGGCTAGATGGTGGATATAAGTGCATTGAGACGGACCTCGATCTTGCATTCTCCGGTCATGGTGGAGGGAGCGGGACTCCCCGCGGAGTGGTGGCTCATGCTGAGATATTTGCAGGCCTGTGGCGAAGATGGTGAATGTTCACTCGTCCTCCTCTTTCATATATGTATAAGGAATCACAAGGGATTTACGGATACTCAGGGTCGCAACAACGATCTGAGATACGACGGAAGACGTGGATATAAGCTACACCCACAACCGAACCGACGCAAATAAACGCATTCCCCACCAAGCCCGGCGTTCCTGGTGATCCCGGCAGTTTGTGGGTCAATTCCCGCGCAAACTTGCTCAACGCGACACTGAATCGCGGTACTCAGCTACACAGGGTACCCGATTGGCCAGACTATTGCGTTTAGAGGCTGATTACGGTAGAGCAATCCTCGGCCGTTACACAGTGAAGGAATGTATATAGAAGGGGATCACCCGTCGATTAACGTGTAGCTCACGACGACACCACTTTTTGCGACTCCGTCCCCCCTTCGACGGCGCCTGTCCATCGTCAACATGGCGGCTTCACACCTCCCCCGCCACATTCAGAACATGAGCGAGGCGTCCGCTCTGGAACCGCATTGGGGGTATGCGGACCGCGCCGTGCCCTGCACCAACGACCCAGGTTCCTGCGCATACTTGGACGTCGTCTATCGCAGCCACGATTTGGGAATGTACTATACGGGAATAATCTGGGCGACGATTGGCAGCATTCTCCTCGTGTGGGCTATCACCAGACAAGTCTGTCGCCGACAGACCTCCGGTGTTCGACTACCTGCTGCTCAGGCAGGAGAAGATCCCAAAGTAAGAGGAAGCGCACTTCAACGACTCTCCTCTGCGATCCGTGCATACGCAAGAAGATACCTCCTCCCAGACGCCTCCCGCACCATCTTCGGCCGCACCACTCGCACCCAAGTGCTCACCCTCACCGTCCTCACCGGCTACCTCACCATCTGGTCCTTCGTCGGCATCGTCTACGGAAAATGGGTCACCCCCGTCAAGAAGCTTCCCGGCGTGTACAACACGCGCACATCTCTAGGTCCCTTCGCCGACCGAGTGGGCGTCCTCGCATACGCCCTAACTCCTCTGTCCATCATGCTGTCGAGTCGCGAATCCATCCTCTCGCTCGTAACGGGGCTCCCGTATCAGAGCTTCAATTTCCTGCATCGCTGGCTCGGATACATCATTTTCGCGCAATCCGCCCTGCACACCATCGGCTGGTGCGTCGTGGAGTTGCGTCTCTACCAGCCTCAGCCGCAAGTCGGCCTCGATTGGATTAAGCAGCTGTATATGATCTGGGGCGTCATCGCGATGTTCTTCCTTACCATCATGGTGGTGCTGTCAACGCCCTGGGGTATCCGTCTTACCGGATACGAAATCTTTCGAAAAGCGCACTACGTCCTCGCAATGCTGTACATCGGCGCCTGCTGGGGCCACTGGGAACAGCTGAAAGTCTTCCTCTTGCCGTCCCTGATCGTATGGTTCCTGGACCGCGCAATCCGGCTCGTGAGAACGGCTCTCCTGCATTACAATTTCCTCCCGTCCGGAAACATGGGTCTCCGCTATGCAGATGCGAATATCACCTTTTTACCGGACGAAAAGAGTGGCGATGTTGTGCGCTTGGATTTCGAGCACCCCCAGGATGCGTGGAATGTAGGGCAGCATTTCTACCTCTGCTTCCCCGAGAGCTCGATTTGGCAGGCCCATCCTTTTACTCCTCTTAGTCTTCCAGTGTACAATGCCGATACGCAGAAGCACTCGTATGTTTTCCGCGCGAAGAAGGGCGAAACAAAACGGATTGCCGAACTCTCCGCTCGTCGTGCTGCACGTTCCTTGCAGAAGCTAGAAGGGCAGTCGGAGTCGAAAGCGGATGCTCAGCTTTCAGTCGTAGTAAACGGACCCTACGGCGAACATATCACTCGCGACTTGCCCTCTGATACGAACGTTCTCTGCATAGCAGGTGGGACGGGAATTACTTACGTGCTCCCCGTCCTTCTGGACCTGGCTGCGCGCCCTCGCACCCCAGATCGCCACATCTCGCTCGTTTGGGTATGTAGACATAGGAAAGATTTGGAGTGGGTCGCTCCTGAATTGGAAATTCTAAAGCTTGAGGCGAAAACGCTGGGACTGAAGATGCATGTATTTCTTACGCGTGCCGCTGAGGAGCATGAGGGCGTTGCCGATCCGAACGTCCTTCCGGGCAAGCCAAAGGAGAATGACGAGGGCGCTAAAGAGAAACATATCACTCATGAGATAAGACCAACTGGTTCTTCATCATCGGGTTCTTCATGCTTTTCTGGGGACCGATTATCCCTACACGGCGTATCGATGTCGGACCTCATGCTCGATCATGTTCTCAACCGTCCGAACCTCGAGGAGATTGTGAAGGACTTCGTTCAGCAGAATGTAAGGGGGAGAACGCAGGTTTTTGCATCGGGTCCGGGGGAGATGGTGAGCGAGTTGCGGAAGGTGGTAGCAGGGGTGAATAACGGAGGCAAAGTCTGGAAGGGAGAGGAGAGATGGGATGTCCGATTGACTTGTGATGATCGATTGGAGTGGTAGGGCGGGGAGAGGAGATGACGAGGATGACGTGCTTTATGATACCCTTTCTTTCTTTCGATATTTCAGAGCGATCCCGACAGGAGAAATCGACAGTCATGCAATGCATCCAACGTACTGAGGCCTTTGATGGTCGGAATCCGCGTCACATTCTTCGTGGTTGCGATCATTTACCTCGAACGGGACTGTTTCTTACCCATTCCTTCTCTCCTTATCTTCAATTCTCCCCTCATCACATCTGCTGCCCTCTCCGCCACCGCATACACCAACGCCATCGGCGCCGCCACAGTCTTAACCGGCACTACACTCGCATCCACAACTCTCAAATTCCTCGTCTCATACACCACAAACCTCTCATTCACGACCCCGCCTTTTCCCTCTGGTAGCATTGCACACGTCCCTGACGGGCTCCAACTACTCGATGCGGTTTGCCTGATATAAGTCTTCATTTCGTTGAGCGAGGTGAGATCCTTGGGAGCGGCGGCGTTGCGCCGACCATCCGGTTTTAACAGAGCGGAAAACGCGGGAGTGGATATGAGATCGGAGATGGACGTCATATGGCGGGCGAATATCTCCAAGTCCAGCGGATGCGAGAAATACTTTGGATCGATCTTGGGAGGGTCTGACGGGTTGGCCGAGCGCATGTGCGTCGAGCCGCGCGACAGCGGCTGCAAGAGCGTAGAGGAAATCGAGTAGAAATTCTCCGGCGCCAGGTTGGAAGTTACGAGTCCGGTCTCGGATGGATCGGCGTCAAAGCTGGTTTGCGCGGCGTAGGGGAAGAATGCGGCGGTGTTTTCGCGCGGGTGGAGAAGCAGTGATTGGATACAGGAAGTATATTCCCTACTGACGTGGTGCAATCCTGACGGAGAGTCCGAATTGCGATCTAGTAGTTTTTCTACTTTCTTGCGAGAGGCGGAGGAGTTTTGAGGAATAGGGAGTAAGGCGTACGAGTTCACTCCAGACTGAGCCAGCGGTCCGGATTTGTTCATCCTGTACTCCTTCATGGCTGCTTGGATAATTTTCAGATTGAGGCGGAGCATGCTGTCTATTGTCTCGACGCCGTCTTGTACTTCGAAAGAAATTGACGTAACGGGATGGTCTTGTAGGTTTTCTCCCACATTTGGGTTGACTATTATTGGGTATATTTGGTGCGGCTCCAAGTGCTCAGGGTTGCCTATACCAGAAAGTTCCAGGAGTTTGGGGGAGTGGATGGCCCCGGCAGAGAGAATGACTTCTTCTCTCGCTCGGACGGTGATCTCCTTGGAGTTCTTCCGATACGTGACGCCGGTTGCGATGACGTTGGGATAGGAACCTACGAGTAGTATCTTTTGAACATAAGCCCCTGTTAGTATTGTGAGGTTTGGCCGCTTTTCAATGGGCATTAGATATGCTGAAGCAGCATAACTCCGCTGTCTTTTGTCGACGTCGATGGATGAGGGATTAGAGAAAGCGCCTGTCGCACATCCAGAGAACGGATCAGAGGTAGCGCGATGGCCTATCGTTCCCATAGCTTCTACCCAGGCCTTAGGGAGCGGGTTGGAGACATTGTTCGGAAAGCTGAGTTGGACAGGGCCCTGCGCATCATGCAGGGTCTCGTCAATATAATCCAAGTTAAAATGCTCTCGGATATCATCATCTGAAGGAATGTTCAGAGTATACGACTTCTTCAAATAGGGCAGCAATCCGTCCCAGGCCCATCCTTCGTTGCCCAATTCGCCCCATGCATCAATGCTGGCTTTGGAAGGTGGGATGAAAGTCTGGCCGCTGATTGCAGAACTCCCGCCGAGTGCGCGGCCAAGCGATATATTAATCTGCCTTCCATTAAGCTCCTTCTGCGCAAGAATTAGCAGTCGCAAGGTTCGCTGTGATTCGAGGCCTCCTGTACCTGAGCCTCGGTTTTCGAACTCCAATCACCCTCCGTTCCAATCATCGTGGCAAAGAGAGCAGGCGTAACGACCCGAGGGTGAGCCGTAAGATCTTCGCCTGCCTCAAGGACAAGCACAGATGTATGCTCATCTTCGGTGAGCCGGTTTGCGAGTACCAGGCCCGCAGTACCTCCCCCGACGATGATGAAATCGTAGCTGTCTCCATGAACAGGAGGAAAGGTTGCTGGACTTCCGAGGAGTGCCGCAGCGATGTCTGCATCATAAGGCGAACACATAGCTACTACGGCTTTCCGAGGTACAGAGTATGTCGGATTCAGAACGGCACCAGGGAAGGAGTGATGGTACAATCAAGTGCTGGGCAAGCTGGGCAAGCTTGACGGTTGCGAACCCCGGTAGCGTCAGGGGGTGATCCTGGACGAGTACATTATGTGCAGCAGCTCATCCCAAATAAACTGGATCCGGGACATGGAGAACGGGCTGTAAAGAGTGCAGCGGGTTATACATTTATGGGAGCCTTTGCGGTGAGGAGGTTGAAATAAGGTTTGGGATCGATGGGCAGGTGGCTGAGCTCTATGATCGGTAAGCGTAACCGACTGATCGCTTGCACCTGCCCTTCATCTGCCAGTATTTCCCTCTTCAGGGCTCCTTGACAGTCCAAGGGCACTGCCTGGTTCAGACCTTGGGTTACCCTTAGACCCTACTGCCCGGGGGCTTTCGGAGTGTGATATATTTCTTAAGAATAAATGATCCATACACAGCGCATACATGCACGAGAAATATCAAACTGATTCAAGAAGATTAATACGCTCAGAGAGGATGAGATTATCAATCAAAGCATATCTTCGTTCTCCAGGATAGATCATGTAAAGGATTCGGAACCAAGTCTCCCCGCTTCCCTCCCGGCTCTGGAAAAGCCCACCAATCCAGCGCATCAAGGCAGTGTTGGATATGCTCCTGGTCTATATCCCTCCCACAAACGTGTTGTCCCGTCATCTTGGCCTTGACATATCTCTTCACCGCCAAAACGCAGTGTGAGAAATGGAACATGTCGTCGACAGGCACTTTGTCGACAAGAGGACTGCTGAGCCAGGTTTCGTTGATGTAGTCGCGATTGCGACTGATTTGTTTGGTCTCGGGATATCGTTTCTCGAACCATCGCTGGTAGTGTTGCTCTTTCTCGTCCATAAGATGGAGAGGGATGATTGCTTGGTCGTCGATGCGGAAGGCCCATTCGCCGTGCTCTTCCATGTATGAGGCCAGTTTGGAGGCATTCTGGCCGTTCACGGAGAGTTGATATCTTGGCCCAACGCTGCCGCGAGTGTCGTACTGTATCCAGGAGTGCAATTCATCCTGCTGATGATGCAGCATGAGATGCTTGCTTGCGAAGATTATGGCCACGGTAAAACAAACGAGGAGAGTAAAGATCCAGAGAGACCTCCTTTGAAAGGAATGGAGCGTGATAGACTTCCAAGGGGCTAATCTGGAGCTTCCACGCCGTCGACGTCTCTCAACGAGCTTCTCCTGCAAATCCAGCGGCAGCCCCAGCGAGGATAGTTGGGCAAAGTCGAATCTCATGAAGATGGCCAGAATTGACTGACTTGTTTCTTCAGCTTTGAAAGCAAGGCAGAGTTGGCGCTTTCTTGAGTTATTGAGAAACTGTTGTGCCAATGACAGCGCATTGTCAAGAGTATTGGTGGAAGCGATTGCCGAGTGAGTAATCCATAATAGCGAAATATCGCGGCTCTCGAATTCGAATATGAGAAAATTGGTCGCATTTTCGGCTGTTGCACTTGCTCTGTCGAGTAATTCCTCTAAGGTTGCGTCGTACTCAACTGCATCGTTACTGGAATCGTGGAGCACATGGACATAGCGGTCGTCGGCGGAAACTACGGGGAGGTAGGATGAATTGGTATTAGATTTCTCGAAGTTTTTCGAGAACATCATGGCAAGCTGCAAGTATGCGAAGAAGAGCCAAAAGGCAAGGAAGCATTTGAATGTAAAGATGGTGGGAAAGTACCGCCGGTCGATTTACTGGGCAAATGTCTCGTACCAAAATTCCTCGATGACCGACTTCGGGCACCATGAAACGAAGCGTCTATGCACTGCGATGTGTAAAGTTGCCAGCGGCTTACCATGGCAGGTACATAACCGTGTGTAACAGTGTAAACTTGATTCTGGCCCGTATTCGAAAAGATCGGCACCGCATATTCTTCAGGCTATTCGCAGATCCTTAACTAAATCGTCACGCATACTCTAGCTTACCTTGTTAAAACGAGGTTTGCGAAAATATGTAAACGGGCTCTGCTGATCTACGCCGGTTTAGCTGGAGGTGGATTTAATCTATCACCAACGTATATCGCTCTGGCGTTTCAAGTGCGGCCGAGTATGTGGATTGCAGTCGCCGATTTGAATTTCCGCTACCGTGGATATGAGAATCGCGACCATGGATCGGGAGACCAAAGATTTCGGAAGCCGAAACCAGTGCAGATCTCCGCATATATGCATTGTCAGTCAATACAATGTGGAGCTCCTTCAACCGGATTGCCGGTAGGCCGTTACCAACGCTTTGCATCCATGTTCTCTGTATTTTACTAAAGTAAACATGCTAGCTAATGGATTTTTCTAGTCATATTTCTTCTTACACATGGAACTATCAGCAATTGCAGTGATCTTTGTCTTTTGAGATCCAGACTGCAGGAACAATCGATCGAATGACAAGTTCGTCCAAGCACAAACCACCATCAAAAGAGCCGTTGAAGATGCCTCCGAAGTTCATATAAAAACACGAAGAACACACTCCTTCAAGTAAAGCTTTCGCAGATCAAGAAAAGGTGCGTCATATGGGGCTCGTATCCGGACAATGCCGCGAATAGTGTAGTACCCGTGTCTCTGCATGCAGTTCACAGCCTCAATGCAACGGCGAGCAACCGTCCGAGATCGCATATTCCCAGAAGGATAGTATGAGATGTCTCATGTTGATCTTCGACAATGGAACGGCAGCGTACGAACCATCGATATCCGGATGTGGGACGAGTTTGCCGTATATAAAGGCGGGTAACTCTCAAGAATCAAATCCGTCAGCGGAATTCTCGCATCTATTTCAATTCCTTCTGTATCATTTTCAAGAAGCTATTCAAAAGACTTCAAAAGCTTCCTCTCAAAATGAAGCTCATCTCGCTCCTTGCTCTTGCCTCCGTAGCAGCAGCCCTTCCAGCCTACGAGGTCAGATCGCCCAAGATTGGATGGTGTGGCAACCGTCCCTGCATCACGAAGCGTGAGCCAGCGGAGACTGGAGAAGACAGTGCCCAGATCGGATGGTGCGGAACTCGGGTTTGCATTACGAAGCGTGAGCCCGAAGAGAGTACTGCTCAAGAAGACGATGGCGAAGTCAGCGCGAAAATTGGATGGTGCGGCACTCGTACCTGCGTGACGAAGCGCCAGCCCGAGCCCGAGCCCGAGCCCGAAGAGAGCACTGCTCAGGAAGACGACGGTGAAGTCAGCGCGAAAATCGGATGGTGCGGTAACCGTGTATGCATCACCAAGCGTGAGCCCGAAGAGAGTGCTAGTGAGCAAGAGGATGGCGAAGTCAGCGCCAAAATCGGGTGGTGCGGCACTCGTACCTGCGTGACGAAGCGCGAGGCAGTTCCAGTAAGTACCCCTACTGTTTGGCTGGAGTATGGAGACCGGAATGGCTAAGTGGAATGAGCAGTTCACTGCCTAGTTGATCGATATTCCCGTTGGACATGTTACTAGGTGACAACAAGGTATCCGGCCTACTTGTGGAGGATGGCGGAGAGGGTTCGTGTTGCGGGAACTTCATCGATGTGTGGTGGTCGTAAAACCCCTTGGGAAAACATATCTGGAATCATGATGTCAGTTACTTCTTTCATAGCCAGATCCATAGAAATGACAGTTTTTCTCGAGGCAAAACTCCCTTCTTGTGCTCACCATCTTCATTTCACTACCCTGCGGTGGGGATATTGGCGGTGCTGAATGTAGCATACATCATCCTCGACTTCCTCATCAGCAGCAAAGCCCTTGCTGCTTTCAAAGAGGACGAACAGTGGCGCCTCAGGGATCGCAATTTCGCCTGACTATCACACCGCATGAAGTCGATGAACTGACGGAATCGTGGGGCGGCCTGATGAGTCCGTTCTACGCCGATCGCAAACTGTACGACTTGTCGAGCGAAGACGGCTGGAAGGAGCAGCGAAGTGCGCAGATAATAGTCGGGTTGGCGTCGGATTGTTTGGCCCTGGTGTTGGCTTTGTTTATCACAGTCGTCGCAGCGGTGCCCAGGCTGTTAAGGAAGAAGAGTGTAGACAACTCTGGGAGGAAAACAGTACGTTCACTGCAGACTATGCGAAAAGGCCACGCACTGACGTATGAAACAGCTATTTCTCCTTGTCGCGGCTTTTGGACTGCTTCCCACAACCTTCTTCCGCTTGATAATTAGTGCACATTACATCTTTTATAACTGGAATGTTGTGGCTGACGAGGGCGAATGGCTTCAGTGGTATAATTCATTCACCTTCGACGATAACGGCATCTCGCCAATCAGCACGACTTAGCAGTTCTTGGCCGGCTATCGCACCACTGTCCAGGGCTATCCGGTGGTACAGGCGCTCTTTGAGCCTCTAGGCATTGTCCTCGCCATGCTAGGAATGGTGCTGTGGTGGAGGAGTAAAAAGGCCGAACCAGCGCCTTTGATGCGCAAAGTTGATGGCAAGACATTACATGATAGAGCCTGGTATCTGGATATACACGCACCTTCACCACCTTCTAAATCAGGGGAGAAGTAAACTCGATTACCTTCCTACAGAACAATACATTGACCAGGGGTATATTACCATAGCAGAGAGAAATAAAACCTTAACGCCGGCTGAAGACCCAAAATCCATCCTCCCGTCCCCGTGCGCCTGCTCAACGCCCTAACCCCGCGCCATCCACAAACCGCAATCAAAACACATCCACGGTTTACTCCTCCCTCCTCAGCGCCCCCTCTTTCACCTCCTCCCTCACCGACGTTGGCAACCCCTCAAACAGCCTCTTACTCCTCCTTCTCTTCCCTCCTTTCCAGCCAAAAGCGGCACCAGGAGCGGTATCACTCCTTGCGACTTTCCTATTTTCACCATCGGAGTCGTGACGTTCCACCTTTTTAATAGGAAGAGTGGCCGACTTCTTCGGGTGCGGTCCGCCATTCGCTTGCCTGTTCGATTGCCCACCAGCGGCGATCACCACCTTCCGCGGCACCGCCTTTCCATCATTACCCTTCGATCTCCCCAGCAGCACTGCGCGTATACCATCTTTATGATGTTTCTTCTCTGCCTGAATGCGAGATTCCATTGCTTCCCATCTCCTATTCACTTCCATCTCAACCTCCTTTCTCCTTCTGGCCGCTTCGTTGTTATCGCTCGCACCTTTTGCTTTCAGAGGCGGCCCCAGACGCGCTAGTTCTTTCCTACCTTGCAGGATCCTGGATCGGCGTATGAATTTGGTGGGTTGGTACTTCTTCTTGCGCTCCTCGTCTAGGCCTTTCATGATGTATGCCGGCGGTCCGATGAAGGCTGCGATATCCTTGTGCACGAGTCCGCCAATGCCATGGCCTACTCCTCTCAGGAATCCCATGGCACCGCCTTCCCTCGCCCCGTGGATAGGTTGGCGCCATACCCCAGTAATGCCATCGTGGATGCCGTAAAGGAACTCATCACGACTGGCACGTAAGCCTGAGTGGAAGCCGGTGATCCGATGAGGTCTTCGAACAGTCTCATCGCCGTAGAGACGCGGTACATTATGGAAGCCTTGGGCGAGTGCGAGTGTGAAATACATCGGCGCTCGGATAATCCCGCCGAAAGCTTTCTTGAGGCCGTGCCCTGCTTCCTGAGCGAGCTCTTCTGCGAGCAATTCTTCGGGTTGGGAGACTCTGGAAAGGCTGGACTCATTGCGGTGAGGCCTTGCCGGAAAAGAATGAGAGTGCCTGGGCCCACGAGGTGTGGTGGTCCCAGAGTCATTCGTTAATTGGTTGTCTTTGGGGTGTTCGCCTTTCGCTGCCTCGAGGGTTGCCTGCGCATGCTTCTGCCTCTTCTTCAATCGAAACCGGTAGGTATAATATCTCCTCCTCTTCTTCACGCTCTTCGCCATCTTTAAAGGTGCCAAGCCGACACCTTTGACAATGTCATCCGCTGTCCCCATGATTGCACCCCATGCCCCTGTGAGGGGTTCTCCAGGTCCACCAAAATCATTCCACTCGAAGATCCGCAAGAGTCGCAGCTCGTTCCACTTCACCTTTTTCCACTCGACCAGTAATTCGGCCGCCAAAGGAGACAGGCGCAAGGTCGTATTCTTCAATCTCCATGCTGCACATCGATTCTGGAGAATGTGGCAGCGCATGTTGTTCACACCCTTGAGAGGTAGACTCCGGTGGAAAGATCGTACAGCATTCAGTGCACCGTCTCCCTCGGCGGCGATACTGTCTGCTATCTGCTGGACGTTCTTTCGCGCTTCTTCTGTTAGACACTGCTTGATGCCTTCAGCCAGCTTCTCGGCCGTCAACTTCTTGTACGGAATGCACTCGTGTGCGCCCGCCTTCGCTTTGGCGACCATACCTCCCCAGAACGGCTGGTCTCCAAAGAAGGGCACGATCATGGTGGGTTTGGCGCATTTGAGACCAATGGCAGTTGTCCCTGCGCCTCCATGATGGACCACTGCACTGACTCTGGGGAACAGCCAGTCGTGAGGCGTATTATCGAGCATGAAAATGTAGTCTGGGGCAATATCCTTTCCTCCAAGACCTCCCCAGCCTTTGCTGACGAGCGCGCGCACACCTGCCATTTTGACCGCTTCAAAGATCATCTTCGTAAACCTGTCAGGATCATCCACTACGATTGATCCAAATCCAATATACACAGGCGGTTCGCCTGCTTCGAGGAACTTCATTAGGTCATCAGGCGGCTTGAAGGATGAGGCAAGGTCCAGGAAAACGAAACCGGATATGTCGATCTCGGGACCCCAGTCCTTAGGTTTTGGAACAAGCCCAGGCGACCACTGATTCCATCAGTAAGGCGCATTCACTCGAAATGGGAGAACTTACCAAGTATGTATAGGGGACTTTCAATCGATAGAGCTGTCCAGGCGCCCACAGCGTGGAAACTTCGTTCAAGAACAGGGTCTTTGCTCGAAAGCGATTGATAAGGTCGCCAAGCCCCTGCCAGGTCATCATCTCTACTAGTGGATACGACATGAAGTTGGTGTATTTCGGGTCCACATTGCCGGGTTTGATGTTGGCCAATGGATGTGGGAAATGGACAGTTGGTGTATAGGGAAACCTGAACGATTTAGCTTACGTATTTTGGATTCGGCTGCCACTCCTCTTACGTGAACATCATGTGTAGCGGGATCCCAAGTCGTTCAGCAATGTGAGGAGGTGCAAAACTCGGCGGGTTGGCGATGATGGCGTCGGCGACGAAGGGGTCCTTGTGGCCCACTGGGCCTTGTTAGAGGGCTGCCGTGCCAGCTCGGTAGCCACTTACTCATTTTCAAATTCGCATAGTCACCCTCGTCATCTGTGGAGTTGATGCATGCTCTCCACATGCCCTGAAACATCTCATACATTGCGGCTCGGCGCCTCCCCACCTCGCCCTCCTTGATCGTGTCGATACTTGGGATTAGCCCAGGATTCTTGACCATGAATGCCATGAGCTCCGACGGGTTGCCGCCCACAGAAAAGAATTCAAGGCCAGAATCCTCTTCGACGAACTTTTTGAATGCAGGATGCGTGGCGATACGGACGCGATGACCATAGTCTTCTTTCAAAATCTTTCCTATGCGGAGGAAGGGTTGGATGTCTCCCCTGGATCCGATCACTATGACAACGATATTGAGCTTGACGCGACGCCTGGGGTCCTCCATGTCGTCATGTTTAGGCAATATCTTCCTTCCCTCCTCATCCTGCCAGGAAACCGATGACTTCTCGTCTTCAACGCTTTCATCCTTGTTCAAACGTCGCTTCAAGCCGGCCCCAAGTGTCTTTGCGAAATAACCCCTATTCACAGTCTCATTTATATGGAGCTTCAGTCGTCCATCCTGTTTCGAAATGTGCCCTTTTGTATGGAAATCATCGTGATGAATGTGGAAGCGTGAGAATGGCCCAGTAGTGCGTCGAGGCTTTCCCTCTTGCCCAGAGTGTTGTCTCGATGGCGGGGTAGGTTCATCCTCACCTGAGGAGCAGCTCGAGTCGGAAGAATAAGGCTCAAAGGTGAGGGTGGGTCGCCTGCCTTGATGGCGAGGCTTGTCGAGAGGCTTGTCGCGCTTTATTGAGAAAGATATACGTCTAGCTTTAGGTCTGGGAGCTTCGGTTTGGGAATGGCGTAGCATTGGAGGCCGATGCGGCGTGATATCCGTGCACATTCTCTGAATGGAACTCTCAGGACGGCTACCAATCTCTGGAAGGAGGTCTTCCCTTGGGTTTGATGCGCTTTCTGTGTTGGACGGCTGCACATTCGATTTGCTACTTGAGGACGTATGAGAGGTGTTCGGAAATTCGGGTTCATGGAATTGGGCAGCAGTAACGAGAAGCGGGCTTCTGTTCTCTGCCTCGGTCATTGTGTTGAGGGGTGATAAGGTAGAAATTCTGGAGGAAGAGTGGATGCAACCGAGAACAACGAGGGATCAGTTAGGCCAATGCTGGGTACCAAATGCATGCGGAACTTGTACAGAAACAGGCGCATGCAAGCACAGAGAATTGACTGATATGAGGAACGACAGCCGAGATAACCGCATAATATAAGAGTATGAGAGATGTGTGAACAGGTTCTGGTGTCACTAAACGTCCACTTCAGGAATTGGTTAAAAGGGAAGCTATACTTCAATGGGCTAGCCGCGGCGCCCCCGCATGCATCTTGGGAGTGATGTCATACCCAGCCATCGGTTTTCATGGTATGACTAAGCCAACGGCAACCAGTGCTCCTCACGAATTCTACGGAGTAGCTCACCTTCTTCGACTTGATCCTTGGAATAATTCTATCAGTCACAACGAGCGTCGGTGCATACGAAATATGCAGCCATGCCTGAGGTGTCTGAGCCGTCAGCGTCAGCGTCTGTAGCCAAGTCCGTGGCCGACCGCCTTCACAAGGTCTGCAGCCCAGCCGATCCAACCTCTAGCGGCTTGGACCGAGTTGAGTATCTTGATTATGTTGCGATCGAAGGCATCTACCTCCTCCCAGTCATCCGCACAAGGCTCCCATAGAGCCGTCTCGGTTCCACCGGGGGTGCCCTTCGAGACGAGGCTCCATTCGCCAGTGTCGAGTTGTTTAACAGTGACCTTCGGTCCAACGACCAGTGCGCGTCCGAGGATACGAGAGTCCGCAACGAAACGAGTAGCCGCGTCGACGACGTCCTCTACTTTCCCCATAGCGCCGCCGGCGAGTACGATTCGAGCCGGCGCGGTTACAATCGGCGTATCAATGAAGTACGGACAGAGGAGGTTGATGCGGATGCCCTGATAATGGGAGGTTGCGCGGAGGGACCGAAAGAGCCCAAGTACAGCGTGCTTTGCTGCGTTGTACTGGGGTTGGATAGCAATGGGCGCTAGAGACGCGATGGAACCAAGCAACAAGAGATGTCGGTCGCGCACCCTTTCTCCGGGTTTGGAATCCATGCTGCAGCGCTCCGAACCGGGGTTCTTGACAAGCCAGTAATAGGCCAAGTGTGTGGTATACATGACGCCGGCCAGATTGACATCAAGGATCTTGAAAGCTGGCCTCGGAGGTTCCGCAGCATCCAAGCCCGTAGGCTGCTGTGTCGGGTCGTTGCCAGCTATGCCTGCATTGGCGACGACCGTATCGATGCCCCCATGTGGACTCAAACTGGCGGCCTCCTTGAAGAGATTGACCTGCGATTGCCAGTCGGTCACGTCGCAGTGCACGAAGTGGACGTTGTTGTTGCCCGTTTGCTGTTTCACCTCGCGCACGAGGACGTCTCCTTTCTCTGTGTTGATGTCTCCCACTATCACAACCGCTCCGTTCTTCGCCCAATGCCTGACGAAGCCAGCTCCGAACCCACTAGCTCCCCCAGTTATAAGGATCGTTTTGCCCTTGACCCAGGCGGCGTCGTAAGGTATCGAAAGGTCGATCGGAGGGGACTGTCGAATGGCGTCGACCATTCCCTCTGGAGTATAGGAGGTCATGATGTAAAGCAGGAGAGGATGGGATCAGAGGAGACGTGCGCCGGTTGCGTCTGAGGTATATTCTGTATCCGTGTTACCAGTGAGCGCTTTCCAGAGCTCAGCTAAATCAGCATCAGCTTCCCCCCTTTGGCAATACACCCACTAGCACCTGTCGCGGATTGCGAATTGCCGAGGTACGATGAGCGTGCGCCTTTGCATCTATGATGGTCAGATCTCACATGGCTCTGCAGGGGGCTATTCAGGACTCCAATATTCCCTACACGTACGTGAATAAGATACTTGGAAGTCTGAAGTCGGCCCGCTTCACTATCCACAGCGTGATTGGCAAAAGATTAGTAAACAATTATCCTGATTTCAGGTACAGAATTCATTGCCAAGTGCGGGCTAGTCCAAAAAGGTTCCCAAAAATACACCCACCCGACTTGCTTGTCGCCGTATTATGTACGTACTCAGAAGAGCAACGTGACTGACTCTGCGTTCTTAATATTACACACGAACTTGATTGCTTGGAAACATTGGAACCCTCGAAAATGGAGCCTCCATAGTCCAACCAGAGTTATTACTCTACATCTCCTTATCTCTTTCCCAAGCTCGTCCTAGCGTAGCCGTGGAATCGGCTTGGACCCGAGTAACCCAGCACATTTTTCCGCCGCATTGATTCACCCCTCCCCCGTCTTGCAGCAACATCGCGCACCGATCTTGTCGCTCTTTTATCATCGCACCCATTCTTTTGTGAACTTTTGGTTACTAGTTGGTATAGAAGATGGCCATGGAGACTAGCAAACCGCCTGCTTTTGACGTCTCGCACAACCACATCGTTGCGACGCTATTCTACAGATCCGACAGACCCTCCCATGCACATCCTCACCCAGATGCCTCTCCGCGTAGTCCACACGATGCGCTGCCAAAGGTCACGCTCGACGGCTTGAAGGATGGCTTTGCGCCTACAGAGAAGCTGGAAGAATACCCGCTGGAGCCACCAACACCTGGTCCGGATCCTCTCGACCACCTCTACGGCTCCTACGTCTCGCAAAGCTGCCTCACCGAATTCGTCGACACATTGAGAGAAATACTGCCAGACCTTGCGGAGGGGACCGAAGTCATACGCCCGTTGGAAAGATCAAAACTGTGCAGAGTGGTCGAGGTGACATTCCCTCTGCCCAGCACATCGGCAGTCACTCTCGAGGTGCTCAGGAGAGAAGAGGCTATCAGCCGGTTCGAGCGCAAATGGAACGTAGAAGCCGTGTTTCAGAACGACACCGTTTTCAGGCGTTATAAGCGGCTCGCCGTCTTCGATATGGACAGCACTCTCATTCAACAAGAGGTCATTGACGAGATCGCCAGCATAATAAACATCAAGCCGAAAATCGCCGATATTACCGCACGCGCGATGAACGGAGATATCGATTTCGAGCAGTCATTGAGAGCGAGGTGTGCCCTCCTGAAAGGTGTACCGAGCGACGTATGGGAAACGCTGAAGCCGAGACTCACCCTTAACGAGGGCGTCGCAGACCTCATCAAGGCATTGAAGAAGCTCGGTTTCAAGACTGCAGTCCTTAGCGGGGGCTTCACGCCTTTGACCGGCTGGATGGCAGCACAATTGGGTCTTGACTATGCGTTTGCGAACCATCTGGTCGTGAGCGAAGACGGCAAGTCGCTGACCGGCGAGTTGACTGGTGACATCGTCCACGCGGAGAAGAAGCGCCAACATGTCCTGGATATCGCCGAGAAGGAAGGTATCTCGCTCGACCAGGTGATGTGCATCGGTGACGGAGCCAACGACCTGCCCATGATGGGCGTCGCTGGCCTTGGTATAGCCTTCCACGCCAAACCGAAAGTGCAGATGCAGGCACCCGCACGACTCAACTCGAAGAGTATGCTGGATGTCCTGTACCTCCTTGGCATAACGAAAGAAGAGCAAGAGGCATTGCTAAGGTAGCAGTTTTATTTCCATTTCGATTTCCTTAGAGAATCCATCGTCACGACTCTCAATGTCTCGCAAAATACCTTTCCCGAATCCCGAATCTCTCGCACAGTGAACCACCTCTGTCCAACAGGTGCCAGTATTGGCATCGCTGCCATCTTTCCGATATCTGCCCCTCCGTCCAGATTAACTTGAACATTCTAGCAATTCCAACAACCTGGTTCCATGGTAATGTAGTCTTTACCCGCCTATTACCTTATATGAACGTTGTACCACCCAGAATTCTCCTTATAGGCGCATACATCAGGTCAACTCATACTTATCTCAACATCGTCCGAAGCCAACCAACTTCAACGGCCATCTGCTTACCCAGCTTCCAACCATGGAGTCGACCTCCAAATCGAAGGCTGTCGTCCTGACAGTGATTCTACCAGGCTACGCTCTAGCCGTCCCCAAAGTGACTGTCGTCCCCCTCACAGGAGGCTGCTCAGCATTACCCGGCTACAACAGCACAACGGGCATCGCAGGACCGTGGATCGCTCGCGCCGATTCGACGGGAAACAGCGCCCTAGATGGTCTCCCGCTCAGCATTGCACCCTTCACCAATGATGGCACTGACCGCTTCGGCTTCGTACGTCACTCAACCGATCTCCCCAAATGCCCATTGCCTGACGCGAACACTCAGGTCACACTCCCCAAGCAACCCCCCCGCCTAGGCGGCGGCCAGACCGTGAGCTTCCGCTGCGCCTCCTCGCGGCTCCAAGCATCCCTCCCCGCCGCGCAGTTCTACCCGGACGACCCGTCTTTGGAGCCAAAGTACGTCGACCTCGTCATCTCGACCGAGGAGAATTGGCAGGCGAGTTTCGGCTTCAATCTTAGTCCGTCTGTACCCGTTGAGGCGTATGCGCACTACGATGAGAGCGGTAAGAGGGTGGAAGGGGTTTTTCTTGGGGCGGCGGGGAAGACGGAGGTGGCGTTGAAGTATAATTGGGGAGGGAATGCGGGGGAGTATTATCTTGTTAGGTTGAACGGAGGTGTGGAGGGGTTGGTGGGTGGGGAGATTGAGAAGGGGGAGGGGAAGGAGAAGAGGCAGGATGGGTTTCCGGTGCTGGATGATAGAGATTGGACGGGTTTCTTGAAGATTGTGGGGTAGAGTGGACTGAGAAAGGTGAGCTGGGTGATTGAGTATACATGCGCTGGGGACTTTAGAAGGCCGAAGTGATATCTTAGCTGACAGAATTGACTAGCGCTAACACCTCTTTAAACACTTCGAAATTCTTGGATGCTGGCATAGTGGCAGTCAGAGAGATCACTCAAGCATTCGTTCCGCAGGACTTCTTATCACAACTTTCACACCCATAGCTCAATCCGGGACCCAGGAAACACCCTAACCGAGTGACGGGAAGAGTGAGGCGAACAAGGGAGCCGTTGATATCTAATTCATAACCAATGTCAAAGGCAGGGGCGGAGCAACTTCGCATGCATCTACCGACTTTACTCTATCATGAAGCAGTTGTCTAATTCATGGTCTAACCCACAAAACCTCGAACCCATCTCTAAACCTTGCTGCCTTTGAGGAACTTGCCACTGAACCCGAACTGAAGAGGCCACTGTACCTCTACCCCAAGACGAAATGCAACCCGTAGCACCCACTCCGGCTCGCGCAGAAGCTGTCTCCCTATCAAGATAGCATCGGCCTGTGGTTCAGGGCCTTCGACAAGCCTCTTCGCCATTACAGCCTCTTCCTCTTCCGTCATGTTCTCGACTAGACTAGCGGCACTGCCCTCGACAATCTCCTTGGCCTGATCTGCTTCCGTTATCATTCCGACTGCGCCGACAAGAAGCGGCTGGCCAGCCTCCTTCAAAGCCCTGCGAATCTGCCCAGCAATGCCGACTTGATAATTGCTATGCGGCCAAATGCGCTGCTTCACGTGGTTCCCTCCAGAGCTTACATCCAGCAGATCCACACCCAGCGGCGCCAGTAGCTTCGCAAATCGTATACTCTGCTCGACATCCCAGCTGCCGAGTTCCTTTGCCAAATCCGACTCTTCCATCCATTCCGTGCTCGTGATGCGATAGAAGAGCGGCATGCCCGGTGGAATGGCCTCGCGAACGGCTTTGATGACTTCGACATTGAATCGAATCCGGTTCTCGAAGCTCCCACCGTACTCGTCCGTCCGCTGGTTACTCAAAGGGGAAACAAAGCTCGAAAGGAGGTATCCATGCGCACCATGAAGCTCAATAACATCAACACCCGCCTTTACCGCTCTCCTCGCCGCGTCCGCAAACGCCTCTATCGTCTCCCTGATATCCTCCTTCGTCATCTCCCGCGGCATGCAATACGTCTCCGACCACTGAATCGCGCTCGGACCCACAACATCGTCCGGCCATCCACCCACTTCCGGCTCCGCAACACCGCCTTTCCCACGCTGCCGACCAAACCAGGGCGCGACGGTGCTCGCCTTGCGTCCCGCGTGCGCAAGTTGGATCCCCAGCTTGCCGCCAACGGCGTGCACCGCGTCCGCTACGTTCTTCACCCCGGCGATTTGCAAGTCGTCCCACAGGCCGCTGTCGTTGGGCGATATGCGGCCGTTTGGCGTCACGGCGGTGGCTTCGATGATGACGAGGCTGGCGCCTTTGAGGGCTGGATGGCCTAGGTGGATGAGGTGGTAGGGCGTAAGGCTTCCTATGGCGGGACCTGAAGAGGCACAGGAGAACATGCACATGGGCGCCATGAAGATGCGGTTTTGGAACGTGACGTCGCGGATCTTGAGGGGTTTAAAGAGGGTCGGGGTCGAGTTGGTCAGCTCTACGGCGGAGCCGGGAGGGGGAGATGTTTTGGGTATGAAGAACGGGATTGCTTCATCGTTGGAGGCCATTTTCGCCGGTACGTGCTAGCCCAGGGAGGTCGGAAAGGTGAGAATTGTGGCAGTTTGCGACCCTTTCTTTCTCTCTTCTGTTTCCCTGGACATGGCGGTGCACATATAACGTCGTTCTGATCCCAACGGTGGCGTATGGCGACCAAAGCGCGCCTGGAAGACTATCATCCAAGTATTCTTAATACATCTTGAGCTAACCCTGGGAGGAGCACGGTATACTCGGCTCCAGACGTGTTGAGGTGCTTGGCGTCAGCAGAAGATTCTCATTGAGATGTTGAATCCTTACAACCCTTGGAACTGAGAGCCTGAAGTGAGCCTGCATGCAGGGAACCTTCGGTCTAGCCAACTTGTTGCCCAGGAGAAAGGGTGAACTCGCTGCGGAGTTGCAATCAGTGCAAAGTTCGTATCGGAGGCTACCAGTATGACCGGGTTTCTATTCGAAGTTGAGATTTCCGAGCTATTGAAGCTTGCTTGCAGCCACGCGCGTCTCCCGCAGGAACGCTGGATTACGTGAGAATATGCGGCTGCACAGTACATGGTATGCGGTGTGACAACAGGGTCTATGCGGTGCAAAAGCTTACAAAGCCCTGTTGTTCATACCTGATGTCTTAAAGAAGTCGTTGGTGATGCCCACCCATTCTTGGTTAACCATCTTCCTACCTAATAGCTCTTATCATGTTATATATCTAGCGGCAATGTCTGTTTACTGTCTCTTGATATTATCCTGCGTTTATAAGCGCCGACCTCCCACTTGTGTTAGAGAATAACATAGAAGCCTAGCCAATAACTAACATACTGTCTAGTGGGAGGATTCCCACAAGGGTTCATGAATGTGGGCCATGGGTTCACCACTTCAGATTGAGTCACCATAATGATATTCTGTTCATGTAACAGCTATGCGGACAATACTCCCGTATGAAAAATGTACAACTTTCCCTTAGGTATTCAATTTCCTACCAAAATCAATGCAGGCGGTAGCCACTGGCTTCGTATACTCCTCCGGTGGAGAACAGGCTAACAGCAGAGAGTGCCTGCGAATAACCGTGAGGGCTTCATTCATGGTGTATCAGGGAACAAGAATTTGGCATGGTGGTATCTTGTGTCCGGAGGTGCATGGCCGTCTATTGCATGTCAGCAGGTTAAGCCAGACGCGGCTGCAGTTTACGTCCAGAGAGATTGTTGGTCGGGATTCTATCTTTGGCTGCTTTTGAAAGCCAATATTTTTCTATATATTATTTAAATTTAAACTATTTAACATCAAAGAAATACAAAACAGCATCGGTGGTTTAGTGGTAAAATTAGCCGTTGCCATCCTAAGGTTCGACGTCGGCTAGCCCCGGGTTCGATTCCCGGCCGATGCATTTTTGCTTTCTTTTTAGTCGTTTCAATCTTTTCTATTCTCTTTTCTTTCAATGTGAGCGTCGTGAGCCCTGGATCCCGAATTTTTTTTCCAGCGAGGGTGAGCTTCCACGGGTGCCGAAGACTTCGCGGGTCCATGCTCACGAATACGCGCCTGGTGCTGGCTACATACACTCACGACCTTAAAACTCGGAAATTCCTCAGATCAAGCCAACGTCGCACGAAAAAAAATTGTGAACAGTCAACTGTGGTTCGGTCTGGATACCGAGTGCATTTAGGACTTTCGGACTCTGGATACCGTCATGTTGAATTCTTTCCCTGATACTCCATGAATGAAGCCTTCACGGTTGGTTGTTTGCAGGCACCCTCTCCAGGGCTGCTCTTATTCTGTTTTTGACCGGAGGCGTACACGAAACCAGTGGTTACCACCTGGCTAGCGAAGAAAGCTTTTCTGTATTTGGAAAATCACGTGCATCCGACTCTACCTGTGCGCAGGTGTACAGTTCGGGGGGTGCAGTATGTATGTGAAACCCACGCGCATGGCAGCCGGATTTGCGCCGCCTGCCACAAAATTACTTCATGATGGTACTTGAATACAATGTAGGCCCCCGAACACACAGTCGTCCTGGCAGGTCAACTTGCAAGCAATATGCACACCCGTAAGACGCTCCATAGTAACTTGATCATAAGTGTGCCACTCTTGTAAGATCGTGTTGAAGGGTGAACATGTTTCTGTAGTAACATCCTTGTTCCAAAATGCGTAACCGCACTGGTTTGGAAGTAATGGGTGGTGGTTAACAAACCGCCTAACAGCTAGATGTTTTGGAAGGGACGAGTCAGACAATGCGGTGGGGACTTTCAATGCCCATGGACAAATTCTTGCTGATTCCTTATAGATATTAAGAGCATTCCTTTCTGCGGTGGCTCTGTATCAGACATTACGCATTCGTGGAACGACTCACCAACGGTAGGGAGATATCAACAGCAGAATTATACCGAGTTCTTGAGAACATGTCGAAGACGATGACGGCCGTCTCTTTCCCCCTTTGACCGCTCTTACGGTCTTGTTCCGCGTTATCGAAGACGGCTAGGGTATGCTTGAACATATTCACCATTGCTACAATCGTTTGCTCTACGTTAGACCCTTAATTGGGCAAGTCTGCAAGAACGAAAAGCTCCTGCAGGTATAGTGTACAGTGTGTAGCGACGACAGTGGAGAGGATGTGACGCCACAATTCTGGGATCCGGCGCTTCAACTGCCTGATATGCCCTATCATGCGTCGATTCACATCTGTTAGCTCTGTCGGGACTTCTTCGAGAACCTGTAATACCTCCCAAGGCTGCAGATCTTTAAGCGCTTTCATAACTAGAGACACCCAGGGGGAAGTTTACAACTATTTTGGGCAGACAGCCAATGTTCGTGTTGAAGACCTTGAGACCAATCAGGCCATAATCAATAATTCAGCCCACAGTCTGGCTGAAACTCACCTAATCGCTTCACCTAGTCGCCTTTCAGCTACATTTACTTCGACCTAGTGAATAGAATTAATTGGGGCCATAACAAGCGCAGATTACGAGACCACAATACTAATAAGGTATAGCATTCACTTGCGCGTTTCAGCCTTGTGTCTGGCCCTGAGGCTGAGCACTGCAACAACAATATTTAGAGTGAGGATGAAGATGAATTATGGTTCGATTGTCCGCTCTACTCTTCCTTCGTTTGACCCTAGTGTGGAAGCAACACCATGCGCCCATTTCCTCGTCTTTCGTTTCTGTCACTTGCCGTTAGTTCTTCTTTCGTACTCTCATCGTTTGCGAGCAATATTTTGGCGCGAAATGAATGCGAAGCTGTCCACCCAGTTGTTGTTACATACACTACTACCATTTACGCGACAAATGAAGGTATTCCTACCAAACCTAGTGCGACTACCCCGATATCCATCTACGATTTGAGCATCACCGCCAGTGACCCTACTGCTCGCGAGACTGATTACACCCATGCACCCTCCTTGAACCCTTATCCAATCCCGAATGAACATAAATCCTGTTTCCATCGAAGCAGCACAGTCGAGTATCCACACGTCTCCTATCATGGCGACTATCTCAACGAGACGGCAAGCTCATCCCCGACACACCGACAAGGCTATCACACCGCTCCGTTTTATGGGAAGCCTAATGCGACATCGTTAAATACATACCGTACTGCTTCTGGGGCCACTTCAACTATTTTAGTACCCATGAACAGCACTATTCCAACGCCTCCGTGCATACCTGAGATCGAGCTCGACGGCGTAACTCCGTATGGGTACAATAAGAAAAATACTCCTTTCACCGTGAAGATCACAAGTTGCTCTAAATTCCAAGTCAATCAGACAACAGCCTTTGCAAATTTCAAGGCTATCTCGGGTATGACCGTGAGTGCGGACAGTATCTCATTTACTGGGTTCCCAGACGACTATTGTCTCCTATCGATGTTCGCCCTTGACACAAACGGGTACCCGATCATCCAATCTTGGGAGTTGCATTTTGGAAGCGTAGATATGCCAGTTCTCATTCTCAACCCGGACGATACCCCTGCGCAAGGAGTTCATGTGGAAGCCAATGCTACTATCTATCCAGGATTGACCAGTACTTGCACGACCGATGCAGCGGGCAAATGCACCATTGGGAATCTTCCAGGCACCACTATTAGTCTCGTCGCACGAAAAGACGATGGTTCCATCGCCGTCAACGGCCTCGCACCAACTACTGTTCAAGTGAGGCTGAAGCTCCTGCCATTCGTTAGTCCAAAGCCGGGTTCCAGTTTCGAGACTGGAAACGGTACGGCGGGATGGACTGGAGGCGAATTGAGACAGTCTTTGAAGATCAAGCGCGATACTACTCTAGTTGTAAACACGAACCGCCAGTACACACTTCAGACCGCGAGTAACAGTTTCCCTGCAAGTGGGAGTATTAAAAAGGCATACATCAAATATCGTTTCATTACGTCTGAGGTTCCTGGTGGTTATTTTGCGTAAGCTTTTGGCATGCGCTCTTTACTGACTGCCTGCTGATCCTTGACATATAGAACTCAATTCAACGACTACTTTTCCATAACTATCCGCTCTGACACCGGCGCCTAGGTTACGGTAACAAACAGCATGAACGCCCTTGGCCTGGGTGCTTTCGACGCGAGGGGCGCAACCAATATCTTCACCCTCACCCTCGATGTCCCGGCAAACACCAAGAGCATTATGTACGATATTGGTGTCTCCAACGTCGCGGATAACCTCCTTGACTCCTCTCTTGTTGTCGAGAGCGCGGGCGAAAACAAATGCGACAAGTGCGACTCTTGCGAAGCTTGTCCTGAGCGTCCGGCCTGCCAGGAGGCCTGCAAGACTCCGCCTCCCCAAAGCTGCGATTTCTATTCTAACTGTGCGGAGAAAGAGTTGAAGTGTGGACTAGATGGTTACCCGGTGCGGTACGGACAGAAGAACTGTCTTGCTTTTAGCAGGAATCTGAAGTTTTTTACACCGCAGGGTCAGAACTTTATTTGGGGGACAATGAGCTGTCTTCAACAGTTTCTCTCCCCACTCATCCGGAACTGCGACGAGACGTGCAACTCCATTTCTACGAAAGCGTTTGCCTCACATCCAAAGTGCTACACCGACAATGGTTTCTGCAGCTTGGGCTGTGGGGACATTCTGGTGTTGTTGGCGGTGGTGAACAAGGACTTGTTGGTGAGCGCGACACAAATCGTGGACACGGCGAAGATTTGTTTGACTAGTCTTAATACCTTAGATGGTTGTACAGGAGAGATTTTGGCTGGTACTGCTGCAGCCGCCACCTTTGGAACTAGTATCCCGTGGACGATAGCGGGAGTAGTCGCAGGGAGGTATCTTGGCGGACTTACAATTGGTGCTTTTTCGGGTGCAGGCTCTTGATCTCATGATTCGTTAGGACTCTAGTGGCCTAGCATGAGTCCTTTATTCAAGATTATACGGTAGGAAAGCCGAGGTCAACCGATCACTTTCCTGGCTTCAACCCCTTAAACATCTTCGTAACCCCCACAATCGCTTCTTCAACTGGCAACCTCTCAATACTACTCGCCCCATAAAAGCCCTGCACGCCCCGCGTCCTGCTGATAACATACTCGGCATCCTCGGGTTTCGCAATGGGGCCCCCATGACACAGCACAATAATATCCTCCCTCACCTTCACCGCTTCATCCCGAATCTCTTGAATCAGCTCCACACATTCGTCCAACGTCTTCCCGCTCTTAGCCCCAATGCTGCCGGAGGTGGTGAGGCCCATGTGCGCAACTAGGATGTCAGCGCCTGCTTCTGCCATGCGGCGCGCCTCAGAAACGTTGAAGGCGTAAGGGGTGGTTAGCATGTCGAGCTCATGAGCTGTTTTTATGAGGGCCACCTCAGTGTCGTAGCCCATGCCCGTCTCTTCCAGATTCTGTCGGAATTGGCCGTCGATGAGGCCAACGGTTGGGAAGTTTTGGACGCCTGCGAAGCCGAGGGATTTCAGTTGATGAAGGAAGGAGGGGATGTCGCGAAAAGGATCGGACGCGCAGACGCCGGCTATGACGGGCGTCTTCTTGACGATGGGGAGGACCTCCTTGGCCTAATCGACTTCAGTCTACTCCGTATTGATTTCGAGATTGCCGAGTGTCTGTGTACCATGTCGACAACAACATCATTGGCGTTCCCGTAAGGCATGAGCCCAGCTAATGATCCTCTACCAGCCATGCGGAAGCGACCACTGTTGTATATAATAATCAGATCGCCACCACCCTCTTCGAAAAATTTCGCACTGAGGCCTATGCCTGCGCCTGCCCCGACGAGAATCTTGCCATCCTTGATCGATGAGCGGAGGGTTTCGAGGATTTCCCTGCGGTTGGTTGGCGGTGCCATTGTGCGATGATGTCTAGCTACGGGAAGGTAGTTAGGAGTCGAACCAGGGAAGGAAATTGGAGCTTGATTGATTTCCCAGCTCCGCTCATGATTACGTCATCCGCAGACTGCTGCGGCTTTCTACATCTGACTGAACACCGCCCTGCAGTTCCTCTGTACTAGTGTTTTCCACGTCTGATTGAATCGCCTGGAGGCACAGCAATATACTACACCTGGCAATTAGCTCTGTATTACCTCTACCTACAGATAATAAAGTCTAAACAAAGCTCTACACATAACATTATTAGGAGGTAGCTAATTGGCTTGCGCTGGCTAGGCAATCGCACCTACCTAGGTACAGAGGAACTGAAGTGGGGTATTCAGTCGGATGTTGAAAGAGGCAGTGCTCATCACTCCACTTCACTAGCCCCGTCAACTTCCCCAATCCAAGAGCATGGCAAACATAGTGCTCCTCGGGACGTGCGACACCAAACTGGATGAAATCCTGTATCTTCGAGATGAAATCCTGCGCGAAAAGTCGGTCGAAGTCGTGCTAATTGATGTTGGACGCAACGAAGTCGCGCACGCTGCCATCAACATTCAGAGTGGCGAGCTGCGACAACGGTTTGGCGATGGCCGTATAGCTTCAGACCTACCACGTCGTGAAGCCATCAAGGTAGTGACGGACTGCGCGACGAAGGCTGTGAAGGAGCTATACGACACGGGCCGTATCCATGGCGTCGTAGCCGCTGGCGGTTCTGGCGGAACATCGTTGACAGCGGCTGTCATGAGGGACGCACTTCCCATCGGTTTCCCCAAGCTGATAGTGTCGACTGTCGCGAGCGGGGATACCGGAGGTATCGTCCAAGAAACCGACATGGCACTGATGTATTCTGTTGTGGATATTGCGGGGCTCAACGGCGTCTTACGCAACGTTCTTAGCAACGCAGCAGCTGCTATTGCAGGTATGGCGCGTTCCTATGCCTCGCGGGAAGAGTCCAGAGCAAAGCCGTCGACGAAAAGAGTCGGCATCACCATGTTCGGCGTCACGACCCCGGCGGTGGATGCCATCCGCAAACACCTCGAGTCGCAGTATGATATAGAATGCTACGTCTTTCACGCTACCGGCCACGGAGGCAAAGCGATGGAACGACTAGTCCGGGAAGGCCGGCTCGATGCGGTGCTCGACTTGACAACCACCGAGATCTGTGACCTCCACACAGGCGGAGTCATGAGCGCTGCTCCCGACCGGTTGGAAGCGGCCGCTAGAACTGGCATCCCAAACATCATCTCGTTGGGCGCAACGGATATGACCAACTTTGGTCCTATGGGCACCGTGCCGGAGAAGTACAAGGATCGGAAGTTGTATGAGCACAATCCCCTTGTCACATTGATGCGATCATCAAAAGAAGAGTGTAAGCAGGTCGGTGACTTCATTGTGAAGAAGTTGGTAGAGCATGCCAAGAATCCGGACATGATCGAGGTGTGGATGCCCTTGGGAGGTGTTAGTATGATAGCCACGGCTGGAGGACCGTTCCAAGATGCCTCTGCTGATGAGGTGCTCTTCCAAACCGTGAGGGATGGTCTGTCGGGGACTAAGATAAGGGTTGTCGAGGATGCACGTGCGATCAATGATCCTGGGTTTGCCAGAGATATCGCGGAAGCATTAGCCCAAAAGATGGGGTTTGCTTGAGGAGTAACCATGCCCATGCGTGCCAGCTGGGTCTGGCTCGAAATGAAATACTTAGCGCTCGAAACAACTTCGATTCAGTCATCTTCTCACAGCGGCGGCCGTACTTCGCGCAAAGCCGACGGAGAGAACATGACGATAGAAACCTTTTAGGAAGTTTGTCTAAGAACTCATTTCACGTAGGCCAAGGACCACTCCTATCTAGGTTGTTGATAGTTTCTGCAAGCACTGCAACGTCATCGACGGGTAAAGACCTTGTATGACGACTTTGGTAAAGGGCCGAAGGGCTAGATTCTAAAACATGCCTGGATCTCATTTCCGTAAATCGATGTGTCGTTGATTATTTCTGTTTGCTACAATAGATTTACTGCGAACAGAGTGAGGAGGCTCTTTGTTTTCTTACTCCAATCGTGTCTGTGTATGCCTGCTGTACAAGGCCTTTCATGTATAGGTCTTTGGCTGGCTGACTTGCGGTCTGGTGCAGCCACGGGTTGTCGATATATTCAGTAGGAAAATCGGGTTGCGTGTAAGTTCAAGGCGACATGCTCCAGCGTTATGGTGAAGACAATAAGCTCAGCGCCTTCAAAGCCTAGTATGTTTCAAACACTATGCACTGCTCACAACTTCGCCATAGCACGGTAGGATTTTCGTGCAGAGAGAGACATCAGTCACTAAAAGAAGAGTTTAGAAGTATAGAAATGTTGATTGATCTAAGTTCTCAACGGCCCTTAAAACCTAAAAAAAAAATAATAGTGCACATATTGCTGCCTCTCGCTATAATATGTTCAACCTTCCGCTTCCAAAACTCCCAAGGTGTTTCCATTAACGTCGGCGACTCCCAGTTGCCAGTTCCATATGCCGATCGCGTTGGCATAAACGGCTGCCAGTCGCCACATCTGTTGTAATACTAGGTTTGGTACGGGTGCTCCCTGCTGGGGTGCCGGATCCCACACAGTAAAGTCCAATTCGTGTCCTCCTGGTATCGCCACTGCGCCGTTGGTGTCACCCGATGCGATCCTTAAGCTAATAGAGCTTATGATAAGTTCCGAGATGGATGCGAAGGCGGCTGGTCCATGTCGCAGAAATTGTCCCAAAGTATATACTTGGCCGTTGAAGGTGATTCTCTGTCCGGATGGATCCTGCGCTTGTTGTCTTTTCTCCACAATTTGGCGATCCTCAGTTGGGCGTTGCACAATCTGGAGGTCTTCGGTTGAGTTTTCCTGGCGTTTCCCGAGCCGGTTGAACCTGTATGAATGGTATGTCTTGAACTGGCTTTGAGGTCTTCCAATTGGCGAGCCCAGAGGGTCGAAGAGCTCCTGTCCGGAGCATCGTGAACCGGCGAACAATGAGAGTGTGGCGGGGCCCTGCTGCACGAGTTGCCAGCAAGCAATAGTCGGGCCATCGAAGCATTTGCCCAAGTCGCCTGCTACTAGAATGCTATTGTCGCCAGTACATTCATAGTTGTTCTGGCCGCCTCGGACACCGGTCCAAACGCGCAAGGATTGCGCATTTGCGGTGGCGACAACGGCCATCACGGGCAAGACCAAGCTTCGAAATCGCATTCTATACGATGGTGGTGATAGTGGCGGGAAAAAAAAAAGATTCGGCGTTTGTGTATCAGAACAATAGTGGTTTAAATGACGGGTAGACTGAGTCTTCTTAAGATGCTTTCTATCCAGCTGGGAACACGTCGCCCTTTTATATCTACGAGACTACAATTCCTGAATTTCTCTAGACGCTTAAATGGGTTTGCACACGTAGTGTCGTTGTTCTTACTGTAGGGATTCCCTACAACTCGACTGGGCTGACGCCAGCGTCCACGGATGGTATTGCTAAGACTAGGATACAGATATTACATCACGAATCCTTCTCGCTAATATACCAGCTAACATATGCTGATTTAGGTTATAGTTGAGTTATACCGGTAAATGCCCTAGATATGTCAAACTCCTTACGCTGACCCATGATGTCCCCGGACAGGGGCCCAAGAATTCGCCCGTCTCTAGGTACCTGAGCCCAGCTTGTACTGCTGGAACCAATGCGGGGATTAGTACTCCGTGTCTAGACCACAGTCCACTCGCTATAGCCGCGTGGCTTGAACCAAGCGTTTCCTAAAACTTTGCGGATGTAGTAACAAGGAGGCTAAGGCTTTTGATTGCTTGCTAAAAAGTGACCATTTTAGACAATGATACCGGCATCTCTGCACAGGTAGAGATTTTAACCTACGCGGTGACCCTAGCTATATAAGAGCACACCATGCCTACCCTAGGGTACAGAGACTTTATTTGGTTACAGATAAATTCTATCAGCGATTTGAGTAGCGTTATTGGATGTAGATGCGCAAAAGGTAAAGCCGTGCTTGGGCGAGGAGGACTAGCGTTAAGTTTTGGTCCCTGCTACTGTTAGGTTTAGGTTTAAAGCGCTGCGGGACCAGTAGTTTGGAGCCACTGTTGGTTTGGCTAGGTTTGGTTGTTAAATTAGGCCAGTAACGAATCCAAACTATATTGAATTAGGTTAGTGCGCGGCGGTGCAACGAGCAACTACCTATGTAGTTACTTTACCCTAACCACCAACCTCCTCATTCTCCCAACCTCGAAATCCTCAATCAACAAAACCCATTGCTGCATCGCACGCCCTCTTGTGAGCGTAAGTTAAGATAGACCCTGCTACTAGTCACACAGATCTTGCTAAGCTAAGGGCTGGTAACATGGGATGATGGGGTTTCTGTCATGGGTTTCCTCGTTGAACACATCCACGGGAGCGAGACGCTGGGAAATATCGCTGGAAATGCTTCAAAGGCTGAGCGAGAGAAATGGATGCAGCAAATACGAGACACCGTCAAGACGCTACACGACGCGGACATTACTTGGGGGGACGTGAAACCGGATAATGTTTTGGTCGACGCGAATGGCAACGCGTGGGTGATAGATTTTGGTGGGGGTTGTGCTTTAGGTTGGGTGGATGAAGAGCTGGCAGGCACGAAGGAAGGGGATTTGCAAGGCCTGACGAGCCTAGAGGATTTTCTGGGAATACAAGCTGTTGGAGATGTACCAACGGAGACATGAATTTCCCTCGTCACTAGTTGGAGCACCGCGTCACATGGGAATGGGTTAGCTAATCCTTCAATGACATGTTCAAGACCTTATGGATAGATGCCTACGATTTGCTAGCAACTTGAGAGATAATCGTTGTCAGCAGCTACTACTATTAGGCTCAAGTGCTGCGCACTGCGGAATCGCCGTTCCAAATACGTTATCACAATCACAGTACTGAGTTAACAGTCTAAGACCGATAACCGAGGACTAGTGGAATAGATTCCTAGGTTGCTGAGAAGAATGATGCGCAGCTGGCTCTAGTCTCATGCCGTTGTCCCACTCTGTTCTCGTGTATTGCTTGTTAATCACGACACATGGTCGAGATCCATTGGATGGATTCTCAATACGGCCAAGACCGATGAAGCACTGATTAAGAGTTATAGGGTTGCGTCCTCCACATTTTTGACAACGATCCTTAGTGCAGTTGGCGGCTTTGAACCTCAAACCTGGGTCGGCTTTCAATGTCTAATAATAAACGTCCGGGATCTTCGCTGAGCCTGAGCTTGAGATGGGGGACCGTATATTGTAGAGCTTGAGAGTGCCTCTATCGGTAGTAGTCACTTGGAGTCAAATCGCTAGTTGTGCTGCATTCGACGATTACCCTAGGGTAGATGGTCATGATGATACATTCTCTTTTGGTTCTATAGCTAAATCCTTACTTTGTCGTCGTAGAATCGCCTTTGCGCATGCTTCTCGATGGATGTACGTATTTCTGAGGCAAACGAGCTAGAACTCTAGTGATTACCCAGACATGTCATGCCCAGGGGTGGTTTCGAGTTGACTTCCCAGGGTTACCTGACAACCTGTTAACCCGATAAGAAGTGACAGTAGAGCAAGACGAATCATCGTGGTAAGAACGGCTGAGGAGATATCTTATAAGGTGCCCATGAGCGGACTGCTAGCGTGCCGCTGCACTGCCCCGGCCGGTCGGTGGTCTTCTCTAAGGGCTCGGAGACAATTTTAGGCTGTCTAAGAACCTGTGAGACGCTCTAGTGCAATAGATGTAAGCATGTTGTACAAGAGTACATGAACTTTATGTCAGCGAAAGGGGCAGCAATATTAATGGGATTCGTTAAGCGTGTTGAAGCTAGCAGGGACATTGACGGCTACCACAGAGAAGAATATCGCTTGCTGACACGACGAAAATGTCCATGTGAATTCTTTCCGACGGCCTGTTGTATCATCACGAGTGAATAATATCTGCTTGTAGACTTGTCCTATCTTGGCTCAAGTGCTACGGTGGTTGGAACAAAGGTTACCCGGCAAACCCCAAACCCCGCAATTGAAATCCGCTCGATCCCTTAGCACTTTTGCTGAGTGAGGGGCAAGTCGTGAAGGGCTGATTTAAGGACGACTAGATTGGCTATACTCCTCACGAGGCTGCCATGTTGCTATCATACGACCGAAAGGAGCGACGCAGCGTTACGTCAGAAAACACATGTACAACCTGGTCAAGTCCTTCTCCTCATTGATGCTGCTGGATATTGGCTCGAGACTCCTGCCTACGGCACGCCTAGTCAGAAGCAGAAGACGATTACTGGCATCATATGGACGTAAGTGTTACGCGGCGGAAGCCAGCCAAATACCCTATTTCCGAGCGAAAGATGTTAAAAGCGCTCCTAGGAATGAACCAGACTGCTCAATCGTTGGGATCGCGAGCGAGAATCATCCAGCTTACTGCCCATCATGTCCCATACTGAAGATGTCCAAAAAGCCATTAAGGCGCATTCCGATGCAAATACAGACAACTACATCAAAGTAGACACTTTCAACGACGAAGTTGCAGAGGTGTGCAAAATGAATCTTGCCTCCACACTAGTATGGACACTTTGCTAATTGTCCCAGGCTGTCCGTGGCCACATCCATCTTGAATGGAAGAGCTGGTTCTTCTTCCGCAAGCTAAGTGCAGACTGTGCCCGTGCAAATGTGTCTCTGCACGGCTTCGGCATGTGAGTATTGACCCCAAACAGCACTAGCTATCCATATGCTCATTATCAACAGGCTCTTCAAGCGCGCCGCCACCGAATGCTTCGCCGACGGTATGTGGCTCGAAGGCTACCTCGTCCAGCGCGGCGGACGCTCCAAACCCAGTGACATCCCCGCACCCGATGTCGAGTGGCCCGACGACCCAGTCGATCCAGTTCAACCAGTTTATGAAGCGCTCCAAGTCGAAAAGTGTCTCCTAGAAGACCTTCAGCGACTCTGCGCCGTGGCTGATAAACATGGCGATTACGCACTCGAGGACGTCATTGAAACGCGATTCTTGAAGAAGGAAACTAAACACGTGAAGGATATGGGCGATTTGTTGCAGCAGAGTGTGCGGGTGAGCAAGCAGGCGGGACATGGCCTATATCACTTGGATAAGGAATTGAGGGAGAACAAGGGGGTCACGCCTTGGGGGAAGGCGAACAATCCTGACAATACGGATTATCTGTTGCAGGCTGCTACCGCTGATCTTTCGAATACTAAGCTGTTCCCGTCTTGAGTTGGGCGGTTGCTCTCCCAGGGTTCGGATGGTGTTAAGAAAACGGGAAGTGGGTGGGATGAGCAAACACAAGTTGTACGTTATGAGGATTTTGTCCAGCTTGGAAATGTCACTGCGTTCAGTAAAATTTTAAGGTAATTGGCGTAGCAAAATGTATAACAATGTACTGGCGTAATAACGTCCCTGCGCTCAAGCTGGTGATGAAGATCTTCTCTTTTTTGGAGGCTTGTCGTACAAACGAAACAGACGTCTCTCGCTCGGTATGAATATGACCCGGGCGTTATGGTTCACACAACGCATCAAAGTGAAAGTACTGAATACCTAAGTAAGAGTCTGCGTAATATCGAGTGTGATTGATGTTGTGAAAGTGCTGTGAGCGGGCGCGGAATCGATGCAGGCATATGCTACCCACGAGGGTTATGACTTGGAGGGATTCCTTCAGTAGTTTTATTTGATTTATCCCATGGGCAGCCATCTTTATTGCGTGGAATCCAGTCATCGTGCTCTCGCCTTCACATCCTGGGGCATCATATTTACACGGCGTTGGTCGATCCATACAAGGCGCTGAGACAGTAGCGACTCTGATTATTGATGAATAGACTCGATTGGAAGAGCAATACTTCTAGAGTTGAGAAAATTGAAAACGCCATCTTATTATGAAATTCAACTGTCGGACTATACGTGCTGGTGGATGCAGACAGACCCGGCTCTCCGCAGCAGATCCTAAAGGATGGGGGATAACGCTAGGAATGCGAGCTGCGGGGCAGATCTTTTAAGATGACGTTAGGGAGTTGTCCAGACCATGCCGCTAAAAGTCACTACTGGATGGTCGACCCGCTGCCACCATAAGGTAGGAACGCAGCACGGAATCGTCCCATTACCTCGGCGCCTCCGCCGGATTAACGATTCATCACTTTGCTAATAGTGCGAGTTGTACATGCCCTGATGATCTTCATCTGCTCCATGTGTTGCATAAATCGATGGAGCATTGGGCAAAGTTTAAGTGATTGCTCATACGAGTAGGCTTCAACAAGAATAATAGGGTATGCTCAAATGGTACAGAAAATGTTGAGATACTAAAGGAAGGTGAGGTGGTTGATTTTATTTCACGAACAGGAAGCTAATTACATTCTTTGAGCTTTCCGACAAAACTCCAACACTTTTATAGGATAAAGAACGTGGCATAAAGTTAAATGCTTTCGGTCAAGCGGGACCTAGGATATTTTTCTCGAATATGGTTGTCGTCTTTCCCGTATTGTTGTTCTCGATCTTTCTCGGCGCGTCAACAATTTGGGGCTGTGAACGAGCCCATGGCATAGACTTACCTCATAGCGTGGTTCTTCTTCGCTTGCAGCAACGTTACGGCCAGCTTGTTGTCCATGTTCCGTGAGGATGGACTTAATGGTACCGACACTTTCAGAGGTATTGGATTCGGGACCTATAGATGATTAGTGCTCCCAACTCGGAACAGAAAACTGATGATGGAGACGAAAGACACACCTCCAACGGGCTTATAGCGCACAGAACTTCCTTGTTTGAATTGCGGCATGGTGGTTGATTGAAACTCTGTCAGAGGTAAGGTTGTGTTCAGGAGGAGTTCATATATCCCCTACAGACAATAATATCATGATGATTTCACCGAATTATCCATTGACATTATAATAGCAGCATGCGATTCACATGTGACAAGCAATGACGTTTTCGTCTTTAGTCATTTTTAGGTCAACAGGTTTTTGGGTCAGGGTCCCAAGCTTAAGGTGTGGAGTTACATGTCAGGACGACCCCACCACCGCCACCTGCCCTAGGGTACTGCATCTACCCTAGGGTATCATCGAAATCCTTCTAACAGTTCAAAAAGCTCTATCACACAATCCCCACAAATAGACATTGCAGTGAAAACCCAGAGCTTTTCAACGCTTAGAGAAAGTCGTTATCTCACTGCAACTGCGAAATGGGACGGTATCACCCGAACCTTACCAGGGGAAATTCTGCACCGTCTGAAGATGCTGATAAAATTACAAGGAGATTGGTTACCATAGAAAACATGGGATTATCTCAATATTTATTAAAGATGGATATGAGAGCAATGTAAACTGAATTATTCTTCAATTGAACTGGACGACATCTGATCATTGCATAGGTAGTCGCCCTAGCGTCAGTTAGGAGTTAGGAAAACTACGATGTCGTCTAACATTAAGCGACTCTAATTGTAGCGTCATGGAACGACCCTTTTCTGCTTGGTGGCTGCAGCTTTCCATTGTGATTCTAAGTGCCCGTTGCCTTCGTGAGAGATTGAAGGGTGGTCTCAACGTGCAAGAGTCGGTTCTGCACAAGCATTAAGACGCTGGGGTTATCGTATCGGGATGATTATTTGAGCAGTGAGAAAACCACAAGGATATGCAGGCTTAAACGCGTACGCACATTTTGCATTGCACAATCACCGTGAATGTAAACGCAATCAGGTATATTACACACAGTAGTTCCACCCAGGTGACCGTCCGTCAACGTTCCCGGTGTACAAACGTTCTGACGTGAAGTCGCAGAACTCTAAGGCGAGCCAGCGTCCCAGACACCCTCCAGGTTCGTCGCGTCATCCTTGACGGGAATGCCTCCCCCAACTGCATGCTCGAACAGGGTACAGCTCCATTCCTCATCCAACCATGTGCCTTCCCAGAAACAAGGCTCGCCTTCAGCCTGCAATCTCATTTCATCCCGCGTCTTGCAAATAGGACAATCGGAAAGAGCCTGATTCCCGCCGTCTTCAAAAACCACCTCGATACCGGCGTTGCGAACGTCTTTAAAGATTCGAGCTCGGGAGAACCAGGAAGCTGACAAACCCCACTCACTCCTGCAGAGCAAAACAAGCGAACGCAGGCGCGGAAAATATGAGCGGCTTTCCATCAAGTCCTCTATCCATCTGAGAACTTTGCCAGCTGGACAGATTATTGTAAGTTCTTCAAGGGCATCGGGCAGGACTTCAACTGGGCGATTGTCCGCGTCAGAGAGGAGGGTGCGAATGAGTAACGGGATGCTCTTTGGTTTGTATTCGGACAGAATCAATTAGCGATAGAGCACACCTTGAGCGACAGCTCGGAGCTTGCGGGACACCAAGGATAGAGTAGCCAGGGTTCCATTATCCAAGGATATCGCAATCTCGCCGATAAGCTCATTTGGAAGCGTATCGAGTCGCTTCATCGGCGGACCACAGCCTGTTTCAACTACCATGGTTACTGAGCATGCATGCCCAATCGGGAGTTTGCGGCCGTTTCTTGTGTGAGTTGAGTTGCGGCAAGGGAAAGAAGACGGGGATAGTTATATAGAGGTTAAGGGCACCCGTACAAGTTCGAGCACGGGTATGGCACGTGGCTTGTTGGCGTCATCTAATCTCGAGAGCGGTACGCTGTGAAAGGGTGTTTACGGAGACGCACTTTTACTGCTGCAGCCACAAAGAACTGCTAAAGTATGCCAACACTCATAGGGAATGGATCTATTCTTAAAGCTTATGCGCGTTTTTTTTTATCTGCCGAAGAGTGGGGAATTGGTGTTGTTTATTAACAAGATTGAAGATTTAGGTTTGTATCCTATGAGCCCGAGTTAGGGTAAATATCAAACAAGGCAATCCGCGGGGGACTGAAGAGACTCACGGCGATAATGTACGCAGAAGTGTGTTGTAAACATTCTTGCGCTGCACTGAATGAATAACGTCGGATAATATATATGTGGAACATACGATTGTTACCTCAAGGTGGGAGCCCGACCTAAGATAGGAGCAAACCAGTTTCGGAAAGCAAGCTGAGCCAGGCATACAGTTCTATCGTTCTAAAACCCCTGTATCAAACATCTACGGAGCAGTCTGGGAAACGCTTTACTAACTTGTCAACTCAGATGACCACACTCAAGCTATAAGAGTCATGCAAATCAAGCCCCACACGCATAACATGAGACGCTTCGGGCCTGGTGGACGTACATGCAGTTGGAAACCTAGGTCTGACCAACTAAGTGGAAATTGGGTGCCTCCAATCTGCAAGACGTGTTCGTCTATTATTTCTCTTCAATGTTTGTAGTACATGGTACTTTCTCCAATCTGACGGCCGCTACTTTTAACTCGAAGAGATTCATTCGCGACAGTCGCAATTGGCTACAGAGACCTCAGTTTCCCGTAAACCGGAGGGGAGTTTTCCGCTTTGAACTCCACGGCGGACAATAAGTTTCATGGAATCCCCCGATGTTCCTCGCATGTAAGTCATCCTAAATCTCTTCATGGAGCATGGAGGTCCAATTGTCATCAGCCCAAGTGCCCTCCCAAAAGCTAGGCCCACCTTCCTTCGATATTCCGTCCTCATCCTGCCAGCCATGGCCATGCATCCCATATTCAGGGAAACCTCTTTCTCCCGAATCTCCAATTATATCCATCGTGATTCCTGCCTTGCGGAATTTGTCGAAAATCGGAGCGCGAGACAACCAGGATGGGGAAACTGGAACACCCCATTCCTTTCTGCAGAGGAGCACAATATGCTGTAAGTGGGGGAAAAGGAAACAATCTTCTATCAAATCTTTCATCCATCTAAGAATCTTCCGATTTGGACAGATGATTGTGAGACTCTCAAGGCAATAGGGAAGGATATTGCCGGGACGATTGTTGGTGTTGCGCGTCCTATATGTGCTGTCCATGAGAACTCTTTGTAGGACGCTGAGGGTTTTAATCTTCTTAAACCGTCTGATGTCTCCTGCTGGCTTCCACTCTCCTATGAATTCCGGATAAACCCCTGGGTCGGGCTTTGACAGCAGACTACCCCATTCAGCGGGTGGCTCCTCGTAATCAACCGTAACGCTCTCCAAAGACTCGCACAACACGCCGAGGTTGGCGAAGAAAAGTTCAAATCCAGAGATACGGCCAGAGAACTCACAGCCTTGTATGTTCCATGGGCCTGTCCTGAGCATGAAAGCTAATCGTGTGACTTTAGGACAGCCGAGCCTTTGAATCAAGCGGTACACGCTTCCATGCTGACGTCGAGAAATAACTCTCCACTCCAAGCAGTGGCTCCGAATAGTAAGCGTTGACAGGTGCTCATGTGTCCTGACCACATTGTAACGGGAACCTCCCAGATAACCCAGAAGCCATTGCGAAGCCAAACCTACACCATCTTCCTCAGTCATGTAAGTCATGTCTACGTCCAATGACTTCAGATTGTCGAAGGGAAGATTTAGCAAGGAGATCGTGCTTGCTGGGATCCTGAGTTTTGCAACCTTGCGTATGCCGCAAAACAGTGGCGACAGGGCGTCTATATGTTCTATGAGTCCGTCATTCGGACTAAACTCTCCATGTATTGAGAACAGCGCTTCCAGAGGAGTGTCCATATGATTACGTGTCAGTACGTGCAGGTTTCCACTGAACTCTTGTATGTTAGGAAGCGAGGTGAGTAGGACCCCCATATACGCTGAGATGTGTCGTTGGAGATTCTGAGCCCATTCTGTGGTAATCGGCGGTTTATTCTTTCTAGATTCTTCAAATCGCTGAAGATACTCAGTGCACATCTCTTCAACAGCGTTCCCGACGTCAACCCCGCCGTATGAGCTGGGGCACAGACGCCGAGAACACTGGGAATAGTGGAGTTTGCGAACTTTGTTCGCCAGGTCTGGCCGTTGTAGAAGCGTCCGAATCAGTAGTAGCGTCCCATCCGAGCAATTCGCACGTACGACTGGTCTGCGGTACATTATGTCCTGTGCGACGGCAACGAACTTCCGGGAAACAAGAGATAGAGAGGCCAGCGTTCCGCAATCAAGATTCTCCGCAATCTTGCCAAGAAGCTCATTTGGGAGCGCATCCAGTCGCCTTGCCCTTGGCCCTATGTTCTCCGCTTGCGTCATGATCGCCTGGTCGGCTTCTATTGGAGGATGCGATCGAGCAGTTGGCACGATAGGCATGGTGTATCGCAGAAAAGATCGAGAAGGAGAGCGTGTCCTCGTATCCGGTTGTTTGAGGGTGCTTCGACTGGAGGGCTTTGTTGTTCAGGTTGAGTTGCGAGAGAAGTGTCCTCCCAAGGGTGTGAGAAGTTATATAGACGGTAAAGCAGCAAGTTAGAGGGCGAGAATCGGTATGGCCCGTGCGTGTTCGGTGCGTGTCTTTCGTACAATCGATGAGCGGTGAAGGGCCTTCTACAGGGACGACTCGACATAATATAAGGCATCCACAAGAAGAAGTTGGCCTAAGTTCATCCAGCTTTCTGGATCATTGCTCAATTATGGAACTCGCCACGGCGGTGAAAGGAAACCTATTGTGCAGGTATAGAAAACATTCTTGTTCAACGTTCTGAATCTATCCCATTCACTCCGAGTGCGAAATACAGTCAGTCCAGGCCGATACTATGTATTCGTTCCCGGGGTAACTTGCGACAGACACATGCCTAACCTTCTTCAGCAGGTCCAGTCGCGAGAGAAGAGTGAAGGTATTCGCTAGACTTCTCAACCGAACGGACTGCTTTGACGCAATGTGCTTCGGTTTATATGGAGCGGAAGCTAAACGACATCGTGAGTGATCGTTGGGCGTCTTCTGCGGTTGGTTCCGTGCAGTGGGCCAAAGTCAACGTTGTAGTAGATTTTAGATTAAGGAATGGTGTTCTAGAGGATACAAAAGCTGACCCAACGTTCTATGTATCCGAAAAGCGGAGACCTGTGACTGAACACCCTATCAGCTCTAAGAAAGCAGTACTGAATGGGCCATAGACTCAGCGAATGTGCTAGTAATGATGGTTATACTTGCTGTATATATATCCCGTGGGCTGTCAATGGCGGGCTGACATGAAGCATTGGAGAAACTTGGAGGAAATAACAGTTAAGCCTCTGTATTGAAATAGAACAGTATCGTTTCGATCAACTGCCTTTCCATGCAAATGTACAACGATATATATCACCAACTAAGGCTTTTAGAAGGTTCTCGAGCTCACAGATGGTTTATATTGAGAATACCCGGGGTTTTCACGCTTATAGTGCTCGGCTTGAGTTACTTCTCGCTTTGTCTTGGCCCTCTAGAATTGCTCCCTATATTCTTTCTATCTGCATGAAAGTAGGTGACTAGATACCACAAAACCTGAGTTTTCCAACACTAGGCTTGATTGCGATCGCGCGCATTCCCTGTTATATCACCTGTCACTTCGAGTTGTCCTCCATATAGGCCATATTGCCGTCCTGACGAAACCAGTGTCAAATCCCCAAGTCCACTTTTTCCACCATCTCGCGGCTGGTACATATTTAATTCGTATCGCTAGGCAATCCAAATAGCCTGGCACTCCAGGCCTCGTCGGTCCAGTCTTCGTCCCAAAGGGTCGTTCCCTCATCCGCTTCCTGACACTGACGGCAAAAGCAATCGAAGAGTATACAGTAAGGAAGGATCGAAACCGTTTCATCCGCATCCTGGATTACTTGAACATCGATCCCAACTTGCCGCACCTTGAGGAAAGCAGAAGGCCTCCGAAGGAACCAAGACGCCGACTCGCCCCACCGCACTCGGCAAAGCAGAACGATGCACCGAAGGTTTGGGACTGATAAGTTCGAGTCTGCCATGCGATCTTCAGCCAGCTCTTCCAACCATTGTATGATTTTCCGGTTCGGACACACAATAACGAGTTCCTCAAGGCCAGGAGGGAGGATATCGCCTGGGCGATTCTTGGTGGGGAGTTGCGCATATGTGCCGTCTAGCAGGACACGCTGGAGGACTTTCAAGCTCTTCAGCTTCTTAAAGCCACGCATGCTTTTCGCTGCTCCGCAGGTCTTGAGATGCCTAGGATCCAAGTGTGGGTCCCGGAGGCTCCCCGTTGTAGTATCATCATAATCGACAGTCAAGCTCTCCAGGGTCTCCTTTAGCGCATACAGATTTTCAATGAGCAGGTTGAATTCTGCCAAGTAGCCTGTGCGACTGCTGCAGTACCCAGTAGGGTATGATTGGAGGATGAACTTAAACTGCATCACACCTTGACAACCCACAGCCTCCAGTACTCGAGAGGTTCGCCAGCTCTGTTCAGAGTCGGAGCACAATTCTAGCCAGTCTGACCGGATTACGAGGGTCGACAGATTAGGATACCGACAATGGAGAGTTATGGGGAGGGGAAGATTGGGGCTCCAGTCTGGATCTTCAGAATCATATTCCTCTTCCAGTATAGTTATGTCCAAGGTCTTCAGACTGTCGAATGGCAGATTCAACAGCGGCAGTTGCCATCCTTGAATGGTCAATGTCTTGACATTCTTGATCGAGTTAAACAGGGGCGTCGATTCCTGGAGATGTCTGAGCGAGTTACCGTTGAGATCAGCCTCGCTTGCCATATGGAATAGTCGCTCCAGACGCCAGGTCTCGTCATGGATAGTAAGATATCGTTTAGGCCCACAGATGTCCAGATCCTGGAGATTCGGAAGCAGCGTAATCATGAGACCAATGTACACATTAATATCATATCCCCATGCTCCATCTACCCCCTTGAGTAAGCTCGTAGTGAGCATGCTGGACTTTGGACCTGCTTCAAGTGCTGTCTGCAGGTATTTGATGCATTGGGTCTTTATTTTTTCGAATTCATCAGGTGGCGACGTCATGCCATGCCATTCCCGAGTTCCTGATGGAAAAATAGCGGACGATAAAATCCTGGCCTTACTTGCTAGGTCAGGTCGCTCCAGGAGAGTCCGCAAAAGCAGATCCAAACGAATTGGTCTTCCTTTGGGTATGTGGAGGTCGCGATACACCACAAGCTCCGCGACTTCGCGAAATCGACGAGATACCAGAGCTAACGAGGTCAAAAAACCCTCGCGATCTGTGTCGAGTGCATGGAGGTTTTCCGCAATGTCCCCAAGCAGTTCGTTGGGTAGACTTTCAAGTCGTACTCTTCCAGTTGAATCTGCGTCCATGCTACCCGGTGGACGTATTGATCGCGTTGCGGTGATCGATGAATGAAGTATCAGGGGGAACGTGGTGGGCTAAGGATGCAGGAAGCAACGGGAAGGATCGATAGGTGGATCGGAGACAAATATCGTGGGTTGGACAAGTAGTGTTAATACACGGTGAATTGGTTCGGAGGAAGTATTGCGGGCAGGAATTGTGTTTTATATATGCGCTGAGGGATCTGTTGAAAAGCGCAGAGGGATGTCCCGTGTAGAAATCGAACAGTGGTCTTTCATCGAGCTAACAATGTCTTGTCATCGACCTAAACAAAGGCGAAATCAAGTGTCGAGACGGGCGCAGTCGCCCGACCGCCACAACTTGCAGCCGCCTAAACATCCAAGCTTCAAGCAGTGAAAGAAGGTCAATTTGGCACGTACAACCAAGGGTGCAAGTATTGCGATGGTTGGAGTTTCCAACCAATGACGGTCCGAAAGGCTTCGCAATTTAGGACTGGTGAATCGATTACGCAAAACGAGATTCTACGCCCTGCTATGGCGACCTTGGTGTATGTATGCGCTCTGAACGCTCGGCCTGGTGGGTCCCCTTACGCAGAGTGAGGCACGGCTTGCCAGGATGTGTAAAGCTGATGTATACTTTCCCGCGCCGGTGAGTAGCTCGACGCACCCTCAATACTCGCAAAAGGCGTTTGCGGTGAACATATGCCCGGGGCTGCGCGACTGAGTGTTGTTATCCCCTTCTCGAAACCAACGTTGGAACCTAGCATGCCTGCCGGAAGTCAGCAAGCATTTGATAAAAAAGAAGCTGCCCCACAGTGAACAATGGAACAAGTATACCCTCGCCATTCAACACCATCATTCGCCCCTTTCGAACAAAGACCAATTGCACAATGTTTCCATTCTCGCAAATAAAGCCAAAGCTTGCCGCTTCCCCTGTGATTCGAGACAATTCATCCAACACAGAGACTCGGGCATAGCTCAGAGTGACCGACAAACCAGCAGGAATGGCTAATCCTAAACGACAATATACATACAGCCTCTTCCCGGCCCCTCTCCCTTACGGGAACGCAACACACTTGCCGGCTCCACGGCCACCGCCTACGAAGCCACTTCCTCCGCTTCCAAGTGAGAAAAGGAGGATGGAGAAGGAGGTGAATGGCATACCGTATGGCCGTCTGATGGCGCCGCTGCCTCCCCTGCCGCTGGACGTTAATCGGAAAGATGCGAACCGGAAGGCAAGTAAAGCAGATCCGGGATGCGATTGCAACGTGATGTGATTCGAGTTTCCCGTAGAGTCGGGGAACTTGGCGAGGTACAATCATAGAACCCTTGAATATACGCATTCACATATCTTGGTAACCGGCCCGAGAGAATGTCTGATATAATGTGCTGATGTCCAGTGTCGAATCGAATCAGAAAGCTCCAGAACGCCTATTATGCGTGATGTATGTACACTTCCCCTCTCATCACCGCTTTCTCTCCCCATAGTTATAATGACGCGGCAGCCTCGATTGCTCCAGTGGTTTTGAACAGCTTTGGACTTGTAACAACAATCTCGACAGGGTATTTCCATTCCATAAACCTCGCCCAAGCTGGGAAAGATTAGCATGTTTGAGCTCTTGAGCAGCCAGTCCCAAACTGGAGCACTCACCCCAATAAGCGCATTTCCTCCCAAAGTACTTTCCCATGACCGGCACCACAATCATAGTCAACATCAATTCCAATTGCTGAAGAGACTCTCTCCACTCCCGCTCAGCGTCTGATATATATTCATCGCCGTCCGCGGTCGATACTGTAGAGGAAGAGGGCAGCGAGTCGATCTCGGAATCGGAGCTATCGATTGGCTCGATAAAGGATGCGCTGTTGGAGAGCGACATGTCGCTACGCTCGAAGTGAGCCGCTCAAGTGAGGGAAGTTGCAAAAGGCGTATCGCGTAGGCTCTATCCTTCGGCCATAGACGTCGGGGGCGGGTTGATGGACTCATCCTACTATCCAACTGTCTCCAAGCGGCCGACGTCTGCCATGAACTCCCCAGAGGGTTTAGCGTATATTTCACGTGACGCACTGGAAATCTTGGCAAGTGGCGGCAGGCGAGCTTCGACTCATCCGTCACAATTGTTAGGCCTCATGAACATTGACTTAACATCGTTCAGCATCCACCGCCACCCTACCGAAGTATCTCTGAAACCACCACCTGACCTTTCATACCGCGGATACGACAGTCACCAAACCAGGAAAGTACGGCGACACAATCATGGCAGACGTACGTCACCCACCTTTTCGTGCCCCGCCATAAAGGCAATCTCCCAGAACCTCGACGGGCAGATAAGCATCGCCTGTCCCGCCTCTTCAAGTCCCATCTGAACGTTTCCGGCCCATATTAACATCTCTACTCAGGTTGAATCTCCTACCGAGCGGAAACCCCGCAAGTCGGTCGCTTTCAGCGAAGGTGCCACCATCGTCGACCCCAACGGCAACGTGACCGAGTCCAGCGAGATGAACGGAGGCAAGGCCAGCGCCGAGTCGCATACGGCCGGCGACAAGGAGGTCGACGAAGTCACCGATATGTTCAAGGATTTGGCCAAGAAGAAAAAGAAGAAGAGCAGTAAACCCAAGGAGGGCGAGGAGGAGGCTCCTGCTGCCGATGGCGAGTTTGACCCCTCGGCGCTGAAAAAGAAGAAGAAGAAGGTGAAGAAGGCATGTTTGTTCGTCCCGCGCACAATATTCTTATATACTAATGAATTCAGGTCGATGCGGATGACTTCGAAGCCAAGCTTGCTGAGATGGCGGGCGAGAAGGGCGAAGGGGAGAAGGAGACCCAGGAAGAAGAGGAGGTGGATCAGGGCGACCCGATTAAGGGCACTGGTATCTGGGTGCACACTGAGACCAAGCCAATCTCGTACAACTTGCTGCTCGACCGCTTCTTCACCCTTCTCCACTCCACTCACCCTGACCTCGCCTCCTCCGGAACCAAGTCATACAAAATTCCGCCACCGCAGTGTCTCCGTGAAGGCAACAAGAAGGTGAGTTCTTCTGTGCTGGAATAGATTTGCACTTCTAACATGGTACTAGACCATCTTCGCGAACATTGCCGAAATTGCCAAGAGGATGAAGCGTTCGGACGAGCACGTCACGCAGTTCTTGTTCGCCGAATTGGGTACCTCTGGCTCGGTTGACGGATCCCGGCGCCTGGTCATCAAGGGTCGCTTTCAGCAGAAGCAGATTGAGAACGTCCTTCGTCGGTACATCATGGAATACGTCACGTGCAAGACCTGCCGTTCTCCCGATACGGACCTGAACAAAGGAGAAAACCGTTTGTACTTCGTCACTTGCAATTCTTGCGGATCCAGGCGTTCCGTCTCGGCCATCAAGACTGGTTTCTCTGCACAGGTCGGCAAGAGAAGGAGGCAACAGGGTTAGGCGTTCGGTTTCATGGTGTCACGGTCTGGGCTGCATTTGGAGTTTGCCAGGCTGCAAACTGGATTGTCTTCAGTATATCGGGCAAATGTGGAATGCCTGGTTGCCTCCCATGGATGGGAGAAAGTGTGAATAGGGAATAGCATGGCTCATGAGATACGTTTCGGACATTGGTATGGCGCCAGTCTTTGCGGCAACGGACAAATAGAAGCTCTATGCAAACTGAACCCAGTTTAATGACCTCTTACGTTGGAAACCAGATCATCCACTGGTAGGTTCTCTAACTACATTGTGCAGAGTGGAGGTGACCGTGTTGGAGACCCCGCCATGAATCGAAAGGGCCGACTGGAGCCCCTGACACAGTAGTAGATTTGGTCTACTATCACCACCACTTCACCTCTCGACGCCGTAAACCAGAACCCGTTAATGCCAGTGGTAAGATCTGGCCCCAACCAAGCCAGCACCCCGCGCTTAGATGTCGTGGACCCTTTGCACGGACCTTAGTTGGTCCAGGCCAGGGGTTCGATTGGGCGCTTATGGTACTCCGCACCCCACCATCTACGAGCTGGCTGGTCTCGACGACCTTAATTGAGGCTGAGCAGCTGTCAAAGAACCATAGGTACATATAGGCGCTGACCGCCCTGGCCGGAACCCCTCCGCTTCTCTTGACTCTCTGTCTCCAGCTTCCACTATTCGAGTCTTCGCAGCCTTCGCTGTAGCATCTCCGGCGCTCCTCTTCAGCTTCAGCTATGTCTGGCTACCAACAGAGTCCTCCTCCGGGAGGGAACTACTACCCTCGTAAGCCATACAAGACGGAACCCTCGACAGATTGACTGACGGAGACAGCTCCTCCTGGTCCGTCCCTGAAGCTCCCGTAGACGCGCCTCGATCCCTCTCCTGACAACAGTAGACCCCTCCCAAGGCCAGCAGCAATACTATGCGCCCCCACCCGGCGCAAACTACCCTCCACCGCCGACCGCAAGCCCACCTGCGCAGAGCTACCCTCCTCCGCCTCAGCAGCAGCAGCAACAGTATCCCCCTCCGCCCGATGTTCACCAGCAACAGCAGCAGCCTCCCCAGCCACAACACTATCCACCCCCAGGCGGCGCACCCCCTCCTCAAGTGCCACAGCACCCGCAACACCAGCACCAGCAGTCGATTGGGTCTCCGTATGGCGCTCCCTCGCCTTCTCCACACCCGAGTCTGCATCAGCAGCAACCGCCTCAGCAACCGCCTCCCCAGCAGCACTTCGTCCCTCAGCAGCAGCAACTGCAGCAGCAGGTTGCCATTCCACCTCCTATCCAGGCAGATGATGTAGGCACTTTCAACGGAGGGAGCTACAGAGTCAGTCACAGGGATACGAATAGTATCTTGACGATTCAGCTTGCCATCGGGTGTCCTGTGACCGCGAAGCCCGGTATGCCAGTGTCATCCCCTTCCTCCCTTCCCTATGCCACAAGATGATAAGGACAATTCTGACACCCACCCCAGGTGCCATGATCGCCATGTCCCCCACCATAACCCTAAAGGGACAAGTGAAATTCTCCCTCAAAAAGGTAATCACCGGCGGCGAGATGACCAAGTCGACCTACACGGGTCCTGGCGAACTTCTCCTGGCCCCTTCTTCCATCGGCGACATCACCATCATCAAGCTCGGCGGACAGGAGCAGTGGAGTGTAGGCAAAGACGCGTTCCTGGCCTGTACGCAGGGAATCGTGACCGAGTATAAGAGCCAGGGGCTGGGCAAGGCGCTGTTCTCGGGAGAGGGGCTGTTCGTGTATAAGATCAGTGGACAGGGAATCCTGTGGGTGACGAGCTTTGGCGCTATCATCAGAAAGGACGTGAGTCTACCCTTTCGATTGTGATATGCTAGCTGGCATGCGTGAAAGATACTGACAAGAACAGCTGCAAAACAACGAAAAGTACATCATCGACAATGGCCACCTCGTAGCCTGGAACTGCAAGTACGTCCTCGAGCGCGTCTCGAGCGGCGGAATCATCTCCAATATGGCGGCTGGAGAAGGCCTGGTGTGCAAGTTCACTGGTACGTCGGCACCTCCTCCTTTTTATATATGCAGCGCTGATGGGATGTTGTCCAGGTCCCGGCACCATATTCCTGCAGACGCGCAATCCGCAGGCGTTTTCGGCGTGGTTGGCTGCGAATGCGGCGAATGGGGGCGCTATGTGAGGTGGTCGGTTACTCCTGTGAGGAAGAGAAGAAGGGACCCTATATGAGTGTCCTGCAGTCCTTTGGGAAATTGGTGTGTGCGTATGAGCGATGCCTTTCGATTGTTCTTCCTGCCCTTGAAGCGTTGATTGTTGGATACCTTATCTTACTGTGAGCGTTCTGTTCAGCTGGAAATCGCAATGATTGCTTCGTTGTTTTCGGTGCTTGCATTCCCCATCAGGCGCTGCTTAAGCATGTGAACTGAGTGAAAAGGGAGCTGCGTAGTTTGAAACATGGAATCGTACCCCACAGCACGCTATGCCGTTCCTATCTCTAAAACATCTCTCTGTATGCCCCCCGTGAATTTCTAGGGGCTCATCAACCTCATCTCCGTCGTGATTCGCTCCATACGCATTGCACACCGTAGCTTGCGGCATGGATGGCTGTGCTAGCGTGGGGCGTAACTTCAACACCATTTGTGCAGCTATCCCGACAGCATGGCAACAGCCCCCACGGAACATTAAGCGCTGAGCCTCACTTGCTCTCGATATTACAATCGCGGGTCATCTTTGGGGCTGCTGACTTCGCTTTCTGACCAGCTCCAGGATGTGAAACATACTCGGGGTGGGACGCTGAGGCTGATAATAAGAGGCCATATCCCCCCCAGTTATGGCCAAGCGGGAGCGAACTTCCCGTACAGTTGACGGGCAGCAATGGCAGGGCCAAAGCATGTTCTGAGCGCGGTAACGGGCTGCTTCGGTTCGAAGAAAAAGACACAGTCGGCACCTGCACAAGTCGATCAAGATGAAAGACGGATACATTGGCGAACTATCATCTTGATAACCGGCCCCTTTCTACTTGGTCGGTAACCACATGTACCACCAGGTGTACAAGACGCTGATCGTGACAGGCCTCGCGTTCTGGCTTTCCCACTTTGCATTCTTCCAGTACCTGGATGGCAGAGTTGTCGACGACGTATCCATAGGACAATCACTCGTGAGCACAGTGTCTCTGCTCTTCGTCACCGCCTTCAGGCTTGCCATGGTAGGGTGCGTGGGACTATGCTTTGCTCAATTCCTCTGGTATCGCCTTCGGCAGACGGCGCTGCCGATAAAACGGATTGAGCAGCTCTTCAGCATCCGCTCCAATCCTTTCCTGCTCGCGAATCCCAAGATCCTATGGACGACTCCGTTGCTCTTCTCCATGGCCGTCTACCTCTGGTTCATTGAGCTGGCTTCCGTTTATCCCCCTGGAGCCCTCACTGTGGCATCAGTCCCGTACTGGGTGGAACAGAACGTCAATATGCCTGTAATCAATCAACCGGTAGCAAAAATCTTCGATCCATGGCAGGAAAACGGAACGTACCCTCTCTTGAGCGAGATCTGGAATGAAACCAGCCGTGATCCCTCTGGGTTCGTCAAATTCTGGTATATGTATGTTACTTCCCCGCCGACTCAGATTTGTCCCGTCTTACAAACGAAGGATGCCTCGCCTGTCTCTCACCGCACTGTCAAAGTTCATGATGTCCACCGGCGATATTGTCGACCTCTCTCCTCCAAGAGTAGGCCAGAATGTGTCTTACACGATGCAATTCAGAGGACCCCAAGTATCATGCGTAGAACAAGTCACCAACATCACCCAGGAAGGTGACTTCAACCAAGTGGCCATCTTCAACACCACCTGGGACAGCAACCACACCTTCGTCAAAAGCGTGCATCGCTACGTCGGCTATTTTACAGAATCAAATCATTCAAATTTCGTTGGAGACATTTTCCACCTCCCCGACGAGGAGGCGCCGAAAACTTTTCTCGCCATTGAGCAGACGCAGCTGAGATGCGACACCTTCTCCATGCTGTATAACCTAAACATCTCCTACGAGCGGGGTGTTCAGCAGATCAAATACTCTCTGACTGACGCACAGCCGCTTCAACTCCGAAAACGTTTCTTTGCATATAGCAAGCCGGGCCGACTCGATCTGCCGGATATTTCAGGCAAGGATTTCGCGCAGTGGCCTGAGGTGATGAAGAAGCTGCTCGAGTCCTGGAGCGTGTTCGCGATTGTCGATGCCTTGCTGCTCAATATGAAGTATAGCTGGATCAACCAGATCGGTCCGGAATTTGCTAACAATGCATCGACATCCATCGGTGAATGGAAGCTAGATAACGGAACCGTTGTCAAATTAGCCGGAGTGACAACGTCAGATATACTCGGGAAAAGTAAGTTGCCTCCAATCTCCTATATCCACATGCAAAATCTCTCTCCGTCCTTATTCCCACCTACCTAACACCGCACCCAGACTCATCCTCCGACGGCACCGCCCTCCAAACCCTCAAACTGCTCAACCCCCCGACCCTCCTGCAGGACTCCATCTTCGACCCCCTCCGCTTCGCCAACGACCAACCCATCAACCACGACGCCTCCCTCACAAACATCAACTGGGAAAACCCCTTCGACCCGCGGCAACTCAACATCAGCGAACCCTCGCTCAACGCGCTCCTCACCAACCTCACCATCTCCAGCCTCTCGCTCGGCGTCGACCACGCCGATATCCCCGTGACGGTCTCGGACCACAGGAACACGTACACGTTCTCCGACAAGGTGAATTTCTTCGTGCCCTATGCACTATGTCTCGGCGTCGCGCTGTGCTACGTCGGCGTCGGTATATGGGCGCTGCTCGCCAACGGGGTGCCTGCTACCGATGGCGGGTTTTTGCAGATCATGATGGCGACGAGGGGGAGGACGGAGATGGAGGAGTTGGTGTTGAGGGAGGGATTGGTGGGGACGAGCGATTTGTCGAGGGAGTTGTTGGGGTTGAGGATTCGGTTTGGGGAGTTGGTCGAGGTTGTTGTGGAGGATGGAGGGGGTGAGGGGCTGGGGGAGGGAGAGGGAGAGGGAGAGGGAGGAGAAGCGTCGCCGGTTAGGGTCGTGAGGAAGGGGACGATTACGTTTGGGACCGAGGGGGAGACGGTGCCGTTGAGGCGGAGGGGGACGGGGTTGCCGAGTCCGTGTTGATCTCTTCTATCAATGATCATCACCAATTTCCCTCGGTGGTGTGTTCACCATCATCATGGTCTATTCCACTGAAATAACCTTGCACTCCGGTACTGTCCAAAATCCCGAGAGCAAGGCACAAGGAACATCTATTTGGCGATTTTCGTTTTAGGAAGAAGCAGCGACACGCACATGTCACCTTTAGGAGTTGGCTTTTTGAAAGTTCCAGTACCCAGTAGTGAGTGGTAGAGGGAGGGGAGGGTTTGAGGAGAATATATACTAGGTTGGCGCAAACGAGCGCTGCTGTGATGATGGTGGTCATCGAAAATGTAATGTGTGTATTTGAAAAGAGGAGTCATCGTACTGCCGAACGCAAGATTCTCACATGCCCAGGGTGGAGAAGTAGGACATCATCATCTATGAGCGAAAAACCATGACCTTGTGTCACGAAAGCCGTACTTATTTGACCTCACGACTTAAATGCTGGAACGAAGAAGTACAGCGGAGCCCGTAACCCACATGCTGCAGTCTCAGTGAGATTCGAGCGTCCCAAATGGGCGCTCCCATCGCATGGGAATCGTCGCTTTTTGGATTTTGTGTCGGCGTTGTTTATTGTGATGGGGGGAATATATGGTAGAACGAGGGTGTTTATATAGTGCTCTCCTCGTTATGCGAGAGGTAGGACTTTGCAAAGGTAATGATCACAATCAACACCGTGGGTGTTGCACATCACCAGTTCTTGGAAAAATAGAGATATGAAAATATAAATACTATACACCAGGGTAGTCTCATACAAACCTAGATATGGATATTGAAGCCACAGGCAAACAAAACATGAAATCATACGACGATATTTTCGGAAAAAACGATCCATGACATGTGATAAACTATTTTGATCCCGGAAAGTAAGGAAAGAGCGTGTTGTAGATGCGACAGAGTAACGCTTTATATACCCTTCCTCGCTCAACAATAGAGGTAACGATGCTGGTCATTATCATCAGTAGAGTAATTCTTTATATATGCTTGTGACCATTCATGCACCTCTGCGTTATAGATACCTCCCTCGGTGCGAAAAACAACGTACGAAATCGGGTCCAAAATCACATCAGTGTGCCTCGTCCACATTTTTTCGTTTGGGTGCCATTTTGAATTTTCGCTGAAAGAGAATGGTACTATAGAAGAGGAACAAAACCCTGGGTTTATATCCTTCGCGACTAGCTTCGTTATTAACGAGGTAGTGCCAGCTCGCAAACCTCATGTAAGATTTGCAACTTCTGATGGGACCTCTATCATGGTCGTTGAGCCTATTTTGATACACTACATTTGGGGGTTATACATGACATGCTACTTCACTTGCTTTGATGCAAAATATGTCACTGTTAGGCTCCTGTTTAAGACTCTCACATGACCGCGGGGAGGTCACGTTGAAGTGCATGAGACACGGGGAATTTCTTCTGTCGAACATAGAGAGCTTTGAAAAGCGTTTTTGGAAATGGGAAACTGGAAGTGTGTGCACGAGAAAAGGAGCACAAAGGCTCCCTGAGCCTCCTTATATATTTCCCTAGCCTTTGCTAAAGCTACTTACGCGTTTAGGAGCATCCAAAGAGTGCTCTAACGTTATTATTATTATCATCATCACCATCTTCAACATGACAATGGCTCCTGCCTGGAGACTTGCGTGTCATGGCACTTCCCGTGCACAGATCTCCTGCGTCCGTCCATGTCAAGGCAGAGACTTCCTTTTAGAAATAAGAAAAAAGAGAATTTTTGTGCGCAAAAGAAGGACGGGGAGCAAAAAAATCTCCTTTTATACTTCCTTTGCCCTCGTTGCGACCGCTTACGGCATTTGCCACGATCCGAAGAACTGCCTAACCTTCATCATCTTCATCATCACTATCACCACATTCGCCATTACGATATCAAGACGTAGCCTTAAGCAACATACTGCATTACAGAGTAACACAGGAAACAAAAAACCGTTCAACAACTACATCTTCGTGGTTGATGGTGTTTATTAGGACATTGCAATAGGTCGATAGTTATAGAAGATGCAAAACAAGGAAAGTGTGCATGAGAGAAGGAGGAAGAGCTATCTTTTTATACTTTCCTACCCTTGTTGGAACCCTTCACGGCATCTAAAGTGTGGAAGATTGCTTGAACCTCATCATCATCACCATCACCGCCATATCCAGCATCACAAAAAAAAAAAAGCTGCACCCAACCCGCAAACTACACGACACCGACGTCATAATCTAGCAAACGCAACAAAGGCACTCCCAAACATCAGCTAAGGCGAACATTCTTTTCCGCGGTCGCGATTGTCAAAGACGAGCCACACATGTTGGTAGCTCCATGCTTTTCGAGGTTGGCGGACAAAACGAACTGTGTGCAGTTGGAAAGAGGGAGAGAAGGAGGTTTATATACCTCACTCAACTGCGAGATCAAGCATTACCCCAGGGAAGTAGGGGTGATGATCACCACCACCGACATCAAACAGTGTCACTTCTCAAAGACGCACATGCCGAAGCCATAACATGCACTTTTAGAGAGTGAGTGACACATGCCATAGCTGCTATCACCTTTCAAGATTGAGGGAGAAAAATGAACTGTATGCAGTTGGAAAGAGGGAGAGGAGGGGTGTTTATATATTACTCACTCTCAAACTTGGACACTTATCAGCAGGGTGATGATGATCACCACCACCGCTATCAAACAGCGCTGGCCCAAACCATGAACGCCCTACTACCCAATCTCCCAATTTTCTCGAGAAAACACAACGCACATACGCTTTCAAGATCTCATTTTCAAGTTTGCAGAAGCTCAGGTCCACATGAGAATGTGATGGGTGTTTTTTAGGATGCTCAAGGGAGCTGTTGATGTCGTGAAGAAGGAATACTAGAGGAGTTCAAGCGGTTTATATAGATTCCCAGCGCCGCACGTCCCCCTATTAGATTAATACCGGTCACTGTCCTGGTGGTGGTGGTGATCCTCACTACCCATGTATTTCTGGAAGAGAGACTTTTGGAAAGCAAGGTGCACATGTTTCTCCTTAGGCGCATTTTTTAGGTCAGTAGAGGAAAGCGCGTTGGTAAAGCCAGCAAGTGGGAACGGAGGGGATTTATATACTTTTCCTGTTCTTACAGTGAGGTCTCCGTGGCGGTGATCATCACCATCACGGATATCAACGACTAGACGGTCTTAGTAGCGGTGACCATCACCATCACGGATATCAACGACTAGACGAGTAGAAACATAGTGCCACTATGACCGAGTTTTGCACGTCCCAAAAGGAAAAGAAGAACACGAACAGCAACATCAGAGGTCTCTCGTAGAAATTTTAGGAGTTGAGAAACATGATATCCGGTCGACGATATTTTTCTTTTTATTTGGGAACCAAAGCGAACCGTTGATATCGTAGAGGAGTACGAAGGTAGAAAAGAAGGGGGTTTATATAGATTTTCGTTCTTCCCCCTTTCTCGTTCCCCTTACCGTTCCCCTTACCGTCCCCCTTCCCCGCTTAGGGTAGTAGTAGCAGTGGATATTATTATCACCATCACCACTTTCCAAACCGAGATACGCAAAAAAGAAAACCTCACCTAAGTCAGCAAGATTTCATCAAATCCTCTAGAAACGAGCACCGTCTTCAAACGAATATTTACAAGAGCTCATGAGGCACGGCTCGCAAAAGTTCGAGCTACCAAACATTCATGAGCAAACGCGATAGTTTTAGAAACCAACGCGCAGAGACATTCAGCTGTGGCCTGCTGATTCTATTTTGATGAAACAAGAAGTGAGGTTTGTGAGGAGCCGAACTGGTGGGAGGAAAGTCGTGCTTTTATAACTGGTGGGAGACGGGCAAACGCTTTGGTCAGATAAGCTGACATTCCATACATGAGCTCGAATAAAGTTGACTCATGTAATAAGGACGCCGGAAGTCGCGACAACATGTGCACATGTGCAGGAAGTTTGAAGTGCGTCCGCGATTGAGCGAAAGATGACAGACAACATCAGAAATCGGCCACGCTACACGCAACATACAAATTACATGCTCTTAGAAAATGGGTATCCCTTCACATCACTCCGTATTTCCTTATTTCGCATTCCTATTCCCCTTCGCCCACTCCCTCAGCACATTTTTCTTCAGCTTCCCCGTGCTCGTCTTGGGCAACTCATTCACAATCTCCACTTCCCTAGGCACCATGAATTTGCTGATTTCGCTCCTGTGCTTGGCCCAATCGATGATGTCTTCCCCGCGTACATTCTCACCAGCCTTGATCGTTACGAAGGCCTTGGGACGCTCACCCCAGTGGGAGTCCGGTACGGCCACGACGCCGACTTCAAGTATGGCAGGGTGTCTGGCCAGCATGCTTTCCAATGCAACGCTAGAGATGTTCTCTCCTCCTAATTACTGAGTTAGCCACGCCACTCTTCTTCCACAGTAGAAAGAGACATACCAGAAATGATGATATCCTTCGCCCGATCCAAGATCTGGATGGCCCCATCCGGATGCCAAACAGCCAAATCTCCACTATGACTCACACCCCCAGCCCACAGTTTCCTCGTTGCTTCGGCATCCTTATAGTAACCCTTCGCGCAGATATTGCCCTCAAACACGATTTCTCCAATCTCCTTGCCATCGCGGGCGACGTCAATGATAACACCCTCCGGCTGGTCAGTCTTGATGACGCGTGCAGGTAAGCTCGTTACGAAGCCATGACCTTGTCTCGCCATCTTGGCGTATTTCTCCTTCTCGGGGAGTTCTTCCCATTCTGGCATGTGGTAGCCCTTCGTGATGGGGCCGTACGTCTCGGTGAGGCCGTATACATGGACGGGTTGCAAGTTGAGCTTGGTCATTTGCTCGAAAAGGAATGCAGAAGGCGGGCTCGCTGCCACGGTGACACGCACGGGTTTGTCAAGTCTCTCGGCCTCCTTCGCGGCGCAAAGCAGGGTGTTCACTGTGGGTGCGGCATTGAAGTGCGTGATTTGCTCTTCCTTCAATAGTCTCCAAATCTCGGGGTAGTCGATCTTTCGGAGACAGTAATGCGTTCCTCGCACAGCGGTTACTGCCCATGGAAAGGTCCAGCCTGTAGCGTGGAACATGGGAAGCGTCCATAAGTACCTGCATCTGCCCGTGTGATAGTTGAGGCCCGACTCGATGACGTTGGCGAGCGCAGCAAGGTAGCATCCGCGATGTGTGTACTCGACACCCTTGGGTCGCGCGGTAGTGCCACTGGTGTAGGCCAAAGCAATGAGGTCGTCCTCGCTTTTGGGCAAAATCTCCAAGCCAGCCCATCCCCTTCCACCGGTCTCGGCGTCATATTTCAACCCGTCAAGCACCGCGGCGTCGAAGGGACCGCTCAGCGCTCCCTCTGTAGCATCTGTATCGTTATCCACTATCACTGGGACATTCGGCTTTGTTTTCCTGTATGATGCGAGCAAATGCTCGAATTCATAGTCTGCAATAATGATGTCGACTTCGGAATGCTGGAATATGTAGGATATATCGTCCGTCTTCAAACGGTAGTTTACGCCAACGGAAACCGCCCCAGCGGCCGCTATGCCATACAGAGATTCTAGAAAAGCGGGAGTGTTTGTGCACAGGATGCCGACTCGCTTGTAGCCATGCTTTCGCAGATAGTAGGCCAAGCCTCGCGCTCTGTCGGCGGCCTCGATGTATGAACGGCGGAGGATCTTCTTGTTCGCGGTGACATGGTAGATTGCGGTAGCCTTTGGACGTGCGAGTTAGCTGGGGGACATATACGTGAGACACAGGTCTTTGTGCGTTTGGCTCAGTACGTTTGGCTCAATCTGCGCTGCCCGCCAGAGAAAAACGGTAGGGCTCAGTGCATGGTAGTTGTGTCGATGGTGGTATTCATGGCTGTCACCGGGATGAATGGCCGGCTCGGGAGTTCCTGACGTGAAATGGGAAGCTAATTTCTGCAAGCGATCAATGGGGGACATGCTGAAGAAAACTGGAAAGGATCCGAGTACCCTGAACAATAATCAACGAAAACATGCAGTGGTAAACGAGCGGTTCAACAACCTGGGGAATGCGGGATACGGGTGGAGTAGGTACTCGTGTGGGGGAACCGGAGACAATGCCGAGGTCGTCTCGAAACCCTTGGGCTGGCACAGCTCCTCGTCCCCGAGACGTCATCCGACCGAAGCTGTGATTGGCCCCGAATTGCTCGTATTTCTGAGAGTTGTACATGTATAACGCGCTATTCTGGAGTGCAAAAAGAGAGAAGTGATGTTTGACACTTTCGAATTCCAACGCCGAGTCTACTGATATTATTAACGAAACCAGTTCTATCACAGCATCAGTACTGCGTGTTCTCTGAGATTTTCATTTCGTCTAGCCGTAAGTGAGTATCAGAGACAATTGGCCGACCTTGAAAGAGACCCATGAACTCGCGAGCACCTGATTATATGCTCTTTTGCCAGGACACCCTTTCGACCGGTCCAGATAATGTTTGAGGTTGAAAAAAATCCCCATGAGACCAATGCATTTCGCGCCGACCCACGTGCTCAACCGCTTGAAAACCCATCCGCTGCCCCTGCCGAAACCTAGTATCCGTACTCGGCAAGCTGCTTCTTGACCTCAGCACCGACCTGAGCCGTCTTCTGAGCCTCCGCCAATTGCCTCCGCGCAGCCTTCTTGCGCTCGTAGTATGCGGCACCCTTAACCTTCCTCCTCTCCTCGAGCCTGAGTGCAGAGTCAGCATACGACATTTCGAATTCCAACACGACTCGGAGAGCATACCTAGCAACAACGTCCTGGTACTTCCAGCCGAACTCGTGTCCGAGACGGCCAACAGTGCAGTACTTACGGCCGGGCTTCAGCCTCAGCACACGAAGAGCTTGGGGAACCACGACGCGCTTCTTCTTGTCATAGGGCGGGGGAATGCCCTCGAAAGTCTTGAGGCGCTCCATGGCAGCGGCGCCACGGGCGGTCTTGTGGGGAATCATGCCGCGGACGGTGCGCCAGAAGATCTTGGAGGGGGCACGGAAGTGGAAAGGGCCTAAACAAATGTCAGAACAACCGCACGCGTAGAGAGCCACGTTGGGCTATATGGCTGGGAAACCGTACCTCCGCGGGTGGGGTTGAACCGGGTTTGCTTGCGCAGGAAAGCCTGGTACTTGACTAGAGCATTACAATGTCAGTTATCTGTCCAATGCCTTGTGAGCATCCTCCTGATCGCCACGATGCACTCGGGCATCCCTCGACTCCAGCGCGCAATATCTGCCTCTCTAACAATCGCTGGGATGCCTTTCGTGCTTCGATATCGCGATCGAGATAAAGGTGTAGACGTACGCTTCGCACGGAAGAACTCTCCGGAGATGTTGAGGGCCTCGCAGCGGACGACGACGATCTTCTGGCCGTTCAACAGTTGCTTCGCAACCGTGCTGGCCAGGCGGCCAAGTAAATGGCCTTTCCCGTCAATGCTGTAGTTCAGGTCAGTTTGGCGTTCATGAATGAAGTGCTAGCCAGTTGCGGGACCGGCGGCTGCGATTCGTATAGGAACATGTGTGTGTGCGGGTGCCAGAGGGTATACGTACACGATGACCGGTTCGAACGTCGACATCGTGCTGGAATTCGGGGTTGTGGGTATGCTGTGGTTAGTTGGTCGGCGGTTGTCGAAGTCGTGAGGTTCGTTCAAAATCAAAAGTGCGAGGTTGCTTGGCCAGGCTAACCGAGCCCAAAGCGGCTTAGCGTCGACCACAACATCAACTTGGAGCCCTGGAGAACTTCAACATCGCATTTCTCCTGCCTCTGCCACCATTGTACCAAATTCCGATATGCCAATTACTTCGTGGTGCCCTATGTCACTCATACCATACCCACACAGCGGCACAATACCATTTAGTAGCCAGCCAGGACTGCTCGGCTTCTGCTCGGGCGATAGAGTAATTGCCAGGTCTGCTAACGATTTCTTGCTTTCGGTGAGCGGTCATAATCACGAGATGACAAGGAACTATCTCCAAGTTCAACTCCATCTGGACACCATTTCAGTCCCACTCCCACTCCCCTCAACCGGCAATGGATCGATTGTGTGCACGGAATATCCGCCCCAGGCAACAAGTTCTACTCCGCCCCGACCCAGGCTGAATGCCTACATCCATGGCGTGTTGCAAAAGCGCACCCATCAGATTTTCCTCCAGGTGCCTGACAATACAGCCGTGCAATCAATGCAAACGGTGCCATGCCCGATCCATTGTCCACCTACAACGAGTCGCTCTCCGTCACTGACTTCCTCTTGCTGTCTTCGCTTCATTGGTGGGAACAGTTTTCCCTATTCGGCTCTCTCAATCAAACAACGTCTTTTCTGAATCTTTGCTCCCGGATATGTCGTCATGCCAGTTCAGAGCCAACAGCGGCCATCAAGAGAGCCTGTTGTTATCCGTCTCATGCAGTTGTTCTTCATCAACCGACAAGCCGAGTGAAGCTGTCCTTTTCTGAAATCGATCACCGGCAGGTTTAAATGCTATCAGCGATATAGCAATCGAATATCGACGTTGCTCGTACCGATCGTTCTCTTCCCTTGGGTTATTCTGGAAGGTTTCGTGAAGTTCTGGAGGAAAGGCTTCCTGCAATGAGAGCTTGAGGGTTCATTGATGTTCCATGATTCAGTGGCTCCTTTGGAAAGACATTGCGTCTGCAGGAGAACCCCCTTGGAGAACTGAACCTCACTGATGTTTGTAGAGGTCGGTGCTGTTTCTGCAACTCGCACATCACCCTTTTCTGGGCCACACATTCAATACCACTATCTCCGACAGATATCGCAACATGTGGGATGCCTTCGATCTCAAGATGCAAGCGCGGCCTTTTCTGGAAGCGGCGTCGTTCCATCCCGATAGCTACGTATGGTCGGACTCAATGTCTCCCTGGAGCTCCCTTCACTTGCACCCCGACAAGGGCAACCTCTTCAAATAAATGCTAGATTCCCAACTATCAGGATTTGGTGTTTTCTTCCGGACAATCCCTGCCACATGGAGCTTCAAAAGTGGTCTGACATGTGCAGGGAGATGCAAGCTTCCTACAGCTCGCAAGCGCCTGACAGTCGTTCGCTTAATTCGTGACTGGTCCTTTACTACCCCATCGATGCAAGATTGCAACATGAGAGACTGGGAGTTCTCCCTTTACAACTACGGACGCCCTTCGAATTCGCAGGAGGAAACAACAGCAGTACTTCCGTGACGGATATGCACCAGCTCTCAGCATGCGATTTATGTGGTTGGTTGACTGTCCGCCTTCGTCTTTCGCCGTCCTGGAAAATGGCCGGAGTTGTGGACGGCGGGGCACCAATTCCATTCTTGGAACCAAAAGCCACTGGTGCTAATAAAATGCACCTCCACTTTTTTCGCTCAGCCAGGATCCTACTAGTGCCTGATCCCAAAGTCATGGAATAGGTACGTAATACAATGTGGGTTCGCATATCACTGTTCCCTTCTTGAAAAAGGAAAATAATGGGATCTTCATCATTGTGGAGGAGTGACATTGTCGACGGCTTATTTCGCTATTACTACAGCATACGACGTACACAGCTGTGAGCCCCGGCGGGTTACCTTAACTTCGACGGTTTTACATTAGAAAACGGCATGATGGCACGCATCTTGTTCTAGGACGAGCAACAAAGACGAGCGAACAGCACCACGGACTGCTCGTTCATGCTATTTCAACTACTAACCAAGGACGCTGAGTATAACCCGAAGGGGAGTACAGCTGCGGTGCGCCGTGGGTTTGCGTTGCATTTCGAGAGAGCCTTGGCGTCCAGTTCTGATATTGGATCTATTCATAGGTCATGGAGTTGATCTCTTTCTGAAGATGCGTTCAAGGTTCGGAAGCCTCCAGGGTCCCGCAACAAGCGACACAAGGCGACATTCGGCTGCTGATCCGTCATTCAACTCTTGTTATCGGGAGGAAACCGGCCATTATTGCGACCGACAATCCGACAATAATGGGTTACCGAGGCCGCAGAATACCAGGAGCCAGCCATCCAGCAAAGCCAGAGAAGCCGGCAACCTAGAGGCCGCGTATGCTTCTGTGGTGGGTGTTGTACGTTATTACTGTGTACTTGTTGGATATGGTAGAGTATGCCAGAAGCGGTCCTGATGCGCATTTTGAACTCCCAAGCAATGCGATGCGATACGACGCCACATCGGATGAATTCTGCATCCGAAGCGCGGGCCTCGGTCTTGGCATGGCTTTCACCCACTCTCCACCATGTTACCCTAAGGGTACCTGTGTCATCATCCTCCGTCCTCCGTCCTCCGTCCTTGCGGCTTGTTGTTGGTGACCAGGGAGCCACAAGGAGCCGACAAGGGAGCCACCGTTTTGAGCCACCATCTCCACTTCAGCGGGGCCGCAGACGCGCATCCGAGAGCAAGAGGCAGGGGAGTAGCACAGTACGATACCGCATCTTCGAATCATAACCGTATCCAGCCTTCCCAGCGCCCTTCTCCGCCATGGGCTTGTCGTTCATGGTTGACCACTCGGCGCCGACCTTGGGTTGGGCAAGACGCTAGTTGCTCACTGCGGCAGCTCACGGGAGCCGACAAGAGACTCCACCTTGCACCCTGAGAGTAATTCTCTGATGGGAGATGCAGTGCCCTGACGCACGCCTGCGCCCTCTCTCTCCTTCACTGCTAACTCCAGCCTGCTTGCTTACTCACCGCCGCAGAGTCCCTCCCTCTGTTTCCTTCTTAGCTTGCCCGTGCCCTGCAATGCTGTTCCCTATGCATCATCACCATGGGCTCTCCCGCTTCCGCTTCCGAGACGGCCGACGTCCGCACCACAGCCTCCTCTCAAAGCGTCTCGCATGACACGCCCCAAGTCGACGATGTTGCAGATGCTCCTGGATACAACTCACCCATTAACCATGACGAAAAGCCCGAGCAAACGCAGAAAACCCCCGGAGGGCCTCTACAAAAGCGACGTCGTGTCACACGTGCCTGTGATGAGTGCCGGAGGAAGAAAATCAAGTGTGACGGCAAGCAGCCTTGCACTCACTGTACAGTCTATAGCTATGGTGTGCTCCCCTTCCTTCAGGTCGAACTCGTCGCCAGGTTCATGTCATCTCACTGACATCATTTAGAGTGCACATACGACCAGCCTTCGAACAGGCGCCGGAATGCGCCCCCGCAGTATGTTGAGGCTCTGGAGACGCAACTGAAGCGCGCAAAAGCCCTGTTGTCCATGGTCTTACCTGCCGTTGATTTGAATGACCCAAATCTTGACCTTAACTTACAGAATGGAGTACTGCCCCCACGGTCCATGCCCGTCGCGCGCCCTCAGGACCCAGTGCAGAATGCGCCTATGCAACCAGTGCCACAGGAACCGATGAGAGACGAGTCTCAGGATTGGCGCTTGGAGTCAATGGTAAAGGCAACGGGTCAGTTGGATCTGGATGCCGACGGAAAGTGGGATTACCATGGTCATTCGTCAGGTCTCACGTTTATGAGACGACTGCAACAGCAGTTCGGAGATATTATGCCTCTTCCCGAACCCGCCGCTTCTCCTTTGATCAAAAACCGCCCTCGATCCTACGTCTTTGATTCCCCGATTTCCGCTCATCATTCCCCCGTTGAGCATCACAGCACGGCGCCGCCCGCTACCGATTTACCCCCCAAGGCGGAGGCGAAGGCGCTGTGCGACAGTGCCCTGATTGACTCGGGTGCCTTGATGCGAGTTGTGCACCTTCCCTCCTTTTACAAACTTCTGGATCGCGTCTATGACGTCTCACCGGACAGCTACGGGAGCGCGGAGCACTCCTTTCTGCCGCTGTTATACGCGGTACTCGCGCTCGGGACCCTTTTCTCGAGTCCAGAGGAGCCTTCAGAAGAACATCGTTATGAGACAGATATTGATCATGGGTGAGAGGGATTTCCACGCTTCCGACAAGTGTGCATTCGCTGACGTGTCGTAGTTTCAAATATTTCAGGGCATCTCGACAGCTGCTGGACATAGCAGACTGCAGGGATCTGACCTCACTGCAGGCTGTTGTTTTCATGATACAGTTCTTACAATCTTCTGCGAAGCTTCCCACATGCTATGCATATATCGGAGTCGCGATGCGATCGGCCCTGCGCCTGGGGCTTCATCGATCCTTCAGTGTCAACTTCAACCCGATAGAAGCGGAGGTTCGGAAGCGCCTGTTTTGGACGATACGAAGAATGGACATCTACGTTGGGGCTATGCTGGGTCTTCCCATCTTCTTGAGGGATGAGGATGTCGACCAAGAGTGGCCGGTCGAGGTAGACGATGAGTACATCACCGAGACGGACATTCGATCGATGCCCCAAGGCGAAATATCCGTAATTGCAGCTTCCAACGCGCATACCAGACTTGTCCTTATTCTCAGTGACATCTGCAAGCATGTTTACCCGATCAAAGGAACGCAGTCTGATGGCAACAGTTCCGTTACTTACACTGTTAGCTACTCAAAGATCCGTCAACTCGAGAAAGCTTTGCAATACTGGCTCGACGAACTCCCGGAGGCGCTGCGACCTGCGAGCGAGGCTTCGCCTATTATGATGAGGTGATTATATTCTGTGTCTGTCATCTGTCATCAAACCCTCCGCTAATGTTCGCCAGGGTTCAACAGCTTTTGAGGATGGCTTTTGGACATGCCCAACTTTTACTCTACCGCCCATTTCTACATTACGTATCCAGGGCCTTTCGAACCCAAGCCGTCGATCAGAGGGCGTTCGCATGCGCCTCTGCGTGCATCAGCGTGTCGCGCAACATCATCCACATTACCGAGCAAATGAACAGTCGTGGCCTGCTGATTGGCGCGTACTGGTTTTCAATGTACACCACGTTCTTCGCCATCATCTCAATTCTGTATTTCGTTTTAGAGAATCCCACCGGCCCGACAAGCCATGAGTTGTACCGAGAAGCCGAAAGAGGCAAAGCGGTTTTGGCCCAGTTTGCAGAACGAAGCATGGCTGCTGATCGATGCACGAAGACACTCAATGTATGCAAACTCGTAATGGCATTACTACTAATACTAACTGCCGCGTAGTCGATTTTCGAGCGCTTGCCTGAGAGAATGAAGCGGGTGGCGGAGGACATACACGCCGTCGCTGGTAAAAAGCGCGGACAAGGGCATTCCCCACAACTCCAACACAACCGCCCGGCGCGTCTCCAGCCTGAGGATTTTGTCGCTGCAGATCTACGGCGAGCCAACACCCTTCCTGAAACGATGCCGGATCACAAACCCACATCCGGCAGTACACTACCCGTATCCCAGGCTCAACTCACCGCTCTGGGGATTGATCCAGCCTATGCGCGCGCTTCATTGCAGCCTAAAGCTGATTTCTATGAATCCCGGCCGAATCTGACGCCCACGTCGGCAACCACAATCGGTGGGAGTTTTGTCGTGCCAGTGAATGGCAAGATTCAGCACCAACCCAACCATTCGTTCCCCGCAACTCCATTGGGGAACTCCTTCGTTGAACCTACGGGCCTGAGCGTTCCACTCTCCGACGTCAGTGCAATGATGTTCCCGTCTCCAGACCCCTTTGCATATCCAAATCAGCCTATGACAACGTTCGAGAATAACAATAATCCTCAGGGCTTCAAGGCAGACATGCCCCCCACGGTTACCAGCTTACCCTACCAGGTTGCTCACGATATGAAACCCCCAGTTGCTTTTGATCCAGGAAGCCTGGATGTCCCTGTGGACTCTCGGCCGTGGAACGACACCGATGTGCAGGTCTTCGGCCCGATGCCTATGTATTTGATGCAAGGTGCCCAGCAGCGAAGCAATATACAATCGCGGACAGCTTCCCAGAATATCCAGATGACCAGTTCTCCTAGCACCGGCAACATGAACTTTGCTGACTTGCTGGGCGGGGAAGAATGGGCAAACACTTTCATGGACCAGAGTCTCGGTCTAAATAACGCTCGGTCTGGATACGGCAACCACCCCGACTATGGTCTTTCTGGCGGCTCTGGGCCGCAGAATTGGCGCTGATGTCAGGATAAAGAAGGTGTTGGCAGACAGACGGCAATCTGGAACCTGTCAAATTCGGTTATCGGTTAGCCTGCTGTTCGACCACCAGAGCGGACAGGCATGGCATGAGTTGGCCACGCGCTTTCTGTACCCTCATGACTTCACTGGTTGATCAAGATGTCCGTTTTCCATTCTGGTCTTCATACCCTTATCACGGTCTACCAGCAGATTCATTGAAAGTAGGGAAAGGACCGGAGAATTGTCCGCTTCGACCTACAGCATCCATTATACTATATACCTCTTTGGCACCAGAAGACAGGCTGGCGTTGAGGCAGGAGCTGTGCTCTTACGCCGCTGCGAAAGGACCTAACAGCCGTTCTAGATTCAACTCTCTCTCTTGACGACATGATACCCTGGAGTACTTGGAGCTTTGATTTTGATTTTTGGGCTGTGTCCTTTGGTCATGCGCTGGTATTTTTATCTCTCATTTCTGTGGTTTCTGTTCACAGCTTGGCTACTATAGTCACAATAGAGAAGGATTAGGGCTTGCTCAATGTCGACGTTATAGAAGGACTATGGATGGAATTAAAATGGCCTCAAAAGCTCGATGAGCGCGACCATAGATCAACAAGGAGAACAAAATGAATGAATACTAGGAATGTAACGATTTCCTGTCGATGTGTCGAAACGTTACTCATGATCGCCTTTGTGAAAAGCAATGTCGACATTTGGCTGGATTAGATGGACAGACGAGGTGCTACTCACGCCGAGGGAGACTAACGTACGCGTTCTGTTCTCCTAGGACTGAAGCATAGAGCTGCTGTACTCTTCTTCAGTTATTGTACAGTTAGAAGAGAGAATGGCAACTCTATAAAGGCTTCTACATCGTCTCTACCCTGCTGTCCAAGGCTGGGTGCTGTCGACGTCACGTTCTGTATGTACTACATGTGCTACCATTTATCAGCTAGAGGATATGGCACTGTTAGGAGAAGGATGGCGGGTGAGGAGTAAGGGGTAGGTTGATTGGATAATTTCGTGTCAGAAACGGTGGTCGTGGATGGAAAATTACGTACGAGTGCATTTAGATCCACACAGCCAGCTCGGTTGCGAGAAGCGCAATTTAATTGCATTTCAGAATACGACCTTCATCTCTCTCTCGTAATAGCGATTACTCGCCTCCAACCTGCTCCAGACCCACACTCTCCCCATTCCCATCCCCACCCTTCGCCCTCCCACCTCCTCTCCCACCTCTCTTCCCTCCCCCTCTCCCCCCTCTCCCACCTTTCCCCTTGCCTCCCAGCTTCCCCACCTCCCTCTCCCACGCCTCAACATCCACCTCCACCCCCTCAGGCACCTTCCCATCCCTCATCAACACGCGCTCCCTCCCCTTCTTCCTACACTCGACCCTCTCAAAGAACCTACACGGCAACAACCCATTCTCATCCCCCTCCGTCAACACGACCCCATTATCGCTCAAAAAGAACCTGATGCCCTCGGCCATCGCGGCCCGGATATCGATATAGATGATGATCGACGACGACAGCCGCATGCCCGAAATCACCGGCGGGGCGGCGCCGCCACCATCGGGACCACCACCGGCACCACCACTACCACCAGCATCGTCGTCTTCTAATCTCTTGAATCCCCTAGGTAAGCCTGCGGCGCAGTGGATATGATTGCGGCTCATTTTGCGCAGCCCCCCGCCTTTCAGGATCAGGGGCCACGCGGCTTCGGTGGTGCCGTGCACGCAGAGCCGGGGGATGTTGGCTGCGGCCTCGGTGATGGGGGTGAGGAGGCCTTCGTGGTCGAGTTTGAGCGAGTGGCCTTGGTTGGCGCGGATGAGGTAGGCGGAGGGGTTGGAGGGGTCGATGGGGGGTCGGGAGGGGATTTCGGGGGCGGTAGTGGAGGATGGTTCTTCGGGTGCATTGGGATTTGAGTCTTGGGATGAGGAGGGGTGATTATTGTTGGTGGATGAAGTGGACAGAGAGGAAGCGGGGATGAGGGAGAAGCGCTGCTTGTCGTTTGTTTCGACTATGGTTTTGAGTTCGGCGAAGCTGAGGTTGAGTCTGCGCAGTGAGGGGGTGTTGAGCTGGGGAGACGGTTAGTGAGATTTTGTCGTTTGATAATCTCGCAAACCACTGATGATCTTGATTATGTTTTCCATCCTCCCGGCATCCCACAAATCCCTCCTCTCTTTCTTTTACAAACCATATCCTTTTTCTCAAAAAGGATCGATGAAAATGCCATGGACAGCACACACGCACAAATATTGAACCGACATGTGGAAAAGAAAGAAAGAAAGAAATATGACCTACAGCATCCGCCACATTCACCCACCCGCCCTTCCCCAACTTCAACCCCTCTTGCTCCGCCCCATGCCGCAGCAACCAACTCACTTTCCTCGAGACCTGCTGCTCCCTCGGCATATCTCTTGGGTTGCGGCCGCCGCCCCTATCTCCTCCGCCTCTACGTCCAGACATTATTGCGGCGCTCGGGAAGACGCGCTGTAGACGGAACAAGGATGGACGTGAAATGTTGAGCTTGGTTGGAGAAAGAAATTGGAGTCCGGGGTTGAAGGTTGGAATGGTTGGGCTTTTAGATAGATGGGAAGAGGGAAAGAAGGGCGGAGAGAAGCGTGCCACAAGGGCTGAGATGACGCCGTGTTTGTAGTGACTGATCTGTCGTGAGTCAGAATGAGCCTGGCAAATGATGGTGTGTGATGGAGCAGGCAATAGGACAAGCGCCACCCCGTAGGACGAGAGATTTGTTTTAGTTGTGGCGAGGCAGGTCGTGCACGGATGGGGAAAGTAGGAGCAGAGCAGCAAGACATTTCTTTACGACGCCAAGACAGTGGCTGTGCAAAAGATATGTCGTCGCACCGACTTGTTAGGGGAGCAAGGTGTGGGGAGTGTTTATAAGTTAGGTATATGCACAATATGGATCTGCTATCCTTTGGAAGACGAGACCAAAAATCGCAGTTTGAGGCCCCAGTACTTCCTACATCTCATGCACACACAAATCAAGTGACACTCGCACATCTCTCGCATATACCATAAACCTGACTCTATCGCACCAAACACGCGTATACTCATATACTTCATATCCATATCCTGGTTATCCTGACCAGAACCCATCCCATCCCATCCCATCCAGCCCATCATCCCCCCCATGACTCGCACCACACGGGCGAAACCTAGAAACACAAACGCCAACCACAGGAACCGCAACCGCAACCGCAACATCCACTGAAAAAGGGGGGTATCAAAAGGCCATACGACGCCGACAACGCATGCCGCAAATGTCTCCGCGGAGCGAGTCTGCTCTCCACACACCTGCCCGCCGTCCGCATCGATAAGAAAGCGGCAGCCCCAGCAGCGGAAAGCGAGACGTCTCTCCACGCAACGTCAAACGATGCGCACCGAGGTGCAAGAGAAACGGAAAACAAAGGAAAGCATAATGAAAAGCAAAGGCCGTAAGCCGTAACATCGTGGAACCATCTCTTCTGCCACTGGGAGACTGCACGATCAGAACGTCATCTAATCAACCTCCCCCTCATGATTGTCGCCGCCAACATCCTCCCACGCCTCGTCAATGGCCATCGTATTCGCCTGCACAGTCACGTCAATCATCTCGGGCTCCTCCCCATCATCGTACATTGTGGTGGCGGCATCGTTTGGATTGTCGCCGGTTCCGAAACCGAGGCGTGGAACCATACCCGGTGGGTTATTCAATAGGTATTGCCGGAGACGGACGACGCCTGCGCCGCTGAAGACGCAGAAGACTTCACGCTGATGTTCGTTGAATTCTAAGGGTTGTTAGCATCATGATCATACAGAGGGGTCATCACGACGAACCTTCAGGAGCCGGGCGGATGAATTCAAGCAGGTCGTCGCGCAGAAAGGCATGCACTCCGGTCAAGCTCAGATGCGTCAACTTCGGGCAGTGTCTCAGCAGGGTGTAGATCCCCTAGTACCTGTTAATATCTTGAGACGCGAAGGCGAGCCTGACGACTTACCCCCAGGGTCAGATTGGTGCAGTAGCTCAAGTGTACCCTCTCCAGCACAGTCGCCGTCACCGGTCCGCCGGGGCCCAACTGCTTGGGTCGTGCAAGCGCCTGTATGGTCCGGTCTGTGATATTGCTACACTTGACTAGCCCTATACGCTTCAACTTGGGCAAGGTGGCTAGTTGGGTAACGGAGTTATCGGTCAACTCGGTGCAGCAAGCCAGATCGATATATCGAATCCGGTTGCACGCTTTGATGAGCATATTGAGACCAAAATCGGTGATATTTACACAGTGGCCCAGGTGAAGAAAGTGGAGATTCTTCCCCAGTCGTGTGATGGCCAAAACAGCACGATCGGTGATTCTTCTGCATTTCGCCAGGACCAAGTTGCGCAGACGAGGGGCAGCGGTGACAATCTTCTGGACACCAGCATCCTGCAATTCCCCGCAATCCGTCAGGTCAAGGATGCGAAGACTTTCGTAGGTCGTGTCCGGGGGCAGACGGAGAAAGGCTTGATCTGTGATGCGTGTGCAGCGCGCCAGACGCAGCTCCCGAAGGTGAGGGCCTTCGGTTATCAAGCTGGTGACGGACTCGTCTTCCAAATTGCTACAGGCGAAGAGATCGACCTCAAGCAGGTAACGGCAGTTTCTCGCGAAGGCGATGATAGCCCTGTCCGTCAACTGTTCACAGCCGTTGAGTTTCAACTAGCAATCGTTAGCATCCGCCGACGACTAGGTGAAGCCTGATGTGCTTACCCTCTTGATCTGCTTGCAGTTTCGTGCGACCGCCTCGAGTGCTCCATCCGAGATCTTGTCGCACTTTGTGATATTCAGTCCCTGGAGCCGGACCGCGTTCTCGGCCAGGGCGTACATGGTCCTGTCTGTTATGGAGCCGACATTCGAGACATCGAGGGCCAACAGCCTGCGATTGCCTTGGAGCATGGCGGTCAAGCTGAGATCGGTCAGCCTTGTGCAGCCGGTCAAGGTCAACCGCTCCACCCGTTTGCAACCGGACAGGGGTTGCAAGGTTCCATCGTTGACTTGCGAGCCTAGGTTGGAAAGGTTGAGCCTCTTGACGAGGCTGCTGTAGTCGAAGTAACTGTTGGGGTTCGAGACGGTGGATATGACGTTCCTCACGCACTCCCAATTGCCTGTGTGGGGCCGGTGCCATAGCAGGGCAACGCTGTTGTGGGCCCAATCCTTGGAGACCAGCATGCAGTTCCGAAGATCGATGGGCGACGAGAGTTTGGAGAAGATGGCTATCATCAACTCGGCGGGCAGACGCGAGATGGGCGAAACACGAGAGCGTTCTTCAAAGGCGCGGCGCAACGTCTCTTGTTCGGAGTCGGGAGTCAGGGAAGGGGACAGGGATGACTGCGAATCGTTGTCCTGGCTCATGAAGGAGTCCTTGTCATCGTCGAGGTCGACACCGCGGTCGGGGGAAGTGGACGCGGAGGTGTCGGAGCGGGTACGGCTGGCGTCGCGCTGGACTCTGCGAGCTCGCGACATGTTGTTGACGGGCGTCGATGGATATGCGGCAAGCAGAGGGAATGGGAGGTATGGTATAAATGACCGTATTTGGTTGTTTCTGAGCGGGAGGGTTGGATGGTTTGTTGATGAGAAGGCGGGGGAGGGCAGGTTGGATTACCTCTGTACCACAGTGGTTGACTTGACCCTGGTTGGTGACGAGGCCGCGATGGCGGGCGATTGGCGAAGAGATCCGCGGGGCCCCGGGCCGCCTTGGAAGGATCACGTGACATAACTGGCGCACGTTACGGAGGCCGAAAGAGGGCAAGCCCGACAAAATGCTGAACACTTGTGGAGGGCCAATTGGGCCCAGACGGACAAAAGGTGTGACGTCGTGTGTACTCGGTCCGGACCGAGTACCTAGGTAGATAGCCGTGTCTACTGTGTAAGGCAACAGCCAGGAACGGGGTGCGGGCAGCCGTTTAATCGTGTGTCTTCTGGACGGACAGGGGGCACTGTTAGAGTATTCATGAAAGGCGCTGGCGAAAGAAACTCATATGGACTTGAAGAAGCGTCCAAGGCTCAACACAGATCCCGTTTTCCTACCTCTTGTGAAGACTTGCGTTCTTGGGTTACGGTCAGAGATCACCTTCTCTGCTGGACCTCGTCAGCAAGATTAGACTACCCAACTGATGATGCAGTTCCTGTAGCAGGCAAAACACATTGTCAGATCCCTCTTGTGGGCCATACTGGCACCTCGTTTCCCTACTCCGCATGCACGCCTGTCTTCGAGTTTTTGCGTGTTTCTCAATCTCTCTGTGACCTGAAACGCGCGTACACAGATCTAGGCTCGTCTGCGCTCTATAGTCGATAGCGTACACTCTCGTTCCCAGTTACACTACGCCAGACTAGGCTTGATGCCCAAAGTGGACTACTGTATGTACTTGTAACAGCATGTGGGCGCCACACACTCGCCACAGCTGCGCCACAAGTTCCTTGGACAGCAACACGACGGCCAACAACAGCAACAACAGACTGACAAAATGTGCAAAACAAACAACCGGACAGTCTCTGTTGGCGAAAAATGTGAAATACCCTTACCCTTCCCCATGCTCGTACATTTCGCAACACGCCCCGTCCAGGCGGAGGTGCCGCCGACTTTCAGCGGGACCATCACCCAGCTATCGCATCCACGAGGGTCCTGACCTTCAGCCACCGCATCCTCACCAGGCACAAACCCATGACCTACACTCTGCGTGCACCGGCTCCCACAACGCGCACACTCACTCATTGATCCTCGACTCTCCTTTCTGTCTCTTCTTTGGAGCCCTGCATGTTCTCTCCTTAGTCCCTGTCCCTCGCGCCTGAGTCCCTCCGGCCTTCTCACCGCCTACCATGGCCTCCGCCAGGTATGCACCTCCAGCGCCCTCTTCCATCCCCGCCCAGCCTGCCTACCACGGAGCTCCTCCCGCCTCAAATGCGCCGCCGGGCACCTTTGCTCCTGGCACCAAAGTCCAGGTCGGCAACCACCGTGTTACCATCGAGAAATACCTGTCCGAGGGCGGCTTCGCCCATGTATACCTGGTCCGCGTCCCCAAGACCTCCGACCATGCCCATACCCCCGACATAGCCGTACTGAAGCGCGTTGCCGTCCCGGATAGGGAGGCTCTGGCGAACATGCGGACAGAGGTGGAAACCATGAAGAAGCTCAGGGGCCACAAGCACATCGTCACGTACATCGACTCGCATGCTTCCCAACTCAAGGGCGGAGGCTATGAGGTCTTCCTACTCATGGAATACTGTTCCGGAGGGGGACTCATAGACTTTATGAACACAAGGCTACAGAATCGCTTGACAGAACCAGAGATATTGCACATCTTCTCCGATGTTGCCGAGGGGGTCGCCACGATGCACTATCTTAGGCCACCGCTATTGCACAGGGACCTGAAGGTGGAGAATGTTCTCATCACAAACTCTGGATCCTCTAGGATATACAAACTCTGCGACTTTGGATCAACGGCTCCCCCGAGACCAGCCGCTACCACTGCTGCTGAGGCGAGATTGATCGAGGAGGATGTACAGCGGCATACCACACTGCAGTATCGGAGTCCGGAGATGATCGATGTCTACAGGAGACAGCCCATAGACGAGAAGAGTGATATCTGGGCCCTTGGGGTGCTTCTGTACAAGCTCTGCTACTACACGACGCCTTTCGAGGAAGTGGGGCAGATGGCCATCTTGAATGCGAGCTTCAAATTCCCCTCATATCCTCAGTTCTCGGATCGCCTGAAGAGGCTGATTGGTGCGCTCGACTCCTCCTGATCCAGAGACGAAAGCTAATCTTGTCATCAGCTTCCATGCTACGTGAGAACCCCCAACATCGCCCCAACATCTATCAGGTCGTGGTTGAGGTTTGCTCCATGAGACACAGAAGTGTGCCTATCAAAGATGTATGCATCCTATAGACTCCTATGTCCCTTCCTACTAACATTGCAAAGATATATGCCGACCGGACACAATCTCAAGACCGGAGAAATCAGCAATTGCCGTCAACCGAATCTTCTGTCGCCTCTTCTCCCCCCGTTATTGGACTTCAGAAGGTTGCACCCGTGCAGCAAGTGCAAATGATTCCAGAGGTCACACCAATGAGAAGAGGAAGGCCAACCGCACCCAACCAGCAGCCGTCCGGAGCAAAGCCAAGTCCCTCGCCTATGAGAGGAACGAGCTCTGATCCATTTGCTGCGCTAGATTCTCAAAACATCCAGGTCCGAAGCGCCGCAGCTGATGAATTAGCCGCTCGTTTTCCGTCACTCGATGAGTTCTCTCTGTTACATGACCGTGGACAAAAATTCGAATTCAGCCAAGGACTACCATCCAATAACGTTGTTCCGCAAGACGACCTCAACAAGCGTGTCACTCAGGCCCTTGCGGATGAGGCTTTTGCTATACCTCCCAATAAGAAAGCGGACTCCGCAGCAATCTCGAAACCAGCCTCTGTTGCGCCTTCGGCCGACCAACCCAGCTCAGCGAAGCAATTCCGACCTCCGAGAGAGAGCTCTCGCGCAACGGCATCTCCTTTACAACAGCCTACTCCGCTTAGACCAAGCAAAATGGTATCCACCGGCACGCAAACGTCACCAGAGCTGATTGCTTTGCCTCAACCATTGCCTGATGTCAATAAGAGACCTATTTGGCGAGTGCCTGACGTTCCTCATCATAACCGCACGTTGAGCACTCCCCGTACGTTTGATAAACCATTACCCAGTCCTTCCCTCAAGCCGGACCATACCCTCCCAACACGGCCCACTCTACTGGACTCAAGGACCAAGTCTCTGACCTCTACACTTACCATCCCAAGGTCTCCGGCTTCGTCACGACCATCCTTAGAGGGCCAGCGCCCCTCACCGTACGATCTTGGTGCTGCTCTGGACCGTTCGAAATCTGCGAATCCCCAGGCTCGTCCCAGCAGCATCCATGTGGAATCCAATCTCGACTACCTTCGTGACCGGGAGAAGCGTTCGAGCAGGAACTTCGATGTATCCCTGTTGACCCAAGGACCCACGTCACCACCAGTTCAGGATCTTGAGGCCGATGTGGATGAGAAGAATATTGCATCAAACGTTGACTTCTTGAAGTCTATGGAGCAAGACGATGCCGGGCAGAAGAAACATCGCAGAAGCAGCAGCCAGTCAAAACACACCAAGCGATCTAGCTTGTCATCTCTCACGAGTAACACCAAAAACATAGTCAAGGGCAAGTTTGGCGATGCGTTCCGGAAGTTCGAGAACAACAATACTGCGGGCAACCGAGGTCTCGAGCCTCCGCTCACGCCTACCGATACCCTTCTGGATCCTTCCGGCAAACAGCTCACGCCCATTGCCGGCTCCGAAGCAACAGGGGATCAGAGCGATGATGACCGCGCCATCGACGAGACCCAAGATCTACCCCCTGAGGTCAAACGCGAGCTGGAAAGGAGACGGCTCAGTCAGGAGGAAAAACGCGTTGCAAATGCGGCAGCAGAATACAAGAGACGATTAGCTGAACAAGGCGACCAAGGGAAGGGAGGAAAAGCAGGTTCAACGCGTGCGAGTACAATCCAGAACCGGGTGAAGAGTCTTCTAGACGATAGCCAGAAGAGCCCAACAAAGACAAGGACCGCCGAAGGCTATGGACACTACACCGACACGAATGCGGGTAAACCGCTCCCACCACATCCCCAGGAGCTCCAGGGTGGAGTAAGATCGCAACCCCTTGCACCGCCTGTGGCACGCAAGCCTATCTTGAACCCGTCCGTGATTCCGGCGGCTGATCTCGCCTATGCAAAGACACGACCTGGTTCCTCGCCGTCTGTGCCTCCAGCCGCAGGGAGAGCCACGACCGGCCCGCAGGCACGACCATCTGCACCACCTAAGCCCAAGGCATTGAGGACGGGTATCGCTGGTGAACACTTGCCGCCATCATTTTCGAATACTGCTTCCTTGTCCCGGGTGGCAACGTCTTCACAGAATCCACAAGCACCAAGCACATCCGTCGGAGCCGAGGATGCCGACTTCGACGTGGATAGCTTCAGCAAGCGGTATCCTAGCCTCAGCGGTTTGGAGCTTGTTGAAACCGAGATACCGCCAGGTTTGGCGCCTGGTGCTTCAAGGCAGAGGGTGCGAGACGTTTGATTCGTTGCGTGTCGTGCGCTCGCCGCTGATATTGATTGACCTTGTTGCGACCATTGGGCATGGGATGGGTGCAGGAGCTTCCCTTTTTGTTGCATAAATGTTCGCATATAGCATTGGTTTTTGCCGCTTGAGGCATTGAGGGCAGTAGTAAGGAGCGCAGAATAGACCAGGAATCAGCATATTTCGAGCGCATCTGTGTATCATTCCCTGATTTTACGAAAATGCCTCGAAACATATCTACTGTAACGATTGGCCTATGAAAATACAAGTACCAGCCTTTCAATCATGTTATTGTCGCAGTTCAACTTCCTCTTGCGATCTGGAGTCGTTGGGCGGGGCCATCGCCCAAAAAGGTTTAGCGCACCACTTCGCTTAGCACAGTTGCGAATATTCAAGGTCCGCATCTCTCAACCTCCCGCCACGACCGACAAGCACGACAACGACGAGATTCGTAACTCCAGCCCCGGGAGTTTACCTTTGTCAACCCTACTAACCCGACAACATGGCTGCCACTCAGGGTGCTATGTGAGTCTCTCTGGAACGCTTGCTGAAATGAACGTTTAGCTAACCATGAGTAGCTCCAAGAGGAGGAAGTTCGTCGCTGGTACGATATACCCTTTCATACAGTTGGTGGATCAGACCCGGGAACATGCGCCTCGATGAGGCTAGAAAGATTTCATTGGCATGGAGGAATGGTTTTCTGTGCTAGAATCGGGGGTGTTGCAGGATACAGGGGAAGCGCGCACACACAGAGCGAAGCGCTAACATGCCTTCACAGACGGTGTCTTCTACGCCGAGCTGAACGAGTTCTTCCAGCGCGAGCTCGCCGAGGAGGGCTACTCGGGCGTCGAGGTCCGCGTCACCCCCACCGTCACCGACATCATCATCCGGGCCACGCACACACAAGAGGTCCTCGGCGAGCAGGGCCGTCGTATCCGCGAACTCACCTCGCTCATCCAGAAGCGCTTCAAGTTCCCCGAGAACTCCGTCTCCCTGTATGCCGCCAAGGTGCAGAATCGCGGTCTCTCCGCCGTCGCTCAGTGCGAGTCCCTCCGATACAAGCTCCTCAACGGTCTGGCCGTCCGCCGGGCATGCTACGGTGTGCTGAGATTTATCATGGAGAGCGGCGCCAAGGGCTGCGAGGTTGTCGTTTCCGGAAAGCTCCGGGCTGCCCGTGCCAAGAGCATGAAGTTCACCGTACGTCGAGAGGCTGCTTTCGTACGAACATTACGCTGACTGCGTGACTGTAGGACGGCTTCATGATCCACTCCGGCCAGCCGGCCAAGGACTTCATTGACACGGCAACTCGCCACGTCCTCCTCCGGCAGGGTGTGCTGGGTATCAAGGTCAAGATCATGCGCGGCTCTGACCCCGAGGGCAAGGCCGGCCCGTCCAAGACCCTCCCCGATTCCGTCACCATCATCGAGCCCAAAGAGGAGCAGCCCGTCCTGCAGCCCATGTCGCAGGACTACGGCGCCAAGGCCCTCGCCGCCCAGCAGGCGGCCGAGCAGCAGCGGCTGGCGGAGCAGCAGGAGGGTGGCGAGGCGCCCGCGGAGGGCTACGCTGAGCAGGAATAGATGCAACCAGTGTAGATTGCGATGCGGGTGAGGGTATCGAGGGGAAATTCGAAATCGGTGGGACAGGCAGAGGCAAAAACGGAAGGAATGGGAATGGGAATCAGTAATGATGTAATGGCATCATGAAGTACCATATCACACATAACATCTTCCTTTTGCATTCGGACTCGGCATTCGGATGGGCGAACTCTTTTTGATCAAAGGGATGTTTCTTACGGAGTCTATAAACGTGCTGTACTCTGAATTTTTCAAAAACACCCATATCAAATGAGCTTGCTTGACTTGCCATTCGAACTGCAATTACCCTTGCTTCATATGTATGCCAGGGCTCGCATTTATTAATGGCAAGTTGATGTGTAGGTCGAGCACAGATCCGAATCTACTTTATCATTTCGCTGTATATATACGATATCGACTGCTCTAAATACCTCTCATGAATGCCCAAAACGTCCGTCCCGGAAACACCATAAATGCACAACCAAAAAAATGGGCCAGAACCACCATCATCCATCCACATACCTCTATCCATCCATCAGGCCAAAATCCCTTCCCACCCCATCTCAAATCCAACACCCCTCCACCCACCCACCCCCTGGGACCTGAAACTAAAAATGCTCAATCGGCTCCTCGGGCAACAACTCCTCCGTCTCTCCCTCCCTACCCCGCTCATAACAAGCCTTCAGCGGGGGCCTAACGATATCGTTGAACAAAAAGGTGCCGTAGACGAGCAGCGCGAAGCCCAGGACCTGGAGCCACTTGAACGTCTCCCAGCCAAGGCCGAGCGAGACGATCCAGATGAAGAGGGTGCGGCACGTGTCAATGGTGGAGCGCGACGTGGCCGAGACGGAGCGCGTGACGGACAGGCCGAAGAAGTTGAAGCCGCTGAGAAAGAGCAGAAAATGGTTAGTAGATGCAAATTCAGCGTCCCTCTCTATGAGATAGCTAGGGAAAGGAAGGAAGAGAGAGAGGCAAGACATACCCGATACTAATCATAATCAGCACACTACTGACGGCAATCGCCCGATGCTGCACCATCTGCCGCAACCCCTCGCGCGCATTGAAATACCCCGTCCCAATGGCCAAATGCAGCACCACCATGGCCACGGCCGTGACCAGGAACCCGAAGATGCCCTCCCACCCCACCACCTTGATGGGCTCCATGGCGTACTTCTCCATGATGCGCTCCTCGAGCACAAACTGCGTGGCCGTGAAGACCTGCGCGCCCGCGATGAGTAGCACGCCGATGACGGTCCAGATCGCGGGGGAGTGCTTCGCAGCCACTACAACGGCCTCGATGCCCGGCCGCGCTTTATGGTCCTGCGTCACGTACCCTGCCAACCCTACCACCGCGACGCCGAAGACGACGACGAAGAGCGCGAACCATTTGTACAGGCCCAGATGCCTCTTGAGGAACCAGACGCTGAAGAGGCCGACAAAGAGGACGAGCGCGCCGCGCGTCATTTGGTAGATACTCGCCGCGACGAAGAGGAGGCCCACGTTCATGAGCGTCGTCCCCGCGATGTCGCAGATGGCGGGGAGGGCGAGAAGGAAGATGGATATCCCCGTGAGCGGGATGCGCTCCGGGTGTATGGGCTTCAAGGGATTCACGACGCTCGGCGTGGAACTCTCGTCGGACGTTGGCGTGATGATGCCTGCCGCCGAGTGCGAAGTCGATGGGGGAATGGCTTCATATCCCGTGCGGCGGGATTTGACGCGCTGGTAGAGGGAGAAGCCGCCGATGACGAGCCAGCAGCCCATTTCACCGATGAACATTTGGAGGGTCTGCAGGACGGGCTGTTCGAAGTGCTTGCGGCGGCGGGGGTCCGAGGAGGCGCAGTTGGAGACGCATTGCATGTCCTAGATGAGCAGGTTAGTGAGGAGTGCGGGAGGGCAGGATGGAAGGATGAGAGGGGGAAAGAAATGGGCGTACCTGATACTTTGTCAACAACGTATTACACACGCCCGTCACCAACATCATGGCCACCAGGAACGGCACCACGGCTTTGACCGCCATGGTGGAGTTCGCAAGCGTAGAAGCCCGGTAGGCCTCCCACCAAAGGACGAAGATGGCACGGTCCGGAAGGAGCAGCACCAGGATGACAGAGTCCTAACTCGGCTCTGAGGCAAAGGTTTCGAGGGGAGAAACAAGAACGTGGAGGTGGAAATGGATAAGGGGGGAGGGGGAGGGAAGACGGAGGAGGGGAGAGTGAGTGGACAGCAGGGACAGCTCCAGGCTGCGTGATGGATGAATGGTAGCTCGAGTCAAGCACGGTCGCGTGGTGCGTATAAGCTCGTCACGTGGCGGTAACATGCGGCTAAGGCCAGATCCATGGATCGACACCTGGGCAGTGCATGAAAGTGGGTCCAGGGTCCCATCGACGACAAGGCTCAACCTCACATGCATTTGCAAGATGAAACGCCATCAAGTCGGGTTGGAAAATATATCGGACCTCAAAACCCCATGTCATAACCATGTATCTCATTTCTCATCGCCTACACCTTCCGAGGCGAACTTCCGTGTACTTCGCTTAGAATACCAATACCCCAATCCCGAGCTATTCATACACACATTCCCGCCGCACCCATAACCATACATACACCCACCCATTTCCTTTTCCCAACCAGGCCAAGAGAGAAGATTCCCCACCCAACGCCATGCTAAAGCAAAGCATTAGAGAGAAAAACACCCAGAGAAAAGAAACACCGAAGAGGAGAGAAACCCCCGGCACGCACCTACCCCTCCATGCAAATGCACACCAACCGGAAAAGCCAACCCCTATCAACCCACACCTCCAAGAACGCCAACACGAATCGAGAAGGAAATCTAGCTACCCCCCACAAGTTCCCTTTGGTGGCGTTTTTACCCCTTCATCTTCCCCAAGAACCCCTCAAGATCAAACTCCTCCTCATACTGCCTCTCATCCCACAGCTCGCCCAACTCATCCAAGAAGCCCTTCTGCCCCTTCTCCCTGACGTTGCCCGTCGCATCCACCGCATCGTTCTCATCAATCGCGCCTTCATTATCCGTCGGCGGCAGCGGCATGGCAGACGAGTCTGCGCTGTCGGCAGAGACGTTGAACAGGTCGAGGATCTGATCGGTTTGCATGGAGCCCAGACCGGCGTTTTGCTGGTTGACGACGGTGGAGGCGACGTCGATTTTGAAGCGCTGGAGGCTGGGGATAAAATTAGCAACTCAATCAAAATACCAGAAAACAGAAAAACGTACTTTAAAATTTTCTCCTCCAACGTCCCGCGCGTGACGATGCGGTAGACGTTAACTACCTTTTTCTGCCCAATGCGATGTGCCCGATCCATGGCCTGTATATCCTTCTGTGGATTCCAGTCATGCTCGACGAAGATGACGGTATCGGCGCCTGTCAGATTAAGACCAAGGCCACCGACCGACGTCGTCAGGAGCAGAACATCATAGGAAGGATCCGAGTTGAACTTGTTAACAATGTCCTGGCGCTTGTTGGCCTCGACTGAGCCGTCCAGGCGCATGAACTGGACGGACGGAAGCATCTTTTCCAGGACATTGGTCTGCACCATGTCGAGCATTTCCTTCATTTGACAGAAGACGAGCGCGCGGTGTTGGGAGACAGCTTCGGGGAGGTCGCCGTTAGGAATTGCCGTCTTATCCTTCACGACGTCTGCTGTGCCGATGCCACAGTCCACAAGAAGGTCCCTGAGCGCACCCAATTTAGGAGCGTGCGCGATATCCTCAAGGGCCGTGTTATGCTGCTTGAGATACTTCTGGGTTGCTTGGTAGTGCTTGTGAGCCGGTTTGATGACAAGCGCCGGTGAGTTGCAGAGTTTTTTCATATATTGCAGCGCCTGGAAGATGTGTTGCTTGCTTTCGCGATCACCAGCGCCAGCCTTTGCTTGGATCTCCTTGACCTCCTTCTTGGTGAAATCCTCGAAGAGCTTGCGTTGGAGATCGGACAGGTCGCAGTAATAATTTTGGATGATTTTCGGAGGCAGATCGTCCAACACTTCTTCCTTGAGGCGGCGGAGAAGGAAGGGCAATACCTGCTTGTGGAGTGCCTCGATAGCAAGCGCACCTCGTTCTTGCTCTTTTGACGATGATTTGGCGAAGCGGGATTGCGCAATGGGCTTTGCGAATCTTTCTTGGAACACCTTTTCCGTGCCAAGGAAACCCGGCATAAGGAAGTCGAAGAGCGACCACAGCTCAAGCACATTGTTCTGGATTGGGGTTCCAGAGAGGATCAGACGATGGTTGGACTGAAAATTCTTGACGGACTGGCTGGTCTTCGACTTTGAGTTCTTGATCAAATGTCCCTCGTCGAGCACGCAGTAATTCCAAGCCAGCGGCCGGAGAACGTCATTGTCGTTGCGGCAGATGTCGTAGGAAGTAATGACGATGTCGACCTTGTCAAGTTGGGATCGGAGCTGGTTACGCACCGAGGGCGGACCAACGTAAGCCAAAGATGTCAGGAAAGGAGCGTATTGCCGAATCTCTTGCTGCCAGTGCCCAGACAATGTCGGAGGACATATGATGAGAGAGGGTAAACGGCGACAATTGGGATCCTGCGTTTTCGCATATTCTTCTGCACGCATGTGATGATCACTCGCGACCATGCACAGGGTCTGCAGTGTCTTGCCAAGACCCATATCGTCGCAAAGAATACCGTGTAGGTTGTATCGGTTTAGGAAAGCTAGCCAGTTTACACCGTCCTGTTGGTACGACCGCAGTGTTGCTTTTATGCCCACAGGAATCTCAAAGGGTTCGACTTTCTTGGCGTCCAGCATCTGCGCCACGAACTTGCGCTCCTTTTCACGGCCTTTGAGTAGACTTTCGGGTAGACCAGGCGGGTCGGGGATACCAGCTTCCAGAGGCACCAACTTGACAAGTGTTGCAAAGCTTGTAGTGGCGAGAAGGCGCACATCATTATCCGAATCGCTCATTCGACCGAGAACGGGAGTGATCAGGAAAATGACATAGGGGAGGATATTGTCTTCCATGACGTGAATCAGGTGGTAGATGCATTCGATGGCACCCTGCCGCCAATGGACATTGCTCGGGTTACTGATGGTTGGAAGCACGTTCTCTACCAACATCGTGATGCCTTCGATAGGAATGACGCTGCAGATCGTAGCGAAACACTTCGCGGCAACATAGCGCAGAACGTACAGTCTGGATTGGAGCGCTTTGGCGATCAGTGGGAGGAGTTGCCTGACGAACCCTTGCGCTTCCGGATGAATCTTGCCAACCAAAGCGCGCAAGGTAGAGAAGGCATCCACGACTTCCTGTCCGAAAATGCCGTCGTCCTGTGCAATTTCCGGGGGTAAGGTGTCCTCAGTAAAAGCCCGCCTGATGGGTCTCTCGATGAGGTCGAGCAGAATGGGAACTTTTGCAAGAAGGTCGGCACCAAAGATCTGTGCGACCTGTTCAAGTGCTTCGCGGGCCCCGCGCTTCGTGATCCGCGCCGCTCTCGACTCCTCCGCGAATTTTGCGGCATCGGGGTGGTCGCGGACGTCCTCGTCCTTCTTAAGAGTGAGGATTCCCGTTTCGACGTGCGCATGGCCATGGAATTCAGGAGTCTCTGCCGTCTCCATGCAGTAGAACTTGGCCAGGTTGCCGACCACCTTATTGACGACAACATTCCGACCGGCATTCACCAAGTGCTCAATGAACCCAGCAATGGCGGCAGCAGAGCGTTTCTGTAACTGGACATTCTCTTCCTTCTTGACACTGTCCATAATGGCCGTGATTGTCATGGCTGGCTTTTTGGGAGGCGAATGAAGTGCAATCAAAGCGCCTGCGGCGGCAGCCTTGATGCGGACATCTCGTTCCTCCTTGATGTCCTTGGCGGCTTGGAGGGACTCCTCCAGCTCCGCCGTTGCGGCGGCCAGCTGGGATTGTGCCACCATGCGAGCCGCAGGTGTCAGACTCTTCTTCAACTTTTCCAACTGCACGTTGAGGAGCTTATCGGCATCGGCAGTGGAGAAGGCGTAGGAACTAGCTGACGGATCTCCCTGCACGACGACGGCCAGTTGAGGCAAGCCTTGCACATGGCTGTTTTGGAAAATGTTCAATAGCGCAGAGCAGCGTGAACGAACAACTTGCAGCTTCGGGACCAGGTCTTCGTACGCCGTAGGTCTTTCTCCCTCGACGACAGGCACGAGCGCTTCCGCGCAAGAGACGGCAAGAGCATCCTTGGTGCCGAGCGATCGTCCAAACTCCTCGATGATGATGGCGGTCGTAAGTTGGGTGGTTGAATTTGGTGACTTGAGCGAAGGTAGAAGTCTCGAAACGAAAGTCTGCTGTCTGGATTGCTCCGGCCACGCGGCTATTGCCTTCCCAAGCGCTCGAGCGGCTGAGATACGAGCCCGGACCATTACCTCAAAGCCTACAAGCTCAAGGTTGCCGCTGACCATGTGGCCATCTACATTGTGCGAAAGCGGTGTTGTGGAGGTCGCAAGGAAATCATCCTTTCCGTGCTTCGACTTCTTCCGCCTCTTGTGCGCAGGCTCGCTGATCGACCCTGGTGGACTTGCTCTTCTCGTAGGCTGACTATTCAATGGAGGACCAAAAGCATGCCCTGACGGTCGGATGAGCATAGAGGGGTCCATTGAGATGGGATGAAGAGGAACGCCAATCGGGGTCAGGGTCAACGGTATAATCTTGTCAAGGATTGGCTCAAGCTGTTTCTGCAATTCGCTCGGGTTGGATCCTACACGGTCAATGACGGCGTCCCAGAGCTGGGAAGAAAATTTCGAAACAAGCTCATCTCGCTCGAGAAGCACATTCTGGAATATCAACTGCAGCGCTTTGCTGTCAATCCAAGGGTCCGTCTCAGCCGCTTGGATGTTGAGGAAGGTGATGAGTGCTCGCAGAACCGCCGCGCGAACACTGGTGATGGTATGTCGAAGGAAGGGGAATAGCCTGGGAACCAGTTCATGGAAGGATTGAGACGGATCGACCTGGGCGTTCGCTTGCATGGCGCTCAGCACCTGAGGGAAGCCACAAAGTTTAGCCAGAAGATCCATAATGGACCCGGTACTCGCGCTGAGATCGTCCGTCAAGTCGGCAAGGCAAGCCCATACTTGGTTGATGAGGCCCGGGAGAGCATGCGGTCGCATTTCCACTATCTCTTTGGCGACGGGAATGAGGGTCGCTGCGCTGATGGCGCGCACGTCGTCGTCGGAATCTCCTAGACCTTTGATGACTGCTTTGAGTACCCCGTCCATGAGCGTGTCATTTTGGAGCAAGAGGTCGTTCCGCACAGCGACCAGATATCGAAGGCCAATCATGCCTCCATGGCAGACTTGCCACGCTGCTTTGTCCTCTGTGTCATCCTGCATGACCAGCCGATACAAGACATTGAATGTCGCAATCACATTATCTGGGGAAAGGTACTGAAGGAGTGCACCCAGCGCCTGGCCAGCAGTCTCTCGTATAGGGACCACGGCGTTGTCGGACATGAAATCGGCGAAACGGTCTAGCATAAAGACGCAACATATGCGGCAGGCAAGGTCGTTCAGCCAGCGCTGGTTCAGCGCGTCGTTTTCCGCTCTCGTCTTTCCCTTTTGTCTCCCAGCGCCCGCGCCATGGACGCGAAGGACTTCGCGGAGACCCATGGCAGCGCCGTGCCGAACTTCCCAATTGTGATCGAAGAGTTCCAGACTTAGATATTCGCATAACCGCTCGAAAGGCCATTCCAGACCACTTTCCTCGGCCTCGGTTTGGAACGATGACTTGTCTGGTACCGGGGCGCCCTTGAACTCTTTCACGAATTTGGTGTCATCATCACCTCCTTGACGCTCAAGAGAAAAGTAGTCACCCATGGAATCATCGTTGCCGTTTTCCTCCTTGACTTCCTGTTTGATCGGGTAAGGCGTCGCGGCTGCTGGTGTCTGAGGGTAATCGGTGAGGGTGCTCTGTCGGCGAGGTCCCAGCTCCACGATTTGAACCTTATTCGCTCTGTTATGGACCTCTTTCTTCGCCTTGCGTTTCAGCATGTTGAGCTGACGCTTGCTCAATCCGGGCTGCTGCTCGGAGATGGGCGTGGCAGCTGGGGGAGACGAGCCTGAAGCGGAATGGATACTGTTTGCGCGAGAGACATTGGTGTCGAGACGGTGCATGGCTGGTGTACGAGCGCCGGGCGTCTGGGCCAATATGTCATTGTCTGTGACGAGGTCCTCTTCAATGTATTCGCCGCCAAGGCCGAGACGTGCCGTCAGGCTCTTCTTCTGATGAGCTAGACGTTCGGCGGGATCCATGGAAGCAAGCTTGAAGTCATACTCCTTGCCTGCACTCCCGACAAGGGGCTTGCCAAACTTCAGAATGGAAGGCAAATCCAGGGTCCGGAGATCCAGCTGGGTCTCCGAGGGCGTACAAGTGCCATCGTCCAGCTCTTCTTTCTTGACGTCGGAGCCATTGGTGGTTTCTTCGGATTTGGTATGACCGTTGGGTTCGGTGGAGTCATGGGCATTAGGATCGAACTTTTCAGCGTTGGAGACGATGCCGCCAATGGCTCTTGCAGCAGTGACGCGGGTGTCCCAATTCTTGGAATGCAGGTAGGGGATGACGCGGGTGAGGAGGTTGAAGAGCTCCTCGGGATGTTGTTTCTGGACGTCGGCGAGCTGGTCGGCTGCTGTATTGCGGATTAAAGCAGTACTGCCCGTCTCTAGTAGGCTTGGCAAAGGTTAGTGGGGCTACGCCTGTAGGGAAGAGGAATGGGGCATTTTGATTCGAGGAAGGAAAACCAAAACAGAAAACAGCAGGGAAACGAGCGATAGGGTGGGTAAAAGGCGGGCATGAAACACAGGCTACTCTGGATGCACCTACGTTACTAGGCGGTCCAATCTGGTGGCACTGTAGGAATTGTTAGCCGGTGTCCTCCTGCACTCTTTTTAAAGTGGGCGGGCATGCAGGCGCTACGTACCTCATGGTCGCGCGGTTTGGCGGGCGGCGCTAGACCGGACGCTCGAACGCGGTGAATGAGAAAAGAAGGGGAGAGGATGGCACGAGTTCGGTAGGGCAGAGAGACGCGCAGCCAGCCATTCACATGGGCACCGCCATGCACTGGGGCATCGTAGTAGGATTGATCGTAGGCGGAGTGCAAGTCACGTGACGATGAAAATCCGGGCTGACTAAGGGATGCGCGGGGTGGAGTGGTGCTGCTGGTGCGCGCGCGTCGGGGAGACGTGCTGAAGTGGTGGGCGGGCGCCGGGATTTCATATGAGCATCCTCTTTATAAGGTAACTGGGAGCTAGCGGCCTGATCCTGCTCTTGGCGCGGGCACGGACCCCCCGTTTCAGGGTGAGCTTTTTCGCTGAGGAACAACATGATCATTATTGATGGAGCCAGCCCCTTCGCGCGCCGTCCACTTGCCTGCTCCTCATGAATACAAGAGCACTATGAGAAGAGGCTGGTATCTTCGAGCGGCTACCCTATGACAGGTTTTGGCATCTTTGCAGCGACCTTGACGGCGGCGGTGCGGGTGCTGATGCGGCATTGTTGTGATGCTGCGTCTGCGTCGCGCCTTCCCTCTCTTCACGGCCTCTCTGTCCATGTGCCTCTGCGCCGCGCTAGCGCCTTCCCCGTCTACCCATCCATGATGAGCGAACGAGCAAAGTTCGGCCGGCGAAGAAAGTCATGAAAGGAAAAAAGTGAATGGTTTCCTGCCAATTGTGAGCATGGAGGGGACTGACTGTGGAAATGCTAATCCGGTCACTGTGGGCTAAGCATTGAAAGCCTGATGCGAACTGGACACATCTACCTCACAGCCCAGTCAGCAGGCTGCCGTAAACATGTGCTGGGTACGGAATACACAGTACATACAGACGGTGGCTAAGACTATATGGCATTCACTGCGCTGCATTCGTCTGCGAAGAGTTCCAGTGGAAGAATATACACAGTAGTCTTCTTCTGGTAGCGCTTCTTTTCTACAACAGATATCACTTCTCGCAGCACCAGCAGCCAGCACCCATGATTGACCGCATCGTCGATCCTTTGCAAGTCGTTGGCGGATCCCGCTTTTAACGAGAAACCGAAATCCAATCATGTGCGCCGATTCACATGCGGCGCCAACCAACTATGGACTGGTGGCTTTTCTTTTCCTCACTACGGACGAGAGTCTGGCACACATCTTTACAATAACATCATTTTGCTGTAAAACGCGTCTCCAGCACCTTCGCGCTTCACATATATACATGACATGCCCACTCACAACAGTGTCGTCGCTACGAGCCTATTCCGCCCAACACTGACGGCAGCCAGTCTCATACCCCTGACTCACCTGCGCGTCTTTGCAGAGGACGGAGGGTAGCTGAGTGGTTCGCGGAGGGTAGGATGTTAGATGTGATGTGTTTTATACGACAAGTACGATTGCAATATCGTTTCTGCGATGCCGACATCCAAAAGACGTAGTTATCCTTCAAAATGCATGTCCGTTTCGTCAAGAGGCATTCATACTCTGAGAGTTCGGTCCACATGCCAACGTCGTCTTCTAACATGCAACGCTATGAACGCTATATTCACCTCCGAATCCCGCTCACAGGCATCATCATCTTGCTTGTTGAACAGTACTTCCGTTAACTTGCTATCGCCATCCAATATCCATTGCTCCATTTATTGGTTCCCAACCGTCCCATCAACCTATTATTCTTTGTCCAACCCGCCAACTGCCAACTGCCCGTTGGTGGCGTCAAAACTGTGCCTTCACATCTTGGTGCAACCCACCCGCCAAGCCGCTGCTTCCCCTTGTGGTAAGGCGCTCCTTCCCTGGCGCCAATTCTGTGTGACTTCATCTCTCCTCCTCTTCCACTCGTCCTCATCATGACACTTCGCCTGCGTCACCGATGGCTTCGCTAGTTTCGTTGCCTTGTGTTTTGCTCTGTGCCTCTCTCTCTCTGGGTTCGTACTATGCAGGCACATGCCGAAGTGCTTCTGTTTAGCAGAGCAAGCTTTCATTTGATCACAAAACTAACAGTTCTCAACTGACGAGACATGAGAGGAACGGTTTGGTAGTGACTGGAACAGCTTCGAGGAAGAGATATACGTCCATTGGACTGCATTCATTTACCAAACTCCGAAGACGAAGCTGTCAGGGCCGGGATTTGGTGCCGCAAATGGTACGATGGGGGACGTTTCGCAGCTGCACGACGCTTCACTGCCGGACACGAAGGGTGCCACGGAACTGACAGTGGATATCCGGGAGTGCACAAGGCGGAGAAGGTCCACGATACTTGTTGTGGGATATGACAAGAGCCAGTGCTATGGGCTGCTCATCCCTGGGGCCCGTCCGCTTTCTTACTGCAGCCTTCACCCTTGCCCCAAGTGGTAACTTCTGTCTCTTCCGATGCTCCCAGAAAGGAGCATACACTGGAACGTCGTCGTGGTCCGTGGAAGGTGTAAGTGCAATGGATCCTTATGCGTTGCGTTTGCCCGTGGTGAGTGCGAGCGGCATATTGCGACAACCGGTGTCACCCGATTGAATGATGGCTAATGATTTCAGTCTACCCGTCATTGACGAATACGCGATGTCTTGCTCCTTGGTTCCCTTCAAGCTCAATGGAGTCGTCCTCCTGCTCTTGCTCCTAGCTAGCTCAGCAGTCGCTTCAGGCACAGTGAGGACGTTCCTGTTTGATATTTTACCTTTAATCTAATAAGCTAGTGTAAGCGCAACTTAGACACTTTTTAAACCTTCTAAAAAGATAGTCAAGGGGCCAACAGACGCATTCTATCCAAGCTACCTACGCTATAAAGTGCCTTAAGAGAGAGACAAAGAGAAAGATGCAAAGGGGAAAAACGGAGAAGAGATATGCATTCCCCCAATTGCTAATCCTACAGGCCGAGCATCTGTTCCTTTCCCATCGCCTAAATCCGTCAACCATACACGCCTCGAAACACAAGAAACCCCAAAAACAGAAAAGGAACTATCTCCGCCCCAAGCATACCTCAAGCAACCATGTCGATACTCAACGCAGCCCACCCCATCGATATCCACCGCTCTGCATCTCTCCCCCAGGTATATGAGAACCGCTGGTGGGAACTGGGTACTCAACGCCAGTGTCAAGATCCCACGTGCCATCCCCTGCCGCCAAACCATCACCGATAAGATCCCCATCAAGCCCCATCTGAGAAGGCGGATGACCCATCCCAGCGCCATGTGCAGCAGGGTCAGAGGTGAACTGAGGGCACTGCTGCATCTGCAGCTGGGATTGTGCGAATCCATCTCCCATATGGGACCAATCGATGTCCACATCCATGAAGGAGATATCTGGATGGTTTGGATTCGAATTCGAAATCGGGAGTAGTGGATCGTTGTTGATATCCGGTAGGGCCAGCGTGTTGTTGCGATCCTGGTACATCGGATAGTCGAATCCAGGCATGTTCGACATTGTCATCGACATCGACATCGGCGCCAGGGCCGTGTGCATGTGCGACACGGCAGTGTTCGACAACGCCGGAGCATCGAAATCCATCATAGCGAACGCGGGATCACGCACCCCCTCCTCTCGCTTGATATGCTCATTGCTCGCAGCTGCAGTCGGAGCCAACTCCCCACTCTGCTGCTCCTTGCTTCTCCTCCGAGTCGTCGACCTACGCGTCAGCGTCCGGCTAAGGCGACGCACAAACCCGGAGCCGAACGAGCTACGGTGGTCCTCCTGCGCCTCCTCCTCGAGCTCATTATCCGCCTCTTCACCCTCTCCCTTCTTCGTCCCGAATCTCTTCAACGGATTCCACTTACTCCCTCTTCTCTCCCTCCCCGTCTCCCTTCTCTTGATCCCCTCGTCCCCGACATCCACATCCACGGCCGCAGGCGAAGGCAAAGGCGAAGGCCACTCCCTCCACTCCCCCATCCTCCTCCCCTCCTTAAAATGCCCCGCTACATGCCTCTCCCTCACCGTCCAACTCCTGAGCTTAACACCGCAAAACCCACATATCCAGACCTCTTCCCCATTCCCACTTCCGCCGCTACCGAGACCGCCATTGCCTCCCCACTTCCACCTCCCCTGCACCACCTCGCCCAACCCCGTCCCATGAAAATTCCTAACATGCTGCCTCAAATGGTCCGGCCTGAAAAACGTGCGTTCGGCGAGCGACCGACGCTCACACTCGGGGATCCGGTGGTGCGTGCGGAAATGCTCCTCGGGCGGGTTTTCCAGCATGCAGAAGGCGCAGAAGGACGTCTCTTCTGCTGCTGCTGCTGCTGCCGTCGTTGTTCTTGTTCCTGTTGTCGCTATAGGGGATACAGCAGCCCCTGACGCAGACGGGGTTGTTGTCAGAGTCAACCGCGGCCCATGCAACATGCACGTCCACTGCGCCCTCGGTCGATGCTGCGTCTCTTCATGGCGGCGCCAGGATTTGGGGACCAGGGGCCGACGGCAGAAGGTACACTGCCAGAGTTCCTGGTCTGGGGCGGAGGAAGGGGTGGTGTCGCTGAGGGGTTCGATGGGGGATTGGAGATACGCGTTCGGTTGAGGTGATGCGGTATTGCTACTGGTAGTCGTATAGGTATGCGGACTCGTCAAATTTCGACGATAATTCTTCTTCTTCCCGCGGCGCGACTTGGATGGCAGGAAACGGGCGTGCAAGGGGGAGGCGGAGACGGAGAAGGCGCTGCTGCCGGAGATGGAGGCTGCTGCTTTGCAATGGCCATGCCCGGTGGGCGTGCGAGTGGTGGCGGTGTCGGAGAGATAAGTAAAGCCCGTGTTGTCGGATGGAGAGAGGTATGCGGGACTCAGGGCGGCGGCACTCGCGATATCGGTCTCCGAAGCAGCTTCCTGCTCCGAAGCGGACGAGAGATAGGTATCCAGGGGACTGAGTTGGCGGGCCCGGGCATTGGTGAACCAGGTCGTTACTTGTTTCTCCGTGATGCCGCACTGCTGGGCTAGTTGCTTCTTTTCGTTGGCGCTCGGGTAGGGGTCGTCTTGGTGGGCGTCTAGCCAGGCTTGGAGGCCGGTCAGGGCTGAGAGGGGCAGTTTGTGGGTGCGGCGGGCGTGGGAACGGCGGATTTTGTGGTCTTCTTCCTCCTGTGGTTGAAGAGGGGGTTGTTGACTAGGTGGTGGTGCACAGCTGGGGCAGGGGAAGTGTGTGGAGGGATGGATAAGAGCGGAGAGTTCGCAGGCTGAGCAGCGAGTTGGTACTAGTCTCTCCTCTGGTTCTGGCTCTCTTCTGCCATGATACACGGCGGTGGACATCCACGACTGGATCGGTTTCGCGTCGAAGTCGTCGAGCAACAACTTGCTCGGCTGCACAGTCGTCGAGACGTGACAGCCTTCACAGCGACCATTCCGGTCCGCCGAATCCGTGGCATTCCAAGATCCACAACTCAAGCATCCATTGGCCGCATTGCTCGTCCCCTGAGCAGGATAATCATTGCAGGGCCTCGAACCGGGCACAAAAGCTGGATGCGAGCCTTGGTGTTCCGGTGCAACCAAATCCTCACAGCTCTCCAACCTCCCTTGCAAACTGTTCGTCGACATGCCCGCATGGAGATAAAACTACCCATCATTAGCACTGGTAAGAAGTCGTCAGGGAATCCCTACTCACAGCTCGACGACTCGGATTCCCCATTCCGTCGTCCAAGGTATCCTGTGTTCCATAGCCTGAGTCGAAGCTCCAGATGCTGGCCGCGAAATTCCTCTTGCGCTGGTTTCCGTAGAGAGAAGACATGGAGGACATGGTGAGTGAGGCTCAACGGTGGACCTAGCGTGTTGGTTTTGTTCGAGGTGTCTCCTACTCAAGGGGTGTTTGTATGGCTCCAGCTAGCAGCGGAGAGTGGGAATCGATGAACGAAGTCCAACGAACAATAGCGTGTTTCTCATCTAGCAATCTTGACCAAGTCATGAATCTTAGTTTAAGAGTATGTAGGAAAAGTAGATAGGAAAAGAGAAGAAGAAGAAGAAGAAGAAGAACAGAAAAAAAACCCAGCACAACCCCCCCACCAAATATCCCCCCTCACCAACCTGACCTGATATCGAGGGTGGTCGTGCCTTGTCTTCCCCCTGCAGCTGCCCGTGTTCCCCAAACCGTACTCGGGGGTACTGTGGCTGCACCTCTGCACCGCCACTCCCGTTCTCATGATTGGCTACGAGCTATCGCTCAGCTTGACAAGGAGGCTGAGGCCTTGTCGTGCATAAGCATCCGGCTTCATCAGTGAGTGGGATGAAGGGGGGCACTGCATACGGTCGTCATCATCATCATCATCATGTACTTAGTACTGTAGGTAGTCTAGCGGAGAAGCCGGGCGTTCCCAGGTTTTCATGCGGTTCACCCTTCATCCCACTCAGAACCTTTAAAAGAAAGAGAAAGAGGAAAGTGACCGCGCAAGAAGAACGCCACATTTTGTGGCTGATGACCGTGGCGGTGCTGAATGATTGGTCGACATGCGCCCGCTGAATGTCCAAGCAACTCAATCGTCGGAGAGCGCATAAAAGAAAACAAGGCTTTGCTTATCACGCTTCTTGATCCTTCGGCAACTCCGTACCAACTTTCATGGATTACTCAAAGACGAACGAAACCATGATCAATTGTCCGTATGACTTCCACCTACCCTAAGGGTACTCCAGCGTCGTGATAAGTCTAGCCTATTCATCCCGCAAACCGCACTACATACATACATCTAGGTAACCATGTATGGGTATCAAATTGAGAAATCATCCAATAATGAAAACGCGTTACGCACTCTCTCTCTTGTTCCCTTCCCTCAATCTCTCCGACCTTCGAATGCGAGAACAAACGAAATGAAAATCTCTCTACATAAGAATGTAAAGACGGAATATCAACGATTCAGCCCCAATGCCGTCTTGTCATGCTTCGCATCATCTTCAATCCATCCCCTCTATATGCGACGCCTCGTCTTGTCAATCTTGCCCATCCAGAAGCATACCGTTCTTCGTCAGAAGCCTCACAAGTCGTAGATAAAATCGTCAAAAATCCTTCCAGATCCCTATCCTGATCTCTGCCGCCAGCCGCTCAGGCAGCGTCAAACCGGCGTATCCACCACCTGGCACCACGGGTGCTCCAGCACTTGGCTGATGGTAATGCGCCTCTCGACATCTCGGTCCAGCATCAACCGGATCAGGTCGATGCTCTCCTCGCTCATGATATAGGGCACCCGTAAGTCGTGATCCATGATTTCGTCGATGCTGTAGAACGGGTTCTCCTTGTACACGATGGTGTACAGGAGGATGCCCAGGGCCCACACATCCTGCTCCTTCCCACGGTAAGCTTTGCCTCCAAGCACTTCGGGAGCAGCATAGTCTGCATGATGAGTTAGTTTTTTTTCTTTCGAAAACATGGCAGATGTCGGATGAATGCTCACCTATTGTGCCAACGAACACGTCAAATGGACCGCTTTTGATGTATGCGGCGCTGCCAAAGTCGATCAACTTGATATTCCCCTCGCCGTCCAGGATTACGTTCTCGTCCTTGATGTCGCGGTGGACGACCTTTGCTTTGTTGTGCAGGTGATTGACTGCCTCGGCAACTTGGACAAAGATCTTGCGGCACTCCTTCTCCTCCATATTCACTCGCAATTCTATATAGTCAAAAAGGTCCATTCCAGGAAGGCCATGCGGAACCATCTCGATGTAGTAGTTGATGTCATCCTCGAAGAAGTCGTACATCTCAACGATATTCGGGTGCTTCAGGTCGTCACGTCGCAGATAGTCCAAAACGTGTATCTCAAGAGGTACTGTACCAAGCTTACGGTCCCGCGTCCACGTGTCGACCAAGATGCGCCGCTTGGTTACGTATTTGATAACCACCTTTTTGCCGTGGTTCTTCTTGTACCGGCAGAGCTTCACTTGGCCATAGGCTCCTTGGCCCATATCCTCCAATATGACAAAGTCATCGATCGTCTTCTTCTTGGGCGCCACTGCATTCGTCGGCTCAGGGTCCATGTTCTTAGCCTGGGGTTTTGATGCAGTCTTCGGCGCCGTGACGTCGTGGATCTGCTTTGCAAGTAGCGACGCATGCAGCGTGCTTGCATTCGTATCGTTTTTGGTCATTCCTGTATCTGCGGGTGACGACAGCAGTGACTGCCCCGGCGAGGGCTGATGTGGCGGCGTTGCTGGTCGGGATATCAGGGGAGTCACAGGGCCTTGACCGTGGTTTGAGGCATGCAGATGTCTCGAATATGTGATCCAGAGCGCATATACCAGATCCGGGTCTTGTTCTTGCTGCTCCTCAACAATCACGTCCTCCGAATCGCGGAGCTTTGGTGACCGGTTCCGTACCACCCTCATCTGGACGTCCACCATAATTTCGAAACCATCACGGTGTACTGCCGGCAAGCCACTTGGCCTCAGAAATACTGATGCGGCGTCTGCTCGGCCTTCTCGCATGGCAAGTAGAGCACGGGCTCTTCGGAAACTGTGCTCGGGAATCACGATACCGTCTACGAGTTCGATCTTATCCTCGTCCGTCATAATGTGCAAGAGTTTGTCAAGTGCAGGGATGAGGTCGCGGATGTGGTGTCCTATCGGCTGTGGCTGTCCAAACAGGGCCGATGTGAATACTGTGTTGGAGCTGGCAATCGTGAGGTCGGTAGCAGATAGGACCACAATACCGGCAATGTGAGGAAAGCTCGAAACCCGGAAGGTGGCACTTCCTGACATTGCTTCGACGGTGACAGGGATGTTGATATTGTTCGACGTCCGTGCCGTGAAGTTTCGAAGTTCGGCAATCCGGTCGAAATCCAGTGCCCCAGTGTTCGTGCCCTCGAGGCGTGGTATAGCGGGTATGAGGCGTTTCAGATCCATGCCTCTTCGCAGCCGCTCACTTCCGAATACAACCTCTACCGCGCCTTGCCCTCTTATCACGCAACCCACTTCGTCGACTTCAACGTATACGACGTCCTCCGCGATCTCCTCTAATACCCAGATCAGGCCACCGCGCTTCTCCTTGACCCAGAGACTAGCAGCTCCCGTTGCACCGTTCCGCTTCTGTATGGGAACCACATCGCCGCAAAGGAGAACGCCCCTTGACCCTTTCGACTCGTGATTAGGGCCTTTCATGTTCTTCTTGGAGGCATACGACGACCCGCTTCCGTCATCCGTCTTGGCTCGTCTGCTCTGGGCGACCTGTCTCGACGACGGTTTACTGAGTAGCTTTGCCGTGACTCCGTTGCCCATTTTCAGGGAGGTCGTTTTGGCACCTGGTTGCTGACTCTGGCTAGGTGCATCCCTTGAGGCCTTTGAACCTATGTCGGGATTGCTCAATTTCTCCTCCAACCACCTCCGGCGTCCTTCCTGAACCACTTCGAGGATGCCCAACCTTCGCACTTCTGCCTTCGTCACGCCGAAAACCAGGCACGCCAGATCGTTGGCGGCTGTTATGGTCCACGGTGCTTGCGCTTCCGTGGTGAAAATGGCCTGAGCAGCAGGCGTCCATCTATTGCCAGGACCATGAGGTGCCGGCCCCGCCGCATGAAGACCAGGACCGGTAGGCAAGGCTATCGGCGCGGTTGACACGCCGAGTGGAGACGTTACATGTGGGATCTGGCCGTGGTCTGGCACCCGATATGGTTGTGCCAACGCATCGTTCAGCTGACTTTGTATCGTTAGGGGCTCAACGTCTGTCAGTGTCCTTTTGAGCGTAGGGCGCGCAGGAGGTGGTGAAGGTAAAGCGGGCACCGAGTCCTCTTGCGCAGACCCGGATGAGGCCGTGTCTCCGGAGTGCTGTGTGCTACCTGTTTCGGATGACTTCGGCTTCGTAGGGCTCAGCATGCTCTCCGGGCTCTCGGAGCGTGGGATCAGACTCCTCTCAAATATGTTCTCTCCGGGCACCTCAGCGGGCCCACTCAGGGGTCCGGAAGTGCCCAGTCCATGAGCTCCCACTGCGTCCTGACCAATGAGGTGTGCTCGTGTCAATAGCTCCAGCATACTTTGCACGTCCTGGTCCCCACTGAGCTTCGCCTGCGCGCTTGCAATGCCGGTATTCGTAGCTGCCCAGCCCAACCGGTCCCGCATGAAGTCAATGGAGCGTTTCAGCACATTCTGCCTGTTGTGGACCGACTCCTCTGCTTGCGTTGTGAAGGAGAAGGAATGGAGTGACTCGGAGCCGAAGCGACGGAGGTCTTCGCCGGGCCCAAACGTCGGTGAGGGAGGCGCCGAGGGCGCCGCAGAGGCGGATCCGGAAGTAGGTGGGGTGATGGTCAAGGAGGCAGAACGTGGGACAGGGTTCGGACCAGCTCCAGAGGGGAGTGGAAGGCGGGTAGTGGGTTGATGGCGAATGCGGCGGAGGCCCGAGGCTCCCAAACCATGTTCGTGCTCAGGAATGATGGGAGATCTAAGGCATGTCAAACTCGTCGCTCGAGTGTTGCGATGGGCAGCAAGGGGAACTGTCTGCGCCGTACCTCGCAATCCTGTCTAGCTGGCCGGCATCAATACTTGAGCGTTTGCCCAGGTTTGAGGTGTTCAAGGCGAAGGGAGTGCGCGGGTTATGGGCCAGCAGGTTGCCGGTGCTCTTATTCTTGGGAAGGGTAGCATTATTGGAGGCGATGCGCAGGGACGAAGCATGAGGCGGGCCTGGCAGTCACAGTGGCAGTCAGAGGATGGAGGCGCCAAGGGCACGGCAAGGCTCGAGGTCCGGGCTTACCATCTTCATGTGGCCTGCTCATTGACTGAGGTGTGCTGGGTCTGGCACACAGACTTGTGTGTTACCGAAATAATGTGCACAAACGGTTCTACTGTGCGTCGAGAGTGATGAGACTTGTTGGACCCTGGTGCACAGGCGTGGTGGGGTGGAAAAAGCGGTCGACGAGACGAGGGGTCGATGAAGATGGGATGTGGATGGGTCGCGCAGCGAACAGGGCGAGGATAGATGGAGAAATATGGTCGTAGGGAGTTGGAGGGAGAGGGAAGGGGGAAGAGAGAAGAGAGGTGTGGACGGCGAAGTGTCTGTCGTCAGACAAGAAAGGATAGGAAGATGGGTGGACTTTCATCACACGTCGACATCGTCGCGAGGTCTGGCGCCGCCGCGCACGGGCCGACCGCCGCCCAGCCAGACGGCCCAGCCAGACCCTAGCATCGATCAGTTTATGGAGTATATACAAGTACTTGACTGTAGTCTGCTCATGGCTACTACCATTAGTACCGATATAGCTACGGTACGGAGTATGAGAGCATTCCGCAGATCACCAACCTCGGAATCCCTCGACGCGGCGACCTCACCGTTTTCTTTCCCCTCCAGTCCCCTCCCCCCTCGTGCCACCCTCCCTACCAGACCCAGATCGCCCGTTTGCTCGTGTCACCGTTACCGGCCACAGAACCGCCGTCCCCGCTGCTGATGACTGGCGCAAGCCGCTGTTGGGTCTCGATCGGGCGCGTGGCCTTTTCTGCTGCATGTGCTCTGCCCTTGCTACGATACTCAGTTGATCGATTGATGTTGCCTCCAGCTGGAGGGCTCCCCCACGCCCCTTCACGTGCCACATGCATTCACTCCAGTTTTGTACCACACCTGGTTACTGCAGTATTAGCGCTGTCGGAGCCTGTCCTTGTGCTGTTGCCAGAAGTTCCTGCAGCCTGGATCTTGATCGTCAGCAGTTGTTCTCCATGACGAAAACACCCTCCTATGTGACACACCTCTGTGCATGCTGACCTGATCCACCCACCATTCCCCAGAGCTGTCTTCCACATCCACATCAGCAGCAGTCACCCGTTCCTCCCGTTTGAGCCCGCAGAGCATACACGACTGCCGTGCAGGGATCCCTCCTTCAGCTTGCTTCAGCGTCCGTACTGCCATCGTCTCCTGGATGTCGGGCACAGCTCCAAGAGACCTGCTCTTGGCCTGGTTCGCAGCTGCAACAGCGTGCCTCAGCTTTCCAACCTGCTCCTTCCACGCCCTCACCACATCTGACACCTCCCTCTCCTCCTTCAGGTTCTCGCTCTTGTCGATGCCCGTCAGCTTCATCCCTGACGTCCCACGGCTCGACGCTGGGCCTATCCTCATGCCTTGGGAGAGATGCACGTCTCTCTTCCAGCGCAGCTTGCGTCCTGCTATAATCCGTGCTGCCACCGACGCCAGAGAGAGGTAGCCCTGCAAGTAAGCAATGGTAACCGGATCGGATAGCAATCGGTTCCGCATAGGCAGAGCTTGTGCTGCCAATGGCTTGAACAGTTTCTCCTGGGCCTCTGCAAACAGCGGCAAAAATAGGGACAAGAGCAGTGCAGGTGGCGGCACGTTGGTAGGCGGTAACTCTCCAGGTTCCGGTTCGTCCATGCTCATGAGTGCGGGAGACTGTGCAGCAACGGCTTCAGATTGGCTTGGAATGACTTTCGATGTTGGCTTTGGCTGCTGCGTTGCTGGTATAGAAGCTTCCCAGTCATCGAATGAGGCCCACGGTTCTTCATTTCTTGCTGGTGCTGGCGGAGAAGCTGCTTCAGGTTGTTTTGTGCGCACTATTGGCCCAAACCCATGCACCGGCTTCTTCTTCGTAGTTGAAGCAGATGGCTTGGAAGTCGTCTTCTGTTCTCGTCGTTGCTCTATACTTGGAGGGACTGGCTGGGAAATCTCCAAATCTCCCATGAGATCAATCAACTGCCCAGTCCCTGAAGCGGGCGGTGGAGCGGGAGCGGAACTTGAACCGGGTCCCTCAAAGTCTCCAAATTCGTCCTCTTCCTCTCCCACTTCGTCCTCCGCATCGAAAAGGACATTTGAATCATAGCTCTTTTTCGCATTGAAAACCGGTGCAGGCTGCCAGCTTGACTGTGACGCTTCCCATGTCTGGGCCGAGGGCTGGGATGTTAGAGCATCTTGCTTTGGTGCAGCAGGTGTCGTTGCCGTCGGTCCCTCGAAATCACCCCACTCATCATCATCTTCGGCCTCATTCGATGCTATAGGCTGTGAGTGCAATTGATTCTGTAGAGCAGGTGCTGGTGCAGATGGTGCCAGGCTATCGAACAGACTGAATGTCTGTGCTGCCTGAGTATCTCGGTTTCCAACAGAGGTCTGCTGCGGCTGGGACGGTGTCTCACCGAACTCTGCAAACAGATCTGCAGACATGTTGTGCAATCCGGTGCAGAAGCGTGCGGGAGCAGGCACTTGGGGGAGGCAGAAGGTCCGGGTACTCCGAAGACACCTGGGCAGTGAAGGGTAGTACTATGTACTATGTAGGAGGTGGAGAAGGGCGCTAGCCCGGAAAGGCTAGCCCCCAAGGAACATGTTCAGATGAAAACCGCTCATCTCCACCTCTTCGGCCCAACACTTCTATGTTCTCCCCTGTAAATTCTATCTACGAATCCTGACGATTATGTTGCCTCTGGTGCCTTCATTTCCTGGTAATGACATATTTTGCCCCGACAGTCGTATTGATCGGCGCCGTATACGCCTTCCCATCGACCAGAAACTCCGCCCCGCTCTCAACCCTCAATGCCAACTGCCCTCCACTCCTCGACGTCACTGTAGACCTTGTCATCAACCCGCCACTCCACTCAATATCTACGACAAAGTTCCCCCTCGCAACAAGCCCCTTCACACTGCCTTTGGGCACCGCCGACGCCGGCAGCGCAGGCAGTAGATGCACAACCGCGTGGCTCTGCAACAACATCTCGGCAATTCCGGACGTGAAGCCGAAATTTCCGTCGATTTGGAACCAGCGATTCTCGCCCGAGTTGAAGAGGTTATCAAGAGGGTACGTTTGCAGAAAGGTCACGGTATTGGACCACGCAGTTGCGCCCTGGAACAGTCGAGCGTAGAGGTTGATCACCCAAACGCGTGACCAGCCCGTGCTGCCTGAGCCAGCACGCATCCGCCCGTCGACAAGGACTTTGGATGCATCAGCCCAGGTTTTGGACTTGAGTGGTGTCATCTGTGAACCTGGAAATAAGCCGAAGAGGGGGCTCATGTGCCGATGTGCCGGCTCGCCTTCCTTATACTCACTCCGCCATTCGAGAATCTGTCCTTTCGAGCCAACCTGTGGGGGCTTGATCTTGGAGAGGTACTTCTCCGCGTTCGTCAGATCGGTGCCCGTTATGCCGAGTACCTTTGCGGCGTCGATGATGTTGGTGAATAGTTCCCAGAGCAGCTGGTTATCCATTGCCGGCGCAATGTCAATACCCTCCGATCGACCCGCCGTCTGCTGGTTGGACGGGACGATATAGGTGTTCTCAGGTGAGCTTGACGGGCCAGTCACGTAGTACGCGCCGTCCATGAAGAGAAAGCAGTAGAAGAACTCGGCCGCCTGTTTGAGGACTGGCCATGCGCGATCCCGCAGGAATGCCTTATCCTGCGTATATCGGAAGTGTTCCATGAGATGCATCGATAGCCATGCCCCACCGAGGGGCCAGATTGTATAGGGCGTTCCCTTATCGACGGGCGCGGCATCTCCATGCAAGTCGATATTATGATGCAAAACAAACCCGCTGTTGCAGCCGTACATTTTCGTAGCCATGGCTGCACCACGGGACCTGGCGAGGTCTATCAAGTCGAAAAGTGCCTTATTCGTTTCCGCCAGATTGGTTGTCAGCGCAGGCCAGTAGTTCATCTCCAAGTTGATGTTGATGGTATATTTACTCTGCCACGGCGGGCTGTACTGGTCGTTCCATATACCCTGAAGGTTCGCTGGGAGTGAGCGCTCGCCTGTGTCCCGCGAGGATGCGAGTAGTAGATGGCGGCCATAGTTGAAGTACAGTGTCGCGAGCTCGGGATCTGCGTTTGGACTCTTCTTGTAGTTGGAGAGCCGGGTTGGGACGGGTTGATTTCCTGCGGCGCCGGATGAACCCAGGTCAAGATCCACGCGGCCGAGAATTTCTGAGGCGTCTGCGACTGCAGCGGCTCGAACGGCCTCATATCCCGCTTTGACTGCGTTGTCGAGCTTCTTCTTCAGCTCGGCCTCCCAAGCGCTCTGGCTCGAGTACCTGTACGAAGTTTCCGCGTCGAAGAAGATGTCAATCGTTGTGGCGCCGCTCACTGAGAGGCTCTTTCCGTCTGATGCCACACGGACGGCTCCTACCTACTCATCAGTTACATGGCAAGACGCGACAGCGATAGACCTACCGCCATCATTTACGACTCTCGCTTCGGCAGTAAACGGAAGACTGTCTTTGTTCACCTTCAGCGTAATCGAGTTGCCTCCCGAAGTTGACGCTGACTGAGACTGAACGCCTTGGGCGCGCGTTAGAGATATTGTTGCATTCAACCTCCCTGCTGGGCGGGAGGTGATTCTGAATGCAAGAACTCCAGCAGGATAACTTGCAACGTACTCTCGTCTGCATCAAAGGTAGTCAGGCCCTGAGGTCACCGCTTATAAGTTTCAACTCGATACTGACGTATAGTTGACTCCACCAGCCGTATACGTGACCCAACCTGTCCCATGTAACGTATCCAGAACCCTGGTATAACTGCTCAATTGCGAGCTCCCATGCCCAAAATCGATGCCCAGATCCGCTGTCGGATGATACTGTTTCGGGCTCGTCGGATTCCCACTCATGGAGTCCAGCGCCAACGCTCCCGCATCAGACAGGTCCCCATTTAGCAGCTTCTGCCTGATGGAAGCAAGGGCACCTTTGGATTTTGGATTTCCGCGATCCTGCCATGGGCCGCTCCAGACCGAGTTCTCGTTCAGCGTAACCTTTTCAGTGGCAGACCCGTAGACGGCGGCGCCTAGGCGGCCATTGCCCAAAGGGAGCGAGGAACTGATACCGTTACCTGCGCTGGTGAAGTAGAGGTAGCGCGACGGATCCCACTGCGCGTACGCGCTGGGGAAGGCCAGAAATCCAAAGATGGAAATCGCTGCTCTCATGGTGGGTGTAAGAAAAATGATTGCCAGTCTGCTCGCGTTGAGCGCGTGGCTAATAAGTTGGGCGATGCCATTTTTAACCAGGTATGCTCGAGCTCCTGCGGAAGATCTGTTGGCGAAGCCTATGCTAATGTTATAGTCCAATATAGGCGCTTAAACCTTAAACGTACCCCATTGATTGTCACATCGAGCAAGGATTGCCGATTGTTGTTGCCGATGGTAACATCGTCACCATGAGACTAACATGATTCGTGGTAATACCTTCACGGTTGTCTTTACGCTGTGCTAAATTGTAGATGTAGTTGTGCGAATTATACCGCCTACTCCTCTCCTAGGCCTGCATGGGAAAAATACAAAGCGTATGAACTCCCTGAGGCATGGAACCACCTCGACGCGCATCGCCTTTAAGCTTTACCTGTATCAAAGGGAAGCAAGTATGAAGTCGAAAATCCTCTTGATTTACGCAGCTCTCTGCAGCAATTTTGTAGCCGCTGTCGACTTCTACGTCGCGCCCAACGGTTCTGACAATGGCGATGGTACATCACCAACAACAGCTTTCCAGACGCTGTCCAAAGCCCAACAAGCGGTTCGTAAACAGATCGCGAGTGGTATGCAAGAAAATATCACCGTTCACGTCGGTCCTGGAACATACTCCTTGTCAGCGCCGCTCAAATTCACAGCAGACGACTCCGGCAAAGGAGGCTTCACGGTTCATTGGGTTGGGTCCGGTGCTCTTATATCTGGTGGCCAGAAGGTCACAGGATGGACAGCAGGATCCAATGGCGTTTATTCTGCCAGTGTCCCTGCCGGCCTCAAATCGCGGAACCTCTATGTCAATGGAAAAGCGTCTAATTATGCGAGAAAGAAGATTGCAAATCGAAAGGACTTCACTTACACGAGTACTGGTATGAAATGGACCTCGTCCTCATACGACTGGATTACTTCGACGCCTGGGATCGCCGGTGCAGAGCTTCGCTTCCTCAATTCGTTTGCCGATCGCTATGCCCCTATCAAATCGGCTGGCAACAGGGAGCTTGTCATGGAGCAAAATACGTGGTACAATCAACTATGGGGTACGTCTTTTCCCCATCGACTCTGAGAATGTGTTCCTCAAACCGTTGTCTACGTCTTCTAACTGTTGTCATGCCTGCAGGTTACGATACCGTTAACAAAAACAACGCGGATTTTGGCGTCTGGGTACAGAATGCCTTGGCCTTGCTGACAGAGGGTGGCCAATTCTATCTGGATTCCGGAGCAGGCAAGGTCTACTACAAGCCACTCTCCGGAGAGCGGATGGACAGTATTGAAGCGTACCTGGGTGTGTTGGAAGCGCTTGTCATATTCGGCGGTACCTATACCAATCCAGTGCACGATATTTCGTTCGAAGGCATAAGTTTTGTAGGCTCATTGAACCTCTAATTTTCGGGTTGATCATCTGACTGTTGTACAGGCGCATACTACTTGGCTCCAACCCAACGAAATAGGATACGTAGATCAGCAGACAGGCGGAAACCTCTGTGAGAACAAGACTTACGATTCATCCAACTTTGAATCTACCCGTCCTTACTGGTGCCAAATGCCATCGGCTATCCAAATCAGCGCGGCCAAAAATATCGTCCTCTCGGGAGGCAATTACACCCAACTCGGCGCAGGCGGAATCGGCATTGGAAACGACGCGAATGCACACGTGACGGGCGTCGGGCTCGGAGCGTCCAACGTCGCCATCAAAGACGGCTACTTCACGCAAGTCATGGGCAACAGCATCACGGCCGGTGGCATCCGCGCCGACGCCCACCACCCCAGCGATTCCCGCATGGTCAACACCAACATTGAGGTATCCAACAACATCTTCTACAATGTGTCTTCGCTCTTTAGCTCCACGGTACCCATCCTCTTCACCTATGTTCAGTATTCGACCATCTCGCACAACGACGTTTATATTACCCCATACTCCGGCATCTGCCATGGCTACGGCTGGGGCTCCAACGACGCCGGCGGCAGCTCCGAGTACGTCAAGCGGGGGCTGTACAAGTACCAGCCGCAGTACACGACACCGACCATTATGCAGAACAACAAGATCGTCGGAAACCTGATCCACGGCTATGGATACTCCCATACCGATCTGGGCGCCGTGTACACGCTCTCCAAGAGCCCCTCCACGGAGATCAGCGCCAACTACGCCTACGACTCCGGCGGCTTCGGCATGTACACCGACGAAGGATCCAACTCGTACCTGATCCAAAACAACATCTTCCTCTCCAACGGCATCTGGTACGCGCAGAATGGAGTCAACACGGCGAACAACACCATCGTCGGCAACTATGGGAAAACGGGGCAATCGATTTCCAAGAACACCATCGTCTCGGATGTGTCCCAGGTGTCTGTTGATGCCCTCAAGTCGGCGTACAGGGCAGGCGTGCTGCCGGGCAAGCGCAATGGTCGGCCAGTGTCGAATAACGCCAAGTTGGCCGATGGCGCTGCTGCGATCAGTAGTTCCAATGGTAATGCCGTCGTCACGCTGTATAATTTCGACGATGTCGCTTTCAGCAATGTTACCGTCAGTCTTTCGGCAAGTGGGGCCACGTTTACCGTGGTATCGGTCCCTACTGCGATTCCTGCCAGCGGGACCGCAACGGCGACGTACAAGGTGTCGGGAACGAATAAGCCGCGGGTGTCGGCGACGGTCAAGTATTGGAATCCTCGTGTAGGGGCTTCGAGCACGGTTTCTGCGAGTGGACAGATTTAGGTTGGAGCCATGTTGTTTGATCTGGGGGAGAGGTTGCTTGTCGTTGGATGTCGACTCGTCGTCGTTGACAAGGTCCTGTCCAGATTGAGTTAGGCCCATCTTCAAGCCCCTCCTGTTAAGCTTTAAGCTTTACTGGTCGGCTCCACCAAGCTTAGCTACAACTGTTGTTTCAACCTCAGCTCCATCCATACCTCTGCATGGATAAAGAAAGTAGATTCTTATATCTAGCAGAGATGAATTCATCGTACCTTATCCTACAATCATAAGCAATACTTCAATCACCACCGACATCGAATCAGGAACAGCCCTACGGACCCATTCCTCCGGACCCCACACCTCCCAGATATGACATGCATTGAAAAGTTTCCAGCAGCTGCATCCCACCACCACCGCCGTTGCAACTTGCGCGCCTATATCAGAATTACAAATCAGAGAATGCCGCTCCAAGCGTATCTTTGCACACAGATAGTCCTTTTGTTCCCATTCCCATCCGGCGACGAAGGCTCCGCATCCAAAGCAGTTAGCGCGGGCCCCGCGTACATCGGTCTTTCTACACAAGACCCCGTACGGAGTAGATGCCGCCTCTATACAGTAGCTTACTAGGGAAGCAAAACAACATGTTAGTTTGCACCAATCCCTTCAATTCCGCCGTCCCGTGCAAGTCAGCATGAGTTGCAACCGATGGCAGAACTAGGCTTAGTGTAGTGATCCTTCCGGCCTTATTTTCCAGTTTTCCCCAGCTTCTATGCCGTGGAGACGGGACAAGATAGCCCGGCAATGAATAGAGGAGTTGTAAGCCGCATATTGGATGCCGAGGAATCCTCCCATGCACGCAATATGTTCCCATTGCGCACCAATCTATACGGATCCGTGTCTGTACACATGGGACTTTCAATTCCCTGGTGCATCACTGTCCTCCACCTGTCGGTTATTACTGATTTAGTAGTGTTCTCCGCAGAAGGATGGGAGTGCGTATAAAGATATATGTATATGCCGGTCTTCTAGAAAACGTCGATTTTGTTCCTCCATCCCCTTCCACCTCCCACTCAATCTACTTTCCACACCCTCCCCTTTGGCAACCATGGCCGGAGGCGTCCCAGGCGTCGCCGCCGGCGGCAGCGACAACGACGCCATCATTGCCACGCTCGTCGCTAACGATCCCGTGAAATGGTGGAACAAGCCGAATCTCCGGCGCCTCTACCTTCTGCTCGTCCCGTTCTGTTTCTTCATCGAGTCGACGTCGGGCTTCGACAGCTCCATGATGAACGGCATGCAAGCGCTGAAGTACTGGAAGGACTACTTCGGTGACCCCAAAGGGGGCGAGCTGGGATTGCTGGTGGCTTGTTACAATCTAGGCGCTCTGACGAGTATTCCCTTCATCTCGATTGTGTCGGATCATGTGGGACGGAGGTGGAGTATTGGTGCGTCTTGCGTCTTCCGGGAGATTGATTGAAAACCCCAATCACTAACCCAATACTCAGTATTCGGCTCCGTCATCATGATCATCGGCGCGATTATGCAGGGCCTCTCCGTCAATCGTAAGTTGTCCTCCTCCTTCTACCAGGGCCTTTCCTCATTCGATTGAGTCGCCATGTTCATCTTCTCCCGCATCTTCCTCGGCCACGGCATCGTCTACGCCATCGTCGCCGGCGCCGCCCTGCTGGGAGAACTGGGCCATCCACGGGAACGTGCCACGCTAGGCGCCTTGTTCAATGCCTCCTACAGCATCGGCGCCGTCATCGGAGCTGGAATCGTGGTTCGGACCCTCCTCATTCCAAACGACTGGAGCTGGCGTCTCCCCTCCTTACTACAAGCCTTACCCTCCGTCCTGCAAATCACCTTCGCCTTCACGGTCCCTGAATCCCCGCGTTGGCTCATTTCCAAGGACCGACAGGAAGAAGCATTGAAAATCCTGATCAAATACCATGCTGAAGGAGACGCATCCCAGGAACTCCCGCACGTCGAATTCGCCGAAATCAAGCGCGCTCTGGAAATGGAAAACGAATCCCGTCGCCGCGGTTGGGTCGAGCTGTTCCAGACGAAAGGGATGCGACATCGGTCCTTTGTGGCTGCGAGTCTGGGGCTGTTCGTACAGTTCTCCGGGAACAATCTCATTTCGCAGTATCTCGTTCCCATATTGAAGAAGATCGGGATTACCGATTCGCACACCCAGGTGCGATATAATGTCGGTACGCAGGCGTGGGCGCTCCTCGTTGCGGTCTTGATGGCGAATATCACGCCTAGGTTTCCGAGGCGGAGAATGTATTTGCTGTGTGCGGCGTGCTTGACTTGTGTTTATACTGCGTGGACAATAGCGCAGGCGAGGAATCGTATCACAGGGTCGAAAGCAAGTGGATATGCCGTGTTGGTGTTCATCTTCTTGTACCAGCCGGCGTACTGTATCGGATACAATGCCTTGACATATGTCTACATGGTGGAGATCTTCCCGTACTATGTACGGACGAAGGGCTTGTCCTGGTTCCAGCTATGGGGCCGCGCAGCGGTCATGTTCAGTATGGATGCCGATCTTCGTTTGCTTTTCCCTGAGCTCAGAAGTACTTACATATGCGCAGGCAGCTTCGTAAACCCCATCGGACTGGAGAATGCGGATTGGAAGTACTTGATCGTATACGTCTGCTGGCTCTGTCTCGAGATTATCATCATTTACTGGTAAGTGACCTGTACTAGCGAGTCCAGGGACTGTGCTGACTTCCCCGCAGTAAGCATGACCTCTGCCAGAAAATCTCGGATTCGCTGTTTTGTTGAAGTTTCTTCGCTCCTGTCATCTCCTACGAATTTGCTCAGTAAAAGCAGTCGCTGACGTTTCCCGGCAGTTTTCTTCCCCGAAACCTACGGCAAGACACTGGAAGAATTGACGTTCCGTAAGTCGATATGTTGCTTCTTGAGCCATAAACGTGCTAATCGACCCTTCCTCCAGTTTTCGAAAGCGAAGATGAAAAGGCCAAGTTTGCCAGCGCTGCGCACAAGGTATTGGATAATCCCGGGGTCGCAATGGAGCTCCATGAGCAGCCGGACAAGAAGGCTTAGTCGTCTGGTGCACTGATTCATGTTGAGATGCGAGGCAATGGTTGTGTAGCATGAGAATTCGATAGCAGGAGAATCCGTATCCTGGAGGTTATCATGAAATCTGGATGTTGATTTGTTTGCCGAAAGTATGCGCCGGGGTATAATGCCTTCACCCCCCCATACGTACTGGTTTCCCATAAACTCCTGGAAATGCATGCACCGTGTCCCTCAACTACTCTCTCCATTCCTTTGCACACTTGGTGCACTGATCACGCGTTAGAATAGCAAAGGAACCTCATAACGGAGGATAGAGTGCTGACCTTGTAGAATGCCGTCATAGGCTCATCCGCACTGCGGATCTGCAGCTGATACCAGTATGCCTTATCGTTTCGACACTTCTCATTCGGACATTGTACTGCGCAATCATCAGCACCCCGCTTGCTTCATCACCGCTTCTCTGCATGATTAACCATACCGGTCGTTTGATCCACATTGTCCCATGCTCCTTTGCCTCCTAGAATATCTTCCACCTCTTTCTTCTTCATGTACTTGCGCTCGTAGTAGCGCTTATTGATCAGGAACTGGTATGGGCAAGTAAGGCATTCGAAGCGGTTCTGGCCGGCGTGGTGCTCCGTCGATGGGTCGCCCGGTGGCACTTGGCTCACACGGAGCATATTGCTGCAGGTCGGGCAGACTGTGAACGTCATGTTAGCCAAAAGTCGGGAAGAAACTTCCAGAGCCTTACAAAGCAGCATAGTGGCAGCGTTATGCGTATGGTTTCTACTGAGGCGTGGAAAAGAATGTCGAAGTGGTTCGGGAATTCGATATGGAAATTCTGGGGCTACTACCAAAAAGGGCTAGCGCGGAGAGGGGCGGTTAGGTACGCGCCCCACGGACCTTCCGCAGGTCGCCGGAGCTGCACCGCCTTCGTCGAATCATTCCCAAGATACACCTCGATTTCTGTGCATTTGTCTGCGGTTGAAGCTTTTCAAGCCTGTTATTCCCGTCCACGGTAATCATGGCGGACGAGGTATGTGCATCGCAACAAGAGTCCCAGGTTGGCCCTGGAGAATGTCTTTTAACAACAAACCAGGGTGCATCTCCCCGCGAACTCATCCTTGAAGCATGCCGGCGAAACAACACCTCTCTCCTTGAAGAGACCATAGCAGACTTGGCGGCCTCAGCAAAGAAGTCAGGCAAGGATGTGACGAAGTTTGTGGCAGAGAGCTTGAACAAGGCGCATGATGGCGTTGGGAATGGCTGCTTACATGTAGCGGCGACATATGGAAGTTGTACGTTCCGTTCCTCTTAGAGAGATCAAGCTGCAGACGAGGATATAGAGCTGACTTGTGCCTAGACGAAGTGCTCGACATTTTGCTTGACCAGGAAGGCCTGGAGATAGACGACGTTGACCGCCTCGAACAAGACACGCCGCTGCATAAAGCCGTTCGCTACGTCAATTCGCTCGACAAGTCCGAGTGGGAGCCAGTCGGCCATCCGATAGTGGAAATACTGCTAGACGCTGGTTGCGATCCCAGGATACGAAACAAGGCGAAGCTGAAGCCGGTCGAGCTGGCAGATCCGCGCAACACAGTACTCAGGAGCATATTGCAGAAGGGAGAGTTTGCGATGACGGCAGGCGGAGATGTGGTCGAGGAGGATGATAATGGCCCAACTGGGAGTGCAAGTGATAGCGAGTGATGGAGGAGAACTCGATGGGTATTGCCTCTTATTGGTTGCGGAAAGGCCTGCGGCCTCCGCTCAGGCTGCTAGTTCATCTACATAGATATTGTAACCTCTCCAAGCGCTTGAATACAGGCGCGAGGGGTGCTCCTAGAGAACTTGATCTGGTAGGGTCGGTTCGCTGAGGATAGCATGCCGTAGTACAGCGTGACTGCAGGTGCATGAGTCTCTTGCGTTAGATACCCTCCAGTGCATCAAATGCCATGGTTCAAATTCCTGGATTGTTCGAATCGAATCGTCTGGCTGTGCGGCTCTGTAACATGTCCTGGGAGAGTCGTGGTTGGCGTGGGCTAATGACCCCTAACATGACTCTCAAACTTCTTTCTGTTGTGAACCGCTCAATATCAATATGCTCGACGCTCAACTGAACCACTTACCGCAGGCGGCTTCCCTACTGGTTGTATCATGCGCTCAATCAATTGTATCCTCGTCTTCTCCTTCGGCTGTCCCAAGCCGATACTCATGTACTGTAGCATGGGGGGATGACCAATGTAAGAAGCAATCGAGTCGCGCGCAATATTCGACGTCCATTCGAACTTTGTGGTGTCGGGGTGTCCGACGCCGACGAAGCGCGCTTGGAGGGCTTCGAGTTGTTGCTGAGCTACAGGTGGAATTAGTATTAGTCATGGATTAAAGGGAGAGCTTCGCGTACCTCTGAGTTTGTCGGCCATGTTGAGGTAGTGAGTATTGGTCTTGTAGTTGTGGCGGGGTTGAGGCCTGCAAGGGAAGACGATGAAGTCGGAATCTGATGAACATGTCTGGCTGACTAAGCAATTCCATCTGATCTCGCTTCCGACTAAAGTTGCGGAACTCCGAGGACGGAAATTATCGCCCTCAAGGATCGATTCTCCTGATTGATTGCGGATTTTGTAACATTTCGTCGCAACTTCGATTCCCACAGCATGGCTAACGGACCCCCTACTCCAGGTGAAGATTCCGAACCCACCTCCCCAGTGATCGACTATTCTCCGGATAGCTTACCTTACAACGAGGCGTTCGAGAACCAACTCATGAACGCGATCCTCTACCCTGAAAACGCGCATCGCCCTCAAGACCCACCGTCGGCTGTTCCGCCGATGATCAATCGTACCGGTCTCCCCGTTCCGCTAGACTCGCCATTACGAACCCATCCCTCTCGTATACCTGGCGTCTACCTCACGCATGCGAATGGGTATCACACCGGCGGTCCCGGGCCCACGCCATCTAGAGTCTCGGAGTTTGCTGCGCGGTTCATCGAGGAGCATGGTATCCAAGATGCGAGACAACTGGAGCGGGTAGTGGAAGGGAAGATATCTGAGCTGATGGAGGTGGTGATGGAGAGGATGCGCGAGAGGGAAGAGTTGGTGCGGAAGAATGAGGAGGTAAGGAAGCAGCTGGAGGATTTGGAAGTGCAGAGGATGGCCGAGATACGGGTTCAGCAGAAGATTAAGGAGAGTAGAAAGAAAGGCTGAGATGGCGAGACGAGGAAAGGAATTGGAAAGACTCGAAAATGCAACCTCCATGAGGTGGAGATCCGGGAGTGCCTAGAACCAGGCGAGACCACTGAAGCCGCGAGAAAGGGAAAAGTCGAGGACGAAGACATGCCAGAGTGGGTGGCTGCTGGTGAGATCATCCTGATCGGAAACATTCCACTGCATCCTCTGGCATCGAGTCCGGGCTAGCGCCCAAATGTCTGGAGGTATGCACTCTCGCCGATTTTATCTAGATCTGTGCTCAACACCAACGCAGATCTGACAATTCAGGGAGCTGGTTGCAACGACTGACAGTAAGATCATGCTGTAAGGACTGAAGTCATGCGTCAAGAGACAGAGCGAAGGTTTTGGTATCTAGCTATATCAGGAGAGAAAGAGTTGTGAGCTGTATGGCATATCCACGACACTGCCTTCAAAAGGCTCGACGACAGCGTAGAGTTATTCGCCTTGCTCTTCGAAACATAGTCAAATCTCCGTCAGTTACCCTATAGTATTGACACGAAGACGACTATACAATGTTCTTTGCAACAGCCGAGAAGTCTTATGATCTAATTCACGTACTTGTGGAAATCACTCTTTCGGCGAACCTCTATCCCCAAGCACAGGCCATGGCGTCATGCATCATTCCCCACCAGTTGACACAACCCACCAAAACACCTCTCACCATACACTGTGCTGCAGCAAACAATCCTTCAATCTACTTTACTACTTATGACGTCTTCTTGTAATACCTATGATTGCGCAAACGCAACGACCGCCAACATGCGCGCACAACCCCAAGCCAAAGTAGTCACGTAGCACCTTCCCCACCTTCCCTGTGCACATCGTTGTCGCTTCTGCAGTGTGGTAAATAATACAAGGGTGCCAGTTTATTTTAAGACCTCGGGATCGATACGAAAGCTCGCTCTACCTCCTCAACATCTCGGACGTGGACACAATCAATCATGCTGGGAACACTGGCATTGCGGGGCTTCAGCTTCGCGTACGGACTTGTTGGGTTCGTCTTGTTGACAGCTACTGCTGCTCTCAGGGACGGCGCGTTTACTAGGAACCGGAGGCCAAGTGAGAAGGAGGATGAGGAGTTCGAGAAAGGTACTTTCCCCTCGAGATTGGTCTCTGCACACATGGCCAACAAGCAATTAGCGCAAAAACTGTACTGGGACCTCTCAAACAACCCTCTCCCGGGTTTCAAGCACATGTTCTACAAGCTCGAGAATGGCGTCCAGCTTCACTATGTGACCAACGCAGTCGGGCCCAATCTTGGATCAGGAAAGAACGTCGCCATCTTCATACACGGTGAGTGAGACTACATCCACCATACCTACACGACCTGTATGTTGATTGTTCCAGGCTTCCCAGACTCGTACGTCCTCTGGCGCAAGATCCTGACATCACCCGCCCTTTCCTCCCACATCTTGATAGCCGTCGATCTTCCCGGATATGGAGGAAGCGATAGTCTTGAGAAATACGACCCGGACCATGTCCTAGAAACCATGACCTGGTTCATACTGGGAATGCGGGAGCAGTATCTTTCGGATGGAGGAAAACTAATCATGGTAACACATGATTGGGGCACGATTGTAGGCGCTCGACTGGCCTCGGAAGCAAATCAGCTGGCCGACCGATGGATACTCGCCAATGGTGTAATTGTTCGTCCACCATCCTACCTGTACCCTAGCATCTGAACTGACAAGTCCACAGCCCCAACATGTCCGCTCCACTGTCCAGAGTCTCCTCGCCTCCTCACGACAGATGCTACACACGTTCATGCGTAACCCCACCAATACCGCCCTCCTCAGAAAGTCCTTTTCAACAGTCGGGCCCATGTTTTCCCAGCTAGGCCAATCGTTCTACGTCTTTACTCTAAACCTACCAATGCCACTTTCCAGCTTCGTCGTACGCATGGGTAACTTCTGGTTCGTTCGACTCCTGCTTCTCGTCCAAGCAGAGAAAGAAGGCACAGGCTCGGAAACGCTCGGGGAGCTACTCGCGGCATCATTCGGTCCTGCTCTCCCAGGAGAGGCTCTTCAATCCTCAAATCCAGACCATCAGTATGGCGAATCGGTCATGAAACGCATCCCAGATCACGGCATGTCACAGAAGATCCGCGTCTATCGTGAGGGTCTCGCTCTCTCCCCATGGACCAAGAGCCTCGAGGCCATCGCCGCGCTCAGTGAGATATCACGCGGACGGTCTTTTTCTGCGTCTGGTCGCGCCTTGTTCGACGATGGACCCCCTGGTGCGCTCAAGGTACCTGCTACGCTCGTATGGGGGAACAAGGACCCCGCGGGGGATCGCCGTCTTGCGCTTAGCGGGCTCAGTGATTACTTGACTAGGCGGAGTGACATAGTGATGGTCAAGGAGGGTGGACACTGGCTCCCGACGGAGGAGGTTGGAGCGAAAGTGATTGCGGACGTGACGGAGTGGGCGTTGACGGGGGAGAAGACGCCGCTCAAGGAGAAGCTGGTCGATGCGGAAGGGATTACCATTCAGTCTACTTGAGAAGGGGTGTAAGTGGATAACTGGGGATCACGAGGAATTTTGACATCCGGGCAGGATGCAGGCGTAGGCAGCTGAGCAACGGAAGTTCGGGGAGTTACGGTGATTAGTCTAGGGATGGCAAGCGTACGGGGGCGTTCTTGTAACCGCCTGTTGCACATTCTGCAGCAATAACCTAGGTATACACAGTATTCATTTTTGTGTAGGCACACTTGTGACATGGGTGCACACGGCGACATGGCGACGAAGCAACAAGTCTTCCCAATGGGGCACACTGGCACAGCAACTAGGCGGACAACCTACGAACATACCTAGGTTGCGAAGCCATCAGAAAACACAACACCGTCACAAGCATGCAAGGGTCAAAAATATAAGTCATAGCCCACCATAAATTTCATTTCATCGAGATCGTTATGAAGTCTATGGACGGACGACGCCAGGACACCCACCCAAGACGGTCATGCATCAATGGCATTAATACACCGCGGCTTTACCAAAAGCCCCCTCCTCCCCAGACCCTGTGGACCTGAGGCTTTTTGGGAAAGAGAAACCAACCAGGAAAGAATCGATCGCTTATTTCTTGGAGGCCTTCTGGGCGGCCTTGGTGACCTTGCCGGCACCCTTGTCGGACTTGACGACGGACTTGATGACACCGACGGCGACAGTTTGACGCTGGGGCATGTCAGTATAACATCATTGACGACGGGAGTCGCTCAACTTACCATGTCACGGACGGCGAAACGACCAAGAGGAGGATACTCAGTGAAGGCCTCAACGCACATAGGCTTGGAGGGAATCATCTTGACGATGGCGGCATCACCGGACTTGATGAACTTGGGAGAGTTCTCGACCGACTTACCGGTACGGCGGTCGATCTTCTCAAGGAGCTCGGCGAACTTGCAAGCAATGTGGGCGGTGTGGCAGTCAAGGACGGGAGCGTAACCAGCACCGACCTGGCCGGGGTGGTTGAGAACGATGACCTGGGCGTTGAAGGACTCAGCACCCTTGGGGGGGTCGTTCTTGCTGTCACCAGCAACGTTGCCACGACGGATCTCCTTGACGGAGACGTTCTTCACGTTGAAGCCAACGTTGTCACCGGGAACACCCTCAGCAAGCTGCTCGTGGTGCATCTCGACGGACTTGACTTCGGTGGTGACACCAGCGGGGGCGAAGGTGACGACCATACCGGCCTTGATGGTACCGGTCTCGACACGACCGACGGGGACCGTGCCAATACCGCCAATCTTGTACACATCCTGGAGGGGAAGGCGGAGGGGCTTGTCGGAGGGACGGCTAGGGGGATCAATGGCGTCGATGGCCTCGAGGAGGGTCTTGCCAGTGGCCTTGGCCTTGGTCTCCTTCTCCCAGCCCTTGTACCAGGGGCAGTTGGTGGAAGGCTCAATCATGTTGTCGCCGTTGAAGCCGGAGATGGGGACGAAGGGGACGTGCTTGGGATTGTAGCCAACCTTCTTGATGAAGTTGGACGTCTCCTTGATGATCTCGTTGTAGCGGTCCTCGGACCACTTGGTGGTGTCCATCTTGTTGATGGCGACAATGAGCTGCTTGACACCGAGGGTGTACGCAAGCAGGGCGTGCTCACGGGTCTGGCCATCCTTGGAGATACCGGCCTCGAACTCACCAGTACCGGCGGCAATGATGAGGATGGCGCAATCGGCCTGGGAGGTACCAGTAATCATGTTCTTGATGAAGTCACGGTGACCAGGAGCGTCGATTACAGTCACGTAATACTTCGGGGTCTCGAACTTCCAGAGGGCGATATCGATGGTGATACCACGCTCACGCTCGGCCTTCAGCTTGTCAAGCACCCAGGCATACTTGAAGGAACCCTTGCCAAGTTCGGCGGCTTCCTTAGGGATTGTTAGCGAATGTACAGAAGAGAAAAGAGCTGTAACACGACCAGCGGCAAGGCAGTGGCAGTGGGCTGCAAAACGGATGGTGATGGTGATGCTGATGGGAGGTCGCCGAATCGGGTTTAGCGCCTAAAAGTTCGCACACCCCACCATCCAAATTGCCCCTCGGTGCGATAAGCCAAATTTTGGCTGAGAGCAGCAAAGGAACCGCCAGAGGCCACCACGGTCGATGAAAGAAAAGTAGACACATACCTTCTCGAACTTCTCGATGGTACGCTTGTCAATACCACCGCACTTGTAGATCAAGTCTGTATCCCAGTGTGAGCTGACTGTGTCCCGCAGGCGATCGAAGGAGGGGAAGCTTACGTCCAGTGGTCGTCGACTTGCCAGAGTCGACGTGGCCGATGACGACGACGTTGATATGAGTCTTTTCCTTACTGCGAACAAGTGTTAGACCGTTGTTCTGATGGTTCCGCAGGTTCTGCTCGCTGAAACCAGCGAGGCCAGACGTGGACTCACCCCATGGTGTCGGATTTGCGTGGAAGTAGGAGTTGAAGTAAGTTGAAAGATTTCCCTGCCAGACGGTTAGAATGGTACTGATGATGAGGAGCAGAATGACACACCAGATGATGAAGCTTGTGTTCAATCGGTGTGGGCAGACAGCGTCTATGGGAGGGGCGGGGAGAAGGTGGGCTTTTATTGCAAAATCTCGAGGCGGGGTCTGTGGCTTAGTAAGGATCAGCGCCAAATCGGTCGGGCACCAAGCAAAATTTCTGCGCAGAGGCGAAGAGCTGCCAGGCTGTCATTGGCTGCTGACTTTGCCACTAGGCCCTGTCTTGGACTATGATCCATGCGGAACCGCTGGGTAGCGGGGCACACACCGCCGCAACAACACTGAGGATGCATGTGCCTTGCTACACAGTACAACTTCGGCTTCATGAAGAGGCTCTCTTTTGGCCTTTTCTTGGTCGACGAGTTTAGCTGTGGCTGAGCCGAGTTCATTCACAACAGACCTCGATTTCACTCGGATCATCACAATATGGGCCGTGGAGGGGTGTGGAGGGGTATGGCGGGGTACCAGCACGACAACAACAGAATACTCCTACGTATGCGGTACTTATTGTGTACTTCGAGCAGGCGGGAGAGGCGTTGCCGGCACCTGCTTGGCCGATCTATTGCATCAGTGATTTGCCTGTATGGCCTAGACGTGTACAAGTAAACAATCTGCATGTTTGCCACGTCTGCGGAGCGGCTCTGCATGTGTTGTTGTCTAGCCCTTTCGCCCTTGGATTCTGTCTGGTGCGGTGGATTTGAGGGCGTTGACTCACACACCAGAGAGCAAGCAAGAACCGGAAGTTTCAAATTCCAAAACAGGAGAGTAGGATGGGTCAATGATGTTTGCTCCGCACCGTTGGACTGAGTGAACAAATGGCACCTCTCTATCACACAGTAGCTTCAAGGGTCAGAGGAGCCTGTCTTGGATTCCTGATAAATGTACGATCTAGGTCCTGAGAAGGACGTCCATAGTGATCCGAAGTCTTGACCGTGCAGCGATGTGGCTGAGAACGTTCACGTAAGAGCGTAGTCATCTCCTCAGGTTCCCCATCGCGAATGACTTCTCCCACTGGTTAGTTGATGCAATAGTCATAGAAAGGCCTTTTCAGTTACATCCAAACGTTGCCTTTTCACCAAGTCCCTGCCTCGGACACTAAGGCATCCAACCATCTGTGTACCGAGTATGAAGTTCGTGATGCAGACTAGCTTCGCGCATCAGCTCGGAGCGCCTGTGTGAAACAACACACTCCTTCCTCGCAAACGCTAACTCTTTCTCCTACTCTATATAGACGGTTGTAGAACGAACTCTCTACTAGAGTGAGGGACATCGTCTTTCGCTCATCCACTACCTTTAACAAAAGAAACTCAGTTCTCCCTCCTGCACTGCAATGGAGAGTGTTCGAAATGCCGACCCACGAGAACCTCCTTCCCTTGCTCCCACTTTTCCATACAATGAAACTTTGCAATCCCAACGAGCCACGGACATTCTATCACTTAGACTCTAAGGCGTTGGCGGAATCAAGCTTGATTGGACTAGGGAAACTCATCCGTGTATGCGCCCGCTACTGAAGCAACAGCCGTTGGATATTTCGTACTTTGTTAGATCACAGGTACATTGAGATTTTAAGCCCACCGCAGCCTGTTATTTCTGTTGGAATTCTCAAGTACATACCGCAACCATTCAACAGCAGCGCTATATCGTCGTGGCAGCAAAAGGTGGGAGAGTCTCACTTGCGGCGTATGGCGAACATTTCCTTGACTTCTGCATAGAACCGCTTTCTCTCACCGTTAAGATCTCCGCGATACGCGAGAGACTTAACTTTACCACCTATTCAGTGCTAGATTACATGTTCCCCCTTCCCTACTTTGGACTTTCTCCTCTTCTACGCACTTTACAATCTCAAAATGTCGCTAGCTCTTAGAATGTACGCCTAATTAACCTTATCGAAACACCTAGTCGTTCGCAAGGTGAGAACAGTATTACTTTCCAATCAAAAATTTTCTTTTGTTCAATCTATCAAAGTGTGCATTGTAAACTAATTGTAATAGCTTCCTCGAAGCCCTATGCGGTACCTCCTACGGGCGAAAGATGACTAGACGTTCTGCAAAATAGGCAACTCCAACGCCATAAACACTTCAGTAATTCCCTCTGAGAGCAAGGGCAACGGAGAATCCACAAGAGCAAAAGGACTTTTAAAGACACATGCAAGAATTATCCACCCCTACGGCGGACTAGAAAAATTAAGCCGCCTGGGAAGTATCCAGCTCTGGACTAGCCTAATACCTCGCGTTAACGCCTTTGAAGAATCCGAGTCTAGGCTCGCGGCGTACTGCAGGTTCGACGCGTAGAGGCGTTCGGACGATCTGCGCGTTCACCAAGCGTCTTATTCACATAGAATGGATTCTCCTGTTTGAAAAACAATTTGCGACACCGCAAGGTCTTGGTCTGTTGATGGAAACGCACCATCCCGATCAGCGCTGGTGCAGTGATGATGGCCCGAAATGTTCTGTACTTTATCAACGGGGCAATGTATGCCCAGTATACGGAAACCAGCCGAAAGACATCGGTCTGCACTCATGGCGTCTCAAATGCTAAAAGCCTGCAAATGGAGGGTTGGAGTTACCCCGATCTTCGAGAAGGTTACATCTTTGACTACTAATACTCTGCCCAGCAGACTGTCCAAAGAAGCCGTGGTCTGGGATTTGGCGCCGCTATCCAAGTGGGAAAGCCGTTCGAGCCACATTAACTGCTGCTTCAACATCCTTCGCTATATCGGAGTCTGGTCCACTAAGTTAGTCTCACCAGCCTGAGCCCAGAATTCTGGTCCGCGAACTGCAACGAGGACATGAAAATCGCTGAGTATCTTATCTCCAACAAATAATAACATTAAAAATTCGCAAATATTCTGCACATTGATCTTGAAGATATCCAAGTACACCCACCCAACAAATACCATACCAGAAGAATACACTAACATGCAACTTATTCACACGTGGGTATACCAAAGACACCGTACTCCACCAGCCTACCAAGCAAGCCATGCCCCCGCGACCGCCCTTAGCAAAATCTTAACTCATCCTCGCTCTCACTCTCCTCAAAGTGCTTTTTAGCAACCAGCAGCGACCAAGTTCTCAACCTCGTGGATCTCCGTCTCCGCGTCTCAGTTCCCTTCTTCACACATGGCAGCTGCGTCGTACCGGCTCTCCTCGTAGGCCCGCGTTTCGCCGCCGTGCCGGTACTTCGTTGCAGGCGGGCGGGAGTCTTGCCCAACTCATCGTTATCGCTCTCCTCTGCGTCGGTGGCGGCGCCGGCATGCTGGACATTAGACTCAGATCCAGATTGAGGCCCGACTTCTCCGCCATCATGGTCCTCTTCCTCCCCTGCCTCAGCGTAGTTTTTCGGTGCCACTTTCCGCAGGGAATGATGCGAGGATCTCGACTCCCCTTCCTTCCTCTGAGTCTTGGTTCGTCCTGACCGACGAAGCCCCTTGTCATTGCCGGACACAGGTGAGTGCTGCTCAGACGTACCGGAATACGAGATAAGGGGGTCGTGACGCGAGGACGAAGAAGCAGCACTATCCGGCGTCAGACATACCTTCTTATACGGGATCACGACCGTCGGTGACGAGGCGCGTGGGCGCTTGCTGTTTGTAGTAGTAAACCTTTTCGCCGTCCGTCCACGCATTCGAGCATCCTCATCCACGCCCTCACCGCTCTGGGTAGAAACCGAAGACGCAGGCGACGGCAGATGCGTTCGCCCATCCCTAGCTCCTCGACATTGTCTTCTGCCAGATCTATCATCCTTCTTAGCGAAAGGCGTGCAAGCAACCCACTCCCCAATCCCTTCTTCCAGTCTCCACCCCCTCCTCGCCTCAGGGCTGTCATTCTTCCCCGGCGACTGCACCAGCATAACTTTCCCCATCTTACTCATCAACCCCTCCACCTGCCGCGCGTATGCAAAATGTGCGCTATCATTCGAGCTCTGCGCAAACTCCTGACAGGTTTCCAGCGCCAAGCGTTGCACATTCCACAGCTTGTGCGGGAGTCGGATTGAGGAGTGGGAGAGCAGGGCGGTGATTAAATCATGTAGATGGTCGAACCCGTCGGTTTTGCGCACCTTGCCTGCGAAGCGTGCGATGGATGAGATGAATGGTGGCAGCGTTGTGAGGAGGGAGTGGACGTCTATGTCGGAGCAGGAGTATTGATGAATGATCCAACGGAATGAATGCAGCAAGGTTGCGCTTTCTAAATAATGTAAACCAGGACCAAGGGAGCAGCCCCCGAGATGTACCATCAGCGAAGCACTGACGGTCCACAGAGCCCGCAGCGCAAACGTCTGCATGTCCTGGTCAGTCGCATCGAGCAGTTCCAGGTTGGCTCGGAATTCATCCCGTGCCAACAGGCCGGTGACGATGTAGTCCAGCACCCAGGTGAGGCGCCGGCTTGTGCTGTCTTGTTCATCGTCATTCCTGCAAGCGAGAGCGGAACTAGCCAGGAGCGTGAGCATGTTCGAGATCGTGTTATCCAGCGCATCGCGCAAAGTCTGCCGCACCGACGGCTTCAGCAGGGATCCAACGTCCTCATGGGTCATAGTGTCGTCTGATAAACCCATTGTTGCCAGTATCGCAGTTTGCAGAAAACGAACCGCATGTCCAAAAGTCCTTTCGTCTCCGTTCGACAATGTCCGCTCCAGTCGCCACCATACTACTTGCTTCATCCGGCCAGACGCCAGCCATTCCAAAGGCAGGAGGTCGTAGAAGATGAGGTGTTCCAGAAGATCAAACAAGAATCCATTCCGGCCCGTACTCTTCACCAACGCCATCACCAGATGCATGTACACCGACGTATCACCAAAGAGATCAGCGTCCAAAGTAGAAGGAGTTGGCAGTGGTTTGAGCAGGGGAAGATACGTCCATAGAAACCTCTCTGCCTCCTGCCATGCCGAAGCCTTCATGCAGAGCTCCACAACAGCGTGAAGAACGTCCAGACCCAGCAGACCGTCATCGATTGCGTCGCAAATCAGCGATGTCCCGTGGGCGCGTACCATCTCCTTAAAGTGCGTCCAGCCCTCTCCAACGGCGAACGTCTGCTCCAAGTGGGTATATATTTCATCGGTCAGGTCCCGGCCCCTGACCTCATCGGCCTCCTCGGCGTCCAGCTCAGCGAAATGTTCTTCCAAAGCAATATATCGCGGCATGTTCTGCAGGCATGTGCTCATCAATGACCTCGCGCCTGTCCGGCTCTTCAGTACGCTCGGACATGTTGCCTCCAGCAGCTTTGCATAAGCGTCCAACAGTCCTTCAATGAGCTTCCCAATGTCGGGCGACACCTGTTTTTTGAGGTCTTTGATCTTCTGCACCTTGGCGATCAGCGGTCCTTTGCTTCTGCGTCTCAGGGGAGTATTGTGTAGGTCGGGACTGTCAAGGAGGGGAATTCTCGAACGAGCGATGAAGGGGGTCGCGGCGATCTGGCCGGGTTGGGTTCCCTGCACTGTAGGGAGTGCGCTCGGCGGATTCGTCCTTCTACTTCCTCGTCCATATGTCCGCTTGCTGGGGACCTTTCCTGCCGGCACCCACTCTGGGTCGAAACTTTGTGGTTTGCGCGGACGCGGCTGACCGGTGTTATTGCCCGCATACAAGGCGTTGCTCGGGGGCTTGCGCGGCTCACCCGCAGTCTGCTGGAGTTCAATCTCTTTCCTCAGAGTCGCGATTCGGGAGGATATGGGACGGAGCAGACGGTTGCAGCGGGATGTGGTCCATGGCTGCTCGGTGGTGCGCATGGCATATGCATATGGAGTAGATATGCAAGGAAAATTATGTTACCAAAAGAGATGGATTAATTCTGCTCCAAAATGTTGAGCGTCGCCCTGGAGCTGTGTACGGTGTTGACGCCGAAGGTAAGGATGGGATTCAGTGTTGAGGCTGAATGTTGATAAACATTGGAAGTGTCTCCAGGAACCAGCGCAAGCGCTAGTACGAAACGGACCGTTAGAGCAAGCCACATCAGATTAGATCTCTTCAGCCACGATATCAGCCACGCCTAGAAATGGATCGAGGAGGCGTAAGCCACATCCACGAGCCGTTGAGTGATGAGATGTCCTGATCACTGCATACGACATAGCACAAGGTTAGCTGATGACCCTCGTGTACCACCACCCCATCTGGCGACGACAGGAGGCCTCTGACGCGAGTGCCACAGAAAGGTCACGTTTCACGACCCGGCCGGCGCAGCGAAACTCGGCCTCGGCCATGAAACGATCTGATCCGCCCTCCTCCTCAACGGGACCGTGCAGTAGATACCAGCGGATGTTCGTTTTCTGGTTTCCATCTGATAAGAAACGGTGCTGCACGACAGGGCCGACTTCTGGAGAACTTCAGAATTTCAAATAATCGTGGGATCATATGCAGGGCAATTCTGGAGCCGATGCTGCAATGCATGTGCACTGCAGACGCACGTTAGGCTAATAATTTATTAAAATCTCCAATCGCCAAAGACGACTCTGGCAGCTGTGAGCCTCTGACGACTCCAACATGGGCAGGTGGACATTTGAGAAACCTACGCGATCCTACGTCGGCAGTCTGCGCGCAGAAACAACTTCGCCACGAGAGTCCGGAGGCATCCGTTTCTCCATTGCGTTACTCCGTACCCCTCCCTTTTTCGCTGGAAGAGTGGGAGTAGGCTCCTGCGACGGAGTGGTGACGCGACGCCATGTTCCGTTATCTCTCGCATGTTATTCTCCCTACAGCCTGGTGTCACGATTTCACCGAAGGATCGCCAACCCCACATTGATGGACGATGACTGGTGACGCAAGAAAAATCGAAGGAGAGGCATGGAGGATATTGTACGAAGTGCCGGGGAAAATGCAGAAACGATGGTTGTTTATGCGAGTACAGACCAGCAGCCGTCGGCCAGTCGTTGTCCTGTGTATCAGCAGGATGATGCGTCATCCAGCTCCGTCCAGCACACGTGGAGAGAATTGGTCGCATAAGAGTGGGCCATCAACATGGTGTGCCGGTGGTTGTTTCGAGTCCATGCTCAGTGTTGCGGATTGACAGGAATCCAAGTGATGAGGACATGTTTCCAGGTCCGCGTCCGCGTCCGCAGCCACGGCAGGCGGCCGACGACGGAGAGGGGCCGCGACGGCAAATTCCTGGTTCAAGGGGGTGAGGCTGTGGCTTGTTGGATCTCCCGGGGGTACGGAGTATCTCTGCTCCCATCCTCGATTGCGTGAAGAGACTCCTCTGGTCGTCGCTGGCGCCATGCCGTCTGCGTGTTCCATGAAAACGGGACCAGAGATGGCCGAAAGGGGAGCATACAGAGGCCACGAGAAAACTTGCCATCTTTCATCAACTCCTCAAGCTCTTTCACAAGACCAGGAAATTGGGAGGAGAGCACGCCGGCCAGGATGAAACACAGGACAGAGTTGAGCCAATGGGAGCGCATTATGACCCCGAAGTGGCTAGCTCACGGAACACCAACCCCCATGTCCCCCCCATGTCCACGATGAGAAGTCTGATCAAACCTCAACGGCCCTTCCATAAGCCTCCTTTGCTATCTCTCCCCCCTCTCTTCCCTCCCTCCCTCTTCTCTTCCCCTCTCTCTCCCTCTCCCCTCTTCTCGTCTTTCGCTCCAGACGTCACTCTGGGCTGTCGCTCTTTTATTCATCCTCCCTCGTCATCGCCCGAAGTCGCTCCTTTCCCGCCTATATTCGAACCTCGTCTCCCGGAATCTCCAACCCTGGTGGTCATTTCCAGCCGCGCTGCTTTTATCCTGCCTTGGACTGCTTCTTTCTCCATAGGTCACCTGCATCCCACAACCCTCCCCTTGCTTGCACTGCATATTTCCGTGCCCATTCTGGCGACTCCAACTTCCAAACCCGCTGTTGCTCCATCCCCAGCCCTCCACCTCAGTCATATCTGAACCCCCGTCGCCCCACCGCTTCCATTTGCGAGCCTGGGCGCTGCTCACTTCACCTCTGTCCAACCCACCGTCGACCCTGGTCCTCTCGTCTGCCCCCCCTATTTGGAAGACTACCACAGTTGGCTGCTTTAGCCCTTGCCACATCTGTCTTTTGCTGGTCAAGGCAGATACCTCGCTACATATTTGTCAAGCGTCGCCTGGCTAGCGTAGCACTTCACCCTTGGTCATAAGAAGATCCTCTCGGCCACTTCATCCGTTGCAACCATCCAGGCCGCTTCTAGTCCCGTTGTGAAGCTATGCTTACCAACGCATTTCTTCTCTCGCTGTCTGCCTCGGTGGCATTTGCTCAAGAGTCTGCCAATGCCCTGGGAAGAAGAGACGGAGGAGCTGCTGCTGGTGGTGGTGGTGGAGGAGGAGGAGGAGGAGGAGGCGGTGGTCACGGAGGACATGAAGGACCCACCCCCGCCGACTTCAGGAACGTCGATGTTCAGCACTATCTTGGGTACATTTGGGTGGCCTTCGTCGGAGTCTTTGCCCTCTACCAGATCATCTTCCACTTCGTCCGCTACATCCGGACCGTGGCATGCCTCAACAACGACACCCAGAGGTACTTTGCCGCGCCGCAACCGACGTACGCGTGGTTCAAGAAGAACTGCCTGGATGCGCCCCTATTCAGGACGCGCCACCACCGCGAGTTCAAGCTGTCGACTGCTATCAATGTTGGAACCCTGCCAAGCCGTCTGCAGACCTTCCTCCTCGTGGGATACTTCGCCACCAACGTCGGATTATGCTTGTGGAGAATCGACTTGAGCAAGGGTTATTCCATCGTCGCTGGGGAGATCCTCTCCCGCACCGGTATCATGGCGGTCATCAACATGATTCCCCTTTTCCTGCTGGCAGGACGCAACAATCCCATCATCAACCTCACCGGCATCTCATTTGACACAATGAACCTGATCCACCGATGGTTCGGACGGATCGTTGTCCTGGAAGCAGTTGCTCACGCTGCTGCATGGATGGCCAACAAGGTGCACACCAGTAAGTCAGGCGTCCAGAGCTGCAAGAATACCGCTAATGTCGATCAGAGGGATGGGAAGCTGTAAAGGCATCCATCACTCATAGCGAGTTCATCATGACCGGTTTCATTGTGCGTTACGCAGACTATGCGCTCAAGCATAAACTAACTCGAGCAGGCTGTTGTGGCATTCGTTTTCCTGCTTTTGCACTCGCCTTCGGCCATCAGGCACGCCTTCTACGACACCTTCTGGCACTTCCATTTTGCAGGCGCCCTCCTCGCGGTCGTTGGTTTGTGGTTCCACCTCAAGGGTAGGCCCCAGCTGCTCATGCTGTACGGCGTTGCCGCCGTGTGGGCTTTTGAGCGTACTATCCGCCTCGTCCGCCTCGTCTTGCGGAATGGCGGCAACGGTGGCACAAAGGCCGTCGTGGAGGTCCTCCCAGGCGATGCCCTCCGCGTTACAGTGCGCATGGCCCGCCCCTGGAAATTCCGCCCTGGTCAACACGCATACCTCTTCATACCGTCGGTCGGGTATTGGACCAATCACCCCTTCTCGCTTGCCTGGAGCGAGGAGGAGGAGACCGGCACCGGCACCAAAATCGAGGGTTTGCCCATGAACCGCCAAGACATTCTGGGATTGCAGAAGACGAGCATGTCTTTCATCGTGCGACGCAGAACCGGTTTCACAGACAAGCTTTACAAGAAGGCCGATCGCTCTGCTACCGGCAAATTCACCGCTAAGGCATGGGTGGAGGGTCCCTATGGTAAGTGCCGAGCGCACATGGCAGCTTTCCCCAGATTACCAGATTCGCCTTGATCAATATCCACATTAAATTGCCCTATCCCCTGCCCTACCCGCTATATTATCTCCAACCCTGTTCTAACATCATAACTCCAGGTGGCGAAACCTTCTCCTCGTACGGTACCGTCATGCTATGGGCTGCTGGCATAGGCATCACGCACCAAGTCCCGCACGTGCGTGACATCGTCGCCGCCTATGCCAACGGCACCACCGCAACGCGCCGTCTCACCCTCGTCTGGATCATCCAGTCGCCTGAGCACCTCGAGTGGATCCGCGAATGGATGATGCAGATCCTCAACATGCCGCGTCGTCGCGAGATCCTGAAGATTCTGCTGTTCGTGACGAGACCCAGGAACACGAATGAAGTGCATTCTCCCAGCGCCAGCGTGCAGATGTATCCCGGCAAGCCGAAGGTGCAGGCCCTGATTGACCAGGAGATGCAGGAGTCGATCGGTGCGGCGTGTGTTAGTGTGTGCGGGACGGGCTCGTTGGCGGACGACATCAGGCGCGCGGTGAGGAATAGGGAAGAGCAATGGAACGTCGATTTTCGCGAGGAGTCGTTCTCGTGGTAGACGTTCCTGTTTTCGTCCACCTTTCTCAATCTCGTTGCCGCTGATACTTACGTGCCTGTCCTCCTGCTTGATCCCGCCGCTCGTCTTTCCTTTCTTGGGGGTCGTTGTGTCACTCCTTCTCTTCTTGTACATCATTCTCACCTTGCTTGGCCTACACTGGCCACGCATTTGGTTTCGGACGGGTTATCTGTGGGGGCCGCGAAAAGGGGAAGACAGACAGGTGGCGAGAATATATCCATCTCGTTCTTCTTCGCTGTTTGATCTCTTCTGATTATGAAATGGAGTTTTTGGCGTCGACGTTTGGTGTCTACACGCCGGACCGGCACTTGCGGGAAAAAGTTACTGTGTGTGTGTAGTGCTATGTAGGTTTATGCTACGATGTATCTTCTCACTGCAGTAGGGCATTTGTGTGTGTCCTGGCCGTTGCCGCTTTGATCACCGTTCTAATCGCAGCATTCATCACAGAGCCATGAACTGTATTCGCCATTGCACTTCCTCACATCGAGTCCCCATCTATACCTACTAATCGCTACACGTATGGATGGGAAACGGAGCAGCAAAGCACACACTCCAAAAGCTTAAAAGCTTAAGAAGTCTTATTCTCCTTCCCCTTCCCCGCTTGCATTCCCGTACCAAATTCGCAGAGTAAGTAGGACCCGTATCTGGTTGGCCCCCAGCGTTCCTACCTCTCCAAGCTACGATGCAGACCACGTATAACGCCTCTCCCCACGTATCTACTTACTCCCTTGACAGCAGTCTCACATGTCGAAGGCCGGGAGACACTCCGTGCCCGCAAGACGAACAGCCAATGTACTGTGTACGATAACCTATAACACACCAATCTTATCTATAATAGCTGCGTTATACCTATACTCGAGCTCATCGTACACAGTACCAAGCAGATTCACAGCAACCGCACCAATCACAGACAGCGGGTCATATTGCCGTTCGCAAGGAGGCTGATGAATAGGCTATCAGATGCACACACAGAGGGAGAGAGGGAGCGGCAGGAGCAAGGGACGGGGATGTGGGAGATCAGTGGCGCGATGGTGGATGGATGATGGTGGAAGGGCATGGAAGGGGCATGCTTTTAGCCGTGTGTTCGTCGCGGTTTGTCTTCGACGTCTTCGAACGGATTGTTTGTTTGGCGAGAAGATGGCACATGTGTGATCTTGGAAACATGGTAGTGCAAGAGTAACGGAATATACCGTACTACTCCGTACCGAGTAGTACCTCGAGTCGAGGTCTAGAACACCGTTATCTTCCTGCTATATCTCGGGAATGCTGTTTAGCTTCTTTTAGCGTTGATGTTAGTACACAGTACGGAGTATTCCGTACCTAGGTAGTACACAGTAGTCTATCCCTATGGTTAGCTAGTTTGATCGAGAGACGGTCCGTAGAAACGAATCATTTGCGAGCACCGTCGCGCGTCTCGACGAGATCGTGCTAGGGGAACGTCTAGGAACCTTTAGCTACCGCATGCAAGCTTTCCGCAAGTAGATCTAGCCAACATACGAGCACCAACCCCACATGCAGTTTCATCTTCAGATCCCCAACCACTCTACCTCTGATGTCAAAACCACCTCATCACTCGCACATCAAAGCCGTCCACGTGCGTCTTCTCTAATTCCCCTCCTCAACGTTCGTAAATCAAGAAAAACGTGATAACCATTTACCGTTTTAGGCTCTTTGAAGTCGGAGGAGTAGTCAAAGATTTGTCATTCCTGCCAGCACGGGTGGTGACGGTAGCATGTAAGAAGTTGCAAGTTTCCAAGAAATCCTTTCTCGCTTCTGGCTTCTGGCTTTGCACCCTGGTCCGGTGTATGCACAGCGCAGCGCTGCTTTTACCCGCTATCCAGACAGACCGTAGACAGACATGGGTATATCACAGAATCCCCAAGGCCCCCCCCCCGCCATGGGAAGCTGGTAACATGCATGCTAAGTCTGGGGTACATATACAAATACCAGGTCAAACCCTCCTCACCCACACATATCAATAAACCCGAAAAAGGAAGCAAAATAACCCGATCAATTTACGAAAGTACATACAATAATGCGCTGGCACTTAGGTCACAGCCCGCAGGCGTGAAAGTGTGGTACCGAGGGGACTGTGCGGCGCTGCGTGCACGCGCTGGAGGAGATTCTTACATACACAGTAGAAGGTTTGTGGGGTTAATCTGCGGGATATTGATGGGTATATGGAACGACGTTGTTGTGGCGTGGCACGTGGGAGGGATGAGAAACGGTCGTGCATGAGGCGGTAATATATGGGGAGATGGAAGCAGGATGGGGATGTGCGTTTTGTGTAGATCTACGGAGTACTGTGACCTTGATGACATGGTTGAGAAGTGGCGCTGACGCTGCTGCGGGAGAGATGAAAGTCTAGGAGCCCTGGAGGGGAACGGTGGTCACTGTCATACTAGTTGATGATTGACATGTGGTGTGGTGTACTGTGTACTCCTTGGCAACAATCGTCTGGTCAAATGCATCAACAGTAGCTGCCACAGAAACATACTTGTAAAAGCGACCTAGGCCATAGACCGCTCCAGACCCCCCGCACACATCTCACCCTCAAGAATCCTTCCAGAAACGGAACGTTCACTCTCCTGGCTCATGGATGCAGTCACCATGACGAGTTTAGGCGGCCCAAACTCGGACAGAGTAGATGAATCTGCCGGTAGTTGGTATGCACCGAACCAGAGTACTGTGGTATGTGCCGAAGGTAGGCCTGGATCTGGGTTGAGAGTCGAGACGGCGGCACTTGGGAGGTGCTTGACCATTTCGACGTGTTGGGCTGAGATTCTGCTGGCTATACTGTAAACTGGGATTGTTGACTAGTGTGTGACGTCGGGTTGTAATGTTTGGGAGGTCTTCATCCTCCTCCATGACGTGCGGCTCTGCGGTGACCCAGCATCAATGTCCAAGGTCGCATGTATTCCCAGATCCAGCCAGGGTGCCTCTCTCAAGACAAGCACCGCAATCATAGGTCGCATCTTTCTACTCTTCCCGAACCTATTCCCATTCCCCGCTCAATCCACTACACCCTTCCCATCCTCATCCACCCATTCCTCCTCCTCCAACCTCATCCGTTCCTGAATCCCCTTCCACCCTCTCAACACCACATCTACCAGAACCCCTCTCCCGCCCAACTTCATCACCGCCTCCTCCACCGGCACCAAGTAGCTTTTATAAGCCTTCTCCTCCTCATCAACCCCGGTCCCCTCGTGATGCCGTGGCTCATACCCCTCTGGCTCCATCTTTATCCTCTCCCTCAACGTGAGATCTTTAGGAAACGGTGGAGGAGGTTTGTATGCTTCTCCAGCTTGGGCGTCGAGTTCCTCCTCAAGGGACGGCGGGAGCGTCTCAGCGATGTACCAGTATAAAACATACTGATAGCGGCTCACGGGCATGAGTTGCATCCACACTGGCTCGGCCGTTAGGGCAGGCGCCTCGGTGCGCGGATGCGCTTGCGGCTGGTGGTGTCGGATTGGCAGGGGGAGGAGGCGGTTGCGGTAGCCGGACTGAGCGAGTGTGTAAGCACGCTTCTTTGCTATCCCATCCAAATCATCCTTTCCCCAAGATGTGAATTCCAAGTTCTCCCTCGACATACCTCCTCATACCCCTCCCTTTCCGCACCTCTGCCGCTCTCCTCTCCTGCATCCCGCCGTCCCTTTGGGAGGAAATAATACGTCCTTCCCTTTCGGTCCTCGGCGCTGCAGATGACGACACTGCCGCTCGCGATGTGGAAAATGGCGACCCCGCCGCCGATTACGAAGTCCTCGGATGCGAATTGCGCGAATAGAGGAAGGGAGGCGTGTACTGGGTGGGCGGCCATGCTATGTTAATGTACTGTGGCTGGAAGTGAGAATTCAGTGGTGGGATTTGTTAGTGGAGGAAAATGGACAAGCGAAGTCACAATATATGTATTTTCAGGACGATGAGGAGTATGGTTCTATGTCCAAGAAGCGAATGTAGTCGCCTGGAAAAGGCGAATAGCAGGCGTTGTAGTTGCCATCTTCAAATGTTCACCGGAAAGTGTAGATGCCTAGCCGGGAAGACGCCGAGCTAAATATGTTGCACGGCTGTGATGAGGGATGCTTGGCAGCTAGCTAATTGTAAAAACGTGGCGATACATGTTCAAGAAACAGAAGACTTCGCCAGACTTATTATTGTCAAGTTTGTATCAGGAGCGTAAACGGCTTATACTCGATATACAGGTTGGAATGTCTAAGAGTTCAACGTCTGAGTTCGTAAATCAGGCGTCCTTGTTATGTCTCGATAACCCTTTTAAAACAACCGCGGACTTGAATCGGCCTTTTGTGCGCAACCTCAACTACTTAAGTTTGGGTACATTCATGTCAGTTAAAGCAGACGTATCGTAAAGTTGTAGGAACCTAGAGACAACGCTAGATGTTTATGTAAGCTTTTGAATTTACTTCTGCAGGCCTTGAGGATCGTTAGTCGTATGTTCAGGGATAGAGCTTTAAGACATCAAGTTCTTAATTCCAAGCAACCGTTCTATTAGCTACACGTAGGCAGTTTGAGGCTATAACACCGAACTTTTCGTATGTTGTCTTCTTAACATCCTACGCCATGAGTTGCCTAGATTTTGGGACGTTTAATCGATATATAAAGGCAAAAGTAAGCAAAAATCTTATGAAGAAATTGAAATGGTCACGTGGCCCAATGGCAAGGCGTCTGACTACGAATCAGAAGATCGCAGGTTCGAATCCTGCCGTGATCAATTTTTTTCCCTCCCCTTTTTTGCCACTTAAAAATCTATGAATCTATCGTTACTTCTTCCTAGGAATCCCCTAGCACGATTCATCACTCAGTGTTTATAGATGAATTGTGTAGTTATCGTTAATGTCGCACGCGTAAACTCTCCCACTTAGATTTGCTCTTTGCCCCTAAACAGCGCGACTTCTACGTACGGAAGTTTCTGATCGCATGTTTAGAATTTCATTTTCTCCTCAGGCATCACCCTTATTCTTTATACGTAGGCTAATAAATGAGTAGACATCTCTCTCCTCGTTATACTCTCCTGTAGCACTCGTAACCGAGTGTTGGTTTTCCAGTCCTTGTATTGTAGAGAGTAAAAATGTAATACGGAGGTTAGGACAATTCAGGCACGTATGTGAGCCTTGCGGTAGTATGGGAGCAGAAGACTAGGACAGCCGTGACACATTCATGGTCATGTGCTATCCATTTTACTTTGTGTAATGAAATTCAACGGCAACATTGCATGCGAACTTCGCTTCCTTCGAAAACTATAGGCCTAGGCACGCCTAGAGGCGGGTATATGAGGGATTTCGATGCGTGTTACGGTGCGTGAACGACATTCGTTTTACAGAACGCAGGTAGTCCCTTTCAACAGTAAAAAAATACATGAGTATATTGCTGGCACATATACTGTAGATGCCTGCGAGTACTCTGTACAGATTTTGTTCTCAACTGTCTAACGATGTCAATCCTCTCGACTCTATAATACATACCTTCTTCCAAGGCGGAACCACCGAGTCTACCGAGCAAATGCGTCCAAAAGCCGAATCAAAACTCTTCCTACACTATCGTACATCTTTGCCGACATAATATACAAAGACTGGTAATATACAGAGAGAAGTCGAGCACACGTCTAATGCTCCAGCGCCACGGGAATGCAAGCATTGTCGAGACGGAATCAGGTCGACGACGACTGAACAGAGGCCGACTTGTCGCTAGTACTCTCGTCAGAATCCGCTTTGCCAGTCTGAGAGCCTTCCTCGGGCAAATCTTCCACGACGTCCTCGGCAGTGACATGGGGTCCAGTGTCCAGTCCCTCAACCGTGCCGACAGGGTCTTCGACGCCCTCTGCCGGAATCGCGTCCTCAACACTGGGAGGTAGCTCAGCGGCAGAATCGGCAGAATCAGCCAGGTCATTCCCGCCCAATTCCCGCTTATCTGACCCCTTCTGGGCCGTCTCCTTCGCCTCCTGCAACCCCTCTTGCACGCCCACCTTATTCTCCTTCTGCATCCGCGGCCTAGCCGGTACAGACTGCCTCAACGGCATGGTATCCCCCGCCAACCCTGTCAGCACATCCGCCATCTTAAACGCCTTCTCGACAAAACCCATCAAGCCGTCACCTCCGGACCTCCTGCTCGCCTCGTGATCCCAGTAGAGACTCAATCGCCCGCTATTCAGCCCCAGTGTCCCTTCTTGCGAGGTATGGTAGGCTACGCGGTAGCCGTCCCAGAGACCGTTGAGATGTTGGCGGTGGGAGATACCCGTGAAGAGATACGTGACCTCCTCCACCTCGTCCCGCTCTTCGCCCTCCAGCCAGGTAGCGCCCAGGGTCCACGTAGGGATGCCGAGTCTCAAGGTAGCCGGGGCAGTCAATTTGCCTTTGCTCTGGATATTCTCGGACACGGCGTCATAAAAGGCTCTGATGTTCTGATCCTCGAAGGGCAACAGGAGCCTTATGTCTCGACGGACACTGAGGCGCAGGTCCGTCGCATGGCCGGGAAGGAGGATGTCGTAGTCATGTCTTCTGAATGATAGCGTCACGCCGCGGAGAGATGGTACGGGTTGGGCGCGGATCTTGAGACTGAGGGTGGGATAGCGAAGCAAGGGCCGTTGGGGCTTGTTGTCGCGGGAATGTGGGGACGGAACAAAGTTGTATTCGAGGTTGTCGGTGTAGTGAGGGTTTTCGATTGAAGCGAGGAATTTGGAGGTGCCAGGGATGGAGGAGGAGAAGACGGGAGCGGAGTACCTGGGATTGGGTAACGTGTCGCCGATGGGAAAGAGGATGTGACCGAACGAGGCAGACAAGGAATTTGTTGGATAGCGTTCCCATTGCGGGCCGGGCGGTCTATGAAAGAGTGGCGGTGGTTCAAAATTGCGTCCAATCGCTTCCAAGACTTTCTTCTGGAGAACTTGAATGTCGGCATCTGATGTTGATGCTTTCTGAATATCGTGCTTCCCATCTTTCTCCTGCCTATTGATTCGGGCGGTCCAACGGCCAAGGTCTACTTCTCTGTGCTGATATTCTAGGTGGTTCCTGAAGGCGACTGGAGCAAGGAAGGTACCGTCTTCTCTTAAATCTGCCTCCAGGTGCCACGTACGAGAGTCCCTCAAGGGTAGCAATCTGATGATGCTACGCTTTGCTTCTTCCACAGCGTTCTTGTCTAGGCCGCGAATATTCAACTAGGGTGGTCAGCCAACGGTGCGAGAATTCCTTAGGACGGCCTTACATTCAAAGTCGAGTTTATCGGTCGCTCGATAGTCACACCGCTCAACCTCTCTATTGTTTCTAAGCTGCCCTTGGGGAACATGGTCCTTACTTCCGTCAGGCCATCCCGGGAGGAGAGAAACTTTCCCGTCAACCAATCCCTGAGACTGAAAGACCCCTTTGCCGAATTCTTCAACAGACCCGCTATGTCGTCGGCGGCGTATTCTGCGTTACTTTTGGGCGCTGTTATGCGGATTCCGGAGAAGGACTTCGGGATCTCAATCCTGGCTTTACGTAGATTGGCGATACGATCTAGAGCTGTGGATGTTGCTGGTGATGCGTCAGCACGCGGCCATTGGCGATGAAAAGTGGGCACAACTCACTCCCCGACTCACTCCCTCCGGCCGTAGTCGACAAGTTCAACAGCTGGATCTGCCACGGTTTCAGCGTCAGCTCGATCTCACCGGGAGATTCAACCTCCTCGAGTGGCGCGGTTCGCCACAGGCTGCGTAGAATCCGGTCCACCAGCAGCCGCTTCTTCGTATGGTGATTCATGTTTTTGCGTTTCCCGGCGTGTATCGGAAGACGTTCACTTAGTGGAGAGGTACCGGGAGTCCAGAGAGACCGCCCCTGGACATCTCTCGGGAGGGGCTTGGTGCAGTGATGGTCGCTCAGAAGCCCTGCCTCTGGATTCTCGTTCAGCTCTTGTGCGCCCTGTTTCTCTTCAGAGGCCATTCTTTTTCGAGCTTTAAGGTATCGCTCCAATTGCTTGACAGTGAAGCCTTCCCCAAGCACCTTTGTCAGCTTCCTGAACTCGGCTTCAGAAATGTAGTTCGGCTCGTCCGGTGCGCAATGCGACTTGGGTCGCAAACTATCGAGCTGCTGGTTAACTTCATCTTGTCCCACCGCGCCCTCCGCGGCCAACGAGGCGAGGATACTGGGTGCATCCGTTTCTGAAGGCGTCTCTTCTGGCTCCGAGGGTTTAGGCGCGGCCTCCGAGCGGTGCGAGCCCTGCTCCAGTCCGCGGATTACAAGAATCTCCGCATCCGAACCCAACCTCTTCAACCCGCCGAGCCGCGCAATGCGTTCTCGAACTTCAGCTTGTCCTTTGGGCCTTCTTATGCGAATAATCGGGTGTTCAGAGAATTCAGCGGTGTGGTTTTCCTCGGAGGGGGCCTGGGTGGCCTTATCGAGTTCATCCAAAGCATCGCGGTGGATGGTAGACGTTGAAAACTTCGAGTGCGGGAGTCGGCGCGCGTGCGTGCGAGGAACTCTGCCGCGTGCGTATTGGAGCTCACATCGGAGGCATACGAAGGCGCTAGAGGTGCGGGAAGGAATCATCAGAGTGAGAGCGAAAAAAATTATATTATCGACGTCTGGTTATGGTTGCCATCGGAGGTTGGGACTGCGGGATGGATAGATGTTGTATGGATGCAACGACTTTCTTCACCGCCTTCAGCCCTGCCAAGTTCTGCCAACGCCAACTCACGTGCCTGGCCCGCCTCCAGAGACATGCCCTGCGATGCGCAGTAAGTGAAGGAATAAAAGAACCAATAGTGCTTGTATCCCCACATTCAGCTAGGTAGACGCCAGCTCCGCAAGTCCTCCCGTAGATCCATCTCATCTACTTCGTGCCGCGGCCGCTGCCGGTTCCTCTCCGCCTCCGCCTTCATCGATATCTGGTGTGCCTGCTGCTCCAAGCTTCCTCTCCCGCGTACTCTCCCAGGCGAACGTGGAGAGCTTGAAGGATTTGGCAGTGCATCCTCAGGTCTGAGGGTCTCCTGCGACTTGCGACGTATGCTCGAGCGTGCCTCCCCTTCAGTCGCGGAACCAGCTCCTTCCCCGGCGTGAAATCGTACGCCACGTTGAGATTCGTCGTTGTATGGCTTATCGCGGTCACCCCAGCCGTCTCCCCCAGCGAAGATGTCTTCTATGCATTCGTCTGCCTTGAGCTCCCCCGGCTGCGCGGACCAGTATGCTGCCAGCGTTCTCCTGTACATGTCCTGAAGCTCTCCAGTCTCGCGAGAGCTTGTAGTCAGCGACGGTAAAGCTTCTTCCGAGTCGCCCTGTTCGCCCGAGACGATTCCCGCAATACCACTGAAGACCTGTGCCGTTCTCAGGGGAGGGCAGATGTAATTCTTATCACCTTCAATTTGCTTCATGTAGATGCCGATTTTGAGCGTGCTGTTGATCTTGCTGTCCTGCATCAGGTACCTCCTTGTTATGCCCGGCTCCTCTCCGCTAGAACCGCTGAACTCGCTCTGCTCGACATACTCTGCGAGGTTGAGCTTCACTCTGCCCAGGACGATGCGTTCTTCCCTGCCTCCGCCAGCGTACTCTTGTAGCACCTCGAAGTCGATCCAGCTCTCCTGCAGCATGCCATGCTTGTCTACGGTGAGGCGAACGGGGCATTTCGTTTGGTAATCGTATACGACTTTATGATCTTTGATGGGTCGCTTGTCGGTGCGTCCACGGTGTTCCGCAGCGGTCGAGTGAGGTAGGTGCCATTTAATGAACGAGGTTCCGGAGACGAGCGGGACGTTGGCAAGATCAATTATCTGAGAAGCCGTCAGATGGGCCCAGGTGGAAGCTTTGGAGCAGTCTCACCTTCAGGTGTAGTTCAAATTTGGGCTGTGGACGATTAGCAAACAAAAAGGGCAATTGAAAGGTGCTCTCCTTACTCGGCGGTTCTTGGGGACTGGCGTAGTGGTGAGCGTGTGCGCCGCAAAGGCGACAGAGCGCCGAAGAGACATGTCTCACCGAAGGCCTGCATGGTCAATGGGATTCTTTATTTGCCTATATGTAACCTGTCTAATAAGTAGGTGGTACTTCCGCACACGTATCGATGGGTGAATGTGGAAGGAACGGAGTTCGGTGACTTCACCCCCGCGGACGGAGGGGCCTCGCTTTCATTCCTCACCCCTCCACCACCAGCACAATGCCCACATTCCTTCACCAGCCATTATGACGAGGATCTCAAACCCGGATGCGGTCGCCGATGCTGTCCTCGAAGCTTTCGACAAGCTACCAGCGAAGTGCAAACCACGACCCCGTCACAATGGGGCGCGCGAATGGATACCACTGGCCGGGATCGTGATGGCGAAGGGTACGCGGCCTCAAACAGGGTTGTGCTGCATCAGGCTTACTCATGGGCCAGGAAAGACGGGAAGCTAGAATGCGTATCTCTAGGGTGAGCAATCAGTCTCTTTCCGAGTCGAGCCTGTTCGAGAAACTACAGGACTGATTGAGCTTATCAGAACTGGCATGAAATGTCTCCCAAGCAGTAAAGTTCCCCACGCCCACGGCAACATCCTACATGACTGGCACGCTGAAGTGCTCGCCATCCGCGCCTTCAACCGCTTTCTACTGGAGGAGTGTTTAGCTGTGCTGAGACCACCGCACACGCCTTCACCCTATCTGTCCCATCGTGATCCCCAGACAGCAGCAGCAGCAGACTTCCAGGCGTTTAGCATCAGAGAAGATGTCCAAATCCACATGTACTGCTCCGAGGCACCATGCGGAGACGCCAGCATGGAACTCGTCATGGACGCGCAAGAGGATGCTACACCGTGGACATCAGCACCGGAGTCCGTCCCCGGTCTACCAGACCTAGAAGCCATATCCTCTGCCGAAGTGACAGTCCTTCGAGGTCGCTCGCATTTCGGTCATCTGGGCGCAGTACGACTGAAACCTTCAAGACCTGATGCTCCACCGACGCTATCCAAATCTTGCACCGATAAAATAGCACTGACGCAGTGTACCTCGCTGCTCTCCAGTCTCACATCCCTCCTGATGTCACCTAGGAACGCATACCTCACCTCTCTCGTCCTTCCCCAAAGCCAGTACGTCGAATCCGCATGCATCCGAGCCTTCAGTCGCTCAGGCAGAATGTCGCGTATATCCCCAGATATGGAGAAGAGATGGTCTGGCGGCTACGCCTTCCACCCCTTCTCCGTCCACGCCACATGCCGCGAGTTCAAGCACTCACGCAGGAGTGTCGCACCCTCGGAAAAACCCATCCCCTGCAATCTCAGTGCGCTGTCGACGCCTCATTTCCAAGAGTCGCTGATCGGCGGCGTGCTCCAGGGGAGGAAGCAGCTTGATCCGCGGGGCGCGAGTCGGGTCAGTCGCAGGTCGATGTGGAAAGCTGTACTTGAGCTTGCGGGGCTTGTCGGAGTTCCGCTGCTCCTGGAGGCTGTGAGGAAGGAGAGGTACGGGGATGTGAAGGAGGGGGATGCGCTGGCTGCTCATCGGCAGGTGAAGGAGGATGTGAGGGGGGTGTTGAGGGGGTGGGTGAGAAATCGAGGAGATGAGGAGTTTGGGTTGGATGTGGATGCGGAGGGGCCGAGATGATAGGTTCGAAAAGGTAGGGCGTTTGATGCTCTCTTGCCAATTGATCTGAGGTCATGAGAAGTATTCGTTTGGTATCTGTTCGACCTGTATTCCCTCGCGGCTATATGCCACTGCTCCTGTTAACCTGATGGGAGGTGCCAGATAAGCAGATGTTGTGTCGGAGTATGTAGGTGCATTTGAGCATGTTGGGAAGATCAGTGTCGGAAACAGAGTCCATGCGACGCTAAACATGCGCCAAATGCTTTGCCCTGTGCAAACTCCAAGTGACGCTTTAGGTGTTATCCCCGACGTATGCAAATCAAACCGCGCCATCTTTTCCGATTTCCAACCTATGCAACCGGGGGTGGAACCTTGCCAATCATTTCCTTCTTTCCTTCCCATTTCCCTTCCCAACCTTTCCACCTTCACTTTCCTTCTCCCTCTGGCGCTGCGCCTCAATCTTCCTCTCCGCCTCCTCGAGCACCCTCTTCTCCTCCTTGTTCAGCGGCTCCCCCATCCCCCTCGTCCGCCCCCATGGCAAAAACTTGCCCACCCTCCGCTGATAAACGGCATACATCGGATACTTGCCCCTGGTGATCATCTCCGTGAAGGCCGTACTCCCCTGAAACAGCGCCAAATATCCAGCCGCACCCGCAACCGTCCAATTCACCCACGTGTAGCTGGCACAGCACGCCCACTGGTACAGCGAGACCCAGATGGCCTGTTCGGCGAGGAAATTCGGGTGGCGGGAGATGGCGAAGAGGCCGGCCGTGTTGAAGCCGAGGTCGAGCTGGTCGCGGGTGTAGTTGTATTTTGGGTCGACGCGGGCGTGGCGCTGGTAGTGGGATTTGGCGCGATGGAAGGACCATTGGGATTGGTCGGCGAGGGTTTCGAGGATGATGAGGGAAAAGATGAGTTTGGAGAAGATGGAGTCGTAAGTGTCGAGGTTGGAGGTTTGCGGGGACGAGGGGACGAGGGAGGTGAGGAGGAGGATGTAGGTTGGGGTGGTGATGAGGAAGAGGAGGAGCTGTGTGGATGTGTTAGCATCGATTGCGGAGAGTAGGAGGGAGACTTACACTCTGCGCGAACGATATGAAGATTACATTAAATAGGAACATCCACCTTCCTGCGTACTTTCTCACCACCACCCATCGGTAATCCTCGGACCCGATTTGATATCCCCCTTTGCGCCAGTAATTAAACGTCAATCGCGCTCCCCATAGAATGGTCAGCGCCATGACATGATCCAGCCTCGTGGTAGGCAGGCCGTTCAAATGCGCCCAGAGTGCATAGTGGCAGTTGAATAGCACGGGAATGATGCTCCACACGCGGTCGACTTGCGAGTAATTGTTATTGACTTCTCCGGCTATGAGGGCGGTGGGAGCGAGGATGAAATTGGCAAAGGCAAAGGCCGTGATGAGCGGGTTGGTGGTTAGATAGAGGTGTTTGAGCGCCGGAACATCGTTGTAATGGGCAAGGAGTTGGTGGGGGAGATTGTAGAGTTGTGGGATGTAGGGGGACACGGTTTGGCTGAAGGAGGCGCATTCGGGGAGGGATTTGACGACGGGGAGGGTCGTGGAGAGGGTGGGAATGAGCATTTGGGCCGGCATGCTCTGATGAATGAGAAGGCACTGAAGGTTAGACAAAAGTGAGGACGAAGGGTCCCTCAGTAACGTACAGAAGCCGCTATGAGGATGCCCTCGCAAGGTGGAGTTGGTGGAGTAGTGGTTGATGATGAGGTCATTAACTAGCGGGGAAGATTGGGACGGGAATACCCTTTTAGCGGAGCGGCCCGTGCACACTTACAAACTAAACCAGGAACTGTGCCGACGCGCCTGGCGCTCACCACCATAGCTTCAGTCTTGAACCGTGACCGTGCGCGTCTTCACATGACACGACACTCGCTGGGCATGCGCTGGAAGAAATCTCGATGGCCCGGATTCTTTGCGTCGCAGAGAAACCCTCGATAGCAAAAGCCGTTGCAAATCATCTGGCCGGACGAGCTCGAGCTGTACGTGACCTTCCTAAATCGAGGAAGAATGACAGAGATTAACCAATGGTGCAGGAAGACGTGCGAGGAATCCAGTGGGTCAAGAACTACAAATTTGACTATGATTTCCCACGGTGGGGACGATCATCCGTGACGTTTACTTGTGTTGCGGGCCATATATTGCAGCAGGATTTTGGCGAGAGGTACCGCGCATGGAAGTCCTGTCAGCCGCAGGAGCTGTTTGAAGCTCCTATCGAGATCTACGTTGCACCTGTTGAGCTACCTTTCGTCTGACCTGGCTTTGACAAGAAGCTGACATTGCATAGGATAAGAAGCCGGTTGCCGCCAACATCGAGGCTCAGGCAAGATATGCGAATGTCCTCTTCATCTGGACCGATTGTGATCGAGAAGGTGAGCATATCGGTACCGAGGTTCGAGACATTGCCCTCAAGGTCAACCCACGGCTCGAGGTGTGCAGAGCGCGATTCAGTAACATCGAGAGAGCGTAAGTGCCGTGCAACGCCCGGTAATGCATAAGCTAACACCTCCAGCCACATTATACAAGCTGCCAGCAGTCCGGTTCCCCTAGACGACAGGCAAGCACAGGCAGTCGCAGCCCGTATCGAGCTCGACCTTCGTCTGGGGGCAGCCTTCACTCGCATGCAGACCTTGGCTCTCCAGTCCCTGCTACCTCACCAAGGTGAGCCGAACAAGGTCATTAGTTACGGGTCGTGCCAGTTTCCTACTTTGGGCTTCGTCGTTGATCGATATCTGCGTGTACGAAACTTCGTCCCTGAGCCGTTTTGGTACATCAAGGTGGCGCACGAGAAAGATGACATCACTGTCCGATTTACGTGGAAACGAGGGCACCTGTTCGACAGGCTGGCAGTTGTCATCATCTTCGAGAAGTGCCTCATCGCCAAAACGGCCAAGGTCACTAAGATGCTAAAGAAGCCAACGAAGAAGTGGAAACCTCTTCCCCTGACGACAGTGGAGCTCCAGAAGATGGGCAGCAGGTTCCTCAGAATGACCAGTCAGGAGGTCATGACAACAGCAGAGCTGCTGTATCAGAAGGGTTGGATAAGCTACCCTCGTACCGAAACCGACCAGTTCGACAAGGGCATGGACCTGAAGAAGCTGGTGGAGAAGCAGCAGCAAGACAGCCGTTGGGGGCCATTCGCACAGAACCTCGTGAATGGAGGCTTCAGCCAACCGCGTGATGGCAGGAACAACGACAAGGCGCATCCGCCCATCCACCCCGTCAACTATGTTGCTCCGCATGCACTTGACGACAATCGCCAACGCAAAGTGTACGAGTTCGTCGTGCGGCGCTTCCTGGCATGCTGTTCCGAGGACGCTGTTGGAGAGGCGACCGACGTGGAGATTGACTATGGAGGCGAAGTCTTCTCTGCGCATGGGCTGACGGTGATTGCACGCAACTACCTTGATGTCTATCCCTATGACAAGTGGGAGAGCAGCCAGAACCTACCCGTGTATACAGTGGGTGAGACATTTGAGCCTACCGAGGCTATGATGCACGATGGGAAAACGACGGCACCGGGCTACCTCACGGAACCGGAGCTCATTGGACTCATGGACGCCAACGGGATCGGGACGGACGCAACCATGGCGGAGCACATTGCAAAGATCAAGGAGCGCGAGTACGTGGTAGCCAGGCCCAAAGGAGGAGGTGCTGCAGGCGACGGAGGTGGCAGAGGGGGAGGAGGGCAAGGACGAGGAGGGGCAAGAGGAGGGCGTGGAGGGCGAGGTGGTGCAGCAACGGGTAACGATGGAGGAGGAAGAGGGGGAGGCACGGGCGGGGTGCAAGAGTTCATCCCGACGACGCTTGGTGTTGCGTTGATTGAGGGATATGACAACGTGGGGATCGAGACGAGCCTCAGCAAGCCGTTCCTACGCAAAGAGGTAAGGCGGGTAGTATAGGTTGATGAAGGTGGCAGACAGTTAACGATCGGCAGATGGAGGTTCAGATGAAGGCAATCTGCGAGGGGCGTAGCACACGCAACGACGTGGTGCAGCAGAATCTGGAGCAATACAGAGCCGTGTTTGTGCGCACGACGCAGCAAATCAATGTGCTCAAAGCAGTGAGTACTGTGATTCCCACACTGCGGGGCAGCCCTCATCGCATCGTGGTTGTCGATCGCTCAGCGGTACTCTAACATGTCCGAATATAGGCCATCAGGAAGTACATTCCGGGAGCGAATCAAAGCTGAGGCGCAGTACACGCGGTGCGCTGGAGCTGGCTGGAGTTCTCCGATGCTCACAACTGTTCCCCACTAGCCATGCGTGTACGATGTACCATAGTATGGTACATGTGGGATTTCGATGTTCCGCAGACGACGTCGGGAAGCAGTGTGCTCAGCACGTGGGGTGAGGGGTCGGAAGTGTATCGATCGACTACTGGCCTGCGAGGCATTTTCCCTATCTACGCAGTAGACGGTACACACGAATACCCACGCACCTGCGGCTGACTGTTGACATGCGCATCACTGTATTGCTTCCGGAGCGACGTCGGAGACCTTTCTCAAGACGCGCCACTGGCAAGGCCCGATCGAGGGGAGTGGGCGCAGTGGTTGGAGCAGGCGATGGCAGTGGTCGGCTGGGAACGGAATGTTACTTTCAGCGGACATTCCACGGGCGTTCCCGCAAGAGGCCTCGATGACGCTGCCACTGCCACGCCCCTGGCGCCGAGGAATTGACGACGACGATGACTGTATCCGTACTCCATAATGATGATGAGATGAGACGGCGGCCTTGGGCGTGCGTTTATACCGCTACAAAGCGGTGGATAGAACAGGCCAGAGCGGGCGTCGGCGGCGTGGCAGAACAAAGAAGCGTGGCAGAGGACGAGACACATACAGCGCAGTACTATGTACTCCGTACACAGTGATTGCAACGCAACGGACGCTGAGTCGGCCAAGTCGCCGATTGCGACACTGCGACTCTGCGTTTGCCGCGACTGGTGTGTGTCAGCTTTGCCAGACTCTTCTCCCGTGGGTGCGCGTGCTCCTTCCCAACCCACGCCCCAAGTTCCACGCTTGGAAGCCGCGATCCGGCCAGGGATCACGCCCACACGCCCGTGGTGCGCGCCTGCCCAATCAGCGGGGGGGCATGCGCTGATGCGCTGCCTTGAGTGCGCCTTTGGTTGGAAACGCCCCGAATAGAGTTGCTGCCCTTATCTTGCCTACGCCGCCCGTCATCGTGGTCGCCTTTCCCCCAACACGACTCACAACCACGCAACCACAAATACAACCACCGATTTCTTTGCTCGGAAGAAACCACAGCACCCAGATTGCTTCGACTGCCGCCAGTTTCACACCCCTTTCGCTCCTCCGCAAATCGCGTTCCGTCCCGTCGTCCCCCTCGACTAGTCGTTGATCCCGTTAGCCGATTCCCCAGTTCCGTTTCCGACACCAACATCAACGACGACAAGCTCGCTGCAGCTTGCCTTCTCCCTCACACACGTCCGTTGCACGCGTTTGCCCTCTCCTACCTTGCAAAACAGCGACCGCTGCGTTTTGCATTACTACACATCGCGCGTTGCTGCTCCTCAGTCAGACCGCGCCTCCTTGACTCATTCCGTCAGCTCCTCCCTGTCTTCGGAACAACCACAGGAACCCGCCCACCCAACATGGCTACCGTCGCTGCCAACCGCCCAGTCTCTAACATCGCCGTTGCCTTCGCTGCCCAGTCGGCCTCGAACAATATCCCCATCCCCCGTGATGGCGTCGACCCGAACACCTCCGACCATCGCCGCATGCTACTCACCCCTCCCAACTCCATCTCCCCGACCCTACCCGCTCAGAAACATAAGCCTGGCATGCGCGGCGGTGACGTGCCTTATATGCCTCTGCACCCGGACTCGGACGTGGACCTCCAGGACGCTGTTGAGCATGCCGCCTCGCAGCACCTGCACCCCGCAGCTTTGTCCAAGGAGGCCCTGGCCGGCCTCGAGGCTGCAGGCCAGATCACACCTGCCATGCTGGCCAAACACCACCTTCCCAAGATCTTCTCCGGACATGGCTCTCTGCCTGTGCGCGACATCATGGCGCATCTAGCCCAGACAGTTCCGGGATATTCCAGCATTCCTCCAGCGAAGGCGCGCAGGCTGGTAGTGGCTGCGCTGGAACATCGCGCCGGTGGCGGTCTGCACGGGGAGGTGGTATTCGAGAAGGTGGGATGGGGCCGATGGCATGTCAAGGGGGAGAACGGTCAGGGGGTCCCCATTGCGCACAGCGCGTCGCCATCGGGACCAACTCCGCCTGCCAGCGTGGATAGTGCAGGACGGCTTGTGATTCCTCGGTCACGCTTCGATCGCGACGAATACTGTGGAAGTTGGGCAGCAGGATCCATGGCCTTCTCACGACACGAGGAGATGGCGGACAACATGTCGCTCGACGGTTCCGACGATTCCGATTCCGACGCGGATGACATGGATCTGGATGACATAGACGACCAAACCGACGAGGAGGACTGGAGCGCACTGGGGCCGGAGCTCCTCCGCAACAGCTACCGCGGTCCTAGCACAGAGTACCGCGACTACAATTACCTTTCGCGCACATCGGGTGCGCGATACCGCTCGGCCTCGGCACAGGTACAGGCACAGTCGGTGCCCCACTCTCGTCCTGGGCACAAGACGACTCCCGCTTTCAACAACAGCAACAACCACCACAACAATAACAACACTTCTTCTGCATCCCGCATCAACTCGGGCTTTGTTCATAATAATGGTACTGCATCTCCACTCGGCGTTTTGGAAAATCGGTCGGAGCTCGAGGCCGTCGAGGCTTTGATTGCCATGGGCTCCATGTAGAGCATTACACGTACTTTTGGACTGGGCGTTGGCTATACTCATGGTGCCCACGACGATGACACGACATTGATTCTCTTAGGGTTCTTTTTCTGGATAGGTATTTTGGTTTGGGCCGCGCTGCATATCTCAGCTCTCACACAACATATCATAACATACCATGGCCAACCGTGGACCTTATGGCTTTGGAAAGATCCGTCAAGCGCTGACGCGATCCAATCGTTTGGGATGGACGATTGATGAGGTCCTTTTGGCTTTTGCTCTTCTCTTGCTTGTTGGTTTCAAGCACTTCTTTATTATACTAGGACCCCTTTTAGTAACCCCTTTGGTTTCTGTTCTTGGACTTCAACATTTTTGGGGGCTGGGGAGGGATGAGAACCCTGGGACCAGGACAAGGCAGGCAGCAGCTGGGTGGGCTTATGAACAGGACGACGCGATGATGACTTGGTGAGCTGGAATGCCCCGAGTGGTCTGCTCTTCCTGCCGCATCTCCGGCTGCTGTTTTTCGCACGGCTGTTGCCTGCTTGACCTGGCCGAGACGGCCCCTCCGGAGTCACAACGGTGATCCCTTTCTTGGTTACCTTTTTGTATATACGTTTTCTACCTTTTCGACATATCTTATGGGAGATTTGGTGCAGAGCAGAGAAGAGGAGCTGCAGGGCGGCAATCCCAATGGCCATAGCAATGGCAGTAGCAAATAGCAGGAAGCGAGTGGAGGATATTGGACACCCTGGATATTCAACAGACCCGGAAGTGTCTTCTAGCACGAAGTAGTAATGTTGAATACAGATGGCATGCTTGCGGCGGGAGCTGCGGGAGCATCCTTGCGATTCTGCAGTTTTGAGTGGAAGAAGAGTGCAATGAGACTGCGTGAGGCTATCCTGTTCGCACAGCAGGATATAGATATCTGACCCAAGTAGTAGTGTATGAGTATGTGCTTCCAAGGTTGCTCGTCAGGCCACCCTGAAGACGTCGTTCCTTCCTTCCAGATAAATAGCTTCCCATTGAGGTTAGTCATCAGTCATTACATCACCTTCGGCCCCCGGGGCCTGTTGAAGGATGTACCACTTCAGTCTATCTTTCTTCCCTTGTCCTGTTTCCTTCTCTCCTCTGCTTTCCTTTTGTTTCTCCACATCCCGCATTCTGACACACGCTGCTCGCCAGTCCAGCCAGGACTCGCCCCCTCAGTGGAGTGAACTTCTCCATATATCCATCCCATTTTCCATATGTATTTGCGAGGCGGTCGCCTTACTCCGCACAATGCACGCACCTGCACCTTGCCAATCCCGAGCCTACCCATTGCGGTAATCCGCTCAATCCGCTCAATCCGCACAATGCACTCAACCATCATCCATGGAATGAAGTGGTCGCCAAGTCGCACGAGGAAGAGCTGCACTTACCTCAGCCCAGCACCCTTCTGAGCAAGTTGCGTGGGACTTGTTACGACACCACATGATACCTGCGTTTCTTTTGCTCTCTCCAGGCCGCGGGGAAACGGCGAACCCAGCTTCCAACCAGCCAGTCGAAACTCGCTGGATAGAGGGGGAGGAAGGCGGAGAGAGTTGGAGAAGCGAGAGAGAGCATATGCGGCAGTAATAAGCGGGCGTCCACCCTTTTTCCTTGACAAAGTCCTTACGTAGCCTTGCTCATCTCTCGCCTTTCTCACTACTCTGCTGCAGTGTCATTCGTAGCCGTCGCTCCTTCTCCACGCGACCGGGGAGTTCATTGCACTAACCTGCGGCCAGATCCGCTCCTTCTCCACTCCACTCCACTCGTTCCTTCCCTCCTTGGGTAGCCTGACCCTGACCCTGACCCTGACCTTCCCTGCTTCCCGTGTCTTTCCCTCCTGGCGCGTGGTCCGGTTGCTCTAGCCTCGAGTGGACCCCTCGATAGATAGATATAAGACCCCGCCTCGCTACCCCTCCTCCTCCTCCTCTTCTTCTTCCTCACCACGACCACAGCAATCCCACTGCAATCACCAACCGACTTCACCACCCCAAACAAACCCAAATCAATACATCTGCAAATATGCCCGGCTGCGGAACTGATGGCTGCACCTGCGCCGACTGCGGCTGCGCCCAGGGAGCCTGCAACTGCGGCAAATAGATAGACCCAACGGTCGTCCACGTACGTTCCCAGCTTCCTCGCCCTCTTCTTCCTACACTCAGTTGCTGACTCAACTGGCCCCTCAGAACCAAACTCATCTCCTTGAGGAAGCACACTGATCTTCTCTTCTCTTCTTCTGCTTTTCGAAGGATGACGACAAACGGTTCCTGGCAGCGTACTCCCGACGGCTTGACAACAAAACGATTCCACGCTCGACGACAACACGGGACAAGATGATATGGACGCGCCTGACCCCCTTTTCCCGTCTCTTTCTTACGACACTCTTTTGATGTAGTAGCAAGCAATGCGGAGGATGGATGCAAGTCTATAAGCACAAATACCCAGAAAATCAAACAGTATTCGGAGAGAGAGAGAGAGATGCGCAACTCTGCAATGATGTGATTCCGTGACTTCTGGGCCTGTCTTATCAAGTAGCCCTCTTGTCTCTCTCGCACATGCTTCGATTATTTGACGTGACACTGCTGCTGCCATGATGGAGAAGAAGAGGAAGGGTAGAAGATTGAAACTCACATTGCTGCCAACCAAAACAAACTCCCTGCATAACTGGGTATCTTAACACCATCGCCCAACACTCCTTCCTTTCAACTCTCTCCCCTCCTTCTTTTCACAATAAGATGACACCCCTCGACCCACCCACGTCATCCAAATCAATCACCTCCTCCTCGACGGTCCCCTCGTCGGTCCCGCCAAGCCCTCCAATATGCATCGCACTTACACTCCCCCTCTTAGCCCTTGTTCGCACCCTCACCCCTTTCCCAATCCCAATCCCTCCTCCTCCTCCTCCTCCTCCTCCTCCCTTCCCATCCCCTTCCGCTTCCCCATCCTCATCACCCTCCCCCTCCTCCCCAAACAAGAACCCTTTACTTTTCCGCATCCTCCTCCTCTTCTCGTCCGCCGCCAACGCCGAATGCGCCGACGCTTTCGCAAATGCTGATCTCGGTCCGACGGCGTCGACGACGACGGCGGGCGAGTTCCTGTCCGTGTCCGTTTCCTTGTCGTCTCCTGCCTGGCCGAGCATCCAGGAGAAGGAGGACGAGGCGAGGGGGGCGCGGGTGGGGAGGGATGGAGGTGCGGGTTGGGAGTTTGAAGTCCATGGTGCTGCTGGTGGGGAGAGTCGAGCGTTGTCTTGCTGTGAAGTTTCGATGGAGCCAGGTGTCTGCGATGGCCGGGTTGCTGCCCTGGTATTGGTATTCATATTCGGGCCCGACTTCCTATCGATACCCGGACTCTGCACCGGCGCTGGCGGCGCACTCGCCGTTCGCTTCTCCGACAACGCAGGCCGCGTGTCGATGGCCGGTGTAGTCTTCGCCTCGTTGTTTGGTATTTCCTCCTCCCCCGGCAGCGGAATGGTCGCATCCTCCAGATACACCTGCACAAACTGCACCTTGGCAATGGCGAGGCTCAGCTTTTCTATCTCTTTTCTCTCATGCTCCTCCTCCTCATCATCCTTCTTCTCATTCCTCTTGCCTACACCGTCCGTCCGCCCCTTATGATAGTCCCACATCTCCGCCACTGCCCCCTCGAGCATCTTCGCCAGACTCTTATTCCGCTCCTCCAGCGCCTCCACCTTCCTCACCATCGTCATCATCAACGCATCATGTCCCACTCCCCCGTTCATCACCCCCGCCGCTGCCGAGGCAACAACGCCGCCGCGTGCAGGTTTCCTGAATTCCCGCCCACCCCCCGATCTAGCCGCCGGTGTGCTGCGTCCCGACATATTACTATTACCACTTGCTTGATACGCTTCCATGTTCCTCTTGACATCGCCCACCGCATCGCGGATCGCTTTGCCGACAGCCCACTGCGAGCCCCGATCTATGACCCCCCTCGCTGCATTCTGAAGCAGGGATTCTAACCCTCCTCCTCCTCCTCCGCCTTGCTGACCCGTTGGAAACCCTCGAGGTGAAGCCAGCGTATGTCGCGTGCGGCTCGACACAAAAGCCAGCGCCGGAGATGGCGATCGGATGTCGGGTGTCCTAGGTGGAATAAGAAGCGGTGCGCGCTCGCCATACCGCGTGATTATCTCGACACCACCCTCCGGAGAGAGATTATCCCGTAGATACAGCGCATCCTTGATGAACGTGTAGGCCGGCGCGGCGTCGGGCGGGGGATACCGCAGCAGGAGCGAGAAGGCTTCGTTGGTATCGGCCGCGACGAGCCGCCAGCGGATGCGGAGGAGCATGGCGACGGAGATGAGGTCGACGAGTTCGAGCGTGGGGTCGATGGCGAAGAGGGCGTCCCACATGTCGAGGACCGAGTCGAGGGGGAATTCGCGGCCGAAGAGGAGGCGGATCCATCGTCTGGAATGGTAAGCATGTACTTTATGTCGAGTCGAGCTAGTAGGAGATGTTTGGGACATGTCTTACAATAGGAAGATTTGCGGCACAATCTCTAGTCTGATCAGATGGGCTGATAATGCGGGGTCCACTTTGGGGAGATAGGAATCGAAGATGCGTGCACTGCGTGTCAACATGGGCGTATCTTTCGATGATGTCGCTCCCGTCTCCGCAGGCGCCGGCGCAGGTGCATAGAAGCTCTTCGCAGTCTTCATGATGAGTGCAAACAACGTGTACGAGTCCTGCTCAATGCACCTCGCGTCCAGCAACGTCGCCAGCAGCGTGCTGTCCTCTCCCACCACATCGTCAACATCGGCAACAGCATCCCTCTCGACAACCCACAGCAGCGGCGCCAGAATCTCGTGCATGCCCTGCCGATAGCCAATCTCGGGGTGCATCTTGCACCACACAAACAGCACGTCAAGCATCATGCGCTGCGTCGCCGGTTGCCGGAAATACACATTGTCGGGCATGCACCGCTCGATGTCCTGGAAGATTTCGGCACGGAGGCCTTCGTCGGCTCGGAGGGCGTTCCAGGGGGACTATTTGTTGCTCAAGCTTTTGTCTTAGTATAGGCTCTTGTCAATATCTTTGATGTGAATTGTGTGGTCTTTGACTTCTTGCCGGGAACTGATCAGGGTGATGGTGGACAGCCTCAAGCGACATACCTCTTCATGTTCGCTCAGCGGATCCACGGACGAGACGTCGAATTCGTCCGGGTGCTCGATGGCGCGGAGGTAGCGCGACCGGAGCGAGCTATATGTCGAGCGGGCTTCGAGCAGTTTGGCCGTCCATGTGGAGCGGTCGAGGCTTTGGAAGAGGAGGAAGATCTGGCGTGTGTGTCAATTGGACTGTGGAACAGGTAAGGGATTATGGATGGGTCGTTGGATACCTTCCAGCATACGGAGCGTAGACCCGCGGTGATTTGGGGTTCCTTGTGCGAGGAGACGGAGATTTTGAGGTCGGTGAGCGAGTGGTACTGCGAGAGGCGGTGCCAGTACTTCCTGAGAAGTGTCAGTGCGCTGTGGGGTGAGGGAGCGAGGGTGCATCTAAAGGATTGGCGACGACTTACTCGGCCTCTGCTATGGACCTCATGGTGAGGGGAATGAAAGGCGGAAGAGGAAGAGGAAATCGTGGTGGAGCACCTTGATGGCGTGTTCCATTGTGTAGCTAGCTTGTTGATGTGGGGTACCTGTGTGCGGTCGGGTGTGGCCGTGCGGGCGGCGCTTATCTGTGAATCACGTGGAGATAGCATCATTGCATCAGTCCTCGGGTTGGGCTGGATCTGAGCGGCACTAGCAGATGGTCGATATCCAAGTTACCTATAGTGTAATAAGGCATGCATCTGTCATTTATTATAATGTGGCAATCGAACTTTATGCTAATATTCTGTGTTTCTTCCTTTGAAGGTCCAACCAAGCCAGGACACACTCCGTACACTTAGAAAATATACTCGACACCCTAGCTGGGGGTTAGATGCAGAGGTAAAGTCACAGAGTAAAGATCAAACTGGTCAGAGGTTCTCTTATTGGTACATCCTGAATCTCCAAGCTACTTGCCCCCTCTCCTGTGAAATTTGAAAATCCCCCAGGGTCCACACCCCCAGACCCTCCACCAATTACAAAGTCTGTGTGTTCGAGAAATGCCCTTAAAAATGCCCACCCGAAGCGCCTGTGGTACACCGAGAAACTTCCAATGCATCAATGCTACGCTTGCAGCGCTGACTAGTACAGACTCAGATGGCGGCGACAAAAAGGAAGAAATGCGTCCTGCGTGCTCCTGTACAACACGGCTCGCTGTGCTGTGGAATGGATAAGTCGGTGATTGTGCCACCGTCTAGTAATCGGTATCTCGGAAAATGCTGCTGGTTTACGCCGCCGGGCGTTCTGCACGCGGCTTCCTGCCCCCCTTCAGACTCTTTACTCGGCTGAGAAAACCCGACTGCGGTTTTGGCTCGCTCGGCGCTCCCCCTTCGAGGTTATCGGCTGTGACCGCCCTTGTGAGAGGATTGCGGCTTGCGGCTCCGGGGGAAGCGGGCCCAGGGCTCTTCACAGCATTATCCTTATTTTCGGATTCGGCCACCTTGATTGCTGCACTTTTGTTGTCGTATGCTTTATCGTAATCATCGAAGAACGGGTTCTGCTCGTTCGCCTTGGAATAACCTCCCGCACTCTGTGCCTGTGGACTGGCCGGGCTCCGAGCGCCTCTGCCATAGCGGGCCTCCGGGGATGTGATGCGACCTGCATCACTGAATTGACGTCGAGGCTGAGAGATACCGCGAATGCGCTGGGCGATAGACTTCTTCCGTCCGAGACCACCATCTGCCATGGCATTGTGTGTTTCGGATTCGCGTCTTTGGATTGCAGTACGCGAGGCTGGTGTCCCTTCCAAGAAGGTGGATGTTCCCAGCCCGACCGTCTCCTCGCCATGCACGATGTCGACTCTGTCCTTTGGATTAAAGGAAATGGCTCGGTCCTGTTCGGATCGCTTGTAATCGGAACCGGATGCGCCGAAATCGGTAAAACCCTCTGCCCCTCTCCCGTGGAAGGTATCCAGGTCAATGGTCTTGTTAATCGGACCTGAGCCGCCCAGTACATTGTTGGCAGAATTGGCTGGGAAAGCCTGCATAGGAGCTCGATGGTCCTTCTTGCGGTTTCGGTGCGGCTGGACGGCATCGTATGGGCCGTCGTGGTGTATCATGCTCGGTCCGTAGATGCCCGTCACATCCAACTTGTCAATGATGTCCAAACCTTGAGGCCTCCTGACCCGCGAAGAGCGAGATTTGGGATCCTTTGACCGCTCATCACGCAACCTGCGTCGCTCCCTCCTCCGCCTCTCCTCCTCAGGATCTAGGGAGCCCTTGTCAATCATGGAGGATTCGGAGTTACGGCGAGGCCGGCGGTGCTCGCGTCGGTCAGGGCTGTGTCGATTCGGAGGACGCTCGCCTGGCGGACCCCTCGGTCGGGGAGGCCCTCTAGGTGCGCCTCGCAGGCGTCGTTCTTCGTCCTCCTGAGAACGTGAGGGGCGATGGTTCCTGGGTGGCGGCGCACCACTCCTCTGCTCGCCGTTCGATGGAGCTGGCTTATGGTTGCCGCTGTTCTCGTCGAGAGTAAGATTCTTCTGTTTGAGGGAACGAGGGTCAGTGACTACGCTTGCAAAGTGCTTGAGACGCTCCATGGCCGCTCTCATTGGAGATGGTTGGATGGTCAATAAAACATGCTTCGGGGAAGTTGCGAGGGGGGAGTCGTGCCTTGTGCGACACGAGATAGGGAGCGCTGACGTAGCAGACTCAGGGAGAGGAGACACAACGTACAAAGAGTTCTTCGGCGGTGCTACCGAAGGTGGGTTTCTTGGGCGACTCCTTCATGTTGGCCGACATGTCAATGAGCTGTGCAGCATTGGCAGCCTCCTTGTTGAACTCGGCTTCGAAGGTGGACAGGAACGGATTGCGCGACATTGGCCTGCTGGCAGTGCTGCGAGGAGTGTCGAGGGCGGGCGAGGCAGCGGGCGAGCTTGCGCGGTTGCGAAAGGGGTTGTTGGAGGGGAGGTTGAGGGTAAGGCCGGGCGACGGGCGCCGGTCTGCAGATAAAGGGGAGGCGGTCAGCGACGGGATCGATTTCGTCACCGAGCATCGGTGGATGTGAAACGCAGGGGAAGGGGGAGGGAAAGGCATACCTGGCACAGACGGCTCCGCAAACATGATGGTGGTGCCGGTCGCAATCCCGCAGATTGGATCCAATCAAGGACAGGCGACTTGGTCGCGTTCAGAAGCAGGCGCGCGGAATGATGCACAAGCGGTGTTTGCGGGTGACTGGTTACTCGGCGACCCAAAAACCGGATTGTGGAGGATTGGGAAAAAAGGGGCGCAGATAAGACTGGCGAATATGATGTGGTTTGTTGGTGGTGGGAATTGGGAGTGGTTGGGTTGACTGCCGAGAAAGACAGATGCGGCGGGGGTTGGGCGAGGAGGCTAGTAGGGAATGCCAAAACCACTGTCTGAAGTTGCGAGGTCGCACGGCTTCGGACGGCGTGTGTGCAGATGGGCAGCGACGAGCGAGGCAGAATGAGCGAGCGTGCGTGCGTGGTGATGGCGGTGGTGACGAAGGAGGGGAGGAGAAGGAGGAGGAGAGAAAAGGAGAGAATGGGGGAAGGGGGAGGAAATTGCCAGCGTAAACGGAAGCTCCCCTGATGCTAAAATACTGTACTCTTTAGAACTCCGTATTGCCCTCCCCGGGCTAGAGTCCCCTAGAAGCCAGCCTCGTGACAGGTCGAGGCTCTCTCAATTTCCTTGTTCGTCGTTCATTCGCCTACGCTTCCCTCCACAGCGCCATCCCAAGCCCATCTCCAGCTCCAGCCCGCCGCCATCGCAGGACCTCAAAAGATTCTCATGAACCTTGAGGCAGCGTCTGCGCACTCCCTCACTCGTTTCCCTCGGCCGCTTCGGGCCTAGCGCGCTGTTCCCCGCAAGAGCATGCCAAGCTGAACCCTGAAAACTATCCCAGTGGATGCAAGTGTGGATCTCGCTGAATCCCTCACCGCCCAACCTCGGCAGCGACATAGCACCTCCTCCAATTCCACCCTACACTGTTCCTATACAGTAACAGTCTCGAAGCTTCAAGCTTCAAGCCGGCGCACCGTCATGGCTGCTGCTCCCGAGCCCCAGTACGGAGGCTACTCTCGCTTCGAGCTGGAACTCGAGGTAGGATCGTGATCCCCCTCTATTTATCATGCTTACTCACATCCATCCCTCCGTTCTCAGTTTGTGCAGTGCCTTGCGAATCCCGCCTATCTTCATTACCTGGCCCGCCAGAAGCTGCTCGAGAAGCCAGAGTTTGTCGCCTATCTCGCCTACCTGCAATACTTCAAAGAACCACAATACATCAAGCATCTCCAGTAAGCACCACTGCAGTTTTGTTCCCTGTTGTCGTCGTCCGAGAAGGACGAAAGCATGACATTGACATGGTCGCGCCTCGCAGACATCCTGGCCCGACGCTCAGAGCCCTCGAGCTGCTGCAGCAGGAGCGATTCCGCAAGGACATTGCAGATCTCAATGTGCTCAACTTCATGACCATACAATGGCTGGAGAATGCCATTCCCCCAAGGGCAGAGTGAGCACCGTGCTAGCTCTGTCTGTCTTCAGGCCCGTCTTCGACCCAGCGTCAGAGGTAGGGCGTACGCAGGAAACTCAGGCCGACCGTTGTTTCATACACACCATAGTATGAGGTCAGCATGAGTACGCAATTCCACACAGTACTGTCTACTGTGTACTGTGTGCTACGAAACATTCCATCTCATCATAGTTAGGAAGGATCGGCACCGAAATCTTTTGACGGTTCAGGGAAGCATACAGTATACAGTAGGCGTGAAACGGTCAATCGGCAAGAGTTTGGAAATATAAAAAGAGGCTCTTAGCGACGAAAGTACATGAAGTAGGCTATTCCTGTGTGGTCACCTAGGTACTCCTGGCAGCTAAATACACTGCTAGCTTCGACTTGCTTCCTGAAGCGGACAAGCTTGCACCGCCACTCAGCCACCCCAATCTCAGCTAGTCCCGATACGGTCTTCATCTCAACTTCATCAATCCTCACCATACTCACTTTCATCTTCACCCTCGCCTCTCCGCGATCTTCCTTAGTATTGCCCTCTACCAACCCATCTCTCCCACCAATTTCCACACCATTTCCTATCATCAACCATGCCATGCCTCCCCCACCTCAAGTGCGGCCTCACCCCGCGGAGCCGATCCTAGCTTCTTCACTCATTGACGAAGAGCTTCTTGACCATGTCCTTGATAGAGCGCTGCTGGGGCATGGATTTGGTAGATCGCCCGCAAATGCAAGCTGCGGAAGAATTACTACTGGTGTGAAGAGTGTGGATGATGTGCTCGGTGGCGGGGTGGAAAGTGGATGTGTACTTGGGGTTTCTGGGGGTCTAGGAAGGGGCGGGGAAAGTGAGGTAGGTGGTTCTGACTTCTCTCCTCTCGCCTGCTTGTTGTTGGATGCGATAGGGAATGCATGCAGGTTCGATTGTGTGTCTGAACAAGTTGAGATCATTGCAATTATTGCCATCCGCAAATCTGGATGGGATTCCAATGACATTGCGTCCTATATACTTACCGGAAGAGTTATTTTGAGTTTGGGGCACGAGTACGTCATGCAGTTTCTGCAGGATATCATTAACCCATGTACAGCTCTGCCTCGCACTCCTAGTATCCTCCCTCCTATCTCCACCATCCCCACCATCCCCACCATCATACCCTACAGCAGCCAGCATCACCACTCCTCCATCAACAGTACCTGCAGCAGCAATCATCGACACCACAGGCAATGTCGACGTCCTGCGCATCTACAGCCTCATCCTCCACCGTCTTCGAAATCAGCCAGATGTGCGTCAGGTATGCCAAGATTCTATTCCCGGCGCGAAGACGCTTAGTCTTGAAGATTTGGCGGCGAGGGTGCTGGACAAGGTGAAGATTATGCGAGTTTTTGATTTGACTGGGGTGATGGAGGCGATTACCGAGATTGGGGATGGGTTAGAGGGTGTTAAAAACAGTGGCGGAGAAGACCAGAGGGAGGCTGTTGTCAAAAAAGAAGGAACAGTATTCGAAGAAGTGGTTCCGGGCCGACAAGAGATGTCCAAGCGCTTTGGCGAGCGAAGGACTATGGTGGCGGACAGTGAAGATGAGGACGAGGAGATGCTGTTTGATGCTGAAGAAACGGACGACGTTGATCCGCATATCTCCGTTGTTGAGAACGAAACGCAGGCGAAATACGTACCGGACACTCTAGCACCGCTCCCTCCATCAAAACTCGAAAGGTCAAACGACACGGAGACAAGCCCGCCTCCTGTGCCAAGGGCTTCCTTCATCCTGGTCGATAACCTCGCCCACGTCATTGCCCCTCTTCTACGAAAGGACTATACCCAAGGTATGCCTGAACTTACGCAATATACACCTTGCAATTGCTGACTCAATCTAAGCGCACATCCTCTCCCACGCCATCCTCCGCTCCCTCTCTACCCTCACCAAAACCCACTCGTTGCACACCCTCCTCCTAAACCCGACATCTGTCCCTTACTCTCCCAAACCGCGCCTCGAAGCTACCACTCCGGAACCAAACCAACCCCAACACCAGCGCCCTCGCCAACCTCCCCCTCCCCCAGCGTCCATCTTCTCCTCCAACATCGCCATCCCTGCTCTCGCAAACATCCTTTCGCCGTGCCTGGATATGCATCTCCTGGTGTCGAGAATGCCGAAACGCAAAGTGGATGCGAGAAAACTAGCTGCCATAGGCGAAGTTGATGTCATAGGGATGGGAGAGAAGGAAAGACGGCTTGGAGTACATATGGCATGGGTGGTGGAAGTTCTGATGGATCGGTGGGAAGGGAGGGAGGGTGATTGGGGTGGGTTTGATATCGCGGACGGTGGGGTGGTCGAGCTCTGATGATTGCTTCATCCTACTTCTGACGGTACAGCCGCGTCATTGAAGGAGCAGGGAGGCTGGATTTGAGATAGTTTATGGCTAAACGGGTCTGTACAACTTCGACTGGCCCTTGCTTTTGCCTGTCCTAAACGGGTGGTACGTCCGCTTTGTTACATCCTGTAGCGCCATTCAGATTAACCTTGTAGTACCAGTAGTGGGCACGAAACCAGCTTGTGGATAGAATGGGAATTTGAGTTCAAATTCAAGTACAAGGTTACGTAGATATGAATCGACTCTACCTATCGATTCTAGGCCGTCCAAGACTTTTTGTCTCCAGTTGATGTTTCCGGAAGAGTGACGTCTGGAGGTGTGCCCAGATCCGAACAGAGTGGAGTGAATCAGTGCAGGGTGTGGATCGATCTCCCGTGCTATTCCCTTTGCAGGCTAGCCTTGAGCTTGATCCGACGCCTCCGGCCGCAGGGGTTGCACAGATGAACACCCAGAATACCACAGTGCCCGTCCAACATTGCTCTCCTTTATAAACTCCATTTCTTCGCCTGGCCAGCGCGATTGTCGCACTTTGAAGGCCCAACTGAGCCTCATGTGCACCGATACCACTCACGCTCCCTACATGGCACATCCGTGAGCCCCTCCTGAGTTCCGCCACCCTCCGTCTCCTCCATGGTCTTTCCCGCCTTCTCCACCTCCCCACTCGTCCTACGTACCTTCCTCGCCCTCGTCACCTTCGCTCTATATTAGACCCCTCCTCCCATTCTCGCGCCGCTCCCTCAATTCATCCTCCCATCGCTCGTTGGCCCACTCCAGCGCCATGGCCTCCACCCATGGCTACATGCCAGTTGGCGCAATGAGTCCCCAAGCGCGATGGCGGCGTGTACTGCTGATGGCCATGTTGCCCATGGCGCTCGTCCTCCTATATTACGTGCACAATCTCAATTTGCCTTTACCGGCCAAGGCGCATGAGACCGCAAAGAAACCCCAATCGCAATCACCGCATTGGCAATCAGAAACACATTCAGCATCCGAATCACCTTCGATAGCTTCGACCGCAATACCACGGAATACCTCGCACTCTACCCTAACATTGCACCCTACCCTAACATTGCACCCTACCCTAACATCCGCGCCCGGCGCAGCCACATCGTTAGCCACGAATAAAGAATACAAGGAAGACGAGGAGGATCTTTCCATGGCAACCGTCATTAAGGCGCTGTACCGACCCATACTGCACCCGGTCGACGCGGTCAACTTTACAGACGAGGATGGCGAGATACATCGCTTGGCCGGCGAGCCTCGTTTCAAGAAGAAGCTTGGAAAGAAAATACTGATACTGGATATTGACAGCCGACCGCTGGACGGAGAAGGACAGCTCATGAACAAGAAGCTCAGCTGGAAAGGCATGCGCACGCTGTCCGGTGGCATGCTGAGCCATTATATGTATGGTATGGTACAAGTGTGGTCAAATTATCGATGTCATGCTTATACTGGACAGCTATGATACACGGCTACGACTATAAATTCATCCGTGCTCCTGATTATGCCGACCGCTGGGGCACCTGGGTCAAAGTGCCATTGATGAAGGAGGCTCTCAAGACACACGACTATATAGTCTTCATGGACTCGGACGTCATGTTCCACTACCCGCATCTCCCGCTCGAGTGGCTCCTGAATTACTGGGACATGACCCCGGACACGCTCGCCATGATGTCCATCGACCCCGACGAACCGCAGAACTACGACTCCAAGGGAAACCGCTACCTCAACACGGGCTTCGTCATCGCACAGCAGAGCCAACGCACGCAGGAGATGTTCAAGAAATGGGCAGAATGTCCCTCGGAGAAAGATTACCCGGGCTGCGCACGGTGGAAGCTGGACTGGGCGCATGAGCAGTCTGCTTTTGGCAATTACCTCCGGTACGACTTTGATCGCCCAAACGACATCAAGGTGTTACCTTGTGTGGAAGCGAACGGCGCACCCGAGGCCATCAACCGAGGGGGCTGTAGAGGCATCTTTGTGCGCCATTTTTGGGTCGATAAGGGGTTGCTGGCGAAGGGCCTCGCGGATAATGTCATGCAATATTTTGTGCCGCGGCTGCACCAATTCTTCCATCAAGGCGCAAAGGAGAATATCATGGATGTGAAGGGCCAGGGGTTTACGCTAAAGGGAGCAGATCTAGTGAAGATGACGGAGGAAGAGGAAGAGGAGGCGAAGGGTGGGGAAGGGAAAATGCAAAAGGACGAGGGATATAAGAAGAAGAAGCATAATCATCCGTCGTGACGATACTGATAGTGGGTCGGCCACCATTATCCGGCGAAGCTCGACAGGTCGTTTTGGAGATCCCTATTCCTTGTATATATTACTTGCATTGTTATTGGCGTTATATGGGGTGTTATACCTTGACAGGCAGTGGTGAGGTGGTTAAGGGGGATATGGTACTTTCGTCTACCGACTGACTTATTGTCCGCCTTTTCGCTTTCTTTTCAGAGGCGACGCGCCTTTGGATAGGGATGGATTCGGCGTTGTGCTTTCCAAAGACATTTGGGTCGATTGGCCGGGAGGGTTAGGGTATTCGGCCTGTGACCGTGGTTTTAGGGGATGAGCCTTTGTGAGCGGGCACTTGGGATTGATGGTTGGAAACTCAGTGTACATGGGATAGATGTATTGAAATGGGTTGGGAAAGCATCATATCCCTATGCTCCCAGAGGTACGTGTGGAGTATTGCTAGACTTCCCCTTTGCTCCTTCCATTCTGCTAGAGGGTTGGATAATAGTGTTTCCACCCCGGGGCCGTTATCGACTCCCGTCATGGGACCTAGGCAGGCGAACTATGTATTAAATTGCTTCATATAGTTCCACTTACCGATGGTCAAGTCTACTGAGCCATCGAGTGTCTTTCGATAATATGTTGGGTAGCGTACATTTTATCACTGTGGAAGAAGTTGATATGGTCCGTGCCTGATTATATAATCATCTACGTAGTCTGATGCTTGCTGAAGCTCGCAGTGTTGTCCTTTCCAAGAATCGGTCGAAATGCAATTTCTGTCCATTTTCCGGTAATACTTCCAATGCTCTGAGTGGGAGTTAGTATGGAGAACGTAGAGGAGCTTTCGAATCTCTCAACGCATCATTGCGTGCTCCTGGCTGCCCAATATGCCACAGAATCCAACATCAGCGCATTGCGGACACTCACTGCAATACGGAAAGACGACTTGGAGTTTGGTTTGATACTACGGCTCCTCCTCGCCTTTCTTCCCGAAGCCCTAGAACCCTCACGATACACCTTGTACCTCAGTGAGCTCGCTACAAACTCACGGACGTTCGAGGATACCCCACTCGACCTCGCGGCCGTTCACGAGTTATCGGAGACCCAGTCTAGGAAAAAAGCAAGGAAGCTGCATGCGCTATTACAACCTCTGGCGCATCCATTATATAAGTCCGAGACTGAACTCGACCCGTTTTCCCACTTCCTGATCCATCGTTCGCATCGAATCGACGCCGAAACGGGGCTTCTCGAATTCGTCCCCCAACTGGTTGCCCCCTTCCTCCACCATTCGACCTACCTCCGAACCTGGTTTGTCTCGACAGTTCTACCACTTCTCCGGTTGGGTTACGAATACTACCCCCAGCAGCAGGCGCCGTCACTCGACACTTTTGCACAGTGGAAGGGGAAACAGGCAATTGGGAGGTTGCTTTGGAATCTGCGATGGAAGCGGAAACCTGGAAGTGATACAAGAGACGTCGGGAGGGACTTGCGAGGCATAGTGGGGCCGTGGATGTGCGGGAGCCATGATAGGAAAAGACGGGGTCTCGATCCGTCAGATCGTCGGCTGTCGATGGACGCAAACAACCAGGAAGAGCCAGATGACTGGGAAGCCCTATTTGAATGGCTAGTGCATACATCAAAGGATGAATTCAGCTTGACTTCATCCGCTTTCACAAAGTGGGATGGGCCGGACGATATTGACTTCGGTGGCTTTGACGAGGGCCAGATCTACTTGGACGACGCTCGCCGGAGTGAACTGGAACGCAGATATGTACAAGCGGGTTTGGCTAGCATCTATATCGTCAACGATACCAGTCAGGAGACCATACTCAAGGCTAACTCTGTTCTTGCACGGCTATACAGCCTTCTCAGAATGGACCCACACCAGCTGACCGTCGGTGTGGAATCCTTGCCGAGATATGACTTTACCAGCCCAGTCTCTCATGAATCTCCGAGCAGTATCCTCCAAGAAGGCAGCCTCCTTCAACCGGGGAATCACATCACACGGCCCGGAGAAGGTGCTGTCCGTTTGGCAGAGCACTTTATATTCTCGGCGCACTTGCTTTCGAACCTGCACTATTCGCTGTCGGTGCGGGAGCTGGCTAGGATGTATCTAAGGAGCGGCCAGGCGGAACAGCTCCTGCTGGTACAGAAGCTCATCCACAACCTTACCCGTAACGGATCCAAGATGGACGCCACACAGTGGAAGAAGATTAGGACAACACTTCTCTGGCTGTGGGACTGGGGGACAACGAATCGCAAAGGCGACCGTCAGGCACAAGGCATTATCGGTAGGATCGATATTCAGGCTCTGGAGACGGAGATCCTGAAGGCGTTTCTGGAAAACAGCGAATTCCCCCTCGTGGTCCAGACCTATCTGCAACCAGCACAAAGCCCTCTTCCTTTACCGGATGTCGAAAAAATCATCCTAGGCGCTGCAATGAACTACTACGACAATGCTAGCAACGGCAATCGAACCAGAGGAGGTATGAAGCGGGCGTCGGATCTGATTGCGGCGATGAAACCTCACTTTCCCAACTCTACGCGATTTCAACGAGCCGAGGCTTTGCTATCTGCAACGCACGCAATGTCGTTCTACTCCCTCACACTGCAACATGGCGTGCCATTCCAACCTGTCAATATCCGCGTCAGTGCTGATCCACTGTCACTTTTGCAAAGGCTGCTTTCACAGAATCCGAGCAGCTACACCCATCTGGACGACCTCATCTTCATCGGCCAGAACCTTGTCCTATCGAAACCTTCCACACTCATGGACGACACGGCGGACGATACTGAAACGACTCCCTCCGCAGACCAGAAGAAGAAGGCCGCCACCGAGCGCCGAGTCATCGCCATGGCGATCGAATCCGCCCTCGACAACGACGACTTCGAAACCGCATATTCCTACGTGATGAACCGTCTCTCTCCTCCATCGAACTCGCCACTTGCATCCCCGGTCCTTTCAATTTCGTCCTACCGCTTCTCTTTCGGCTCTCACGACTCCGATGACCACACTGGAGACGACGTAGACGACGTCTCCTGGCGCGCAGCTCTCCGTGCAGGTCGCTACCACCCCTCCCTCTCCATCTCTGGGACATGGTCCACTTCTTCCTCGTTAACATCGCGACCGGACCTCCGCTGGCTAGATCAGCGCATGGACCTGCTCTCCCAGGCCCTCCTCCTTGCGCCACCATCCCGCCTCGAACAAGTCCTCTCCGAGTGGCAACAATGCGAGAAGGAAACGGAGGCTATACTCGAGAAAGAAGCACAGGAGGAACAACGCTTCAACGACTTTGCGGATCGCAGATTACCCGGCGCTTTCGCGGGGGAGACGGTACCCGGCGTGCAGCCCCGACGCGAGGTCGGGAGGCGGGCCGTCGAGGAGGCGCCCATGGGTCTGTTCGATGTGGCGAGGGGAGCGGCGAAGGCGTTTTCCAAGACTGCGTTTCCGCTTCGAGGGATAGCGGGGGGTGGTGCAGGTAATCATCATAGGGCAGGAGGTGGTGCGAGTGACGGGAGGGTGTCGGTGGATCTTTCAGATTCGGGGGGTATAGGGGGTGGGTCTACTGGGGGAGGAGGGGAGGGGAGGACCAGAAGGAGGGATATGGTTGCTAGTGCGGTGACGGGGGGGTTGGCGAGTGGGATTGGGTGGGTGCTGGGTAAGTACTCCTGGTCTAGGCGTGATTTATGCTTGTATTGACTGGTATTTCTAGGTGCGACGCCAGTGCAGGATCGGGATCGAACGTAGTTAAGAGGGGGAAGGGTTTCCGGTCACGTTACTTTGGCCATGTAAAGCATTCATAGACGTTGCGTGTGCGTATCTGGAGTACAGATACCACCCACACTACTGCTCCCATGTCCAACGCACACATCCCTCTACCTATCCACACACTCCCGAACCATGTACATAACCTCATCCGCATCCTCGAAGACATCAACCTCCCCCTTCATCCCCTCTCCATGCGATCAAGCAACCAATATACACAGGCTGAACGAATGAATGCGAGAACAACGAATGTGGGGTATGATGCAAAGGGAAAAAGAGCAACAATGAAATGAAGTGAACCCCAAACTCCATCGCTGATGCATGCAAAAGATGCAAAAGGTGTCGCTGCTCGCTCGCTCGCCAAGTGTGTTCACGCAGTCCATGTTGTGTCCGGACTACATTCCAGCATGTGCATTCCACACCATCCATCCTCAACAACCCTCCCTCTCTTCATCTCCTCTCTCCCCCATCTACTGCACAACAAATCCCGGCATGTACTGAAACAACCTGCCCATCTCCTGGGGAGAGATGACCCCATTCCCCATACTCCTGACCTGCGACCCCTTCCTCAGCCGCTGCAACCCCTTTGCCAACTTCCAGGATTCGGATTGCGGAATCACAAAGACGTACTTCTTGCCGTCGCGGTCGCGGATGGAGGCGCGTAGGAGGTGCAGGTTCGCCTTCTCGCCTGTCTGTGACGGGTGTCAGTATCAAAAGAACGAAAGATCGGAGGAGGGAGAGAGAGAGATAAACAGCGCTAGCCATGGGGGGCTGGCTGTCCAGTAGCTCCCAAAACAGAATAACCGAAGAGCCAAACATACCTCGACCATCTTCAGCGTCCAAGCCTTGACATCCCATTCCCTCTGGCCCTCCTTCCGCACCTCATCGTCAATGAAGAGTCCCTCGCTCTCGATCTTCAATACCAGTCCGTCCGTCACTTTGCCAATACCGGCAACCAGCTGCGCCACCGGTTTGGGAAACATGTCATTGAAGAGAAATACGCCTTTGATTTGAATCTTGTTGGGGTCGTCGGTGTGGAAGGGGCCAGTGTGCGAGGGTGGAGGTGTCGTACGTGCTGTGCTTTGCGAGCCGGTGTAAGATGTTTCAGAGTAGGCGGAGGAGTGGTGGGAGGGTGGACGTGGAGGCGGTGGCGGCTTCGGGGTGTCGTAAGGTCGGAAGGAGTGTTCGGTTTCGGTGCCGACGTAGGATTGTGCTGAAGGACGCTCGTAGTTCTTCTTGGGGGTGACGGTGGCTTTGATGGGAGTGGAGCGGGCAGAGGTAACGGAGGGGGCGGGAGGGCTCTGAACACCTGCATAGGGATCAGTTCGTTCACCGCCGCCGACACCCCCGTATACAGTCGAGCGGCGTGCGGTCAAGGGCTCGGTGCTGATGGGACTCGAAGCAACCTTCTCCGCTTCTGCGGCTTTGGCACGGGCTTCGCGTTCTCGAGCTGCTCGTTCGCGGGCTGCTTTCAACCGCTCATTGCGTTCTGCCTCTGCCTTCGCTTTCGCAGCAGCAGCTTCAGCAGCAGCTTTCTCCTCTTCCGCCCTCTTCTTTGCCTCCTCTTCCGCCTTAGCTCGCTGCTCCGCTTCCAGCTTCTCACGGATCTCCTTCTCGATCTTTGCCCTGGCCTCCGCCTCTCGAGCTTCTCGCTCCCGCTGCTCCCGTTCCTTTGCCTCCTTCTCCTTCTGGGCCTTCTCCCGAGCAATGCGCTGCCTGGCCTCACGCTCTCGCTGCTCCCGCTCCCTCGCCCGCATCTTCTCCCACTTCTCCTTCTCCGCTTTGACCCTAGCTAGCCGCTCCGCCTCTTCTTTTTGTTTCCGCTCCTCTTCGGCACGTTTCCGAGCTTCCTCTGCTAGTCTCGCTTCTTCCGCTCTTCGCCGCTCTTCCTCCCGCCTCCGCTCCTCTTCTGCCCGTTTCCTTTCCTCTTCTCGTTTTCTCTCCTCTTCCCGTTTCTTCTCCTCTTCTCGTTTCCGCTCTTCCTCCTGCTTCTTCTCCTCCTCTTCCTTCTTCCTTTGCTCTTCCTTCCGGCGAGCTTCCTCAACAGGATCCTCCCAGTCCGGTGCCGGTCCCGCCCCGGACCACGACGACCCAAATCCTCCAGCAGGCCCACCCCGCTGGTGTCCTCCATGCCATCCACCTCCGGGAGTCCCTTGCGGCGGCGGCGCCCCAGCACCGGGAAATGCGCCATTAGGCGGCGGCGGCGCACTCTGGTATCCAGCGCCCGACGCACTCCCTCCCGCACCACCAGGAGGCGGTTTCCCAGGTCCCCCACCAGCACCACCTCCTCCACCAAAGCCTCCCCCTCCCTGCGTCTTCCCATACGCCCACCCCGCAATCCCCACGACCGCAACCAACAATACAACCCCATTCCCGCCACTACTCACACTCGCACTCACGAGCACAAACCACTGCTTCACCGTCGGCTCCATCATCTTCCACACAGCGATACCGGCAAGCGTGCTGGCCACCCCGGCTAGGAAGCTATTCCGCTGGACCTGCAGAGAGGGCAGGTATAAGAAACCTCCGCCGGACGAGTGCGGCGGTATGATGAAGATGTCGTAGTTTCCTGGGGGCAGGCCCCCGGTGCCGCCGGCGGTGGATCTGGGATTGGTGCCATGGGGAGGGGGAGGAGGCGGCGGGCCGTCCATCGGGAGGCCCTTGAGGCGGGAGTGGCGGTCGTGAGGGAGGCGTTAATCGAGGCCAGTCCAGGATTCTTTGTTATTGTTGTAGCTGCTGCTGCTGTTTTGATGGGAAAACTGCTATCACGGCGTTGAAACGGGCGAGACAGATGGTAGAGCCGAAGCCAGCGAGTGTGTGTGCAGGCAGAAAGATTGGAGATTGGAAAAGTCGAGGAGGCTGGTAGTTCTCTTGCTGTCTGTTTTGCTTGTTTACGGTCCGAGCGCCCACCGTACCCCTGTCCCCCACGCCTGCCGCATGTGGAGCGGCCCGTTGGCTCAGTTGCACGCGCCCGGCGCGGAGAGCAACAGGGGTGTCCCTTCCACGGAATCCGACCTTGCTGCTCACCAACTCTGGCCCTGATGTGAACAGCTGTCTCCATACATTACGATTGAGAACCAACAAGCTCTCAATGGCTCTCTTTTGTTGATCCACTCTGCATCGTGAACGAGACAACAGGTGTGATGCCCAGCAATAGTGGATCCCCCAGGGCGAATCGACGAGTCAGCTTAAACAGCTTAAGCAATGCAGGCGAACGCGGCGGTGTGCGATTCGCTGGCTGCAGAAAGTGGAAAGGTGGACTCTTAGACGACTTGCTAATTCGGAGTGTTGCCAATCTTGAGCGTGGGGTGCATTGTGTGTATAGTATTTAAACTCCGTGGTTGGTGCGTGAGAGGGGAGTGAGCTGTGTTTCTGGGAAGGGCAAAAAAAGAGAAAAATGATGGACACAAGGACTTGGACTAGGGCCTTCCACATGCCAAAAAGGTCGAGCAGCCGAATCAGTGCAATAACTGCGTGACTCAGCCTCAGCCTTGGAAGCTGCTAGACCTTTTCGCTATCCTGTAACTCAGGGCGATTATTGTAGCAATAAATCTAGTTTATATAGCAAAAGATTTGCTGGAATGCCGGAAACGACAAACACGAAACTCTTGACGTTGCCGACAACGAGGAGGCAAAGTGGTAGCGGCATTCTTAGCAAACGGCAAATTTGAGACAGGTGCAGATTTTGGTTGAGCAGAAGCTAGTACACCTCACTATATCTACAGTCCGTGCACGAGGGAGAGCTCCGTTAGTGAGAGAGAGTGTGTGTCACGTATGATCGAAAGGCCTCCGTAGGTGCTATGGTACTGCGGTAGTACCTGGAAAAGTGGAGCTGTCCGTCCTGCCACCATGCCATGTCGCTGCTGTGACGGCCGCTTGTCCGCCATGCGGCCGTTAGACATCCCGCTTCAGGTGACACCAGAGGGCGTTAACCGTTCTGCAGCTACTTTCTGTTGGCACAGAGAACAGTGATACATGCAGGAGCAGCGGTAAACAAGTAAGAATAACAATGCTGAACTATTGGGTATCTGAGAACCAGAATTACGCCAAAAAGTGTCCTAACCACCAAACCCTATCCCACCTACACCCACTCTAAAGCCCATAAACAAACGTCAACTTCTCATCCCCTTCTCTCACTCCCTGACCAGCTTCCTCCAACCACAAAGCCACCCATCCAAGTACACCCATGCGCCTGACCAGAGTTACAACACCCCGTAACGCCCGATGCTCATCCAACATAGGACCCTTCCCGTAGAGATTCTCCTTCTCAATATCCTCCTCACTCCACGTGCTCAGCAAAACTTTCCTCCTCTCGTTTTCCTTCTGCAGACTCCGATAGAGAAACCAGTACCCTACCGCTGAGCATGATACGCATCCCAGCGTCCACCAGAACGGTACTATGTACCCTGAAGCAGCGTACTTCGGATCGAAGATCAGGGCACTGAGAGTCCCGGCGAGGTTGCCCCAGCCATTGATGCCGAGCAGCACAGCTCGTTTACCTGGCGAAGGCGTGTTCCCGGATATCCAAGCCACAGTGAGCGGTGACGCGATGAACGTCCCTGAGAGGAGGACGTTCAGCGCGAGATAGCGAGGGATGACCCATGCATGCGAAGTGGGAAGGGAGACTACGAACACGAGTCCAAGGAGTAGAAAGGCGAGACCGAAGAGAATGGGCAGGATCCGCTTTCGATGTCGGTCGCTATAGCTGGCGAAGAAGTATAGAGTCACTGCTCCACAGATATATGGGGGAGCGGTTAGCAGATTGATCAACGCAGGGTTAGGTGTTTCGGTGAGTGGCGCCAGGACCAGAGGGAGGAAGACTTGGAAGGCGTAGACCGGGACCGCGGAGAGAATATTGCATGCGAGGATATGCCATATCCGAGGCGAGAACAGAGCCGATACAACGTCGTGGGGTGCGAGCCCTCGGTCGTCCGTGACACTTGAAGCTATCGTAGTCGTGCGTTTTGAACGGCTGAGCAATCCACGCGACTCCTCATCGCACTCGTGACCTTCCTCAGTCCCGTCTCTTAGGCTCTCCGTCGTCTCAGACTGGGCAGATCGATCTAGAATCACCCTTTGCGTTGCATACTCACGCTCGTCCGGGCTAAGGAACCAGGCCGTCCCTGCGCTATGAGGAAGCCAGAAGTATCCCACTACGGCCACAATAATCGTCAGAACTCCCTCCAGGAAGAAGAGAATCTGCCAGGACTTCCAACCGACGCTCGAAGCAGTGTGCACATCCTTTCCACCCTCAGCGAGATCATCCCGAAACCGAGAGAAAACAGCAAAGCTGATCAGCCCTCCTAACGCTCCCCCAACGGCAGCTTGTCCATAAAACAGACTGAGGCGACGTCCAAACTCGAACCGCGTGTAGAAGAGGCTAAGGTACGACACCGTAACAGGGTAAAATCCAGCTGCCAGAATCAGCCTTGATGGTACCGGCCAGACGAGGGGTCCAAGATGTACCTTCTAGACAGCCGATTGCGATACGCAGTCCGTACAGCTGCCACCTCGCACGCACCCAGACATGCAGAGCCGTTGCAATGCCCCAGAGCAGCATACACGACGGCACCCATGCCACCATGCCATATCTCCGACCCAGGGCCGCCCCGACGGGCTGCAGCGCAACAAAGAATGCGAAGAAGAGCGCAACCGCGGTATTCAAGTCGCTCGAGCGGAGACCAACGTCCCTGGTAAAATGCGCGGATTCCGCATTGCCAATCTTGTACACACCCGGTCAGCGGATATTCTGTGGGAAGGGGAAGCTCCGAGAGCGCCGTACATTGGACTTGTCTAGCGAGTTGAAGAGGAACAGCAGCGCCAGGAACGGGAGAAGCAAGCAGTCCAATTTCCAGAGCGTGCGTCTGTGGATCGCTGGGTCGTATTCACCGACGTCACCCTGCTGTTCGTCGGGAAGCATGGTGCTTGACCGGGTCGAAAGAGCGGCGCCGTCGGAGGACGACACGAGCTCGTACTGCAGCATCCCAAACGTTCAGATAGTGCCAAGCCGTCTACGTGTGGAAGTCACCCGTGAACATTTGAACATCCCGCGCCATGTGACGACCACGTTGGACTTCCATCTCTGTTGCTTCAACCGTCGTCGAAGGAGCAGTCAGCTCTCGCATGCTCCAGCCGGGATGTGCCGTGTTGATTCACGCTTCAACGGATCTATGGACCTCCATCAGCTTAGTCACAGGGCTGCGTATATTTTAGGTTCCTATAGCTAGAAACCGAGGTAGAAGTACCCTAGTATGTACAACTCTAGTATGTACAACTAACCTTGAAAGGTCATTTCCGAAGGTTTACGTATAGTACATTATCTATCCTAGGGTACATCTCGCCCAGACGGAGGTCTATCCCGCGTAAGCTAAAACAATATGGATATGTAAAGTGATGTCAGATGCCTCGGAAGCCAGGATCGTACGTGATCCAACAAACCCGTACCTGAATGTCACTCATATCATTAGAATAACAAACGTTGGGCCTGCAACACCCCACTACCGTAGGTAGCTCTGGCTACGCACCGACACACCTTGTACAACCGGAGAACACCGCCATCTTCTTACGCCCTATCTACTGCGAAACCGACCCCAACCGGACCTGGCATCAAGAAATCCCCGATTCGATTCACGTACCTGAGAACTCCGCTTCTTCGGATCGGTGCACACTCTTTACATAGTGGATCATAAGGACCTCTGTATTCCCAGGCGTAGTCTTGACCTTGGGTCTACCCGGGCGCTTGCGCCAAATTAGGAAGGACGAGTGAATGGTTGTTTAGCCCAGAATGCAGATCCGCCGTATTGGCTGGCCAATCAGATTCTCAGAAGGCACCATCACCAGCATGTTTGCATACACGCTTCGGGGACTTGGTATTCAACGACTTATTCGAAGCGCGGGGACATCCAAGCTGTCCGCGAATAGGACATGGACGAAGTGGCACGGGTGACGGGAATTGCTTGTCTCCCCCGACAAGGGGCATTCGTATATGGGGCGGTAAGCCCGAAGACGAGAAGGGAAGGACTTCGGATTTGGGCGTGTATAAATGGGAGGGAGTCTCACTGCTTAGTAGAGCGGCCAGGACAGTTGTACTACTCCTCGATCCCTCAGTGTCTCTTCGAAACAGTCCAGCAGGAACGAACAAATTTTCAATTCAGTTTGCCTTTCAGTTGCAGAACCAAACCCTTAATCATGAAGCTTTCCATCTTCACGGTTGCGGGACTTGCCTCCCTTGGTCTTGCTGCCCCTGCACAGCTGGACAGGCGAGAAACCGCAGTGGAAGCCACGGACCGCCTGCTCTTCAAAAGCAGCATGTCCACATTTATCGCCGCACGCAACGCTAAAAACCCCTCTTCTTTGGACTGGTCCTCCGACGGCTGCTCTTCTTCTCCTGATAACCCATTCGGCTTCGACTTTATCAACTCGTGCTACCGCCATGTAAGTTCCCGTCACCCCCAAAGAAGGCTTTTTCAATGCTGATGACCGAGCAGGACTTCGGCTACCGGAACTATAAGAAACAGAGCCGCTTTACCTCCGCAAACAAGGCGAAGATTGACAGCAATTTCAGGAGTGACATGTATGCTCAGTGCGAGAATGAAGGAAACGCTTTCGAGGTGGCAGCGTGCAAGGGAGTTGCCGATGTCTACTATAATGCTGTCAAGGAGTTCGGCACCAAGCGAGCCGCTGAGTTCGAGGCAAAGATGAGGAGAGATGCTGAGGTCGAGGAGATTGAGGGAGTCGAGGCGGGGGTAGTCGTTTAAGATGGAGGGCCAAAAATGTAAAGTATCATGATAATGAACGATATGATGCACCGATTCCATCCTGCGGATTCGGATAATCGCCATTCCAAGGAGTTTTGTGAAATGAGAGGAGTTGAATTGTCCGACGGAGTTATTCATCACACGGAACACTAAGGTCGTAACTTTAACTTGCTGATGTGTGTATATGACCAGACCTGAACGAGCGCCGGGTCAGTCGACTGCGCGAGTCCCGTCAGTCGGGGTTAGGAAAAGAAGGGGCAAACCTTCACCTTTTGATCTGTAGATGTTCAGCATGTCCACTCCTCACCTTACCGTTGAAAGGACGACGAATATATAGCATTGTTGCAATCCTGAGCAAGCCGAGCAACTGTACGCTGCAGAGTCAAATGTCGAGCTGCCGTGGAAGAAGTGAAATGAGCTGTAATGCCTCAAATTTCCCTCCTTTTCACTTTGCGTCGCTCCATTGCGCATAGGTTACAATTGCCAATCGCTCTCATTCATTGTCTATATCAGGTACGGCTATTTATACACGAGATTGCTCCTTCAGAGCTTGCTGATGAACAGGCGGGCAGCGAAAAGGCGGACCTTCTGGGGAAGAGTGTATTTCGACATGAAGTAGATAAGCGACGGGATGAGGATGAAGGCCATGGTCGTCTCGTTAACGAAGAAGAAGGGGATGAGCTGAGGCATGGCGGACCTTAGCATCTGCACCCAGTGTTAGCTACTGCCATTCCGTTTGGCCGATTGTGGGTATGGATACCATCGATTGGGGAGCGGCTTCGGTCTTCTGGGCCTTGCTCTGGGTGGAGGTAATGGCCGGGCGCGCAAGAACGGACGGGCGAGCCATGGTGGGCTGGCGGAAAGCCCTGGCGATAGGGCGGATGAACCGTGAGGAATTCATGGTGGGCACTGCGAAGAATGGAGAGTCAGCGTCGAGCGGTAGAGATGCCAATGGCAAGAAGATGACTTCATTCAAGCGATTGACGTACGTTCGGGAGATTGCAGGACCCAGAGAGATGAAGTTGGATGGGTTGGAATCGAGGTTTAGAGTCGTTGCAAAGTGGTCGGCAAAAGCTCGCGTCGGAAAGAGCCGCGCTCAATCACGTGACGTCTTGGAGATCTTCCATCCACCTGGGCATCCATGGATGGATGCCAGCACTTCTCAACTTTCATTTCCTCATCTCAGCCATCATGAAACCATATGATTTCATCAAAACTGACGATGCTCTCAAGCTATGCGAGATTCTCTATGCAGTTTTCAAAGCATTGTTAAGATGTCGTCAACTTACAGCCTCCAGAATATCCTAGCTTGCCATCCCACGCATCCCGTCAAAGCCTCCACTTTTTGCCCCCACGGCATAGACGAACCATGATCATGCTAATATAGGCGCATCAAAACCATCAGTCCGCGAGTAGACCCGTGATAGATGCGATACATCACGATATCTTAAGCTAACCTTCGACCCTCATGCCAACCACCAAAGCGGATTCCTCGTCACCCGAACTGATTTCACTCGAATGAGTGCAAGACATCTGCTTAAGGGGTTGCCCTACCCACGACTGGAAGATGGATGAGCTATCCGGCATTCTTTACCTTGATGTTTTCCCTGAGGCCAAAGACCAGTACTTGTTTCGCAGCGGTTTTCAGGATAATCTCTGCGATGATCGGTACCCGTCGCCAGTTTTCAACGCTATTTCATCGTCTTCCCTTGCCCTAGCTTTACTCTGTGTCCATCCGGGGGCCGTGACCCAGTTTTACAGTGGATACGGCTATCGGATACCATACAAAGGCTGAATATTTCTGTACTTGAACATGGAAAAGAGATATGTTAGTGGTGATCCATGGGGATACTCGTTGAATTCCATCCGGACCCATGACTTAGGCAGCCGCATGGATCAGGATATATTCTTCTCATCAGCCTTTGACGCTGGAGACTTAAAAGATTCATTCCACAAATGAGTTAGAGCGAAGATTCGCTGGGCAACCCCGCCAACACGGCGAACACCATCATGACGCTTTGGACATCGTCCACGGTCCTCGTTCGAATCTCCACGCGCATTTCTGAGCCCTGAAGGAAGAGTATCCTGGAACCGATTCGAACAATCACCCGGATTAATGGCTTACCGTTCTTTTTCGACGTCGACCATTACAGTTTGACGTGTCTACACCTGTGGAAGTTGCGAAGAGTATCATAGTCAGGTGTCACGAGTGACATACCGCATAACTCTATGACTTCTCTGCCGTCCAGAGAGGCATCCATTGTAGAGACTCTTAGGCTTACTCCTGCAAGCCGTTCTTACCCAAAGAGGCGTTTTATCAAGGAACTGCTTCGACCGTCGCCAATGGGTTCAGTATAGATGGGAGCGCTAACTGTAGTGTAGGATACGTGGGAGATCATACAACCGCTATGAAGGCTTTAGTCCATTTTCCAGCTAGCTCGCCTGTGTAACACTAGCGGACTCAGTCAATGCTGAAGATTGCCCTACTGTTAAAAGAATCTGACTTCGGGATTCGGGATGGTCCATTCTTCGATGACTCTGAGGTCGCCTCTCATGTGTTATTTGGAATTGAAAACCCTATTGGGCTTATCGCCGCCACCATGCAAAGGCCGACTCAATCTCTACGATCTTGGACATTACGGGACCATAGCTGCATGTCCATGATGACCCCAAGGTTCCATTTGGGCAAACCTCATCATTAAAGCACCTCGACGATATGTTGTACGACATGGGCAATCCCCCAGACACAGTACCAGATACCGGAATATGGAACCGTCTTGTGCAAAGGAGGATTAATGTTGTTGAAGTCAAGCCCGATGCGCGCAGACAATGCAATCTACCACGAATCACCTTGCCCTTCGTGTCCCCAAGAACGACCGTACCCATGGAATCGCCGACCTTCACGCAGAAGCTGACATACAAAGGCGTTATGCTGCAATGCGCACCCTTCGCTCAACGCGGTTGACCCGGTAATTATCAACCTCCGCCCTTTGACACCGTCTATCAGCGTAGAGATCGGGTCGGTGTTGCACCTCGCCGAACAATCTTCATGCACTCAAGGGACAATACACGGTTTTCACACAATCCCGGGGGAAGACACTTGTCGCCACACCCGCAACATCTTCCGTCTCGTGCAGCCCGCGAGTCATATCGAAGAACACCTGAAGCGAACGTGCAAACCTGTATAGCCAGCGAGGAGCGGGAAAGGCTCGAACCACGGAGGGTGAGATGCAGATCCGGCGCCTCTTCCGCCGCCCAGCGGTAGTGGCTGTTCCACATCGCAATACTGAGACTGGAGCTACCCAACCGCCATAAGAGCCACCTCGAACTATTCGGCCAGTTCTGGTTTGCGCTCGAGGGATATCAGGCCCATGTGAGAGCGATCTTGTTGAAAGCTGTGTGGATTCGGTTCCTACTTCGCCCGTTCGGAGCACATGGGCAGCATATCCTTCAAAGGCATCTATGAGACACGCCACATGCCTACCTCTCGGGACCACACCACACCACAACTCCCATCGTGAAAACCAAATCCCCGGGTCCAACGCCTCAGCCTTAAAGCGGCAAGCGTCAAGACAAGCTTGATCTGCGCCATGGACAGGGGCGGGTTTCAAGGTTGAAAGAGGGTATGAGATGTTACGATGGCTGTTTGGTCTGGTCCTCATCCTACCCTTCAATGTGACTGGTATGGTGGAATATTGTGCACAGCACTTTCTCTTCCGGGGCTTTTCTGGTGTCTCCTCTCTGCGTAATTGCAACACAACAGTCAGACAGGAATGCATCTAGCTCCTTTGCGACTTCACCGCTTTTCTAGGGCATCTCCCACCCATCTCCCCTGCCGAGAAGAAAGCCGGAGATGAGAACGTCCTTCAGCCTTTCGGCAGCTGCTGCGGTATCCCGCCTGGGGTTTGCCCGGGCAGCTATCTATAGTGTAGGAGCTGTTGTGCCACCGTCCGTACAGTGAAGGATCTGTATCACGGCTCGCGCATGTAACGGTGAGCCCTGGATTACTTGTTGGATTCTGATATTCAACTGTTTTCTGAGGGGTTGAAAAAAATCAAATCTATCTACGATGCGGCTCGGGTAAGGGATTGGGAAGCAGTGCTTTATGAACTCTGGCCCAAATGCGCGGTGGGAAATCGGACATCCAATCATACCTCATGAAAAGCATGCAAAATGGAGGGAAGGGAAGAAAGCGCTGAACAGTAAAAGTCTCGATACCTCTTGATCTTTCCTCGATGAACCTTCCCGCGTGAATGAAACGCATCGCCACCATGAGAGGGAGCAAAGATCCACTCTCCTAATCTTGCCTTGCACAAAAAGGTGTATGGAAGAAGGGGAGATGTAAAAGAACGAAATCTCAACAAAAGACCAAGCGGTATAGCGGGAACGAGCCTTACCCTCGAAATGCAACACTGATGTAACCCGGAGAGTCCGTCTAGCCATCAACGCCGGATGACCCCCTGAACAAAGCCCACAATTAAATGTTGTCTTCGAGGGAAAGATAGAAAATCAGTGCATCAGTTCCGCCACTCAAACTGCATGCGTACATCTCAGAGGCATGCGTACATCTCAGAGAATCGCGAACCTTTTTACGGCACGCAAGTCCCGCAGCCTTATACATTGCGGTGCCACAGACGTCGGCCACGCATATCAGATCAGATCATGCTTGCCAGACTGTTAAATGCGGACGTCGGCTTCACGCCCACCAACTCCGGCTCCGAGACCAGCAGCGGCGGATTCGAGGAGGAAGAATTCGAATTCCCCGAAGACGAAGCAAATGTCGACATTGGCTGCAAGGGAGAACTGAACATGCCGACCACTACAGGCTTGTCCTCGGATTGGGCCGTCGTCGTCGCCGTGGAGGACGTCGATGCTTGCTGCATTGCTGGAGACGGCGATGCAATCGGGAATGAGGCCGTAGGCTGTGAGGGGGTCGGAAGCGAAGTCGGCATGCCGACATATTGCTGATGCGGCTGCGATGACTGTGGGGGTTGAGGTGCTATGGCAGCGGTGCTCAAAGTCGGTGTGGCTGTCGGCGTTGACTGGGAATGCGATGAGTAGGTTGCGGGAAGTGATTGGTCATGGAACTGTTGTTGTGAAACGTCGCGTTTGATTGGATAAGGGGAGGACGTCGTGCCGGTTGATGCGGACGAGGCGGCTCGAGCACGAACGGCCGTCGTTTCACGGCGTCTTTTAGGGCCGTCTTTGACTTTTGGGTGCGTGTGGCACTGGGGTGTGGAGAGTTAGTCAGGTTCTGAGGAGGAGAGAAGAAGGGATGACCCTCGCGGAGGACCACCCATGCATGAGGAAAACGGAACGAACCTTGTATGCATGTCTGAACCACGTCGTTCCTTTCTTCTTGCTACTGACCAGCGCAATCCATTCACCGCAACTTCCGCAGAGGCCCTCCCATACGTCCAGGTTGCCTTCGGTGCGACGCGTTTCTTGCGGTCCCTGGAATGCCGCTCCAGTTGCGGCGCTGACGCCATGCGTGAAGGACTTGTCATACCAGAAAGCGCTGTTTTTGAGAACCAGCCAGCGGCCCGGTTTGCATAATCCGCACCATCCTTCGCGCTTGTTGCCGTGGCCGCGCACCCAGCGCGGGGTGTACAGGTCTCCGCCGAAACGAAGGTCTTGCTCGTGAGGGACCAGGTCGGGATCGGAAGGGTTCATGTCGGATTCGGGCGGGTTGGAGGGCTCCTCGTGCAATGAGGAGTAGAGATCGGGTGGGTCGGAGAGGTCGGCAAAGTGGGAAGCACAACCTCCATGCCGATCCACATTGCTGTGGAGGAGGCGGAAGTAACTCTGTTGCGAAGGCACGGGTCGCGGAACTTCGAGATGGGGATGAAATGGTTGATCTGGAGAGGCGAAAATAGCGGGATTGCTGGACTGTAATGGATGGGGCTGCGTATACAGGACATTCTGGCCGTGCAGTCCGAAGTTGTTGAAGGCATTGGTTGGATATGCTGGCATCGAATGGTGGGGATTTGTACGAGGCGGGTACGGGGCAAACCGGTCTTGAACTTGGGAAAGAGGTCGCGCGGAAGGGGTTGATGTCGGCGCATGTCCCGTTGACCATCTCTTGAACCGGCTGGTCTCCAGTGTATACGGCGACGACCGCACGTTGTTGTGTGGCGCTGGCGAAGCGCGGGAGCGACTGCCACTACGCACTACATGCTCATGCTGAAGTCGACGTGGCGACGCAAGCGGCGACAACAGATTCGAGTTTGCCTCTACACTGCTCCATGGCTCATAGTCGGATCCGTACGAGATGGCTTCGGATGAACCTAACTCTTCAAATGTCGATACCTCGGGAAGGGCGCCGCCTGTGCTTGACATTGAGAATGAAGACTCGGAGAGGCGTCGTGTTGAGGAGGGGTTGAAGTTCGCAATATTTTCTGTCTCTTGACGTTCCGTGCCACTTTGGTAGTGAGGAAGATGAATGATGGGGGTATTCTCGTCGTGACCTAACAATCCTTGGTTGAAGTCGGCCATATCAGGATCCAGCGACGTGAAGTTCTCAAATTCTTCGCAGACCTTCTGGCCCCAAGGACCTGTGAGTGTTAGATATAAGCAAGACATGGACACTAGAAACATACTTGTATCGATAACGCCGGGAAAGTAATCAGTAGTTGGCAAGCTCTCACTCACTCCCACATCGCTGCGAAAAGCGGCGTTACTTAATGCTGGCGAGTGGTTGTTCGACACGGTGATATTTGGCCTTGCGCCCAACTGCTCGTAGTCTTCTCTGCTATTTGAGGCAGGAAATTTCTGCAGATGAGGGTACGGGTTGTGGGTCTGTGGGACAGTCCATGTTGAATACGGAGGGGAAAGTTTGGGGTGAGGGTGAATGACTTGTGAATGATGCTGCTGCTGCTGCACTGGGATGCTCCCGTAAGGGTACAGCATTTGCACTGCCTGTCTCGACGACGGCCGAGTGTTGGTGAAAGGTCTATTAGGTGCTGGGCGATATCTTTATGTGGTGTCAGCTTCCATTCATCGCTGATTGTACTGCTCACATCTGGCGGGGCTTACTGCTGAATCGCATTAAATTCCATCTTAGCCTCGCCCTCAGAAGAATACGGCTCTAGTGGTGTCCCCGTGTCCACTGTTGGCACAGCTGTTAGCTAACCAAACAGGAAGCTCCTCTCAATACCCACAGCCCAGATCGCGTCCGGGTGTGTCTGGCTTCGGCTCACTTGTGGGGGAAGCTGCAGTGTTACGCAAGGGAGGCCTAGAGACACTGAGAACATACATATGTTTGGAGTGAAAAGAGTGACGTCGGGTCAAAGGAGTGTGGTTAGTCGATAGCGCAGTGCGACTCGAGCTATATCTGCAACGACAAAAGGAAGCTGCTGGTCGTAAATATCAAAAGAGTGTACGGAGAACAAACGTTCCCTTCGCTGCCAGCGCGGAATGGAGCCCGCTCCGATGGGTTAAAAGAATGAATGGTACTGGGGACTGGGGTTTCAATGAGTGACAGAGGCCAAAGTAGAAAGAAGGACAAATGGAGGGGCCGCACCACTATATGAGAGAGGCACGGATTTGGAGGTTTCCGAGCAGTGACGATGGGAGAGGACCACATGTGGGAATGTTGACGCAAAGGAACGACCCGCACTTGGTTTGAGGGAAGCGTCTGGAGGGGCCTTGGCTGCAGAGATCTGGAACGGCGAGAGCTTGGGGCAGAGGCGTTCACCCAAAGGAGTCTTTGACGGGGATGGTGTGGAGGGAAGGGTGGAGCTTCGCCCTGTATTGCGGCGGCAGAGCGCCGTGAATGGAGACTAGACGCTGCCGGCGGACTCGGAAGCCCATGTCAACGCCGCACCCTCTGCCCTCTGGCATTGCCCTTGCGGCTGAGGCAGCTCTGTCCCGTTGGTAATGAGAGTCCATCACCCAATCGACAAACGACAATCAAGGGCAGAGAAGGTTCCCAAGGACGCGAGGCGAAGCATGTTCGCAACGCGAAACCCTCGAGGGTAGCGGTTTCAGGCCTGTCCTGGCTTCGATCATCTCAATCCAGATGGATGGAGCGGACAGGCGCGGCCGAGGGGCAGAACGGACGACAGAAAAGAGAGAATGTCAAATGGTCGGTCACATCCGTGACGATGCTGGTGTCAGAGTCTGAAACGTGACCTGAAACGCGGCCAGGGGGCTGATGAAGAAGAAGTTCGCTAGCGTGGACGACGCGCCTTCTCACCATCAGCACAACCATCACCAAAAAGCATCAGCGCGAGGACAGTGGAACATCTTCCTTGCCGGCCTGCTTCCGAACATCCCGCGCGACTGTTCCACGTCCTTGCTGTTACGAACTGCGCTCGCACGCGCCCACCTTGGGTGGCTCGCGAACGAGCACGTATATAGGGACCTGCACACTCTTTAGCGTGCGCCTCCGCGGGGTGCTGGGAGATGGGAATGCCAGAGCGTCCGTGAGCGAGTCTGTGTTGTGCGTCTCTGGGGTGCATTCCCAATGTTTGTCCTGCATTCAAGGGTTTCTTCCTTCAGAACCTCGTGAAAACACATCCCCGACACTGCCATATTACCCGCTGTGGGTTGTCGCTGTTGCCTAGCTGTACCGTCAGCACATCCCTAAAGGTTAGTTATTTGTCACTACAGTATTGCGCAAAGTCCCAGAACCCCGCCAGTTCTGGGGAAAACATAGCTCTCGGCGACCATCCCTCGATCATGCGGTCCGCGGCACCGCACCAACACCATGACGACCAAGGACGAGACGAGATTGTTCAGTCCGTGTGGTTTGCGGTTCAGCCAGCATCATGCCACATGCCCATGGCTAGAGCGTTTTTCTCAGTCAGTGTGCATGATACGGTGTGACACACGAAGAGGATGTGCAGATGAGGTGCAGAATGTACGCCATACCCGAGCATGCGCTGCTTTTCTGATGCCCATCTTCTATGCAGATGATAGTCCTTCTCGCTCTCACGATGTTTGGAGTAAAAAATGCATGCGACCACCAGTAATCTCAGGACCCCCAAGAGGAATGCGTCAACTCGACACAAGCTTCCGTTGTATATATCGCTATTATAACCATCACTTTCCTACTCCAGCCTATCAGTTCCAAGGAATAAACACTGGCCAACATAGTCAGACTTCTAGAAGAGGATTGGAACAAGCGGGGTCCCCTATTCTTTTTCTTCCTCTCCCTTGCTTCCCAACACAGCACATACCATGACTTACCCATCAGTTGACAGCAACCCCTTAGTTGCCACGCTAGCTGACCGCCTGCCTAGCCAAGTATAGCTTTAGCGTTTTTCTGCCAATTTCGTCGTGAATGTTTACTCTCCTCTACACTACGAAATTATTATATATAATTACTGTCTAAGAGATTGTCTGCAGGTAAGCGTAAGCCTTGCACGCAGGCTGCTTTTTTCGCGCTTTTATTAGGCAATGGCGGGGATGCAAATTTGTATGGGCGGGTGTTTGGTGTTCCAGTGGCAACTAAGGGGTCGCTGTCAACTAATGGGTAAGTCATGATAGATACCTTACCTCCAAGAACCTGGCCGCCCTTTCATGAAAACGCGAAGGGCAATAGCCGTTAGTCTACCCCACGCTTGTGCTCACGTTCTGGCCTCTCCATGTGCTTTGTAGCACAGTACCCGGCCCACCTAGCTGCAAACTGCCCCCAATATAGCAACGGTGGAACTCAAAAGATATCCTTCAGTATTGTCGCGGCGCGTGTCTCGCGGCCTCTTCACACCACCACACTAAAGGAGGACCGATATAGCTGAGTCTCAAGTGACGGCGGTCCCCATTGGATCTCGAGATATCGAGATCAGATGAGATTCGATAAAGACTGTGACACCTCCTTGATCATCTATACATTGCAGCTACAGCAAGTTTGCCTTCATCTGAAGGGCAGACAAAGATAGCAAACACGCTCCAGCGGGTAGGCGAGCTCCGCTATTGCTGTCCCGGGGGAGACCAGTTGCACAACATCTCCCTCTCCGTTCTCCGTTAAGCGTGGGCGGCAGCCACACGGCAAAACATCGTTACACAAGGTGGTTCAGCTGCTATCAGTTCACCGGGGAAGGCACATATTCTAGTGGAGATTATTGTATGGATGTACTGGAGTAAGGAGAACTTCAGACGTGGGAAAGACTTCATGAACCTGACGTGAAGAAGTGGGACTAGATAAGGCACAGGTGATCCAAATTTTGTGCGGACGGAAGAGTGCGGCCAAACATACCCTGCCTTGCACAGCGGTGCCCAAAGCGGCGTGTCCAGGGATCAAGGGTTTGTTGCGCAATGCCTGGGTAACGCGTGTTCAAGTGCCCTGTGACCTTCATGAGCTCTGAAGGAACGCGCCGGGTTAGAGGACTGCGTCATTGGAAGCGAGCACGGATCCATATCGCGTCAAGGACATTGTGGGGGGGTGGAGGCTCATGGTTTCGACAGATCTCATCATCGAGGTTCGAGAAACAGACTGATATTGTGTTGCGAGAAACGTATTTCTGCATATGAAGCCAACAAAAGGAATGGAGACCCATAGGTCTGTCAGGATTGAAAACCATCGTACATAGGTGAACGCCATACAATATTATACATGTCCCATGACACCCTATGAACCATGAGCATAGCTGCAAGCGGCAACCTCCGATTCACAGCCTTCCAACTTTGACTTGACATGCTCCGCTGATGGTAGTAAAGGTCAATTCGCTAGTCCCTTTGCCCTTCTTCGCTTCTACATGATTTTTGCCGGGTTCTGCGAGCTCATTGAGGAGCTCCAAATCCTTGCCTTGGAGGTGCAGCGCTCCGCTAAGCGCACTGCCGTCAAGGTGGCCTTCCCACTCTTGGGGATATGTCAAGTCTATTGCGCCCGATATGGTCTTGTGGTTGCTGACGAGCCTGTTCAGGCCGCGTGGTTGATCGCCATGAGGAGACTGTATCTTGACCTTGGTCTCCCCAGATCGCGAGTCTGTTTCGATCGTAGTCTCGTCGTCTCCTGGACTGAAAGGAAGGATATCTGCTGTGATGCTGCCGGCTACCGATTGAAATAATGTTCTCGAACCGTGGACAAAAGTCCCATCAATCGATCCCACTTTGGTACTGAGAGACAACTGGTAGTCCCGTGCTGGTATGCGCTCCCGTTTAAAATCGGCCCTGATGCTCCCGGACAACGATTGTGCTTGGAAGACTGCAGGTGCCCCCTCCGTTCCACCCTCCATCGGTTCAACATTGATGTTGACAGAGCCACTGATTGTGCTGATCCAGATCAAATCGAAGAGTGCGTACTTGCCGCTGATCGAACCAGATATAGTCTCCAGCTTGGTCTCCCTGGAGATGAGCGAAGATGCATCCAATGTACCAGTGGTGAGGGATATGGAAGTCGTATTGGTTACTGAGAGACCGACCCCATGGTGAACTTGCATGCCAAGATGCGTAGCATGAACATGGAAGTTTTCCAGCCTCGAACCTGGTGCGACGTATAGCACTACCGACAGCCCAAGGCAAGCCGTCCGGCGCTGAGTACTATCCACTTGCTTTGATGTGGAGAAATCTCCGATTCTCAGGCGAGTCGCAGAGAATTCGGACTTGATGCTCTCTATGTTGACGGATTTGGAGGCGGCGTAAGATATTTTGGCCCGAATCGTGCCGAGTGCCTGGTCGGCAGGTGCTTGGGCTACATGTACCCAGCCAGCTAATGTCCTGAAGGGTCCTCCCGCTGGTTGCAGAAATTCTTCAATTAGTAGATCTCCAGGCGATCCAAAGTCGAATTCTTCACTCTTCATGTTGTATTGCTTCCCGCAACGACTTGACCAACGAATTGGGAAGTCTTTCGGACTCTGTGATTGCGAACCTGCGGCTTGTTGGGCAGGTATGCCGTTTACGGATTGGTTCTGTGAGAGTCAGTCTCAATCCCGCTATTTCCAACTTATGCATTCAATCACACCTGTTGCTTTGGATTTGCACGAGTTACTACTGTTATTATAGCAGCAAACAAAATGATCATGAAGAGAGCGGCCAACCACTTTAGTATCCGAGCTCTTGAACAATGTTCCCGCAAGCCTCGCCCTCGGTAGGTCGGCCCGTTGTACACGCCGTCGATAGGATCAATAAGTGGAGGAACTGGCGTTCGCACGTCATTGTAAGAAAGCAATCTCGCAGCTTCATCTCGACTTGGTCTGGGGTGCCAATTTATTGGCGTGGTGGCCTCGAGGTATGAGGGCGGTGGGTCCTGGCCGACAAACGAGGTCAGAAGAGGTGAATCCTCTAAAGTGACTGGGTCTCCAGTCGAGGGCGACTTCTCCACACGCAGGATAAAGCCTCTATTGGCAGCTTCCGTATCGATGTACATGGCGTTAAAGGGATTGATAGAACCATGAGAGAGAAACGTCGAAAGAATGCGATCATGAGCAGATAAGCCTTTGTAGCTGCTTGGCCGTCCCGGGTTACACCTGCCTGTCTGTCTCCTGCTCCCAGCTATGATGCCGTAGTTGTTTCGGAGTTGGAAACATCGCCTGTTTTATCGCAATCACCTGGAAACAACGGCAAGTTGCCATGTCGTTGCATTTTTCGCGCGCAAAGGTTCTTCGATGGGGTAGAATCAGCGCATCTCTGAATATAATTCCCATCGCGAGCTGTATTCATTTGATTCGGCCCTCTTTGAATGCCATATACGTGGACATGAGTGTTTTCACCTGGAGTTCCGAGGTTCGACATGTAAGATGCTGAGACAGGACGTTGTCAGACGATCCTGGCGCTAGACTATCTCGGTAAGGCGTAGATAAACCCCTATCCCAGCCCTATTCGACTTTCGATGTGATCGACAATTCATGTTCGTCGCGTCTGGGCACTCTGAGAAATCTATGATCGCGAGTTTGAAGTCTAGTCTATGCACTACTTCAGTAGCCCACACATGCATTGACAGTCCGGTACCGGACACATCGCGTGCCTCGCAAACCAGTCCCGGGCATGATGACCATGGAAACCGTGTGTGCAGTTCATACAGAAAACCATCAACCGGGCTTCGAGATCCTCCTCTTTGAGTGCCTGGGCTGCGCCGACCTTGCTTGGATCAGGAGAACCGAGCCACATCATACATATGCCGCAACGAGGCATCTGAGCGCCGCAGTTGGGACATGCCAGAGCCGGCGATGATGCTGCCCCTTTGGCTGGATGAGGCTTTTGTTGCGGCCCGGGACGGTGAGGTCGGCTTCGATCGCCAACGGGAGTCAAATATTGCCGTGAAGTCTTTTGATCCTTCCGTAGGGCCAGGTTCTGTTGGCAATTGTGGCAGCGGATTGCCAAACTCGGCGAGGTCGGCTTGTTGACGCTTCGTCCCTCCCGGGAAACGCATCGCAGATTGTGCTCTTTGATATAGTGAGTCCGCTCGAGAAACGTGCGCCACACTTGCATCTGGTTCAGATACATATCCCTCCAAAGGGACCAGCGAGGATCCTGAATGTAAAGCGGGCAAGCTCGCGACAGGATAAGAACAGCACTCTGCAAGTCGCCATACTTGGCGATATAATGTTCGAAGAGGTCCATTGCCCTATTCGTGAAGCCGGTCAGTAAAAGACCCTCAATGTCGCCATATGCGATTGTCTCCGTGGTGACCATATGGAGGAAGTGTGACAGACGCTCGTCCTTGAGGTATTTAAGTGCCACCCCTACTCGATCAGACAGCGCCAACTGTGGCATATCAACAACAGTTCCCCAGTCTCCCGAAATGAAGTAGGCAAGGAGCGCCTTCAAGTAGGCGTCGTTCGTCATCTCTGCCATCCAAGAGCACAGATGGCGCTGATCTTCATTCACATAATCGCAGGCGATAACAGCGCCCAGGCCAACGTTATGTATCTTGCCCTGTTGAATGGTCTCCTTCAGGAGATCCAACGCGACTTCTTTATATCCTTGGAAGACCGCAAGGACAATCGCCTTGTAATACTGCCCTTCGTTGATGAGCACCGAACATCGTTCGCGAAGACCTTTCTTGGAGAGATGCCAACCGCAGAGGGAAAGACATAGTTGGCGGTTCTCGGGGAATGCAGTAGAGGTGCCGGAAAACGGAGGGAACTCCTTGTTCTCGCATATCTCCTTCACAGCCTCCACAAAGATGGCTTCCGACGTCTTGGCGTCCGGATCGATTAAGCGTTGGTCATACATCTCCAACTTGTTGGACCATATGGCGGAAACACCAAGGTACTTTAGGTCAAGCCCTCCGCCAACCATACCATCACCCCAGGCATGAGCGTCCATTCTTTCCACGAGGTTCCACGCGTCGACCAGCCATCGATCGTTAGCAACTATTTCCTTGTTCCTGCGACAGTCTAGGTTGTAACCTTCCTTGCATCGTCTCTTTTGAGTTTGAAGGACTTTGAGGTAGTCAGGAAGAGGTATTCTCACTTCAGGATATCCTAACGTGAGAAGTTTCTCATGCATCTGGTAACTCGATAGTGTTGCAGATTCTAATGGAATACTCCGATGTGGATGGTCAATGGTTAGTCTGTCCAAGCGGCTTTGTAGGCTGTCTCTCGCGTCAAAGCCATTATCGTATCGGTTCTTCAGGTGGTCGTTTTCCAGATCAGTAAGGTCGTCTGCAATTGTGCCTTCGCTGAGGCTTGGCCTTGCAATGACAGTCTTGTCCCTGAATATTTCCTCGAGGGCGCTCACGTTAATTTTCGGTGCCGGAGTAGGAACCTTCAATATCTCAACCTCTCTGCCCGGATGCAAAGTCAGAGCGCATGGTCCATTGACGGGGCTGCCGGCAGTCATGAAGTCATAAGCTACAACGCGGTTGTCGTCCCCGTGATACCCGTCGTCATAGCTAGGGTACCGCAAAATGTGGGACACTTTGGTGTAATGCTGTGAAGACCACAGCCTAGGATGTGGACCATGTTTGGAAGGTTGATGAGGATCCAGCCGATGCGAATGCTGAGTGTGCTCTATCAGCTTGAACTCCCCTGTATTGGCCAGAACGCCAAAAGCTCCCTTCTTCGTGCCGCTGTACCGTAGGCTCCAAATAGTTGCGGAACGGCTGTTATCGACAACAGGTCGGAACTCAAGCACCGCTTCGGCGGTAGAAGGATCAGTCGTGGTTCTCGGTTTGACGAATCGCTGATCCCATACAGTAACAGTAGGATCACCTGCGGTTCCCGCAGATACGAAGTAGTTCTCATCCAAAGGATCAATAGCAATGTTGTGCACCTGACGAGTAGGGAATTGTGCAACACCCGATGCACCGGAATCTGAGCGGTTATAAGAGACAAGAATCACACGCGGAAGCTTCACGCTCACCTCGAAGATCATATATACGAATGCACTGCCGTGCTACGCCCGCAACCAGGGTGTCTGGCTGGCTGGAGAAGAACTTTATGCTGGAAATGGCCTCAGAGCTCGCCAATTTCTTATACGGCTCCGAAGTTGATGAAAGATTGGTAGCATTAAGATCGTAGATGTTGAGACAGACATCATTTCGAACTCGGTCCAGGCCCGTGGCGAGAAAGTTCTTGGAGCTGAAAGCTATCGAATTGCACTTGCGCTGATGCTTGATTGGAAATGAGTGCATGTAGTCGGCATTTGGGTGATCAGCATCCACTCGGACAATGACAGCTTCACCCGAAGCAGAACCAATTGCCACAGTGTGTTCATCTTTTTTTGACCAGTCGAAGGCGGTGTAATTTGGGAGCTTGTCACGAACGCACAGTTGACTGTACCTCACCTTATTGTCCTCGATACCGTCGATCTGGCAGAGCCGAAGCCGGTTCGCAGCCACATCGATGATCAAGAACCTTGGGGCGTACTGTGTTGAATGAGGTGACCATCTGATGGCAGCGTCCATTCTGAAAGCTCCGGTACCAGTAGCGCTGGGGATGGGACGTGTCTTCGTGTTATGAGAGTCTGCGGAGAGATGAGCAGAACAGTAATTGTGTCTCCATGGCGAAGTAGGAGTTTAATGGGATAGGACACTCATTGCAGACGTTTAAAGACGAGTCATGCCCGACTTGACTATAAGCAACCCGCCGTCGATTAAGAAGGGTGAGATCGAACCAAAGGAAACCCTGGGAAGGCATGACTTGGCGCCAAGATATATCTGGAAGCGGTGCAGTACGGCAGAATTTCTACTCCACCAAAACTTCCGTCGCATAGTTTACGACCATCAACTTGATAGCAACACTGCGCCCAGTATGTCGCAGAAACGGAAACTTGCTGACACCGCCGACGCAGATAATCATGCACGAGGCCCATCCAAGAAAAAACCGTTCAGGCCCGGCAAAGGACATCGCAAGCACAAACGGCAAGACCTAGACCAAGGAGAGGGAAAGGGTCCCTCTATAAGCGAGTTGAAAAGTCGCATACGGGATCTACGGCGTCTGTTAGACCATGTGGAAAGCGACCCAAAGGCCAGGATGCCTGCAAACGTACGGATTGAGCGGGAAAGGGAGCTGGAGGCTTGTCAGCATGAGCTAGAGGAAAAGACCGCAGCGGCGCAAGACGCAGAACGGAGAAGACACATGATCAGCAAGTATCATCACATTAGATTTTTCGGTGAGTCTGCTAGGTTTTGTTTTGTCAAGCTCATTGCGTCTAACGGAAAACCCCAAGATCGCCAGAAAGCCACCAGAATCCTCAAACGACTGCGACGTCAGTTAGCGACAGAGACAGATGCGACCGAAGGGGCAGATGAAACACCAGAAAGGCGCAAGCTGCTGCGGGAGATCCACGACGCCGAAGTCGCAGTCAATTATGCCATCTACTATCCTCTCATGAAACGGTACATTGCCTTGTATCCGAAGAGCAAGCGGGAAATGAAGAACACTGACGGGGAATCAAACACGCAAGAGGGAAATTCTGAGAACACTGCCAAGGGAGATCCAGAGATGTGGGCGGCTGTAGAACGAGCAATGGAGGAGGGCACGCTTGACAAGCTTCGCAACAGCGACGATGGTAGTGCCGGTCGGCGGCCGCTGCCGAAGACAAAATCGCACGGAACAACCAAAAAGAGTGCCAGAGAGAACGCAAAGAAGACGGCGCAGCCCAAGCAGCCACAGATAGGGGAACAAGAGGACGATGACAGTGACGGCGGTTTCTTTGAATGAGCGATTCTCCGTTGGCGATACCCGACGCGCATGTTTTCAACGACCGATACGCCTATAATGCATATATTGCGTTTATACCGTTGCATTTGCATTCATCGATCCGCCTTGGGAACCTAGCCTCACCTGGAGAGCGATCTCCATCGAAGTTGAGTCTGCACCCGGCGCACAAATTCCGCCATGATCTGGTGTACGATCGGCGTTCAACTTGTCCCAAGTGTCGAATACATGTCTACCGAAATTCACGTTTGGGCGCAGCTAACTGCACGGATCTTCACTGATCACACCAGCAGCCCTAAGGCAGAAAAGTCGCATCACGGATTCAACAAGCTTCCCCTTTTGTCGCCGGACGAGAGTTCTCCCTGATTACTTACGCTTGCGCACTGCGTTCCATGCCGCGCAATGCACAGAGCCTGCGCCGCTTCCCTGCTCAGTAACCCTCTTCTCCCACCTTCCTTCGTCGGCTCCGTCATGTGCACCCCCAGCAATGGTGGTTGGATGACCACAGTCACACCTCACACTGTGTGAGATTCTGGTGGTAGCTATTGACTGTCCAGCAGAGACAACCCTTTACCCGTACGGGTAATCCGATGTCGACTTAATATGCAATGCCAATGTATGGCAGTCCCTAGGGGCGATAGGGTAAGAGGCACCGGCTCTTCGGATCCGTATATAGGTACCCAGCTACCCTCGAGTAGACTTCAAATGGACATACCTAATCACATATTCAAACCTATTTTTCCATGGAATGAACCCGACTGAGCCCTGTAATTGAGCAGAATCCCCGGCCGATGTCCTATGAGCCGTTAACCTAGATCAACCTGGTGAACGCAAAAAAGAGCTTCAGCAGTCATTCATCTTTAACTTACAGCGCAATGTTTAAACGCAATATCGTTATCTCTGTCCTCGTACTTTCGGCTGCTCCTGGTTATCCGTATCAAAACGATGCAAACCTCCAATACAAACGCCCTTCCGAGCCATTACCCGACGATCCAGAGAGGGCGTCAAAGGTGATTGATGCTTTCAAACTGTCATGGGAGGGATACTACAAGTACGCATTTCCCAACGACGAGCTCCACCCCGTGTCCAATTCGTCCAGCAACTCGAGGTAGGTATGTTTCCGCGTGTGCAGTTCGGAGAGTTAATAGTAGTCCAGAAATGCATGGGGGGCCAGTGCCGTCGACGCACTGAGTACAGCACTCATTATGAACGACTCTGTGATTGCAAACCAGATCCTAGCATACATACCGACGATTGACTTCACCAAAACGGAAACCCCGGTTAGTCTTTTCGAGACTACGATCCGGTACTTGGGCGGTATGCTCTCGGCCTATGATCTCCTCACAGGTCCGGTAGCATATATTCCAGCCAAGGTATCTACTCCGCAATGTCATGACTATCCACTTATTCGCTACAGAAACTAACACCTCCTCAGAAAGAGTATGTTACCGCTCTCATCACCCAATCCACCTCCCTCGGCAACGCCCTCTCCTATGCCTTCGACACCCCCTCCGGCGTCCCTTACAATACCCTCTTCTTCGCCAACCGCACCGTCGAAGACTCCCCCAACGGCCTCGCCACAGTCGGTACCCTCATCCTCGAATGGACCCGCCTAGCAGACCTCACCGGCATCAAGACCTACGCCGCCCTCGCCAACCGCGCAGAGACCTACCTCCTAAACCCGCACCCTGCGTCCTCCTCCCCTTTCCCGGGCCTCCTAGGCCGCAACATCAACGTCACGACCGGTGAGTTCCTCGACGCCGTAGGCGGCTGGACAGGCGGCTCGGACTCCTACTACGAATATCTCCTGAAGATGTACATATACGACCCCGATCGCTTCTCCCTCCTTCGTGATCGCTACATCCTCGCTGCGGACTCCACAATCGCTCACTTATCCTCGCATCCTGCCTCTCGTCCCGAGCTTACCTTCCTGGCTCAATATGACGGCACCCACTTGACCCTGAAGAGCGAGCATCTCGCCGGCTTCGCAGGCGGCAATTTCATCCTAGCGGGCCAGGTCCTCGGACGCACCGACTACGTGAAATACGGCCTCGCGCTCGTAGATGCCTGGCACGAGACCTACAACCGGACGTTGACTGGTATAGGACCAGAGGAATTCGGCTGGGACGCCAATCAGGTTCCCGAAGACCAGGTCGATTTCTTTAACAGATCGGGGTTCTATATCACGAATGCGCAGTACAATTTACGTCCTGAAGTCATTGAGAGTTATTTCTACGCTTTCCGCGCTACGGGAGATAGAAAGTATCAAGATTGGGCGTGGGACGCGTTCGTTGCTATCAATGCGACGACGCAGGTTGGATCGGGGTACAGTTCGATTAGAGATGTGAATGCTGAGAAAGGTGGAGGATATGGCGATTTCCAGGAGAGTTTCTGGTTCGCGGAAGTATGCAAGTATGCCTATATGATTTTTGGGCCCCAGGACTCTTCTGAAGGGGGTGTTAATGTTGGAAGGGGTGGAAGGGATACATGGGTGTTCAATACTGAGGCGCATCCGGTTAGGGTTTGGGGGTAGTCAGAATTTCAGGTAAACAGCAACAGGATTGGCGCAGCATGACGGAGTAAACTTGGAGGGAAACAAGCGCAATGTACATCTTTGAATAATGGATATCGTTGATCGCAGGCTGGATATTGACATGCAGAAGTGCTAAGCACCGTAATATCCCTTCCATTATTTCTCCGAGGGAGCATAATGGCCAAATACCAACTCGTTCATTACATCATGTCGGTTCTGACCAGTCGACTTGTTCCGTAACTGGCGTTCCTCCAGCACTGTACCCAACTTTTAACCGCAGCCGCAACCTAGCAGGAGGAGGCTGTGAAATGTTAGCATACGCGCATATGGGAGGAGACAGCAAACTTACGCCATTGACGGAGGTGACTCTCATTTGCTGTGTCGCCTCCTGACCTGCACCGAGTTCTGGCTGGCTTATAGGCTGGAGTTGTAACTTCTGGCTTTTGGGTACTGCTGCTTGTAGATTTACAGCACCCAGGTGAGCGCCTCCTACGTTCCGGAAACGGGTCAGCACCTGCACAGCATTGGCATCCCGTTTAAGTTGAAAGGTGATTTGTAGGCCGTTCTTATTGTATGCGGAATGTGCCGGCGGCCCTGAAGAAACTGATGGCGTCGCGGTTTGCGGTGGCGGTGAAGTCATGCCACCGAAAAGATCCATAGATGCCGAAGTGGAAGGCTGTTGAGACGGTGCAGTGGAGGTGCTAGATCCGGCGTTGAACAGGCTCATGATTGAATCGACATTGTTGGATGGTGCAGGAGATGTGGTTTGAGGAGGAGGCGAAGAGGTTGATGACGTCGCACCGCCACCAAGAATATCTGCCAGTAAGTCGGCTGTCTGAGCCGGTGAACCATTTGTTGTAGCTGCAGTGTCTCCGCCGGTATCCCCCATCAGATCGAGCAACAAATCTTCGGTGGCAGTTTGCGCTGGCTTCTTCTTCGTCGTTTTGGCTGGTCGTTTCTTTGTAGCTTCTCCCAGGACCCGCGATTCCTCACGTATCTCCGGAGGTGGCATCTTCTCGAGAACGCCTCTTCTAATTTGGTCGAATGCCAAAAGATTTCCAAACTCGACCGCGCGCTCTTGTACCTCGATGTCGAGGTTCGTTGAGTATCGCTGAAGCAGACGACGTAGTCTTTCTATCTGGGCTGGCTCGTTCAACCGCGTCGTGAGCTTCATCGCTGCTGTTACTATATACTGTGTTACCACTAGGCCGGCGTAACTGCTGTCAAGGATCGTTTCAAGAAGATCCACGATATCGCTTTCCTTCACTTCTTTGACAAGCTCCTCCTCTTCATATTGGCCTCCCTTGAGCAGGGCATCGCCGTATTCACCAATGACCCATGATGCAGCAAGTGTGAGACCTTCTTGAGTGATATCTTCTTTCAAAGCCGCATAAAGCTTCTGGACAGAGTACGTCTGCAACTCCGGCGTGGTTGCGATAAGCCGGACGAAAGAGGATAATATCTGCTCCTTCACATAGTTGCCAGCCTAGCCACGGTCAATACCTGTTCACAAACGTATTCTCAAGGACTTACGAGTTTGAGGACCCGGAGCATGGTGTCGACATGCCAGCGCTTATTTGGTGCAAATCGGTCGGCGGCAATGCCAATTTGGGAGGTCATAACAGGCTTAAACTCGTTATCCGCCACCTCTAGGAAAGCAAGTAGTTCCCGAATCAAAACTCTGACGTTGCTTTCGTTGATCAGGGTGAAGCTAAGGTCCAATGCCCTGCGCCGAATGCTGATATCGGGGTCACGTAGGCAGTCCAGGATAGTGTTACGGTGTCGTTGTACGGCGTTAGGCTCCACAGCCACCACTTTGATCAAGGTGTTTAGGGCCACGTATCGGATATTGTTGTCTCTGTTAGCCAGGAACTTTCCAAGAATGTTGACGCCTAGTACACGGAGACCTGAATCAGCCTCAATGTCCAAGATGGTCAGCACTGCTTCGTACAAAATGGAATTTCCGACATTCTTGGATGAGTCTGTATTGGTAGCGACCTGAGAAGGTCAGTTCTAGATCCAAGGCTTGAGGATTTCGGCAACTGACCTGAGCGAGGATGTCATTGATTTGCTCACTGACTTGGGAGTCGCCACGCCCAAGAACCCGAAGGAGTCGCAGGATCTTGACTTGGAGGAAAGGATCAGTTATTCCTGTCACATCGTGCTCCGGTGCATAGCCAGAAGTCGAGAGCCCCTTTAATATCTTCACCAGACTCGGCACCAAGGGCCGGAACATATCAGCAATCCCATTTTCGCCGTCTTCAGCTTCGTCGGCCTCACACAAGCTTGTCACCAGAGTCAGCCCACAAAGGAGGACGCCGTGGTTCCGGTCTTGCAGAAGCAGCTTCGCCTTTTCCAAGAAATGTTCCTGTAGATCGGGGACCTTGCGACATATCCTCATCGCGCATAGCGCCGCTTTACGGCGTATATAGGGGTTCGCGCTTGATATTATAGTCTCGACTTCGGGGAACAGATCTCTCGACATCTCAACTGAGGCAATGTTGCCAAGGGTGCAAAGTGCCAGGCCGACAATGTATTGGTTGGGATGGTTGAGGTCACTGCGACTTGTCAGTGATAGATCCCCAGGGAAACTGTAGCATAGTTCCCTACTTTTTGAGAGAGTTTGTGACCAGCGTTAGCACCTCCTGATTTTCATCAAGGAGAAGCATGGTCCCTAGGTATCCCAGTCGTTTATCGGCAAATCGGGGGGATGCCAGTAACTTCAGGCATTCTATCTGGCCAAAATGCGTCCTTTCGCCGAGCGTGAAGAGGTATAAAAGCTTTGCAACATTGTTACGCCTGGATAGATAAGCCGCCGTCCAACCTTTCAAGTGCTGTGGTACACACCTCACGTTGGAATCCCCGCTTTCCTCCCTAAAGCTGGCCCTGATAGCAGCGCTTTCTTTCTGGACCACAGCTCGTTCGTCCGCAATCGTCTTCGCCGCCCGCACATTCCGAATGAATTGTTTCACTGCCTGATCATGAGCATCTATCCATCTGAAAGCTCGAGCTAGGGGTAGGTGTGCTTGGCGTACGGGAAGTCATGGTGGTGGCCTCAAGGACCCCACGAGGCGACCGAGATTGGGATCAGACGGGGTTTCGAGAGCGGGGATTGGGGCGGCGCGGAAGGAAGAGCAGTTCTGCGGGAGCAACAAGCTAGGAGCTGCTTCGTCGTTCTCGTGGGGCGTTCAAGTTGGCGATATTTCCGCTGTCTGGGAGGGATAAGGGTCACTCACTGATGCCATGCCGGCAGCGGAGAAACTTCAGGCCCGATGGTTGAGCTTATTCATAACACAATGTGACCAATGAAAAGCACAGCAGCTGTTTCTTTACCAAACGGCTACTCATGAACGATGCAGCGGAATGATGCAACTGCAGTTGTGTAAGCCACCCTTCGTCATGGCGAAGCTTCATGCGGCGCAGAAACTCCAAGTGCATATACTCAGCGTCAGATTTGTTGGACTCACTAATTTCGCCAATTGATCCGATTCCGATAGATATACACGATCCATTCTACTGTACTTGACCCGACCAGTCCCACCTATGTATGGTTGAGATCTACGCATAGCAAGTCTCGGCTGACAACACCTCTTAAAACGCGCAGACCTCAGACTGGATGACGATGCACATGCGATCCATAATACCCTTACTTGTATGATGGCCAAAACCACCGCGATTGAGACGAAGAGGCCAAATGGCGACCTCTACCATCAGCCGAGGGCGCGCAAGCCCAACTACATAGAACTTCTGAATCCCCAACAGTCTCAAGAAGAGGTCAACAAGCGGAATGGGGCCTTGAAAGACACACTTTCCACAGTCTCTAGGTCGGTGAGCACTGGTTAGGATCTCTAAGGAGCAAGATACTGACTCCAGCAGTGGGCGATCCACGCCTATTCCCGCCGATGCGCCGCCATCAGTACAAGCTTCCTCGTCCGCACGGCGCCAGATCAGGGCACAGCAGAAACAGCGCATGTTCCCTACTATCGAGTATGTCCACCGTGTCTCGCACTTTGACCCCACGAGCGATTACCACGATTTCCGCGGCTTCTTCGTCCTCTTCTGGATCGGCCTTGCGATCATGGTCCTGACCACCATGTTGCGCAACTACAAGGAAACGGGATACCCGTTGTCTATCAGCCAATGGGCTCTTTTCACTGAGAAGGTCTGGGAGCTGGCTATTAGTGACGGCATCATGGTTGCGAGCACCGCACTTTCCCTTCCCTTGCACAAAACGTACATGAATAGCAGCGGCTGGTTGCGATGGAGCAGATTTGGCGTGGCTGTTCAAAGCATCTATCAAGCTGCATGGCTTGTCTTCTGGACATCGTACGTATACCAACAATACATGCTGCCAAGACTAACTCATCTTGAGCTTCCCGTTCATTCGTGACTGGAGCTGGACAGCCCAGGTTTTCTTCACTCTACATCTGCTGACGATATTCATGAAGATGCACTCATATGCATTCTATAATGGTCACTTGAGCGAAACAAGGCGACGTCTTAACGATCTAGACAACCCTGATACTGCTTCGAAAGCTGCAGCAGTCCGATATCCAAAGGCTCGGACCCACCTCCCGGAGATACCGCAATCACAGGAGGAGCGTGACCAGACCAGCAAGGAAGACCTGCGCCAACTTCGAGAAGATCTTGCATTTGAGCTTGCCTCCCCTCTTGGCGGCATCTCGTACCCTCAGAACCTTACCCTTCACAACTATGTCGACTTTCTCTTTTGCCCGACCCTCTGCTATGAACTAGAATATCCAAGGACGCCCAGCGTCAGATGGGTCGAACTGTTGTCGAAGACACTGGCGGTATTTGGATGTATATTTCTCATGACGGTTACGGCAGAGGAGTTTGTCATTCCAGTTCTCCGCGAATCTGCAGCCATACTACAAGGAACCACACGTGCTTCCGATTTTTTACTTGTTCTTGGAGAAACCATCGGTCGCTTACTGTTCCCTTTCATGGTTATATTCTTGCTCGTCTTCCTTGTCATCTTCGAATACGTCTTGGGTGCCTTTGCTGAGATAACGCGTAAGTTGTCTGTTCTCGGTCATCTCTCTATGTACTGACCGTCTAGGATTTGCCGACCGTCAATTCTACGCCGATTGGTGGAACAGCTGCGACTGGCTCGAGTTCTCTCGTGAATGGAACAAGCCCGTCCACCACTTCTTCAGGAGGCATGTGTACTCCGCCTCTCGCGGACACCTGTCACGACCCGTTGCCACAGTTATCACCTTCCTCATTAGTGCGCTCGCCCATGAGCTGGTGATGGGTTGCATCACGAGGAAGTTCCGCGGGTACGGTTTCTTCGCCATGATGTTGCAGATGCCGATTGTTCTGGTACAGCGATCACGATTCGTCAAGGGAAGGACATTGCTCAACAATGTGCTTTTCTGGTGCTCAATGATACTGGGCTTGGCGATGGTAAGTTGAACTTCCTTCGGAGGGTATTTCCTCACTAATGATAGCAGATGTGCGCACTGTACGTGCTTGTATAGAGGTGTAGATGTGATATGACAGGTTTGGTCTGTACTTGTCCATGTAGACTTGGTTAGAAGTGGAGATACCCCTCTCTTAGCATAAGCGTTCATGGCTTAATTGTGGTCAAGTAGCCGATATACCCTTCTCATTTCCTAATTCATTTGGGCATAGCTACTTCATTATAGACTTGTGTACATGTTCCTTTGCTCCTAATAATTCACAGTATTCAGGATCTATTTCTACGTACCAACATCCTTGTTTCAAATTGCAACAGAATTGATCTTGAACGCGTCAGGACATATCTATACCCGTCTAAGGAAGAAAAGAGAGATCTTCAAGTCTATCACATCCCCGCCCAACCAGCCCAGCAGTTCCTCACCCACAACCACAGTTCTCAGTATCACAGTTCTCATACCGTTTTTTCCACTTGCCCACCCCCCTCACTCCTCGTCCACTGTTCCAGCACCCACTTATAAATCTTCTCATTCTCCTCCAGCGCCACGGGATAATGATGCCCCATATCCAACCTCCAAACCTCGCTCTTCCCCTCCCCGAGCGCATAATGCGCAATCAACAACTCCCCCGCCCACTCCCACTCATCCTGCTTCCCCTGAATATGCAGCGTCGGGATATCGATCTTCTCTTCGACTCCCGCAGCAGCGTCCCCCGGGGGAACTATCGAAGCAACGCATGCCGGCACCAGAGGCGGCGGATAGCTCCCACAAACACTGAGCCCAAACTTAAATCCCTCCAACCACCTCGTCGAATCCGCATCAACCTCCCTCCCCTGCTGCATCGCCATCCGCCTCACCTGCGCACCCTTCAACAATCCAGCTACTATGCGCGTCCCCTGGCTGAATCCGATTGCACCCACGACTTTGCCGCCCGAAGCTTCGATGTCGGAAACGGTGCTGCGGATCAGGGTTTCGACTTCGGGCGGCATGGTGCCGCTGGCTTCCCCGCGCTTCATGCCGTCCACGCTGATAGTTTTTTCCTGCGGCGGGAGCCACCGCTTGAAGGGCCCGCAGCCTTCGAAGAAGGGGAGGATGCCCGGGCCGGCGGCGGAGGGGTAGGGGGCTGGGGTGTTTAGTGTTAGCTGACGCTGTTCTTGGGATGGGGATGGGGGGAGTGGGGACAGGAAGGCGGACATGGTGGTTGGAAGATAATGATGAAATAGAGAACGGAGTTTGGTAATAGTCAAAGAACGAGCTGTGGAGCAGAAGAATAAAGGCATAAATCAGACGAAGAGATAAAGAACCAAGGAATGAGAGTCCAAGAAATATTGGAGAACTCCCTCCTCTTGGACTCGGAGATGAATGAACAATTAAAAGAAACCCACCCTCCAGCGCCACAATCTCAAAATGCTGCTTCAGCAATCTAGACAGCCTCGCCAACTGCACCGTGTGAATCGTTCCATTCGACCCCGATCCATGGAATGCCAAGAGCGCCGGCTTGTTCCGTTCCTCGGAGCCGGAGCGCGGTGAAGCGCTCGGGGTTATGTAGGTGTTTTCCATTGTACGTGATGGAACCAATAGAGTCTAGTTTGGGGACAAGTCTGGGTGCTGAGTGTTGCAGATAATGGTCGGATTCCAAGGATTATGTCGATGCTGGTGAGGGTAGAGATAGAGATGGGCCGGCGTGAAGAGAATCCCAGATATTCGATATCTTGTTCTTCGAAAGTGATTAAAGGGAGAGCAAGGTCATGCTCTAAAATCCTCTACCGAACGGAAAGTCGCCGTACGCCATAAACCAGGGATATCTCTTAAGCTGACAATTCCGTTCCGAGGTTCAGGATGGAGGCGCTCGGCACCTTCAAGCGTATGTGCTGAAAGTAGAGTAAACGATTCGTTTCCTCCTCCTCAGATCAAACGCATGTATTTGTGGCCTCTGGAATGCGAACCGACGATAGATCTCGGGAAATAAGGAGCAGAGTACTGTGTACGTTGTGTTGCTGGTGAGGCTGACAAACTTGGAAATCGGAGACCGAAGATAGGTGGCCCGATTGGGACTAGCTCGTCCCCAACTCCATAGATCGGACAGCTCGCTGTGAACAAGGCACTTTCAAGTCATACGCTCGTGTACCTGAAAATCGATCCAAGTGTCCAGGGATATGCTATGCCTGGTATTCCGCGGGCTAATATACTCTCACACATCTGGGTGTTTTCCGTTAACCTTCATCCCGGTCTAACCGATTCGTGATAACATGCTCCACGAGAGCAACGACGACGATCAATTCCACTAGAAATTCTATGAAAGCATGCCCTATGTGTTGCATCGGTGTATCTTCCCGTATGTGTTATCCGTCAGAAGCCTGATTCGCATGTGAATCAACCCGCGATCGCCCAGCGTCGCTCGTGATACTCTTCATACTCCCACTCGCCTTACTGCTCGCACTCGCCCTAGAACTCGCTCTCTTCCTGGACTTCCCATTCAGCTCTTCCTTGAACTTCTTGAGGATATCGTGGCCCGCCTCGGACTTGCCGAGAGCAGCAGCTATGGCGGTGTTTTCCCGTTGCAGCTCCTTGATCTGCTCTTGAAGTAACTTATTCTCTTCCTCCGCTAACTCGGCTTTCCGCTTCCACTCGTCACGTTCGCGCTGTGCCTTGAGTAGGTTATTCTTGTCCGCCTCCTTCTGACGCTTAGCCAGAAGCTTCTTCCTCTCGCGAGCGCGCTTGGCCTCGATCTTCTGCAACTCTTTCGCATATTTCTCCTCCTGCTTTTTGCGCTCACGTTCGTGCTTTTCAGCAGCTTTCTGGAGTTCCTTTGAGGTTTTCGCGCTCGCTTGCTCGGCGTTCTTGCTCTGTTTTTCCTGAGCTTGTTGGAGCCTATCAAGGGCTTGCTGCTTCTTCCTCTCTAGTTTTTCTAGCTCGCGTTGTACATGCTTGTCGCGGGCCTGGAGGTCGAGGACCAAGGCGGATGAGGATGGTGACTGTTCTGACGAAAGAGACCGTCCATCTCCATTCTCAGGGAAACCCTCGTCTGATGTTTTGTACTGCTCCACTGTAACAAACGAGGCGTCTGATTCAGCGGACGAGCTCGAAGAACCTGAGCTCTGGGATTCCGTCCGATGAAGGGGGTTAAGGGCTTCTGGGAGGTATGCTTCCAACTTCTCCGCTATGTTGTGTACAGTGCCTGGCTCTTCTTCCTTCTCGTCTAATGTTCTATGAGAAGGTCGTCGGAACGAGGCATGTCTGGGGTTATCCGCGATGCTGGTTCCCACTCCAGCCAGAACGCCCTTTCCTTCCACAATAGACAATGCACGCTGAGACTCCATACTTGGCCGGCGTCTGTCTTCTTCAACCTCCAATGACTCCTCACGGAGCACATCCTCCCTACTGCATGCCCATTCCAGGAACTTTCCGGCATCTTGAACAATACTGGGGGGTGTATTCCGCTCGACCATGAATCGCGGTATGCTGCCACCAGGGTCGCTTCGTGTGATCATAATCCATTCTACCGGGTTGGTTTCGGGATCCGCCTTCTCAGCGCCGTCAGTCGGGGGCAGAGGGATTTCCCGGACCAGCTCAACGGACTCGTATTGTCCCAGCAGAAAGCCTTCTCGCGGTTGTATCTCAGGATGAGTGACCGGGATTGACACTATCATGTAATGCCTAGGGATCGTATCACCTACTTTCGAGGCATCGGAAAGCGCATTGTCGGAAGTGAGTAAGAGCGTAACGAATTCTCGGGGTGCGGTTGGCCCGGGGAATTGAGCGGATAGCTGGTACACTGCAGGACATGTCAGATCCTCCACAGTCGGTAGAGGGCTACACTCTCACCCTCCAGTTTTCCCACTCCGGGCACATCTATCTCTTCCACTCTCTTATCGCCTCCTATGCCTCTCACGTTGCCTTCCCCTGGCCCGCCCTGAACCTCTAAACTCTCGGCAAATTCCCGCATCATAGCTCTCTTCCATTTCTGGAAGCCCAAGCCTTCATGTACACTGGATCTAGCAAACCATGCCCCGTGTCTGTCGTGGCCGGCCATCTTGAAGACTGATATCCCGAGCGCAGCGTCGTTGCCAGAGAATTTCAAGGGCTTTCCCCATGCTTTCCGTAATTCTTCATGTTCTGAAAGCACCGATGGTCTGCGCACTTGCGAGATTGTGAGGTCGGCGAGAGAAGTGGCACTCTTAGGGTTTGTCCTAGTACGTTGAGCGGACTCGTAAGGTGTGCCATTAGGAGGTGGTGGGACAGAGTTTGCTATGAGTTCGGCTTGGGTAAAGATATCTGAAAGGAAAGGTTTCAAATCATCCGTGGGTATGTCCTCGAACTTCTTTGGGCGGAGGCTCTCGAGAGCACGGTGGAGCTTCGACATGTCGGAGATGGAGGTATAGGAAGTCCTGGTTTGCGTGCGAGACTTTGTAGCGGGACCGCATATATTGCCGCCGTGCACGGATTTAAAGTTTGCGCAGACAAATATTATGGAAGAAACTGTCGAGGCCACTTCACTGAATTCGAGAGTTTGGTCTGTCAAGCTTGTGGTACCTGGCAGAGCTCCTAGTGAAGTGAGGGTCGCTGACGTCATTCCCCCTGTCCCGCCAAGCTGTGGCTGAAGCGGCGCCTAAGCCAAATCGGAATCGAGCATATTCGGTGATAGTGAGGGCCAACAACAGTTGGGCCATGAAGGACAGCGTACATTATGTTCCCGATTCCAGAGAACCAAGGTTCAGTCATGACACAGAGGCGGTACCACTGGCGGCCTCGGATAATCTTCCAATATGCCTTGCCGGTTGGGATCACTCGGTCGTGGATCTATCGCAAGAATTGGCCGACGGAGCAATTCATAGCCATGAAAGTTGTCATGTAGAATCCTCAGCTCTTTACTTGAATTCATGAGGAATCGAAAGTTGTTAGACTGGGAGCAACCAACTACGGAAGGAATCCGCAATCTGCTCCTTTCCTTAGTGCAATGCCCAAGAAGCAAACTTGGATATTCCTTCAAAGCAGTTTCAACAGCTCCGCATCTTTCGCAATTCCTGGACTCTCCCTTCCACAATCTTCAATGAGGCTGACCATAACCTTAACCCATTCCTCCCAATTAGGGGGCAAAGTGGCTCGCAGCTTCATGTCCGGCGACCGCGCAATAGCATGGAACATGAGCACCTGTCCAAAGCACTGACTGCACCAACCAAACTTGATTGGCAAGGCTGACTTCATTTGCGCACATTGGCCAGTCGTAGTTGGCCAGAACATGGCTCCCTGCAAGCCTTTGGCAATCTCTTCGTATTCGCCGTCTGTCGTATGGGTGGGATAGTGAAGAGCCTTGTACAGAAAAGGCCGCCCTATGTGGAATTTGGCTACTAAGTAGCGACTACGTAGCATTGCCCTTGCAATCACGTGGGCCGGACTGGGAGAATCGTCTTCGTTGTCAGCATCCGTGAATTGCAATGCTGGAGGAAGATTGGCTCGCCATTGTTCGAGCTGGTGGTGCATTTCGGCGGTGATAGTCGGTGTTGGGGAGCCTGCTTTCTCGACAAAAGAGTACAGATTGTGACGGATTCGCGTGAGGAGGATTCGATGTGCCGCCTGAGCGAGAAAATGGAAATTGAAGTAGGAGTCGTCCTCATCGATTATCAATTGGGATATTGATGTCTTCGGGCGCGGGCAAGGCGTAAATTTCGGTATAGGCATGTCCGCCTCGTAGTCCAGGAGGCCACTGAGCGGTAAGTCCAGTTCTTGGGTTATGATAGTTTCGTACATCAATGTAGCCCAGAAGACGCGGGAGAACATGTCACCATCCCATTTGTCGAAATCAATTGATGTTGATCGTTTTAAGATGGTAATACAGCATAAAGCCGCTCGATTAACCGTGGACCACGATTCGATAGGTCTCAAGATCTGAGCATAGTACACTGTGCAGAGCATACTGAACTGTGCTGACTGTATGTCATGCTGACACATAAGGAAGCCGAAGCGCTTTCGAGCCTCGTTAAAAAATTTCAGTCCAGGTGGATCGTCCAGAATGAGATCATACCACTCAGGGGCCACGAACCCAATGACAGGTTGTGGGGATCTGCAAGGTAATGGAAAGCTCCCTTCTTCATGAGCCTTAACCGCCAGGCAACCGAGGGCTAAAACCACAAGGATCAGACAAGATTCAATGTCATATCCAAACTCAGTTTCCATTGCTATGCTCAGCGTGCTTGATAAGAAGTAGTATTTATCCAGAACGGGAGTACTTCTGTGGAAAACAGCAAAGTAGGCCTCAGAGAGCCCCTTGATGACCGACAATGGGAGATCGCGGAGCCAATGTTCCTGGAAAGGACCCAGTGGTGACTGAATTTCGATTGGGAGTGGAGTTCTCTCACTCTCGATCTCAATGATATATTGTCTAGGCAAGGTTTCCCGAGCTGAAACAAAGGATCCAGGAAGGATCTGTTTGACGGCAGGCCAAGAAGCTACCTCATGCTGGCTGAAGGACAGATTGATGCAATTAGTCCTCCCTGATCGAGGGTCAGGACCGGCTCCTGGCGTGGAGACCGTATGAGATGACGGTGCCGCATGATGAGTGCGTCGCCGCTCAACGTGGTTAAACGCCCTGGTATTGCCTTCCAGGGCTGCATTCGGACTGGCCTGCGCAGCAGGTGGCGGCCGGTCAGGCGCTGTATCTGTCCGTGGATCATGAGCTCCTTTCACAATCGATGTGAGATTCTCAATCTTCGCTTCCAATCGCCGAATCGCCTGGACCGCGAGGGTCAAGGAATTATCCTTCTTGGTGGGTTTGGGGGCCTGATATGTACACGGCAGTCTCAGAGACGTACAGTAGCCGCATGGCTGGCCTTCATCGCATTTTGTTTTACGGGCTCGACAGTTATCGCATGCCAAGGTCGCAATAAAGGTCCGAGGTTTCTTCAGGCCACTGCCTTCCCCTTCGCCGATGGGATCATCGCCTTCCGCAGAGGAATGGGCGCCGGGGGTCACGGTGGCGTCCCGCGAGCGTTTGGTCATGTCATATCGTAGCTGTGTGTGCGCGGCAGCTTCTTCAAGGAGAATTTGGTTGATGGTACCCTAGAGTTGCGATGTTCGGAGAAGTGAAGAGCAGGGAGAGGCCAATCCCAAAACAGACTAGCGGAGTTTTGGACTGAAGGAACACAGAATTCCTCGAACACCCAGACTCATCCACCAACAAATTCACTCTCGCAATCGACTTCCGCTTTCTGTTTCCACATGCCTACCTTCGTGATGCTCCAAGACCCTGGAGAGCTAGCTGAGTTTGGCTGTCAAACCTTTCCAAACTTTGGGTCTAGCTTGCCCTTCCTCTCAGACGCCCATATGGGATGGCCAGACCTCTTGTCAAGTCGTGGCTGTGTTACGACATCGGAAGATATCCTAGACTCTCGATGAGACTACCGATCGTTCAGACCATTATTTCGCCCTCCTGCTACGGTTGTGTCTCACTGCCGGAGACTTTTCACGCTATGTGGACCCGAGCCTCAAGCGATGTTTCCAACCATGCGTGAAATCAAAGGACCTCATTGTGCAATTGCATCAGACCTTGAAGGCACTCTGACAGAAGTGCGATCTAATCAAAGAAATCGAGCATGTTCGGCATTTTACAATGTTAGACAACCGCATTGTCCATCAGCAAGACTTATGCAAGAAATACAAGATGTCTGCAAAGCAAATGACTGCACAATACATAGCTGTCTTCTCAGTTAAATCCTCCACACCTCCCCCACGGTCATCTCCCATCGCCACACAACGGGGGCCAGTCCATCAATCCAGCATACCACAGTGCCGGCTTGATTGGGGAGGGCTAGACTGGGTAAGGTCCCGTTGACGATCTTCACGCTGCAATACCGCCGGGGACGCTGCACGTGAGTATTCCCCTTTTTTATTGGCTTCGGCCTTCTTTTCCTTTTGAGTCTATTCGGGCTCTTGACAGTTTAGGAGCAAGTGTTGAACTCATTTCTCCACCTTCACGATGCAATACCGCTGGGGACGCTGCACGTGGATATTCCCAAATCGCAACCGGCTTCGGCCAATTTACTTTGGGGTCTTTCTGACTCTGGTTTATATAGGGAGCAGACGTGGCTTTGCCCACTATCTCCCGCCTCACGCTGCAATACCGCAGGGGACGCTGCACGTGAGTATTCCCCATTTTAAGTTTCGCTTTTACAGCGCCCGCTATGATTGCGACAGTCTCGTCGGGCTGGATTTTTTATGCAAGTGTGTGGCCAGGACGACCATCTTGCTTCATTTTTACATTTTATACCCGGCTTCGGCTACTTTTAGTAGAGTTCACTCGGACTCGTGCATTTTAGGGAGATGATGTGGCCCAGATCACCGTCTCCCATTCCACGATGCAATACCCACGATGCAATACCGGTGGAGATGATGCACTTGGAATTTTCTCCATCTGGTTTATCTGCCTTTAGGGTTGTTTATTTTTGGAGGAAAAATTGGGTTCTTGCAGCACCAGACGGGAACTCTCCCGGGAGCGGCGAGCTGCATCGAATGGATAAAGGTAAAATGCGGGATTGATTTACACCAGCTCAAGAAGCTTTCTCTCGCAAATCCAAACAAATGCGTTCAGCTCGCTAGCATAAGCGGAGTTTAGGGAATCAAGAGTGGGTACATTTCTGGCCTGGCAGCTTCGATATTTGTTAGTGTTGGAGGCCGTGTAGCTTGCTTTCGAGCGGACCTCTGAATTAATCTGGGCCTTTTGTTTCCCGATGTTCTCTCCGTTAGCATTCGAATTTCAACTTGAAGGTCCAAGTAAATGGAAATACCGGTCATTATTCTATTCACTGTGTCACTGTAGTCTCTTTTCGCATTTGAAAATCACTTGGTTTTTAGCCCATCTGCATCCTCCGCCGACGGGGCTCGTCGTGTCTAAACAATCGTCTAAACAATCCTTGCTGACACCTGCACAGAGTTAGCACTAGGTATTTGCTCTAATCAAAGATTGTCTAAGGAAGGCTTGCGATTCACTTGCACAAAACGGCCGGCGGTGTGAGAGCCTCTTAGACACCGGCTGTCTTATTTTAGCTAATCATATTCAATCCACTTGCAAATATCCTGCGTCAAACACGACGGGTTGTGATATTACTGTTATATTTATGCACACCTTGGCAAGGGCAAGCGATTGTTGTCTTGCGTGTTCACAATCTTGCATTGAGGAAGGCCTATTTGTAAACTATAAATTCTTATTTTACGTCCTGTTGACCTTACCTCTGATTCTATGACTACTTCAACTATGACATGTCAATGGCTCCACTGATAATACTACGATTTCTCCAAAAGCTCGAGTGGGAGAAACTTGGCTTTTTAAGACTTTCGCACCTTTGAATGCTCGTCAATATTTCGGAGTGCTTAAAAGCGTACCAGTACGATGCGCATAAACACCGTCGGGTGTGGCAATTTTTACGGCATTTCTATGGCGATAACCACTTCCACTTTCATGTTGAGAGGCCGGAGATTGCGGTGAAAACTACTTCTGCGAGGGCAAATGTCTGTGAGTAGAAGCGTGAAGTCCGCCGGCTACTTCCGCGATTCAGTGCTCGAACCATCAGTTCATAAGGGACGTCTCGGGATGGCAATCCGCATATTTTGAGGTCGAACCTGAGGATGTGCCGAGAATGGTATCGTGAGTACCTGCGTCAATTATTGCCACGATGCTGGTCACTGACCATCACTGCATTGCTGTAAGGCCACCTATATACAATGTAAGTTCAACTTTGTCAATAAAGGACACTGTTGGCGAACTAAAGTTGGGAGAACCTTTCACGGTCAACCTTTCACAGTCATTGTACGGCCACACACAGGCCTTGCTATATAATCTTGTCTACCCCATGAGATTCTCAAGACCATGCTTGAAGAAAACCGCAACCCAACCCGAGAACGTAACCCAATCCGGCTTCCCAAAACCAACGTTTTTATTGTCGATGTCTTCCTCAAAGTCCCCCACCACCGCACTCGCTAATACACCGCACCTACCAGATGAAATCAAATTCAAGATTCTCAAGGAGTTGTTCGATGATTCAGTTCTTAGGGGTTCAGAGTTCCTGAGGTTTGAGAGAAAGTGGGCAGACTCCCTACTCAAACTGCCTGGCTGGGCTCACTTGGTCCCAGAGGCGGTATATGGCGACAAAAGGGTAATCCTTGAGATGATGTTCAAAGACTTCACGGAACCAGATAGGAGGGCCATATACGTGTTCCCGTATCCGCCGCCCCTTGCCGCTCAACATATCCGCATACTGCAGCTCCGCTTCAATGGCTACACGGGCATCTCGGACCATTCTAGGGTCCCGGCTGCAATGGTGAGATTCCTGCGAAGACTCCAGGCAGGGCAGCTGGGGTTTGATAACCTCGAGCTGCTTCGTGTGGTTGTCAATCATGGCGTCGAGCTGCCAAAGAAGAGAGGATTTCATAGGAAATTCGTAAGGGACTTCTCTAGACTGCGCCCATTCCACTTCGAAGCGGACAAGTTGGAGGTTGAGATGAATTACCACATTTGTGAAAATTCATGTTATATGTATAGAGATCGTCTCATCTGCGAATTGATCGCGCGGCTGAGAGCCCAACTCACCGACGGACACAATTCGTGGGACGACCCTGAAACGGAAACTGGCGCTTCCCATGAGGACGAGGAGGAAGCATAATAACGTAATGAACAAAGATTTCCCCCGAGGTATCACCGTTTACACCAAAACACACAGATTGTCACTCGTGTTGGAGGAAACATATGGTTATATCTGTACTATAATAATTCTCCCAATTCATCTTGCATGCTCATGGTTCATTTTTCTGACCAGCACATATAATACTTCCGCCGTGTGACGCTACTACTCCACATTTAATCGACGTCTGACAAAACAACGGGAATTTATTTTATCTAATGCTGTCCCAGTGCAGTGCCAAGTTGTTGAAATGAATGCAATTTTTGTGCCAGTGACCATTCGAAAGGGCTACCTTCTATGATATCAATAGGCTGCAGATGCCCCTTTGGACCGACGTACAATTTAGCTCCGCCAGAGGAAGATTCAAATTGAACTCAACGTCCTGGCCTCGTCCTGCTGTCACAACTGTCCAGGCGCAATACATGTGAACTTCTTCCAGACGAGCAGTACCACTATGCTGTACTTAAGCTTATTTTGCCTCCTTCTGTAGTTCATGGAGAAGGTCATCCTTGTATCATGGATGGTCCAACTCCTTCTGTTTTGTCAGCAGCACCGGGTGTTAACTGGAGCATGTCCACTGCTTTCTCATGTGCGAATATACTATCCCTCGTTTCCGCCTACAAGGCAAACGCTATGATATGGTGATTGTCAGAAATCTGCAGAGATTCGTGGTTCTCTTGCATGTGAAACCACAAGCTCGCTCGCTCTTGGATGCCTAGACACGTCATGATTACGAGTTCTTCAGGTATACCCGCAGCGGGGTATATCAATAGGAGTCACCGCTCATCCATGGTACTGGTGGCAATAATCCGTCACTCTCTGCCAACTAACTGCCTGCATACCCTGATGACCACGAACTTTTCTCGGTATGAGCTCATTACAAGTGTCTGTCAACACCCATGTATGATGCACACCAACACCGGCACCATCAAATACATAGGTACTCTACCCACAATCTTGTGGACTGCCCCATGTAATATGCGCTCGTGAGAGGTTAATTGTCCACAGGTACCTCAACTTACTGGCTTCTTTGTCCGCAGTTCGGCGGTCAGTGGAGGACCGTGACAACACCGAACCCTGAAGCACAAAATCAAAACTCCAGCTCCATAGAAACAGCACAACTCTCCTGCAACAATCAACCCATCACAGTCTTGACAACGGGTATACGGCGACCAAAATGACGACACCAAACTCCTCTTCATCCGTTGAAGATTCCAGGGTCCTTCCTGCCCTACCCGACGAGTTGAAACTGGAGATTTGGGAAATCTTTTCAACGTCCCGGAATCCGGACGACTTCGCGCCAAGACATTTTGGCTATTCAAGAATCGCCGTGTAGACCCTATCCTCAGATGGTCGAGCTGGGCCCACTTAGTCCCGGAGGCCCTTTACTCAAATACCACGGTCCTGGTGGAGGTGACATACCGGACAGTCCCCAGCGAGGGCTATGAGTTGTTATACCCGCCACCGTTTTGCGCCAAGTTCGTCCAGATTCTCGAGGTTCATGTCACTGACATTGGACAAGAAATACGCGGGTACATTGCGCCGCTGCTTGTGAAGTTTCTGCGCAAGCTCGAGGCGGGAGAATTGGGATTCGATAATCTCAAGCTCCTTCGCCTCGTAGTGAAGCCAAACGACAGAATATACGGTAATTTCCTTCTTCATAATGAGCCCCCATTTAGATTCCAAGCGGAGAAGCTGGAGCTCCAAGTGGGCGAACACATCTGTGGACAGGGTTGCGACAACTCTTCCGGTCGATCTTGCGACGATATCTCCGTCCTTAAGACACGCATTAGTGTCTACACGGCTATCAAAAGCGCGGAGGAGTGAGCAGATGAACTAGGATGCACAGAGACTGATGGACCATGGAGTCCGAGAGTCGCAAAAAGTGGTCCACAGATCGAATACGGAAGGCTAAGCATACGTTGGGTGAAATTTAGTTAAAAGCATTGGTACCGCTCCGTGATTTTCTGTCTATTCTCCTTTCATTGTCTTTGGTATTTTTTGTATTACTGCTTTGTATCTAACTCTCGTATAGTACAAGAAAGGAGGCAGAAGAAAAATATCGTGATTACCCACTCTGTACATAGATAAAATGCCAGTGCTTGACCGTTTACTCATCCGATTTCCGTGTTCCCTTAGGAGGGTTATATCGTGCGGGAGGATGCGACGAGGACGATCCGAGCAGCATTCTGGCAAAGTGTTATTCTTCCCTGTGTGGAGGTACCTACCCGGCCTGTATATAGCAGTGATCGAGTTTGGTCGTACCTGTTATGATATTCTCCTAGTTTGATACTATAACAAGGATATCCAATTGTGCAGTTCCAAGCTCCAACACTGCGGGACGTTGGAAAGGTTTCACCGGATAGCACAGGAAGACGGCAGCACATGAAGACCAACTGAAGACAATGCATTCGCCAGATTCCAGTCCAATTCGCGTCGTTGAATTGCATAAACAGGGGTATCATCCATAACCAAGCCTTAACCCTTCACTAGAGAAGCCCACACCCTATGCATCAAGGTAACACGGGAATCATCTTGATCCACTCGGGCACTCCCCATCCGTTATCCGCAAACTGCTCCAATAGGGCGGTTCGATGGCGCTCGGCTTCCGCCGTAATCTCCATCACGTTGAAGTCGCGCAGGGGACCACCGGGTCGGCAGTACTTCTGAAAAATCGATTCGAAAACCGAGGGACCTAGTAATACCATGTTAGGTACATTTTCGAAGCTAACATGTTGATCCATGCACAACTCACCGGCATACTTTTCCAACCCTTCAAGCAAAGCCTCCATCTCGGCCTCCGTCCACGGCCTCCTCTTGGCCTGCAGTTGCTTGAAAGCATGCGGGATGGGGCGATGCTCGAAGACCTCCTCCCTCTGGAACGGCACCCCGTTGGAGTCCCTTTCCTCCAAATTCTCAAACGATAGATAACTCAAATGCATCCTCCTCTGTTTATCCATACTGGGCTCGCACTGCATCCTGCGAATGTGTAGCTTTCGCCAGCGTTCTCGCCGGCGTCGAAGATCTTCGGCATAGGCAGCTTTGCGAGCTCTGGCCTCTTCTTCCCGCTTCCGGCGGGCGCGGGCGGCCTCTTGCGCGTTCCGGACTGCCTCAGCGCGTTCTAGGTGTGCTAAGGCGTAGCTGTGTTCTCCTGCTAAGCGGCGAAGGGGTGCTATGAAGTTCTGATCTACGTCCTTGATGATGCGGTCTCCACTGTAGCGTTGGGCCACTTTGACATTCCAGGAGGAGATTGTGTCTTTGAATGAGAGTATGTCTTTCATCAGAGATACAATAATCCTAAGTGCGTAGAGGGAGGTCATCGGATCGCCAAACTGGTCCCGGCACAAGTCGTAGATTGCCTCCAGGACACGAGCAAGTTCCCAGAATAAGTACGCAAATGCATCTTCCTTAAAAAGTCGCCGAGAGTCGGGCTGTTGGAGGCTGTGGAGTTTTTCCAGGCCGGCGCGCACCCTAGCGCATGCTTCTTCGACGGCTTCCATTGTTATGTCTGGATCACGCAGGCTATCGAGGACTTCGGAGCAGAGGGCCTTGATGCGTTTGGCATGCTTGGTCTGGCACGATCCTTCCCGCTCTTCAGAGTCTACGAACTTGAAGACAATGTCCAGATCAGTCAAACCGGCATGAAGGGAGGCAGGGGTTTCCTCTTTTTCGGTGCCATCTGCTTCAGCTTCGAGGTAATCATCGTCCTGTTCATGTTCCACGCTAGACAGAATATCTTGCTGGATTTCCTGGATCGTTGCCACCGTCTCTTCGGCTTCAGCCGCATGACGTCTCGACCTTTTTGGCAAGTTCCCACTATTCTTTGTGCTACGAGAGTTTTTAGGTACCATGCTACCCGATATTGACTCAGTTATACCTGTTCCAACGTCCAGACTCTCCACAGCGTCTTCATCTCGTCTATGCCTGGATGGTGGTATGGGCCGAGAGCGCTCCTGACGAAAGCGCTTTGGTTGGCCCTGCACAACTTCCACCTGGCGTCCACCTCGCCGCCTTTGTATCGTGGAAGGAGGAGAAGGACGACGACCCAGCCTTTCATCTGCACTGATTTGATCATCGCCTTGTACTGGAGTCTCTTCAATCAAACCAAGCGTAGCATCGGCACCGTTCGGAACATTTTCAAGCAATTGCATGGGTATGCATTCGGTGCCAACGGACTTATTTAACGAGGGTGATCGCGCTTTGCGACTTTTAGCTGCTGCTCGCGGAACTGATATGACGACCTTCGGATGCGATGCTACTCGGCCATTGTGAGCCCCCAAGGTTTCCCCTTCCTTCCTCAGCCTCGATCCTCTCCTAGAAGATTTGCTTGGTCTTGCAACCTCCGCTTCAGATGATGGAGCTTTCCGCTTAGAGGCAGAAGCTAAGCTATCAGACGACCGGCAAACAATACTCTCGGGCTGTTTCGCCCAGTCGATTGCTAAGAGATCAGGGTGCTCGCCTGCCAAGCTTCCACTTTTGCGCATTGGATGCTGCTCCTCCGATGAGTCAGATAGGGCATATGCCTTTGGCACCGCTTCGTCGCTGCCCTCCTCTTCAGCGTGGTGGGTCTCTAGTGCAGAGGGAGTGGGAGAGGCCGGAACTCCGGGGGAAAGGGGCCCGGGCGCTGGTAGAAGGCTCACATTCGTAGATTTTCGTGGTCTGCCTCTCTTTTTCTTCTTGATTTCGGGACCTTCCGGTACAGGAGAGCTTGGATGTTTCGGTTCGGGAGATGCATAGCTGGTGGGCACAGGGGGCCTGCTGTTATTCGTCTGCTTCCGCGGCCTCCCCTTCTTCCTCTTCTGATTCTCAGGCTCTTTTGTCGTCTGGACTGGTACGGCTTTCTTTTCAGGCGACTCGGGCAATTCGTACACATCCCTTCTCCTCGCACCCGATCCGCCTATTCTCGACAAATCCGCCTTTTGTATACGTGGTCGCGTCAGTTTGCCGCTGGTCAAGTTCTCCTGGGGCACAGTCTTCGGACTACGGATTGGCAAGGCATGTGTCTTATCATTAGGCTGCGAAGGGGCCAATTCTGTCGGTTTATGAACACGAGCGGCATTGAGTAGCTCGGCGCCCCGCTCGAGCGAGCCTCTGGTCTGCTGGAGGAGTGGTGATTTGGATTCAGCAACTAGTTGGCGAGAAGGGGAGTCATCATCGTCGTCGGAGAGGTACACAACTATTGCATATAGTCAGCATAGTGTGTGTGGTGGTGGATTCAGGTGCATATTCCCTGACTTGGAGGAAGTAGCAACGGCCCTGACGAAACGGTGATACACTCACGCACCTTTCTCTGGGTTGCGAGCATGAACTGGCATTGTGCCAGGCGTTTGGTATCTGACGGCGCGGGAAGCAAAGAGGTGGAAGGCGGGACGTTGGCGCGCACCCCTGTCCAACGCGCTGTCACGAGCGCCACTTGTGGCTTTATAGATAGATACGCCAAGACATGACGACCTTCACCTCACCTGAACAGCTACTCTCTACAATGGCTTCCACAAGTACAGCTCCTCGGACACTGAAAGTACTCGATCGAAACGCTCCTCACGAATTCGTGGTTCCCGTAAAGCGCATAAACGATGCTAGAACTGACCTCCCATTCTTTCTGGCGAGCAAGGCATACAGCGATATCGTGACGTTCATATTCCAGCTAAATGCTGCCATGTTCCCCCGAAAAGGACGGAAAGCCGACGACGGGAGAGAAGAAATAAAAGAATGGGACCTATCGAATCCAGACGTTCCCTTTCCGAAAGTAATCCAACGTCTTGCTGGCATGATAGAAAGATTACGTCAAATGATTGAAGAAGCCCCGCCAGATCCAGGTCCCAGACGCTTCGGCAATATCAGCTTCAGAAAGTGGCATGACATGGTTACTGAACGTCTTCCGGAGATCTTGAAGGGGTTTATCGATCAAGATGTACTTTCGATTGGCGCTGAGGGACCGGTCCGCGCAGAGGTCGAGCTTATGGCTTACTTGACGGGCAGCTTTGGGAGTCCTCAGCGTCTTGACTATGGGACAGGACATGAGTTGAACTTCCTTGCTTTTCTTGGATGTCTCTGGAAGCTTGGTGCGTTCCCGGATGGTGAAGACGGGAGTATAGAAAGAGCCATTGTGCTGGGTGTCATTGAGCCGTATGTCCGGATGCCTTCCGTTAGCCGCCTGAATTGACCTTATAACAGGTATCTAGAGCTTGTGCGCCGTTTGATATTAACCTATAGTCTCGAGCCTGCAGGATCTCACGGAGTCTGGGGCCTGGACGACCATTCATTCCTCCCGTACATCTTTGGCTCCGCACAATACTCGCCAGCAATCTCCTCGCCAGATCAAATTCCCCTGGAAGGCTCTTTGCCCAACGCCCCGGCGCCCGGGGAAGTGGTCAAGGCTAACACAGTCGAGCGCGAAAGACGCCGAAACATGTATTTTGGCGGTATTGGGTTCATCTACGATGTTAAGAAGGGCCCGTTTTGGGAACACAGCCCCACGTTGTATGACATTTCCGGGGTCAAGGCAGGATGGGCTAAGATCAACAGGGTAAGACCAGCATCGCCTCACCTGGGCCCCTAGATGTAATTCAGAGACTGATGATGACGATGATAGGGCATGCTGAAGATGTACCACGGCGAAGTATTATCACGGTTTCCAGTAGTACAACACTTCCCCATGGGATCGTTATTTGTGTGGGAGAGAGACCCAGAGGCTGCGGAAGTTACCTCAACCATACACATTAGTAGTCAGCCCCCCAGAGCACAAGTTCCCACAGCAGTATCACAGCCTCAACGGCAACCACAATTACGGAATCGCCTGAATGAAACCGTGTCTACGCCAACCAGCAAGTCGACTCTGGCGTATCCAACGCAAGGACCGAACGTTCCTAGCGGGCCTAACCAGCCCACGAGAGCTCCATGGGCGAGGGGTGGAGATGCTGCCCAACCACCGCTCCACCATCCAGGACCAGGTCAAGATCGATTACGCGGTCCATTATCACAGACACCTGACAATGGGAGGATGGCTGCGGGACCTCCTAGTGGTCGCTCATAGGTCATAGGGCACAGTGTTTTCCGCTCCAACCGAAGTCAATGTCCGGCATATGCATTCACTGTGGAATATGCCTCTACGGAAAGCCTGCCGAAACGAATGAGCATGGCTTGCGAAGCTCAACCTGTCGTGAATCATGTGCGCCATGCAACAAGGCGTTGGGACAATAATGCGTGCTGCACGAGGGAGTGAAGTCAGACCGGAACCAGCAGCTTCTCTGCTTTATCAGGCACATGTCTCAATAATAGTAGCTTATTAGAGAACAGGTCATTGGAATATAGGTTGCGTACGTACTTCGTACCACAAGCCGCGTCTTACAGGGCAGTGCTCGTGCATGTCCCGCTCCGCAGCGTCAGCAATATGGTAGGTGAAACGCAAATCTCAAACAGACAAAGAGTCTAATCTGGCAATCTGAGACTCAAACATTCCATACAGTACACAATTGCGTCTATTTATGGCTTGGAACGGTGCAAACTCGGAAGGTGTAACGAGCTCCACCAATCAGCGCGTCGACAGGGGTGAAGGGGCCCGGCCATCAATTGAACAACAGGAGCTCTCCTATTCACTTCGCGCGACCAGTTATCAACGCGCCTCTTTCCACTGTGGTCTCCATATTCAAAGCTCTTCCTAGACCTTGTACCCAGCCGCAACCGTCGCTTACTGTAGCTTAATTGCTCATATCGGTCCTGTTGGAGCTGTTCCTAGGAGCTACACAATCATGCCTGGAGTTCGTAAGTCGCATCCCCTTATTGAAACAGACTCTTATCTTGCGCGTACTGAACCGCATGTTTCTCACACAAGGGCTTCTGCTCCTCTGCTGATCATCTATCCTTACTCTGTAAAGCGACAATTTAACAATTTGCTGACATTTCTCACCATAGCCCCTGACGCGCTGGCTCAAGTGAAGAAGGCCTTCAAAGGCCTCTTCCGCAGCAAGAAGGACAAGGCAAAGAAGGACGAGCAGAAACCTACCCCCACGGCCAACGACGACGCCACGAAGGCGAGCGAGACCGCTCCCGCTGCGCCCGCTCCAGCTACCGCTCCCGCACCCGCACCCGCACCAGCGAAGCCTGAAGCCGCTCCTCAAGCTGCCCCTGCAGCAGAAGGTGCTGCACCAGTTGAGGCGAAGAAGGAAGAGGCGCCGACAACTGTGGTGAAGGAGGCGACAGCGAGTACGTACCCTTCCTGCCATTGCGTGTACACACAGGGGACATACGGGAGGGAGGAGGGATAAAGCAGCTTTCACGGCGACACAACTGCTGTGCCCAAATCTAGTCTCGGTGTCTGATGGGACCCATAGACCCTTCTTCTATACCCTTCAAAGCAAATGCTGATCTTCTTTGAACTAGCTCCTGAGCCGGCCGGTGCTGCTGCACCTGCACCCCCCACTGCGACGTCTCCCCCTCCTACGACAACTACTGAAGCCACCGAGCAGAAGCCAACTCAACCCGAGGTTCCAGCTGTCCCGACCTCGACTCCCGCTCCAGGCATGAGCGCCACGAGTGGCCCATTGGCGGAGCCTAACTTTGACTCCGAGCCTGCGAAGCAAGAGCCCGCTGCTCCGGCTGCCGCCGCGACTCCCGCCGCAACTCCCGCCGCGGCTGAGCCCACTCCTGTTGAGAAGAAGTAGTGCTGCGAGCGAGATCAGTGAACATCTCCTTATGGTGGAAGTGCTATCCTCTTTCGCTGTCACGGCGAGGGTCCACGGTCTCTCTACAGAGATGCAGTGTGCATATATGTCCTTTGATTCTGCCTTGCCTCCAGTCTCCTTTCCTATTTATACCCCTCATACTGTGTAATCTAGTGAGCGACAGTGCGGACTTGTTTGGAAGGGCATACGTGGAGCGATATCAAGTGTTCTGCTTTTTCGCCATGTAAAGGTGACCGTGATGCTCTGGTCAGATAAGTGCCAACAGATTCGCCCAGTTCACTCGGGAAGATGAAGCTGGCCATGGTCTCTTTTGACCCATGATGCGGGGTGCAAGTACCTAGATGGTCCCTTAATGTGCTAACCCAGTGGGGTTTAGTGCGGGGATTCCAAGCTCTCTGCCCAGGTCGCTGTGTGAGGTACTTGACGTCCTCATCTCTCCATGATTGCCTCAGTGACTGCACGCACCCGAGCCACCAAGAACAGAGCTACCTACACTTCCCAGTAGCTTAGCTACTTTTGCGAAGAAGAAAAGGAATATTTGGCCCTCAGCTTAAGCTTTGGACACTCCTCTCCCCGTAGCGAACAACTCATATCAAGAATACACAAGGCGAGCCACCCCACACTCTGGGGAAACGACACGAAGAGAGACCAGAGGCCATCAAGATGCCACCCAGATCAGGACATCAGCGGGCGAAGAATATTGCCTATGAAGAGGATGATGTGTACAGCGATAACGAATACTACGAAGAGGACGGTGACGGTCAGTAAGCGCGTAGCTGCAATTGGATTTAGTTTGGCTGATGTGCTGCCGTAGGAATGACGGACGAAGATCGAGAGCAATTACGGCAAGGCACCATAATGGTCAAGGAAGCGTTGGGCTCGTCTGTATCAGTATCAGATTCTCAGATACAGGAAGCGCTGTGGCACTACTACTTTGACGTGGGAAAATCGGTCACATATCTGAAGAGTATGACGAAAAGGATTTGAAGATATATAGAGAGATGGCTGACCTTGCCGTCTAGACAAACATGGCCCCGCTAAGACAATTCCTGCCTCCAAACCCAAAGCCCCGTCACGTTTCGATCAAGCTGCCAGTTCCGCAGCATTGCTGCAAACAAAAGGCCAAGGTGAGCCTCCTATATCCCCCAACCGTGAACCAGATATAGCATGCATCGCACCGTCGCCTCGCTGCATTTCCAACTCCAATGTCCGTTCGGCCGACAAATCCGCTACCATGACAACCGCATCTAAAGGCTGCGTAGAAACTCCCGACTCGGTCTTTCCTTTTCCTGCGCCTTTGGACCATCTTTCCATTCTTCCGCGCGACTTCTTCTGGGATACACCGTGGGGAAACGTGGAGTCGTGTCGTTTGGGAGTCATCAGGGAGATACCGGTTCTTCCACGAGGGCGGCTACTAGGTGGTTCGTCTAGGCCGTCCAAGTTGGCCGCTCTTGCTGCTGCCCGGAAGAAGAAGCAGGAAGAAGCAAACCGTGAAACGGCTGTGCCCCAACCGAATGCGTCAGCTTCCGAGGCTGACCAGGCCGTGGCACTTTTGGACAAACTCAACTTCAAGAACAAGGCTGGCAATGGCTCCTCTACACCTACGCCGAGCGAGGAACGGGGCCGAAACGAGAGGCTTGGCCGATTGCAGTTCCTAAAGCGCCAAAGCTCTCCAGAAAAAGTGAACACCCCCCCCGAGGAACCTCCGGAGCCAGAAGAAGAAGTCCTTACCGTCCAAGTGCCCAACATAAGAACAACTCCTTCCATGTTTGCTTCTACCATTTGCGGTATTGGAAGACTGCCAGCCGCAGAACAGCCGTCGGTAATCTCGTCGTTCCCGGTCCCCTTTTCTGGCATGGAGGATCCGACTTCACGGGGGCTGTTCGCTGGCCCCAGCCCCGACGACATTGTCCTTCGCGCCCAGGCTAAGGGTGCGGTGCATGGCTAACTGGTCAAGCCTTATCAGTCCTCATCTGAGCATCCGCGATAGGTAACAAACCAAAAGGCGGTCAGCAGAAAACGCCTAAAGAGCAGAAGTTGGCACAGTCAATGGAGACATTGGCAGTCGAGGAGACACCATCAGTCAAAAGCAAGAACCTGAACGTAGCGGAGGAGTTTGAGAAAAGTGGCATGAAAAGGATGGCCAATTTCGTTGTTGTTGGTAAGGAACTCGACTTCTCGTTCTGCTGTCTGCATTCATGAGCTGAACAATTTCAGGTCATGTTGACCATGGAAAGAGCACACTCATGGGCCGTCTTCTCTATGATCTGAAGGTTGTAGACCAGCGCTCAATAGATAAGTTGCGCAAGGAGGCCGAGACCATCGGCAAGTCATCGTTTGCGCTCGCTTGGGTCATGGATCAAACAAGCGAAGAGCGCAATCGAGGAGTGACCGTCGATATTGCCACCAACTACTTCGAGACAGAGAAGACCAGGTTTACGATACTGGATGCCCCTGGACACAAAGACTTTATACCAAATATGATTGCGGGCGCGTCGCAGGCCGACTTCGCAGTCCTCGTCATAGACGCCAGTACTAACAGCTTCGAATCTGGCCTGCGAGGGCAAACAAAGGAGCACGCACTACTGGTGAGGAGTCTGGGAGTTCAACGTCTGGTTGTTGCTGTCAACAAGATGGACACAGTATCATGGTCGCAAGAGAGATTTGAGGAGATCAAACAGCAGATGTCGGCCTTCCTCACAACAGCCAACTTCGCCAAAAAGTCCATCACATTCGTCCCCTGCGCCGGTCTCACTGGCGATAATGTAACCCACAAGGTTGAAGACTCTAATGCCAGATGGTACACTGGCGAGACTCTCGTCGAGGCGCTGGATGCGTCTGAGCCTGGGAAGCGCCACATTGAGAAGCCATTCCGACTGACGATTAGCGACGTCTTCCGTGGCGGTATTACCAATCCGATCAGTATATCCGGCCGCATTGACTCTGGTTCTGTGCAAGTTGGCGATCCCATCCTAGCGCTGCCTGCAAACGAGAAAGCAGTCGTTAAAGTCATCGAGGTCGAAAATGCACCTGTAGATTGGGCTGTGGCAGGACAGATTGCAACACTTCACTTGGCCGACATTGACCCCGTACATCTACGCACAGGCGACATCATGTGCGATCCAAAGGATCCTGTGAAGCTTACCAAATCCTTCACTTGCAAAATCTTGGCGTTCGAACATGTGCTGCCTGCAACCATGGATGTATTTAGGGGAAGGCTACAGGCGGAAGGCAAGATTTCCAAGCTTGTTGCTCTACTCGATAAGACGAGTGGAGAGATTGTGAAGAACAAGCCAAGGGTCGTGAAGCCAGGAGAGGTTGCTAGAGTGGTGGTGGATTTGGAGAAGGAATTGCCGCTTGAGATAGGAATAAGGGTGGTGTTTAGGGAGGGCGGCAATACGGTTGCGGCAGGGTTGTTGGAGGGTTGACCGACTGGTTTTCATGAGCTGCTGGTGGCCTAGGCTTCCTGCACCAACTGCTGGTATTGTTCTTCGACCGCTAGTGAGCGGACGTGTTGCAACTGTACAGAAGATATTATATCAACATACCAGTACGGGAATGAATAGCTCCTGTGACGACTTGTCGTGTTGAAGATGGCTTGTGAGTGGTCGTACTTCACCGCCAAGACAGTGCTTGTATAGCTAAATCATTTCCGGTTAGCGTTTATTTAAGCGAAGCAGCCCACATTTGATGCCCCCCTCGGACATCACGAACTTTTCTCTGATCAAACCAAAACTCTCTCTTCGAGGAACACCCGACATATCATCCGAATAATCCACAATGGTATGCGACTCCCATGAGCTCCCATTCCCTCATTATGGAGCTCTACTGCGCCGTTTCAGCACATGAACCCGAGACTCACATAATTCACAGTCGGACGGAGAAGAGCCCACGTCCCCCGTCGCTGAGGCGACCGAAGTCGAAGTCAGCGGCGATACCCCCGCCGGAAAGGGCCAGATGTCTGTCCTCGAGGCCCTCAAGGGTGTCCTGAAGCTCGCCCTCATCCACGACGGACTTGCCCGCGGTCTCCGCGAGGCCTCCAAGGCGCTCGATCGCCGCCAGGCGCACATGTGCGTCCTCAACGAGGCCTGCGAGGAGGAGGCGTACAAGAAGCTTGTCGTTGCGCTCTGCTCCGAGCACAAGATCCCTCTTATCAAGGTCCCCGATGGCAAGCAGCTCGGCGAGTGGGCTGGTCTTTGTACGTTGCGATGTGGATCCCGCCATGACCATGAGTGCTAATGTCCTTCCAGGCCAGATTGACCGTGAGGGCAACCCCCGCAAGGTCGTCAACTGCTCCTGCGTTGTCGTACGTGACTGGGGTGAGGAGTCTCAGGAGCGCGAGATCCTCCTCAACTACTTCCAGAGCGCCGAGTAAAGTAACTGAGAACTCGACCTGTCTCGCGCTCTCAGCGGATACTCTCCCTACGTTATGGATCATGTCTTCAATCCGTCGTCAAGCATACCTGGATCTGATTTACTTCTGCATTAGGGCTGTGCGGACGAAATGGTAGAGGGAAGGGGAAACAGTGGAAGGAGGTGACAGTAAGCATATATAAAGGAAGAATCAAATGCATATATGGTCGATGCCGCTTTATCTCTCGTGTACATGAATAGTACCTCGCAGTGGCGGTTTGTCGCTTTCTTCGTAACCCCAAGCATTTATTCCACTTCACAGGAATCACCTCCTTTCGTCCTATGAAGTCTTCTACCCTGATGGATGTAATCTGCATCCCACACATCTTGCATATCCATGATCACCTCCCTTATCCGCAACAAAAACTCATGGTCTGTTCTACTTGGGATCAGAAAAGAAACGGCATCCATTCAACCGACCATCACCGCAAGCTGTCAAGGGTGCATCAGAAGCTAAAGCGAGGCATAAGACAGAACTAGACCCACCCATCCTACAATCTACCATCTAAGCCCTCTCCATCCCAGCGACAGAAGCAATCCCCTCAAACCCAAAAGATGTACATGACATAAAAGCGCCACAGAACCCCTACCATAGCCATTGCCACCACCACGGTAAGAAAGACAAGGACCATAGCCACCGCTAACTCACGCATCACCCTCACGCACTCTTCGCCGAATGTGGTATTTACCCTAACGTGGGGCTCGAGGGCAGATTTGGCGGTGGGGCGTTGGCGGATTTGGCGCGTAGGGAATGGGAATGTTGCCCTGTGCCTGTCTGGGGGTCCTTGGATGGCAAGTGCAGCTTTGATGTAGTTGGTTGGTGCGTCCTGTTGCGGGGAGTTTTCGACTTCGTCTAGAGGCTCGCGCATGCCTTGGAACTCAGGGATGTCCCATTCGAAGGCCTCTGGTGTGTGTCGTCCTACTTGCGTGGTTTCGGACTCGGATGGTGGTGATAGGGGTGGGGGTGGCGGGTTGGGACTGGAGATTTTGGGTTGATGAAGGGGCGAAGTTGTTGGTGGGAGTGAGGTTCTGGGGTTGAGAGGTTGTAAGGGGTGGGTTATATGGTATTTATGGGCACTGTTTGCTTAGAGGTGTGTTTGTTTGTGTGTGAGGTGCATTGACGCAGTTTGGGTGACTTATTTCCTGGATTGTGGGTGTCTCAAGTTAGTTGGGGAGCAGGTTCGCTTTAAACAATGGGGTGCTTGGTTCCAGTCATTGATAGTCATGGCGGAGTTCAAGTTGCATGTCTCAAGCAGTTGTCTTGTGCGGTGCTGCTACAATATGACTCAGGCAGCCCAATAAGGGGTATTGTACGTTCAGTTAGCGCAGATGCAACGCCAGATTATGGCGAGGTGGTTTCGGATACCACTAGGTGTTGTCCAGACGGATATCTGGGTCAGGGACTCAGGGTTCCTACGGAAACACAGACCTACGAGACTAAAGGGTCTCAGATGATTAGCGGACAGTGTATAGCCGCGCTGTCTAGCTTTGGGGGATTTATGTCTCGACATGTCATGTGGGTTTGAAAGCGGTTTTCAGGCTTACGCATGTGCTACGAGAGGAGTGACGTCAATCATCGTGCCGGATTTGACTGGCATATATGCGTGTGCTTGTCTGCGTCATGGCAAAAGTTCCCGGAAAATGGGGCTAAATGTAAGCCAGTATAAGGGTATGAATGGGTCAGATAGCACGAGCATCAATTTGATACTGAGGCATAGGGCGAATAATTAAAATCGATTTTCAATCCCGTAAGGTGCCCATCCTCTAAACTATCCACAACACGACAAAAAGACAACGTCTATCATACACAGGTAACCAACACGCAACCGCCCCCCTCCCCGTCCCTCTCTCTTCCCCTAAGCTCTTCTTCCACTAGAACCCCCCTACCCCAGCAAAAACCTCTCCACAACCCTCGCCCCCACCGCCGCAAGAAACATGCAAAACCCATTCATCACGAAAAACATCCCACTCCTATCCCTCTCTTCCCCAAACACCACGCCCTCCACCTCCCCGTCCGAAACCTCCTGCCACGTCGACCCAATCACCCAGAACAGCAGGACCAGCAGGGCGAGGACCATGCACGATGCGGTGACGCGCGGGAAGAGGATGGAGATGACGGCGACGGTGGCGAGGACGGTGAGGGAGGGGGATGTGGAAGTGTCGTAGTCGTAGGCGGGAGGAGACGAGGAGGTTTGGGTTTGTTCTTGTGGTGGTGGGGATGAGGTGTGGGTGAGGCGGAGGCGGGTGCGGTCGGAGATTGTGTCCTCGTTGTTGGCGGCGTTGAGGGAGACGCTGGAGGCGAAGCGGATGGGGAAGAGGGTGAAGGCTCGGGTGTTATTGGACATTGTTATGTGTTTTGAGGTCTGTCCTCTATCGAGTCTGATTTCTGATTTCTGATTTCCGATTTCGGGATGTGGAAAGAGATTAGATGTTAAAAGTAGAACGTCGTGGACGTTTCGGACGCTGGATCTGTAAGAAGAGCCGGTGTTTCTGTGTGTGGATGGCTTTGTGAAGGTGACTTGGATGCCACAATTCTGAATTATATATTTTGACCGTTGAAGACGTGGATTGAATGGGATGTGGCTGTTCTTTATCTTTAGGTCTTGGAGATCTTTCTCACTGGGGACAATGAAGTCGTGGCCTTTGTAGATTTTTACTTGGCGCCACTTGTGATATTCCCGTCTTTGTCTCCTTCCTTTGCGTACAAGACCGTCAAGACACCTTCACACATAGGATTTCCAATGATAATGATGAGAGTGGTGGTTGGCAGATTGTCGTCACCATGAACGCACCCAGATGGAAGTAGACCGGCTGAGAGGGAATGATATTCAAACTAAGTATGAGAGCCGTTCATCGTTGCGCAACAAATCAAGATATCTATAATACCGAAATCATGATCGAGACAAGCAATTTGGACCACCCTTCGCGTCCCAACCCACAAATCCCTCTCTATGCGCACTGCCAAACAAGAAACTCTTAAGAGGAATTTTGAGACCATGAAGCCGGAAGAGAAACCCCATCAATCTAAGACAGCGTACCTGACCTATCCCGCTCCTTCCCCGCCGGTGCGCTCCCCACCTCCCTCACTCTCTCTGCAAGAGCACTATCCAGATTCCCTCTCGTCCTAAGCGGACTCGTTGCATCCGCCGCACTATCATCGACATCCAGCTCCTTCTCCTTCCTCGTCGTGATACTGCTGACTACAGATGCGTCGTCCCCGTCTCCACCTCTCTTCCTGCGCTCGCCACCATCTCCATTGACAACTTCGATGGTGACATCTGTGTCCTTGGAGAAGACGCGCAGACCAAGGACGCAGACTGCGTTCCAGGGATCGCGCTCGAATTCGTCTTCCTCCTCGTCCTGGTGGCGGTGACGGTGACCGTGGGAGCGGTGCTCGAAGAAGCGCGGGAGTTCTTCGTCCGAATCTGCAAGATCAGAGTCATCCGAGTCGGGACCGTCCAGCTCAGAGTCCCAGCTAGAAAGGTCCGACATGTCGGAAATGGAGTACAGGCCCTGGCGTGCACGCTGGGAGCACATGCTCGCGCCACGGCCGCGGGTAACTTGGATGCCAGGTCGGACTCCGGGAATCGGACTCAGAGTTGGGCGACGATTCGGCCGCGGGCTGAGGGGGCGCTGGACAGGCGTTCCGGGGCGGGAGCCGTCTGTGAAGGGAGTTGGGACGGGAGATTCGCTCTGGCCGCCTTCATTGTAGCCGTCCCTACCGATATTGTAACCGTCGCGACCAATGTTGTAGCCATCTCTTCCAGCGTTGTAACCATCGCGGCCGGCATTGTAGCCGTCTCTCCCTTGGAAACCGGCTTCAGCATTGTAGCCTCCGCGGCCAGAGAAGCCTTCTCCGCTACGTTGCACTGAGCCTTGAAGCGGTGAGGGCACAGCCGCGTTGTAACCTACGATCTGATTAGCATGTGCTTAAACTAGTGTGAGCAGGTTAAGCTTACCTCCGCGGCCTTGAAGAGCTTCTTTCATGCTGTTGACCTTTCGAATGGCTTGCTGGGGTCCAGGCAATGTGGCATTGTCTAGCGATGTTAGTAACATGTTCGCAGGGACTTTGAGCTTACAAACGGAGGGACTTACATCCATCGCGTCCTCGATTGTAGCCACTACGACCGCCGAAGGCTGGGCTGGCAGAACGTTCTTGCGGTAACGTGCTACTGCTGCCCGACCGCTGGTGAGCAGCCTGTGCCTGCCTCTCATCTTCGTCTCCAGAGGGCCGAGTCTCATCCTCAACTTGGATACCCAGACCGCCGAGGTCCTGGGTGACATCCTTGACAGCTCTCTTTCCATGTTTCGCCGCCTTCTTCTGCTCCCGCAGCTTGGCTTTCCTGCGGAGCTTCGCACGTTGCTCCTTTGCGCGTCGCAATTCGGCCTTTTTACGCTCCATTCTCGACTCCCGCTCCCGTTGGGCCTTTTCCTTCTGCTGTTCCCTGAACTGGCCCTTCGCATGGGCTAGATCATATGAAAGGCCTCGAGAAAGGAGCTTCTCGCGACGGGTGGTACAAGTTGCTCGGATGACATCCTCTGGTCTCGGGTTGGGGACCCGGGTCGCTTTGACTTTGAGAAGCACGGTGTAATTGCCGGCTTCTAGATCCAACTCGGTGGAGACCGACCGCTTCATGTAGTACGGGTTGTTGCTGCGGACGATGTAGTCCTCTTCATCGTCCTTGTGGAGTCTGAATTGTAGCGAGAACTCATACTCGCCCTCGAGACCGATGAAGTAACGATCATCTAATTGCTGGAGGACAATGACGACCGGGCTGGGCTTGGAAAGGTGGATTTTGAACTTGGTATCCAGATAGTCCACCGACCATGGAACATTCACGCTGGTCCACTGCTGGGACACAGTCCACTCCGGACCGAAAAGTCGAGTGCGGTCGAAGTGCTGGTAATGCCTAAGCAAGTCCTTGTACGATATCCAGAATACTCCATCGTCGCCAAACTTGTGGTTGAGCTTCTGCATCCATTCGGCGGTCCATTCTTCTGAGCCGTCACTCCAGCGCCCGGTCCATTCGGTGCGACCCCAGGGGTTCCGGAGCTTCAGCAACCGCTCACCGTCAATCTCGCGAGCTTCCATGATAGAGTATGCGTGCTTCTCTTGGATGCCTTTGCGCTCGCCGTAGATGCCTCCCATCTGCCCGCAGCCAAAGAGAAAGGTCTGGTTAACATTGAGCAATTCTTCGCGCCAGAACTTTTCCTTGTCAAGAATGTCGGTGGCGAAGATCTCGGATGTAACACCCCCGGTCAGGTCTTCGATGCCCTCGCCAACGAAGCCACCATCAATGGCAGAGTAATCACCATGCGCTTTGGCATACGCCTTTTCTAGGAGTGGGAGCCATGTCTCATTGGGGTCACTGCACTGCGCAAAGTAGAGTGCACGGGAGCCCGTCTGCATGGCAGTGCGGTATTCCTCCTCGGGATTCTTCCGATTCTGCAGTTCCAGCCATTGATGCCGGCCAAGTGTTGCATCATCAAAGTCTTCCTTGATGAGGTATAGCTTATCGTCGATGACTTCGGAGATCCATTCGCCGTCTGCAGAGATTAGCACGATTCTTTATTTAGCTCTTGTCTCGGGTTCGTGTACCTCTGTGAAACACAAATCCGTATACGCCGACTTGCTCATCCCGTGCGACGCACACCCTTTGTATCAGCCCTTCTTTGTTGCTAATGGTACAAAGGGCCGACATGAACCAGCAATCACCATCATTGCCTTGCCGAACATCGTTGGCGGTAGCGCCATTGATGAAGAATTGCGGTTTCTCGAAGATGTCCTGAGTGGAAGGAGGCGGGTTAGACGACTGTAGGCGGAACGCAGGCTGCAGACGACCTTACCTCAATTCTCTTTACGGACATGGGTTGGAATGTGCTCTTCTCTTCGTTCAGCGAAGTAAGGCAGTCAGGAGGTATCTCGGGATTGCGTTGTGATCGTTTGAAATCGGCCTCGATATCGAAGTGAGGATCGCGGTATTTCTGGTTCAGTCGTCTGCATTCCTTTACAATTTTTGCGACCTTCTGTCTGCATGCTTCAGCGGCCTCTTCGTATGAGGCCAGCGCATTTTCGCCGGGAATGGAGCCCTTTGGAAGATGTGCTGCAGCTCTCTTCGCATATAGGTTGTCGGGAAGGATGGTGAAGGCCTTGCCAGGGTGCTTCGTCGTGAACTTTGCCCAAAATTCGTCGATGCTTCTCTGTGGGGGTTGTTTTATGGCCCGTGGCCTTGCCTGCCGAGGCAATGCTTCTTGAACCATACTTGGAACTTTCGACTGGGGTCTGGTGATATTTAAAAGGTCAACGTTCGATATCGAATCCATTGCTCAGGCCCTGATCGACGCCTTGTTTTGTGAAGAAGCGGGGGTTGAAGGTGTGGTAGGAAAGCGTGAGGGATCCATCGGGGGGGCCTTCGATGTCATATTTCACTCTTGACAATGTCAACGATGGGCCTCTCAGCCGCACCCATGCCAGCACAGCTTCAGAGCTGGTGTAACCGCAGTGCCTGCATCTCAAGAATAGCAGTCAAGTCAGAAAAATAAGTGGGGCGGTCAGCCTGCTCGGAGCTGCCGCTGAGGACCCCCGCTCCATCGCGTGGCTGGCGAATGATAGCCCCGTGGGATGCGCGACCACAAAGGAACGTGCAGGTGGTGTTGAACGCGAAACCCTTCCAGGCGCCGACAGGTGATGAGCGGAAGCAGGGTAACAATGGGGTGCAACCGCCTGGGACGCATCTCTTCCTCAGACTACTTCACCCCACCGCTCGGTATTTTCTGACGTCTTCTGGATGTTTGTTGAGCGGCAAGTCGTTCGTCCCATGTCGCAAATGCTCACCTAGCCCCCCTTGTCCAGCATGCGGGAAACTAAACCGTGAATGGCTGGCCTCAACTGTACGACAGACCGACTTCTCGACCCGTATGTCACCACGATGGATAGAGCCTTGGAGAAGAACCGGCGGATAACACGTTATCGTAAATGGAGGCGCGATGCAAGGCGACGCTGCAGGACGACCGACTCATTCTGACGACAAGTTGTATTCGTTCTAATCACAGTGCGGAACGAAGACTGCTCGCCGATTCGTTCCCTCCAGCCCTCGGCCACCTGGCGACATGAGCCTTATCCGAAAGGCGTGTTATGAAGCCGGATCTAGACATAGGAGAACGGCGTACGACGTGCAATCCACTGAGCCCCGGCATGATCCGCACATCATCTCAGTGGGATAGGTGTGCTACCATTTTCGTGTGGCTTTGAAAAAACGGAAATCGAATCATTTTTTCTGGGCGTTTATCCATTGGACCAAAGCATGAGGTACTGGAGTCGCGCTCGTCACATCCTTCCCTCTGGTGCGGTCTGACGACACTTGTCTCATCTCGACCAGAACTCCGGGCTCGGTACCGTACGATTAGGTCGTCTGCCGTGCCTGCATAAGTGAACCGACATTCCTGCTCACTGCTCAGGAGACCGGAGCTGAGAATGCTTGGGTATGATCAGAAGAAGGCCGATTATGTTACTTGATTAGTTTACTGAGTCGGGGGATGCAGCACCGTTGCAGTTACTTGACAATATGCCTACCGGCTAAGCCCCATTACTCAGCTTCAGGGTAGGTAATGTGTATACTAAGACGTTCCGATAGTTCCCCGCTACCGACCCCAGTACCAGAGTTCACCGCACGTCAGCAGCCGTTGTCGAATGTATCCGGACGGTCTAGGATGAGGAATGGAACCTCTAGCGAACTGGGGAGAATTCCGTGTCTGCAGTCGTTCAAGCCAGCTGAAGCGGGTCTGCTGAGTGGTACCCGAAGGAATGCCAACGATCTAGATTCTAGAAGCGTAATGGGTGCTGCAGTGGATTCATTTTGAAGTATAACGCCGGTTGATATCGCTAGGATCAGAGCGGTGGGCAGCAGAGAGGACAATCATACTGTGTAAGCGTAGCCGAAGAAAACCCGCTTCGCCTTCCGTCTGCGGCAGACACAGCCTTGCCAAGACGCCGTTCATGATCGGCACACCTCAATTGAGACGTCACCTCATCGCCTCACCGCATCAACGGCACAGAACCATTTCGTAGTGCTTACAAGAGACGGCTGCGATAAGCAGAGAGCCAGAGGTGGACGCTCAGCTCAGCTGCAACGAAGACGTCACTGACGATATTTGAAATCGGCGGGCGGGCTATCAATTGGAAGACCTCGAAGTTGTTCGGTACTATTTCAGCATATCCGGACTTAATAAACGCAGGATATGCTATGAGTCTTCTCTCAAACCGGGGTAGGAGAATTGGTTTGGCTTGGCCCTCAAAGCATACTGGATAACTTGCATCCGGCCGAAGTGGTTTTTATGACTTAGGGAAAATCACAGGACAAACGGACAGAGGGGCGTGTCTAGCAAACTGTCATTCGTAGCCCATAGCCTATGCGGCCCATAGCTGTCACTTATCACAGATGAGCTTTCACCATACTCATTACTCAAACTATTATGCTGCTTCCTGACAATTCTCCCATCCCCACTCCTTCTATTCTCCGCTGGAAGACAGTTCACTTCTGCACCTTCTGTATGGATTGCCATGCATTCCGATCCTTCGCCACGCCTTGTATGTAGTACCGGCTACATGCCGAACGTAGTGTTTGTAAGAAAAATTACGAAGGCCGCTATTACCAGTGCTGTGACGAGCACGTCGTGAAGGGGCGTACGCATGGGCCGGGTTTGGTACGGAATGCAGTCTAATAGTCATGTCTGCGAGAATGACCATAAGCCGCTGACTTCCTACTTCTGTTGTTGTATCTGGTCTAGGATTACCTCTCCGTTATAGTTGCGCGCCTTTAACAGAGGCCAAGCTTTGTACTGGGACGTGTGAATACTATGTATTCATTCGTTTATGGACACTGATCCCGTCAATGTTTGTGCTTGAGTTATTCTAGTATCATCTGACGGACTGCAAACTGCTGTTGCTGTGGAGTCTGTGGGACTGTGGGAGGATATGTTTGCACAGCCAGCAAATGTGGCCCATACTTAGAATGCTAATCCGCACCGATCTCTTCTGTATACTACTATTCCGTCACCCTCGTGCACGAAGTTATATATCTATACCAAAAGTAGAATGTTTGGAGACTCAAGATATCGTGTGAGGAAGGCTGCGTTGCTAGGCATAGGCGGCCTTGACATCAACACTCGCACTGCAACATCAAAGAACCACGTTACTGTGAGTCCCACACTACATTGACAATATTTCCGTCAATTCAAGCTCAAACAGATCAATAATAGCCCCACGCGGAAACGCAGGGGCGGCTAATTCCGCTGCTATCATGCCATATCGCCTCGTTGCCTTTCACTCCCGGTGAAAGCCTCAAAAACCACACGCCAAGCCTCACGATCCTTACAACTTCCCCTTTCCCCCCGACTCAATTGGCTCGCCTGCCTTCCGAAGACGGCCTATTGTGTGTTTCGTAAAATCTTGGCTTGAATAGCGGTGCGCGTCCCGACTTCTCGAGACTGCAAGCTCTTCTGTCTGCTACTTCAAACTTTCACAACCTCCCCCATCTGCGATCACAACCTCCAGTGCTCGCGACCTCACTTCCTCCAACCTGCGACAGCTATCAGAGCGTCTGCCTCACCAGCTTTTCATATCTCTTTGCGATCACCACCTCCAGCCTTTCCATTTTCTTATCACATCGTCTCTCCCAAGATGCTCAGTCACGGCGGGATGACCTTTGAGGAATTCATCGCCCAGGGCGAGGCTGCTTTCGCTCGAAGTGAGGCCGCTGCCGCTCTTCAGAAGCCTGAAACCCTTTTCGGCCGCGTCAAATTCTTCTTTGATTCCGCCTTGAAGAAGTTTCGCCGTCCTGCTAACGCTCCTGCCCGACAAGTCAATGAGGCGGTACATGTACAGGTCGCCAGCGACGAGGAGAAGAAGAAGAAGAAGCGCAAGAGGGGCGAGGATGCTGAGGAGAAAAGGAAGAAGCCCAAGTGCGAGAACAGAAAGCGCAAGAGCGACGACGAACAAGGCTCACCCGTGAGTCTTTCGCTGTGTCAATGATACTTCCGCTTCTAACGCTCATCTCAGCGCCCTGTCAAGAAGTCCCGTCCCACGCCATCCCCACAGATGAATGGAATGGTAGACCGCGCTACGCCTGAGCCCGTAAAGGAGAAGACTACTGTGAGTGTAGCCATGCCTCCATCACGAGCCTTCCCCTAACCCGTATTTCAGCATGACATTGGAGTTCAGACCAGTCCCATAGCTGAACCTGTCGCTCTCCGAAAGACCCTTGGCGCTCCTCGCAACGACTCGGCAATCGATCTGAGCAGCTCCGCCGCCACTCCCTCCACGCCCTCATATCTCCAAGATCCTTCGACCGCCAAGTTCACGCCCGAGGAGATTCGCAGAATTGAGCGATCCGTAAAAAGGGCTGCGTACTCCGAATCCGTTGCCGCTGCGAAGGACAAGCAACGCTCCTCCACCATCACCACTGATGTTGCCTCTGCAAAGGACAAGCAACAATCACCCACCACCACCACAGTTGCCAGACTCTCCGGCACTGGTGCTCTGAAGACCAAGAGCCCAGAGAAGACTCCTGCTCCCGCTAGCTCCCGCATCGTCATTGGAAGGAAGACGAAAGTGGGGGACGAGGGAGCTGAAGAAGTCAGCTACCTGATGAGCGACGGAACCACTGCGGATCTGCCCAGGGGATGTATCCACCTGCGCTTCGACGGCCAGAAGCCAGTGATCCAGAGGACTGAGAAAGCGAATCTTTTCGAAATCCACGAGTTCCTTAGGTTCACGAAGGCGAAACTAGCACCGCCGCCGAAGAAAGAGCAGGTGGTTGAGCAGACTGAGCAGAAGCCTGAGGAACGGCAGGACACCGGTTCCTCAATGATCTCGAGCACGATGCCTGTAGCAGTCCAAGAGCCATCCGCAAGCCAGGAGGCCGAGGCGCAGGGTCCCACTTCCACCCAAGCGTGGGAGGCGCGCAGGCGTGAAGTCCAGGCAGAATGTGAATCTCTGCTGGCCGAACAAGCCAAGAAGCAGCCGGCTGCTGTTTCCACGGCTCTCCCCGCAGTTGTCGAGATACCGACCCAAGAGGTCGAAGTCCAGAAGCTCGAGCGGGAGGCCATTGAAGCCCCAAAGCAGGTAGCCAGCATCCCGGCCCTGCTCCCTCACACCTTCCCATTCCCGGCCACAGAGCCCGTAGTCAAGCAGCCCATGGTTGATGAGGCTGAAGATAACATGGATGGCATTCAGTATGCCCCCACCATTGTGGTCTCCCTCATTGCGAAAGACCTTCCCGTGAATGTTCCCGCGCAGATCCCAGTTCAGCCTCCTCAGCAGATGTCTCTCCCAATGGCACTGCCTGCTCCTATTGCACCGACTGTGCCATTCCCCCTTGCACAGATCCAGACCACTTGCTCCCACTCTTTTCAGGATAGAGGATTCGGAAGCATGACAGCACTCACGACCGATACAGCGTCGCCGATGGATATTGAGCCCTGTAACCCATTCCTAACTGGAAAGTTCGAGAGCACAACTGCCTCGAAAAATGCTCCTTTAGGGTTGGGGAACTCGATGCTCAAGCCCAAGACCATCCCCGAGGACATGGAAGTCGACGACAGCTGGGCACTCCGAGAGAAAGAGGCCGTGATCGAGACTCAGAAGTTCGCCGGCTACGATCTTTCGAGCGGATACAAGTTGAGCGAAGGCAAGCTGGACACAGCTATTGACGACCTTATCCAGAGCGTACAACAGGAACAGGCAGAACGCAATGCGAGCAACGGTCGCTATAGGCGAAGGGGTGGTGACGCTCAGAAAGCGCAGAGTAGGCCATACAGATGGGGCACGGGTCGCGGCGCAGATGCAGGATATGAGGGCGACGCTGACACTGAGTACGAAGTCAACACATTCTCAACTCAACGTATTACTAATTCGAGGAGCAGAAACCGAAGGACACGCAAGAATGGACGGAAGGGAACAGAAGCAGGCCTCACAACCCCACGCGGCCTTCCTACCACTGCATACTGCCGTGCGTTTGCCAGGAACGGGCGCTGCAGGTTCGGCAACAACTGCAAGTACAGCCACCAGACTTCGACCTCCAGGACCCGGATTGCCGCCGCGGATGTTTACCCTACGACCAGATGGGATCGAATCGGTCTGAGAGTTCCTCCTTGGGGTTGTGGCGCGGAAGATCGTCCCAGGTCATTGCAGCGGGCCACAGCTGAAACCCGCCGTCGGACGCCTCCCATGCAGGGCTCCGATACCGAGGAGGATACAGACACGGAAGCGCTACAAAGAACCCTCAAAGCTCAATCTTCCATCTTCCGGCCGCCATCGCTTATGGTCCCACCGCAATCCGTTACGTTCCGGCCACAGTCACCTATCTTCCGGCCACAGTCACCTATCTTCCGGCCACAGTCACCTATCTTCCGGCCACAGTCACCTATCTTCAGGCCTCAGTCGCCTATCTTCCGGCCGGAATCGCCGCTCTTCATTCCTGAGAATCCTGAAGACCTCCCGGAATATCAGGAGTCTGATGAGGAACCGAGGGGAAGGACATTCAACCGGGCCAGTAATCCCTCACCATCATCGGACGGAGCCAGAGGCACCACCGACTCCTATCGGCCTTCATACAGACCCAGCTGGCAGTGGAGCAAGCGCCCCACGACCGGTTCGACGACTGAGGAGGATACTGGCAACGGCAACAGCGGCCGTGGAACCTCTAACGCCCCTGTACAAGTCTCTCAGCGGAACATGATGCCATCGTCCAGTGAGGATGAGCTTGACCCTACGCCAGGTAAGATGACCGCTTGCAGATGTCGTGATTCCAATCCACCAAGCATAGATATACTGACTGACAGCAGCTCCACGACCAAAAACTGTACGATTCGGAGAGCAGTCGGCGAAGACCAGGCCTACACCGGCTAAGAAAGCCCTCACTCGCAGCCCCTTCCTGGACTCGGATTCCGACGATGACGACGAGCTGTGAAAGACTACAAGGAGTTGCTGGGAATGTGGACGTGAAGGACAGCTGGATAAGTTCAACGGTGGCCAAGAAAGGGATTTGACACAGCAGAAAAGTGTTAGGAGAAGAGAGATATTTAGGAACAGTGTCTTGCTATGGGGAGGATGGTTATATCCTCAGGAAATCCTGGGATGCGGGAACAATGAACTGCCCAGGTGGATGGAGTGTGGTTCTGATTTTGAGCATGGGTTAGCGCCGGAGTTATTACGCCGGACATAAGGAGGGACTGTTTGGGCACGTGGCTTAAAGGGGTTCCTCCTATCAAGCGCTATTTCTCTTTCTTGCCCGTGTTCATAGAAGTGCCTATTTTCCTGCAAGTCTTTGGAACTGTTCATCGTTGATACAGCTAATCGAATACGACACGTGCCTCCTTCAACTTCCCCACCGGGCGCCGGCCAGCACTTGAGGTGCCGTTCACCAATCCGCGCCTTGGCGTTGCTGTCCCGTACACGATCCACACGCCTCACTGACACATCTCACTAACTCACAAACCACAACAATCGCATGTTTTCCAAATGCGGTGTAAAACAGGTAGGCGTTCTCAGAACTCCCAGGATCTGTTCAGATTAGCTGACAAGCGGCGAAGGATTGCGGGGACGCCAAGCGGGGATTATTAGGCAATGCCTGAACATATATCAGCGTCGGGGTGTCTTTCCCATTGCAGTTCCTCTGCATCACCCACGGTCTTCTGACAGAATTCGTTATGGTGGACTCAGATCTTGAATGGTCAGATCTAGAATGGGAAGACACGGTTCTAGTTGGTCTTGAAGATATTCTCGAGTTCAACGAAGAGAACATCCTTCCCCAACCCCCGGAGACGGTAGAGAAGATTCGTGCATGGCTTCAACCTACCGACTATTGCGGTGAGGGCAGCGATTACCTGAAACATCTCGCATCCCATCTTCGGGGAACGGGCCAGTGGTTCTTAAGCTCAGACACCTACACCAAATGGCTCCGCGGCAATGAACATGGAATGCTCTGGGTTCGGGGTGGGTACCTATGGATTCGCTGAGACATATTTAGCCGCCCTAACTCATAGCAGGAGTGCCCGGCTCAGGAAAGTCTGTGCTTGCAGCCTCAATCATCAGACAACTGTCACAGGAGCAAGTCCCCGTTCTCTACTTCTTTTTCCGGCAGATTATAGACGCGAATCAAGGCGCCGATGCTGCTTTACGAGATTGGATAGCTCAAGTACTGCCTTTCAGTCCTCCTTTACAAAGTCAACTCCTTTCATATCTGGCCACGGACGTTACCAGTAGCGACAACAGCCATGCCTACGCGCGGACGTTAGAGAGTTTCTCTACAACAGATCTGTGGCGACACCTTCGCAGTGCACTGTCACATTTGCGTAAGGTCTACATTGTTGTCGACGCTTTGGATGAGATGAAGCAAGGAGAAGAGACAAGTATATTCTTGCGCTCGCTGGCCAGCATCGCTGAATGGCAGCCATCCCAAATCAAAGTGCTTGCCACCAGCCGAGCTACAGCAAGCGTAGAGCGAGCGTTGAGACGCGAAAAGATACTGCGATTGAGGCTGGAAGAAAGCAAAATCGACGTTGACATCAAGGCGTTTGTCAAGTCCAAACTCGCCAACTCACACATCCCCCCGGAATTTCATCAAGCGATAAAAGCTGCTGTTCCTGGAAAAGCAAATGGACTGTTCCTCTATGCGAAACTCGCCATGGACGCGGTTCTCAAACTCGACACCACAGATTCTAGGCAATTCCAAAGTAGCATTCAAGACCTTCCGGGCAACTTGAACATCATGTATTCGCAGCTTCTCCGCGAACATGCTGACAAGGCGGAACTACCGATTGAAGTTCAGGTATTGATTCTACAAGCCGCTACACATTGTCCTCGGCCTATGCGTTTGATTGAAGTAGCGGACTTAATTCACGCCGTATTTCCGACGCAAATTCCTGACTTGAAAACGGCGAAAGGGGTCGTCCGATCAGCCTGCGGACCGCTGTTGGAAGTTCTTCCCGATGAGACTTTGTGTGTCGTTCATCACTCCCTCACTGAATTCTTGATAGGGGACACGAGGAATGGCGATGACTACCCTATTCTGGAGCCCGGTCCCACGCATCAAGCCCTAGCGCTCCATTGCTTGACTTACCTGATGTCTGGGTGCTTGGCAAAAGTTCGAGAACCTGGATCAATGAACTGGACATATCCTTTCGGAGACACCCTCACTTCAGACGGCTCCATGCTCAGTCCTTTGACGAAGTATGCGGCAGAGAATTGGCATGTGCATGTCAAAAAGGCCACATCCTATGGAACTGGTGGAGGTGAAATCGACGCAATGCTTGATCAGTTCACTGAGCACGAAGATTTTTCGAAATGGGTGACCTTGGCGGGCCTTAATTATCAGGACATTGTTTCTCCTGTGTCGATGGCCGTAGCACTGGGCCTCACAGACTATCTGAAGACGATAATCTCTCGACCTGGAACGGACATCAACGCGGGAACGCCAATTCCACTCGCTGCAGAGAAGGGATTTCTGGACATGGTTAATCTCCTCGTGGAACACGGCGCCGACATTTCTCAGCGTGATTTCCAGGGTTACACAGCTCTTCACCATGCCGTGAAAAACAATCACGCCGAGATCGTTTCGATCATCCTTCGAGCCAGATGCGACCCTAGTCGTCCACACGAATCTCGAGACTTCAGACAAGGATTCGGCGTTGATGGCAGTCCCTTTTGGCACGCTTGCCACGACGGTCATACTGCCACTGTGACCAAATTTTTGCCTTACATTGAATCTGGGAAAGTCATCAGCGATGCGATCTTTTGGGCAGCCAAAAATCGACAAGCAGCTGTGGTGAAGACACTACTCCAACGCTCAAAGTTTAACTCCCATGAGCTGGAACTGGGACGTGCTCTTCAGGAGGCATGCTCACGCAGTGATCTGGCCGTAATCCAACTCTTAGTCGCGGCTGGCGCAGATCTTAACGGTACGCACGACGGCGATTCTGGCTACGGAATCAACGGAATCAACGGAATACAACCAGGGTTGCATGCATTAGTCCCTGAGACAGCGTTGCGCCGAAACGTCCCGTTTGAAGTTACCAAAGAGTGCTTTTCCTTGCTCATAAATGCGGGTGCGAACGTGAACCAGCCAGACAGTGCTTCAAATACTCCCCTTCACCTTGCAGGGAATCCGATAATAGCAGAACTGCTTTTGGAGGCTGGCGCCAACGTAGCGGCGCGCAATATCTGGCAAGAAACCCCGTTGCACACCAATAATAGTCCCGCTGTGATACGACTTCTTGTTGAAAGTGGCAAGGCAGATATCGAATGCACCGATTACAGGAGAAGGACCGCTCTGCTTGCTTCGCTGGACAAGCACCCCGAACCACGTTATGAGGTGGCATTCGCGCTTATTGAGCTTGGAGCAAATGTCAACGCAGTCGACAAAGACGGCAACGGTTCCCTTCATCTCGCATTGGGACGCTTTCGACGTGACCAGCGCCTGCCAAATTTGATTGATCGACTTTGTGCGGCTGGTGCGGACGTAGACCTACGCAACAACAAAGGCGAGGCCCCTATCTATCTCATCAAGTTGGATCTGCAGAGCGCGATTTTCCAGGCGTTGATGCAAGCAGGTGCAAGGGTTGAGCCCCAGAATGATTCCGACAAAGATGCAATCTTCAAGTGGATCTGCGATACTATGTTCTCTGCAACAGATGATGAACGACCTCACGTCTGCGAAACCCTCGCAAAAGCAGGATTGAGCATTCATTTCACCGATGCCAATGGCTCCTTCCTGCTGCATGCAGCTATCGCTTCTCAAGGCCAAGGCGGCTCTCGCAAAGGGGTAGCTTCAGGGAGATGCATCCAGTTCTTGATCGAAAGCGGCCTTGACCCTCAGGTAACCGATAATGAGGGAAACACGTTGTGGCATGAGATGGCGCTGTCCGGCATTGCGAGCAGCTCGCTAGGTTTTGATGTGGAATCTCTGGAGGAGGTCCAGGCATTGTTGAAGGATCCGGAACAGGCGATAAAGCTAAAGAATATGCCCTTTGAGGATGCAACAATGACAGCATCAGCGAGAGACTCAGCTTGGGCTATTAGGCCATTTGACACCCTTCTGCGACTGGGTCTGGATCCTACGCAGCCAAATCACAATGACCAGACACCATTGCATTACCTTAGTAGAATATGGCCAGAGGCGGTGTGCGGTTTTAAGAGACAGTCCCCTAACATTCTTGGCCTGGGCCATACCGGAAAGACTACGGCATTCGATTTCGTCCTCTCTCTTTCTTCGGACGTTGATTATCCGGATAAAGATGGCATAACAGCACTACATCTTGCGTCAACTTTCTCAGAATATCAAACGAGACGGCTTCTTGAAGCCGGAGCGGACCCCCGTAAATGCACCTCTGAAGGATGCAACGCACTCCACGTTGCGGCACGCTCGAGAGCGGCAAACATACTTGGTATGCTACTTGAGTCTATTCACGTTCAAGAAGAGAGCAGTGCAGTCAATGTCGTCAACGGCAAGGATATGTATGGTCGGTCTCCACTGTTTTACGCTTGCGCTTCCGGGCAATATGAAAGTGTCAAACTCTTAATTGACGCGGGCGCGGAAGTCGAAACACTTGACTACGAATCTTCGCCATGGAAAGCGTTTGCAACTACTGAAGATGAGGCCAAGAATTGGTCAGCCTCCGCTCAACGCTTGAGTGATAAGTATGATGCGGGTGGAGTTATGACTGAGGACAAGAAACGACCTGTGAAGCACGATACTCCTCAACTCAGTCATAGGGCCGACGAACTCGTCGCACTCCTCTTATCAAAAGGGCCGGGTGCCGCAAAACTGATCGATCAAACCATTGCCGACGCAGCAAAAGCGCAGGCTGATTCCACGGTCGAACTTCTGTTACGTGCAAGGCAGTCTTTGGCACTAGGGGAACTGCAGTATACCACAGAAACCCACGCAAGTATTAGCAGGAGACAGACTAGCAGGGCCAACTTCGGCGGAGTGTGTGAGAACTGCAACGTGATCCACGAAAGAGGACCGCTTGAGAAGATTTGGACTTTCAACGACTACCATTTGCTGCCGGACGTCGTACCTCCGGAGGATCGCGTGACGTATGCTCAAGACGGAGGAACACTGTTGCACAGACTAGTGGGCATGGGCCTTGCAACGACGCTTAGGCACATGGTGACACTGGAGAGCGTACGAAAGATTGAAGACCCGGCCTGGTGCCTTGAACAGGAAGCCAGCTTGATTGCGAAGGGCTGCTACAAGCGATTAGAAGTAGTGCCGCTGCTTTTGGAAGCCTGTAGAAGAAGTCAGCCGAGTATGGATATCATCCATTTCCTGGTTGAAGACGTCGGCGTTGATATACATGCTCACCATCACGACCCTCATAAACCAGAGACGACCTATGAATATACCGTGCAAAGCGAGAGTTCTCTGCATGCTCTCGTTCGCGGCGGCTATTGGTGGCAGATTGGCCAGGCACTTCCTTATCTTCTGGAACGAGGCGCCAATACAGAACTTAGAGACAGCAGAGGCATGACTCCTCTGAGTGCTGCTCTAGAACGGACCGGCTGGCTTATTTTCAACAAGAAGGCGGTTTACCTGCTTGTCCAGCATGGCGCCGACGTCAACGCGGTTGACAACGCTGGCATTTCATGTCTTTCCAAGGCATTGTTCGACAGGGAGATTGTTGAAATACTTCTGAACCATGGCGCGAGGATCAGTCATGATGTCCTGGTGAACGTTATTGACGTCCAAGATATCGTACTACTTCGCTGGTTTCTTTCCAGAGGCGCAGATCCCAACGTACGCAGCTCAAGGCAGCTTCCCCTTAGTAACACTCTGGACCGCGTGGACCCGGATGCGATGTACCCATTGCACAGGCTGCTTTCCAAGAGCGAGTATGATATCGGGCAGGGTAAGCGTCTTATCAAACATAAGGAAATGATACGGCTGCTTCTTGAATACGGAGCCGATATTTGTGCTGAATACCCTGGCACTACTGTCCTACACAGCCTCATCAATCAAGGACACAGTGTTACTATGGCACTGTCGACTATCAAGCAACCCATTAACCTCGAGTGTCGCGATTATGCAGGGGATACCCCCTTATTGCTCGCTTGTCACCCGGCCAGTTCTGCAGCTTCATCGGACGTCGATGCGGAAGGTCGAACGCTCATTCATTGGTTAATCATGAATGGTGCAGATGTCCGTGCAACCGCCGACAGTGGGTATACCGCTCTCCATTACCTCTGCCAAATTGATTGTTCGTCGTCCACGAAGTTTCGGGATCTTCAACTCGTTGTTTCCACCGCACCGGATCTTGTCCATATTCGAGACAGAGCAGGTGATACGCCTCTCCATCTCGCAATGAGTACGGCTGAGTACTGTTACCGACAAGTTGATTTGTTGCTGGAGAACCAGGCCAACGTCAACCTGGTCAATGATAAAGGGGAAACAGTGCTGCATCTCCTTCTGAAGAGTCACCAATGGAAAGTCAATGCCAATGGTCAAGTGTGCGGAAGAACGAAAGACTACTTCACTCGACTATTAGATATGGGTCTCGACATCAACGCTCGAAATCACGCTGGCGAAACGCCCGTTTTTAACTTCGTCAGGGATGGCGGCGTGGAGAGGACGTGGTTGGGAAATAGAGCGGAGGTGGACGAAGGATTCGCAGAGGAGCGGCTGCGGGTCTTCTTCACGGAAGCCGGGGTGGATTGGGAAGTGGTCAACACCAAAGGCCAGAATCTTCTCCATGTAGTTGCTGGTCTTTCGGACGAAATCATATATACGCCGAAGAAACAAGGTAGGATGTTCAAGGCGCTATTGGATATGGGGCTGGATGCCGGCCTAGAGGATGAGGCTCAGATGACTCCGTTGGATGTTGCTGCGGAGGCCGGGAGTGAAAACATTCTGGCGCTGTTTAACAAAGCGGACGGCCAAGGGAGCAAATGAGGAGCTGAGATACATTCTGGTGAGGACATATCCGCCCAGTGGTGTTGATGGTTAGACTGACTCACTGGCGCAAAGGCTGCATAGGGCGCCTGGTAAAAGGTTGGCGAATATTTCAGCATGGGTGTAGAATCCATCATCTCGACTTTCACTACCTCCTCAGATATCACCAACGCTCCCACCACCCCCCCACGCGTATTCGAAACAGACCGCCGTGACGTTTTCCGATAATGACCTCAATGCTTGTGAAAGGAAAGAGAGGCTGTATGCGATGCCAAGCGAAGTCATGGTCTCTGCGTTCGGTCCACTTCCAGCGTCCCTCCCTACATGGGACTGCGGTGTCTTCTGCCTGCTTTAACTTCACAACATTCACAACCTTCCCAACCTGTCTTACAGTCTTACCAAGTCAACTTTGTGAACGTTTCTACTATGGTTTCCGACCCCTCGAAGGGTACGAAGCGGCGCGCAGCCGACCATGAGGCTCATCCCGATGAGGTGAATAAATGGATCAAGGTCGACGATAGCAAGGCATGTACTGGAACAGACCTGACTTCTTCGACCTACTGACACACGCAGCGTGCGCCTGCCAGGATCCCAGCGTTGCCGTACAAGAACACTCCCGAGCGTGAAGCCTTCCGCAAGAGGCGAGACAAGGCTACTGAGCGTATTGAACGTGCTCGTCTTGAGATAGTCAGGGTAAGCCGCCGCCGTCACAATATTGCATACAGGTAGTCTGACCCAGAGCAGAGGGCCGGGTCCAACCGCTATCATCCCGATGATAAAGCGGCTCAGTGCGAACTCAAGCAGGGATACGCCGAGCTGTGGAATGTGCACGTTGAGGCTGCAAGTACCATGCTATCATGAAAGGATGCGATCCTGCAGAGGTGGAAAAGATGGACGACCTCGATCTAATCCGGGATCGAATCAAGGATTGCAAAGCTGAATTCAGAGAGATTATGGATCGCCCGTCAGAGTACTACACGGAGGAACGGAGGAAGCAAGATGAACTGTATGCCGAGGCAAACAATCAGGACCGCAAAGGTCGCAAAGGCCGCCTAGGTAAGCAGTGATCTGCTATGTCCGGTGGTTGGGTGCTGTTATTGACAGGACTACATAGATGAATCGAGAAAGTCATCCACTAGTTCTGAGCGCAGTGGCCATTCTGGCCGCCATAGCACACCAAGCCTCTCGTTATCCAAGCCTTTGCCCAAAGACCTGTTCATTACTCCTCTATCCCACTGCGGACATGACGCGTTGGTGGGGGACACGGACAAGACCTCCGGATCCAACGGCCCCTCGCAACAGCATCTTCGCGATTCCGGATATTTCACGGACAGTGGCAGGACTCCTACGAAACTCAACGGCTCTTACGGCGATGCCAATGGCGAAGTTCAGACGGGCACTGTCCAGAAGCCGGTATCAGTGTTCGCCTCAATCCTGCTGCGGACGCAGGCCGAGAAATCTACCTCTGAAAACACGGAGCTGATTGCCTTCGGCCTTGATGGTGAATTGAATCCAGCATCGGGCCAGATCATGACCGCGACCCATCCAATTGTGGGTTTCAAGCCCCAAGGTCCAGTAGCGGAAAAGAGTGGTGGCTGTTCCGTGGTTGAAGGCCAGCTGGATACTGTCTCCAAACATCACATGGAGACCACCATCTCCGTTCTGCGTCTTCAAAGCACTACTCCGCCAAGTGCCCAAGAACATCCTAATGCAGAGTTTATTACTCAGTTCTTCCTTAAGGCTGCTAAGAACCGGCTACAAGGGGGGATCGTCAATTCTTCCACACTTCTCATCCCTAGCAAAGTAGCAGCCGACAGGAGGGCTGGAGTTCAGGCGAAGACCACTGAGCAAACCAGTCCACTTCGGCCAGAAGGCGGCCTGGCGCCGGCAACTATCCCGGAGGTGCAGAATTCCCATGAGTCTAAGCAGGAAGCGCACACTTCCGCGAATTATGAGGCCGAAGCAGCAAACCTGGAGATGGCGGACAATCATTCCAACTCCACACCCGTGCATACCCCTGCGACTACGGCCGCTAGCACCATAGATGAGATTGATTCTTCCATCCATACTCTCGACGAAGGCATTGATTCTGATGTTATCATTCTCCCATTGGATGCAAGCCTCCCCGGCCATGAAGACACATGCATAGAAGAGGGTACAGCTGCTCAAACATCCTGGGCAACTCAGACGCATGAGCTAACGGCCCTTGCAGCAGATTTTATCACCACGAAAAGCCATTTCTACCCCTCCATATTCAACGACGAGGATCACGACACGACTACGATAACGCCACAACAATGTGAATCTCGGGAAGATACGAGCTCGTATGCTGTGGCGGATATGATGTTGGGTAGCTTCGTTGATCAAAGCTGTGATGCGGAAACAGGTAAGGCTGAAATTGTTAAACAAATCGTGGGGAAGTTGCACTAACCTTCCCGCCATCAAAGGCGTTATCGCGCAAGAAATCTCTCATCACTCACACCAAGGTCCCCTCAATATCGAAGCCACGGCTGTGACAAAGGACCCATTTGTCCTACCCCTAGGAAATGGAGATACCCATGCCGATGACGATACCGATGATATACAGAGTGCAGAGAGCCCAGTGGAAGAGGCCATGGAGGCTTCTGCGATCGAAAGTTATGGGCAAGATACTTTAAGCGGAAAATGATGACTTCGAGATTGTACTGGAGGATGTGCCCGATACAGATGAAAAGGAAATGCCTGTAGTCGGGACGAGTTATATGAATAGTACAGAAACGGCCGATTTGGGAGAGATGCACGAGGCTTCGAAAAAGCTGGGGCTCCCCGGTCCTCCTGAAGACGACAATGACAAGTTCACAATCATTTTCGATGACCCTGACGACACGGATGGGAAAGCAAAAGCTGATGATAAGCTTGATACTATGGGAAGTGTTGACGATGACACAAATTGTTCTGAGCGCATAAGCGGCGGGCGAAGCCGTGAGGCATATGAGAGCGAATCTGCAATCGTCTTTGAAAACCCATCCGACAAAACCGAAGAGCTGGACTTCGATTATGAGACAGATCATGGCGACAAAATAATTATAGAATTTGGCTTCCAGGACACATCCAAAACCATCTTTAACGGTTGGTCCATACCTACCGGCTTTCCGTTAGAGGAGACCATGAAAACGAATCCCCACTTTCAGCTGAATCGTGCCGAGCTTACCACGATGGAAATCAACGGATACCTGGAGAAATACACAATGGACAAAATCATGGGTGACATGCGATCTCTAAAGAGACGCGATCACCAAATCGTTCTCCGCAATCTCCATCTAGAAACCATCATCCGGATCATGAACCGTATCGATGAACGGGAAGAGAAGAGGAATGAAGATGACCAAAAGATTTTCGCTCTTCAAGACCTCCTATGGCGCCTACTGAAGGTGCATCCTACTGCGGCATGGCACGATAGCAGCGAAATACTTCGGGAGAAGCGCAAGGGAGTCAGGGCTTTTTGCAAGTATGTCAACAGCGCGACTGGCTGCCCTAAGGGCTTCCATTGTAGCTTCTCCCATGCGCATGAGGGTCTTGCGTGTTACAATGACATGCACGGACAGAAATGACCTCTGAAAGACTCCTGTCTCTTCATTCATGAACGAGTCCCGGACAATATCACAGCTCCGAAAGGCATCATTTGCCAATACTTTCAAAATGGGACATGTCGTTTTGGCGACCTTTGTAGATTCGAGCATGTACTCATAAAGAAAGAGCCTGTAAAGCGGAGCCCCAACATTGAGTTCTGGGAGCGGCGGACCTGGGAATTAGAAGCCACGGGCGGAAATCCGTGGCACATCGAGGAAGGTTTGCCAGTTTCGATCCCTCCAAGCCAGACTATCGCCCCTTGGGCTGAGAAACGGAAGCGGGCACCAGACTGTGATGAAGCAGAGACCTTGAGTTTTCCGTGTCGATCGCCAAAACGACATCTAACGACATCGCAATCTCCACTGGCACACCGGGTTACAGTTCCCTTGCCTGTTACACCCTCTCCGCATACTGTTGAGCAACCTCTCCAAGGAACGCATGTAACAACACATCCACAGCGAGCACAGATGGCCAATCAAAGCATGCTCCTACAACTTCCAGATACAGCGATTCCCTCACCACAGGGACAGATAGTCCTGGATGATGGGAAGTGCGTTTCCCTTCCAAAAGAACCCCGTGCCATGCGCAAACCCACGAACCCGCACCCGGATTCCAGGAGTCCCTCTCCGTCATCACCGCAAAGCAATGCTAAACCAGTTCACCGTGGTCAAAAGCGCGGAAGGGAGGACGATGACGTGAGCATTCAGTCTTCGTTACAGCAACAGAGCAATGCTGGGCGGGGACCTCCAAAGCGCATACGGCAGAGCAATGATGCGAGGGGTGAAACGCCTTCACAGCACCATGTCAATAGTGAACGAGGGCCACAACAGCGCATGCGGACTATCCCTCCTTCCCAACTGCCTACAGCATCTTCGTCACAACTGAGCCAGCCAGGAGGAGGTTTCCAAATCCGAGGAACCGCCGAAAAGCGGTTGCAGGCGCCACAAGCCCCCAGTTCTACTTTTCACATCCGCGCGGGAACACTTACGCAGACTCCGCATGCCACGCCCTCTGTAATAAGAACTTCCGGTCATTCCACGAGTTTATGAACGCTTCGAGGACGCTACCCCAGACCATGGATGCATCTCGGTCAGGATGCCAATCAACCCACCCTCGCCTGAAGGATAATGCCAGACCGCAAGACGGTGCTGATGGTATGCCTTCCCGTGGCAGACAGTCAAGTTACCATGGACAACGCCAGTACAACACGAAGGGAAATGGGCGCCGTAACCACAACCAGTACAGCAATAAAGGGGTTAAAAAGATTTATTAAGCTAAAAAGGAACAGAAAAAAAGTGGAAAGAATTCAAAACATATCAAAAATATTTTAAGACTAAGGACGACATGAGCGAGGGAGGATCGATAGAAGTATAGGACAAATCTCATAGGGCATCAAGATAGGCATCTTCTGATCACCGCGATGTGATCAGGCCGAATTTTTGGCGGACACGGTAATGTATCTAGATGATACGTATTGAAACACTATTGCTCTCTATAACATGTGCATTGATGATCTGTGTGATACATTGCAATGAAAGCATTCTTCAGAGCTTAGGTATACCTGAACACCCGTACTTCCTTCGCATCTCACTGCCACTCTCACCTTCACGTAGGCGGCAGTGCCGGGTAACCGCCAGGGCGTCCATACTACGATCAGAGTCTCACTCCGTGCACAGCATTCACTGCACATACACAGAAAGAGTCTTCATGAATCAGAGTCGTGAAATCACACAGTAGCGGCCGCCGTCTTATCGTTATCGTATAATCACCGTTCACTGTTGACGTCTCAGGGCTTGGCGCGACCGGCTCCCGTCCGTTTGCTTCACTCACTCACGTGGTCCCGCATGACGGGCAGAAAACTCTTCTGCCTTCCAGAGCATCCCGTCGTTTCCCTCATCGTTGTCTGTTTTTCTCACTCTGGTCTCTTATTACTCTGTTCTCCAAAGCTTCTTCCTCTCTGGAGCTCTCCTCAATACTTCTCTCTGCCCGTTTACGCTCGCTCTCACCTCTGTCATTCGCTCCCCACGTGCTTGGTTTCCTCTCTCCGTGTTTCCTCTCGCTGCGTCATACTCTCGCTCGGTTCTCCCTCGCCCGAGTCGCTCTCTCCTCTCTTATTCCAACCCCTGTCGCTCTGTTCTCCCACGTCCTCCCTTCTCCCCCGAGGTCGCTCTGTCCTCTCGCGCTCCAATCGATCTTGCCTTGCCTCAATCATCGTCTTCCTTCTCTAGCCATCGTCGCGGCCCCCGTCGATTCCGAGGAAGTTACAATGCAACGTTGTCCGCTCGTCAACAAGCCGGGAGGCTGCCCACAAAAACACTGCCCCCTCTCTCACCGTCGTAAAGGAAAGCACTGCAGACACTATGCAGAGGGCAAGAAGTGCAGGTTTGAAGACAAATGCATATTCCTTCATGAGGATCCTGAGTCAGGAGGTCCGAAACAATTTACCGGACAAAAAAGAGCACCCATCGAAGTGACCCAGAAAGTGAGCGAAAGTTCCGCCAGTGGCGGGCTCAAATTCAAGGCCCCATGTCTCGCTCCAGACAAAGCAGATCCAACTTTTTCAGTGAAGCATTTGAGCTTATCGCCTTGGACGTCGGCATCATGCAATCTGTCATTCAGTGCCTCGCTTCGGAAGGGGGGCTGAAGCGCATACTCTTCCTGGTAAAGGAGGAGATCAACAGCACAGCCGCTCAAAGCCAGGGTGCTGTTGTGATGCGGTCCATTTTGCCATTCCTCCAGACTATCAGTTATCAGAAGGTTCTCAGCTCCGCCTTACTAGAACAAGCAGTCGGCACAATCTATAACGCTATTTTCGGGCCCGGTGGTCAATATGCACTGGCACGCTTTCGTTTCGCGGCAAAGAACTTGGATCCACTCTCTGCCGACGAACTCGAACCCGTTCTGGGTGTCTTCGCTAAGACGCTGGACATGAATGGCACCGCGCTTCTCATGGACGATTTCAAACAGATTGCTGATATATTTGCCGCTGCCCTGAAAGAAAAATCCGGATTGCCGGATACTGACGGCCCTACCGCGGTGGGTGCGCTCAAGTGGCTTAATCGTGCAAAGGGCCGCTTGGGAATGGACGTACCTATGGCAGTAGAACAGATGCACCGCAAGAAAAGTACAGTCCTAGTACATTTCGAGTTCGCAATCGATCTTCCTGGACATCTCTCGGAACATGGTCCAAGACACGACAACGATTTCGCGGATATTCGCGACATTCGAATCTTGCCAACATATCAAGAGATTATCTGCACACGCGCTCCTTTTCTCCCATTACTGGACTCTTCGACTCATCATCTGCCTGGCATAGAAGGCTTGATTGATCGGCACTTTCGACTCTATCGTGAAGATGTCGTCGGCCCCATCAGAGAGACGTTGAAAGCCGAGTTGTACAAACAATCGCGGCCATCGGAGAAGTTGAGATATGTGGAACACGGTGTGAGAGTAAATTGCTACAAAAGCCTATCATTCGTGCGCCTTCGATGCGATCCCTTCCACGGCCTCACCGTGACGGTGACCGTTACCCAACCGAAAGAAGTTCAGAGGATGTCTGACAGCAGTAGAGCAGAGTGGTGGACATCGAAGAAGCGCCTGCAAAAAGACTCCTTGGTCTGTATCTTGGACCCTACGACTCAGCAAGCAATCTTTGGCTGCGTTGTGGAAATCAAAATTCGCAAGCGCCGCCACTTCAGAGATGAAGATGATTCCCAGGACTATAAAAGCAATGAATCGGAAAGTGAGGAAGAAGAGGAAGACCATGAGGCGTTCTTCCAGGATCTTGCCGGAAATCCCCAGTTCGCGCGGCTTACCGTCCGACCGCTGGAAGACGGCCATGCAATAACTCTTGCGGACTACTCTACAGGTTCCAGAGTTTCTCATAATCTCTTGTTCGTGGAATTTCCGAAAGTAATGGTTCAGACATTTCAGCCCACCCTCAAGGCCCTTCAGTCTATGATTTCACAACTTGAGATTCCCTTCGCGAGATTACTTGCACCATCAAACGACTCCGAGAACGTGTTAGAGGTTGAACCGCCTCTATATGCGAGACAGCGTAACTTCAAGTTCAACCTTAGCTGTCTATTGCAAAATGGGCAGGTCTTGTCGTTTTCCCCTAGGGAAGAGTTTGAGTTGGAGACGCTTACTGATGCGTGCACACTCGACGCAAAACAGGCGGAGGCTCTGATCAATGCACTATCACATGAACTAGCCATATGCCAAGGACCTCCAGGAACGGGCAAAAGCTTCACAGCGCTGGCTTTGATAAGAGCTTTAGTAGCCAACAAGATCTCTGGTGATCTAGGGCCGATACTGGTGGTCACCTACACGAATCATGCACTAGACCAGGATATGGAACACTTTCTGGACAGCGGAATCAGGAAGATCATTCGCATAGGAAGCCGTTCCAAAAGTTAGCGTTTGCAGAATCTCAATCTCCGAGTCGTTGCACGAGAGATGAATGAGACCCGTCCAGAGGTTGAAGAAAAACGCAAGTGTTTCCGGAGGATGGCCAATGAGGCTAATGATGTCAACCATGAAATTCGCGGGCTAGGAGTAGGGAGCGAATCTCAGCGAATTAAGGAATACCTCTTCCAAGAGTACCCGGAATACTATCAACAGTTTTGGGGAGCAAGCGAGGATGGATTTCAGATTCGGTCCTCCCGTTCCAGATCAATACTTGAAACCTGTCTGAATGGGAAGTTGGGTGGGATCACGAACGAGCCTCGTCTCATACGCAGTGCAGAGGAGCTATTAGATGATGAATGTGGCATCCGAGATATGTACCCCGAGGAAAGAAGAGCGCTATATGAGTTCTGGAAGGAAGGCTCGCAAGCATCGCAGCACCGGGACTTCATTTCTGCGTTGGAATCATATCAAAACTCAAGGGAAATGTATGATGCTGCCAATCAAGAGGTGGATCTTAGGTGTCTGTATGAGGCCGATATCATCGGCGTCACGACATCGGGGCTTGCGCGACACTTCGATCTTCTAAAACGCCTGCCTATCAAAATCTTGCTTGTGGAAGAAGGTGGCGAGGTCTTGGAGGCTCATATTTTGACAGCCTTTCTTCCATCGTGCAGCATGCCATCTTGATAGGAGACCACCAGCAGCTGAAGCCCTCTGTAAACAATTACAATCTCTCCTCTGAAAGCCAAAATGGGAAAAAATACTCCCTCGATATGTCTCTCTTTGAGCGGCTCGTCAGCCCCCCGGAATGGCTTCCAGCCCGGAAACTATCCTTCAGCACCTTGGAGATCCAGCCGGATGCACCCTTCAATTTCCACCCTGATTAGAGAGACATTATACCCACGGCTTAAGGATGCACCCAATGTATCCCTCTATCCGGAAGTCGTGGGGATGAGAAAACGTCTGTTCTGGTTCGATCACGAGGTTCCCGAGGTTGGCGCGGAAACAGACGAACTTGTGGCCTCCTCCAAATCCAATGATTTCGAAGTGGAGATGACGGCATGCCTGGTGGCCCATCTACTTTTCACAGGGGGGGTATGCGTCTCAAGATATTGCTGTTATCACCCCGTATCTTGGTCAACTGTTCAAACTTCGCGACAAACTTTCCCGGCAGTATGAAGTTGTCCTGGACGATCGAGATGCAGAGGCTCTGGAGAAGGCAGATTTAGGATCCGATACCGCGAAGCTGCCAGCCATGAAGACTAGCCTTCTAAAAAGTCTGAAGGCTGCCACAATTGACAACTTTCAAGGTAATGAAGGGAAGGTCGTCATTGTATCCCTCGTACGATCAAACCGGCAAAATATGTGTGGGTTTCTGAAGACTCCAAACCGGATCAACGTCCTGTTGAGCCGAGCGCAGCATGGGATGTAAATCATCGGGAACTCCAAGACGAGTGCTGCGGTGCCCATGTGGTCGCAGGTTATTGACATGTTGAAAATGCAGGGCAACATTGGGCCAGCGCTTCCATTGTGTTGCTCGAGGCATCCAGAGACGACTATTGAGGTCAAAGAGCCAGATGACTTTGTAATACATGCTCCAGAAGGCGGTTGCAGCCTCCGCTGTGGCAAGCGTTTGGAGCCGTGTGGTCATGCTTGTGAGCAGAAATGCCACTCAGATCTACGCCACAAGAGTGAGTACTTTTGGAAAAATTTCCCACTAGCCTTGAATCTAACTTTTTCTTTAGATGTAATCTGCCTTGAGCCCTGCAATAGGCCTAAAAAGGGATGCGAGCATGTATGCCCCAAACCCTGCGGCGAAAAGTGCGATCCACTGTGTAAAGAATTCCTTAGGAACGTCAATGTCCGGCTCAATTGCGATACAGTGAACGACTTGCTCTGTCATCAATATCAGAACCAAGGAAAGATCAAGTGTACAGTTCTCACGGAGAAGACCATCGACAATTGCAAGCATACCGTCAAGGTGCAATGCCACGTCGATGTCAATGCGAAGACCTACATATGTACTGCCGAGTGTGGCACACGCCTTAAGTGCGGTCACATCTGTGAGTTAGAAATTGTTTGTTAACAGGATTTCACTGATCTGCTGCCAGGCACGAGGCCCTGCAACTCCTGCAACGGCTTGACACACAAAATATGCCTCAAGATCTGCGGTCGACCTTACTCAAACTGCGATCATACTTGCGCTGGCAGGTGTCATCCAGGCACACCGTGCGGGCTATGCAAAATGCCATGCCAGGTTGCTTGTAGTCATAGCAGATGTGATAAAGTATGCTCAGAACCATGTAACTACCCCGTGCGCAAAAGCAGAATGTGCCTCTGGTTGTCCGCACAGTAGATGGTGAGTTTCCCACATTCCACTCCCAGAACTTATAGATAATGACTTGCTATGCACAGTTCGATGCCGTGTGGTGCCCCATGCGACTTCATTCCGTGTTCAAAGCGCTGCGATAAAATACTGTCGTGTGGACACCAATGTGAGTAACAGTCCGAGTTCAGCTTAATCGTCGAATACGTGCCTGACTATCTAGGCCCTTCTGTATGCGGCGAAACCTGCCCAGCACCGAAGTACTGCCAACAGTGTGGGAATAGCACCATCAAGGATATGGTTGTGGACTACCTGGAGATGAAAACGTACAAAGAAGTAGACCTTGACGACGATCCCGTCATATTCCCCAACTGCGGCCACGGGATAACCATGCTGAACATGGACGGGAGCTTGGAAATATCGAAGGTCTACGAAATAGACCCCGACGGCAAAATCAAGGGTATACAGTGCACCGAACCCTTCCAAGGCGAATTGAAGCAGCTTCCTGGCTGCCCCGTTTGCCGGGGCACTCTTCGCGGGATAAATCGATACGGTCGCTTGGTACGCCGTGTTCTGCTGGACGAAAGCACGAAGCGTTTCATTACTTGGGCTGGCTCTCAGTTCAGCCCTGTCTCGGAAAAGCTATTCGAAGCTCAGGACAAACTCTCAAAGGCACCACATATTCCAAGCGATGCAGTGCTCCCTCCCCGACTAGATATTAGCGGGAGCCGCGGAAACCAGTTTCAGACTCTCGTGAACCTTACGGAAGGGTGGACCCGCTATGACGATATGAAGAATGCCCGAAATGCCATTGCATCGTATTATGCTAAAGTCAACAAAGATGCAACCCCGTTCGCGAAGATCTGGCAGCTCGTGGAGATTGCTAGGCGTAGAGCTGGAAGTCCGACGGCCGTCCAGTTACAAAGTCCAGTATCCCAGGTCACTTTCCACATCATAGTTTTAGCGTTACTAATTCGATGCGATGTTGCTCTGCTCGCTGACATGGTCAATGAGCTTAGCAAAGTGAAACAAGGTCCTCTCCGGACGAAGATAACGCTGGATCTGTCTCAAAGCCGGGTTGACTGCGAGGTTCTCATCACGGAAGCCATTCAGGCCAAGGACTACGAACGCGCTGTGGAAGGCAATATCTTGTTTGCGCGATACTGTGCGATTGAGGTGCCGTTCAGGTCGACGCCGGCAGATGCGCAGAGCCTGAAGGACATGGGGAAAATGCACGTCGACTCAGCCTTCACTTGGTGCAAGCAACACGGCGGAAAGCTTCAAAGTTTGGTCTCGGAAATCGAAGATGTCAAGCGTATTTTGAATGGCGGCACCTTCATGCAAACCGTCACGTCCGAGGAACGGCGCGCTGTTCTGGCAGCTATGACGAGAGAGCTTGGAAGGGGGACGGCGCATTGGTATACGTGCGCCAATGGACATCCTTTTGCGGTTGGGGGGTGTGGTATGCCAATGGAGCAGACGCGTTGTCCGCAATGCGGCGCGAATGTTGGTGGCCGAGATCATAGGCCGGCTGCTGGAGTTTCCCGCGCCGACGACTTGGAGAGTGAGTTGGCCCAGCTGAGGTTGGATCGTTGAGTTAGGGTGGGCTACGCCATTGGGTGGGTTTGTGAACTAGTTGGGGGTGCAACGTGTGTGGACGATGTGAAGGGTACAATCTGTCGTCTACACAATCTACTGTATCTTGATAAACGCAGCGAGGATTTGCTTCTTTACATGCGGTGATAAGTTAGGGTAGGAATGGTCGGTCCCATACTCCGCATACTGTGCTGTAAACAGCGAAAATGATATACTGGGGTATGATGTGCAACGTACTGTGCTTCAAAGCAGAAATGCTCCTTTTCTGAAGGTGAATACTGCTTACATGACAGGATATCCAAGGATCATTCACATTGAAAATGCATTTACATCTTTCCAACCGCCATCCAAGCACTACTTGCCTTCGCCACTGCCTCCCTCCTCTTCATCATCAAGTCCCAAGCCACCCACCTCACCCAAAAATGCGGTGTTCCCCACGCCGCTCAGCAAACTCTGCACATCCACACCTCCAGAAGTCAAATACCTTGCACTAACCCCCGTGTTCACCCTCTGTGCCAGCAGCGCTTTCAACTCCGCCCTCATAGCCTGCAGCTCCGCTTTCGAGAGACTCCTCGCCTCCTTTTCCTTCTTCTTCCTCCCACTGCCCCTGCCCCTCTTGCCCCTCATTCCAGCCTCCAATTCATCGCTATCGTACTCCACACCCAGGTCCTCGGCTGCCTGCCGCAAAAAGTCATCCTCACTGTGCTTCTTCTCCTTTGCGATGACCGCGTCCGCAAGAGTCTTGGCGAGCGAGGCTCGCGGCTTCAATCGCGACACAATGCGGCGATCGATGTCGAGCGTGCGGATGAAATGCGTCGTCTTCGCTTTCTTCCCCGAGGACGACGCCTGCGCGTGGACTTTGGCGACGAGACGGCGCACGCCTGCCACTTCTTCTGGCGCGCAGATCAGGACGCTGGAACCCGACGCGGAGCCACGTGCTGTGCGGCCGGAGCGGTGCACGTATGTGTCGGCTGTGCGGGGGAGGTGGTAATGAATGACGATTTCCACTCCTGGGATATCGAGGCCGCGTGCTGCGACATCGGTGGCTACCAGGATGGAACCGGCGCGCTCGGCGAATCGTTCTACGGATCGCAGACGCGCTTTCTGGGGCATTTGGGAGTGGAGGGGGAGGGCGGGAAGATTGAGGTTTTGCAGGAAGGGAGTGAGGCGGCGGACGGCGGAGATGGAGTTTGTGAAGATGAGCGAGCGGCGGTTGGGATGGAACATAAGGATTGAATAGAGGTAGAGGTCCTTTTCCGTGCCGACGCATTCAATCAGACCTTCCTTGAGCCCCGAGGCCAGCTGCGAAGTGGGGTTCGCGTCGATGAACTTGGGCTTTTCTTCGCGGAAGTGGAGCTTTCTGAGCAGGTACTCCATGGATTCTTGCTTGTTCATCAGTTCGCCGGCTTTCTTGTTTTTGCCGGCGAGTTTCTGCTGGAGGCCTTTGTGGAAGGTGGCGGAGAAGACGAGCGTTTGGCGTTCGACCTTGGAGTCTTCGGTGTCGCGGGCGTTCTCGGGTTCGTCCTCGTTGGGTCCTTCGGAATCTTCGCGGTCGAGCACGTTGATGATTTCTTTCATCTCCTTGAAGTGGCCTTCGCTGAGCAGACGATCGGCTTCATCTACAATCAGAAAACGAATCTTCTTCAGCGATGCTAGCAGACCGTGGCCACTGCTGATGACTTCCCATAATCGGCCAGGGGTACCGACTATGATGTTCGCCGTCTCAAGCTGCCTCTGTTGCTTCTGGACGGAAAGGCCTCCAGTGATAGTAGCTATGGAGGGGGCTTCATCTACCCCAGAACAGAGTTTCGACAAGTGCGCCGAAATCTGGTGCGCTAACTCGCGAGTCGGTGAGACTATGAGCGCTAGGGGTAACTTCCGTTCCGGTGAGCCTTGAGTCAAGCCTAGATATGTTTCCAGCACAGGTATGCCAAAGGCTAGCGTCTTGCCTGAACCTGTGGAAGCCTTGCCGATAACATCATGGCCTGCGAGGATTTCCGGTATGGCGGAGCTTTGGATTGTTGTAGGTTGCGCGAACTTCAGGCGAGCGATGGCTTCCAGCGTGTCTGGGGACAGCCCTAGGGGTTCCCAGGCCGACACATCCACCTCAACATCCTCATCATCCGTTGGCGCATCCGCTAGGATGTCGAAGACACTTTTCCCATTGAGCTCTGGTACGTCTGACAAGTCGTCTTTCTGCTGTGGCTTGTTTGTCTGTGTTTTCTTGGTCTCGTGGTTCGATTCGCCATTCGTATCGTCCCGTTTCCGCTTCTTATCCTTCTTCTTACTCTCCTTTGCTGTCTGGCCTGGCTGCTCCACGGTCGCAGGTTCCTCTGCCGCATGTTGTGCGTTTTCCTCCTGCGCTTCAGTTTGACCCTCATCTTCACTAAACCCTTCCCAGGATTCCGCATCGCCTTCCTCGTCCTCCCTTTCTTCCTCTACTTTATTACTGTTCCCTTCCTCCGCCTTCTTCAGCTTCTCTTCCGCCTTCCTACTCTCAAACGTCACCGCGCCCGTCACCTCGTCCCTCACAACATCCACATCATCAATCTCCTCCAATCCGAAAAAGCCCTCATAGTCGTCGAGGCGATCCGGCATCTCCACCGGCTTCCATTGCAGCTGATCGAGGCGGACCTTGCGCGATTGCCCTTCCACTTTCTGCCGTTTGCGAGATTTCATTTCGCCGTTCTTGTGGGGGCGGCTTCGTTTCGCGGAGGTTTGCACCATGGTTTCTCAATTCTCCGGTGGCCTGGAGGAGAGGTTGCTCGTAGGAGGTCTGGGAAATTTCGTCGGAGGTCGGGTAAAACTGCCCCGCTTCCACTTGCAGCGCGTATACTTTCCGTTAGCGGTAAGCGACTGCACGTGCAGAGACTTTCACATCGTAAACCCAATTTGGAGAATCACGCATCGCAAAACGAGGTCCCTAGGCGTACGGCGAATATTGTGAAGGCCACATAGGAATTTAATTATTTCGAATTGCTGTATTGCACGATCAGCACAACTGGCATTTCACGCAAACCCGGGATAATTCTCCTTCGTAATCCCCTAGGGCTCCTCACCCTACCCACACCAAGATGGGCAAATCGTCCAAAGATAAGCGGGATGCATACTATCGACTCGCCAAAGAGGAGGGATGGCGCGCCCGCTCAGCGTACAAGCTCGTCCAACTAGACGAAGAATTCAACCTCTTCGAAAATGTCACCCGTGTTGTGGACCTCTGTGCAGCACCCGGGAGTTGGTCGCAAGTGCTATCAAGAGTGCTCATCAAAGGTGAAAAGTTCGGAAGAGCGGGCTGGGAGAGGAAGCAGGAGGAGATGAGGAGGTATGTCCTGGGTGATGAGAACAAGGAGAATGCGAGGGAAGAGTCAGAAATTGCCGCACAAAAGCAGGAGAACAAGGAACCTAGGAAAGACGTCCGCATCGTAGCCATCGATCTGCAGCCAATGTCTCCTTTGGAAGGGGTCACGACTCTTAGAGCGGACATCACGCATCCTTCCACCATACCCCTCCTCTTGCGAGCACTGGACCCTTCCTCAACGTCGGCATCATCATCGCCAACACACTCGGTCGACCTAGTCATTTCGGACGGTGCCCCTGATGTAACAGGCCTACACGACTTGGACATCTACGTCCAATCCCAGCTTCTGTGGGCAGCGCTGAACCTGGCTCTCTGTGTACTGAAGCCTGGAGGCAAATTCGTGGCCAAAATCTTCCGTGGCAAAGACGTCGATTTGCTGCTTGCGCAGCTGAAGATTGTGTTTCACCGGGTGAGGGTCGCGAAGCCGAGGAGTAGTAGGGCAAGCAGTATTGAGGCCTTTGTGGTTTGCGAGGGCTTTTGCCCGCCTGAAGGGTTTACCGCGAGTTTGGACAAGCCTTTGGGCGGTAGTGCTGGTTTGGGTATTGAGAAGAAGAAAGAGAAGACTGAGCCTAAGAGGACTGTGAGAGAAGATGGTGCAGTGGAGATCGAATTGGGCTCCGAAAGCGACGAGGAGGGACAGGAGGATGATATTCAAGATGGAGGTGCTCGGTGGATTGCCCCATTCCTAGCTTGCGGCGATCTTTCTGCATTTGACTCGGACGCTACATATCACCTGCCCAAGGATAGAGTCAGTCTGGATCCCATACAGCCACCCACGGCACCACCTTATAAGCGGGCCCTGGAGATGAGGAAGCTGGCTGGAGGAGCATATGGGAAGACCAAATTACACGAGCATCCGGACACTACATAATAAGAATCACGAGTCGCTCTGTGTCTGCGTTCGGCCAACAATTCAGCAGAATCTGTTTCATGGTGTGCTCTCGCATGTACTCATACGGCAGCCAGCGCGATTCGTCATCGTCTTTGTTTTCCTCAATAAACCCTCTGTGCGAACCCCATCTCGTTCCTCCCCAAATCGAACACCGCAACGACATTCTTCAAAAACGCATCTCCCAAAACCGGATTCCCACCCCCAACTTTCTGTACACTCATCACACAAGTCCCCATGGTGCTGACCCGTCCATCCACGGTCTCATTATTGATCAAATCCCTGGTATCAACCCAGAATGTCCTCCCACCAATAATGACTCCGATTCTCGGGGCAGCCGCTCCGCAATTAACCATGTATAGACCTGTCTGGGACGAATATGCAGCCGCAGGCACGAAAGCGCTCGCGATGTACTCCATCACAAGGTCCGGGAAATACATCAGCGTGGTTCCAGAGTCGATGATGGTCTCCACTGGCGCCCTCGAGTAGTTCAGTTTCCAGCCTCGAGGTGCTGTGGTGCTACCGGGTGTGGATGCAGGCATGACAATGAAGCCTTGCACTTGGATGGCGTAGAAGGCATAGGTGTTGGATATTTTGGGCTTGATCGGGACGGTGACAAAGTCGCTCTGAAGGGGGATAGTGGGGATCCCGCCGATGGCAAGGAGACCTCCTGCTCGAGGGGCGATGCGGGTGGGGCGGGTGAGAGCAAGGGAGAAGATGGGTAATACGGCGCGAGTGGCGAATCTATGAGTGTTTTAGCCATTCTGCGTGTTCGGTCCTGTCCTCTCAAACACCTTTTCTTGATGACGACTTACAGATTGGTAATGACAGAAGTATAATTCAACTCATGCACATTCCTCGCAAGAGACGAGTACGCCAACCCCAACAGCCCGCTACTTATTCCATCTCCCACCCACCACCCTTGCTCAACAACACCAATGACCTGGGTGACGGTCAAGCCGCCAATCTGCAACTCTTCCATTCCCAGCTCTCCGTTCAGGAACTCGCCGTCGGTGTACGCGACCTGGAAGGTATACCCTTCTATGGGATCCCAATGGGGCGACTCCGTCAGATTGTAGAGTGACCCAAATCTATAGGCTGACTGAGGGAGCAAGGTTCTCGCGAATTGCGAAAGGCAGGTGAACGCTGAGGAGGCAACCCACGTATCGCTGGAGCCGGTGTCGATGACAACGGTGTAGGGACGGCCGGTAAGAGTGATGTTGGTCATGTAGACACGCCCGCCAATAGTTTGCAACCCGTCTTGAACTGGAGCGATAGGAGGGCCTGCATTTTGGCGTTTGGACAGGTGGTTGTGAGTCGATGTCAAGGGGTAGCGAAAGGGAGAAATCTCGAGTGTAAGAACATGAGGAGTAACTGTTCAGTCGACATTTAGGCCGGAAAGCAGTAGCTCGAAGAGGACGGATTACCTGCGATTCTGGAGGGAGCTCGGCGCTCTACCCCACACGCATATAGAGATGAGCAGAGTGCGAGAAGGAGAGCAACGGTGCGCATAGTTGCGCCAGAGAAACAGAAAGTAAAGGAGATTTGAAGTTGTATAAGCATCGGATTGCATTGTGGAAGAGACTGGATAGACGCTCGGTAATCATCGCTGAACGTAAGGAGTCGACTACATTCCTGGCAATTTCCTCGGCATTGAAGACAAGTGCGAAAACGCTGGGAATCGCTATGCTGAGCTGCTAACTTGTCCATGGGACTACAAGAAAACGACCCTTAGCCAGGCGGACGTTATCCAGCCAACTACTCGCCGGACGCCGCTAGATGTGCGAGGACGACTCTTGGGAGAGTGAGAGCTCGGCAATCTCCCTGTAGCTTCCGGAGCGATAAGAGGCCCGCCTTTCGGCAGTCTAACATGCACAATTGGCGACCAGTAAAATTATGTCTGACTCCCGAGTAGGAATCAATATCGGAGTGTAAGAGGTCACGTCATCCCAATGGACACATCCCTTGATCGACGTTAGACAAGTCATGGCTCGATGGTGAAGGCGTACATTGTGTAATCATCGCAAAGCGCAGTCATGCCTCAGCGGCGCCCTCAAAAGTGCCCCATCTAGCAGAGCCAAGTCGAACCATATCTACTCGTATGCCCTGTAGTTAAAAGTATAGCCTTCGGGATAATCAAAAATCAATGATAATAATAGGCACACACCTGAACTCCTGCTGAGAGAATCACCAGCCGCCACGCCTTCCACCGCGTCCCCCACGCCGCCCACCGCGGCCATACCCACCGCCGCCACCGTAGCCACCGCCTCCCCATCCACCCGGGCCACGAGGGCCATTCATGTCGCGGTCGTCGTGCGGATAATTTTGGCGAACCGGAGGTGGGCGCCCTTTGAGCTCTTTTTGCAGAGCGTCGAACGATTTGCGCATATTGGCGTATCCGAGATGCATCTTACCGTAGAAGTGATCTGCCAATCGACGATCGTTGTCCAATCTGGAGAGATACGCACCGCAGACATCGCACACCTGCAGCTTCTGATGACCTGACGGGCCTCCGGTATCCGCCAGAGCTTTGAGCTCCCGTTCGCGCTCCTCCTTCTCTTGCTTCTTCAAACGCACCTTGTAGAATTCCTGCACAGCCATGTTCACCATCCCTTCTTCGCCCATGATTTCAATTTCGAGCATCGCGGCGTCGATTGCCTTAGTGAGTTCGTTGATTTGTTTGAGCTAGAAGACGTCCGTCAGTGCAACGACTATGGTGGTGGATGAAACATACCAGGTTGTTTGTCTGCCTAATCTCTTCGGGAGTCTTTTCCAGTCGGCGCTGTGCTGTTTCGATACGCCGATTGCAATCATCAATATATTTGCGCATGTCATTCAAGTAGTCAAACTCGAAACCCCAGACGCGCTTTTGCTCGGGGGATGCTTCTTGATATTCTGTCTTCAACGCATCGTTGTGCACCTTCGGACAGGGACCCATGTCTTGTTTTGTGTTCGTGAAGAGATCATGGGGGCAGCTCCCAACCAGGAATGACCGACAGACCTTGGGATCAGTGATGCTGAGCTGAGGGGCTCGAGTATCGGCGCCAGACATGTACTGCTCCCCCATGAGCTGCTCTGCAAGATGTTAGGAACTCATAGTGAGATATGGGACAGAAACGCACCAAGCAGTCTGCGGGTTTCGGCTGCCGCCATCTTGAGTGCGCCCCGGAGATTGCGAGCAGTTTGGCAGGGTGTTGTTTATAGGTTTTGAGCTGTAAATGTAGCAAGGCGCATTGGGAATATGTTAAGTTGCACGCCAAGACGAGGTCATGCCAAGAATATACATCACGTGCCGCGAACATCATGCAGCTACCTGTGACATTGTTAACCATCCGGCGACGATAGACCTTTGACGTGCACGTCGCGTCTGGACATGCCGCAATGCTGTCTTTTCTCCCTCTTCTCCTTTTCAATGCTTTGATAGCTTGCACCGCCGCCCGCTCTGACTACCACGAGCGCCTTCTCCTGCGTCCCCTTCCGCAGTCCGCTCTCCTCGCATCCTTCACCTTTCGGAGCAACGAGTCCTCGGGCGCTTTCGAGGAGCAAAACTTTAGATACTTTCCAAGGTCATTGGGACAGATTCTACAGCATGCTCACACGAAGGAGCTGCACCTGAGATTCAGTCTCGGCCGCTGGGACGCCAGCAACTGGGGACAGATGCCCTGGAATGGAGCGCGCGAAGGAGGCACTGGCGTAGAGCTCTGGGCCTGGGTAGAAGCGGGTACAGAGGAGGAGTATGTTGAGGCACCACCTGCTGTCACCTAAAATTAATCAGAGCAGAGCTTTCTCGCGATGGTTGGCCCTCACCAATGCACTGTCCGGCCTCTTCTGCGCTTCCCTTAACTTTATCGATGCTACGAAGACCATTCGGCCGGTCATGTCCTTCCAGCCCGAGGGCGACCACCACAATATGTCCCGACTACATCTTCTGCACGGCACGCTGCCGCACGAGGTGGTCTGTACCGAGAACTTGACACCATTCTTGAAGTTGCTTCCATGCAAGGGGAAAGCAGGAATTTCTAGCCTGCTGAGCGGACACAAATTGTTCGACGCCTCGTGGCAGACCATGTCTATAGACGTGCGACCAGTATGTCAGAAGGAAGGTGATTGCGCTGTTGAGATTGAACAAGGTGTGGATATGGTGCTCGACCTTGAGCGAGCCAAACGTCCCCTGGACAACCCAATTCCCCGGCCTTTACCCATTGAAGAGATTTCCTGTGACGGCTCCAAGCCGTATAATGCTCCTGATACTTGCTATCCGCTTACCCGGACGGCGGATTCCTCCTGGAGTTTGAACGAAGTTTTTGGGACATCGTTGCATGGTGCGTGCCCATTGACAGATGACAGGGACGGGAATTCTCACACTGTCTGCATCAATGTGCAGCCAGAGCGCGAGATTCAAGTCAAAACTGCTGGGGAGTACGACGAATCTCGTTCTGCATCTGAAACTCTGCGGTGTTACAAGCTCCCCGTCGGCGAAGCTTTTGATCTGGTCCTGCCGGAGCAACAAATGACGACTGGCCTTGTGCTCCCTACACCGCCCCTATATGCTGCACGTTCAATAAATGGTCATGGCCAAGAGCGTGGCAGCGTCCAGGCTGTAATCCGGAACCCATCTACTACGGACGCGGTTGAGTTTATTTACCTAGAGTCTCTGCCGTGGTTCATGAAGCCATATTTGCATACACTCCGCGCAGTTATAGACAAGTCCGAAGGAAACCCAGTCAAAGAAACATACTATCGACCAGCTGTCGACCGCCGCCGTGGGTCACATTTGGAGCTTCGAGTTGTTATCCCGGCTGACTCAAGTCTATCCCTTACTTATGACTTCGACAAGGCTATTCTGAGATATACTGAATATCCCCCGGATGCAAATCGCGGCTTCGACGCGGCGCCCGCCGTCATTCGCCTTCTATCCCCGCGACCACCCGACAGAAAGGGTGTTTATACTAGAACAACAAGCTTACTTCTACAGTTACCCACCCCGGATTTCAGTATGCCATACAATGTCATCATCCTGACTAGCACGGTGATGGCACTTGCTTTTGGAAATATATTCAACCTCCTTGTCAGACGCTTTGTCGGCGCGGATGAGGTACCGAGTCGCCGAGGTCTGAGGACGATACTGCAAGGGAAGCTGGAGAGATTCAAGTCCCTCGTCAAAGGTCCTTGAAAGATGCGGGAGAGTAACCACTCACCGAGTACCGCATCTACTTGCGACTTAGAGATGCCACCAGCAGCGGTGCCAATCATGATAATGCGGTTGGTCGACTTCTCTCCCATGGCCATGCTTCTGTGTCCATTAGCATGATGCTGTAGAAAAGACGTGGATAATGGATGGGGGTGTATCTTGCAATAAGTGAAGTTGCATAAGAAACCACTTGAACAGGAAGGTTTCATCCCAGAGTTCATTCTCCGTTCCTATCCTGGTCCCTCCCGGACCAATCATCCACGTCCAACCTTCACATTATCTATCCGCTTTCTTCGACAGAAACACCTTACCGCTATCAAAGGACTTGACCTAAGTCATATGAGTGTATTCCCTTGGGACCAAATCCATCACGTGTCGATCGTCATCATTTTCAGTCGGAGAATTTTCACATCGCCAATCATGAAGTTCGGTCGGTTATCGTTAGCTCATGACTGTGTCATTCTCCCCTGGCGCTTCTCCTGCATTCACTCCGTTTCCTGCTCCATATGAGGCCTTCCCTCATTAATATCTCAGGACAACTCCATTCCAGTCTTCATCCGCGTTCCATAGAGACGCAGGCTTTCGCTCTGCGTGGAGATGCCATGCAACGACGGCAGTATCTGCCAACGACTCCATTGCTACTTTCCTATCAGTTGTAAACCCCAAATAGCTTAGTTTCCGGTATCATTTGAGTACCAGCAGGTGGGTGAATGGCTGTCTCCTCCTCCGCTGTTGCAAGAATCGGAGCGCTCTGCTCGCATTACCTCCTTCCTAGTGCTTTCTACTCCGCCTGAGGTTGTATCACGCCCGTGTCCACCGCCTTGGGTTCCCACAATGTTCTTGACCGCCGTCATGTGGCATCCAAAACATCAAGGGGATACGGGTCAAGAGACTGTGGATATGATGCTTGCAGTCTGGCGTGTCATCCACCTGAGAGTATCTTGCATGGCACATATAAGTTTCCCGACCTCTAAACGTCCATTAAGATATCGACTCAACTATTGAGACGCTGAGTGAAAGCACACTGTTCCCCTACAAATCGAATTTTCGCACTTGCATTCTTGTTCTAGTCCGCCATAATGACAGTATCCTCGTCCTTCCTGTTCTTCGCGGCTTCTATTGCCGCTGCGGTCGTTCAAGCGGGTTTCAACCCAAACAGCAAAGCCAACATTGCCATCTACTGGGGCCAGAACTCTGCGGGCCAGCAATCTACCCAAACACGGTTGTCTTATTATTGCAATAGTACGCGACCACCTTTTTCACCTCAGACGGAGAACGTAGAGTAGCAGCCTAATATGCCATCTCTCCAGACCCTGATGTTGATGTCATCATCCTATCCTTCCTTCTCCGCTTCAACGGCTCCGGCGGCCAACCAGTCCTCAACTTTGCGAATCAAGGCGACAAGTGCACCACCTTTCCCGGAACCGAGACCTTCAACTGTCCTGAGATCGCCGCGGACATACCAGTAAGTCAATACTACGGCCCACTCCCAACCAGCCCGCCTAACATTCTCAAGCTCTGCCAATCCCAAGGAAAAACGATTCTCCTCTCCCTCGGCGGCGACGCCTACACAGAAGGCGGCTACCCAACCGCCGATGCCGCCGTTGCTGGGGCATCCCATATCTGGGCCATGTTCGGCCCATTGCAGCCCTCCTCAAATGCCCTCCGTCCGTTCGGCAACGCCGTCATTGACGGCTTCGATTTCGACTTTGAAGCCAACGTCTTCAACATGGCTGTCTTCGGCAACCGTATGCGTCAACTCATGGATGCCTCCTCCTCGACATCGGAGAAGAAGTTCTATCTGACGGCTGCGCCGCAATGCCCCTTTCCGGACTGGTATAACAAGGACATCATTGACAATGTCCCACTCGATTTCCTCAATGTCCAGTTCTACAACAACGGCTGCGGCGCCAGCTCCTACGTCCCCGGCGCAAGCGAGCAGTGGAACTTCAATTTCGCGCAGTGGGACTTGTGGGCAAGGACGCAGAGCAAGAATCCGAATGCTAGAGTCTTGTTGGGGGTGCCGGCGAATACGGGGGCGGGAAGGGGCTATTTGAATGCTGGACAGTTGGCCCCGGTGGTGGAGTATTCGAAAAAGTTTGAGAGGTTTGCTGGTGTTATGATGTGGGACGCTAGTCAGGCTTGGGCGAATGGGGGGTTTGTTGCGGAGGTAAAGGGGTTGTTGAGAAGCCTGGACCGGAGGGGTTTGAGATGGGGGTGGAGGGGAGAAGAGAGTCTTATGAAGTTGGCAGAATAAGAAGTGTATTCCTCAATAATCAGTTCGAGTTTAGCTCGGTACCTATAGATTGAATTTATCCATCAAGCGAACCACATGCCACTCGTTTGAATCCAAATAGAGCAGTAGTCACAGTTTTAGGTGCATATTTAGGCACAGCTCTGCAGCTGGGTATCTTATTATCACTATCCAGCTTTTCGGTTATTCCGGGTCCCCCGCGTGGAAGTAGTATTCTTGACCCGCAGAACCGGGAGACTAAGTGTACAACCGTTTCAGGGCAAGCATCACCATGGTCAAGTTCATCTCTGCTTTCTCCGAATTGTACTAATACTCGTGTTTCTTCTTCGTATATTTCGGATGACGTTCCAATATGTGAGACGAGGGATGACTTCTATCGGGGGAAGCAGATTTGTCTGCGGATTGTAGCGAACGCCCTAGCGAGGAGTCCCTACACTACGTCTGAAGGACAACTACGATATGTCTCTTTATAGGCTTTGGCCGCCGGGTAACTGTGGTTACGACACCTCAATGTACAGCGAGCAACGCTTCCAAGGTTGCCAGCTATGGCTCGCCTGCATGCTGTAACAACCAGTCAGGTCTCCATCCGGCGAGAATCTGCAAGTTCTATGGCTTTGGCTCCTTACTTATCTGGATGGCTCAGAAAACTGTCAAATCCAATATGTGCCATGCAGCTCGTGTGATGGGTACTCCGGCACGCTGAGCTTGAGAAGACATCATCAGATGCCCCTCGTCTTCTTCAGCGGGTTCCTGTACGGCTCAGCGATTCCAATGCTCCGAACCTGGAAACTGTGTGCATCTATCCCAACCTAGCGTTATGGACAATCGTCTTCCTGTTACTCAGAACTCCCAGTCCTTATAGTAGGCAGACATACTAGTCGCTGTGCCAATGCAGCAGCTGGCTGCCTACATAACGAACAGATATTTTCCTTCAGTAGTTGGCCCCGGACTGTCTGACATCTTTGGTTGGCCGTGGACATGCAGATATGGAGGGAGACTTATGCAGACAAGCATGGCTGGAAGACGACGGAGCCGGACTGGACTGCCAAAACAAATTGAGATGAAGAGAATCCGAGAGCGTGAGAACTGAGAGAGCACCTAGTTGCCAACGGAGTATATTCATCTGAATTGGCGGAGTGATGACCTCCTGGTGATACGACTCCATGCAAGCACTGGTGAGTACTAGGCTACTGTGTGATCCTCCAGGTGGAGAGAGCCGCGCATTTTAGGGAGTATGCGTGCTAATATAGCGGCATCAGCTCGCCTCTCGGCTGCCTGAAGATTATGCGGGGAAAATGCTCCATTCAAGCAGCTGAGACTATGAATCCTTTGCCTCAAGGGACGCATCCAGCGTACGAGGGGGCGACGTTGTTGGGGCTGCTAAATCAGCAGGGTGAAAGTTAGTGCTCCTCGTCGACATAATGGGCGTTATACTTTGGCGATCTCGCGAAGTGGTTTGGATCCACCGCAGTATGGGGATACGGAGTGTCCGATGGGTGGTCAGTGGTCAACCCCATGAGAACCCTGGGAAGCAAACCGCTCGGCCATGTCCGGAGAGAAGCGACGCCTCGCTTCGAATAACATCAGTAACATGCAAGGGTTCTTGCAAAAGGTCCGATTGCGGCATTCCCCTGAGCTTAGAGAAAAAGGGCCGACACAGAACATCTCGCTTGGAGAAGATTCATGCCCCACGGGGTCACTTCAGCATTGGCAAGTTGCTGTGAGGGGTCCACCGAGCTGGTCCACTCCGTCGCGCGCCATCAATAAATAATTGGTAACCGAAGATGATTGACAGTCCTTTCGTGAAGTTCGAGAACCTTAGCGAGGCGCGAACACGTCCGCTGCGTCGATTTTTAGACGAGGTCCACTTGGCTTCAGTTCTCCGCACAGTAGCCTGTCGGTACCTTTCGCCTTAAGAACACGCTTTGGATAGACTCATGATTTGTGGCGGCTCAGTAGTGGCTGGGGGACTGACTTCTCTGGTTTCATAGTTACCTAAAACCCTGGGACCGTACGATGAGTGGTCCTGTGTACGGTTGAATATGAATAATAAGAACTACATTCGCCAATGGCCCCGTCACCAGAAGAGGCAACAAGCCGAACCGCAGAACTTTAATGAGCTTCGCCACTCCCATGCGTCAACCTTGAGTTCTTCAAGAGTTTTACTGTGTACTCTTGTCTCTACTGTACTCCCGCGCGGCTATCGGACAGATTCGGCTGCGTATGCAAACAGATAGCTGTGAGCACGTGAAACTCGGTGCGCATGTCAGAAGCTTTTTGTCTCCAGTACACTACTGTCGTTGGCCGAACATGTAGGATGCATAATGTTGGCACACCTCCTGTCAGCTAGCGCCCGGGCGGTGGCGAAGTGGAGCTCCTTCAGGAGCAATGAGTGCGGGATCGCGCCGCCTCCACCCCATACCGCGCCTTGCTTAAAATGATTTTCATCCGTGACCCCATGTTTGCAAAACGCGGAGAAGGGGGGCCGTCTTCGTTGCCGAAGACCACAAATACCGATCCGAGGCCCCTCTTCCTCTATCCCGATCAGCTGACTATCGAGTTCTTTGATGCAGAGGTGAGCTCCCAGCTTGTTGCAAGGAGCCAAGGCCTTTGCTGTCCGTGGATTTCAACCATTTCATATGCAGGCCAACCCAAAGCGAGGCTTCCGCGAGGGCCGTATTCCTGAAGATATGTAGCGGACGCCTTTTCGATGCAGAACACCGAGGGAATGGGAGGTACCGAAACACCGGAAGTCTCCTGTACTCGCTCCACATGCCAACCGAAGGGATGGGAGAACGGATACTGCTCGTTGCCTTATCGCAGCTCTTTCCGCCCATAGCCGAGCCCTCCGGAAGGACCGCAGTACCTATGTAGCATGTCAGCAGCCAAAGACGTGCCAAAACACGGCAGGCTTTCTCAGACGTTTTCTGGTGAGACGACCTCGTATGATGTGATGAGCACCAGCAGGCGGCGTCATAGGTTCGGTTCCTGCCATTAAAGTTAAATCTTCCCACGTGCGTCCCACGAGGAGGAGCATCCCCGTCCTCCGGCCTTGGGATCAGAGTCCAGACATTCCACAACGCCCCAGACATTTTGACTTGTGTAATACAATTGTGGTTAAGCACTTTCTGACTTTTGACACTGTGTAGATTCCAACCAAACCATCAGTTCCCCTGAGCGACCATTCACAGCCAACCGGGGTAAACGAGTCAAATCATGCTTGACTCTACTCAGTACTCTTGGGTACTGATGATCCCCGCATTCTGGCCTCTGCTACCAACTGCGGAGACGTACCGCATAGGGTATGGGTCGCCCATCCCCAAAACTCTAATGTGCACGGATCCGCATGGGCTGAGGGAACACCCGAACTCAAACGACTTCGAAGGATGCATAGAACTTCTTGTCCTGCAACGTGCAGAAGATTTTGTAACGAGCTTCTGACTTCAGAGTTAAAGCAGAATGTTCATGTAGCGCCACTTTTCAGAGCTTCGTCAAGGCTCCCATGGAGTGATATTAGTTATTTATAAGAGGTGTATGGCCACGAGTAATGCATCCTGGGTGCCTTCGGATTCATTTCGATTCCACGAGCGACTTTCCCGTAATCGAGCATATCGTCCCGGCTCAAGCATCTTGGACGTACCTAGAATCACGGCGCTCGGAGTCTGAGCGCTCTAGTCTTACACGGTTGGTCTAATCCCGGCCATCAGATGCTGCCGCATCTTGATCATAAAATCTAAGATCCCCAGTCCAGCGATCTTCGCATACCTGGGTTCGGACTTTTTGCTTCTCGGGATTCCCACAGTCCTGTTTTCCATCCCGGACGGCCGGTTTCCTATTCCCACACCATGGCTCCCGCCCCAGAGGATACTGGGATGGGCAGCAATGTGGAGCTGCCCATGAAGAACTCCTTGATCATTGTCTCCTTCATCACCATCGCCTGGTACAATGTCGCCGAGCTCACCGTCCTTATCCAGGTGTTCTTCAAACGACACTCCGGATGGTATTACTGGGCCTTGATGGTGGCAACATACGGCATTTTCATCCATGACCTGGGAACCTTCTTCAAGTTCTACCACATCACAAACATCGATATTTTGGACACCATCCTTGCGTGGTCTGGCTGGGTAATGATGGTGACCGGGCAGTCCCTCGTTCTCTACTCTCGGTTACACCTGGTCGTTCACGCTTCTTGGAAGCGCTGGGTGCTCGTCATGATTATCGTCGACGGTATCCTCATGCACATCTCAACGGGCGTGCTTACATTCCTTACGAACGTTTCCTCGGACCCTACGCGGTGGAAGGGACCATATTCGGTTGTTGAGAGAATACAGGTCACCGTGTTCTTCATACAGGAAGTCATTCTGAGCGCCATCTACATCTGGAGGACTTCCGGGATGCTGAGATCTGAGGGACCGCTCTTCATTGCACACGAAAATGCCCGCGGCGCCAGAGGTCGCAAAGTCCTTTTACACACCATCGGCATCAATATTTTTATCATCTGTCTGGAAATCACTCTTATCGCCCTAGAGTTCTCTGGCCGTAAGTCTCCACAGTCGAGTCGTTGTAACTTTCCCCACGCTAACAAGTGTATGTAATAGTGTATGACATCCAGACCTCATACAAAGGCGCGGTCTACTCCGTAAAGCTCAAGCTGGAATTCTCGATCCTTAATCAACTCATGAATCTAGTCAAAGGCCGTCTCGCAGGCACAAGCACCACACAATCGAAATCCTACGCCAACACAAGACCCACCAATCGTTCCCATCTGCGTACTGGGTTGAGAGACAATGAAGAAGGGCTCCCGGCCGGCGCATACTCTAGGATGGAAGATTCTGTCGCAATCACTGTCACTCCGGCCAACGAAATCAAGTTGCAAGATCTGAAGGCCGATGCCGTGCTAAAAACGACCACAACGGAGGTGCGCTTTGAGGTGGCGGATAACGACAGTGTGGATAGTGGTATTCGTGGCAAGGACTTGAGGAGAAGTTCAAGTGAGAACTCCATCATACATCACTAGCGTTTTCGTTAGATATTCACAGAGGAAGTGTAAGCCGGAATGGGTTCGGCAACGGTTAGGATAGTTCTAGTGATACCCTTCGAAAATATCCCTTATGTTCCTATGACGAGCAATCTAGTCCGCCTTACCGTATGTACAGTAAGGGGTTTGGTGCTTTTGTGGTAGGGGTTTCATATGCCATCTCTCACGGTGCTACAAAGTTCGCATGGCGAGAACAACATTCATATGCAGCGCAACACCACCGAACCTTTCACAAGGAGGGGGAACACTCAAACGTTCCTGAATATTGAAAGCAGAGACCATCCACCATGCTTCCGGAGCCAAATCCCCTGCCAAATTCCGCGACTGGAGAAAGCTACGTTGGACGAGCATGCTTTTCACTGACCCACCATTTGAAATACTGAGAGTCCTTACATTTGGTGAACTGTACGTGCCGCCAGAGGCAGGGAAAGATGACAAATACATTCCCAAAACTCACCATGGAGGGCATACTGTCTCGGATGCAGCCACTGATTGCGCCCAAGCTTTTCGGTCGCAACAACTCAATGGGCGCGGCGCACAAGTACTTCGCGAACTGATAGATTACTTGTTTCACAATTTGCCTTCTCTCCCGTCACACCCACTCGTGATATACACTTTTTCCAGCTCTACCCTAATTCCCGGTTTCGGTGTCAGTCTCAGGACCTGTTTGAGCGTGCCATCCACTCGAAGGAACCCACCATGTACATTTCTTGGAAAGAAAAGGTACTGTAGGGCAATGTCACACACCTTCAGGTTGACCCTAATGTGTCCCAGGCTGCCGTGCACTCTTCCATAATGTGTATTGGTAGACAGTGCCAAGTTCTCGACAGAAGAGCGGGATCCCCAGGAAAATTCCAACGAGGTATGATTGTCGATGGACAAGAAAGTCGGACCACTGTAAAGAGCAACGGATAACCGAACTTGCGCTGGCCGATGTGGTTTACGAAGCTGACGGCTCGCTTGAAGGGTCAACGGCAGAATGAGTGAGATAAAAATCCATGATTGAATTCAGTAGCTACTGGTGAGGCCTATTGATGGAGTATCATTATTCTTTCAAAACTGCCCCAGGGTACCCACTTGCTGTTGATCAATACCCTCCTTACATCTTAAATATCCGTCTTATACCTCTGACAAGTTTCTGTCGTTTTTTCAAGTACTGCGCCCCTGTGACGATAGGTTCCACACGTGTGGTCATGAATGATTTTCCCTTGATCATCTTCACAGCCAACGACGGCAGTGGGAGTCCAAGCAATAGTCCAACACCGTCATTCGGACCAATTGGTACCGTGGTGGTGTTTCTCAGAGACTCGGCGTTCTTTTGCAACACCCCACTGTTAGTTGTGACCGGCTTTGGCTTGAATCCTAACTGCGTGGATATGTCGTACCCGAAACTGGACCCTGCTGTAAAGACCATTGCGTCCAACTCGAGAGCGGTATTCGCGCTGCCGGACACGATGTCTCCCACCGCATAAACGCCATCAGCCGGAGCCGAATTATCCCCCCTCACACGAAGGTATTTATCGCGGGTGAAGACACGGCCACGGGAGTCGAGCCACACTGCTGGTAAATATTCGCTGTTGATCCTCGTCGCACCGCGGCAGTCGATAAATGTGTCCACAGTCATTTGTGTCCAATCGGACAACGTGACTTCTGTCCCAGTTGCACTCGTCGAGGCGTCCTAAACCTTGAGGTTCGGGATAATGTTGACACCAGCTTCCCTGAGCCTGCTTTTCGCCTTCGTTCGAACGCTCTCAGGTAAATTAGGGAGTACATCCCCTCCGGCAACGAGCGTGATATTCATGGTTGGGTATGCAGCTGCAATCTCGCCCGCGGTTTCCACACCGACAGGTCCGCCTCCTGCGATGAGCAGAGTATTCGTTTGTGGCAAGCGCATGTGCATCTCCGTGAACTCTGCCCTGGTGGTTAGGTGATCATCGTGCAGGGTCCAGAGAGGACTTGCGGTCGTGGTCCCTGTGCAGATGAACAAAGAATCGTACCTCAACACTCTGTGTGTTGCATTCGGTACTGTGCAAATAGTCACAGTTTTCGCCATTGGATTTAGGCTGATTGCTTTGCCCCGAATGAAATCACAACTTTGGCCGTATTTTCCGAGGGCCTGGTCGATGGGCTTAAAGATTTTTTTGATAACCTCCGGTTTGGTGAGGGCACGGGGGGCGGCAATCTTGAAGAAGTAATGCGAATTGGGTGAGACGAGGTATATGTGGTACGCTCCGGATCCCTTTAGTCGTTCAAGCCGGGGGAAGATTCGTCGGAGGAGATAGTGTGTAACTTGAATACCAGCGAAGTTCCCGCCTAGAACGACGACTTCGTGGGCCTGGGGCGCCGCCGCAGCCGCTTCGGAGGAGGCCATTTCCGTGAACCGAACCAGAACTGGCAGGCAAAATGAGAGTAAGTGTAGTCCTGAGAATTAATTAGAGAAATGAAATACTGCGTGTTGTTGATAAGAAGCGAAAGCCACGCCGCGGAACGTTGTGGTGCTGATGAGGCAACAGACGTGAAGAGGAAAGCACATAAACTCTGCCTTTAAGGCAATTGCGCCCGGGGCAGTGCCTAAGTGCTTCCGTGACCACCTGCAGTGTTTCGGAACTTCCTGAGCTTGAAGTCTTTCGCGTCCGGCGGGCGCGACCGGCACTCTAATTGATGTAGCCTCATTTATGCAACACTACGATGGCCCGAGAAGGCCGTGTTGAGATACGGGCAGGTAAAAGATAGGATTGCCAACATCAATTATATCTCGTCCGTTTATAGGTCAAGAGAGACATTGCGTCGCTTTCATCACCACTTCTTTGCCCATCCTGACTCTTCTCTTGTACTGCAAAGAATAATGCCAACGCATTTGCCGCTTCTCTGGCACTTATTCTTGCATCTGGATCGGGATTCAACATGTCTTTACAGCATTCTGCCATCACTGAGCCCCTGTCATCCAGTGTTTTGTGATAATAGTCCAGCACTGGGCCCGGCTCGATTCTACCATGTGTAACTTCACCTGTAAGTAGTTCGTAGCCAACAATAGCACACGCCCAGTAATCAACTGCGCGACCATGCTTAAGGCCTTCTCGCTGCTCAGGAGCAAGATAAGGGACAGTACCAGGCCGATCATACAAAATGGAATTCTGATCGGATGCACATCCAAAATCGGATAGTAAAGCCTCGGGAGGATCGTAGCTTCGTATCAAGATGTTGCCCGGCTTGATATCTCGATGGCATAGCCCTTGGTCATGAAGAAAGGCTACTCCTTCCAGCAATCTGGCAAAGAAGTGTGTGCGGCGGGACTCGGGCAGGGTGGAAGTGATGATAGAGTGGAAGGTCGCGTTTAGTAAGGGAGAGAAGATGATGTATTCGTCGGTTATGTCGCCCATTCTCTTAGGGTCCCACGTGTCACTGAGGAGGTCTTTGATCCTGGACTATCCCACAAGTCAGGAATGCCAGCATGCGTACTCAACGAGTTATCTGAGACTTACAATTTCTATCGCACTTCTACAGGGCCGCTGCCGTATATAAAATGGACTGGCAATTCCCGGGTGCTCAAGCTTTGATATTCTCAGCGCCATCTTCACTTCGTGTTCAACCTGCCTAGCATTCCACCTCGTCTTCAAAAGCTGTTTTGCGGCCGCAGGCCTTCCATCCGCCGCGTGCGTCACCATATACACGGTTCCGTACGCCCCTTTTGAAATTGCGTGTTGTACTACCCAGTCCCCAAATCTTGCGTCTGCCTCCCGCGGCGTTGGAAGGATATATGGGTTCTTATCTTGTAACACGCTTGAACAAAATTCCTTCAGTTCCACCTGGAACCGGTCCTCTTCTTTGGGTTCGCGAACAACATACTGAAGAGTAAATGCGCATTCCCCGAGCATGATGGTGTTCTTAAAGGGTATAACGCGCCGATCGTGCGTGAAGTCATCACCATTCATCGTACATCTCTTTCCTCTTCTATTACTCGCGATCAAGAAGAAGCCCGCTGCTCCCTTGACCCAATTTAAGCGTGCATGTTGGCCTGCAACATCGTCACCCCCGGCTCCATGTAGCAGGAGGTCCACACCACGATTGTTTCCAAGGTCAGCGCGGCCCTTTCCGATGCGCCATCCTATTTGAGGGTACTCTGGCAACACTCGCAACGATAACTCAAAACATAACGCTCGTTTATCTCGAAACTCTGTTTCTGCAATGAACTGGGAGTGGTGACTCGAATTCAACGCAAACGTCTTTTCTATCGCTGCCTGGGCGGGGCGGTTGGTTGGGATTAGACGAGCGAAGACCCAGTCCGAGGGGGTTTTCAGATCAGGAACTGACTCTGGGGTGTTGGGCTCGGTGGTGCTGCCCCTCCAATCTTGACTCAGAGTCTCATCAGCCATGGTCATGTTTTTGTGGATTTTGAGTCACAATGCTCAGCCCTCCAGCTGGAGTGAATTGAAATGCCCACGTGACGGGCGACCATCACGTGATGCCAGCTCACGCCTTCGCCAAGGTCGTCAATCGCCTCAACACCACCTCGACCCGCCAACAAAGGCATCCTCACCATCATTATCGCCATCACTCGAACGCCCAGCCATCGCGAGAATGGATTTCTTCGCCCGTGTGAACGAGCGACTGCTCCAGCCGGTGAAGCCAAAGAGCCACCTCCGTCCCTATTTTGAAGCCCATCTCCTATTCCAAGACACCTACCACAGCCCTCCGACCTCGCCAGAGTCGTCGCCCGAGCCCGATGAAAGAGCTGTGCGGCCGAACCCCGCATTTAGGAAGAAGAGAAAACATGAGTCCGATGACGAGGGGTACACATCTGGCCAACCCAACAAGAGGCGGAGAACGGGTTTGGCCCTGGGTATCAGCACTGTTCCCACACCGCCAACGGTAGAGGACTCTGCTCCTGCTTCGCCAACGCGATTGCGGCGCGTCGAGACACAAGACAGCGCATATCATGAGGACGAGGTCCAACAAGAGACTCGCACGAACGTCGGGCCATCACCACCTATGTCTCCGGAAGCAGAATATCAACCGCGAAAGTGGGCAAGGAATGTTACTCCGTGTGCATTCGCGAACCAAGAGTGCGAGAGGGCTACTGGGAACCTGGCATCGATGAAGATAGGGAAATATTCTCTGAGGTGGACTGCTGCCCGCGCAAGACAGGCTGATGGGTGAGAGTGGTTAGGAGTTGAGAAACAAAGCATACAAACACAAGAGGGCAAGCCAATTAGATGGCCGAACGATTGCCACTGTCAGAGGACGCATATGAACGCCGTTCGCATCTCCTCGCTCGAGGACGCTCGGCCGCTGTGAAGTCTGTTGCACTCGCTGGACAACCTGGAAGCTGCTACCCAAGACCCACAGACACTCTATCTGTGTTCACACAGTGGACACTCCCTACAGTCCCATAGCGCTAGCCAATCCATCGCCTTTTCCCCAGCGACACAAGGCAACGTTCTACACACGGACAACAATATGTGGACGTTTTGAGGCGACGAGAACTTTTGCAAGGGGTCGGACTTACGGACATTGTTATTTTGAAGAGATGGGACTACCCGCCTTCAAGCACGTGTTATATCGGACCGTGCCGGTGTCGATGCTGACAGTTAAGGGATAACAGGACTGAAGGAGCGTGCCGACCGGCGCATGATGAAGAGCATATTCCAGATAGGATGGGTAATTTTGAAGGAGGGGCAGTTCCAGTATACTAAAGATCTGCACGAAATCAACTGAGGCAAACATTATCTCCATTGCATATCCTCGACTACCACGATTGAGGCAGCCCCTGGCCAACTCTCTAACCGAAAGGCGTCCAGTCACCCTCAGCCATATCCACCGCCCTCTTCGTCGCCTCGTCCAGGCTCTCCTTCGGCAACCCCAGCTTCTTCTCAATACCCTCCACTTCCAATTCCTGCGCCTCTGGTCTCATAAGCTTCGCATAAAGCTGCTTCGCAAACGCCGCTACATCCCCGTTCATCATATCCCTCTGTCCATCCTCCAATCTTTTCTGCCTCGGCTCAGATCTAATATCCCAATCCGCGTCCGTTGTACCCAATACCCGATGAAGACTGTCCAACATGTCCCTCTGGTTGACGCGGAAGCTCTCTAGAATAATCTGGTCGTTTTTGAATTGCTCAAGCGCCAGTCCGTTGCTCCCAGCCTTATCCTTATGCACAGGAAGCGACAAAAGCGCCGCCAAGCCCCGCCCACACTGCTCCCACGTACTCGTCCAGATCTTGGTCAATCCATCATCGGTAAACGTGACTTTGCGATTCTTGATGTCGAACCCGAACCACTCCTCGCCAGCAGCAAGCGACCATTCATACCACAAGCCGCACGCCATGACGATGTATGCCCCACCGAGATCTTGGATCTCCTGGGCTTTCTGGGCGTTGGCCGCGACGATCGGCTCTATCTCGAGCACCTTCTTGTTGCGAATGTTGGCGCCGTAGTTGTTGGGCATGATGAATGGGACGCCGGCTTCTATGGCGGCTTTGACGATGTTGGTGTGCAGCTCTGGTGCTGGACCGCGCGCGGCAAGCGTGATGATGAGGAAGTGTTGGCCTCGGAGAGCGGACACGAGGGCTGAGTGGTCCGAATAGTCGACTCGGACGACTTGGGTGCCTTGGGGGAAAGTTGCGGTGCTGGTGGGGCGGGTCAGGACTGTGACGGTGTGCTTGCCGGTCTTGAGGAGCTCGGTGGTGAAGTGCTGGCCGACATGGCCGCTTGCCTACAGGGTCGTTAGGACGGTTGAGATAGTGATATGTTGAGGGTAAGACGTACACCAATGATGGCGACTTTGCTAATGTAGTCGGGGACGGACATGATCGATGAGGAGATAACCGTCGTGGTGCAATGAATGCTGATTTACTTGCAAGATACCTATGCATGGTCATGGAGTAGTACATGTGGTTTTTATATCAACGTTTTGCTGCCTAGACGTCGTCGTCGATGTCGGACTTAGCGGTAATCCCGTTTTCTATTCAACTTATACATACGTCTAGCCACTTTCTTTGAATCCTGCAACACTCGCAACACACCAGCATTGGTCGATTCATCCACCCACCTTTTCAAAACAGCAACGTGAGAGATTACGCTAAGTCCGTCTTGTATAACTTGGCCCGAAAATCCAGGCTGTGATTGGTTGGTATGCGACGGATTTAGTATACATGTAGTGGCTAACTCCGACGATCTTAGAGGTCTACGATGGAAGGGTTTCGACAGACATAGAACGCGTAGCCTTGGATTCTGGTGCTGGGAGCCGGCTTTACGGGTTTAAGGCCACGGCTTGTAGGAAGTCAAGCTGCTAAGCTAGTCCCCGTAGAATTAGCGACGTCGGTACGAGTGAAATGCAGAAGAGGACCGCACCACAATTTCCAGCAAGATGTTTAATAAGGAAAGAAAGCGAAATTCTCTTGGTAAGTGAATAGTGACCAGCAAGGCCTCACAGTTCATTGAAAATCCTCAGCTACTGTGTACAGGACACACTGCAAGTTTTGTTAGGCAGACACAGAAAGCGGACCATAAGACTTGTTCTATGGTGGGATATAGCAGTTATGATGTAAGAGCATCCAAATCCCTCCGCAACTCGTGTAAACCTTCCCGTCAGGATTGCGGTCCGTGTCATATCCCAATCACATCCACCAGCTCCGTCTTCGGCGCAATATATGGCTTCACCTGCTTTCGAACATTCGTTCTCTGTTCAAATGCATATGCAAAGCCGATGAGCTTCGCCTCAGACCAATGTGGTCCCGCAAACGCTATGCCAAACGGATAATTCGGCGACGAGGCGACGAGATCTCCTCTGCTATTCGGTACCACCGGCGTGTCGGGAGCGAGAGCGCCCAGGGGAACGGTTACGACAGGACCACCGATGATGGCAGATACGGAAGACGAGACCCGAGTGGGGAGAACGACTGCATCAAGGGTATAGTTCTGTAGTGCGCCTAGGAGGCCACCGGTACCGCCAAGATACTGGTTATATTGGTAGGCTGCCCACGCCTCGGGAGAGGTGTTGTTGAACGGCAGGGACAGCACCCAGTCGAAGATGAATGTGTCCCTGGACGGATACTCCTCGGGGAGAAAGGTCTTGGTGAACTGGTTGACATCTGCAAGGGAGGTCATGTTCTTTGGATTGTAAGTCAGTTGTGCGAGATATTGCTTCAAGTTGGCTTGGAAGTCTGCGCCTAGAACCTGGGCCTCAGCTGGGCTCTGTAGTAGCTGGTCCCAGGCAGTGTAGTTGGTGTTATCAACGATGATGGCTCCAGCATCCTTGAGCACGTTCAGGGCAGCATCAAATGCCCTGTTCATGGAAGCGAAAGGTTCAGTTTGAGTGTCGAATGTATTCCGCGGAACGCCAATGCGTTTGCCTTTTAGAGCATCGAGCTTGCAAGCGGCAACGTAATTGGGAATAGTCCCGGGAATAGCGGACGTGTAATTATCCAACGGATCCTTTCCAGCGATCGCTTGAAGAACATAGGCTGCGTCCTTGACAGTCCGAGCCAGAGGACCGATGGTATCCTGGCGGGGGGAGATTGGGATAGCAAGTGCTCCAGAAGTAAGTCCCACAGTAGGTTTGATACCGACAATGTTATTCGCTTGTGCCGGACTGAGGATAGATCCGTCCGTCTCCGTCCCTAGCGCTGCAAGTGCAAGCCCGAGAGAGGAGCCCACGCCCGAACCTGAGGAGGACCCAGACGGATCTTGTTGTGGATAGTAAGCACCATATACCTGTCCGCCATGTGCCGACCATCCATTGGAGGAGTTCGATGAGCGGAAGTTAGCCCATTGGCTCATATTCGCCTTTCCAAGAATAATCACTCCAGCTTTGCGTAACTTTGCCACAACAGTCGCATCCCGGGAGACTCTAGCTCCCAGAAGAGCATATGAGCCTGCTGTGTTGTTCATCAGGTCGGCAGCGGCGATGTTGTTTTTGATGAGTATGGGCAACCCATGGAGGGGCCTGATACCGCATTAGCCTTCAACGAAATCTTTTATGGCCAGTCTTACCCTCTCAGCCTTCCAAACTTGCGTTCGTAGTCCAAATCTTTCGCAATCTTCAACGCATCTGGGTTGATCTCCGTGATGGCGTGCAACTCGTTATTCACTTCCAAGATGCGTTTAGTGTAGGCCTAATGAAAAGATCAGTTTGAGATTGATTGTCTAGACGAGCAGCACTGACTTTGACCAAATCAACACTGGTGAAGAGCTTGGCTCCAAGACCAGCAGCAAGTTCATCGACTGTCGCATCTAATAGGGAAGGAAGAGACGTCCCGTTTTGAGCGAACGAGCCAGGACCTGCGAACCCCAGGAGAGGGAGAGATAGTGCCAGGCGGCCAACTTGATAGAATCTCATTCTCGTTGATCGAGGGAGCTGTATCTGTAAAAGCAAGGTCTTGCGTGTCGATGTGGGCAGGTAGATATCGATTGAATCTTCTGAAATGGTGCTCAATGATAGTCCCCAGATCGCTTTTCCATGAACATATGCCAACCTGGACGGTGAAACAGAAGCTAGTCTTACCTGACAAAGGCAATCGTAGGCCCCAGGGGCAAAGCCTTACGCAGTTACCAGCTAGAGATATGGAGATGCAAGTACCGAACCCAGGCCACGGAGGTTTGTGTCGAAGGGGTAAGAAAAGGAAGGTCGAGAAGGGGTGCTCTCTGAGACTATATGCCTCAAATTCACGCTGATTCAAGATCAACCTCAATGGGTCAGTGCGAGCGTATAGAAACTTTGTGGTTCTATTGAGGGGCGTACAGAGTGAGCAGGTGAGCTCGCTTCTGCAATGTCCATGTCGATGCATGAATAGGACCTAAGTCTAATGACAACCTTCGACCATTTAAAGGGCTTTCAGATAAAACTTTGGTCCTGCGGAACTCGTGTTTGCCTCAAAGCCTAGCGAGATCGGAGGTATGCCAGTGGAAACGACAGCGACACCCGCATAGTCCTCTATTGAGAAGTTCTTGTGGTTTGTTCTCAGATGGGGCATTAGCCGTGTTGGGAAGGTCGATGGCTGTATGCATGGGATGAATTCTTGCAATGACCTCGCATTCCCCAATGATGAATTCAGCGAAACGAGAGTCGTGAGTGGTTCTGAAACATTCTCGTGGCGTCCACGTGCGACGGAGAGACACATCAGGCGTTTATCGGACCAGGAATCGGCTTTGCGCCAGGGATAGGGAAAGAAGACCTATCCGATCATGTCTCTTCAGCTAAAGCTGATTGCGAAAGATGGGCAGGCTCCTCCAATCTTGGTCTCTGCGACCATTAGCCATTGTGGCACATCGTTCATTTTGCGGCCTCTGCTCGTGAGAGTGCTGGATCTTCTGGCTGAGTGAATAAAAGCAAATAATACATGGTTGCGGATCTGGAACGCATCGGTGAAGAAAGTCCGATGTGCACTACCCATCGTACATTCCTATGGGCTTCCTACCCTGATGAGGACTGGGAGAGAATGTCCAGAAAGAACTCTCTTCAAGTAGCATGAGGAGTGAGGATGTCCTTGAAAGAAGTGCTCAAGTCGAAATGTGGCCGTGCACGTGGTGGCGTCATTTCAGGCACAGGTTCGGCCATTTCGGAAATTTCACTGCCCCGCTTCCGAAACAGAGGGCAATCAGCAGGAGAGCCATTTTTACGTTCACTCTCCCAACACTCTTTTCGCCTGTTTGCCTTGTGAATCCCGTGTTTTGATCTCTCAGAGATCGGTAACAATCGCTTGTCGCACAATGACTGGGATTCCTCATACATACGATGGTCCGTACCACGGATTCCGTGCTGCAGTCTTGCACTCAACCGGCTGCTGACAATCGCTATAGCACCTGTGCATATTGCTGTAATAGGAGGCACGGGTATCAAGTCCCTTCCGGGCTTCACCGTCGTTGCAACTCTGAAAATCGATACACCCTGGGGCTCGCCCTCCTCTCCCATCTCCATTCTACACCATAACTCTCCCACGTCGGGCAAGCCGATTCCGATCGCCTTCATCTCCCGCCACGGGCTGCACCATGAACTCGCTCCTCATGAGGTCAAGAACCAGGCCAACATCGCTGCTTTACGCTCGATAGGTGTCCGCACAATCATTGCGTTCAGCGCAGTCGGAAGTCTGCAGGAGGAAATTCGTCCTCGCGATTTTGTGGTACCAGACCAAATCATTGACCGTACGAAGGGCATAAGGCCATTCACATTCTTTGAGGGAGGCATGGTAGGACACGTCGGCTTCGGTGACCCGTTCGACAACAGACTTGGAAAGATCGTGCGGCAATGTGGACATTCGCTGGAGGGTGACGGCGTAAGACTTCACGACAAGGGCCTGCTTATTTGCATGGAGGGCCCCCAGTTTTCGACACGCGCTGAGTCGAATCTCTACCGTTCGTGGGGTGGCTCAGTCATCAACATGTCGGCGCTACCAGAAGCGAAGCTTGCTAAGGAAGCTGAGATCGCATACCAGATGATCTGCATGGCTACCGACTATGACTGCTGGCGTGGCGGGGAGGAGGAGCAGGTCAATGTTGAGATGGTGATGGGACACATGAAGGCTAACGCAGAAAACGCGAAGAGATTCGTTGCTGCCGTCCTAGACGAGTTGAGTAAGGAAGAACACGCCGAGCAGATCCTCGCAAAGCACTTGGAGTTCCAGATGAAGTTCGCCGGATCCATGACGCATAAGTCAGGACGTAGCAAGGAGGCCGAGGCGAAGCTGAAGTGGCTCTTCCCGGGTTATTTTGATTGATCCATGAGATATTCACCTGGTATATACGATATGTTGCCCTGGATCTTTCAACAAAACATCTAGTTGGATGGCACAGTCACAGTAACCCCGGCGCTCATGATACCTCTATAGATAGGCTTTACATTCATCATGTCCGAAATTATGGACTTATTTCAACTCAATAACAGAGCACCTGCTTGACCCTGTGTTGATGCGCTTGCAATGGCATTTTTCCAGCACTGCACTTGCAGAGTTTGGAGCTCTTCTCAGACATTTGGCCCCTAGGCATAGCATGAAGGACATCAACGGAGAAAACAAGTCATTTCTTCCCGGGAGAACAATCTCCAGTCAGTAATGATCATCAGATTGAAGGATTCCAACCTGGTCGATTCATGTAGGAAACAGGTGGGATTTGGAGAGGCGCAACTGAGGTGTTGTCTAAATACCCGGTTATCCATATTGCCTCGACGCGTCAACTGCCTTTCACATATATAACTAATAACTTTCAAAGCACTCGAGGGTAACATATACTAGTATGGCCGCAGAAGATATCCTTAAAGTATAGTCGCACCATGCTACCTTGGGTACCCTTGGGTGCCATTGCAGCCATGTAGCAATGATCCTTTCACTCCTATTTTAAACCGAGTTGTATTAGTATTAAACTCAACACTCCTAAAGTATTTTCATTCTTCCCAAGTTTCTTCCTTCTCAAAGATACGGCAACGATGATATTCAACCAACTCCAAGCAGCCGTACTCTTGCTTGGGCTGCAGGCGACAGCGGGTATTGCAGGTAGTACCGCAAACTCCATCTCCAAGAGAGATCCCTGCGTACCACTAGCAAATGGCTTCGAAGCAATCGACGACTCTCCCGCCATCAACGATGCCTTGAAAGCCTGTGGTAACGGCGGCACTATTGTCCTTCCCGCCGACCAATTCTACAGCATCCGCTCGCCAATCGACTTCACACCGTGCAAGAATTGCGATTTCCAGATCGAAGGACAACTTATAGTTGCACGGGGTCAGTGGGACTACTGGCGGTACGGTTTCAGCAATGGATCGGTGCCGGCATTCTTCCATGTGCCGAATGTACACGGAGCGCGCATCCACAGCGTAACCGGCAAAGGTGTGATTGATGGGAATGCCATTGAGTACTACACAACTCGATATGACAGCGGCATCGGGAGCACGATATCCTTCTTTGAGATAAAGAACTCATCCTCGGACATCACAATCGAGAACCTGGTGATGAAGAACGTCATGTACGAAGAACTCCAAGCGTAGCTAGAAAACTCACCACTGACAAACGCCCAGGCACCGCTTCATCCGTGCCCAGGGGAACAGCACAAACCTCACCTTCCGCAACCTCACTCTCACCATGGAAGAACAATGGGGTGACTATCCTCGCAACCAATACGATGCCGCAGGCATCGAACTCGGTATGGTCTCCGGCGTCTCCATCTCCGACATTACAATGGCCTTCTCCTCAATGAAGACCCGCGTGACTGGACCCGTAGGAATCTGCATCCCCTTCGACGTTGGCGCGCACAACATCGATGTTAGGAGGGTAACTTGCAAAGGTGCCTGGGGCGGAGTCCTAGTCTCCATGGGCGCCATAGACTACCTCACCTCCCTCCTGCGCGAACCTGTCCCGCCTTCCCTCACCGCCGACACCATCGGCAACATCTACGTCTCGGACCTTACTTTCAGCGGCAATTTAGCGACGGGCATCATGTCCTACTGGTTTGACGGCAACACGCACAACGTTACGTGGGATGGAGTGACGGTTCTCGACGGGACGCCTGCATTTGAGAATCTATGTTACCTCAAGAGTCATAGTAATACGCCTTTCGTGCCGAACTGCTTTGCGAATTTGGAAGCAACGGTGACAGATGTGTGGTTCAAGAGGTTCAGGGGGAACGGGCTGGTGGCGCCAGAGAAAGGGAGTTGGGATAACCCTGGGAAGGCGGGTTATAATAATAAGACGGTTATCAGAGTTGGTTTTGAGGATTGGGGAAGTCTTTAAGTAGGAGAAAATGGTACGGTTTATGGGTTGAAGTCGAGGCATGGCAAGGTGAGGTTACATTGCCTTAAATCAGATACATATATGGAAGTTACTCTATGTCGGTGTCTGTAAAGTAATCTCGGAGAACATGACAATGTGCTTCTCAACTATCAATAAGCAAGCAAACGACAAAAAGATACATTCTATCGTTAAGAATCTTGATAATAATTGGGTAGATAGGAGTTGTCTTTATTGTGGTCGCGCATACCCATTATCAATGAACCTAGCTGGATTGCGCAGAAGTGCAGAGCGGCCGACAATCGCTAACTTCTGGTAAATTCCAGGTAGTTATTTGTGCAACGTCGAAGGGAACAGCGGATATCATCAGGACGATATGGCCTCAACCCTGGGAATCTCAGTGGCAGTTTAATGAGTGGACATGATCGGGCTGGAACTCCAGGTGCGAGACCGGAGACAATATCATTCCCGTAGACGTCGAGGAATATATACGTATGGAGATAGCTGACGCCGAGTTGACAAATTTATTGAAAACTCATTGACTACAGCTCAGTGTTTTCAAGCTCCAGGATCCTGAAGATGATGGTATGCCGACACCGCGTTACCGTATCTAAGCCGTGTCTGAAGTTCATCATATGATAGTGAAACTTACTAAGAATTTCTCAATAATGACGGACTATAGCACGAACAGACAATTCAACAAATGTACTACGCCATCAACCCTCACCCAGCCATTGTATATGAGTATATGGCTGGGCATCAAACCATAGACGGCTACCCTAGGGTAACGACGCCAACCTGTACCAACTCGCAACCAATCATCTCGCATATCCATCTTGCGGCTTCATCGACTGGTAGAGAATCCATGAGGAGATCTCCTACCTACGACTTCGCGGCTATAAACCGTCGTCCTCGTAGAGCGGTCATGATGAATTTTGCGCGAAGCCGCGAATTCTCCAGACCACGCCTTTTGTGCCACTCGCTCCCCGTCGGCATTGGCATCTGCATATCACTGCACTGCCTAACCTCCAAAGGTTTAACGGTCCCGTGAATCTCCGCACTCCTCACGGTCTTAGAGCAACTCTGTTTCTATTGCTGTTACGCAACATCCTCGACATCAACTGCAGGGTGGGTGGCCCGGATGCAGCAATGGCTTTCCCACCTCACCCCTTTGACCCTCTTTCTCCGGACGAGATTGCCGAGGTGAGCTCTTCACTGTATACAGACCGAATATACTCGCTTACTATAAAGACTGCCAACGTTGTGCGCAACCACAATGGAGCCCCAAATGTACTCTTCCGCGTCATCACGCTTTTGGAACCTCCAAAGGAGGAGATGATCGCATACCTCAGCTCTCCCTCCCCCAAAGCAGTACCCAAACGTATTGCCAAAGTGCACATCTACATCGAGAAGGTATTCCACGAGCTTCATATTGATATTCCCGCAAGGACCATCGTATCAGACAGGCTCTTGCATGGGCGCCACTCCCACATTGATTCCGCGTACATGAAGCAAGTTGAGGAGGCATGCCTGCAAGATGCGCAAGTACAAGATGAGATCAAAGCTTTGAATTTACCGGATGGAGCCACCGTGATTGCGGAGCCGTGGACCTATGCAACAGACGGGATGAGTGATATGACAGCGCGGATTACCATGTGTTGGTTTTATATGCGTGTTTCCGACCATCCAGATGCCAACTACTATGCATATCCCTTAGAAATCGTTGCAGAGGTCAACGAGGAATTGGAAGTTACCAAAATCTATCGTCTGCCCACTGGAGAAGAGGTTGACGAACCCATGGGCAACCAAAAGAAGGTGCATGACCATCGCAAAATTCATACGTCGAGCGAATATCACCCGGACCTCGTAAGTACCCGGCGTACCACGACGCGCCCACTTCACATAATCCAACCTGAGGGACCTTCATTCCAGATCTCGGGGAATCACATCAGCTGGGAGAAGTGGACCATGAGACTCGGTTTCAATTATCGCGAGGGCATGACCCTGCACGACATCCGGTACGATAACCGCAGCCTCTTTTACCGACTCTCGCTCTCTGAAATGTTCGTTCCATACGGCGATCCGCGCTTCCCGTATCCCAGAAAGGGGGCTTTTGACCTCGGGAATGATGGCGCCGGAGTGAACGCCAATAACTTGGAACTTGGATGCGATTGTCTGGGCCACATTAAGTATTTCGACGCCTGGCATGTTACGAGCTCCGGCGAGCCGTTGAAGATGCCAAATGTCGTGTGCTGTCATGAGCAAGATGACGGTATACTGTGGAAGCATACGAATTTCCGGACGGGCAATGCGGTGGTGACGCGATCGCGTTTGCTTGTGCTGCAAACCATCATCACGGTTTCGAATTATGAGTATGTCTTCATATTCTACTTTGGACAGGACGCCTCCATACATTATGAGGTTCGGGCCACGGGAATCCTGTCTACGGCCCCGATCGACATCGGTGGCAAAGTGCCGTATGGAACTGTGGTAGCCCCTGGGATTCTTGCGCCGTATCATCAGCATTTGTTCTGTCTGCGTATCGACCCTGCATTGGACGGTTACAGGAACTCGCTAGTCGTAGAGGAGTCAAAAGCAATGCCTTTCCCAGAAAGGACGAATCCGTTTGGCGTTGGTTACGTTACCGAGAGTACTGTGGTTGAGAAAGAAGCTGGTCTGGATCTGGATCACACTAAGAATCGTGCGTTCAAAATTGTGAACGAGACGGTAGTAAATCAGATGGCGGGAACTCCGGTGGGATTCAGATTAATGCCGTGGTATAGCCAGCCGTTACTAGCCCATCCTTCGTCCTATCACTCCAGGCGTTCTGAGTTTGGCAAGCACGCTGTCTGGGTAACCCGCTATTCGGATGAGGAATTGTATGCCGCTGGCATCCATACTATGCAGTCTAGTGGTGACGAGGGTATTGCCTCTTGGATCAAGGCGCGGCGTGACAGTCTGCAGAAGGCCAGTGTGAGGAATCAAGATATCGTCGTTTGGCACACGTTCGGCTCGACACACAATCCACGCATCGAAGACTGGCCGGTCATGCCGTGTGAGAAGATGGTCGTAGGGCTGAAGCCTGTCAACTTCTTCGATGCAAATCCAGCTTTGGATGTTCCCATCTCAAGCCAGGAGAAGAATAAGAGCGTGCTGGTTGCGGAGAAGGAACCAACGCGTGCCACGGACGAGGCTGAGAAATCGGGGATATAGGCTCGTTGGTATATCGAGGATGTGTCTTTCCGCCATATGGAGGAAATGGGAATTCATTGAAGCACGCCTCCAAATCGCGAGTATATTTTAACGACGTGTTTCCCGCCGAAGATATGCCCAGGGTGCCTTAAAGGAACTGCCGCGCACTGTAGGCCGCGATCGAGAGTAGAGAACGACTGTTTCCTGCCGTAAGGGTGGGGTGAAAAGACGCAATGCTAGATCGATGAAAGTCGTTCCAGTAGACCTTGGGACAGGTGCAGTGCTGTAACATTGCTAACTGCCCATGCACGCGATCGGGTAATGGCTCGGCATTAACTATCTCTTGGCGGTGAATTTCTCCCGATTTCTAACTAGCTCATTATTGTGCCATCCTCTTCCATGTTATCAACCGTACCTACTGTGTACACTACACACCTCTTTGAAGCCATGTTTCATTGGAAGTCGCCATTGGTATGTCTGATGTTAGGATCCTCATGGCCAACACCCGGATCGGCATTTCTGGCCTCGCGGTTCGATGCATGTTAAGCGCAGATATTGGGGCAATATCGCGAGAATAGCGGAACCAATGGGGTGCTCCCATGAAGGACAATCGATAACACCGTTGCCAGGCTGTACTCGGAAGATCTGCTGGCACGTCAACCTTCTTGGGGGTACGTACCGCACCACCGTCATTGACACTTGCACGAAGCGCCAATCTTGCCCTTTGGGCTTGAAGAAAGGGGCCCATGTACTCCCTACCAAGAATGGATCCTGCAGCATCCACACGGCCATCAGGGTACCGTGCATGTCTCTTTGCACCCCCTTGCGCCTTCGTCCCGGGGTGAAACAGACGCTGGGTCCCGGAATGTTCACCATAACACAACATTGATCGTGCAGGGTTGTGGTTTCCCCGGAACGCTTGCATCTGTTTATCATCTATTCTTTCCAAGGTTCACCCTCGGCGGAACCCGCGGCGGAAATACCTACCTATTTTGCATATTATGGCTCTGTGCCCCGCTGTGTGTTTCTCTCCGCTTCGCCTTCACTCAACCAAGGAGCATCTGAGGTGAAGCTGGCTAGTCACCCTCGTTTTCTTTCTTTGCGCCAGCCACACCGAGGTCGCAGAGGTTTCGTCCCATCATGCGGTATCCCATTCTTACCGTGGGGTTATTATCCCTTGCTTCGAGCCTAGTCAATTGCACCTCGACGTCGCATGTTGAGCCCGTCGAAAACCTGCGCCACGTGCCAAAGGGTTGGACTGAAGTCGGCGCGCCAGATCAGAATCGCCGGCTGCACTTTCGCATTGCTGTCCATCAGGTATACACTTTTGTACTCCCTTCAGGAGATGACGTTGCGAGAGAGAGCTAATGTTTTCAAGCATAATCATGCTCTATTCGACCAAACGCTCATGGAAATATCAGACCCTAGCCATCCACGGTATGGGCAGCACTTGAAACGCGATGAGCTTAAAGAGCTCGTCAAACCCCGTGCGGAGTCAATCGATGCAGTCCTCAACTGGCTGAAAGAGTCTGGGGTGGCTTCAGATGATATCCAAACCGACGGAGAGTGGGTCAACTTTGTGGCTCCTGTGTCCACCGCCGAAAGGATGATGGCCACCACATTCAAAACCTACCAGAGCGTAGAACGCGAGGATATCAAGAGGATTCGCGCTCTCCACTACTCCGTCCCTGCCGAGGTTCGCGAGCATATCGACATGATCCAGCCTACAACACGGTTTGGTTCCATGCGCCCTCAGATAAGCCAGGTGCATGATGTGCAGGTTCTCGACTCGGTCATGAGCGCAAAGTTCGCAATGGTCAACGCAACATGTAACACGCAAATCACTCCGGCATGCCTCAAGGAGCTATATAACTTCGCCGATTTCAAGGCCGATCCGAAGGCACACACCCTCATCGGAGTCAGTGGGTTCCTCGAGCAGTACGCACGATTCAAGGACTTTGCTCAGTTCGCCGGGCTTTGGGCACCTTGGGCAGTGGGCAGCAACTTCACTTGGACATCCGTCAACGGTATGTTTCTCAGTTTCTGCAGTAGTTGGGTTGGGTCAACGCTAAGATACCTGTCAAGGCGGCATCTTGGATCAGCGTGCTACTAACGACAGCGTTGAGGCAAACTTGGACGTTCAATATACCGCTGGCTTGCTCGCACCAGACATCAAGACCAATTACTACAGCAACCCGGGTCGCGGACCGCTTGTTCCGGATCTTGATCAACCTTCCCAAGAGGACAATCAGAACGAGCCCTACCTGGACTATTTCACCTACCTCGTCGGCCTCCCCGATGGCGAGTTGCCCCATGTCCTGACTACCTCTTATGGCGAGGACGAGCAGAGCGTCCCTGTTGAGTACGCAAAGAAGGTCTGCGATTTGATCGGCCAACTTGGCACGCGTGGTGTCTCTGTCTTGTTCTCTAGCGGTGACACCGGCGTCGGCTCTGCGTGTCAGACCAACGATGGCAAGAATAGCACCCGATTCCTGCCTATCTTCCCAGCATCCTGCCCTTATGTAACATCTGTTGGTGGAACGACGAAGGTCAACCCCGAGCAGGCAGTTTACTTCTCATCTGGCGGATTTTCGGACATCTGGCGGCGCCCCTCATACCAGGACAAGGCTGTGTCTGCCTACCTCGCAAAGCTAGGTAGCCGGTGGGAAGGCCTCTACAACCCCGCCGGCCGTGGTTTCCCAGACGTCGCTGCACAAGCTCAGGGTTTCCGGGTTGTGGATAAAGGTACACAAATCTCTGTTGGCGGCACCAGTGCCTCCGCTCCAGTGTTCGCCTCCATCGTCGCCATGCTCAACAACAGGCGTCTTGCAGCCGGCAAGCCTACTCTGGGTTTCTTGAACCCGTGGATCTACAGCCAGGCTTATCAGGGTCTGAACGATATCGTCACTGGTGGCTCAACCGGCTGCACTGGCCGCAGCATTTACTCGGGTCTCAAGGCGCCATATGTTCCGTACGCATCTTGGAATGCGACGGAGGGGTGGGACCCAGTCACTGGCTATGGCACGCCTGATTTCGGGAAACTGCTCAAAATATCCGAGGCTGGCGTGTATGGTGGGCGAAAGGGACTGTATGGGCACTACTAGAACATGGATTTGTTGAAGCGATGGCAACGGAACTGATTATGGAGCACTCTATGACTGTGAACGAAGCAAGATGGGTGAGAGCTGAAGTGCTCTGAACGTTGGTATAATATTTATTGGGATGAAAACCCCTCTGAAACCGTTCAAGTATAGTTCAATCAATGGCACAATATTGGTCCATGGTGTGTGAAGAATGTACTTTGCACAAGTTTCTCATTACCATGACTGCAAGACAAGCTGTTAATTTGTGCACAGCCGTAGTTTCACGACGTAAGAATCTAGAATCTCTTGCGCTGACTTTTATAGCAGTTCTTTCTATGAAGTTGTTGGATCTACAGGAATCACTAGAAGTTGTCAACCTTGGAACATTCCAAGGTTGAATGTTTGCAACACGTGATTTCCCGATTGGGAAAGCCGAGATGTCACCAATTCACCTCCAGGGCTGGGCGTTCAAGGGCCACAATGCCCCACCGACGCATGTTATGCCCCAGCATGTGTCATCATGTCCGTTAGCATGCATATCCTCACATTCCAATTACACTCATACTCGGCCTGTCTCGTCTACAGGCTCATCCACCCTCTTCTTCCACCATGACATCCCTTGAAACTGCCCTCCCACTGACACGAGACTCCATCGTCTCAGCCCATGAACTGATCAAACCTCACATCCACCTTACGCCCGTGCATACCAGCACCACTCTCTCGACAATTGCATCCACCCCGCAAAGCCCAGATGCGCTCAAAGGCACGCCATGGGAAGGCCAGGAGCCGGCGAAGCCGAAAATCAAGCTGTTCTTCAAATGCGAGAACTTCCAGCGTATAGGGGCGTTCAAGGTGCGGGGAGCTTTTCATGCCGTGAAGAGATTGATTGCGGAGCAAGGAGAGGGAGAGGTCAGGAGGAGAGGCGTTGTGACGCATTCTTCCGGTATGCGTGTGTCTCTAGATTTGGATCATGATGGGCAGTCTATGCATTTGTATCTGAAGCTGACGAGACGCAGGAAATCATGCCCAAGCCCTCGCCCTCGCCGCGAAGACCTTCTCGATCCCCGCTCATATAGTCATGCCGTCCATCTCCACACCGTCCAAGATCGCGGGCACACGCGCCCAAGGCGCAACGATCCATTTCAGCGGTTCGACGTCCCAGGAGCGCGAAGCCGTTGTTGCGGAAGTCATAAAGAAGACGGGTGCGACGCTGGTGCCACCGTACGATCATCCAGATATTATAATCGGGCAAGGAACTATGGCGCTGGAGTTTGAGAGGCAGGTGGAGGACTTGATCGCGAACACCGAAGGGTTGAATGTACGAAAGGGGAAGAAAGGGCTTGATGCCGTCATTACGCCGTGTGGAGGTGGAGGCATGTTGTCTGGCAATGCGATTGCGTTGCGCGGCACCGGTATACGTGCGTTTGGCGCAGAACCCAGTTTCCAGGGCGCCGATGATGCAAAGCGTGGGTTGGAGGCTGGGGAACGAATCACTTCGGTCAAGACCCTCACGATTGCTGACGGATTGAGGACGCCGCTGGGAGAGTGGACATGGAAGGTCATCTCGGATCAAGAGTATGTGAGCGGCGTTTTTTCGGTGACGGAGAAGAATATCAGGGATGCGATGAAATTGGTGTTGGAGCGGATGAAGTGTGTTGTCGAGCCGTCTGCTGTTGTGGGACTGTCAGTCGTCTTGTATAATGAGGACTTTAGACGTCTGGTCGAGAGGGAGGCTGGGGATGATGGGTGGAATATTGGAACCGTGTTCAGTGGGGGGAATACCACTGTTGAGGCTATCTCGAAGATATTCGCAGACGCGGGGGATGAGCAAGGCGAAAGAGCTGAAGGTGTCCTAGGTCTAGATGGACAAAGGGTCGCGGAGAATGTTGCTGGGTAGATGATGCTCCTGCCCGAAATCAATCATCTAGCTCTTCTCCTCAATCGCCTCCTCCACCAAAACCTTCGCATCGACCTTCTCCTCATCCGCCTCGACCCTCCCCTCAAACCCATTTTCCAAAATCTCAATCAGCTCGTCCAACTTCGTAACCACCAAATCGGTATGCTGGTGCTCCGCCAGATGCCTATTGGCATCATTCACCAGCAGCACCGTCGCAGCCCCTGCCCTCCATCCAGCCGTCATATCATCAATCGAATCGCCCACCATGATGAGCCCATTCCCCCCATCCTCATGCATCCAGCTCTTCGCAATGTGCAAAATGCCCGCTGGATCCGGTTTCGGCGGTCTAAACTCGCGCGTCACAATCGGCTCGAATTTGGAGCCCGGCAGGAAAGTAGTGAGGAGGTGCGCGACGGGCATGTCGAAGTTTCGCGTGCAGATTGCCTTTTTGATGTTGCGCGAGTCGAGATAGGACATGAGGGCGACGAGGCCCGATTGCGGTTTTTGCGCGGCCATGGCTGTGCGCTCGATTTGGCGGATGGTTTCGTGGGCACGGGATTGGGCGGGTTCGGGGAGGGAGTAGATGTGGTCGAGGATGTCGGTGGATTTTGGTATTCCGAGTGCGGCGCTGGGGGAGAGTCAGTCAGGTACTGATGTTATAGTGGTGGGGAGGAGGGCATGGGGTACAGAGGTATGCAAGCAATTATGCAGCAATGTGGGCAACGCCGGGGTAGAAAGAACATGCAGTGATTCAGTGATGAGGGCTTACCGCATCTCGGCAAACATGTAGTTCTGGGGCTCGCCTGCGAGGGAATAGTCAGCTTTCCAATTGAGGTTGATAGGTGAATGTGCATGTCACGTGACCAAGATAGAATCTTCAAGCTTGAACATAGAGAGGCCAATTATTAAGAGTAAAAAACGTCTATATCGACGATCCGTGAACGAACAGGGGAAATTATCATCTTGACAGAGGTTCTTTTTGTCTCGTACCGGAAGTTGGTACAGCGGCTGAGGGACGGCAAGAAAAGATAAACGAGACTTGATTATACAGAGACGCACTCACATAACGTTCCATCAACATCAAACACAATGCCTTTCAACTCCGGTCTCCCGTCCCCCTCTATTCTCTTCTCCGGATCCAAAGGCGCAAACCGCCGCGGTCTTAGCGGTCGCGGAGGCATGCTGGCACTTGACGAAGTTTCCCGCCGTCCCGTTTTCGCGCAATAAGTTGGTCGTTGGTAGGATTTCAGTGATGCTAGTGTAGTTTTCGAGAGTTGAAGAGAGGTTCTGAGGGGCTGGAGGATATTGCGGGTCATGATCGTCAGGCTAACATTTAATGTTCGAAGCTTCAGCCGCTTGGGATTGCTTCTTTTGGTGGAGTTGGTCTGTGCGTTTGATAACACGTCTTCGAGACGTAACGGAACTCACCTCGCGTCCTGCCTCCAATTCACCGTTTCAACCATTTCGTCGTCTTTTGGCCACATGCGCGCCCCCGTAGAGAAAGAGAATCATCTTCTATCTTGGATCGCATTGCACGAGAGGCAGACGGCAAATCCGACCCCCTTTGTCCTGATGCAACAATTACAGTTTAAACGATTCGGTTGGAAACATGTTTGTTCACGGCGGCCTTCCCATACTTGGCATATGCTAGGTCTAGGTGATGAACGCGTTGTACTGATGGGCTCCCCGATGTGCTAGAAGATTTAAATGTCCCTCCCCAACCTCTGAGAAGAATAACAAAATGCTCGTTAACCTAGGCAGGTGGCCTGGCAAGCGGTTCTACATGTCTTCTGCGTCCATCCCGTTCACAGTCCAGCGTTTGATTTGCCTATGTCCTGCCCACAGCCTAGGCGGAATCCTAACCCGAAGACAACATAGAAGGATGCGCTCAGCATTTTCGGGCTTTGGATATATCACTTTTAGTAGGTTTCTTCGTTCCTTCTGGTATCATTCTCATTTCAATCCCCTTTCTTCACTGTCCCTTCAGTCCCCTTTCTTCACTGTGCAACTTATTCCCGGTCTCGGAACATTGTCTTTGGAGTGAAAAGCACGACCTTTTTAGTGGAGGGAAAACTATGGTTTCACTTGCATATCACTGTCTTTCACCAAGCGGAAGCTACGCAAGCGGACTCAGCGGTATCATAACAACAACCAGTGGGGAGCAAGCTCAGAGTTCCTCTGCAAACTTATCTTCAAAACCAATTTCTTCTCCAAACTTGTCCCGTACCACCTTCCTTCACACCCATTATTCCGCACAACCTTTTCTCGTCTCCGCCCACAGAGAATGGATCACCAAACACCTATTCACGCTAGGTTCGCTATTCCCGACTACCTGAGAGGAGACCTCATCACAGAGCGCGTTATTTGCTCCCATCACATTCAAGAGCATATCCCCCGACCGGACTCCCCCAGCAGAGTAAGGCAGGAGCATTATCGGCAGCAACTATGCGACCACTTAAAGTCGCTGCACCCGGACCCCGAGCAGCGCTATCACGACATGGCGAAGCTTAAATGGTTACTGATGTCTTTCATCTCGAACAAGTCGCTTATCTTCAAGGAAAGTGTGAGCGATCTGTCGGCGCTCGCAAGGAAATGCAGCGAAGTGGCCGGCGACAAGAAGGCTGTGAATCTCACTGCTTTTCTGAATAGGGGAATCGTTCAGGACCCCAGAGTGCAAGAAACTCTTTTCCATCCTCTCCATGTTCTCGTTCTTGCCTACTTTATGGGGGGTCCGATAACTACATCATACGTCGTCACCTTGAATACCTGGAGACGACAAGCGGCATCTACCGGCCCAGATACAGCAGACCAAAGGAATTTAACGAACTTCTATACAGAGGGTGATACTGGTGACATTTTCGAGGATCACCGCATAACCATGGTATGGGAAGAGGGCGGTGAAGGTGGGTATGTACAAAACCCCCAAGGCGTTCATCATGTGTTTTTCACTGGTGATGCCAGACCCCGCGCGCCGCCCATTCTCGAGGTTTCGAACATGAAGCTTGAGGAAAATGACGCTTGTCAGGTCATTCTTTTCGACTCCAAGAATGCTGCCCTGTTTTATGAGCCCCAGGATGCAACGGCTGTACGGCGGAGCATAGCTTTCGATCTGTACGTCAATCTACACGTTCCGGGCTTTGATGACAACGTCGATGCTATCAACGAAGCTGCTTGCCGTACGATGACATTGGGCCATCTACTTACAACGACACCTATCCCCGGATACAATGACCGTTTCCACCAACTGCTGTTCTCGCCTGAGTCAATTGAGGCCATATTCGCGAAACTCGCCCAGCTGAATATCGGACCGCCGCCGAATACGACTCCAGTCGCAACTGAGGATCCAAACCTCAAGATTAAGTTCCAGCAATGGGAGGCCGAGAACATCGCCAAGGCTGCAACCATCTTCAACGCCCCGCTGCGTCTCCAAGGAACCTACAACAATACGTTGGATTTCCAAGACCGCCTGCGCGCCCGCATGCTGAACGACATGCGCCGTTCGTTTCTCGGCCTCAGATTCTTCCCGCACAAGCCTCGCGATGGAGACAAAGAGCCAGCACGCATCTGGATCCGCGATATGGGCATGACGGAAATTGTGCTTCGCGTGGGGCAATATTTCCCCATCGCGCTGCCGCTGCATCAGCCACATCTGATACCTCCGCACAAGCTGTCCCTGGGCGGCGCGGCGATTTACCAGAATGCCCTCGAGCTCATCGCAAATGGCTATGCTGATGCGGACGGCCTCCTCTACTCCGTAGGGACTTTAGCTCAAGCCCTAGGGGATGCTTTCGGGGCCTACAAGGAGATTCAGCATAACCCGGAGCCAGAGATCAATGACAACGACCTGCTCATCTATCAGACGCGCTGCCTCTATCTTTTCTGGTGTGCGGATTATGTCGCAGGCTGCATGTCTCGGCGGGTGAAGAGTGAGTTTGTGAAGCCTAAAGTGGCCAAGGCTAAGAAGGGTGCGATGGGACGGGATGCGCATGCCCTGCTTCTGAACTACGTGGCTTGGTGTTTGTTTGTGGATGAGTTGCCTCCGCGACCGTTTCACGTTCGACAGCCTGTGGACGCCTAGAGTGCCGAGCAAGTTGTTGATGCGCCATACATCGCGTGATGGGGTATGTAGTGTTGAACGGAGAGATGTCGGCGTATGGGCTTGGTGGAAGGCAGCGTGGGGTACGTAGTGTCGCGATGATGGTTAGCACCCGGTGTAGGTGTGAAGGTGCTTAAGCGTCAGGGAGAATTCTAGGCTAAGTTGTCAGGACGCCTGGTGTGGAACGTAGTATAAACTGTGAGCGCCAATAGCGGTACAGTGTAGGCATACAGATGTTTACTTCGAACTTCATAAGCGTCCTGATATTATGTGTCTTGCCCCGTGACTCTGTCCTTGGATTGTGTTTGGAACATTCACACCTTGAATTCCTGGCCCAGACATCCAGTGCGGCAGTAGGATAGTAAGACTCGACGAATTCAAATAAGTCTAATATTGTCTAGAACAGCACTCTGGATGGTACACATTGAAGCATAAATAATCCATCTTCCCTGCATCGTATAACACCGTCCAGCTCTTCCCCAGAAAACCAAGAAGGAACTCCAGATAGATTGAGTAAACATGAATCCTCGCAAAGTATGCGGTACGTACAACCTAGGCGGAAACCCCCGACGAACTATCTCCGCTCAAGCTGGACAAGGCTCACAGAGAAGTGCATCTCAGCCGGGGCCCCTAGGCAAAATAAACGGTGTGGAAGTATTTGGCATTTACAACTTAGGTCGAGGCCGACGAGGAGCTATCTCTGCTCAAGGGGGGCGGGGCCCACCAGGGAGTGCGAACGTTGGAATTCAAGCTCAGTGGAAACAAGGACGAATGATGTCCAAGCCAAGCAAGGCTGAGCGATGAATTTTCGAACGACAAATTCTGGTCGGGGCTTCAGAGAAATGTACTTCAAACGGTGTCGGTCGAGCAGAAGTAGCGGTGTGCTATTTCACTGCTAGCTTACTACGTGAAGTTGAGCATATGTTCAGGATTACATTTGAAGTTGGTTCAGAAAAGTGATTGATATTCCAAAAGATACAGGAAGCAAGGAAACATATCATCTTTCCATCCACCTATGTGACATCTTATGCATCTATTTATTCTTGAGCTGGTTGCCCAGGACCCTTTTTGAGATTCCTCACTCGCTCCAAATAGTCACGCGTCTCGTATGGTTTTACGGGCCTATCTGCAAATCTTCTTCTGTTGAGATTAGGGTTCCCATAGTCGTTTGCATTATCAGGTGGTTCACGAAGTTGTCCATCGTCTACGTTAAAGTAGCCATAAGCTCTCTTTTCAACATCGAGAGGATCGAGAGGACCGAGAGGACCGAGAGGATCGAGAGGATCTAGAGGATAAGTAGGCTTCACACGCCCGTCCTCGCCATCCCGACGCACCCCTGACCAATTGCGAAAACTATGCCCAATGACCGGGAGCTTCGGTGGCCGGATGATGGTGTCTCTTGGTAAAGGATCTTGACCCGTCCGATTTGTTCGGTTGACCTCGACGAGGCCATATCTGAGTAGTCCAGACTCATGGATGAGCCTCTGCTGCACGTTCGCCGAGTCTCCATCTGCATTTTCCGTAGTTTGTTCTGCCGTGGGGGCTGGGCGCGGCACGATTAAGTTTCTCTCTCTCTGCTCACGGCGCCCGAAGGAGCCGGCAAGACAGCACAGTACGGGATCGAGAACTGCGACCGTTCTCGAGCACATACGGCCGATGGTCATCTCGAGCAGCTCCAGGTGCGGAGACCGTTGTTTCCCGTCTTGAACTAGTTCTGTGCAGTATATTTGTCTGCAGAGCGCTTTGATAAGTTCGTGTTGTAGCCTCCTGGGCATCGCAAGCTGGAGCATGGTGTTGTAGAGGTGTATTTTGTCCTCCAGGCCATCGGGAATGGGGATCGGTGGAAGAGCTGGAATGGAGGACGGGCTGCTACCGTTATCCTTGCCGTGCTTTTCAGTTCCAGATTTTTTGTTACACTTTTTATTCGCAGCTTTCTCCCTCTCCCGATCTGACAACCAGGGGATGATGTGGTCTCTCATTGCCCCTGGACCAATATATGCGACTTGCTCGCCGGAGCGAGAATAAACATCTGGATGCCTGACAGGAAGGTGCAATTCTGTAGCACTAGGATTCCTAATAAAAAAGTCATAGGCTTCTCGAGAATACTTCATCAGCGTCGCCCGATCAAGCCCCTCCTTATGGTCAGGTAGTCTGATTTCTTGCTGTATCCTGTATTTGGGTATTGGAGCGTGGTCGATTGGGTGATCATCCTTTTTCCCGTACAGCGTATAGAACTCTTGAGGATCTATGACAATCCAGACTCTCGTGGGCACAGTGTCTTTGGGGACTGGATCCTCTTCCTCTTCTCCTGTCCTCTGGTCCCCGTTCATATTGTCGCCCCCTGCAGCGTCTTTGCCTTTCGACTGTTCCTCGGCTACTTCTTTGTCTTTGGCTTCTGCCTTCTCATCTCCATCTGCCTGCTCATTATCTCCTGCCTTCTTTTTGCCCTTTGCGTTCGCTCTACCCGCTCCTTTTCTCGTACTCTTTTTCGTTCCTTGCGCCTTAGCAGCCAACTTATCCGCCTTGCCCTGTGCCTTCTTTGCCTGTTTCGCCGCCTCCTCCGCCTCTTTCCGTGCCTTTTCCTGCTGCCGCTCTTCAAGTCGGCGTTCTACTCCTGCTTGCACAGCCAGATCGATAATCGCAGCCCGTACCCCTGAATCAAGATATACCTGATTCGGATAAGCCAGGGTTCCTTGTTCGATGAACGTGGATCTTGCTGCTATCTCTCTCGCAACGACTTCCCGGTCAATCTGCTGCTCGAGCGTCCAATGACTCCAATCGTCGTCGCTAGCTCTCTTAGCAGCTACTGGCAGTGCTGGAGCACTGCGCTGAGTTTGAGCTTCGGCTACGGATTGCGTGGTGGAAACGGATTGAACTGTGGCGGATTGAGCAGGAGCGGTTGGAGCCGTCGTTGTGGCTTCTGCAGCCGCTTGGCTTTTCTCTGGTTGTGGAGCGGCAGGTTTAGTCCTGGGCTTTCTGGATTTCGATGGACCCGCGACATCGGTCTGCTTGGTCTTTCTGGTTGGAGCGGCACTCCTAGGCTGAACCTGTGCGGTTGGCGGCGCAATGAAGGCGGGCTGAGCAGTCGCAGATTGGGAGGGTGCTGTTGGTGCGACCGCAATGCTTTGGGAGCCCTGTTGAACATCTTGTGCTTGTGGACCCGGAGGCGGAGCGTTCGTTTTAGGCTTCTTGGGTTTTGCTGGGCCGGCATCATCAGTTCGCTTTCGTTTTGGGGCCATGGTGGAAAAAGAAGAAGTCCAAAATCCGGACGAAGGTGTGAATATCCAGTGGCGGTGCGTATCAAGGGAGAAAAGAGGGAGTGATGTTGGCTGTAAAAAGTTGTTAAACTCGTCCTTTTATTTAAAGGAGACCTGAAGTCCGTTGCTGTGAAAGGGCAATATCCCTGGAGATATGGAGAGTTCGGCAAAGTGCCTTGTGGCAGTTCCTTTGTTCGACTCGATTGTGGCTCGCCCCTAGTCTTGTTCCGTTCGAGTCGTCGAGTGAACAAAGGAAATAGGAAGATGCGAGCGCTCAGGTACAGAGAATAGGTTGTAAACAAAGAATTGCCTGGTTGGTATGAACCCAATGATAAAACAATTGGAGCAGAGGGCAGTTTGTGCGGACTCGAAAGCGATGAAGGTCCCGCCCTATTCCCGTTTCGGTCGTCCTCAACACCAGCACTCCCATGTTGGGTGAAGCACGTGCACCAAACCTACTAGGTGAAATCGCTGATCTTTTCCTAGAAACAAGATGAGCTGTTCTCGTCTCTACGGAATCCGACTCTAAAAGAGCTTACATATAGCAAGTCAGCAGACCGATGTAAACTGACTTCTTCGGTCCGATACTTCTAACAGGTGGTATCTGCTCTGTTGAATGCAAGAGAAAACCCATTCAAATCTTTGTTCCCGCTACGAGCACTTTTGGAAGATAATTAGCTTCAGGTCGTATGTTTCGCATCTAGACACAGGCATTGAGATTGATTAAGTACCATGAGCACCTTTTTGAGATAACATATACGTAGTATACACTCCTGTCACCACTGTGAAATCATCGCTCGATGAGATAATCGTGTCATTCCCACATTCCGAAAAGTAGTCCAAATACTTAGCCGTCAGCGTGGTTGAGAACATCGACAGACTGAGCATCAGTCTGGACGCTCGATATGCTTACTCCTCAGAGTCTTCCTCAGACTCCTCCTCAGACTCACCACTCTCCTCAGACCCCTCAGACCCCTCAGTCTCGCTCTCCACAATCTCCAACTTCTCCATCAACAGCGCCGCAAACCATTCCTCCTCCATCTCCTTCGAAAGCTCCCTGCCCTCATAGCCCTCGGCGCAAACCACCCAGCAATAGTAGTCTACCCTGGCACAGACACCGGACATGTGATATCCAGTCCGTTCGAAACGGCATCCACCGCAATCATGGCAGCAGCCCTTGCAAAGAGCGACATGGTTCCGCTTAGGCTTGAGGGAATCGGCGAGATGCCATTCTTCGTAGATATCTCCCCATTTCGGAATGCCCTTGGGCAGTGATACCTCTCCGAGCAGGTGCTCGTGGGGCTTGCCGTGGATGATGGGGATGAGCATCGCAAGTCTAGTAGCTTGGTCCGACAAGGCGATTTTGATCTTCTCAGCTTTCTGTTTCTTGGCTTTGAGCAACCTCGACTCTTCGGCTTCGGTGGCGATATCCAACTTCAGCCTTTGAAGAGCGGAGGCCATTCCGAGGGTTTTTGCTTCGAGGTCATCTGCGGCAGGAGCTGTGCCTTCTGCCTTGGAGCTCTCGACGTTGGAGGTGGTAAGGAATTTCGGATTCTGAAGTGCAGAGGTTATCTCTCTCTCAGTGACCTTGGTTTCCCTGATGTCTCCCCCTAGGGAAGACTCCTTCGCCTTCGCCTCCGTCTCCGAAGCCATCCGGACCGATTTCACCTCTCGAAGGTCTTCGGCAAGAGACTTGTCCATCACATCCGGCTTGTGAACATCGGTGGTCCCAAACTGGAACTTTTGAAGGGCGGTGGCCATCCCGAATGACTTCGACTCTTGGACATCACCCAGCTGAAACATCTTCACTTCCTTAACATCTTCTCCGAGATCCCTTGACTTCTCAAAGTCGACGACAGTATCAGTCTTCGGTCCTTCAGCAGCAGATGCCATCGCAACCGTATCTGCACCTTGCACATCTCCCATATGAGACGCATCTTCCACGTCCTGGTGTTCGGCTTGGGAGACATTGGATTCCTTATAAGTGGAGTCTACCTCATTGAGCCAATCAAGGAAGGATAGCCTGCATGGCGAAGGGGGTTCCGAAGGGGGCGGTGTGAGGGAGATCAGAGTCATGGTGGAGGTATACGGTTGTCGTCCGTCGTGGTTGCCGTTGTGGTTGTAACTGATACCCTGATAGTCTCGATTCTGGTTGTGCTGAACCACAGCGGTTGAGTTGGGGAAGTGGTTAGTATAGAAACAGGGAAGCGGTCAGGTTCTCGGTGGGTCAGACAGTTTATTTACGCGACTAGAAACATGACGCAGGTGTTGCAAGCTTTCACCGCCGACAAGAAACTGGTGGTGGAGTTGAGATGGACTGGAGCCAATCAAGTGACGCGCGTACGCCGTGAAAGGTGTTTAACTGGTTTGCGAAAAACTGTTATGAGGAAGCTGGCATGCACCGGATATTCAGTAAACCGTGCCTTTCCGGTCACGAATTTGAAAGAGCAGAATCGCTGTATTATTGCATAATAATAACAGGTGTTTCTTGCGCCACAATCCAGAGAAACTCACTTTTTATCCAAAAACTCAAAAGCGTTAGCACCCTGCCCACCACAAGCCCTCTCCAGCGTCAGAAATGCAAAATGCCCTCCAACAACGGGCCTAGCGAAGAAGTACGGATTCGGAAACCCACCATCGCCCTCGGTATTATACAGATCCGTGAAGGGACGATCGGTAACCGTCTCATTTAGCCAGAGGGCAACGCGGTCCAGGATCTCCGAGCGTACTTTCTTAGACGCCACGGCTGCGGCTTCGAATTCCCAGTCTGATTTGGTATAGAGATGGCGTGAGTCCAAGGGCAGACCGTACTTCTGCATGACGGCGCTGTACCACTTTGATTGTATGTCATATATGCGTGATGGGATGAAATCTTTGGTAATTGGGGAGCGCCCGTTTGGACCTTTGCCAGGCTGCAGAGGCTGTTGGTCGCCATGATTACCTGACGCAAACGTAGGAGCATCGTCCAATGTTTTGTTGGTGATAGAAGGATGGAAACAGAGAACAGCATCCGCGTAAAGGGAATATAGCGTGGTCCAGCTGCCATACCAGTCGTACGCAAGCTTTGCGTGCGTGCCGTCGCGTGAGATGCCATACTCTTGCCACTTCTCAATATAAGTGTCTGAGATATTGCGATGCTCCTGGGCGTCTCCAGTCCGATCGAGGAGGTCTGCAAGTTCACTGAATGCTTTGATGCCAATAATGCCTTTCAGCGCGAGATTGGTTTGAAGTGCTAACCAGCCAGCGAAGTCATCAGTGCAAACTGAGCGAGAATTAGCATGGTTTTTCTTGCCTCAAAAGGCAGTAAAGAGGTAACTTACGCTGGTTGTGGGGTTCAAGACTGTATTCAACAAGGTAACCGGTCCATTGCTTCCAAAGGTCATAGCTCCCCTCAACCCACTTCTTCGCTTGATCTATACCTTTCACGCCCCCGCCCCAGGTATCGTCAATATGTTCAATACCATCATGGGAACCCAATGTAGTCAACGCAAAAGGCTTGTCGTCCTCTCCACTGCGGTATGTTTGATCACCCACCGTGGACCACAATGACTGAGCTTCATCGGGAGATCCATAAGTCAAGGAGTTGACGAGCGCCAACCCCATGATGAGCATGTTTCCACACTCCTCTACAGGCATATACTCATCTCTTCCATCCGCATGACCGGTCAGATTCGGAAAGTGCGCTCCAAGGTCATGCATAGAGTACTTGTTCGGGTATTGTCCGCTGAGTTGATGTTCGATCAAAGGTTCCAGAAGGTAGGCACCCCAACGCGGATTGGTATACATGAAAAATGGGAAAGCAGGGAAAATGACGTCTACGGTCTGACAATTGCCGTTCGAGGAGATCTCCTTGAGGAACAACAGTGGATTTTGCGGCGTGCCGGAGAAGCTTGTGGCGCCTACGGCCTGTCTCGCCGACAGCGCCACAACGTCGACGTAATTTATGGATCCCGATCTATAGGCATCGATGTAGAGCTGGTCGGAGTAGTTTCTTGCAAGAGTGTTCGCGCTTTGAAAGTCACTGTAGTGGAATTGGATAAGCTCGTTGTCATGATGGAACCAGGATTTCCATAGCGGGCGCATGAAAGTAAGCCCACGAGCCGAGGCAAACTGTGTGACCGGATCCTGCGTGTGCGCGATTGTGAAAAGAACACTATCACTCCTTGTGCTGTTCGAGGAAGATGACTTCTTCAAGTTGAAATTCTTTGCATACGCGAAGACGGGTTCCTCATCCATGATACCGCGAAAGTTTCCGTCAATCTCATTCTGCAGTGTGCCAGTGCGTGCAAAACGTTTCCTTAGTAGAGCAGATGTACCGGACTCATGCCGGACATCTCCGGGTCCTGTAAAATGTAGCTGGCCCCATTCTGCCTGATCAAACGTTTCAGTGAATAATTGCTCTGTCTGCCTCTTGAAGCTCCATGTCTTCAGTGGTCCAGAGCCAACGGCTTCTCGTTCGTCCAGCGACCATTGGATTACGCTTTCTCGCTTCCCGCTGACCCATTGACCATTGAGATCAATATAGATGTTGACGTCGAAGCTTCCTTCCACATATATAGTCACGTACGCGGCCGGAAGTGACTGTCGAAGGGTCGACGTCGGTGTAATCGGTGACAGAAACGATAATGTTATCTCGAGCGGATCGGCGTCAGGACCCTTTGAGGGTGATGGGAGGGAATAAGTGAGATTCGTGGTTGACGCGTCGTACTTCGCGCCTTTATAAGTAGGGTATGCTATACTATATCTGTGCGGCTTGCATCAACATCAGCCGCTACAGACAAGGGCACATTGTATACTCTTTGTCATTTACGTCTAATGAGTCCTGGGGTCGGCCCAGCAATGGAAAGACTTGATTGGTATCAGGTAGAGAAGCAAGGACGCCAAATCCGACCTATGGGATCAATATATCAGCCTCGGTGCAGCGAACGACTTCTAGCAGTCCCGTATGGCTCAAAGGACGAGAATCAACCTACCTCGCCTCCAGTCCAAAACATGGGCCATTTCAGCCATGGTTCGGCGCGTGCATTTCCCAGCCAGGTGCTCAGGTATGGATTTCGAACAATAAGTGGAAGGACGGGTGGGTTCAGCGTTGAAGCCTCGATTCCATCAAGGAGAAGGGCCGAAGAGATCAATATCGCGAGGTTATATGGACGCATTGCATCCCCGCTCAGCGAACTTGGTAAAAGAAGTGCGAGAGAAACACCAGGTCCCCTAAATACCAAAATCGCTTGACTAGAGTTATCGAAACGCGTACATTGGATAACGGAGGGAGATATATGACAGAGGGGAGGCTCTCACGAACTGTCAGCAGGTTGGGGAGGTAAGGTTGGAGGTTGGGAGAGGTGTTGCGGGGTGAAACAGGTACAACCAATCAGCGCCCCAGTTTTTGCAGGGGTCACACGCCGGCGTCAAAGTGAACAAAGCTAAAGCAGACGTCGTCTCACACTGTGTTGCGCCAAACATCAACATTACACGGTGAATGGGAAATGCTTTTCTTGTTAACTTCCGTGAAATCTCAAAAGTCTTCTCTGAGGAGATTCTTGGAACAATGGGCCATGAAATATCCCGATTTCAACACCTAACAGCCATCTTCCAAAGTTTCGTGCAGCCTACCATCAGAGTTACGAGAACTGGTTACGACTGACGCTCCATCTGACTGACAGACTCCGAAGTGGGCATTCCACGACGCTTCCATGCGCTAGCAACGACACCCATGAAGGCTGCAGCAGTACACTCCCTCTTTTGACCCGGCGGAGGCGTTGAGATACCATCTCTTGTCTTCTGCACAGGGCTTGGTGTCCGGGTGAGCCGTCTGTCCACTGCATAGTATGGCCTCGGCTCTTTCTTATTTGGAACCGGCGGTAGTGGGCGTGCCTGCTTTAGCGTAGCAAAATTCAGCGATGCGGGAAGGGAGAGTCGATAAGGCTGCGCGGAACCGCTGCAAACATGACCTCTGCTTACGAAGTCGTCATGCGGATCGTCTTCGGAGGCTCGCCTCAATTCAAAAGCTCTTGTTGAACCGGTATCCTGCCGAATCCGAGCAGGTTGCTTGTTCTGGTTGTACGGAGGCGACAGGAACACGTCCTCAAGGCCGTGACTCTGCTCAGGCGCTTTGGCTCTCCTGTCTTGCCCGGACGAGGAACCCTCACTCGGGGTTGGGTCATCGACCTCATGATCGAAGATCCCAAGGTGCTTCAGCTGTTCCAATGTTCGGTAGTAGTAGCGGAAAGCAACGAACGGCGTATCCACAGGGTCGACGAGTGCGAACTTGTAGAACCGTTTGGGGAGGCCCGCGCCAGCTCGGCCTGCATTGGCAAGGCTATTACCAGTCAGTCTCATTTCACTTGCGATGTACCCGATCAGAAGGAGCCGTCGTCCTCCGAAACCAGAAAACAGTCTCGCTTACCTGATTCCACTCTGGTTGCGTCCGTACGATGTCGTCGCATAGTCTTGGAACTCTCGAGGAATCCTCGTTCTACCATGTGCACGGAAGACGCGGATTTCCATGCATGTGTTAGGGTCGAGTACGTTGGCCAAATCCTTCCACCTTCCATCGTCTTGACCTGGTGTGGTGAAATGCAATGCCCGTTTCTCCACGATCTTCCTGCTCTCCTCCCCCTCTTCTTTTTCCTCTCTCTGAAACAAGGCGAATATGGTCTTCCCTTTCCACGCTTCCTTTTGCCCGCATGACCAGCTGACTACCGGAATGGTATTGATGTACAGCTTGAAGAGGAAGAACTGGTTGTTTGGAATGGGATTCAAGACGCTATAGCAAATCCAGAACTGGCTTCCCTGGTATGCTTCGACGTATACGCTGACAGTTGCGGTTTTCGGGTCGTAAAATGGAGGAGCAATTCCCTCGATGCCGGCCTCATCGTAGTAGGACTGCTCGCGCGGGTAGTACTCGGCGTATTGACCGATGTCAAATTGGGAACGCAGTTCAATATCGACTCCTCGGCATCTGGGCATCTTGTGTGGCAGGTGGGTTGGTGTTGAATCAAGCCAGCGGCCGCAGTTGCCTCTGGTAGGTACGTTCGTTAGGAAGGCACGTGACGGTAAACAAGTCCGAAAGGAGCTCCTGAGCAGGACATCAGTGAAGAGGACAAAAGGTATAGCATTCCGACCATACCGCTGCTGCCAGCCACTTGGCTCTTCGTTGAGTTAGGCCTCTTGGAGCACCGATGCGACGCCTGCGCGTACTCTCTGTCATACCGCTCCTGTAGATGGGTTTCCACGCAAGCCCTCAGAGGTGCTGTCTTTCACTCTACTAGAAGCCAAGCCACACTAACAGCCGGGTACGTGCGTTTTCACCTTATTATCGGTGTACCTCACCTCCGAAAGGCGGCCAAGATCAGAAAGTTCAAGCGGTCTGCTGCAGACTATATACCGCTATATAATCCCTTCACTACTTCTGACTCTTGTTTCCTCTCTCTCACACTTTTCTCAACCTTTACGTACCCGAAGGCGAAAACCTCATTCGAGCGACCTACTTCACTTACCACATCAACTCAGTGTCTAGCAAGGTTCCATATCCACGAAATGTCCTACCCTACTGAGCGCAATCCAGCTCCGGACATGCCTGAAAAGCCTCTGCGTGGTTCAGGCGCGAAACGCCAATATTTAACTGTCGCCCAGCTAGCAAAGTAAGACTCATCTCACCTCACGACTGGTCTAAGCGGAACTGAAGTTACTAAACCGCTTAGACTGAAAACGGGCCCCCGAGTGAACATCCTGGTTGGGCCACAAGACGACCAGTACATCGCAGTCGAGGGCGCCTACGCCAACGTTCTCTCACACTACTCGGAGCTGGCAAAGCGAACGCTTTCAGGATATGGTGTCACGCGCCTCTGGATTCCCAATGCCTCCAAGTCGATGATCTCTTGGATCTATCGATATATGCTCGCTGGCGAAAAAGACCCTCCAGATGCAAAGTTCGAGCAACACGATCTTGCCTCCCTCGTCTCGCTTTGGTGTCACGCAAAGGCCCTGGATTATAAAGAGCTCACGGAAAAGACTTTCAAGCGCCTCCGTCACGTCATCTCCACCGTGGGCGTGTTCGACGTGGGCGTCGTTCAACAGGTGCTCTCCACGATTTCGGAGCTCCGTGGTGCCATTGTCGACGCGGTTGTGTATGACCTCACGAACTGGGTTGGGGCCTGTGACTACGGATATGTCCACCAAATATACCATCTTGAAGGGATGACCGCTCTTATTGATGCTGCTATGGAGAAAGAGTTGAGGCGTCTAGTGGAGCGGTCAGAGTGGTATTATGGCCAGCCTCATATCAAGCGACAGATTGAGTGGATGGTTCGCCATCGCAGCAATCAGCTGAAGGCGCAAAATCATCTCGGGAAACCGATATCAGGAGTTCCTACCATGAGAGAAGATGTCCATCGGATCAAGAACACCGCCGTGAGGCGGCCGAAGCAAAACGATATGCCGGCCATTCATGGCGTCCCAGGAATGGCGAGGACACAGTCGGGAAAAATTCCGTCTGCAGGTGTAGTCTCAACGTCCAAGACTGTAAACAAGACTACTCGTCAAGCAAAAGCCTGCTTCAACTGCGGTTCCTTCGAGCACCTCGTGCGCCGGTGCAACGTAGCTTCCGCTGTCGCGGCGGACAAGCCGGCCAAGCTCTCGACCGACCATCATACCGCCATTCCTCCTACGACGGAGTCCAAGAATCGTGGGGCTACAAAGCTCGCTGAGATGATTGAGATTACTCTGAGTCAAATGCGCTCCACCAAGTCAGAGCCACGCCCAAAAGCCTGCTACACCTGCGGATCACTGGAGCATCTTGCCCGCAGATGCAATGAAACGGCCACTCAAGCAAAGCATAAGCCATCCGATCCCTCTACCGTCAACGGCGCCTCTGTCATTCCCGTCAGAGCGGCAAACGATGTTCCTCTTCGCCAACCGCTTGATTCCGAAAAACCGATCAGGTGCCGCAAGTGCCGCTCCATTGGTCATATCGCTCGGCACTGCGATGTTGTTCCCACTATGGCAGCAAATAAAGCAGGCGACGCTTCTGACGCGAACGGTGGCCCCAGGTTCACTGAACGCAGGCCCGTGATCTGCTACAATTGCGAGCAAGTCGGCCATATCGCCCGAAACTGCCACGGAGGTCGTCGGCATGAGTCTTCAAAAGCGGTCCCAGCAGCTGCGAGCAAACCACCCACTGCCAATGGCCACCTTCATAAGACGCCGTTCCGAGGACGAAACCGCAACTTCCGCCGTGAGAAGTCGGATAAGCCGTCGTTTGCTCCGGATTACGTTGAAATTGCTGGAAATGGCGAGGGGATCACTACCTGCGACTATGAGGTCAGGCCGGGCCAAGTCACTCGGACGGGTCTGGTGGTATGAGTTTTGGTCGGGTGGTTGGCGAAGGGCCCTATACGATTGAGAGAGATCTTCACGCAAGTGGGCCTCAAGGGAACATGAAACTTCTCTGGGAAAGTGGCCTTGGTATCAGCGAGGGTGGACTCCTCTTACAATGAGTATATATCATAATGGGATCCCGTGTCTGGGATAGCGACAGTGGAGGTCCGCTCGTATACTCTTCAGCACTTCTTGGGGGGGAAGGTTCAGGTGTACGAAGATCAATGAGGGTGTTAATAGCAAGTGCTACCACTACGGCGTGAACGCAGTACCAGGAATACACCATCATTCCCCCACTCTTCTCGTGCTTTGAATTCCTTCTCAACAGACAAAGGCTCAATGTAAGACCCTCTAGTCATTAGGAACCCCGTTCCAACCCAACAACAAACTCCCTGCACCATCTTCGAAGTTGGTCCAGAAACTTCACCACATCAACCTAACCATCCACAGAGGCTGTTTGTTTCAGTCGAATGGATAGGTTGGTGCGTTCGAAAGTCTTCTGATCGCTTCTATTTGGAGGCCGAACCGTCTGACGATGGCATTGAACAAAAGGAGGCACATCGACTTGCGTCTCTCGAGATGGTCCCTGTCTATGGCACAGCTTCTCCAGGAACATGGATAGGACTGTGGTGGTAGTATGATAGAAGATCCTCTGGTGCATTTTACCGACGTTCGACCTGAAGCCAACTGAACCTTCTAGAGATGTAAATCTGCTCATTTCTGCTCCCCTTCCGGCTTCTTTCCTTGCTCCAAATAATCCTTGATACTAAACATACCCGTGCCCCTCTCCAACGGCTTCGCCTGATCCGGGCTATGCTTCCAGCCAATCATGTAAATCAATCGGAACGTTGCAGGTACAGTACCATCTTCATTCCCATGCAGCTCCCGGTAGATGTATTCTCCTGCAAGCAAAACATCGCGTTGGATAGCACCTTTTTCCCTAGACAAAACAGCGTTGGACTCGCCCATGGCCTGGAGATCCTTCATCAGGGCGAAAGAGTCGGGATAATCAACAATGATGTCGTCGACATCGACAGTGAGTAAGTTGAAGCCCGCACGCTGTAACAGGCCGCCCACGTCCCGGACGTCCGCTAGAGGCGAGGTATGCGTGGAGACACCACCACGACGATCCATTTCGGCGAGCTGGAGCGATGTCCGCAATTCGTACAGGGAATCGCCGCCCATCATCACACCGATGAATGGACAATCCGGCTTGAGGATGTTGTTGATCTGGCCCAGGACGGAAGGGAGATCGTTGATCCAGTGCAGGCTCAGACTGCTGAGGACGGCGTCGAATGTATTTGCTTCGAAGGGTAAAGTTTCCAGCGTATCGAGCACATGTCGCTCAATGTTCACCTCCTTGTTGAAGGGCAGGTCTGCATCTCGATATAACAGCTTCTCCGAAGCATCCGCTGCTACGAGCGTCCCCACTCTTTTGGAGCGCGGTCCTGCGTCCGGGGAGTCCTCGGAGGGGAACGTGAGCATGTGCGCAATATTGCATGAGTTGGCGCCGAGATCAAGGACCTTGGGGAAATGACGATTGATATCCTTGCAGACACGATGAGAATGAATCTTCGAATTGAGTTGCATGAAAGACACACCATTAACCTCTCACACAGCCGTGAAGCAACTTCATTCCTCAAATAGTCTACATTTCTGCTGGATTCGACATTGGAAGCCGCCCTCTCTTTCTGCATCCATTTCTGCTGGTGGGAGAAAACCTCCAGCGTCGGAGCTCCGGGAGTTTGCACCGCGTAACTGCGAGATAGTCGGAAATGGGCACAGCGTCGCGTAAGCGGGGGGATGAAAGCTCGTACAGAGAATACAGAGAACGTATTCATTATGTGCATAGAAGAACCAATTGATAAGTCTAAAGACTCCAGTTGGGAAGTTTGCACGGGTTCATCGACGTCAAAACTTCGGCATTTCATTTCCCCGAACCGAGCTCCAAAGTTCCCCAGACTCCCTCCTTCAAACACGAAGATGTCCGCGCCGCCATGGCGTACACATTTCCATATACCTACTACTCATGCTCCTGCCACGAGACACGAATCTCCCCGGGAGCTTCGAAACGCTCGTCGCACCCGCCTCCCGCCGAGGACGAAGAAGACGAACAGACGTTCGATCCCAAGAACCCCCGGTCCAACTACTCTCTCTACCCGCTCGAACATCTGCTGTACTGTGAGGACTGCCGCCAGATACGATGTCCACGATGCGTAATAGAAGAAACGTTGAATTGGTTCTGCCCGAGCTGCCTTTTTGAGGTGCCCAGCTCGGTGGTGAAGAGCGACGGAAACAGATGCACGAGGAACTGCTACAACTGCCCCGTATGCAGCGCACCGATGCCCGTAGCCTCGCTGGAGGATCCCGCCAACCCCTCACCGAACGGGGGGCCCTTCATCCTCTCCTGTCCGTACTGCCACTGGTCGACCGCAGAGATCGGCATCGAGTTCGACAAACCCACGGGCATCACCAGCCAACTTGCCCGCATCGCCAACGGCGGCAACCCCATGCCCACGCAAAAGGACAAGGACAAGGAACGCGACCGACGGAAAGAATCCGAAAGCCGCAAACTTCAGGACCTACTACTATCCGGCACGTCCTCATCCTCCGCCGCCGACTCATCTGCTGCCTCCACTTCCTTCGACGACATCTACGCCAGCACCTCGGGCCCCACGCACGACGACCTCTTCTCCAACCTCTCGGCATTCTACAAATCGCAATTGGCGCTGCAGACCCCCTCGAACCCCTTCTCCCCGCACATGGACCTCAACTTCGCCTCGCCCTCGTCCTTCTCGCGCATCATGAACCTCTACTCCTCGACCGTCTCCAAGAAGCAGAAACGCGACAAACCGGTCCCCATGCGCGAAGCCGCCTCCGCCCTCGAAGGCCTACGCATCCATTCCCCTTCCACCGACGTCGACACCATCGAGCGCCTCCGGAAAGAAGGATGGAACGCCAGTGTGTCACCCGCCCAGCGTCTCGCGCAGCCGAACCCGAATGTACGCCTGGCGTCCGAGCTGAGGCCAGTCGCGACGCTGCTCTGCACGAAGCGCGGCAAGCGGTGCGCGACGTGCCGACACATATTGTCGAAACCCGAGGCCAAGATCACGAGCACGCGGTACAAGATCAAGTTGTTGGCGCTGAACCATGTGCCCAGGATCAGCGTGCGGTGGTTGTCTCCTACGCCCGCGGCGGCGTCGACGACAACGATCAACTCTACCTCGTCGTCCTTTGGATCCGGGATGCCGAATCCAGCAAGTGTAGGCGCACCATCAGCGGCGGCGGGGACGTTTGATTACGAGAACATCAAACCCGGGATCCCGACGCATTTCATCTTACACGTGTCCAACCCCTTGTTCGATCCCATTCGCGTCACGCTCGCGACTCCGAGCATTACCCCCGGAAAACTGCAGTCGCGCGTCACGCTGCTGTGTCCGCAGTTTGAAGTCGGGGCTAATACGGACGTCTGGGACGATGCGTTGGGGGGTGGTGGTGGGTCGGGGGTTTCGTTCAATGGGAGCTTTAGTGAGGTGGGGGGTTTGAGAGGGAGGAAGGGAAGTGTTTCCGTGGGTGCCGGCGGGGGGGATGGACAGATTGAGGCGGGTAAAGTGTGGGATCGGGGACGCAATTGGACGAGTGTGGTTATGGAGATTGTGCCTGGGTTGGGGGTAACGGGTTCGGGTAAGGGTCCAACTGCGAAGAAGTCGAAAGGTGCTGGTGATGACGATGACAATGACAATGACGACGAAGAGTTGGATGAGGATGACGCTGTGTTGGAGATTCCCATTTTTGTTCGCATAGAGTATGAGACGGAGGTTGGGGCGGAGGAAGGCAGGATCGGGATGGGTCCTGGGGAGAGGGGTGGCAAGGGAGGGGAGGCTCAACAGGTGCAGAGGGAGAAGAGGGAGGAGGCGTTTTGGACGGTCGTGGGTGTGGGGAGGGTGCTGCTGTTTTGATGATGGACTTTGTATGTGAACGGACGGTGAAGAACAGGGAGGGGGAAGGTTGTCATGGTAGCGTATTCGATGAGCATTATACCCCTTTATTTCTACTTATATGAATAAATATACAATCCACTTCAGTCACCGGAGAGGTATGTGAGAAGGATCAGTTTGGGAAATTCAAGGTTGTTTCCTATCTGATCTGCTCCCTTTCTATTTACTGCTTTATTAATCTCTAAGCTTGGAATTGGGTTTCTACATTCCAAGTCGCAACAGAAAAGGCGCTGCACAACACGCCCTCGCCCCTTATATACCCATACCCGGCAGGGAACCAGAAAAATCCGGGGAAAGCCACACTATAAACGGCCGGCATGCAGAGTAGAAGAAAGGCGAAACAAGAAGAGTAGATCCGCAAGCGAGAAACTCGCAAAAGAGAAAGAAATCAGGAAGGAAGAGGAAAGGAGAGGATAAAGGAAATATGCAAGCAGTCTTGTGCACTACATGTCCTATGCTCGCTGAACTGAATGACACAAAGGAAATGAAAACAAATGAAGAAAAATGACGCCGTCCACCCGCTGGTAAATGCACATACCGACAAGATCCTCCCTTGTTGTCCGTTCCCATCTTGTCAGACCCAAGCGCCTGCTTCTCACGTCTTCTCCTTGTGTCTGCGATACTTGCTGAACCACAACGACATCTCCCCAGAACGAATCCCATCCTACGAACCAGAGAGCCTACTGGATAGCTCTCGTGTCATCCACACGTCTTTCCTACACCATAACCCACCCATTCCTGTCCTCCTCTTCTTCCCCCTGATTCCCCACCAGGCAATCCTTCCCAACGACGCCCCATCCAAAATCCAGTATCACAGCCCTCCCATCCTGGCTCGTGGCCACCACGCGCCTATAATCGCTCTTGGCGGACAGGATCCAGCTCGTCGTCCAATTCTCATACACGCCCATGACCTCGCCCGTGCTGAAATCTGCAATCCGGATAGACTGGTCATAACTCCCGCTCACGACGCGCCCGTTGTTGGCGTCGAGGAACAAGCTACGAACAAGGCCGCCGTGTTTGGCCGACGTGTGCAGGAGCTTGCCGGAAGAGGCGTCGAATTTATACACGACGTGGTCGTTGCCCCCAGCAAGGACGTACTTTGCGTCGTCGGAGAATTCGACGGCGGCGAGACCGCGGTCCTGCGAGGGGAATTCCTTGACACAAACTCCGGAGTCCAGGTTCCACAGCTTGGCGACTCCATCTCCCGAGGCGGAGACGAGGAGGTTGCCGCGCAGTTGGACGGCGTTGACGGGGCCGCGGTGCCCAGTTAGGGTGCGAAGAGGGCGGAAAGTGGCGCGGTCCCAGATGATGATAGTGGCGTCTTTCGAGCAGGAGATGATGTGCTTGGCGTCGAGGGCGACATCGAGGACGCCGGCGGTGTGACCCTCCAGACGTGCAATGGGGACAAAGTCGTGGGTTGGCGAGGTGATATCCCAGACAATACACGTGTGATCGGATGACCCAGTGACCATGGTAGTGGCGTCGTATTGCAGACACAGGATGGACTGTTCGTGGTAATCTTGGGGAATATAGTAGATTGCGTTCCCTTTGGGGGTGCCGTTAAGGGAGGGGTGGGAGATGACCGTTTCCTTGTGGGTTTCGAGCTCCGGGTGGGTTGGAGGGACGGGGCGGTGCGAGGGGCCGCCAATAACCTTGAGGCAGGTGTACGTGTTCATGTCCCAGACGCGGATGGTGCGGTCGCGGGAGCCGGTGATGCATTTGGTTCTGGTGTGATGCGTTAGCAGAGCGATAACCTAGTTGGGGGGAGGGGCATGGTACGTACTCATCAAACTGACAACAATACACAGAGTCGGTATGCCCGTTGAGGTAGATGGCATTGGGAGAGCATGCCTTCCAGCGCCTGTTGATCGTCATCCGAACCTTGTACATCTTCTTCCAGTCCTGTCCCGGCGCCGGCTTTCCCTTGGACGACTTGCCAATCCCCGCACCGCCCATGGCGATCGGGGTAGGCGAAACATGCACGTCGGGCTTGAACCGCCTGAGGAAAACATGCTTCCAGACGTAGGGCGAATTGGCGGCTTCCTGCCACGCGCGGGAGACAGCTCCGGCTCGAGCGAGGGATTGGGCGTCCAGATTCGAGAGGATGAGCGTCGTAATTTCAGACGGGAGATACTGCACTGGATCGAACCTTGTGTCCGCCTCGTCCTCGGCCTTGACTACGGGCGATGCGCAATTCATCCCAACCCCACTCTCGCTATCCTTCAACACGTCGTCCATGGCGCGCTGCGACTGGAGCACGTCTAGATACGCGGTCGTCTCCTCCTGTCGCTGCAGCTTATGCAGACGTTCATTGTTTGCGGCAGCCGCAGCTGCACGTGCCGCTTGCCCTGGGGCGGAGGCAGCAGTCGCAGACACAGGTGCGGAGGTAGGGGCAGGATAGTCGGATGGTACCGGTACGGGGGAGGGATTGAAGCGAGCAAAATCTCCAGAGGGACCAGACGTGGCCGGACGGCGATGGGGACGAATGCTTCCAAGGCGCTTAAAGAGGGGGAACTTGGGCGGTGTGGTGGTGAAGGCGGGTGCCAAAGAGGACGACGAGGGCGCAGCATTTCCGCCAAGCGTAGGCGTCGAGACACCCGAATCCTTCATATGTTGCATTTTGAGCTTGAATCTCGGGAGCACATTGGGTCTCAGCAACGGCTGCTCTCCATCGACGACATAGCCGGACGGCTGTTGGGCCTCCAAATGCTCGACGAGAGAGGGTCTACGCGACGAGGTGGACAAGCGCCGACAAATCTGTTTGCAAGATCCCTTTAGCGACTGGCCTGCGCGAGACAGGGAACTCGTATGAGCATGCGGGGGAGTTGAAGAGGGGCCGACGAGACCCGAGCCCTCCATGACAGCGCCCAAGACTGGTTGTTCAGACAAGTCGCGGGGACGGTCGAGGGTGGTGGTTTGTGAGGCGGAGAAGCTGGATTGCGAAGCGGTGCGCTTCATTTGGTGCCTCGCGAGGTCGTCGAGGGCGGATGAGGTTTTTGGACGCAGCGGGAGGAGGGAGTGGGAGCGGTGGGAGCGGGTCATTGACACGTCTTGAGTGGGAGCCCCGCAGCCGGAGGGCAGCAAGGCGGGTGGGCTGGCTGGCTGGCGGTGTGCGGCTGTCGTCACCGGAAGTCAGATGCTGAGAAAGCCCAGCGAGGAGGTGTTGTCAGAGTGTGGCCGAGTGCAGCGCCGACCAAGGAGAGCGGACGGTGAAGGATGCGGTGACAGCAATCGTCGAGGCAGACTTGGGACGGGTTGGCAATGCCCTTGGCTACTGTACTGTAAAAGGAGTGTTGTCTTGTTTGGTGTTGTAAAACAGATTAACACAGTACAGTACTCGGATTCGCGGCGCGTGCAGGGAGGCGGCGCAACAAGGGGCAACGAGACAGCCAGAAAGGAGCGTGAGATAAGGAGGGACCCGCGCGAACAAAGCAGCAAGCGAGTGAAGAAGTATGCGAAAACAAAGAGGCGGGAGCAGCGACTTGAGTTTTAGCCTGATGGAGAGAGATGGGTGTGGTGGTAGGAGTAGGGTGTAAAGTAGTCTACGGGCAGAAAGGGTCGGCGGAAGGAAGCAAGCGGGTCTAAAGTCTAAAATGGAGCACGCCGAGACGGGCCCGTGCGTCAGATGCCGCGGCCAGCCAGTCGCAGTGAATGTGAATGCGGAACCGGCACCGCTTCAAAGTTGACGACGTTTTTCTGCACAGATTACCCTGATGTTACAAACTGCCGACGCCACAGCTTCCGATGTGCAAGTGTACAACAGTACTATGCTCCGCTTTGTCTGGCAAGTTCCGCTCCCACGGTACTGTCTTCTCTCTGACCGGTGCTGTGCCCTCTCGGCCTCGCACAAAAGGAAGCCCGCAGGCGGATTCCAGCAATACACAGTACAGGCAAAGAAAGAAAATCATCATCATGAAACCAACTCTCAAGGTGGCCGAGCTATAGCAGAATATGGATGGTACACGGGCCTCGAACGGTGCAATACCCACATAGGCTGGACTCTGTACTGTGGCTACGTTGGTCGCTTGCCTCCAAGTTGCCCCAGGGGCTTTCATTCTAGCTCCTACCGTGTGCGTAAAGCATCATGGCTACGACTTTATCTAGAAGGGGCTAGAATTTCCACCTTCTCGAAGAGACCTTCATTGTCTCTCAAACAGAACTTACCAAGTAACTTCCACCTACTGTACACTTCTCCACACTACTCCCCACAGCTGCTTGAAGCCTTCCCCTCCTCCCTTTCTCCTGCAAAACAACCCCCCTCCGAGGAGACGCTTCCCTTGCCGATCGAGTCCGGGTCCACAGCACACGTTCTGCCTCGTGCCCGACCCTGAATCCTCGGCCTTTGCCTAGTTCGAGACCAGTAGTGGTGTACATACTTACACAGCAGGATTGATTCTTGGCAGTCTCCTGTGCTGTGATTTGTTGCATTATAGTACTATGTATGTATCGCGTGGCTCTCTGGCCGAACACCGCCGAAAAGGTGGCGAGCCCTCTTCGCCTCTGTGGGTTACAGAGATCGAGATGACTATGCCAACCAATGGGAGCGTCGCAACGACTGTCTCGAGCATGCATACTTGTTAGTACAGTGAGGTGATCATTCGAGAATGATGTAGAAGTTAGTAGCGCAAAGAGCCGAATGGAGACAACGGCTCATACCACAACCACAGCGCTACTTGTATACGCAATGGGACCGAACAAAGATGCACCGGGTAATAAGACGAAACCTCGTTGGTACGAGGCGTCTACACTCTTTTGTATATATAGTTTCAACCTTTTCTAATAGTTATCCTCAGTCTCCCCAGTCTCCACTTGAAGACTCAAAGTTCCACCTAAATCAACTTCATTCTGTACCAGATTACCACTTGCCTGTCAAACTGCAGCCCCAGGATATCAACCCTGAAGTGTAGATCCCTAGCCTTTTTTGCATACAATTTCCCTCTACCTTCCCAGTGCCCATTAAACGCGCCCAAGAAATGCAATTCGCAAGGGGACAAAGCCCTCCAGTGCAAAATACCCAACCCGCGCCTTCGCTTGATCCCAAACCCTTGTGACTTGAACGGGCATGACATGGACATCCCACCCACCCAGAAACCACGGCGCGAAGCCCCGTCATGCAGTCCCTCCCTAGTCCAGGTACTGAACAAAGAAAGCAAAATCCGCACCCACCCAAAGAACAAAGTACCCGCGTGATAACATTAGACAAGCCACGGTCCCAGAAGGTCCAGAGGCGCAAAACCAAAAAAGAGAACACAAAAGCAGAAAATAAACCCAGGGTATACTAACAAAAACCTTCGTAAAACGCCCATAAAACTCCAGTCTCCTGCTGTTCAGATGCTCGGAATCGAAAAAAAGCTAGTGGTATCCAGCTCTCCACCCAGATTTTTTTTGTATCAGCAGAACACCGTGTAACACCATCGCCGTGCATATAGTACAGATGATAGGAAAGGAAAGGGAAATAAAGCAAGATTTACCGCCAAATACAGAGGCATGAAAAATAGGAGAGGCAGAGCCTAGGATGCCTGAGGCACATCCTCCGGGTAACTAGCAAACATGGACGGATCATCCTTGATAAACTCGTCGAAAGCATCAAGAGTGTTCTCAGACCGAGGAGAGAGGCCACCGTCTCCCGCATTCCAGCCCAACGGCAATGCGATTCCAAGCGAGGCCATATCATCGGACAACTGGGTGTTGAGCATGACGGGGCCAAGCGGTCCGTGGGCCATGATTGCACGAGTAGTCATTCCATCATGCGAGGGTGACCTTTCCAGTGTGTTGGGCGTGCTGTCGTTGGTCATGTCTGGAGTGGCAGGCGATGGAAAGCTTTGTTCAGCCCAGAGACTGCCCTCATCGGCGAGATCCGTGGAAGTGATGGGGAGAGAGTCCATGGCCGAAGTAGCGTCAGCCAAGGACATGTCAATGGCCGAGAACGGGAACGGATTCGCAACGAGCGGGCTCTCGTCAGCCGTCTGCGCCTCGACAGCAGTGGCCGGCTGAGCCTCTTTGGCCTGCGGCTTCGTCGCGCTCGCTGGTGTCGCTTTCGTCGCTGCTCCTGTGCTAGGCGTGGACACCTTTGTGCCAGCTTGAGGAGTCTTGAGCGTGGCTCCAGACGGCTGAGCGGCGGGCGTCTCGGCGGGTTGGGACACTGCTTGGTGTTGCCCAACCTTCGTGGTGGCAGCGTTGTTCTTCTGCGCAATCGAAGCTTTAGAACCATCCTGCCCTTCTGCCCTGGACCGACCCTTCTTGGAATCAACTCTTGCGACCTTCGCAAAATTCTCCAAAGCGTATTGGACAGGGTCTGCAATCTTGGCGTGGACCTCCTGAATATGTGCCTGCAGATCCGCCTGTGTAGTGAACCTGAGCTTATCACAGCCGTCGGCTGTGCATAAGATTGCTGGCCTATATTCCGCCGGCTTCGCTGCGGGCGCCTGATTCTGTGGAGGAGTAGCTTCATTTCCAATCGCTTCATGGGGAGACTGCTTCGGAGCGGGAGTGGAGCTCTGGCGGTCAAGTTTTGCCTTCTTCTTCTCAGGGAGGCGAAGATCCTTGACATCTGGGGCACCCTTAAAGTACTTTGGCGCGCCGCGAGGTGACTGGGCGCCGATGACGAACGGAGGCTGTTGCGCTACAGGAGCGGGAGGTGGCTTCTGCTGGCGTTGCTGCTGTTCCATGATGGCCAGATTGGCAGGGGTCAGTTGCTGACTCGGTTGGCCAGCGCTCTGTTGATTTTGTTGGTTGGCCTTCATGGCATTCAGGTGTCTCCGCATTTGGGTCGTGAGTTTGGCGAAGGTGTGGAGGATGCGCTCGAACTCATGGAGCGTGATTGAGCTGTTATCGGCGAGTTTAAACTCGCTCAAATCGATGTTCCTGCGTAGCTTGACCCACATCTTTACGCACCCGCGGGTGGTTCCCTCGTCCCCATTGGCAGCGTAGAGGCGCAACGAAGGCACCACATCGTTGAGAAGCGTGCGGTTTGAGCGAAGCTGCGTGTTGATCTGTGCCCGAACCTGGTCATTCAGCGGCACAGGTTCGCCTTGGGTGAATCTCTTCTCCTCTTCTTGCAGCATAGCCTGGAATTTTGCCAGCCTGTTTGCGCTCTCGGTCGAGGGCATAGGATGTCGTTGTGGGAGCTTGGGTTCGGTTGTGTTCTGGGCCTGCAATAGGTTTGCCCGCGCCCGCTGCGCGTCAGCGAGACTTTGCTGTGACGCTGAGGCAACCATAGGTGGAGCTTGAGGGCCAGAGGCCGTGATTGCCTCATTGCCATCGCCATCTTCATGCGGTCGCTTCACACCCTGCTTCGGAGTTCGCTGTTCAGTGGCTTGCCCGAGCTTAGCAGCGTACTGCTGTTTAGGCGTTGGCTTCGCCTGAGCGCCCATTTGAGAAGGTGCGGGTGACGCCGCCGTCTGTCGAAGCATCTGTTGTGTGGGGCCGGGCGACGCTTGGATTGCGGAAGCTCGTTGAGCCTGGTTCAACATCTGCTGCTGGTGCTGCTGCAGCTGTTGCTGGTGCATCTGAAGTTGTTTCAGCTTGTGGTTCGCCACGAGCGCCCGCAACTGCTCGTCAGTGGCGGTGATCCCCTTCGCCTGGAACTGCGCGCGTGCACTATCAATCTCCTGCTGCGTGACCGGCACGGTAGGCAGATTGGGATGTGATTGTCCCGGTCGCATCGGCGGCTGGTTCGCCATCATCGTTGCTTGTGGAGCCATCATGATCGGGTTTGGTTGTTGCGGTTGACTGGATTGCATCGCCATTGCTGAATTCAAAGCCATGATAAGGTTCCCCGCCAGATGGAGGTTATTTGCCACATGTGCGGCTTGCATCGTGGTGATCTTGTTAGGGTTGATGTGCGGCAGTCGGGCCTGGTTCTGTTCGACCCAGCTTCGAAGCTGAGCCCATGTGGTAACCCCATTCGGAAGCATGTTCAACAGATTCGTCGATGCCTGGCCTGCCATCAAGCTGAACGGTTCATGATCGGCATTTCTAATGAGCGCGGGGTTGGTACGCAACAGTTGGTGGCCCGCCGCGAGCTTCTGTTGGTCAGACAGTGCTTGTCCCGGGACGATGTGTAGCTGCTGAGCGAGTGCCGGGTTGGCCATCTGCTGGCCCATCGGCATTCCTGCAGGGTGCACGAGGTTCTGGTTGCCCAACATTTGACCTGGCGGCCCGGATTGTAGAGCTTGGGACGGACTGACCATCATGTTGGGTTGACCACCATTGAGCGCGAAAGGTTGACCCGGTCCCGTGTGTCCTCCAAGACGCGCATTTTGGTATTGCAACAGCAGACTATGGAAGTGGTTATCAGGGACACGCAGGAGGTGATTTCTGAGCTGAAGTGGAGCATCCTGGGGTATCATGCTCCTTCGAAGTTGTTCCGTCAACGGTTCACCGCCAAGTTGAGCTTGCATCGCTCTTTGCTGGGCCTCGCGCTTGAGTTGGGCAGCCACCATCGGGTCGTACTGTTGTGGGTTCAGTCCCATCTGAGAGATGGGAGCCTGTGGAAGCTGTTGGGGTGCCCCAGCGCCATTGACACCAGGAGGCACCATCCCACGGGTGAGCAGATTCATGGCGGGATTCTCTGAGGGCCCTTGAGGGTTAAGACCGCGCATCTGGCCTTGCAGCATCAAGTTCGGGTTCGCCGGTGTACCTTGCGGCTGGGGTTGCGACTGAGCGGGGCCTTGGGGACGGCCCTGTTGCAGGGCCTGCTGGGCCGCCTGTTGTTGTTGTTGTTGTTGTTGTTGCTGCTGCTGTTGTTGTTGTTGTAACCGGGCTTGAGCTTGTGAATGAGCCTGCGCTTGCATTTGGGCCTGTGACGGTTGTCGTTGCATGTTGTTCATGGCCGCGGTCTGCATCTGGCGCTGTCCCATAAGCTGGCCTTGCGGAGTATTCTGAGCGGGAAATCCCATGAGATTCTGGGTCCCGTTGTTGCTCGCCGGAACGACGGTTTGACCCTGGTTTTGGACTCGAAGTGCCTCGACCTGCTGGTCGGCAAGCGCATTGAAGTCGAATCCTGCATTGGCAGGACGCTGGTTCAAGCCCGTGGGCATCTGGGCAAACTGGGTTTGTTGCTGGAGACTGGGTCCATTCTGAGTGGGCATCGCGCCAGCGGAAAGGGGGATTTGACCATTGCGGATAGCCTGCTCTGCAAACTGGCGGAACCGGAGGAATACGGGATCGATGTTACGCAGCTTGGCGTGTTGCTTCTTCTCCGGAGGCCATGCGTCTATTTCTTCTTGGAGTTTCTGCCTGAGCTCCGGTTTGGTTGCCATTAACCGCCGTGCAACGTTCGTTACCAAAGCCGGGTCGAGAGGCATCTGTTGCGGCTGCTGCATGTTCGGCCGGGGAGCGGACTGGCCTACGGGAAAGTTCAGCTGGCCGGCGCCTGCCATGGCCATCATAGGCCGTGTCTGGTTTCCAGGGAGCGGCGTGGTCTGCATCGGCCGTTGTAGCTGGGGGTTTGGGAAGGCTTGGAGCATCTGCTGCGCAGCGTCGGGACGGGCGCCCGGAACGCCAGGTTGGGCCATCATGGCCATGTGTGCAGGGCTCATGCCGTTGAGAATGCTGTTGTTAGGCTGCATGGGCATTCCGTTGTTGCCCTGCATCGCCATAGCAGCGTTGGGTTGCAATTGTGTTCGCTCCTGGCGTTGACGAGCTAATTTGTTGTTCTCATTTCTGATTGCGGCGGCGTACTGATCCTTTGTCTGCGAGTTATTGAAGGCGTCCATCTCCGTTTTCATGGCCGTGTGCATAGCCAGCGCATCTTTGTCTGTGCCCAGTAACAACTTGTACTGGGTGAGAAGATTCATAAAGTGGTGAGCACGGTCAGTGGGAGGAACCGACTGCTGCCATCCTTGCTGAGCCTTTGCTTGCTGTTCGGTAAAATGGTCGAGGAGTTTTTGGTTGAAGGTGCGCGGGGCGGGCGGCTGAGCCATTGTGGTGTTTTGCGCTTCCATCGCCGGCAGAGCGACAGAGAGTCGTGGAGGTATGTATCGGGGACGGAGATGAGTGAAGTGGCAGGCTGCGACGCCAGGTCACTGACTGAGGCCACAGACTGCGCGGTGGCTCGATGGGTTCTCTCTCCTGGGAGGGCCGGTTGTCGAGCGGCGCGGTGTGGAAGAAGAATGAGACGGGCGGCTCGCGGCGAGCAAGTTTGCAGGGCGCAGGCGGACGAGTGTCGACAGCGCCCTGCTCTGGAGCGCGCACCAGCACGACAAGGCGCGGGCGCGGATGGTACGGCGGAAGAGGAGGATGGAGTTGAGGAGACGGGGTGGAGGAGGAGGAGGAGGAGGGGGAGAGTAAGAGGTGGTGAAGATGTGGTGAATGACAAGTGACGACGGAAGGATGAGGAGGGATCGGCTGTGGCAGCGCCAGAGGGTCCCGGACCGGGGTGGAGCGGAGGTGTGAGCGCCTTGGCGACTCAGGCAGGGGACGCAGGGACCCCAAACGGTTTGGATGTCGAGAAGATGAGCAAGAGAGTAAGTGCGCTGCGTAGGCGCGACAGTTCCAATGCGGACAAGAGTATAGCGTACAGAGCGCTGGAGGAGGAGTGGTGAGGTGAGGTGGAGGTGTGACGGCGGTGATGTTGCTGCTGGCTGGTTGCTGGCCGCCTGTTGGCTTTGCTGTTTCAAGTCTCGAGAGAGGGAGAGAGAGTGTGTGTAAGAAGGGAGAGAGCGAGCGAGAGAGAGGCGGTAAGATGCAGTCACCGAGCTGATCAGAAAACAATCAGCAACACGATCGACTACTATGTACTGCAGGAGGGAGGCTGCGCTTACAATGTGTCGGGCTTCTCAAGGTAGGTATCAAGTCGAGTGAGCGTGGGGTCAGCCTCTGAGTGCTCGAGTGAAGGGCGGCAACGAGTACAGCGACGATTATAGCAAGGAGTACAGGAACGAGTTTACTCCATGCGCGGCGAAGAAATGTGAGTGAAGGGGGGTTTCTCCTAGAGGTACCGAGGGGCCCTTCGAATTTAAACTGCCCATAAGGCCCGTTTACAGTAACATTAGCACGTAGACTCAAGAGGCACAGCCATACACAGGGCCCTCTTAGCTCCATGACAGTGAGCAGAGACGGTGCAGCCATCCCCAAACGCGTTTAGTCGGCTCGACAGGTGACCATCATCGTCGCAATCCCCAGACGCAATGCACGTAAACACTGCATTTGACTCTCACATGCTAACACTGATACCCTCGCAAGGCTGTCCTTCTTCAGCTTAATCCGCTCTCCCTCAACGAACCGGCATTGCTAAAGGACAGGCATGTGGTTCACTGCAGAGCAAGGCCGCGACGCCAGTTACGTATATTCCAAAAACACCAATATTCAATATCCCTCATCTCCCCTCTCCCTCTCTCCCCCTCCCTTCTGTCTCTTCCTTTCCTCCTCTTCCTATCTCCTCCCCTCTACCATGATGATATGATACCCCTCCCCGGTCCTACACTCTCCCACCTTCGGACTCGCCGTCGTGCTCGGCTCCAACTCAAACGCCACCTTCTCAAACTCGGCCAGCAAGCTCCCTCGCGTCTTCCACCCTAGCGATCCTCCTGTGCAAAAAATGAATGAGTCAATCAATCAATTCATCAATGGACTCGCAACTCTTCCCTCCTCCCTGCTAGACAGAGAGAAGAGAAAAAAAAACGGGCCAAAAGAGGAAAGAAAAGAGAGCGAGAAAAAAGACTCACCCTGCCTAGCCTTATCCTCGCTAAACTCTCTCGCTACATCGTCGAACTTCCTCCCTTCCCGTATCTGCCGCAGCGCCTCCTCCTTCCTGCTGTGCTTCTCGCACAGAATGTGTCGGACATTGATCGCCGTCGCGGGCTTGAGCTTCGAACCACCGCCGCTCGAGGACCCCGAGGCGTCGGCCGTCGACTTTGCGGATTTGTTCTTCGGCGCCATGGTGGGGTTGGGATGAGAGGTCGGGATACTACCTACGTAGATAGGAGGGCGCGATTGCGTCGAGATGAGGGGTTGGGAGGGTTGGGATACTACCTACGTAGGTAGTATCGCGCGCGCGTCGTCGACGTAGGTAGTATTGCACGCGCGTCGTCGACGTAGATAGCTTCACGCAGACGACGCTGGGGTGACCGATCGGATCTGGCTTGTGATGATTCGGCGGTACTCTAGCAACCGCGGCGTGATGTGGGAATGCTTGTGCAAACTCGTCTTTTCTCGAGTCGCAGGCAGTCTCTTCGCCGTCAACCTTGTATCTTGGTATCCAACGTCCTTGAACCGTTTTCTTCTGTCGTGATAGTTTCGTTGATGGTTTTGTGCATCGAGAACATCGATAATGAGATGAAGTCAGTGTGGAGACGCCGCACAGACGCGCGGGCCGAACGGGTGGAAAATGGAGCCGTGGCTCGGCACATGCGCTAATCCCGTCTAGGGAGTGTTACCATGCTGCTGGGAATTCAGGGCGTTGTGGGACCCTGGAAGAAGGGGATCGGCAGCCTACCCATGGACGACATCTGTGTTATTCAATGTTCAGTATTCATCATCTAGAAAAGCTCCTCAGATACGCGTTCTTCACGCTCGATATGTCGGACCACCAGCATTACCCCCTACGACTCGAAAAACTTCCTCGCCTCCTCCTCACTAACCTCACTCGCAAAACTCCTCTTCCTATCAATCAACCCATACCTGCTCCCCCTAACCCTCCACCACATCTCCCTCCTATCCCCTCCCAACTTGCCCTCCAGCAGCTCCCTCTTCAAATCCCTCACAAACCCGTTCCAGATCCCCGGCTCCTCCAGCTCCGCAAGCTCATCTCGCATCACGCGCATCGCCTCCAGTGCCCGCGCATACCCCGTCTCGCCCACTGACTCTCTGATGATCTTGCGGATTTCCGAGCCCATGGCCGTGGCGGCAGACTGGATGGACTCGAGGTCGTCGGTTGCGAGGAGTGCTTGCTTGAACGACGGAATGAGGTTCTGCGGGTCGATCTTGATGCGCTTGGGGTTGCCTAGCAGTTCGTCGACATCCAGCCCAGACAAAGGCTTGTCGCGGTCTTCGCGACGACGTTTACCTCGCCCCTTCTGCTTGGGAGGCACCTTTTTGACGTCGGCAACTGATCTCAAGGTGGATAATTGGCGGTCCGTTTTTTCCACGAGGTCTGGAGGTGGTACGGAGAATTTCGTTAGGATAGGGGGTGGATCAGGGAGTCCGTCGGAGGTTGCGTTCATTGCCCGCCAACGAATGACTTGGTTAACGCGATGGAGGAGTGGGGAGTAGGTATCTTCGAACCTCATGTACTCCGCCGGATTGCCTTCATCATCGCGGTCGAAGGTCGAGAGGTCCATGGCATCTACGTAGTCACTCATAGCTTGCATCAGATCGGAAGTGGGGAGGTCGCGGTGTTCCGTAAGGACCTTTCCTGTGACGGTGAGTTTCTTGTCCAGCGGAGGGAATTTGTAGCGTCGCATGTCCTCTTCGAAGGGCAGTTCAACGTCGATGAGGCATTCAAGGTCAAGCTCGATGCGGGGGACCAGCAGAACCACCGTGGGCGGTTTATCGTCTTTCGGGACGAGGCGAGCAATGGCGTAACACTCTGCTTCGTAGAGGGCGTGTATGAAGGAGGAAAGGGCGAGTTGTGCTGCTCTGTTACCCTTCATCGGAAAGATATAGTTTGTGCGGCTCATGGCGAGATATCGTTCGAACTGTGGCTATGAGCGCTGTCCCACATCGCTAATACTCGGTTGCTTACCTTCTCGGCTGCCACGAAGCCAATGATGTCCAGGCATTGCTGCGTCTCTAGCTTCACGACGTTGGATTCCGCCTCGCTGATGTGAACCGCAGTACGGCCATACTCGAAACCCCTTTCTAGCTCGTCCTGCTCCACATTCATCTTCGCCCCCGGCGCGTTAGGGTCCTCAACCTGGTAAACGCGCTGACTCCTGACCGCGGCCAATTGCCCGTCACCGTCTGCCTCCTCCAGCGGCAAGGTCGTGGAAGACTGGGTGCTCGCACCCGCTCCAGCCAACTCCGTCCGATGGACGAATGAGCTTGCGGTGGGGGGTTTTGCGACCATGGTGCATGGATAGCGCTCAACGTCAATTGTCAAAGTCCCTTCGTACTTTTCGCTATCGCCCAACGTGAGAGTGCCCCTGTAGCTGGGGACTGGTCTGGTATCCTTGACGCGCGGGACCTCCAGCTGCTCAACGGCCTCTGCCACGGTGCCGAAGACGCCCCCGCACTGCTTCTCCACGAACTCCCTTAGAACTTTTTCGTTCTCTGCCTAAGGGGAATCAACCGCTGTTGGTCAGATGTAAAAAAAGGGCACCATACCTTGTGTGGATCCTTATCCTCCTCCTTGTACCCATTTTCAGGATCGTCAAAATCAACACCCCTGAGCAGTCAGATCCCATTCGATCCACAGAGAGAGGGAACACTCACAGGAGCGTCAGGTCAATCTGCATTTCCTTCGACAGCCTCTCCGCAATGTCATCTAAGCCAGCCGTGTCAATGGCCCCTCGCCCATCGGTCACGACATAAATCCGCCTATCGAATTTCAGTAGGTCCCCAGTCTTTCCCCTGGTGCCCTTATCGATCATGTGCACCGCCACCGTGATTGCGCTGATTACTGCAGCAATCATTAGCATGCGTGCCCCAGGCCAAAGTCGATTCTCAAGTCGTTGGCTGATGTTGAGGATACTTACTGTCGCCGTCGTTCGTCCGACTAGGCTTTATCTGCGCTTGAACCTCGCGGATGTCTTTCAACAAAAATCTAAGGAACGAATCAGTCAAACGCCTTCCTCCAGAGGCCTTCATCTCCCAGGAACCCAAGCTTACTGTTTCAACCCCTTAATTACCCTGATATTCTCATACCCTTCCGCATCCTCCTCCAGCAACCCATTCAATTCCGTCTCATCCGTCCTCACCCCCATCACACTCATAAAGCACGTCTTCCTCCCCGTCACCACCTATGTCCAACCCGATAAATTAGCAAATGAAACCACTCCAAAATTGACTGTGTCACGTGCATACCGTAGTCAATATCTTGTCCCAAACAAACTGCATCGCCCACTCCAAATTCGTCTTATCACGGCCATGTTCCTTGCGGCCCATGGTGTGGCCTAAGTCGACGATGAAGACCGTGGCTTCCTTCTGGGCCATCGTGACGAATTGAGGGAATTGGGAAAAGAGAACGGGACGAGGGAAGAACGATGTGGCAAGGTGCAACGAAATCAGCTGGAGGGAAGAGAATGAAAATGAGCAAAAGATGAGAAGAGGGAATTGGGAGAGAAAAGGAAGTTAAGCAACGAAAAAGCGGAGATGGATCGATGGATTGATCTCAAGGCAAGCTTGAGGCGAATGAGGCGGGTGCCTGAACAAGGGCATGACGCGCTCGCGCGCGCACGGACGTTTGAAGGCGCGCTGTCACGTGAATTCATTCATCATAACCATACATATGTACAGTCTATGTAGGATGAATTGATCAGTTTATATTGTAAATCTAAATTCAGCTAAGAAAAAATCTGTAATAAAAAGTCCCAAAGACATCTTGCTCCCGCTACACCACAACATCCAACCCTTCCCCAAGCACAAACGCATACCAAACCATCCCCATTATACCCACCAGATTCACCAAACTGCTAACCCCATGCAACATGCCAAACTTCCTATTCAAAGCCTCCATCTCGCTACTATGTGGTCCCTTATCATAGCTCTTCTTCCCATCCCTCGTCTCCTGCTTCTTCCTCTCCTGCATCACCTGCGTGGTCGCGGGTCCGATGAAGAGGAAGTTAACGGCGCCGGTGAGGAAGAGGGTAGAGATAAGGTAGAAGGGTAGACGGTGGGACGAGGCAGATGCGGCGGAGGTGGAGCCGGAGACAAGGGCACGCCACCCTGCCGGGTACGTCGCAATCATGCACAGGGGCGCAATCGTTTGGAGGGCAAAGTAGATGGGAAAGATATTCTTCTGCAGAGTGCTGAATTGAGCACGGGGAAGAACGCGGAAGGCGACGATGCCGTTGATGAAGGACTGGAAGAGGGTGCTCCCGATGAGGGTACCGTAGCTGGTCGTCCAGTTAGTGCGGGGATGGGAAGGAGGGCGAAGGGGTTACCTTAGTATGTGGTACCCTGCGGGGTTTCTGAGGCAAGATAGTGAGGACATTGTAACGTTTCCAAGGTAGGTATAAACGGTGGACCTGGGCGAGGAGGCCGGGGAGCTGTGTGGTTATCGGTGTGGAGGTAAAGACGGGCTGAAGCGACGTTGGTTGATGGGAAACTATGAAGGCCACAACAATTTCAATCTAAGCGCGGTTAAGACAAAAACACCACTTCGCCTTAGGTGAGGTCAGGACCGGAAAGCGATCAATCTGGTGCGATGGGCTAGACGAGACCTCGTTCGGGAGCGCCAAAAGTTCGAAACCTCGACAAAGTACGATGCACAACGCCGTCATATTGGAACAAGAGATCGTCTGGAATCGGTCGGGGTGCACCGATATTACAGCCAATCGACAGCTAGAAGTGAAGTGGTATTCATATAGACCGCAACTCCAACACTCCATCCCTGAGCGGTGGAAGGCGGGCAACAAACTATGCTAGGTACTTTTGCTTCTTTCTGCTCCGCCTGCAGAAGGTTTCCCCCAAAAAGCATACCAACATTGCGAAGATATGCACTAGTCCCGCATCTGACTGGGATGAGTTCCGATGAATATATACATGGAAAGTGAAAAACAGCAGGCCGGGCATGCGGACCTCGGGCCCGTGGATATGCAACACGCGCTGAGTGGCGTGAGATAAGCGAAAAAAGGTATAAGAGCAGTCAGGGTAAAACAGAGACAAGACATTAAAGGCGGGCACCATAGCGAGCCCGGTATTAAGGAGTGTGGGTGGCAGCTTCATGGCTGGAAAGCCGTGCAAAGCATGCCAGTTGGTGGGGTAGATACGACGCGTCGCAGAGTGCTTGCTGGATATACAAGAAATAGCAGCCGCACGGTATAGGAAGCAGTAAAGGATATACCGCTAGGTCCACCCCTTCCTCTATATGGGGTTATGGTATATGTGAGTCGGGTCACATACAGTAGATCGTTAAACATTCTCCGTAAAGCGGGAACTCCGAGAGCCATCGTGTGAAGGGTGGCTGCGTCCCAGTGTTGGCCTCGGTGGACCATCCGGGTTAGGGGTATGTGGTGGGCTGAACGTGGAACCACCATTGCGACTGGCACCCCACGGAGGAGCGTCGTCGGGGTGGTGGATTACAGGCGTCCTGGCTGGACTTGGCATGAACCTCTCCTTTGTGCCGATGGTCCCGTACGTCGCAGGTCCGCCGACCTCTTTACCAAACTCTTTGCTGGAGGCGAGTCCTGGACCGCCATAGAAGCCCTTATCATCGCGGTAGAAAGAGGATCCCGAAAGGGTTCCTTCTCCTCGAGCAAATTGTTCAGAAGTCATGCCCTCACTGAAAGCTGATGGCAGTTTACGACCTGAAATCCGCTGAAATCCGCGCTCCCCTGTGGTACTAGTCTCGGCTGTCAATCGCGACGCCACTGAGAAGCGTTTAAGAAACGAGACGGCGGTAGCGGGGACGATACTACTGCGTGTTGCCATCTCCTGCCCTGAAGTTGCAATGGGCACATTATCGGCTGTATCAACACCAGAAAGTTGAAGAGTACCCTTCCGCTTGTGTCTCTTGAACAAGAATAGGAGCAGAAGGAGAAGGATAGCGGTGCCAGCGAGACTCCCGATCACGCTTCCAACAACTTTCGGGGTTTCGAGCGGAGCCTTTCCAGTGTTACTGTTCCCAGCGGAGCTATCACTCTCCACAGTCGGGGGAGCCGTCCCTGCAGGGCCGGGAATCCATGCTGCTGGGGCCGATGTCGAAGTTGCTGGAATGGACGTCGTCGGTTGGCTGGAAGATGACGAAGTGGATGACGCAGTCAGGGACGAGCTTGTAGACGTCAAAGAGGTGGTCCTGCTACTTGTGGATGTTCTACTGAACGACGTGCCTTGATAACATTAGTAAGGGCACTAACGTTAACGCATGGATGACTCACTAGATGTAGTAGAATTTAAAGCGAAGGTTGAGGCAAACTTTCGAACAGCGGCGGTGGTTTCGGGAGTTGGTACAGGGGCGGGATAAGTCGCTTGCGATATAGGATGAACGGATAGGACTCCTGATGGGAAGGGAAATGCAGGCACCGGTGGAGGGTGGAGATCGCTTGGGAAAGGAGGTACTGCTGGGACGGAGGGTAGTGCTACAGCCGGGGGTAGCGTCCGGGTTTCTTGTGTGATTACAGCACCGTTAGCGTTTACGGTAGCAACCACCTCGACGGCTACTGTCACCGTGTTCGTTGGAGGGGCCTGTCGGCGATGGAAGAAATGATGTGGTCGACCCATGATGGATTCGGCACTCTGCTCCCTGGTCAACTGTGGATGTCCTTCTCTTGCTTTGACCGATTGTTCGTCCTTTTGCTCTCTTGCTATCTCTTCACCATCAGATGGATTGGCTCGAATGCGCAGATCTTGGGGCAAGTGGCGGTAGCGGGAATCGACTCTAGAAGGTTTGATGGGCGTGGTTGCCGGACTCATCAGAACATTCAGGTGCCAATCGCAGGTAACGTGCAGAGGTCCGTCTCAAAAATGGGTGGCGAATGGTGTACTCTGTACAGCCGTGGTATAGATTGAAGGGAGCGTAATGAGTTGGTCGGCAGTCCTGGCAGCGGTGCAGATAAGGAGCGGCGGTTGTGCTTCGTTGGCGAAGGTCCAGTCAATGGAAGCAATGGAGTTTTTTTGATTGTATGTGGTTGAGGGAGTGTGAGTGTGTCGAAAGGAACGGACGCCAGGTGGGCTGGCAGGTGAGAAGGACCTGGGAAGCGATCAGCACTCCAATAACAGGGTCGCGGTTGAAGTGGGTGGCTTGACGAGAGCAAGGTGTACACACCTAAGCAGAGGAGCAATTGACCCGCATGCGCGCTGAACGACTTCACGATTGAAGGCGGGTAGGCGGCCGATGTAATAGCATACGCGACGGGCGAGCGATGTCGTCGTGCTGGTTTGTTGAAGGCGGCGTGCTGCAGTGGGCTCCTGGTCGTGCAATAACGGTCGCGGGACTCGTTGGGCGGGTACAGCGCTTAGGCGCCTGCACTAGGGGGGTTGACTCTCTCCAGAGTTGGACTTGGTGAAGCTGGTCCTGGGAATTGACGGATTGTCGACGTCGCAGCGGAGGTCGTGGTGGTGGGAGGAGAGCCTCGCTCTGGGAGGAGAGGGGCGGAAAGGGCAGAGACGGAGACGGAGACAGAAGAGGGCCAGCAAGGTCGGCATGCATGGCAGGCACGCGAGAGGAAAGAGCGAAGGGAGGGAAACGGAGAGATGAGCATCACAACCAATCAGAGCCCCAGGAAGACGGGCCAGCGAAATTACGTCGCGAGCGCACAAGCCAATTGCCAAATTGATCGCCGCCGAGGGACCAGGGGTTCAGCAGTTCTTACGGATCCTGTGTATTATTATTGTATTGTTGGCAGCACGCTTCGCCTGCTTTGGAGCGACTCCTGGCGCCCATCGGACTTTTTGCGAGAGAGTGGTGAGTGATGCTCCTGACATCAGCTCAACTCCTGCCGAGCCTGTGTGTTGAGGTGAGAAGGTGGCAAAGGCGAGAGGAGAGATGAGGGAGCTACTTATATCCGGCCATGTTCAAATTGGGGTTGCTCGAACTATTGGGCGTCCCGTCATCAGCGAAGGAAGGGGCGGGTGGGTCGCTGCGCTGCACCTGGGCAGTTGAGGCGTTTTCGAACCGTCAGGAACAGGTACGATGCCAAGCTTTTCAGGTTCTCCAAATAACCGCAGCCATGCTATTCGCGGCCTAGCGTGTTTATCACGTGAGTCGCGCTGGTGCAGTGTCCCCCTGCCCAGGTGGCCCGCAACCTTGGAAAAGTGCAGTGGAGCGAATGTTGACAGCCAGAGAGGAAACCCCACCCCATCCATCCTCCACCAGCTGGCTCGAGATGCACCACACACTCGTTGGATTCCCATTCGATCGACAGGCGCATATCTGGAAATGCCTCTGCGCATGTTCAGCTGGTGAAGTCTGACTGCAATCTCGCAGCCCTTCAATCACATCACTATTCGTGTGCTCAGCTCCAACCATGACGTCGTCGTCAACATTCACCCACAACACTGTACCCTCACCCCACCATGGCTCTGCGCAGCCACCGCCTCTGCCTCCACGGCAGTGTGACCCCTCTCCGAATGCTATGGCTTTCTCGCAGGACCCTCGGTCGTCTTCCGCACACTCACTGACTCCTGGGCCGGATGGAGAATGTGGCCGTCGTCGCATCCTGTTGTTGGTTTACATCCATGGCTTCATGGGCAACGAGACCAGCTTCAAGAGCTTCCCCGCACATCTCCACAACTTGCTGGCCATAACCTTGGCAGAGTCGCATGTTGTGCATACCAAGATATACCCAAGATACCAGTCACGCTACTCCCTCAGAGTCGCACGGGACCAATTCTCCAAATGGTAACCTACTCCTGCTATCTCCCCCGCCCCACGGTTAACATGTATAGGCTCACTCCAAATGAGACTTCATGGACAGATGTGATACTACTCGGCCATTCCATGGGCGGCCTGGTCGCTGCCGACATTGCTCTTCTGTTCAAGCATAACATCCTAGGCGTCGTCAATTTCGATGTCCCTTTCCTTGGGATGCACCCCGGCATCGTCAAGGCAGGACTGGGAAGCATATTCAACTCGCCTACCCCCGAGGACTCAACCCCCGACGCCGCTGTTGGCAACCGGCCAAGCAGAACCGACACTCTCTTCAACCCGAAACCAGCAGATCCCAACTACGATCCTCGGTTCCCCAATGACGTCCACCTGCCAGTCCGCAAAGGATGGGAGAGCGCCCTTCATTTCTTCAACAAGCATGCCGATGATTTGATCTCGGCGGGCAAAGTCCTAGTAAAGTCACATGCTCAGTTCGGCGGGGCCATGGCCGACTACCGCAAGCTCAAGGACCGTTACGCACGAATACGCGCCTTGGAAGAAGACGACGAAGCGGTGAGGAGGTCCGCCAATCCCGAAGTTCAACATCCACCCCGCATACGCTTTGTGAATTACTACACTGCGAGCACCGGTCGTGTTAAGAAGCCGAAGTCGCCCAAGACTCCGTCGGGGTCGCGGCCTACTAGCAGGAATTCTGAGGGGCCAGCCCAGAGCATCGCTTCCTTTGCGTCAGGCTCTCAGGTAGCGTTGACGCATGCGAGTTCACAGTCTACAGGCATGATAAGCCCTCGAATTTCCGTTGATGAGTATAGGAACAACGAAGTCATTCCTGTCAGCCCGCAAGAGGCGCCATTGGGAGTTGGTCTGAGCGAGAATGCGGCCGAGGATACTGGCTCTGGACCCAACTTACCTCCTGTACCAGAGATGCCACAAGAGCCCCCCTTTGTCGACCCCACTCGATATCCAGGCAAGGCCGAACGGAAAGCCGCAGAGAAAGAATATGCAGAAGCACTCAAAGACTACAAACGTGCTGTCAAGGCTCGCAACGCAGTCCTCGATGAGCGCGCAAAGCTGGAGCAGGAGTGGGCAAAACAACGTCCGGGGTCCCTTCCAGATAGTTTACGGTCCACCCCAGAGAGACAATCGCTTTATGTGCCAGAGCCGACAGATAGTAGCAGTGAGCAGACGGGGAGCATTGATGAGAACATGCAGTCAATGCAACTAGCATCGCCCACACCGAGTCTCACCACCACTTCCTCGAGCCCTTACACGAACTATGTCTTCTCCCGCAGCACGATTCTGGCCCAGCCTCCTCCAGAGGACCGCTCACCGGTTACCACACCGAATGCTGTTTCTGGCAATTCCTCGTATACCGACTCTACCACCACCTTGCCCATCCCCGACCCCAACAGCACAGTCGTCCAAGACTCGACCCCACCTCCCACTCCCAAGCCAAGGCGCTACAAGAAATTCTGCATGCTTCCTCCCAAGGACGCATACGGGAACAAGGACCCCACCTGGGTGCCCGTGGTTATGGAGAATATGGACGAGGTAGTTGCACATACCAGTCTCTTCGTCGTGAGCGAGACGTACGAGAGGTTGGTAGGGGATGTGGGGGCGAGGATTGAGGAGTGGGTCAGGGAGAATGAGAGCGTGAGGGTTGTGAGGGAAATGGAGGGATTGGGTTAGAAGATGATTGGAATGATACCCTTCTGGATCTTTGCTCATTCATATAGATGCTCTCTGCATGATGCATGGTCCAATGTATTTGCTTCCGAACCGGCGCTGCCCTTATCCTACCCCAACCACCACAGCGCACACCCCACCGCCGCCCATCCTCCGCACAGCCAACCTAGCATCCTTACTTCCTCTTCCGAACCCGCAACCGCCGCATTGAACTTGCCGACCAGAGGAATCTTCACCTGCGTCCGCTCGTTCCAGAACCACGACTTGTAGAGCGCTGCCACGGCTAGGACGATGGAGTTGACAGCGGCGAGGCAAAGTCGATACATTGTTGCCGTGGGTGGGAGGATGGGCAGGATGAAGCATGTGAATATGGAGAATGCGAGCTGTGGAGGTTTGAAATGTCAGTACAGAGGTGTTTCCAGCCAGGAGGAGGAAGGCCATGTCGGTACGTACCGAAAACACGCCAGCGGCCTGCGTCATCCTCGACTTGCGCAGTCGTTGGGCTGCGGTTTGGCTCCATTGGGCGGCGCGCTCGGCCTCGCGCTCGTAGGTGAGGAGGCGGTCGATGTTTTGCTTGGAGAGGGAGAGGGCGTGGAAGGTGTAGGTTGCTATGGGGAGGACGCATATGAGGGTGGGGATGGAGGGTGATGGCGCCATTGTTGGTGAGGAGGAAGGAGGGGATTGGTTGGTTTGGTGGTTGGAGTTGGGTGGTTTTTATCGATTGGGGAATTGGGGATGAGTTGTGTTTGTTTAACGGCGAAGTCTACAGTCCCTTTTGCGGGACAGCAAACACTACGTCATTGCCTGAGTGGCATGCATGCGCGGGAGTCTAACTAGCGTCAGGTACTATCGATAAGACATTCAAAAATCTTGAACCTTTGAAAACTTCCCCTCCATTCGGAACCCCACCCCACCAACAGAGACCTCGCCACGCGCTCCCCCCGACTACACCACCAAACTCGTAATCGTGACAACCCGCCCTGTGAAGATTCATACCATCATGACATCCCCCACCCACCCCACGCACCTCGACCCCTCCGACCTCGGCACAAAATCCTACTGGGACAACGCCTACGCCCGCGAACACACCAACTTCACATCCAACGCCTCCGACGAAGGCACAATATGGTTCTCCGACGCCGGCGCCGAGGAAGGCATGCTCGCCTTCCTCAAGGACCTCTCCGACGAAGGGAAACTCGTGAAAGAAGAAGCTGCAGAAGCCGGCTCGACTCGGGCCGAACCAGCAGCAGCAGCAGCTACACGGTTCCTGGATCTGGGCACGGGGAACGGGCATTTGCTTTTTGCGCTAAGGGAGGATGGGTGGGAAGGGGAGATGGTCGGGGTGGATTATTCGGGCGAGAGCGTGAGGTTGGCGGGGGATATACGGGCTAGCAAGGGCGAGGGATATGCAGATATCGAGTTCGCGGAGTGGGATGTTTTGGGTCAGGAACCGGGGGAGTGGCTTCGGGATGGGTTCGATGTTGTGCTGGATAAGGGGACGTTCGATGCGATTTGCCTGTCTCAAGAGACTGATGCGCAGGGCAGGAGGATATGCGAGGGGTATAGGGAGAGGGTGGAGCCGTTGATGAAGCCCGGAGGGAGGTTTCTGATCACGAGTTGTAATTGGACGGCGGAAGAGTTGAGAATGTGGTTTGAGGGGCCGGGGAGTGGGTTGGTGTATGAGGGGGCGGTGAAGTATCCGAGCTTCACATTTGGGGGCAAGACGGGGTCCAGTGTTGTGACATTGTGCTTTAGGAAGGGGAAATGACGAAATGGTGTATGAGTTTGGGATATATACGCTCCAACGCTCGAAGTACGTCAAGTCGACTACTGCTTCTTCGCACGGCGCAGTCTGGCAAGCACCAGCCACTTCTTCCGCTCGCCGATATCCTCCCTCCCGCCATCCCGCACCGGTCTCCACTCCCGCCGCTGACCCGTAGCATCCATCTCGAATATCTCCTCGACTTCCAATCCCGCTTCCGGCACCGCTTCCTCGAAGAACCCCGCAATCTTCGCACGGCCAGTGTGAAAACCACCTATACATAGTACTCGCGCCTCGGGCGACTCGGAGAGGAAGTGCGTCATGGAGCGGGCGAGGTTATCGTGCTCGTGCGGCATCCAGTAGCAGTCGGCAGCGAGGATCCGGGTGAAGCTGTGTGCGTGTTGCTGGGCGAAAGGGGTCGAGAGGTCTCCCCATTTGTGCCCTTCGATGGTAACTGAGGGTTTGATGTTATTGGGGATATTCTTGGTGACGTTGGTTTTGATCGCGTCGAGGATCGGGGGTGCAGGGTAGTCGGAGATGGCCACCTAGCTAAAGTCAATATATCTCCATCATATTAACTCGCGAGGGAGAGAGAGGATGTAACGCACAGCGTGAGCACCAGACAATGCAGCCGCAATCCCGGCCAAACCTACGCCTATGACAATCCCATCAGCGACCTCGCTCTTTAATCTCGCCCATCACAGCAAGGCCATGCGCACCTGCCCCCAACTCCAACACCTTCTCACCCTGCACATCCCACTTGCCCTCCTCCTCCCTACTCAACCACCACTCCCCATCATCCCCATCTCCTTCCCTCCCCGCAACCAATTCCGCCATCAAAACCCCCGCATTCCACAAATAATGCGCAAACTTGGTCCTCTGCTCCTCCCCATGGACATCCGCCGTCCTGAACTCGAGATCTCCCAATCTCCGGCTGGCATACACGATGACGGCGTCGGCGTCGGCGTCGCCGTGCTGGTTCTGCAGGTCGTCCGGGAAGAGGGAGCCCAGGGTCGTGGAGAAGATGTCTTCGGGGGAGGGGGAGTAGGTGGGGGGGTGGTGGAGGGTGATGAGGGCGGGGAGGGGCTGCATTGGGTGTGGTAAGTTTTTGCATTGGTGAGGGTGTCTGTGGTGAGGAGTGGGATGGTTGGGAGGTGGAAGTGGGTCCCCCTTTTCTTTGGCACGAGTTTGATGACGGGTGAAGTGGATAGTACATGTGGAGTAGATTGCCGTTTTGGGTTAATATCACCGGGGGTTGCTGGACTCCAGAGGCATGTCGCGAACGAGAGGTTTTGACGGCCGACTGCTAGGTTCAAGCAAGTTGGATATGGACTCGTAGCTTGTTCTCCCTCCATCTTATGAGGATGTTGGCTCCTGGAAGGCTGCTATTTGCCTTCTGCTTGATCGGTGGTCGTGCGTCGCAGCTACAGGGCAGCGTTTATATCAGCCTAGGTTATATGATGGGGGAGGGAGGAAACCCAGCAAAAGAAAGGCGGTGCTCATATTTGGATTACATCTTCAACAAGGCAAATAGATGTGCGGTGACGGCTTGTGATTTGCGTCCTGAGATATTCCCGTCAGCAATAATGATCCATTTCGAGGTCTTGTGGCAACCCCGGAAGTGTAAGAATTGCAGGGGATATATACGCATACTCCGCTCATCAGTGGTGGTGCACTTCGAACCCTACGGTAGCTACTTAAGGCATAGACCCACTTCCCCAGCAACCCCTTCACCGTTCCCACTTACCTTGATTTGTATTTTGGTGATGGAACACCGATTTCCGTTGGTCACTACTCACCTGTACTCGTTCCCACCGTTAAGAAAAATCGAGAAACATCTTGAACCTGTTCCCGTCGCTAAAGAACACTGTAATTCCAAAAAATTATCTTGATTCCTTTTCGGCATGGAACTTCTGTAATCCCTCTTGAACCGCGCTAGAAAACATCGCAATCGAGACACCGTTCGTTTTCCCCTGTCGCAATACATAGAACTTCTAGTCTCCCAGCAAAAGGGCACACTGGGTAGAACATGGTAATTACGGTTAGCTTTGTAGAATCCATCTCTCATGCAGCAAAAACCGGACCAGAAAAGGAAGCGATCTCATCCACAACACAGCATCATCGGTGTCCGGAGTGCCGCTGAGTGACATTTAACGGCTGTACGCCGAGACGAGGTGCGTGGATGGGTAGGTCATGCGCGGTGTTCAGCTAACTGGGACATAGCGGGACTGCAGGCTACCATGAAGCTCCACGAGACTCACGAACAAGACAGCACAAGAGGTCGCACCGGCAAGACTGCCAAATAGCATTGACACCTCGAAACGTAGCTTCCAGTCCAAAAGGAAGCCATCGACCCTCACTCAGGGTACGACTTCAAGCTATCGTAATAACCCTCGATTGCCGTTGACCCTCCCATATATCACTTTCCCGACCAGAAGGGGCCTGTTTAACAACCATTTCGCTCCCGGTGGCTATAGCAATACATCTGTAGAACGATAACTCCCAAATCCTCCATATGCCCTTGGAATGAATTCCTCCCATGCCATGCCATTGCGGTATACTCCAGAAAATGCCTTTTGACCTTTCCCGAAGATATGCACCCATTTACAACCGCATCATGCGTGGCTGGAAATTGCGGCCCAGACAAGAAAACAATACCCTATCTCGAACCCTTCACCGAAACACCCAACGCCCGCACCCCTCGCTACGTCTTCCGAGATGCTGTGCGGATTCATGATGGCTTCCTACGTCGTCGGTTTCCGTCGATTCGAGAGTAAACTGGGTATATATCGTTATGATCATCAATATCCTCTTTTTACAAACATCGAAGGGAACTTCAATGCTCACTCGCCAGCACCGTTTCCTATCGCTCTCCTCCCCAGACTGCCGCTCCGAGCAAGACTCATAGCCCCCGCCATGGCCCTGTTCGAAGTGTACTGCGTGCTTGGCTGCACCAGTCTGCTGGTGAACTCCGTAGAATTCTGGGTCTCGGGCGCTGGGGTATTCTGTCGGTCTAGGTTGTACCGTCGAGGAGTCTCGCGGAAAAGCACATTGTTCTCAGTGCCCGAGACCGTTGGTCGGCGATACGACGAAGGGGTGTAATGAGCTGACGGGAAAGATTGCGACTCCAGTTTCGGCTCCCGCGGCGAGAAGTCTCTGCTGATGCGTCGACTTTGTAGTGATGCTACAGCACGGATATCCCGAAAATCGGTCATGGCTCGGGATGGAGCTCGAAGGGTCGGGTCATCGTCCTCGTCATCAGTGTGTCGGTTAGTCCGATCCATACTGGTCCCAGTACGCGTCAGACGGGTTGAAAAGTGCGATTGCAAAGGGCTTATCTGGGTGGTCGTTCCATTCATCTTGAGATTTGCTTTACGGGCTTCGATGCGACTCAGCGCTCTGCTTGGGCTGGAGCGTGGAACAGTGTCGCTTTCAGGCTCGACGCTCGCTCGGACATTAGGCGATTCGCCGTTGACTTGGACACTGGGTCGACGCGTAGCCGAAACTGTCGCTGTCCTGACCGCCGGACTCGCAACGCTCGCCTTCATGTCGCATAACTCGATGCACAGCTCGGTGAGACTGCGGCAGATGTTGTCTGCTTTGCGGCGCACATGCCTGTCCGGTACCACGCCGCCGCCTAGAATGGAGCTTGCTGAATGTAGAGTGCCTTGCGGGCCTGCACTCCCAGCCATCTCGGCCAGTGCCAAAGCTTCGGATGCCGTTGCTTCAAGCACACGGTATACCGATGGAGTGACATGTTGCTTCACCTTGACGAGAGCCTCTTTGAGGAGGGGATGCGCCTTTTGTGGCCCCTGAGCACCAGCAGTGGAATCAGGTGGCGTTGGATTCGCCTTGCGTTGGTGCTTCGGGGACGATGAGACGGTGGTGTTTGAAGTGGTCGCTGTCCTTGGACGCTCAGCAGACGCATTGGCGACGGCAGCACCGGAAGTGGTGGGAATCTTCCCTCCTAACTCAATCCTTCGGATTCTGGATTTCAGCTCGTCCAGCTCGTCCCAGACGGAAGCAGCCGGACCAGTAGACTCTACGGATTCGGTAGTGCCGGCGCGGGAAGCATCTTCTGCATGGCTTTCAACTCGAGTTGTCTCTGGATTCACGCGGGACGAGGTGTATTGCAGGTTCGATGGTCGGTATGTGTGCGCACGGGTAGGGGGAGTAAGTGTAGAGTCAGGGTACGAAGGTCGCCTCTGGGATAGTTGAGCCAGGAATTGATGTGGGGACAGCTCGTGATCCTTTGTCCGCGGTGATGAAAAGGACTGCTTCGGAGACAAGTCGAGAGCGCGGGAACGCGGTGTTTCAAGCGGATTGGCTGGTGTGAGCGGCGATTGCTCTCTTTGAGATCGCGGTGTGAAAGAGAAATGGGATGCGCGTCTCTGCGTTCCTGTTATGGAATCAACAGCTGGTGTTGTTCTATTTGAAGGCGTTGCGCCGGTGCGGAGTGTAGACGGAAATGATTGCCGATTGCTTCTTATAGCTATGCGCGACTGCGACCATTAATCCTCTTTTCATATAGATGTGCGCTGGCGCATAGAACTGGCTTACCCGTAGTCGGTCGGCCCTTGAAGGTGCATCTGCGCGGTCGGGCCCTCCCGAGTTGGCAGCCGCAATGAACAGATCCTCGTTCTGCTCTCCTTCCGTTCCGGATGTGTATATCGACCCGTTTGCACTATACTTCGCATGCGGCTCCTCTGATTGACTGCGCAAGCCAGAGCTGTAGCTTGAAATTCCTTCCATCGGTGTCTCTTCCTGCGGTTCGCGTTGCGAGGTTAAGGGAATGTCTGGGCGCGCAATCGCTGTGATGTTGGAGCTCTCAGAGCCCCTTCGTGCGCGCGATGAGGCAGAGACACTTGGGGCGACGGCAGCTGGTCGCGAAGATTGCGGTGAAGGGATACTAGAGTCGATAGGTCCCTGGGAACGACGCGCGATGTCGACGTTGCCGCGGGTTATGAGCGAATTGGGAGGTCCGCGCGAGGCGTCTATGCCATGCCCACTGAAGAAGGCAGGGGGTTTTCTCGAACCAGGTGAGCGCGCCGGTTGGGCAGACGACTGACTTGGTGAGAAGTACGAGGAAGAGGCTGCGGATGAGGCGGTTGAAGCTTGACCTGGAGTTACGGTAGGAGTGGTGGGGTTTGTTGCGCGTCGAACGGGAGGAGAGGGTGTGGGAGCGGCGTGCGATCCGGTGGAGGGAAGGCGCAACAGCGACGGAGGAGCGGCCGAGCGACTGGAGGGTTTAGGGAGAGAGGACGGTGAAGGTGACGGCAGCGCGTCTTGGTGGTGAGACGGGCGAGGTTGGTGTGTCGCAGAAGGCCTGCGGGAGTGAGATGGAAGGGTCGGCATATTGAGTGAGCGCGGCGCGCTGGTATCGATCGTATTTTGGGTCGACAGGGTACAATGCCAGCAGAGAGCCAGCCCCCTTGCACGCAGCTCAAAGTGAAGCAAACAACGTTGTCAGCTCTCGCGGAGGTGTGTACGGAGTATTTCGCGGCTTCATGGTTCTTTTGAGAGAGGACGTGTGCGCGACCATGATTGTGGATGGCTGGTACGACAAGGAGAAGGCCCGGAACCATCACACTGTGCGCATTCCGGCTAGTGCAGTGCCCACGGGCCATACAAAGAAGCCCTAGCACCACACTCACGAAACTGCAAAAGGGGTCTACTTAGCTAGGCACTCCGTAAAGAGGAGACTGTGACTTGCATTGCAGCAAGAGGTGTGCCAGTATCCATTCATCCTGACTCTCGTCTCCATCTGAACGATCCTCATTGTACTGGGTACTGTGAATTTCGCATTCAGCGTACGACGTCTATGATGGGCATGTTTATTTTCAGGAGGGTTCTGGGTGAGCGTTTGGTTGTGAAGCGTGGTGTTCACATTACACACCTTTCGAAAAAGCATCTCACTGTGTGTGCTTCTCCATGTTCGAAATGGGGATGCTGCTGCTTCTATGAAACACGAAGGAGACGATCAAGCAAGCCTAATTTCAAATACACAGGAAAAGCAAAGTATACCATTCGTATGCCGTACAGTAGACTCGACCAGACCCTCTCTCCCCTCCCAAATAGAAGATGGGTTGCCGCCGAGTTAATTCTACTTCCGCCAAGCGAACTGCAAGACCACAAACGCTCCCATGATCACCAACTCACCAGCAGGATAGCCAGCGCCTGGGCCATTCTGATATGCGACGCATGCCGCCTGACGAGGCGGATGCACGTTGTTCGTTTATCTATTTAAGTTAAGCCCCCTGTACTGTGTAAGCCCGTCATTTCTAGAGTGGCTGGGGCCGGGGGCAGCGGTAGCTGGATATCCGTGAAGTCTGGTCGTGTGGATCATGCAGCGAGTCTGCGATAGTTCCAGGTCGCGTTTGAACCTCTCGACTTCATCCTGCTGGACTCCGCTGTACTCTGAGTCAAACTATTTGGAAGCGATGTGTAGTAGTATATCAAAACAAGAAAATGACTGCGGAACCAAGCCGTCTGACACGGAAGGAGCGCTACAGCAGCCAAATGCATCAAAGGGGAAACGTAGTGGAGGAAAGGGAGTGTTCTCATACGAATGAACGAATGGAAAAATAAAAGGAAGGAAATTATAAAAGACAAGGAACGAGAGTACAGCCAAAAAGCAACCAAGAGAGCCAAGGGACCAAAAAGCAAAAGAATGTAAAAATCTATCTTCTTGTAATCCACCACCACCCCCTCGCCCTCTCCTTCTCCTCGCTTCCCCCCTCTCCCCCACACCACCATGCCTACGCCTCACTCCAACCCCTTTCGTCCCCTCAACCCTCTCACGTCCACTTCCATATCCCCTTCTTCTCCATCTGCCTCACCACCTTCCTGAACATCGCCCGCTTGTTTGCCTGCATCGGAGTCGTCCCTTCCCCCATGCAAAACGCGAGGAGGATTTGCTGTGTGCACCACGGACAAAGAATGGCACCGCACAAGCGGCAGCTCCACGCTACTTTTGAGAGGTCCGCGGTGCCTTTCTTGTTCGTGCCTGTGGGAGGGGCCGAGGTGGCTTCATCGTGCTTGGGTGTGGAACTTTCTGGCTGGTTGTCTTGCTGGTAGGATGAGGACAAGCGGCTCTGCCCTCCCCGGAGGTTAAGACTGGTGAAGAGAGATGTTATTTTACGCGGAACAGGATGGGCTCTCCAGCGCCCTGTTGACGATGGCGGCGCTCTGGTGTCTTTCTCTTTGATATCCGCCTTCTTCAAGGACGGGGCACTCTCCCTCTCAGAGCTAGGCGTCCGAGGAGTCGAGATCCCCTTCTGTGACGATTTTTCGGAATGCAGCGACGCGCGATGCCACCACCCAAATGGAGTATGTTTTGGCGATATCCCAGTATGATCACTCCTCCCTCCGCCAGAATGAGCCTGATTTCCACGGTGGGATTCGCTGCCCCTGGGAGCCGGAGTCCGTGGCATGGGCGCCAGTGCCGGCCTAGCTATGGCGCTTGGGTAGATCTCGGCCCAGCAAACGTTGCATTCCGCGTATCCATCAGGAAGCTTCGTCTTCATATGTTCAGCTATCATCGGCTGGAACTCGTGCCAACAGGGCCCATGCAGCCCACGTGCGAATGTGTTGATAGAGAGAAGCTCCTAGTACTCCTTCGGGCTATTGCTTGAATTTCGGGGGGATCTATGTTGGTCGTCTTCTGGAGCTGCGAGCTCGATATTTCGAAGGGCTGTCGTCGTTCTCTGGAGCTCCGGATCGTTGTCTTCCAATGTTTCCACCCTATGGCCGCGGCATTCAGGACGCGTTAGTCCGCAGATCCAGCACCACTGAGCACCACACTGGCAACTAATCACATAACAACCATGCGCTCTCTGGACGCCATTGCTGCATTTCGGACACCGCTTGTAGCCCGTGGCCTTGAGGGAGTTTTCGGTTTCGGAATCGAGCCCATGTCGTAGCTGGCAGGGTGTGCCGGGATGGGCAACGGCCCGGCATTGTGTACAGATGCTCACAGCGCACTTTGGGCACTGCACAACAGCAGACGACTGGCCCGGCTTTCGCGCTTTCTCCAGTAGCCTTCTGGGAATGAAGGCAGAGCAGGCTGCCACGGGGCAGTAAAAGGGGTGTGGTGTGTTCCATTCGTCATACCTGGCCTTGAACTCGTCGGCCTCGGATGCAGTCAGATGGCGTCTAGCGAAGTGGAACTGGATAAGATGGTGGCAGCACCTAGGAGGCATGCGGAAGAGGTCCTTGGCGGCACCAATGAACATGGCCCTCAGGCAGGGGATGCAGTAAGAGTGGGAGCAGCGGCTGTTGGGTATTGGAGTGACGAACTCTTCGCCCTCCTTGGTACGGTCGAAGTCGTCGAAACAACTCGCACACTGGATTCGCGAGTCGGGTCGTGATGTTGACTGCTTGGTAAAGGGGGCCGAAGGGGGGCGAGGAGCAGCAGCGCGGCTGGCTTCAATGAGGATATCAAGCTCATCGGCGAAGAAGTTAGACATGATGACGAAAATAAGGATAGTATAAATTTGGTCCAATAAACGAGTGTATCCCCTGTGGAGGCGGAGGTGGGAGTGAGATTGAAAGATGAGGCTCCGCTCAACGACGTGGTAAGAAGACATTGCTACTCATGTCGCGTGTTCGCTTTTACATCGGGACGGGAAGGAGAGAGCTATGACCATCGTCTTTGCCGCTGGAAACCTAGGTAGAAGGAGCCAGGTGTAAAGCCGGGCAGGAGTAGCTAGGTGACTGTACGGTGCCTTCCAAAGTTATGAGAGCTTTCTCCTGTTAGTACCAGAGGATGTATGTCGAGCTCAGAGCTATATGCAAGAGTCCCATGGGTTAGGACGATGCATTCACAATACCTTGAAGGTCCTGCGACGGACTAGCTGAGCTCACTTCAGCGAGAGCACTGCTGTCTGCAGGCAGTGTTGGAAATTCCAACCCCATGAGTGCCCACTTCCGAACTAGTCTGCTGAAGTTGTTGAGTGGCGGGTCTACAGAGTTTGAGCGGCACCTGCGTGACATCTTGTTCGCTTCGAAATGCAAAAACTGCTTCCAGTGTCAAGGCCGGTGAGATCCCATCATAAGTACCTCTCCAGGCAGTGACCAGCGGATGGCGGATTCGCATCTTGTCCTTTCCAGCCCACACTCATGTGTCCCTCTAACCGGAGCTTCCACAGCATCTGGTTGTAGGGCAGGACAAAGGCGACGGCATGGAGGTGGAGTGATGTCAGTTGGCGGGATAGAGGTGGAGATGGATAGATGGTCTGTGCGCTTGGACGCGAGTACTTGGCACAGTAACCTTGCATTCACCTGCATGCCCAGCTGTGTGGCTGGCGGGAAGGCTGTCCTCGGAGAATGGTGTGCTGCTGTTCGACGATCAAAATCCAGAAGACTTCCTCGCAACAACACCCCCCATCAGGGTTGAATGAGCGACTGTAAGCAAGAGGGAAAGGCTGAATGAAAGATGGAAAATAACGAGTTTGCTCTGCATCGAACCTCGATTTGTAATGCTGCAGGAGCATCGGGGTTAGCGTAGAATTTACCTTGGCAAGCATTTCTCTCCGCATTCTCTTGCCGCCTCGACGCAATGTCTCCCCCACAACGGTTTGTCTAGTCGCATCTGTACTGACGTCCGGGCTTGGTAGATTCCACGCGATCAACGGGCGGCCCGGATTTCCCACGATTTCCAAGATTCGGAAGTTGGCTGTGGGGTGGAATGCTTATACCCACTTCTTGCATGCATTCCGAAGAACGGAGGGAAACTCGTCGACAAGCAGAGTTGCGCCGCCCTCCCGACAGTAGGTGCTGTGCCGGGTGGTACCACCTTCCTAATATGCAGGCCTCCAAGGGTAAGGGTAATAAAAAGAAACGCGTGCCTGGCCCTTGGAATGCTGGGGAATATCCACATTGCACAGTAATGCGCCACTCACCTGCATATGGTGGTACGCAACTCGCGGTAGCTTTCTGTTTGAAGATGAGAAATGGTCCTTTACCACCAAGTTTCTCAAGTCTCAACAGAAACCAAGAGCCCACCTGCCTGCAGCCACGTGCACAATAGCTTCGGATCTGGGGTCCCCACCTCGACAGGTACTGCTGTATAGTACTCCAGGTTCGTTTGCACCAAGGCCGAGAGGCACTAGCCACATGGAGCATGCCGGGGTTTTCCCGGGGTTACACCGCGCCCGTGCCGAGTCCAAGCATGCCCGCCATTCTCCCTTTGGCGCGTTGACTGCCAACCTCTGCAGCTTCTCCCAAAAACGACAGGGAGAAGAAGAGACTGCTTGCCAGCCAGCCTCAGGCTAGACTACTTGTAGTGGAATATTGGCAGATGGACGATCACCGGGCCACGGACGGCAGACAAACGCCCAGGACCCGGGTGAAAGAGAGCTTGGAGGCCTACGTATGTATAAAAAGTTGGAGCTGCCCCATCCCCTTGCCGACTCACTCACTCACTCTCGTATCTTGCCATTCATTCCTCGGTCGACCATCGTTCCTCTTCCTGCGTTTCTGCATCGGCCGTTTGTTTTCCATTCCTGCCGTCTGCCCTGTGGCTTGCCCGACGTCAACGTCATGCGGGTGTGGCTCGCACAAGCATTTTTGGTGCCTGGGCTTAGCCTTGCCCGAGCCCAGTCAGCCTCCGTACGTACGCGTTCAACCTCCTTTGAGCTGCAGGTCATCATCTGCTCTCTGCAATTGTCGCCCGCACTTCTGCCCAAGACGAAACACCATCTTCTTCTCCTTTAATCGCTCGCATGGTTTCAGGCTGGCGTTCCTTCGTTTCCTCCCTCTTCCCCTTTCTCCACCTAGACGTAAACATGTTCCCCACTAGATCCAACCTTGTTTACCGTGTGCACTGACCCCGGTCGCAGTACCTAAACAACACTCCCATTGCCCCCAGCCCGGCCACACTAGACAATGCCTTCAGTCCTCCTTTCTATCCCAGCCCGTAGGTTTCGTCGACGTCCATATCCACCATTTGCATACGGCTAATCAATTCAGGTGGATAGATGGTCCTTCGGGAAGGTGGGCCGAGGCCTACGAGAAGGCGACCCAGTTTGTGTCGCAGTTGACTCTGCTTGAGAAGGTCAACCTCACCACCGGCACGGGCTGGATGTCGGATGCATGGTGAGCTCTCCTGAGAATGCCCGGCGGTTACGGCGCCATAGTCAACCTCCTGCTAACTGCTCGTCAGCGTCGGGAACGTTGGCTCCATCCCTCGTTTGGGCTTTCCTGGCCTCTGCATGCAGGACAGTCCACTCGGCATTCGTTTCGCCGACCACGTCTCCGCTTTCCCGGCTGGCGGATTCATTGCTGCATCATGGGACCGCGCCGAGTTCTATCGTCGGGGCTACCAGATGGGTCTCGAGATGCGTGGCAAGGGCGTTGATGTGCAGCTCGGCCCCGTCGTCGGTCCTCTTGGTCGCAATCCCAAGGGCGGTCGGAACTGGGAAGGCTTCAGCCCCGACCCCGTCCTCTCCGGTATTGCAGTCGCCGAGACCGTCAAGGGCATCCAGGATGCCGGCGTCATTGCGTGCACCAAGCATTACATCATGAACGAGCAGGAGCACTTCCGCTCGCCAGGCAACTTCGAGGACAAGGGCTTCGTCGATGCCGTCAGCTCCAACCTCGCCGACAAGACGCTCCACGAACTCTACCTCTGGCCCTTTGCCGATGCCGTACGTGCCGGCACAGGCAGCATCATGTGCTCATACAACAAGATCAACAACTCTCAGGCTTGCCAGAACTCGTACCTTCAGAACTACATCTTGAAGGGCGAATTGGGCTTCCAGGGCTTCATCATGTCTGATTGGGACGCTCAGCACTCTGGCGTGGCCTCCACACTGGCAGGACTGGACATGACAATGCCTGGTGATACCGACTTCAACAGCGGCCTGTCCTTCTGGGGAGCCAACCTCACCATCTCCGTCCTTAATGGCACCGTTCCGCAGTGGCGCCTTGACGATGCAGCCGTGCGTATCATGACCGCTTACTATCTTGTGGGCCGAGACATGGCGGCAGTCCCCATCAATTTCAACAGCTGGTCATTGGATACCTACGGCTACGGCCATGCTCACGCAAAAGTGGGGTACGGCCTGATCAATGAACACGTCGACGTGCGAGAGGCTCATGGTCAATCTATCCGTCAGGCAGCAGCCCGCTCCACTGTGCTCCTGAAGAACAGTGGCGTACTGCCGCTCACGGGCCGGGAAAAGTTTACAGCCGTCTTTGGTGATGACAGTACGGAGAACCCTTACGGACCGAACGGATGCGCGGACCATGGCTGCAACAACGGCACCCTCGGTATGGGCTGGGGCTCGGGCACTGCCTTCTTCCCCTACCTTGTCACGCCTCTCGAGGCCATCAAGAGTCAAGTCTTGAGCAACGGCGGTGTCGTCCAGTCCGTCGTCGATAACTGGGCTTACAGCCAGATTACCGCCCTCGCGAGGCAGTCGACAGTGTCCATTGTCTTTGTGAACGCCGACTCTGGTGAGGGCTACATCACGGTGGACGGCAACGCTGGTGATCGTAACAACCTCACCTTGTGGCAGGATGGAGACCGGCTGATCCGGACCGTTACTGCCGAGTCGAACAACACCATTGTTGTCATCCATTCGGTTGGCCCGGTCATCATCGAAGAGTACAAAAACAACCCCAATGTCACAGCTATTGTTTGGTAAGCTTTCCGACGGCGGCTTCTCTCAGCGGAGCTAATCATATGTTCTAGGGCCGGCCTCCCTGGCGAACAGTCGGGCAATTCCATCGCAGACGTTTTGTACGGCCGTGTTAATCCCGCCGGTAAGACGCCATTCACCTGGGGTAAGCAGGAGTCGGACTATGGGCCAGACCTCATCTATAAGCCCACCAACGGCAGCCAATCTCCTCAGGATAACTTTGAGGAGGGTGTCTTCATCGACTATCGCGCCTTTGACAGGAAGAACATCACCCCAACCTACGAGTTTGGCTTTGGCCTTAGCTATACGACCTTCAACTACTCCGATATCAAGGTCACCAAGGTGTCGGGCGGCCCCTATGCGCCGACAGTGGGCAAGACACAGCCTGCTCCGGTCTTTGGCAACGTTAGCAACAACGCGGCGGAGTATCAGTGGCCCGCCAACCTGACCCACGTCCGCAACTACATCTATCCATACCTCAACAGCACCGATCTCGCGGAGGCGTCCATGGATCCTCAGTACGGCGTCGAAGTGGAGCTCCCAGCGGGCTCCCAGGACGGCTCGCCTCAAGCTCGCATCCCCGCCGGTGGCGCCCCCGGAGGCAATCCTCAGCTATGGGACATTCTCTTCACCGTCTCCGCCACCGTCACCAACACGGGCAAGGTTGCAGGCGAAGAGATCGCCCAGCTGTACGTCAGCCTCGGCGGTCCTGACGACCCCAAGGTCGTGCTCCGCAACTTTGAGCGCCTCTCGATCCAGCCAGGCCAGAGTGCGACGTTTGTGGCAGATGTCACCCGTAGGGACTTGTCGAACTGGGACACTGCCACGCAGAACTGGGTCATTACGAAGTATCCCAAGACGGCGTATGTCGGTAGCAGTTCGCGCAGCCTACCGCTGAGCGCGCCGCTCGATGTGTCCGACTACCTCTAGATGGTCGACGGGGAGACCAACTAATAATTAATGATGGTATGGTATGGTGGAGATTTGAGGGATCGGAGCAGTTATGATGGGAAATGGACTTCTTCTAATGACGAGATGGGATGACGGAGAGGTGATAATATTCCCTTGTAAATATAGATATACGCGACCAACGATGACGGCACAACTCAATGTGCCCCTAGTAGGTGGTTGAGGCTAGTAGCGAAAGACATCAAAATCAACTGCGATTCAATCACTAGTTGTACCATGACTTACCCATCAGTTGCCACATATCCCTTAGTTGCCATCCCCGCCCACCGCCTGCCGAAACAGGTATAGTGTCAGGGGTTTTCTGCTAGTTTATTGTAAATGTTTACTTCTCCTCTACACTACGACTTAATTAAATAAAATATACCTTCTAAAAAATTATCTACAGCTAAGCGTAAGGCTTGTACGTCAGAAAATGCTTAAAGATTGGGAAGGCCTTTGGAATTCTCTAAAAACAGGCAAGGGTAAACACTACCTACAGGTAGTCGGCACAGAGAAAATAGAATTCTCTTTATCTGCTCCTAAGGAGAAATACCATAAAAGAACTCAGGCAGCCTTCTTCCAATTAAAGCTAGGCAAAGGCTTTTTCAAATCCTATTCAAAGACAATAGGAAAAGGCGAGGATAGCAGATGTTTCAATCCCTGTGCAGAATCACAGCACCCTAAGCACCTAGTGCTATACTATAGTAACTATACAGTACAAAGAGAAAAAATACAAAAGGATTTAAAATCTCCCCTCCTACTAAGCTGTGAAGGTTCCTCGGATAATGGTATGTCCTCTAGGAATCTTGGTTGGTTCTTGGGAATGAACGATAGGGTTCCTTGCATGGGGGTGACACCAGGGATAATGGAGGTGACACCAGGGGTAATGCGTATTTTGAAAACCAAGTGTACTAAGGAGTACTGATTGAAATTGAACACGATGAGCCATATAGGCTCATCATCTACTGTTATATACATGAGGTGCTCTTTTTGCTCCATTAACATGAGTAGAGCATTGAGAGCAGGTTGCATGCCCTTGCTCTGGAGGGATCAAACGATCATTGGGCCGGCTGTGCTATGCTCTGAGACCTTCCTCGCTTAACTGAGAGCAACCCTGGTCGGGTGGAGTCTAGCTCCTCTTGGATCGTTACACTATCCCCCTCCTCCTGTCTTCGTCTCCGAAGTCCTTCATCATGCCAAAAGCTCCTTCTTCCTCTAGCACCAGTCGTCATTTAATTCTTGCAGCTTTTATTGATAACTTTGGAGACATTATGCCTGTCACGTATCGTAATTGTCAGTCCGTAGAACTTACGTGCTGTGTACATGTTCGATCGGGTCGCTGTAATGAGTGTAATCATCGGAATCTCAAGAATTGCAATATTCAAATATCGGAGTTGGAGTGGTCCATAATTCTTGAAGAAAAGAAACAATTGCAAGGCCCATCTTGATGTGCTTAAGAAAGAAGAAGAAGAAGTAAGGGAACTTCTTCACAAGAATGCTGATCAGGCTACGGAGGTGATTGCTGTTGAGGAGGCAAACATCACGCTCCTCGAGCAACAGGAGGCGGCCGCTTGGCCGACTGAAGGGATGGCTCTTTCCCCATTCACTTGGAGCACCGTCGCCAGTCTAGGTGATGAGGTGTAGAACGCTGATGCTCCTGACTTCCTGGGTGAACCTTGCCGTGGTCCTGAAGGCTTGGGTTCTTCTGATAAAACTATGCCAGCAGTTCGTGAGGTTCGTCTCTGGTTCCCATATGTTTTCTGAGTTAGGGTAACCTTTCCATTTGATCAGGTATTCAGGCCTGTTGTAGCCATGTCATCCGGCTACAATCCTCTCGACTTCGAATTCATTTTCTTCTTCCGGTTCATAATAAAATGTTTCTTGTAATGACATTGCTGAGACGGCTGGTTCCAACATAGATACATGGAATCGTGGGTAGATCTTCGCATCGGGTGGCAAGTCAAGTGTGTAGTTTACTGGTCCTGTTTGGTCAAGAATCAAAAATGGTCCGACCTTGATATGATCCAGTCCTTTGCTCAGTCGTTTTGCACATAGGTTTTTCATGAGCAGGTATACCTTATCCCCCTTCTTCAGCTGAGGTGCCATTTTTCGTTTCTTGTTGACATAGGAAATGCTTTGGTGTTGAGCCTGTTCGATTCTTTCCCTCATTTCTTCATGGGTTTTCTTGATCTCCTCTGTTGTTGCAATAGCAGCTTCGGCTTTTGGTCCTGGTAGTATTCTTTCAAAGAGATGTGGGTGTCTTCCGTGGTTAGCTGTCAGATTTGATAGTATCTGAAGATGTCACGGTGACAGAAAGATTGATTGAAGATGGGTTGACTGATTGTATTCAGGT